AATATAATTAGGTCTAAGGACTAGAGGTCTCTAGATCTAACTAATCCTGCGACGTCCCCTACTCTTAAGACTGTAGGGCATAGGAGCTACTTAGTTCCTACACTCCTAGGTTGTACGCTCAGCTTAGTCCCTAGGCCCGATTAGGTCTAGCGCCACTAATGTTCTAGCGCTCGGCTTAGTCGTTCGACCTAACAAGGTCGTACGCTATCTGGTTTCTAACAGTAGATACTCTGTTCTAATATCGGAAACCTACACAGTCCATAGTTTCCCTAAGGGCCGTAATAGGTCCTTAGAGTAGATTAGGATGTCGTCTAGGTAGGCAGTATAGAAGTCGTCTAAGTATTACATAAGAACGTCGTTTATATACCTCTAATAGGTTGTAGGGCCGTTCGTTAGACTAAACGGCAGCACTTTGCATTTATAGGATCTATATTAAGTTTAGAAGGTCGTGTACTCTTTAGAGTTAGGGTCCATTCGTATATGATGGAAGGCTTACCTAATGTCTAGCTTCGTGAAGATTTTTGCTTTTAACACCTATCCTAGTAGTTCGTTAATACGTAGGATAGGGTAGGGGTCGTTATAGGTAAGTCCGTTTAACTTCTAGTAGTCGATACAAAATCTTAGTTTGCCATCTGCCTTCTTCATAAACAGTATAGGGGAGGCAAACGGGCTATTGCTATTAACTATAAAGCCCTTCTTAAGGTTCTCTAATAGGTATTACTTAGTCGCCTTAAGCTCTTTAGTGCTTTGTTAGTATAGTAGCGAAAAGGCATTTAGTAAAGGGGCTTCTAGTTGTATCTTATGATCGTATATGTAATGTAGGGGAAGCTAATTAGATTCTAACTTTAAGAAGACATCGGAATAGTTGTAGTGCGTATGTAGAAGCTTGTCCTAAATAAGGTAGAGCGTTTCTTCGTCCTTAGCCGCTTCCCTCTCCTAGATGATCTAGTCGATCTCGTAGATGCTTGTTGTAAAGAACTTAGAGTCGCTTTGCATCATCTCATAGTAGAAAGCGTTTGCACTAATCTTGCAAATTTAGACTAGCGTAAAGCTGCGTAATAGGGTCTAGCATTAGGAGGGAGAGACAACTCTACTCCTTCTATAGTTCTTTCTTTTATATGTAGATGGTCCGTTTCTTAGAGGTTTTACCTCTACTTGTCCTAAGGGTCTGTCTTTATAGGTTTCTATAGGCAAGGCTCGTGTCCTTAGGGTTTTAGGGTATAGGTAGGTTGTTCCCTCGTCTTGTACTAAGCTTAGTAGGGTGATTATAATAGCGTTATAATAGGCCGTTATTACTTTCATTAGTATTAAGCGTCTACCCTCACGTCGTCTGTCGTCATAGTTAATGGCATCGTCCTACTAGTTTGCATCTAATTAATAGGTAGGGTGACGTATAGATAGTTCACGTAAGTAGTAGGCTAAGGTAATCTCTTTGCTCTAGCTAGGAGTAGGCAGGTACTCCTTTAGCTATACTAGCTAGCTCTTTACAGAGTCGAGTAGGATTCGAAAGCAGCTAAAAAGCTTCTTCCTAATTATTACATCTTGCGCTCTAAGATCTAGGAGCATAAAGGGGCAGTTATAGATTTAGCGTCCTTTGACTATTAAGTGTAACTGAATGTACTCTAACACGTAGCTTTAGATATTTCGCTAAAATCCACATATAGGTATAGAGTAGGGCAGTTTCCATATAGGGCTCTAGAGCGCTTTTAACAACCGTTGCGCAAAAGGCTTATTAATGACGAGGTAGCCATTTGCTCCTATGTCTATAAGTGACTTCGTTTACACCCTAAGTCCGTTCATACTTAGGGTTGTATTAACGAGAAATTAGGAGCCTCCTAAGAGTTCTCATAAATCTAGTCCTTATAGATCACATTTGCGTAGACCTAGGAAGGAGCCTTTCCCTAGGCCTCGTCGTTTTCCTTAAGGGACGCATCTAACTAGTAGGCGACTACTTCCTCCTATGGTTCTTCGTCCTTAGGGGCTTCGCGATCAATCTCCTTAACGGTAGGGTTAAGTAGGCATTTGTCTTAGAAATGGCCCGGCTTACTGTACTTAAAACAGTTCCTAGACGTAGCCGGCACAGCAGTCTGCACGCAGCCTATCATATCTAGCTTAGGGGCCGTAGGCGTAAAGGGAGTCCTCTAAAAGGAAACTAGAGGGTTTCTTGTCTACCTTAGTAGCTAGGCCTTTCTAGGGTCTATAGGCGTAAACCTAGATGAGCTTAGGCAGGCAGGTCCTTAGGAGCTTAACTTGCTACTCTTAGATAGGAAGCTCAACTCGTTGTTCCGCTACTGCTCCTAATCGAAGGCAGTAAGTTCTTAGACTATAGTGTAGTAGTCTCCCTTCCATTAACTTTTAATAACCGCTACGCAGCTACGGAATTAAGGGGTTAACTTGTTCTACATATACCGAAACCATTCTAACTTAGTAACCTGTCCTATAATAGCTGCACTTTAGAAGCGAGCTTTAAACTCTAAGAAAGTCTCGTTTATATGTCCTTTCTCTCCTATTTAGAGGTTGTTAAAGAGGTTCTAGGCCTGTTCCGTTTCGTTGCTAGTAAGGTAATATAAACCTAATAGGTCCATTATCTTGTTAGCACTCTAAAACCCATAGGTTGCAGATAGGTATTAGGGTTCAAGGTATTTCTTTGCTAGGCTAGTCGTAGTCCCCCATATTAACGCTCTTCTTAAGACGTTAGTAGGGTAGTGATCCTCATTAACTACGAGGTAGTCCTAAATAGACGCGCTCCATTACATAAAGGTATGTTCTATCCTATTGCTAAGCGGCGTAATCTTCTTAGAGATGGTGGATTTCTTATAGCAATTTAGAGGGTCTTTAGAATACATCCTTAGAATTAATAGAGAACGAGTGTTTTAAAGAGGCAGTAACTAAACTATCTTAGGGGTGTTTTGCATAGGGGAAGTTCATTACTCTGCAACTTCAACGGTGTCTACTAGTAGCATGGACGGAATTCTAGTCTAGGTTGCTGCTAGGTTGGCTATCATTTCCTTAATCTCTTGCATCTAGATCTCGAGGTTTGCCATTCAATCTAGTATGTCATTAGTAGGTGTAGCAGTTGTAGCTATAGCAGTAGTTTGTCTCGTTAACATTCGTGACAGTTAACCATCATTGTCTTAGGGGATGTTTAAGGTCATTTTCCTCATATTAGTTTAGGGGTGTATTAGTGTCGATACAAAAGAGTTTAACTTCTAGTAGCTTATAGCTATTAACACTCTTATTCACAATTGCCTCTATGCTTAAGGGGGTTCTTAAGGATCTCGTATCCTATTTAGCGCTAACGCGTTAGCGACTTTACTAGCTTGCTCTATAGGATCAAACCCTAATCTACTAGTTGTCTGTGAGTTCTCTAGGGTCACGGCTATTTGAAGTCGTTAGGTCTCTACTTCGAAATGTTACTAAGTTGCAGTCGGTAGTGTTTCGATAGTTCTCCTAAGTCGTTCTAGTTATAGGATATTATTTACGTACAGCCGTCCCTAGTAGGCGTGATCTTTTTTATATAATGTAAGGACGTAGGGCACTGTATCACAAGAAGTTGCATATAGGAGTGCGAGTTAGATAGTAGTCGGTGCAATCCTATAGGTCTACTATAAAGGATATAAAAAAGATGAAGGTGTAACCCTATATAGCTATTCCCTTAAAATACCCGAAGCTGCTCCGACTTAGCTAGCTCCCTGTTTGCCTAAGGCTTCCTTACGTTATGTGCCTAAGGCTATTAGTCGCGACTAACCCGTAACGGCCCTAAGTCTTAATGGCGCTACATGACGGCTGTAACTACCCTAAGTAAGGAGGCATCCTTATACATTCAAAGCTGCATTTATAGAGTAGAACATTAAGAGTGGGTTCTAAGCTATAGGACTAGTTCCGTACGAACCGTAGAATGTTCTCTCTCACTTAAATCTACACTTAAGAACTCTAACTCCTCCTATAGTTAAGAGTAGCAATTAGACTTCAAAGACTCCTTAAACTATAAGGGAGCTTGATTTTCAAACAGAGCATATTAAGAACTGTGTCGTACAACATCAGAATAGCTCTCCTAGCTTAATTAATGATGCACTAAGCCAGCTTATAAAGGGAGCTTAGGTTATGATGCATTCTGCTATTCTACTAAAGGTAGAAGTTAAGGCTCTACAAGCAGCAAATGAACAGAAAAAGAGGAGGGAAAGGAAGCGTAAGAGACGTATAATGCAAGGGGGCAGTCTCTCCGTACGAGATGCAGAGGATATCCTTCAGACTGCTAAGGTTAATGCTTAAGTTCGTACGGAGGTGGCAAGTGAGACTACTTAGCAGGTGGGTTCTACAGGCCGACAGCGGCGATGTGGCACATGTGGTAATATGGGGCATAATGCTTGTACGTGCAAGAGGCGCTAGGAATCAATTGCAATTGAATAAGGGTTATTATGTAGGGTGGTGGTGTAGTAGTAGGTAGTAATAGTTAATTTCAGTGTTTTAGTTGTTCACTTGCTTAGGTTGTTCATTCGCTTATGAAATACGTTATCTTTTTTTATTACCTTTAGCTACTTTATATATAATTTAGTATATAAAAGTACTTTAAATCTTAGTAGTTAGGAATATATATTATTTTTTAAATATATACTACTTACTTCTATCATTAATACTATATAAGGTAAGGACATAATATAAAATATATCCCTCTTATATAACTATAATAATATACTTTTTTACTACCTTACTCTACCTAAGTTAGGTACTATAGTATTTAGTTTTATTAAGTAATCCTATAAAGATTTTAATACTATAGTAGGTTATTCTAATTTTAATAAGGGTAGTAAAAGAAGTCTAATAGGGTACAATATATATAGTATAGTAATTTTAACTAATAGTTATTTATAATTATACCTTAAAATAATAAATTTAAATAATTAGAGTATATAAAAAGAATAACTAACAGGATTTATAGTATATATTCTATAAATACTAACCATTTAAGGAGAAATAAGTAGCATTTATAATAATTAGAACTATACATAATTAAGGAACCCATTAACATTTAAAATATAAAGTATAACTCTTATCATTTCTTCATATTTTGTTTTATAAACCACCCATATCATTCCACCCATGACCCTATGGTATCTAAACTCCCAAACCTGTACTCCATATATGCAACCCCTTAGCTTACGTTCATGAGTGATCCGTTGGATTGCCCATCTCATCATAATCATCCATTGATTCCGTGACAACTTTTCCAAGGATCGACCCCGCTCTCCCCATCTCTCCCCCCTCCTTCTTTGCGCTCTCAATCCCCTTATCGACTGACGTCTGGAAACGCAGACGGAAAACCCGCTGCCTGCTCTCCCGCTCCGTGTACATCTCGCTCTCCTCATCTCGTCCCGGCCCGAATAGGTTCAAGTGGGCAAAGGGACTCGCCTGCACGGGGATGACATGTATATCTGCATCCCATAACGGAAAGCAGCTCCCGCGCTGGAACAACTCCTCAGTGGCCATCCTGGCCAGACCGGCTTTCAGGAACTGAGCAAGAACCGTAATCTGCCTTGGAAACGACTTCCCGCCCTTCCCGAATGTGACCTTGGCTGCTGCGGACCATTTCGTTGAGCCCACGCTGATGGCCCAGCCCATCATCCGCATGAATGAATCGAGGGTCTTGTACCAGCCGCCGGGGCAAGAGACGATGGCTTCTGGCGCTGTTTCCACCAGCCATTCTAGTACCGACAGGGCGTCGTTGCGGATCTCCACGGCGAGATGGGTCATGCCAGCTCTGACGTAGAGAAGCGCAAACTCGGCTAGGTCACCAACATCCTTTGCTGGGAGGAGACGTAAGAATTTCAGCAGCTGTGTCCGTACTGATTGTGAGCCGTCGAGTATCAAGGGGTATAGCTTTGGGAGCATGATCGCGGCAGAGACTGGTATCGGTGCGTTGACTGGTTGGGACGAGACTTGTGTGATGAGGTAGGATAAGGCATCTCGCCGTTGGGCGTCGGACTTGGAGGAAGAGGCGAGAGAGAGGTAATGCTCGAATTGGACGGAAGAAGCGGGTGCAGAGGTCGTGAGGGATTGCTGGTTGATAGTGATGGCTATTACATGGTAAGCATCCTGATGTTGAGAAGTTGCGGCATCGATCAGGAAAGAAGTGCATTTTCTGAATGCCGAGAATGCATAATTCGTTTGCGATTTGCAAAAAATGGAGTTTAATAATAAAATATGAGCTTACATCGGGATTTGAAGCTGGTGTCTGTGAAATTATCCGGCTTTGCTTTGGTTTTTCCAACACGCAACTTCGGTTTCTGTGCGGCATTTCGTTAGGAAACTCTCCTCAGTATTTATTAGTTGGATACCGAAGTATTACCTTGAAGTCCTTCTTCTTTTCGGCCTTTTTTCTAGCACTGGAACCCATTTTGTTTGTTGTATGATCAAGTAATAATTGCAAGTCCTGCTTTTCGTGGTGGTTATATTTTTCAGCCTTGCGATGTTGCTGCCTTGCGCCTCGTCTGTGAGCCTGATTTTGGGGTATGGTGGAGTGGAGTCCCAAGAAGCTCCAGAGCCTCGCCGAACATCACCACCTCACACCCGGGATAATGGCGCAATCACTGCCATTGGGCACTGTAAATGCCTTCTACCTCTTAATTTATCTGGCTGTAAGCTGACGAGCGCAAGGGATCAAATTCCTCGGACCAGTTCATAGAATCGCTGGACCGCCTTTCGAAGAAGACGGGAGTGTTGGCAACTATTGTCCTGGACCGAACCAGCGGCTCGATACTGAACACATCTGGCACGTTGTCTTCGATTCGATCTACTTCAGGGTCTAGCCAATCAGTCCCAGCAGCCGTTCCTGACGACGCTTCGTCTGGCCCTAAGGACCAAAATGGGGTCGACGAGCTGGCCGGCATGGTCTGGAACTACATGAACGCCACGAAAGATCTGGTCCAAGGCCTCGATGAACAGGTAAGGATGGCCTCTCATGACCAAGCGATTACTGCTGACGGGGAACTACAGGACGAAGTTAAACTGCTACGATTACGAACAAAAAAGTACGAGCTGGTCATTGTTCCTGATTCGAAATACCTGCTCGTGGTGGTACACGAGACACCTTCGGCGTGAAAGAAGCACACCCGTAACAATTCGGCGTATGATACCCAGGCACATTCAGGCGTTGTATTTGACTTTATAAGAGGACCATTTGGCGGTGAGGGAGGGACTAGTGGCGGCATGAAACCGGTTCGATACCTCGGTTCTATCATCTGGCAAAGCCAGTGTGATGTTTATTGCAGATTTGACTGTATGGCGTAGATAATGTGCCAACGGTGAGGGTCTGCATGAAACGCTGCGATACCAAACACTTTGGGGTGAGCGGGCAGGCCAAGGGGCAAGGCATGCACCCCAAGAGTACCAGGATGCCAGGTTGTCATATAATACCACACCTGGGAGAGATCAAGTTGTAGCTTGAGTATAAAAATCCCATCAATGAATCGCTTCATTTGTAACTATGGATCATAATAGTTTATGATTATGTGTCCTTTTAATCGCACTATCGACGATTTGAGCTATCAAATCATCAAACGAAATGCCGTTTGCTGCAGCACACGCTGGTAATGAGGAATAGTCTCCTGGTGTGAGACCTGCGATGGGATTTAATCTTGTGATGCTCTAGAATTATCTGTGTCTTGCGTTAGCCTATAACTTAATAAAGAATTGAAGAGAACAGTAGCTTTGTTCTCCCTTTCTCTAAACATAGTGCTGATGTTGCCGCATCTGAAAATGTATACGGAATCTGATATGCCTCGAGGAGCCCTGGGACCTGCGACTCCCTTGCAGTTCCGTAAAAACCCTCCGATACATTGAAGACCAAGTCCCATTCTGTAGCCCTCCCAATGGCCAACTGCTGGACCAGCGGCTTGATGCCTGGAATTAGGGTGACATGGTGGTCATGGTGTTCAAGAGCAGCAGAAATAACTGGCGTCTCCTCGTCAAGACCAAGATCTGCGCAGTCTATTTCTGAGTATCCGAGCTCACGGTATGTCGAGCGTGAGTCGTATACTAGAGCTATTTTAAGGTGGTTAGGCAACATCTTAATTGTTGAAGAATGTGAGAGATGTAGGTCACGTAATGGCGAATCGACGGGGTGAGTTGAAACAATGAGTGAGACCAGTTCATGATAAATAATAGTCACACAATGCTTGCTGCAGGATTTACATTTCACAAAACAAAAATGAATATTGTGCATCGTCGTACACGGCGCGAAGTTGGTTCTAGTTAAGCTGATAAAAAACGTTACACAACGAGTGTCTCATTAGCTAGAGCTTCCACTTGGATGACACACAGTCTGTCATGTTATTCGTTCCTAACTTGGGATATAAAATAGGACTAATCGTTGTAACTATAAGCAGTAAACCCCTTGAGTGCAAACGTGGTGCCTATGAATAATCAGCAGTTGAACTACAAGCTTTGGGGAGGTTATCATACTCGACGTCGGTCCAGGAGATCCAGACGAACCCTCCATCTGATAATCCATGATCCTAAAAGCTAAATTAGCAATGAAAACATAAGCCACACCACGGAGAAACTCATACAGCCAAAACGGTTTCCCAACCATCGCATTACCCGTCTGCGTTGCCTGCAAAACGCCATCCATATAAAACTTCGTCTGCACATCAACACCATTCAGATCCCTAACCTCCATCTTCAACGTATGCCAGCTCCCAGAATTATACGCCACATCCTTCGTAATCCACTGATTATTGATTCCCAAACTGTTAAATGAGATCTTCCCACTCCCCTTCCACTCCGCCAAATCAATCTCAGGAGGCCATGAATTCGCCCCCGTAAGCCAGAAAGCAGGCCACGTCCCCTTAGCCGTCGATGCGAGGAAGTCACCAGTGAAATCGTACCCCCCATTCGCAGCGACGGTAAAGTATTCCTTGGCGTATATGGTGCCGGAGAGATAGTGGATTGCGAGGCCGCCGCTGGTGGGAGCTTGGCCGGTTGTTGGGGCGGCGGTTAGGGTTACCTGGCCGCCTCCGACTTTGACCTGCGAGCTTGCCATGCGTGCTGCGCCATTATGATCGGTTCCCCAAGGGTAGTTGTAGGCCCAGTAGGTGTTGAAGGTGGTTTGTGAGTCGAAGGATGTGCTTGGGATTTTGTAGCCATCGCGAGGTAATAAGGAGGCCGCGAAAGAAACGGGGAGGAGGAGCGCTGCGGTGAGAGTTAGGCGTAACATGATTAATTCTGGATTTATAATTTTTGGTTGGCCTTCATCGAGGGACAACTCAAATCTATCAAGAAGAGAGCCATACATATATAGACAGGCAAGCAAGCAAGCAAGCACATGTCTTTGCTTCAAATTGACATCGTATCTGCCAATGTAATTGAAACATCACAAATATTAACACTATACTCGGGTCAATCCTGCCAGGCTCAGTTCTTGCTTCCCCGCATCTCTAAACGGAATTGGTGGGATTTCAGCCATGATTCCTTGAGAAGATCAAAAGATCAGCCGAATTTAACATTCCGCTCCAAGGAAAATTAAGCATTACAGTCAAGTGACGCCTCAATCCCGGGTAAGTCGTATTATACATTTGCCGGCTATATAACCACAACTGCCGGTACTAGGGACAATGACATACTTGGTATGGCAACGATGGTCATTCTTATTGGGTTGAAGTTTTATATTCTATGCTCACTATATTGAGAACCCTCTCCTATATTATGCAAACCTTTCGAACTGAATTAACTATTTCTCTCGTATTTTTATTATGTCCGCATCCGTTACTCCCCCAACAAATACAAAAAAAACACCCTGGAAGTTCTCATGTAGCGACCTGCCAAATCGCATTGATATCCACCCTATTCCTAATCCTATAAGCCTTATCATTCATCCTCATCTGCACCGTCCAATGCATCTTCGGCTCCTCCTCTCGAATCGGTCTGTACCGGCCCAGGTTCCACCTTACGACCTTCTCCCACTCCTCCGTATGCTTCTTCTGTAAACGCACCTTGACAGGCCAGAACTCGAGAACCCACCAACTCTTCGCTAGCACGAGCTGGTCGTTGATGGCGGCCATGGCATCGAAGTGGTCCTCGACGTGCTCGGGAAGCATGTCTGCTTGGTACTGCAGTCTCTCGGCTTCGTTCATGATGTCGTTAGCGATAATCTCTCGTTTTTCGTCGTTGCCCATGTCCTCGTAATCCTTTTCCAACCCAAGAGCAGTGGAGCGGCGTCTGAGAGGAGGGAGCTTCTTCTCCTCGTACTGACCCACCATGATTGGCGAAGGCCCGACGACGGGTTTCGTCGGCGTCTTGTAGATGGGCCAGACGGTCAGAACGTCAATGCCGGTTTCTGCTAGCGGAGCCGTGTTGAAGATAATCCCAGTTTCGCATTCGAAGCACTGTCGGATCATCCAGCGTAGAGGGATGCGCGAGAGCATATGGCGCTCCTCGTTCGGTACTGCGCCCCCACCAACATCGGCATGGGCGCCTGTGAACCAGACCTCGAGGGTGTCAGTCTTGATATGCTCGTGCACAGAGCGGTCGTCTTTTTCAAACTGCTTCTCTAGTCGGATCCGTTTCTGGTCTTTGTCATCCTGAGCCACTTTGAGTGTTTTCCCCATAAAGTCAATCGGCGAAGTCAACGATCGCTTGAGTTTGAAGTCGGGAGTGCTCGATGACCGCTTCAGAACACCGTTTTGCAGGGAGGTGAGTTGTTCTGGGTTGGAAGTAGCCGTGGGCATCTGGCGGGGCCGATTCGGCCTCGACTCGACCTTGACCGTTATTTTGGCCGGATCGACGACTACATCCTGATGTTGCCACTGGCATACTTTGAATTTAGCCCTGTGCTCATCTAGGGCCATGGCATGGCGGAAGTGGCGGATCGTATTTGTTGGAGTCTTGCTGAAAGGTAGCGTTCTCGGGATGAAACCGACACTGGCGACGCAGTCCCACAACCCCACGAAATGCACCTGGACATTGGTGCAGAATGTCTTCTTGAACTCAGCGCTCATCTTCCAACCCTCCGCGGTGTCATTCCTGTAGAAGCGATAGGCGAAGGCGACTTGGGCGCTGTTTTGCTTTGGCAGCAGGCCAACCTTGTGCAGCATACCGGCAAGGCAGCGCACGGTATATGCGCCTCTCGAAAACCCCAGAAGGCATATCTTGTCTCCCTCAAGGTAGTTCTCCATAATGAAGCGGTACGCATCTTTAACGTGAGTCCCGAGACCACTGCCAACTGCCATGTCGATAAGCGCGGAGATTCCACTCTTCAGCCCCCGCCCATCGTAGGTGCCAATGCCAGATTGATAGTATGTGAGTTGGTTGGGGTCATCTTTCTTCAATGTCGCGACAAAATTGACTACATTGCTGTTGTCGCCATCGAACTGGTCGCCGGTGCCATCAAGGCAGATGATGATGGTACGGCCGCCCGGGCTTGACTGGTCTGGGTTTCGAACGGCTCTTATTGAAGGCGGCAGGTCCGGTCTTGGTTCTTCAACCGGTGGCGCCAGCGACTTATAGTTCAGCACCTGTTCGGCGCATGTTTGAGAGGGGTAAAACTTCTGCCTCCAGGGGACATTCGTAGCGTGGCCGTTCATTGTGCTGTGCGACTGAGGAAGACGAGTAGGATGTCGCCCTTCTTAAGATAAACAGTGGTTGGACGAGAGATGATAGTGGGTGCCGGCGAGCTTTGTCTGTACAACTCAACTCGGGCTCAAAATGACAATATAAAGTTTCTAGGGGCAAACAGAGCACCACACCAAACAATATCGGCCAGCCGGTTGCCTGAACGGAGCATACAAGAAGAAGCGCCTGTATTTTCCTTGGAATGTTATGATGATCTGGGGCAAGTCGCGGGGGGGCGATTGCGGAGGAGCATCTTCTTCGCGCCGAATCGCGTTGTCAGCAAGGCTGTTCGCTCGCTCGCTCGGTACAATTGGAGTTCATGTCTTGACAAACTCGGAGTAGGATCGCCAACCAGTTATGATCCTCTCCAGCGATCTTGTCTCAGTTAATGCGGCCCGTACCCGCACGTGCTGCCGCAACGACCAAAGTGCGAGAGCTAGGCGGTGGATTAGCATAGTAGTGACTTCCAATGGAGCAAAGGAGAGATGAGCCCCGCAATAGCTCCATCACACCCCGAGTCGGTGGGGTATTGAGGGTGCACCGTCTGATGAGGAACCCATCCAGTCGGAAACGGGCATTGTCGCCCGCATGGAGCGGGCTGAGAAGAATCCAATATCGATGGGCGCGATACGACGCCACCTGCAGCGGTGTCCACTCAGCAACAGGGCTACGCGCACGGAGTGAATCATATGAATCAGTCAGTCTACTTGGTACGTCAGTACATCCGTGGTACAAAAGCAAGGCAGGTCTGTATACTGAAGCTCCGATTCGCTGTGAGTCGTTTATGCCGCTGTGCTCGGCGCGTCGATCGTATAGAGACGAGTTTCATTCCGGCAAGTCCTGTCCCATTGAGAAATTTCATGATGAAGTAGAGGGGTTCGGAGGTAGCAAAATTATAGATAATCAACGGCTGAATTACTTGATTAGGATGATATTCGGGCCCGTCCGGTCGGGCTGAGAAGTGCTTGAACTGCCTAGACTGCTGGGACTAGAAGGGGTTACTAGGGATTTGAAGGGCCCAGGCGGGACTAAGAAGGTTTAAGGTTGCGATCCGCACCAGGGATGGCGCCGAGGTAGGCTAAGACGTAATTGGCTTGGATCGGATCTTCTCTGAGCCAAATCGAGACAGGTCAGCTCCCGACAATGCAAGCCACACTTACCCCTTTAGGAAGAAGTGGGTGGTTACTCCATATCATATACGCTACGGTAGTTGTTTCGTTTGTTTACAGGTTTGTTTACAGTAAAAGATCTTCGTATAGCGGAAGCTGGAGATAATTTCGGTGAAAAAATCAGATTTGAAGCTTCCTAAGGACGGGAATGTATGTATCCGCCGTTCGCTCTTTGTGCACAACATCTATACACACACATAAACACAACCACACACACACATACAGGGGCGAGGGATGCAGAGCAATATAGTACAATATAGTATATGCACGCCCTCGCTTCGGATATTTGCATTTCCATATCCGTCTTTCCGTGACGCCCAATAGAGGAGGGTCCAATGGTAGACGAGCAGGGCAGAGAGTAGTACGGTGACAAGCACTCGGGCCAAGCACAGCTCTAGCTCGGTATCTCCACCGGAGTCAGTCTCAGCGGTGTAATTGTAATACTGAGTTGTAGCACTGTTCAAGGGTTTGCAGAGACACAAACCACATTGTGAGCACAATATATACTCTAGTAGGCGATTTATACCGAGTATACTCGACGGAGAGTACTGTACACGGAAAGAATACGGAAAGAATACACGGAGTACAAGTAGGGTTAGTGGTGCTACAAACCTTCAGCGTCCCTTCCCAAATGAAACCCCCTTGCTGCTGCTCCCAATACTCCCTATCCAATAAAAAAGTCTCTAATAGAAATCACCCCGGTCGTATTTTCACAATGCTGGACGACTCTGCTAGGGCTATCAAATATGTGTAACACCACCACCACACTCCACCACACCACCATGCCGTCGAATAGCCTCGCTCCTCGCCGCTTTCAGCCAGCACAAAGTCTTACTGTGTCTAGTATGACGGTGTGATATGACTGTGTCTAACTGTGTTAAAGTAAGCACAATATAGTGAGTACTATACAGTGCTGACTACACAGCCGCCTCAGCCAGCCACTATGAGCATCTCACTTCATCTTGCTCGCGTTGCTCACGTTTTTAATGCTGCTCACGCTGCTCATCGTGCTACAGGCCTTCCTGCCCTGTCCTGTGTTTTGTCAGTACTTGACACCACCAATTCTCTCTACCAGTGACTGTCACAAGCCCTGGTTCGTCTGCATCTGCTTCCGCGTCCGCATCTGCATTGCATCTGCACCATCCATGCAAACTCCGTCCCCACCTCGTCACCCCGTCACCGCATCACCTGCCGATCTTTGAAGCTCCCCCCCTCCTCCCGCCTTCCCATCAATGAACCCCCTTCCATCCCCCAATCAGCGCAGTCCCCAAGGCGCATCCTCAGACCCTGCCACCTTCATTTCTTCTCTCCCTCAACCTGACCATTTCTCCTTCTCTCTCCCCAAGTCCATCTGAAGCTTCTCTAAACCCTCTTCCTTTCCTCTTTACTATTATCCGTCATCTAAACTCCCTAATATCAAATCGAGGTTCATTGCCTCAACCCTAATCTCGCAATGGCTCCTAGTCAGTTCAAGACACTGCTGGGCTCAATTCGGAGGAAGCCTTCTCGCGCCCCCGATGGCAAGACAGACGAGCAGGCGTACGGGAGGCCCATGGAGGAGAAGACCTCCATCATTCATGATCTCACACACCTTGGTCTCAAGAACACAAGGACAGTGGCGGAGGCCATCACCACTCTTGCGTCGGGAGAGCCTATGGACGATAAGGATCTGTTATTAGAGAAGGGCGTCGCCATGCTCCAATCCCTCCCAACCAACAGCGGCCTCAGTGAGACCATCTCCAATAACTTCATTGGCATGCTGTGGAAAGACCTGCCACATCCTCCTCCCACAACCGCTGGCCCAACAGCCCGCTACAGACAGCCTGACGGCAGCGGCAACAACCCGTGGATCCCAGAGATGGGCAAGGCCGGGTCGCCATATTCCCGCAGCGTACCTCCCATGAAGCCTAAGGGACCTAATCTCCCAGACCCAGAGCTTGTTTTTGACCAGCTCTTGAAGAGAACGGGACCTTTCCGCGAGCACCCCTCTGGGCTGAACAGGCTGTTCTTCTCCTTCGCCACGGTTGTCATCCACGAGTGCTTCCAAACCTCGCGAACTAACCCATTGATCAACGAGACCTCGAGCTACGTTGATCTGAGCACTATTTACGGAAATAACGCAAACGAGCAGAAGCGCGTGAGAACCTATGAGCAAGGAAGGATTTTCCCCGACTCATTGGCGTCGGAGAGAATCATGATGATGCCACCAGGTGTAGTGGCCGTCCTGTTGATGTTCTCGAGAAACCACAACCATATTGCGGAGAACCTGCTGTCAGTTAACGAGGGCGGCAAGTACAAGGACTGGGCCAGCCTTGATGACGAGCAGAAGGCTTGGTAAGCTTCTTATTCTCGGGCATTTATGGAACATATCTTAACATGTGCATTTTAGGCAAGATGAGGATCTTTTCCAGCTTACCCGTAACATCAATGTAGGCTTCTTTGCGTCGGTGGTGCTAAAGGATTACGTTGCGGCCATTCTCAACACCCCACGGGCCGATTCGGTCTGGTCTCTAGACCTCGGTGGTGAGATCAAGAATGGCGGACAGCGACTTGAGCGAGGCTCCGGAAATGTGGTCTCCGTAGAATTCGCCGTCCTCTACCATTGGCACGCGGCCCTCAGCGCCGCTGATGACAAGTGGATGGAAGACGTTATACGCAGGCACATCCCAGATCTCCAGTCGATTGACGATGTCAGCGCTGCAGATTTCAAGAAGGTCATGATGACCGAGGGGCACAAGCTCATGTCTACTCCGCCAAAGGAGTGGACGTTTGGCGGTCTCCAGCGTGGGCCAGATGGAAGATTCAACGACGTCGACCTTGCGGAGATTATCAAGGATTGTATCGAAGAGCCAGCCCACGCCTTTGGTGCACACGGCACTCCCGCTAGTTTGAAGATTGTTGATATCATGGGACAGCTGCAGGCGAGAGAGATGTTTAATGTTTGCACGATGAACGAGTGAGTTATTCCATGGAGGTGGGCACAGTTACCCCATACTAAAATTTGTGATAGATTCCGTCGTTACCTCAACTTGAAGCCGTACGAGGACTTTGAGGACTGGAACCCGGACAAGGAGACAGCCAGAGCTGCTGAGCTCCTGTATGGCCACATTGAGAACCTTGAATTATACCCTGGGCTCATGGCCGAAGTCACCAAGCCGGCTATGCCTGGTAGTGGTGTCTGCCCTGGTCACACAACGGGCCGTGGTATCCTCGATGACGCCGTTGCGCTCGTCCGTGGAGACCGATTCCTCAGCTACGATTTCAACAGCACCACCCTGACCAACTGGGGATTCGCCAAACTCGGTGCCATCCCACCTGGAGCATACGGCGGCATGTTACCTAATCTGCTGTTCAATGCCCTTCCTGGTGCTTGGACGGGAACGTCTACATACGTCCTCCTTCCCTTCTATACCCCGGTCGCAGCAAAGGGTATCCTGAAGGGTAACAAGGTCATTGACCAATACGACCTGGATAGACCTGCTAGCGACAAGGTTGTCCTTGGCATTCACACACACGAGGGCTGCAAGAAGGTATTCGAGGACCGTGAGAACTTCCGTGTTATGTACCAGGCGGCAATCCGCAAGTGTACCGATGGACACGATTTCATGATCGGCTGGGATGATGCTAAGCGCCACGACACCCGCTCTAGCATTCTCCACAAGGTTTTTTTTGAAGAGGGCTTCGAGGCGAACCTCACAAAGTTCTTCAGGACCAATGTCTCTAGGCTTATTAAGGAGAAGTCGTTGAAATACTCGAGCAAGAGGAGGTCGATTGATATTGTCCGCGATGTCACCAACGTTACCCCCATCCTTTGGCTTGCGGAGCGATTCGCCATTCCCCTCAAGACGAAGCACACACCACACGGCCTGATGTCTGTCCCAGAGCTGTTCATGATTTACCTTGTCCTTTTCATGTACCAGAGCTTCAACATCATTCCCGCAAATGAGTGGAAGTTGAGAGAGGGTGCCATGAAGGCTGCCCCTGCCCTTAGAGCGATCTTCGAGGCCCACCTGAAGACCCAGCAAGGCTTCAAGGAAGGCATTGTTGACTGGCTCGCCAAGGGCAGTGCGTTCGAGGTTGGCCCGGATGCTGACAGAATCTACCACGCCCTCAACGACTCCAAGCTGCCTATTGGTGATCTTGTAGGCGACTGTATCGGTATGGGAGCTCCAGTTGCTGGTAACCTGACCCAACAAGCCTCCCTACTCATCGATCTCTACCTCAGCGAGGGATACGAAGAGTACAAGGACCGCATTATCGAGCTATCCCACAAAGACGACGCCGCATCCGAGAGAGAACTCCAGGGTTTCGTATTCGAGGGTATGCGCCACGCTGGTGTCGTCCCCGGCCTCCCCCGCGTCGCCTCCAAGGACGTCACAATCATGGACGGCTCTCGCGGCCCCATCAGCATCAAGGCCGGCCACACCATCCTGGTCGCCACTTCCAAGGCGGCCATGGACCCGATCCAGTTCCCCAACCCCGAGAAGCTGAACCCCCACCGCCCGTTCAAGGATTACATCCTCCTCGGCCACGGGCTGCACTTCTGCTTCGGCGCGAGGTTGGTTGGGGCGTCGCTCGCGGCGACGCTGAAGGAGGTGTTTAAGTTGAAGAATTTGAGGAGGGCGAATGGACGACAGGGGCACTTTTCGATTGTGGAACATGAGTTTGCGGGGGTGAAGATGAGGCACTATCTGGATTCTAATGCTAATGAGTCGCCGATCCCGACGACGCTGACGCTGGAGTATGATGAGTAGGGAATTAATAGGTGGGATAATGTATGTATGGCTTATTGTGTGTTTATATGAGGCTTTGGGTCGTGTTTTCAATATGACTATGCTCGCTCCCGCAATTAATACACGTTGGTGGATGTTTGTATGCCCGAATTGAGATGTTTGTCGGAATGTTGCAGTCAAATATCATCAAAACGCACGAATTTGAATTGTTGCTAAATCAACAAAATCTTCGATAACCATAGATATGCATCATAAGGATAATCATAATCGTAGTACCATCAACGAGTAAAAAGTCGTAAAAGGGATGTCAACCCCACGCTCAAACCTCCTTCTGATACTGCCCAAACTCATCCTCCAGCTCCTCCTGCGTCCACTCCCTCTGCGGCTCCGTCCCAATATACTTCCCATCCTTATCCTTCGCAAAGAACTTCTTATACTCCCGTCTCGGCATCCGCACCGCCTTAGTAGTAGAAGGCTCTTTATCCTTCTTGAATTTACCCATAAACGATTTCTTCCTACCCACCCGACCCCTTGTTAGCACAAACATCCCCACCCAAACACAAGGCGGAGAACAACTTACCCCTCCACAACCGTAGGTTTCTGCGCAGGCACAACATTCGTGATGATCGCAACGATTATGCTCTCGTCCGTGTACTTCTCCTGCAGCAGCTGCGGCGCCTGCGCAACGAAGCCGACGGGCGCGACCATGTTTCCCCAGGCGCTGGGCTTGGAGTGTCGCAGGGCGCCGCCTGAGGACCCGGAGTCTTGCGCTTCGGAGGCGCGCATGTACTTCACCTCGCCGTTCTCGCGGTAGGGGATCCATTTCTCCTCGGGGACTGTGTCGGCGTCTGCGGTTTTGGATTTGAAGAAAGGCATCTTGGCGTTGATTTTGATGGAACGGTGTTGTATCTGTGAGGTCTACTGGTGGGGTTTTATACGCAAGAAAGGTTGTGGGGGAGTAGGATAGGATTGTAGGTTAAGATATGGTGTCTTTGAGAGAGCTGAGCCTCCGTAGGATCTAGTTTTGATTCACAGTCGGCGTTTCGTAAACGCCGCCATCGCGAGGCTGTGTTTCTTTGTAATTGCCGGTTTCTGGCACATGACAGCGAAGGGCGTATAACAAGGCAGGCGCAGTGAAGCAAACAGAGAACCCCGCAATCGACGTCATTGGCAAATAAATGATATTCCCATGGTATAAGCTTTCTGAACCTTCTTGCTGCCGCCCGGGGCGGCCTACGATACGAACAATGAGGGGTTTATGTTTCAAGTTCTGACAGTCGCTAGTTACCTAGATATGCGCGTCAGACTTACCCCAGTATCCGCAGCTTTGATCTTCGGGATATATCGGTGGGATCCACGTTCTTATACTGGAGGGATGTTGTCAGACATATAAATGGACCTGAATGGACCCTGTGGGCTGGTGATGACGCTTCGCCGAAGCGGGTCTTGCGGCATGAATACGCCCCGCCGGGCCGTGACGTGCCTGTTAATCCTTCACCGAGTTACGTCATAAGAGGGGTCCTTATAACTAAGACTCGGCCTGATGGATCGGGTTTCATGTCGGCTGTTGGGTGCGGTGGCAACGGTACTGTGCGAAATTCGGAGTATGCCTGTCTCGTCGTCATACTGCCGATATCCCAATTGAATTTATATCGCCACGCAGCGGCTGAACTGCGACGGACATGCATACAGTCTGGAGTCGCTATCTCCATGACATGGCATCCCCTTGAGATAGATGACCAGTATAAGTGCAAATTATTTCGCATTGTACGTTACCTGATTACCTACATAGTGAGATGATTGTCCATACTGATTTATAACGGAAGAAAACACTCCGTACTAGCATCACGCCCAGTTTAATCTATCACTTTAATCTATTGTAGAAGCCTTTTGTGGCTTACTCCTGCGAAGCTTGAAATCGTAGTGATGGGAAATGGAAATGATGGACAATCTTGAAACCGGGAAAAAGGCGACTGGGGCAATATCACATCCGCATAACTGCCGATCCCTCCCGTACGCCGGCAATTAATCCCTAGCTTTCCCCGGATCGTGGCGTTTAAAGTGAAGACAACGAGTAAACATTGGATTCATGTTTCTATTTCTCCTGGAAGATTCGTGGAGATGATAGTTCTTGGTGGACTTCATTCTTGAGAGGGTCTGACTATTATGGTAAGGTCAAGGCCATCCGTTATGTTAAAACTCGAGAAGTGGCATTGCCAAAGCCATGTCGACCTTGGGCTTACAACTCTAGTTAGCGTTTCGAAGGTGTGGGGTAGCAATATATAATTGTTCCATGCATATCATCGTCGTCCACATGGCTTAAAGTCTTGACCAATCTTCAACGCCATACGCGCCTGGTGCCTTGCAATTCACAAATGGGCAATATATTTGTTCCTGGGAAGAGGCGCGCGTGGGTAAAATAAGTTTGGACTATGCCTCTCTCGTTCATGGAGATTCAACGCCCGTGTCTTCATATGGATGGAAACTTGCTATGTTGCTTCTAAAGTGGGCTGGGAGATTTTGTATATAAAGACCTCTATCCCCACCTCTCTTGCTCAGCTTCTGATATCTTGCAGAGCCATCAAAATGCATTTCTCAAAACTCGCTGTTATTGCCGGCACAGTGGCGCTGGCCACCGCGGCCCCGCCAAAGAAGGCGAAGCGCGCCGGAAACTTCGAGTTCTTCGGTGTCAATGAATCTGGAGCTGAGTTCGGCAACTTGAACCTGCCTGGTGTGTTGGGGACTGACTACACATGGCCAGTCACGTATGTCATATAGAATCCCTTGCCTGACCTCAAGCTAACCATGCAAAGATCAACCGTCGACACCCTCGTCGCTGATGGGATGAACATCTTCCGCATTGCCCTGATGATGGAACGCCTGGTCCCCAACTCAATGACCGGAGCCCTCGACGCAACCTACCTCGCCGATCTCAAGAAGATTGTCAGCTACATCACTGGCAAGGGCGCATACGCCATCATCGACCCCCACAACTTCGCGCGGTACTACGGAGAAGTCATCACCGACACTGCCGGATTCGAGGCATGGTGGAAGACTGTTGCTGCTGAGTTCAAATCTGACTCAAAGGTTATCTTTGACTGCAACAATGAGCCCCACGACATGCCATCCATGGACCTCGTCGTTCAGCTGAACCAGGGCTGCATCAACGGTATCCGTGCCGCCGGTGCCACTTCCCAGACCATCTTCGTCGAGGGGACCTCCTACAGCGGCGCTTGGACTTGGTAAGCCACTTTCCCCTGAATCTTCGAGCACCACACTAACAATCTCAGGACCACATCCGGCAACACCGCTCTCGCCGCCCTGACTGACCCCTCGGACAAGATCGTCTACGAGATGCATCAATACCTCGATTCCGACGGATCCGGAACGAGCGAGGCTTGCGTCTCTGCCACCATCGGCCAAGAGCGCATCCAAGCCGCGACCGAGTGGCTGAAGGCGAACGGGAAGAAGGGAATCATCGGTGAATTCGCCGGTGGTGCCAACGACCAGTGCAAGTCCGCCGTCACCGGTATGCTTCAGTACATGGCAAAGAACACCGACGCGTGGGTTGGCGCCTTGTGGTGGGGTGGTGGCCCATGGTGGGGAGACTACATGTACAGCATGGAGCCGCCGAGTGGTATTGGGTACTCGTACTACATTGACACGTTGAAGAATCTCGGATAGACCGCTGGATCTGAGGGGTGGCTGAGGCGATGTTGGGGGTTATGGGTTGGGATTAAGGGACTTGAGAGTTTCGTCTCTAGGATGTTGACTTCTTTTACATAGTTGCCATAGGCTGTATATAGGAAATCGGGTAAATACCTCTAACTCTACTTTACACGTGTAAGATTGCCAAACTTCAATGCATACTTCTTCTCGTTGCCCTATAGCAAGAACGATATAGGGGGTCGTGAGTAAGTGCTCGCTATATTTGTTCGCTATATCTGATCTACGTTGCTTGACTTTTGAACGAACTTCGGTGATGCGACGCAAGGGGCTAAATTAAGCCTTGCTAGATTCTCTGTCTGGACATGTGAAACCAACGCAAATCCCATAGAAGAATGGGAATAAGGAAATATTCGATTGCCGAGGCGGAATAGAAGAAGTTTATCGTAGTGGTAGTGCTCATTTTACTGTTCTGAAGATCCCCTAGTTGCTGTAACGCCTCGGGTGTATTTCGGGACGGGGGTAACCGCGTCATCTTTGCCAAATTAGCAGTACTTGCACCGTGCATCACAGTTATTTATCCTATGGAACACACATGGAACACGGGTAATTTGAAGATTCTGGGGCTGAAGAATCCTCCTACAAAGTAAGCATGTATCAGAATTTGGGTCTCAGCCCACAATAGCCCACACAGCCCACAGTATATCGATATGCCACCAATCAATATCACCCCCATCACGAACCCCACGAAACTTTATGGGGGGGAACTCATTTGAACCATTAAGTGGCTTCACTCACCGTGTTTCTGTGGCTGAATTTCCCTTCATGACACCACCTGAACTGAAGGGTTCGTGCCTGGTGCATTTAATCAACTTATTACAATTACTACGTCTGCAAACTTCGGATACATACACCGCTATGATTTTGTGGGTAATGACAATCAATACTGTATGCACCTTCTAGTCATTCTAGTATATATTGCAGGAGCCGTCGGTCGACGCTTCTGGACCGGAGTCAAAGTCTTGGCACTACTCTTTCATTTACCTTCCGTCATCCTCTCTCCTCATCTTCTTGTCTAGTAATTGAAATCCCCGTATTCCCTATTGTTTTCCAATGGAGTTATAGCCAGGGCTTCATTCCAGCGAGAATGCCGTCATTTTCATCGCTGCTCAAGCGCTCAAGACCGAAGCGCAAGGCTGAACAACCGCCACAAACAGTCGAGACCAGCGATAATACTGCCCGCGATAACGTTACCCGCGATAATATTGCCAATGTTGACACCAACAAGAAGGACAGATCCAGTCGGAGATTGTCAACAAGAGGCGACTTCTTCCGAAGCTTTTTGGGCAGAACTCGATCCAGCACTGGTCCGCGACCTGGAGCTGATGGTGATGTTCAAAATAAGGTGTGTAAGCCCCAACTGCCCACTTGCGACCACGGTTTTAACCAGCGATTCTGTACAGCAAACGCCCCTTCAATCACCAACTCAAGGAAAGGCGACTCCCGCATCCGATCCGAACAAGCCATTGCCTCCTCCGCCTCCATTCAACGACTCTGAGTCGACCAAGCAGCCCGTCAAATCTGGAATACAGCTGAAGCGCATTATCCAGCCGCTCACCCTTTCCGATATACACAAACTCTTTTCTGGAGCACCCCAATTCTTTGTCCGGTCAGAGGGACACCATGCCGGAGCGCCGCACCCTTCAGTTGCCTTCCCTTGGAACGAGGAATTGGAGATACGGGATCTGAGCGACCATGGACAAATAGAAGAGAAAGCTTGGGGATGCGTCACCACGACCCCGCACATCATTCGGAAGCAAAAAGGAGACGCGGTTGTAGAACAGGCTACCGAAGAGAAAGAAAATAAAACCCCACACTTTGTCCCTCGTTGTAAAGAGAGGCCAAATATGCTCAGTATGCAAGGCTTGGAACGAGGGACCGTTGGGTTTCAGGCCGCACTTGAAGTTGCGGTTGCGGATGCGCTTCACGACGACAAACCCCATGAGGACGAAAAGACTCTACAATCACTCAGAGTCAAGTTTTTGAAGGGGAAGAAGCGTGGGCTAAGACCACTAAGTGAAGCTTCAGTTGTGTCGAAACTGACCGAGATGGGATTAGCATACCACGCAAAACCCCCGGTTTCGAAGACATCAGTAGAGATGTACACAGAACTCTTCACACAAGTTTCGTTCCCACCGACGCGTGTCACTGATGACGATGACCCCACCAGCTTCCACGTACAAATTGAGACTCTAGTGAGCGTTCTCACAGAGCCTGGCATCTGGGTCGATTTTAGCAATGTGGAATGGCGGATAAGGCTTGGGCAGACTCTGTGGGGCCCGTCTTACCAACCTGACCAGGAAGAGGAAGTTGATGTCGATGGCGAAGAAGAAGAGCACAGACACGAGAGCCAGCAATTTTGGCTACTGCTTCAGATATTATTGTCTTCCGAGCTTGTTGTCAGACTTGACGCGGTTAGCCGAAGCGCACAACAGGATCCCGGGCTTATAACAGCGGAAGAAATACAGAGGTTCGAAAGAGATGTCACAAGACCTGTGAAATGGTCGCTTTTACTAGCCAGGTTGTGGCTTGAGAATATTAAGATCACACAGTCAGTCCAACAACCATCGGAGCAACAGCCGCCAGAGCATGAGAAACGACATACGGGGTGGCTGTCATCAATTAAACAGGCTGTAACTCCTCAGCATGAAGAGTTTGACCTTATCGCCTTACACACGGTAGACTTCCAAGGCAGGCGCCAGAGAAGACAAATCAACGGACTGATCCGCTTCTCTCGAAAGATGAGGTGGCCAGGAGCTGAGCGTATTGCCGAGAAATTTGCTATCGACCTCGAGAAGGGCAGTGACGGCACTGGAAGCACTCTTTCTGACCGCGCTTCACAGGCTGGAACATCCCTCTCCATGACTACGCAGCGATCGTCATATTTCGCAGGAATTGGGCGACCAGGTATCCGAAGAGGCCTGTCTATGGGTGGAAAGCCGAATATGTTCCATCCTTCGGGGTGGCTCTCGAAATCATATCTGACGGGCCTAATTCTGCCTGGGGAGGGATTGAGCCATTTAATGATGTCGACGTTGCTTGAAAACGACGAGGTTGCAGTCGCAAGGTTAGGAGGCGACGCCAATCTCTATGGCGGCTTTGTGTACTCGGGGCAAAGCTTCTGGAGCACGGCTTGCATTATTGGTAGAGTCCTTGCTGCCGGAAAGGGCGCGAGTGAGTGTATGGGCTGGCTATCGTCGCCTGTAAAGCCAAAGGGGGTTGTCGAAGGCTGGGTAAGTGTCGATGTGGAATTGGAGCCTCGTTCAGATGGAGAAGAAGGGCCCCATGCCGCCCGTATCTGGAAGAAATCTACAGTGGAGCGCGAGTCCCATGTTCTCGGAGATGGAGATGCCAGGACGATTCTCCCAGGAGACTTCACGCTGCCACGTGCCGACGTTCCTGATCCGGTGAACCTAGAAGTAAATTTGGAATCTCTCGATCTATTTACTGGCCTTGACTCTGCCGAGTCCTCACCACTCGAAGAGGATGGACCCGGTGTTGAAACTGCAGACAAGCCCAATGTCCGTACATATTCCGCCATGCTGCAATTCACCGTCAAGCCGTCGGATGAACCTACGAAATCTATGAATTTTGCGCTCACATACGACGTTCAATTCGTCACTGCCCACCCTTGCGTCCCATCGTTACACACGCGATTAGTTCAATCGTCGACAAACCCAGGATCGCCGGCCGCACAGCTTGACAGTACATCCTCGGGGCCACACACTTTATTCACAGGTAAGCCCATTATCCTATCCCCTGACCTCTCAAAAAGCCGCAACTAACAAACCCAGGCCACGCCCTCCACAAATCCTACAATTTCTCCCGCCACACCCTCTCCTCCGTCGTCTTCGCTTCCCCCGCCGCCCCTCCCCCCCTCCTCTCCCTCCACACCTCCAGCACCGAGATCTTCGTCATCGACTGCACCGAGCCCGACCCGCCCGAGGTAGAAGCTCTAGACGCGCACCCGGCGCAGAGCGCGCACGTCTCGCGCAAGCGCCGCTTCGGTAGCGATCTTGAGATGTTGGCGCGCGCGTGGTGCGCGGAGAAGGGGTATAATGCACTTGTGAGTAGGAAGGGGAGGAATTGTATTGCGTGCTCGATTCGGGAGGCGAGGGCGCTGAGTTGGAAGATTGTGTTGAGGTTTGGGTGAGGGGATGAGGTGGGTTGGTGGGGGGTTGGTGATGGGCGTTTGGGGGGGATACCTGGGTTATGATTCTGGCGCTGTCGGTGTGTGGTTTGATAGCGCTTTTTGATATCTCCGTGAGCGAACATAACAGCAGGACATGACGCGATACGGCGGCACGACGGTGAATTAGAAGTAACTAGCTAGTGTAATGGTCGTTATCAAACTATTTACATATGCACTCTGACACGAATGGATTGATTCATGATTGAATTGCATTGGCTATCGGACAAATCTCATTCTGCACCTACAAATGGTGCCAGCCCCTTGTATGGTATCTCCCTCTATCGCACTCTTGGTATCTCATCTCATCTAAAACGCCCCCATTTACCCCCTCTACTCCGCCCCAGCCCTCTGCCTCAACCACCCAATCACCCTCCCATCCGCCTCCCCCGCCTCCTCCAGCTCCGGCGCCTTCAACCAAAACGTATGCGGCCACCCCACCATCACATCCGTCACGAGCTCATTCCCCGCCTCCCCCAGCGCCTCAGCAAAGCACGCTCCATCGCTGTAAAAAATATCATTCGTGCACAGCTGCAGAAACGTCGGCGGCATCCCCGCGAAACTCTCCGCGTTCAACGGCATATCCCTCGCCATGGGGAGATGGTTATCCGCGTCAAACCCGAGCAGACTCGTCCCGAACGACGGGCTGAAACTGGTATGGCGATCCTCGTAGCGCTGCGGAATCGAGACACCGCCTTTACTCGCGTCGACGGTGACGGGGCAGCGGAGGACGAGCCCGGAGATGAGATATGGAGTCCCGCGCGCGCGCTGCGCGGTTTGCGCGGCGAGTTGGGCCCCGGAGGAACTGCCGACTATGTAGACGCGGCCGGGTTCCTGGTCGGTGTTGTATTTCCACAGCTTCGCGATGCCGATGAAGGCGGCCCAGGCGTCGGCGACGGCGGTGTCGGGGGAGTGGTCGGGGAAGAGACGGTACTCGACTGAGACGACTTTGATGCCTAGATCCTTCGCGAGGCGGCGACACTGGAGGTCCTCGCTGTCGAGGTCGCCGACGCAGAGGCCGCCGCCGTGGTAGTAGATGATGAAGTCTTGGGGGTGTGTGAGGGACGTGGGGATGTAGATGCGGAGGTGGATTGTGGCGCCGTCGGGGGATTGGGTGGAGTCGGGGTGGGTTTGGATGTTGGAGAGGAGGGCGTGGGAGGGGCCGGTGGGGGAGGTTAGACGCTCATTGCGGTCGCGACAGGTTTTGGCGTAGCTGCGTTGGCGGAGTCGGAGGGCGTCGGCGGGGGTGATGTCTTCTTGGGGACTTGGGGCTTCGACGTGGCCCTTGGACTTTTCGTAGGCTAGCCAGGCTGGGCTGAGGGGGGGAGCCTCTGGGAGGAAGAGATCAGAGGCCATAAGTGAGGTTTGTGGTGGTTTGGCTTGATTGAACTTGTTGATCTGGCTTGGCTTGGCTCGTTGAACTTTGGGTTGGGGGAGAGGATCTTAGTCTTGGGTATATGTAGAAGACTAGGAGATATATGAGTGAAGTCTTGGATAAAAGCTTGAAATGTAGCTTAATATGTAGATGTAGATGCAGATGCAAACGAAGCGAGACAAACAAGTAAAAGAAGACAAAGAGGGGGACTACCTATACCTATAGCTTTACCTATTTCGGATCTGCACCATTAGGCTGAAAGAAGTGACACTTTTGACACCTTTAGTGGAGAGAATGAAGGAGATAGATAATAGAGGAGCAGAGCCTCGTCCTTCCCCGGAATAATTTGTTTACAGTATGACAATTCACGACCCGATGGCGTTCATAGCGTTCGCGTTCCTGCACGTTGACGTCGTTGGAGCTGGGATTGGGGCTCATTGGGACGGTAGGGATGGATTTACGGAGTGTTTGCCTGTTTCGGGCCGGAACCGAGATGATAATCCCCAACCATTCCATATTTCATATTCTTTATTCCATGCTATTTATCCGTTTGGTCGCTAGTTTGCATACGGGGGGGATAGATGTGTAAATTGAGTAGAATGCAACACGGATAACCCCTGGGAATCGTATTTAATATCGAATTATCAATGTAAAAGACGTAACCTTGCTAGACCGACCCTTATCGAGGAGCCAGTCCCTTATAATCACGTGAACAATCACGTGACTAGAATTTGTGACCTAGCTACCCCGCCCCCACCATTCCTTCTTCGGCTGGGATGATGACGCTGGTAGCTGGTAATGACGATCATGGAATGTAAACAAGCCCTACAAAAGAACAAAGAATAATGAGAACTCATGTTGTCAGCCTCGTAGCTCAATTATATGATTATATACAATGAGACCTCAATAAAGTAATTGAATTGAGCCTTTCCTGTCGTTTGAGGAGCTCAGTTAAACCCAACCACCTATACTCTTGATCTCCATCTCCTTAATCCCGACCAACCCCAAACTACCGAGCTTCAAATCCATTCCCGGCCAAATGTGGTGTTATTGGCCCGCACGGCTCTCCACAGCCCTGCCATTACGTCTACATCACCCCTCCTCCGTGATAAAACTCCCAATCCGCCCTTCTTTCTTCCCAACAACACTTATTAACCACCGCAACACTCGATACTTTCATAAACAACCTCTCACGATGTCTAAGCCATCCCCCGTCGAGCACGTCGAGAAGATCTCCGGGCACTCCAAGGCCTGCTGCACCATCCCTCCGATCGTCCCCGAGAAGGAGTACAAGGCAAAGGGCACCTACGAGACCATCGACGGCATCAAGACCTGTTCGTCCCTCTCCCACCCTTCCGGGTCCCCTCCCCTCTATCACCTTCCAACTAACACGCCCAGACGTCACCGGCTCCCCCTCCGCCACCACCGGCATCTTCGTCGTAGCCGACATCTTCGGCTACTACCCCCAAACCCTCCAAGGCGCCGACATCCTCTCCTGCGACTCCACCTACCGCGTCTTCGTCCCCGACTTCTGGGACAACGATCCCTGCCCGCTCGAATGGTACCCCCCCACCGCTGCCACAGCTGACAAGCTCGGCAACTGGTTTAAGCAGCACGGCGACTTCCCCGCGGGCTGCGAGAAGACACATCGCTTCCTAGAGAGCTTCAAGAAGGCGTCGCCGAAGATCGAGAAATGGGTCGGGCTAGGGTACTGCTGGGGCGGGAAGATCATTTCGCTTACTTCTGCGGAGAACACCCCGTGGGCGGTCAGTGTGCAGTGTCACCCGGCCGGTGTGAGTGGTGAGGACGCCGCGAAGATCACGATCCCGCATGTGCTGCTGGCCAGTATGGATGAGAGTAAGAAGGATGTGGAGGCGTTTGATAAGAACTTGAAGGTTGTGAAACATGTTGAGACTTGGGATAAGATGATCCATGGGTGGATGGCGGCGAGGGGCGATTTGGATAACCCGGAGGTGGTGAAGGAGTATGAGAAGGGGTATCAGACTGTCCTGAACTTCATCAAGAAGAACTTGTGAGTAAGGTTTCGTTGCTTTCGTCGGGGTCGAAGAACCGATGAGGATGGGGCGAATGAGGGTAGGATGTTGGATATGTGTTGATGGTGTGTTTGCTTATATATCCCGTGTCCGTAGAAATGCCTCATCTGGGTCCTCGAAAATATAATTCAGTCGTTTAGCTCTCACAAATTCCATCAATCTACCGACTTCGCCTGTTTATATTTGTGCCATGAATGCGTCTCAGCATGTCCTAATCGCATTAGCTTGCCGACCCCAACTTCCAATCCTGCCCATTCTGCTTACCTTTTTGCAGCCTCAAAACTCACCACCGTGACCTTCACCCATCCATACACCCCCTCTGGAGAAGCATAGCACAAGTCTCACACCCACTAACACCACACTTCCTCACTTCCCACATCTCCGCCGCCTTCCTCTTCGCCCGTACCGTCCTCGACTCTCTCATCTCGCTCGACCCGTTCGAGGCCGCAAAGGAAGCTAGGAGCACAGCATCCTCCATCAACGGCGCGACGGGCTCATCGATGCCGAACACCGCTGCACCGAGGCGTGTGAGTGCTGAGAAGACCCAAGCGCTGCTGGCGCTCGCGATATCTGCGGAAGTGCTAGCAGAAGTAGAGACTGGAGGGACAGGGGTGTCGACTAAAATGTCATGCGCGCTCGCGAGACGGTGATCGCGGACGTCGGGGTCGATGAGGAGAGCTGCGATGATGGTGCGGGAAGTGGGAATGTCTTCGGTCAGTTGGTCGCATAGGGTGGACGGGGAGGTCGCGGTCGCGGGGTTGAGGTAGTAGAGCATGCCGTAGGGGTGGGAGACGTGGATGTAGAGGGCATGGTGGTAGTATCCGCCGCCGAGGGGGGAGAGGAGGATGTAGAGTCCGCCGTCGGAGTAGTGCCCGTTCATGGTGTGGTTGCTTGTGGTGAGGTAGGTGTATATATTATGAGAAAATGTGAGAATGCGGAAGGGGGGTTATCGCTGCTTGAGGTTCTGTGTTGAGGAGTTTGGATCATTTTAAAATATGAACAGACACAGCGTAGATGATAAATAAATTCCATCCCAACTGCGCCACAGACTTGGAACTGATAATTCTCACGATGACGAAGGAGGTCGACCGAGGAGGTCGCCATGTTGGGCCTCCCAGTCACGAGCGTGGCTGAACCAACTTGAGGCAGCACACCGAGACCACAGAGATGTTGGAGCCAACAGGTGCTGGAAAGCGACTCACAAGGCGCATAGGATATTAGAGTGAGCAAACATGATCAGGGTAGGTCACAGGCACCACGAAGTTTTATCATCAGTGCGGAGGCTGTCATCGCTCACCGAGCTGTTGGAGGCCGTCGCGCGCGCTTGGAAGAAACAACCATGTTGGTTGACGCCTTTCACCCGGCCGCCGTCCCGTTTGCAATATAACATCACAAGGCTGTAATAATGGTGTAGGTAGTACAGTATTGGTCGGTTATAACAAGTACTTTACAAGTTAAGTTAATAGTAGAGGCGATTATAAGCGCCTGAAACGAACAAGGTGTACTTGTTCATTTAACAGTAACCAGTGACTTATAACCACAGCAAACCACTTCTCGCTGTGGCAAACATTATGACTACCGTTTGCAACTAGGATTTCCGTTGGATCGTCTATTTAGAACAGCACCGTTGCATGATGAATAACGAAACCCAGCCTATGAAATTGCCAAAGGAGAAGGCATGTTTTGAAGGTTATTACATCGCTTCCTGTGGCCTTCACTTGACATCCACATTGACGTATTCAAGGAATCTCAAAATGGAAGAGGTTAACGAACTTTTCGAAGACCTCAGGGTGACAGAGGCTAGTAAACTTTCATAAATTAATGAAGGTCGATTGAACTGATATTGCCTCATATGATAGCCCCAGTATCCAACCACCACCACCTCAATCAAAATTGGGGGCAACGACTACCATATCGAGCTGTCCGAAATACCATATCTGGCAGCCTTTGCCAACTTTGAGAGAACAAAAGCCCAAAATCAACAAAAGGAGCTTGTCCACGGTCCCATCGCCCATTTTGATACAGCCCTAGAAGGGATGGAATTCGGCTTTCGCCAATGCTTCCGATCCATTCCCCCAGATCTTGCCCAACACCATGCTCTCTGCGAGACGTATGAGTTTCTATGCATTGATGTTCTTGGTGGCAAATCTCTCAACGAGATCATTGGCGGTCTGAAAACTGGCAGAAGAGTTCACAAAGGCGCGAGCAAATCCTCAAATTCGATCAAGCGCGACAGGTCAAAGGCGCGCGACTCAGCCTTTCAGCTGCTGTATTTTATATTGCGTGGCGAGTTTGAGGATGAAATGAAGGACAGCACAGATGTTTATAATGCGGTGATGTTCATAGTCTCCCATGCAGATACTTTCCAATGGAGAACGAGAAAGGTGGTTCGAGCTGCGTACGAAGATCGATTCGTTGTCTCGGTGAAGCAGATAGCGGGCTTGAACAAGTGGGAGGAAGACGAAGATGAAGATGATGAAGACGATGTGATGTCGGAGGAGGAGGAATCTATCTCCTCCGGTTATTATTCTGATTATGATCCTTTTTATAATTAAACCCAAGGGGAATCTTGATAGGTTATAATGAAGAAGCGTTCTATGACACTGCAAATCCGATTTTGCCAGGAAGCGCCGGAACAGTTCTCATTAATACACCTCCCACATATGAATAACCGTATTTGGCAAACCCTAAATCGATAACAGACTACTACAGATTATCATTTTGCTACAGCAACTGTTCTGCCACCAATCCATCCCCACAACCCTGAAAATGTACCCACTAACTAGCCAAATGGACACTATCTAGGCAATATGAGAATAGACAATCTCTCAACTCCTACCACCTAACGCAATGAGGCCATCCGATTTCCTCATCTCTTTTGACGCAATAAGCGATGCCAGATTCGCAAGCCGATATGCTTCCTCAACCACATCTTTAGCCGGCTCATTTTGAATCAACCCTGCGGCACGAAGCCTATCCAACACCTCCATCACCCACACGCTGCTCTCGAAATGCAATCCCGACTTCGGGTCCATGCCGCCATCGGCAATAGCTGGCGTGGCAACGAGGATATCGTGGACGGACGCTAGGCGTTGCTCTTGGATGTCGGTTGCGATATGTAGTGCAGCAACGATAGTGTGGGATGCAACAACATTTTCCGTCATACGTTCTTGGAAGATCCATTTGCTATCGTCGTTTTTGTTGCTCACATGGTAAAGCATGCCGTAGGTGTCAGATACAACAATGTAGATTCCGCAGTACCAGCGGTTGGCGCTGACTGGAGCGGGGATAATGTCCATGCCCCCATCCTCGTACTTCCTTTCCACAATATTGGAATTCATAATATGAGAACACTTAGAGGCGGCAGATTATAATAAATTAGTACAGAGATACATCATTGTATATGCCGAACAGTTTTTCTTAAGTTCTAAATTTATGTGCTGTGTATTAAAATGAGTTCCCATTCTCCCATAGCAACTTTTCTGCAGCTAATTCATCCTTATACAACCCTGAAAATGCATCCGACAAGGAACCGGGCCACGCAGTTTCCAGCCCAAAGTGACCATAGATCCCCTTCGCATACTCCCAGTACTCTGGGTAAAAGCCTGCGCAGCCAAAATCGACGATGCCAGAGAGCTTCCCACGCTCAACCAGGATATTCGTCGGGCTAAAATCTGCGTGAGAGAAGAATATCTTATGGCGATGGTCGTGTATGGCCGACCTTAGACTCTTCCGAAATATAACATGTTTATTAAAAGCTTCCTCGCTGTCGAATGGCCCTGCCGGGTCTTCGAGTCGATAGTCGAAGGTGGGACCGCCATCTGCGCTACAGATAGCTGCGTCGTTAGGGTTTGGGATTTGGCGAAATTGGGAGACGCAACCCCGTATATCGGCTGCTAGTTGCGACCGTTCCGCGTACGAGAAGCTCTGAATAGCCTCTTGTAGCGGAATTCCCGGTATGCGCGTCATCACGAGATAGGTCTTGCTCTCAGTTGTAAGCAAGTCTATAAGCCTCGGAGCTACAACTTTTGTGTACTGCTCGACAAGCTTCAGTGCAGGCCCTTCGCCTCTTGGGACAAACTTGCCTGGACCATGCTTGATGTACAATCCAAAAGGTACACGTTGCACCCAATCAAGCGTCCTCCCATACATTTTATTCCCAACTTGTAGAAGAAGCCGGTATGTGAGCGCGTGAGTCCGGCGGGGAAAATAAAGCCACAGACGCCTAAACATAGGAATTGTACAGCTCATAATTTTGCGAAATGTCGTCTTGCAGCTGTGCCAGAAGGCGTTTCCTGGCCAGCCGCGCTGCATCTGATCTTGAACTTGAACCCATCGTAGAGAGTTACAGAAACGGGCATGGATGCTAAAGAGAAAGGCACTTGAGAGAGGCAATCCCTGGGGCTCCTTTGTAGAGATACTAACGACCTCAAGAGAGCGGACTATCTTCCCCTTGTCGTTCTCGATCCCAACGAAAGGACGGACCAACCCATAGCTTAACGTGTACTAAGAATGCTAGGTTAGCATTTTCATGCCAACGATAGAGATTGCCTACCTTGCAAGTGCTGTTTTCTAGGCCCGTAATCACATCTGTTAATCACATCTGTTGGAACGATGCGGACAGACATAGGGCGACTCCAGCCAAAGACATCGCACCATACTTTTGGTCGCCTCGTTATGCAGCAGAATCCGCCATCACGTTCCGCAACCAAGGACTTCGTCGCCGCTGATACCTGGGTTGGCGATGTAACTAAAAGAGATCTTAGCTAACCTAATTCAACGCTCTATAAGGGAGCAATTAGAGAGAGCTGGACATCGTTTTACAAGCCTTTTCCAGTCTTCAAGGAGGGTGTAGAGCTCAGTTTCCCTGTGTATTAAATCTTTGCCATTTTGGGATGCTCGCTGGAGGACATATAAAGCCGTGGCTTTGGGATCAATGGCGTCTTGCACGAAGCATGATAATAACCTATGCTCAGGTGGGGTAAGGGTAAGAGAGGCAATTGTAGACAGTGCTTCTGCACATCTTGATCCTCATGTATTATGACCTGCATTGGTAGGGCGAGGGGGTCACCGCCGAGCTACGCGCCCAACACTGATGAACGGTGTTGACCCCTGTCACTATTCACTATTAGCCCCCGAGATGACATTGTCTTACCGCAGCTAGCTAACGCTAGCTGTACGATGATCGATACACAGAGCAGCCTTCGTGAAATCGTCCATCAATAACATAGGGACACAAAACTTTAAATATATATGGCTATGGCCCTTAGAGACTTTCTGCATAGCTTATTCGATTACTATAGTTCCAGAATAGACCGTCTGGCGACAACGACGGGGAAATGGGTACCAGCGCATCAACTGGTTCGTAGATCGAGCAGGGGAGCCCACCCACCAACAACATGTCTTGGCGGTCAGCCTTGCGTACGTTCTCACCCCAAACGCTCCTCTACATGTCTTTGATGTGGTCAAAGGGATTACATTTTGCACTCCAGATTACACTGCGCTCGAGTCTTCATACTCTAAGACAACCTCGACACAGTTTATCTTCAAAGCCGGATATATTCGTGGCCCTTGCTTTCTAGCCTGGAAGCCGCTGCAAACGAACAACACACCTTCACGATGACACTCGTACAAATTGCGGTAGTAACAGTTGCTGCTGTAAGTCTTCTTGCTATGTTTCACGCCACAGAGAATACAGCTAACGAACATCATCACCACAGGTCATCATCCTCCTAACAGCACTTGCTGGGTATGTCCTCCCACATGATCCTGCCTTCATCCAGCTCCCGAATGCTAACACCGTCCGCCAGCTACGCCTACAGCCAAATCCGCCTCCTCTCTCTCCCCTTTCCCCTCACTCTTCCCCTCCTCATAACCCTCCTCCCAATCCTCACGACCCTCACGACAACCTACCTCACCCGCCTCCTCCGCCCCTCCAACCTTCCCACCTTCACCACTCTCCTCACTCTCATCACCACCTTCGAAACCGCCCTTGCGACTTGGGCACTCACATATCTACCTGCGAGCTGTGGCCTTGAAGAGCGCTGGTCAGCACTATACCGCGCAAAGAACGCAGATGCGATACGGAGAATCCAGGATCGGTGGACATGCTGTGGGTTTAATAGCGTGGTAGATCGGGCATGGCCGTTTCCGCATGGGAAGAGCGGCGCGGACCAGTGTAGGGAGGTGTTGGGGAGGGAAGTTGCGTGCGGACGGGCTTGGGCGGAGGAGGAGAAGAGGATGGCGGGGGTGTTGGTTGGGGTTGCCGTGGCGGTTTTTGTGGTGAAGGTGCGTGATTCTTCCAGTGCCCTCGGAGGGGAGATCTGGGCTGTGGAGGTCGTCTGCTTGTAGCGGTTGTGTAGCAGCTTGCTAATCCTTTCAGGTGGCTATACTGAGCACGCAGATGAGAAGCACTGCATGGACTCGACCTGCTTGGATGCGTTTCATGAGTGGTACGGAGCCTGGTGACCTCGAGGATTCCCGTGGGGGTCGGGAGAGCGAGAGGTTGTTGATTGGCGAGGGTGCGAGAGTGGAAGAGGAGTATCATGATGAGGAGGGAGATGTTGATGGTACTCTTCGTGGAACGGATGCGGATGCGGATGCGGAGGGGGTAAACCGCCCCAGACTTGAGCCGTCGGGACTGACGGGAGATGGGGCACAGTGGCGGGAGTGAATAGCGGTAGTGAGCCCACATCTCAACTGCGGCAAGCTCCTCCGCGTTCGCACCTTCTCTGAGGTCGTTTGAGCCTTCAATAAAATCATCGGTCGCGCCTTCCCTAAGCTCCTCGTTCACACTTTCCTTGGGCTCCTTGTTCGCACCTTCCCTGGGAACCTTGTTCCTGCCTTCTTTGAACTCTTCGTCTGAACCCCCCTGTCATCATGTCTCTCCTCAACTCCATCTCCCTTTGCCACCAGCTGATCACCTCAGCTTTCCAGGCCTCAAAGCAAGGGGCAACAACTCCACAGAGCCAAAAAAGAACGGCCGCATTACCAAGCATCAAGCATAAACTCGCATGAAGAAAGAGCAACAGCACGAAAATTCCATGACCAAGCACCAAACAGTGGCTCGCATGGAACGAGAACCCCTTTGTACTACGTACCATCTCCGTCTCTACTTTTCCCGCAAGCAATCATGGGCCTTGGCAGGAGGAAGCTTCTGTGCAACTCACCTGCGACAACTATCCTCTGTATAACGCCCATATAGTCACCTTTCGGCGAATACAGGAAAAGGCTCGGTACGCTCGGCGGATCTGAACTCATCTGATACTTCCGAGTCGCGCAGTCCCCCATGGCCGTATCACCCCGAGTTCATCCACCACCCCGTCCGCGCAACTCAGACATCGTCAGGGGTGCACGAGATAATATCCTACCAACAACCACGCAGCCCGGAGCTCGCCACATCCCGCCAGTTCCTGGTATCAGCATGGCTCCAACGTAGATCCTGCGGAGGGGTCCGTAATGCGGGGAAATGATAGAGGCTTGACGTTGCCAATGGGGTGGTGGTGGCGTACTGGTGGCGTACTGGTGATAGGGATGGGCGTGGGAGAGATATGATAAGGCGGCGTCGGGAGAGATACGGGCGGAGCGCCGATTCGCCGATGGGTGGGGTGGCGGTCGCGTGGCGGATCGGTAGCAGGGTGTTGTGGTACGAGCCGAGGTTTGGCCTAGATCGGAGTCTTTATTACGGTACGTCGGTTTTATTGTTTTATCGTCCCTTTTAATTGTTTGACTGCTTTAATTGATTATTTTCATTTTATTTCGGCGTTGCCGGCAGACGACGACGGGAGAGCGGTCGCCACCCACATCTATAAAAGTTAAGTTATGGAGTACAGCACCACCTTCTATGTATGGTACTGTACACGGCATGGAATTTCGGCAGTAGCGATCATTAGTTGGAATGGCTATGGGTTTTAAGAGCTTTCTATTACAACACGCCAAAGTGTGTAGTACATCAGTGTGAATCATCAACCCCCTCGTTGCCGCTCTTCCTTATTCACCTTATACCCATATATTCAGGTACAAGTAAACCCACAACCTACTCTTGTTTTTTGACACTTATACCTCTCGAACTATTCCCGATCTTCTCTTCTACTATTCCCGTTCATCTCCCTTATCTTCTCTCATCTCCACTCTCCACTTCTAACACGCACTTTCCGCATTCCACACTACTTTCTTACTACCTTCTTACTATTTTCGGACTACTGTCTTCCTGCTTTCTAAGTGGTCTTAGAGCGCGGTCTGATAACCATTGGCTTGTGGTCCTCGCGTGCCTGCTCCCCGCACTTAGCACCCTAGCTGACCCTATTTGTCTCTAGAACATTTAGTTGGCTGGATCCTCACCGAAATCCACCCGAAGAAGTCCATACTAGAAGCACTAGCTCTACTAGCTCTACCATTTAATTCGACCTGATACTTCTTCGGGGTTAGTCTTATCTCATGTCAGAAGAAAACTAAAAGCTTTTTCGTGCATAACCTTTGAAGGTCCGCATCCTGTGGGTGGTAAGTCATTTCCAATCCCAATTTCATGGTCTGCATAAGATCGAGATAAGGCAACTCGGCCGGAACCGTCACAAGAATCTTCTTCAAGCCTCTCTACTCATGGCCACATGAACCGCGATTGCTTCTCCCTTCTCACACGCGCCGAATATTCATAGTCGCGTTCGTCGAGTGCCGACTCTCAGACGCTGACTTTCTACATAAACAGCAGATTTCCCTTGCGTAGGCACTGGGATCTTGTTCTTGCACTTCAGAGTTTGCGCCGGACAGCTTCTCTGACGCACCACTTCCAACATGAAGGACTACGCGAAGATCATCAATGATCGCGTTGCGAACAGCTTCGTCGGTCGCCGCTTCCGCCTCGAGGGCTCGGGACATGTGAGTACCCGGTCTCTGCGCCTGCGCTGCAAGAATCTAACACAGCACAGCGCTATGAGAGGAAGGACTCGCGCTTCCTGACGGAGATCAGAGCCGGCCTGGCGACCTTCTTCGCCATGGCCTACATCATCTCGGTATGCTTCTCTACAGCCATCCTCGGAGCGACAACTGACGGTGTCTAGGTCAATTCCACCATCCTCACCGACAGCGGCGGCCCCTGCGAGTGCCCCGCGGGCATGACGAGTTGCGACGACGACCCAGGCTATCAGTCCTGTCTTGCGATTATCCACCGCGACTTCGTCACCGGTACCGCTGCCATTGCCGCTCTCACCTCCGTCATGATGGGACTCTGCGCGAACATGCCGATTGCCCTGGCGCCTGGAATGGGTCTGAACGCCTACTTCACATACACAGTTGTCGGCTTCCACGGATCAGGACCTGTCTCATATAACCTCGCGCTTACTGCAGTTTTTGTGGAGGGATTGGTTTTTGTGGGACTCTCGCTGCTGGGACTGCGCCAATGGCTCGCGAGATCTATTCCAGCCTCCATCAAGCTGGCCTCATCTGTAGGCATTGGACTTTACTTGAGTAAGTTCCTTCGGCCTCTGAGACTGATACAGCGGATGCTAATTTATCAGCTATTATCGGTCTGGGCTACAGCGCGGGAATCGGCCTCATCACTGGAGCGAAGGACACCCCCGTCGAGCTTGCTGGTTGCGTTGCATCCGCAATGGTAGATGGTATATGCCCAAACTCGACGAAGATGCGCTCTCCAACCATGTGGATCGGGATCTTCTGCGGTGGCATGCTTACTGCCCTCTTGCTTATGTACAGAGTCAAGGGCGCTATTATTGCTGGTATCGCTTTGGTCGCGATCACCTCCTGGCCGCGCAACTCATCTGTCACATACTTCCCCCACACCCCTGCGGGAGATGAGATGTTCGACTTCTTCAAACAAGTGGTCACCTTCCACCCCATCGAGAAGACGCTTAATGTCCTGCACTGGAACCTGAGTGGCGCTAGTGGGCAGTTTGGCCTTGCATTCATCACTTTCCTCTATGTTGATATTATGGATTGTACCGGAACGCTCTACTCCATGGCTCATCTTGCCGGCGCGATCGACCCTGTCACCCAGGATTTTGAAGGCTCTGCAGTAGCTTACATGGTCGATGGTAAGCCCCACCCCCAACTCATCCTTACCCACCACAAATGCTAACCCATTCAGCCTTCGGCATCACAATCGGCTCCCTCTTCGGCCTGTCCCCCGTAACCGCCTTCATCGAATCCGGTGCCGGTATCTCAGAAGGCGGCAAGACCGGTATCACCGCCATAACCTCGGGCATCTGCTTCTTCATCGCCATCTTCTTCGCCCCGATCTTCGCGTCCATCCCACCCTGGGCCACCGGCTGCACCCTCGTCATCGTCGGCTCCATGATGTGCAAGGCCGCTGCCGCAATTAACTGGCGCTACCCCGGCGACGCCATCCCTGCGTTCGTCACCCTCGCCGTTATGCCGTTCACCTACTCCATTGCCTACGGCCTCATCGGCGGTATCGTTACCTACGCCATCATCAACACCACGGTCTGGATCATCGAGAAGGCATCGGGCGGCCGCTGTGTCCCACCCGGAAAGATGCACAAGGAGCCTTGGACGTACAAGCTCGTCGGAGGCGTTCTGCCACCGTGGGTCGTGCGTGCAGCACGCGGCAAGCGTGATTTCTGGCACGAGGACGATGCGGTGGTCGAAATGACTACTGTGCGTAGCTCCGACAACAGCTCCGCTGGGAAGGGCGAGACTGTCCTCGATGCCTCGACTCCCGACGCGGAGGTGACCGACAAGGGCGATGCATATAGAGATGCCGCGGCGAAGACGCATGGTCACTCGTTGTAGTCTACTCTCTTTTGTTCCTTCATGGATCATAATTTTATCAGCGTACTCTCCCTCTCTTTTATCTTTTCGGAGATGAGAGCAGAGCAGAGCGCTAAAACGGCCCCCCGTTTTTGCGGAGCCACACGTATATCGTAGAAGCGGCCCGCCGGGTTTGGTGTCCGATTGGGATTTTGGGATTTTGTTTTGCATTTTTGCACGATTTATTCATGTTATGTATTGCGCTGGGCGGATTTGTCTTCGATATGCACTATTTTGCTGGGCCCTGGGGGTATATAGCGTGTACTCGTACATATTCTCTGCACATATGGGCATTTTAATGGAAATCTTTATGTAATGAACGTTTTTTAGTGTCCTTATTTGCACCTTCCTCACCTCACTCTTACTGCCTCTATCATTCACTCCTCCCCAATGAAAACCTTTTGGGCCCCCTTCGCGCCTTCCCGCCTCATGATATTTCCTAATTCCCCATCGCTTTCCCAATCTTACCTCTGCTCACCCAATCTCCACAAACTACCTCAATCCTCAGACGCCAAAGTTGGGTATACAACGCACTTAGCGCAATGCATCTCCTCTCAGTCGAGGAAACGTTCACAGAAGATGCACCTATACATTTACTCTCGCGTGACTCTTGCGAAATCAAAACCCATGGAAGCAGACCGAGACCCGGCCGAGAGACAGATAGCGACAAGGCGGCAATATATGCAATACAGGAATTCCGAAGCTGCGAAAGGAGTACGGCTACCAGCCTTGCATAGAGTTACAATCTGCTTCCGTCGGCACGTTTATACTCCCCTTCCTCGGAATAAGTAGCTTTGGAGAGTTAGCAGATGTGTTTACGCATATGGATGCGAATAGCATACCTCACAATGTCCTCGATGCCCATCTGATATGAATAGTATACCATCGTTGCTGCGATGGCGGCGCCGATGGCAACCATACCCAAAACAATAGTCATTACGGCTCCAATAGCGATACATAACGCCAGATACTTGATGAGGATGAATATGGGGATGAAAACCCAATGGTAGACCAAATTTTGTAAGAACTCTGTTCGATTTTTTGAAGCTTTCTTTTCGATGATATCGCCCTTAGCTTCGTTACTGTGGATTTGGGCCGAGAGGGGAGTAGATTCTCCTCGACCAACTCGGGAAGCGGGCAGATTAGTTGCTTGTCCATGAGAAGTCTCGACAATACGCTTTCTCATATCTATTTTGATCTGCACGTCGGCACTATGTTCTTGACTCGTTCCATCGAACATCTATCAGCATTGATAGCTACAATTTAAGGTAATAGAATCTTCTTTTAGCTCAACCTCTGAGTAACCAGAGCATTGACAAGCTGCGATGTAATAATTATAATATTTAATCATAAAGAGCGATTATGTTGCTCACAGTTGCTGTAACGAGTAAACATTTATAGTGGTGATAGGATTCGCAGGCTGGTGCTTGTTATATGGCCAGCCAGACCTTTTCGCAACCTATGCATCGTACCACCAGTTAGGAGGCCATGGAAACTAGACCGTACGACTAAGACAGTCAGAACCAACAGGCGTTAAAAGGGGCAAGGTGTTAAGTGTCAAAGTAACCATCGCCGGATCGCCAACGGCGCCACGCTAGACCCCGCCGGCCGCCTGGGCACAATGTCTCCACTTCACTGGACCCGACCCCGCCGAAAACCGCCGCAACATCACAGCATCCCACGACCACTACAACTATCACCAGAAGAACAACACATACCGCCGGCCAATCTACATCCCATCTACGCACTACGACGACCACGACGGCTACAACAGTCACCATGTCCTCCCCCGATCTCGCCGACCTCCTCCCCTCCTCCTACAAGTCCCTCATCACTAGCTGGCTCGCCGAAGACTGCCCCTCACTCGACCCCGCCGGCTACGTCGTCGGCTCCTCCCCCCGCACCGCCACCCTTTTCGCCAAATCAAACGGCATCCTCGCCGGCGTCCCCTTCTTCACCGAAGTCTTCACCCAATGCGGCTGCACTGTCACCTGGCACCTGTCCGAGGGCTCCGCCGTTGCGCCCACACCAGGGAACCCTATCCGCGTCGCGACCGTGTCGGGGCCGACGAGGCAGCTCCTTCTGGGCGAGCGCGTGGCACTGAATGCGCTGGCGAGGTGCTCAGGTGTTGCAACGGCGAGTAACGAGATGGTGGAGCTGGTGCGTGGTGCGGGATATACTGGGATCCTTGCTGGAACGCGCAAGACAACGCCGGGGTTTCGGGTGGTGGAGAAGTATGGGATGCTTGTTGGTGGGGCGGATGCTCACAGGCATGATCTATCGAGCATGATCATGCTGAAAGATAACCATATCTGGGCGCGAGGGAGTATAACGGAGGCGGTAAGGGCGGCGCGGAAGGTGGGCGGGTTCGCGCTGAAGATCGAGGTGGAGGTTGATAGTGAGGATGGTGCCGATGAGGCGATTGAGGCAGGCGCGGATGTGGTGATGTTGGATAACTTTGGAGGTGAGGGGCTGAAGATTGCAGCGAAGGCGATACGGGGTAGGTGGGAGGGGAAGAAGGGAGTTCTGCTTGAGTGTAGTGGGGGACTCACGAGGGAGAATGTGAGGGAGTACGTGTGTAATGGTAAGACAGACATGTTATGCTTTGGATGCGGAGGTTTGGCTAACAGAAGCAGATATCGATATCATCTCGACCAGCGCGATTCACCAGGGCGTGCCGCATGTGGATTTCTCTCTCAAAATCGATCATTAGGGTATGCTAATTTGAAACTCTTGTATATCTTATTCCTTACATACCGTGTAGTGTGTTTGCCATATATATGACTTTCTAAATTACATGTCACGATTTCAATTGCTAGCCGCGGATTCCAAAGCTATCACTGTGATACTACTTGCGTCATCAACCAATGTCAACCCCACGGAAGTTGCCAAGATAGAATTGGCCCCAACATGCCGATCTGTATCCTCTACATAATCCATACGGAGTAACTTACGCCAACTGGCATTACATTCCTACCACAACATGTCTTAATCAGAGAACGATAGACAATCGACCTGTAGTGGAGATAATTTGCTAAAATCCGGTGGGATCTGTTAAACCCGCTCTCGACTGACCCCCACGTATCAGACTTGATATATAACTCACAGAACTCCTGCCCCGAATACAAAGCAACATGCTTAGAAAGCAGAAAGTCCAATAACATCCACCTCAAACCTCCATATACTGTCGATCACCACCATGTCACCAACCAATACAGCAGCCTGGCTTACCACCGAAAAAGCCACCTCCCTCACCGTCGGCCCCGCGCCCTACACGCCTCCGTCGCCCACGCAACTCGTCGTCCGCAACCGTGCACTAGGAATTAACTTGGTAGACTGGGCCATGCAAATGATGAGCTCAGCTCTCTTCCCCTGGACCCAGTACCCCACCATCCTCGGCTCTGACATCGCCGGCGAGGTCGTCGAACTCGGCTCCTCAATCACTCGCTTCAAACCTGGCGACCGCGTCGTCGCTACGGCCACGGGACTCACCTCCGGCACCGCCCAGGGAGCATTCCAGACATACTCTGTCGTAGCTGAGAACTTGACATCCCCAATTCCCGCCTCAGTCACCTACTCGCAAGCTGCCGTCCTCCCGCTTGCCATCTCCACCGCCGCCTGTGGGCTGTTCCAGAAAGACTATCTTGCGCTCCAACATCCAACCGTGACACCAAAGCCGACGGGTGAAACGCTCCTCGTCTGGGGCGGTGCCACCAGCGTTGGCTGTAATGCCATCCAGCTCGCCGTCGGAGCGGGATACGAGGTCATCACTACGAGCTCACCCAAGAACTTTGACTATGTGCGCGGGCTCGGCGCCAGCGCCGTGTTCGACTACTCCAGCCCAACCGTGACAGCTGATATTCTCGCCGCGTTTGCAGGCAAGAAATCCGCGGGTGCCATAGCGATCGGGGGCGTGGACCCAGCGGTTAATGCGGCCGTGACGAAGGCGTGCGTGGATATTGTGGCCGGGAGCGAGGGCCGCAAGTTTGTGGCCATGGCTGTGCAGTTTGATCCAACGCAGTTGCCTGAGGGAGTGGGTGCAAAGTTTATCTTTGGGAGCGACCTGAAGGATAATGAGGTTGGGCCGGCGGTGTTTGAGCACTTCTTGCCCAAGGCACTGGAGGAGGGCGTGTTTAAGTGTGCGCCAGAGCCGTTGGAGGGGGGGCACGGGTTGGAGAGTATCCAGGAGGCGTTTGAGCTTGGTAAGAAGGGAGTGTCGGCGCAGAAGGTGGTGGTTACTCTGTAAAGATTGGGGGGTTTAAATGGATCCTTTGATAACCGGAGCCCAGACTTATTAGAGGGTTGTCCCGAATTTCCGTGCCATTTCTGGCAAGCTGTAAAAGGCTGCGACTTCACGTACAAATAATAGCATACACAACACGGACTAATTATATCTCTCCTGCAAAGCAAGTTCTGTCCCACCATTACTGTACTCTATAGATACTAAAAAGTCCGGTCAGCAAACATTTTTACCTTCGCACGGCGCCTCTCAAAAGGGTAAACTTACTCAAAAACAAACTCCCACTCATTCTTCACCCCACTACCCACCCACAGCCCAAAGTTCACCTTCTCCGCATACCGCTCATCTGCTGTCTCCATCCTCAAGGAAAGCCGGAACATATACCTCCTCGGGTCCGACCCCTCCTGGCACCCCGGGCCCAACTGCTTCAGCACCTCCAGCGGCCCCGTCCTGCTCGCCTCTACATGTACCGCGATCATCGCTGGTGGCTCATCAACCGTCTGCATGATGTAATCCATCTTCACTTCTGAGATGTAGGATGGGTTGTGTACGGTATGTACCACATGTCCACCCGGCTGCAATGGCACGTCAGCCCTGTCCACTCCTCGCTTTTCCCACTCATCTCTCTGTAACTCAGTGCAGGCTGGAATGGAGAAGAGAAAGAAGAATTAGAAGAACCTACAGCAACGATCCCCGATCCACAGGTCCCCGACCACGTGCCCCCCATAATCGGGATCCAATTCTTAATCTCCGCACTCGTGGTCTTAAGCCGCACAGGTGGACTATGGGTAACTGTCATCCGAAAATCAAATTTGAGTTCCGGGACGGGCAGCGAGATTGCCGGATGCGGGAAGAGGGGTAGTGTCTCAACGCGCGGAGATCTGGCGCGGGGTTAGTTCTTTGGGAAGTGTTGCGTGAAGCGGGAGATTACTCGTCTTCTGAGGCGGACGCGGAAGCGCCATCAATCTCTTTGGCCCTCCCGGGTCCCCAGGGCGCGAAGCGATTCATGCCGTTTGGGCCGGAGCGTACGAAGACATCGGCGCTGTCAACGGTCCAGCTGTAATCCTCGAGCTGTGAGGGGGGCGGTTGAGGGACAGGGTTTACCTGCGACTGTAGAAGGGGGTTCATAGTGCTTTTCGTGGTGGGCGGGCGGGACCAGGAGTTTTCGGCGTCGAGAGTTCCACAGACGTAGCTCTGCAGGGTCCTACAGAGGTCTGATGGGAGATTTTTGATCCTCTTAACTGTTTGTTAAAAGACAGTAGTGCAACGCGGTTCATCGAATAGCAATAATCATCATCCCTTCTGTCGCTTAGACTTTATAATATAAGTTTTATAGACACTGTATGCCAGAATATGGTGCTGCCTAATGACTCAGCACTAGCTGTGCCCAGACGCAGCGAAGGAGCATTGTGGAGATCTTGACACCTGGGTCGGTCAGCCACTAATGTTAACTACCATCCCGGCGCTAAGCCCTGTAGATTACCCAAGAATCAGCATTGATCTCAACGTTAGCCATGCCGACGCTCTTGCTCCATAGAGCTTCATGAAGCTTATACAGCTCTGTAGAGATTCAAATGCAAATATGTAACCTGAGATCCTAATGAGACGTAAGACATATGGTGATTAGCTACCAAGCTAGCTGGTCGACGTACGTGATTAAAACCGTGAACCAAGGTAAGAGTGAATATTAATTTATATAAAAAGCAGAGCAATGAGAGTTGGATTAGATAAAAGGGCGGTGAATTTTTATGCGTGTACCCGTATTTGTAATTTATTCACTTGTAATCTATATCTTTAACAAAGAACCTAACAGTCTAAAAAGGCGCTAATATGTTCACCTCTACTTCGCCCCATACATCCTTTCACAACAGTAGCCCCCCAAAAATATTTCGCCTCCATCAGACTCTATTATGCCTGTGGCAGCGATCAACCTATCGGATTTCACATAACGACTTTCACACACCACCATCATGAGTGTACCTTCAGCCCTTCTTTCCGCTTGCTCAAACTGGGCTCCTGGTTCAGCTCATTGCGGGAAACTCGGGAACAAAGTTTGTACAAGTTGCAAACTTGTTGTGGTCAGCGGGCCCCATCCTCAGTAACCAGCGATATTTATTATACACTAACATATACTAGTATTGCACGGTCGAGTGCCAAAAATCTCACTGGCTAGAGCATAAGAAATGTTGCAAGTCTCCTATGAGCAAGGACAAATGGAGTCCAGCGTATTTCCGTGAAGGCCGCACACCTGCCTGGGAGATCGGAGAAGCTGCTTCAAAATTTCACAACCGGTTCGGAGGCGAAAAATACCTATGGGGAAAAACGCATGCTATGGATGTCCTCAATCTAGAGCAGAATGAAGGCCTTAACTATGCAGACGATATAGCTTTGCTATTTGTAGGTAAAATTTTCGTCCAAGTTGTAATGTACGTACTAACGCAAATCAGCTTCGGGAGATTTACGCCATGTTGTAAAGACAATTGCAAATATTCCCGAGGGAATAACCCAACAGTTTACAGTCACTATGAATGATTGAGAGTTTGACGTGGTAGCTCGAAACGCCATTTTGTTACTTCTAACTCTTACTTCTCAAGACTCCGAGGAAACCAACACGCCACTAGACATTGCAGAGGCATTGATTCATGTTTGGTATTCCGCATCAATTTCCACTAGTACCTTGTCTCTCCTTCAAAACAGAGTGAAACCATTGATTGTGGAGCTATGTGGCAAAATCTCAGACAAGCCGCCAAACGCTGTCCTGGCAAAAACCTGGAAGTTCTCGACTGGCCAAACTCTCCGCCTCGTACTGAAGAAGAAAGACTGGCTTCGGCTTCAAGGATTCTGTGACATACCAAATGGCTTGACACCTGAGAATGCCGCGAAGATCCGCAGAGCTGTAACACTAGCCCCCGAGAGGGCTGATTTTCGGGATCGATGGTACTATAAAGATGCATCTCCGTCTATGCGCATTGCCAAACAACGGTTTCGAGAGGATGGATTACTATTGCCATTTGGGAATCCACGTGGAGATTTTGATGTGCCAAATCCGTGAGTGCCTAGTACCTCCTGATATGTTTATTGACTCTAACATCCGCGGACTAGAACATTGTTTTCCAATTCTAACAGTTGGTTAATGAGTGACCAAGCCAACCCGTCTAGCGGATGGCTAACCACGGATGTTAAACAAACGTCATCTCCTGCACCAGAAGACTGGTACGGCAAATTGTACTTTTTTCTTCACAAGGTGCTGAAGAAGTTTCTGGGTCGCCTTAAAGATCTCCGAGTTAGCTTCGACATCTATAACGTCGACGCAAAAGAACTGCCTCTCAACCTCAAGCAGGGCATTTACTCAAGGATTGAGGTATGTTCTTCATTCTTGGAGACTGACGTCGCTCATACTAACCTAGCAAAAGGTGGCCAATATCAGTGATGCTTATTATCTCGGAATCCGCAAGACGCTAGGCCTATTATCTCCACTCCTACAATTGCCACAGCAGAACCCGCATGCCCAGCGTCATGTAGAGTGGAAGAGAGTTGAGTAGGAAATCGTAGCTCAATGGCTGGCGCTGCGACTGTTCGGGAGAGGTTCTGTTACGTGGAGCATCACCCATTGCAATGATACACACCAACACCAAGTGAATTGATGATATCACAGAAGTTTCTTTCTATTAAATATAACTATCCGTGATCTACGCAGTGTCAAAGTAATCCATCCTTTCCCAGCTCGCATTTCTCCCTTCCACCTCCCTAAATCACCTCCCACCACCCCAGCCTCCCCACACTCTCCCCTACTCCTCTAACAACACAGAGCCTTTCACCCCTCGTTCCCTTCCACTTCCCCCCTCCCCTCACACCCCCCACAACCCTTTCCACACCCAGGGCTCCAATTCCCGTGCCCGCCCCAGCAGCGAGGTTGAAATTTCCCGTCATCACAAACCCAATCAGGTCCTCCTCCCCCGATACGAGCGGGTGTGCGCGCTCCGGCACTGGCGGCGGATATGGTAGAGGTGGAGTCTGGACCAGCTCTTGTGCGAGCGCGCGGGACCGGTCCGCTGGTGTGGCGGTGGGTGGGAGTTTAGTGGCACGGGGATTGGTGGGCTTGGGATTTCCCGGTTTCTTTGTGGTGGGAGGGACAAGGGCCAGCCATGAGGCGCGGATGTCGGCAGGTGTTGAGGATGGGGGGGGGGTGGTAACGGCGGTGATTGGGGTAGCTTGGGGGTTCGATGTTGTCTCGGTGGTTGTGGAAACGAGAGGGAGGCGATAGATGCGTGCGCACGGCTGAGGCACGCCACGGGAGAAAAGAGTTACACGGACGGTAGCCACTGAAGTGCTTGGGATCTGTCGTTTAGGGTCCACAAGAAGTGCTTCAAACTCCTCCGAGTCGATCTGTTGGATCGGAGCCGACTTAGTCTTCGTTTCCGAGACTGCGTCTGTTTGTTTATCAGTGCTCAGTGTTGCCTTCACATCCTCCATTTCGTCCTGCGCTTCCAATCCCATCAGCCTTGCGAAATCACAAGCCCACCCGACGCCAACCTCCCCCACACGTCCAGCGCCCAAATCCAAGCTTTTCCATGAAACCTTCTTTCCCTTCGGTCGCGCATCCCACTCCTTCTTCCTCCTCGTCCTTTCCTTCTCCTCCCACGCCCAACCAGCGTTAGTCCCCGGAAAATCACCAGGGAACCAAGGCACGCCACGCTCGAACCGTATTTGTCGCAACTCCTGCAGGCCCGCGAAGCGCGGGTTGCCGCCGCAGGACAGAGGAAAATGCAGCAGCGGATACCAGATCGCGGAGATGCATTTCCACGGCGCGAGAAGAGTCCAGGTTCCTTGCGCGGAGGATGAGGCGGAAGTTCGGGATGGGTAGAGAAGAATTGGGATGGCGGGGTCATTAGGTGTGAGGGGTGGAAAGGCACCAGGGGGTGCGAGGGATTTGCGGCGATTTAAAGCTTTTTGGGAGGGGAGTCGAGTTGCTTTGTGTCTGATGTCGCGGTCGAATAGTGATGATGATGGAGGGAGTTCGTCGGCGGGCCAGGTGGCGAGGGTTTGAAGAAGTGTGAATGCTGCTGTTTCATCGTGTGGTTTGGGGAGGTCTATTTTCCGAGGTGGGTAACGTAGTCGGGGGTCTAGTATTGAGAAGGAGAGAAGAGCATTGGGCGGCAAGGATGCGGCATTGGTCACGCCCGCTAATGACTTAAACACGCTCCCGTGCTCTGTTGCTCGTTCATCAAAACGATGTAATGTCCCGATCAGGGCCTCTGTTGCACTTGGCCCTGTAAGTTCTATGCTTCCAATATCGAATCGTAGATCTTCCACGTGCACAATAGGATATTGCATCTTTGACACACGAAGGACCTCATCCCACACCTCCAGAAACGCAGCTGGATGTATCCGTATGAACAGACGGTGTCGTGGTAACTTTTTGGCTTTCTTCGATTTGTCGGTTTGTATTTCCTCAGCCTCTACTACGGGCGGGGGTGGACACCATATAATAGTTGCTGGCCCAATCTGCTTCCGTTGCGCTTGGTCGGCTCTACTCAGTAAACCACTCCAAGTTCTTCTCCCCTCTCTCCATTTTTCTGCTTTCTTCCCTTCGAAGCTCACACCTAGTTCTCCCAGAACCCTCTCCAAAGCCCCGGCAGTGCCCTCAATGCCAATCGTACTCATATAACTCATATCCCAGGCCAGCGCACCCCTCTCCCCACCAGCTCTATGCGTAGGCCTATAACACTTCTGAGTCGGAGTAATTGGCAACGCGAACCTCCACAGCGGATCACCCGGCGCCGTCATAGTCGCCCTCTTAGCATGGTACATGTGCGTCGGCAACCAGCTCTTATGAATCTGCCTCTTCCTAAACTTCGAAGCCGGCCTCGGCGGACGCTTCAACGTCCCCGTCGCAGCCTTCGGCCTCGCCTTCCGCCCCAGTATCCCATCTGTTGCTTCCGCCCCATCTTCCTTATTCTTCCCCTCCTTCTTCGTCCTCGTCGCTGCAACAAGCATCCTCATCCTTGCCAACCCCTCCTTCCTCACCCTCCCCCTCGCCGTCCCCGGCCTTCGCCGCCTCGCAACAACAGTCGGCGTATTATCCTCCTTCATTTCTCTCTTCGCCCGCCGCGCCAACCGCTTCGGCACCCTCTTCGCATTGTGGCTCGCAGTGCGCCGCCGCATGTCCCACGGCACTTGCTGGAACGCCCGCTGCGTCAGTGCGCCCTTCGCACGGCGCATGCCATCTTCTAGGGCGGTAATCTCAAATTCGCGCGCCTTCAGGAAGGAGGCAAGGTTTAGCTCGCCGGCGGAGAGGGAGGGATCGGAGGCTTGGGTGAGGATCTGTCGCGCGTGGAAGGTCTTCTGGCGCTTGGGGACGCGGGAGGTGTTGGGCTTGTGGTTCGGGTTCGTGTGGGCATCTTTGCGTTTTGTGGGCTTGCCTGGAGCTTGATTCGGCTTTGGGGTATCTCCTGGTGCCATTGGAGGGTTGGTGGAGCTGGGATTGCTCTGAGGCGGTCGTGATTTGGGTTGTTCTGCGAGGGTAAAAAGTTAATGTGGATTGGGGAACGCGATTGGATCTAATCTAATCTTATCTCTAACATTTCCAACGTCCTCTATCATCTGAAGTAGGAACGTGTGCAGGGGAGAAATTATTACTAATATTAAGTTGATAGGAATTATTATGTTTGCTATATTCGTTGGGCAACTAATTGGGACACTATAGCCCTGAGTGGTTCAGAGCATTTATTTTACTTACAGGCTCTGGCACGGCTCGCCCCCATGCTAGGCCATAGTGGTCGCAGCTTCTTAACACAGTTCTTCTCCGTATGCACTTACTATATCTGGCACTGCCATTGCCCTTATCCAGTCTTCTCACCAATCAGTTAATGTTCGGGGCAACTGGCCTTCGTCCGACGGAATGCTAACATGGAGCGCTGGTGCGGCCACCCCATTGGCGTTGTGCGGACGAATAGCGGACGAACAGGGGTACGACCGCAATTCGTCCGCGTCTGCATTATGGCTTAAAAGGCAGAAGAACATACCATTTTACACTTGATTTATTTATCAAATTGCCTGATTTAATCGAAAAGCTGATTGAACGCACGCTGAGGCACATGTTTTCAAAAGAAAGATCGCCAAATCCTAACGATGAAGTCTAATCTCCTTCCATTCATCACTGAGAAATGGGCGGGTGTGCCACAACCCATTGCCAGATTTGACGGAAAGACTGTTATTGTCACAGGTGCCAATACCGGTTTAGGATACGAAGCCGCCCTTAAATTTGTTGCGCTCGGTGCCGCTAAGGTTATTCTCGGCGTTCGAAGCATGCCGAAAGGAGCCCTTGCCTGTCGACAGATAGAGGAGCAGACACAGCGAAAGGGCATAGTAGACTCCTGGGAACTCGATATGGGTCGCTATTCCAGTATACAACAATTTGCTAACCGGGCGGGTGCCGAATTACAACGGTTAGACGTCGTCATACTCAACGCGGGCGTCGCGTCAAAGGAATTCACCATTGGGCATGAAGGGTGGCAGTCCACGTTGCAGGTCAACGTCCTAGGAACGGCGCTGCTAGCTTTACTGCTACTACCGAAGCTGAAATTGTCTAAGGCGTCTACCGATACCTCACGTTTGGTCATTGTAACCTCAGAGGCCCACAGGTGGGTAGAAAGTACCGACATCCCAGACACAGTGCCATACGGCGGCAGCATTCTGCAAGCCCTTAATGCCAGACCAGCTGATAAAACCACCTGGAATGGCCTCGATCAGATGGCGAAATCGAAGTTGCTCGCTATGTACGTGGCTCGGTCGCTGGCAGCACTGGCTACACAGCCTAGCGGAGAAATAGATGTCATCGTCTCAACAGTATGCCCTGGAGCCTGCAAATCGGAACTTGCACGAGAATTCGCGACTGGATTTGTTGCTTCCGCTGGAGTCCGCGTATATGGTGCGATTTTTAGCAAGTCTTCAGAAGAGGGTGCGAGGGTATACGTCTCGGCGGCTGCGTTAGGTCCGGAATGCCATGGGGGCTGGTACAAGATCACAGCCTTGACAACGTAAGTTATAGTCTTCGTACTTTAACGCTTTATTTACAGAATCTAATCATCAATATGATAGGCCAGGAGAGCTCGTAACTAGTAACGAGGGGATCGAGATGCAGGATAATGTATGGAGTGAGATAGTAGAGGAACTCCGCGCTAAGGTGCCAGAAGTGTCAAGATGTCTATAAGTGGTATCGGGGGGGGGATAGTATTACTTGGATCCGCCATATGTTTTTTTCGAGGATATAATTCTACAGTTATTCACATAACAATTCGTTGCCTCAATACTCATGCGGCCTAAAAGTCTGAAGAGAGACCATGCATCGCCGTAATGTTTACGGGAACTGTAAATAAAACAAATGCTCTGAATCGCTCAGGGCCATAGTGTCCCAAGTTAGTTACCCAAAAAATAGAGCAAACATAATAATTTCTATTAACATAAATGCTAGTGTGAATTTCTCTACTGCACATAGTCCGTCCTCCTTCGGACTTTTAGGATAGACATGTAGATAGATGGGCCTGGCAGCGGGCGAGCCGTGCCAGAGCCTGACTATCATCCGTAGAAATGTCTTGGTCGGCTTTCATTCTGTGAAGTTAAATTCGTCGTTGCAAAGGAATGTGCCCCAATCATCGCACAAACTGAAATCTGTTGTTGAGCCCAACCACTCGTTCTGCATATTCTGCCAAGGCGGTTCAAATTCGGAAAGAGGCAAATAGCTCTCGAAATAAATATTCTGGTTATCAGGATGATAGTTGGAGTTTGTCGCAGCGTTAGACATGTCTGTTAATATACCTTGGTCCTCGACTTGCATTTGCTCTAGCACCGGAGCTTGGAAAGCATTTCTCATATTGATTGTAAGCTTTCCAAAATACGGTATAACTGCATGATATGCTTCATTGCCGTGGTCGGACTCGTTGAACCGGATATGGTATAGATCCTCTAAAACCTTAGTAGCCTGCGTTGCTACACTAGAAGTGCTACTTTTCGAAACCCGCTTGAGGACTTGCGTGATGCCGACAATAATCTTCCAGTCTCCGTTGGTTTGATGTGATGCTAGGCTAACATTTGACGGCGCAGCTTGGTCTAATAGACTGAGAGTCAGCACCATTGCCGCAGTGAAAGCTTGGAAATCAGCTAGGCAGCATATGTTAAATAAAGGACGATCGACGTCTCGCATGATCTGATAGTATTTGATCATCTCCCGTGATGCATCTAACGCTGCTATCCTGCTAAATTCATACCTCTGATTGGTTTTTGATTGAAGCATAAATGGGAGGTGAAGTAGTATTCGTAGGAATTGATAGGCAAACTTCGCAGCTAACATATCTGCCGCTGATGCGAGGGGTAGATCGGGTCCTATCGACATTTCCCACCAGGATTCTGGCATACTATTCTTACACTCTTCTAAATCTTGATCGATCTGTATAGTTGTAGCGTAGTCAGACTTGGTTGGGTGTTGGTCGCGGTTAATCATTCTCCCTGACACAGCGCCTAGCTTAAGAAGTAGATACTCCCCACTCGGGACCTTCGAGCCCTCTTTTTGCAGTTCGTGAAGGTCACCTAAATTTTCTACTGCCGAGGATGGAAGCCCGAGTACAAGAGATAAATATCTCTCCCCTTGCCACATCCGCATCCAAAGCGACAATTTTTGGCGAGATTTGCCATCTTCGAAGCCCATCTGCTGACGATGCAACCCAAGGAGCTGTGCATAGCTGATGGCGCGCCGGAAAGCAAGCCAAGCTTTGTGCGGCATCCCTTCATTGATGTAGATCCTAGTCTGTGTCAAAATGCACTCTAGGCCCTCCAAAGAACATGCGCTCTGTTCGTCTTCCCTTAAAAATTTCTCCACTGGGTTTAAAGTTCGCCTTTGAAGCTCCTTCGGAGAAATTGAGAGGAGTGATTCCGTGATATCAGATCCTTGGTCAATTTGCTGAGCGCTCAATGCTGAGCACAACAGAACCTTTGCAATGGCGACGGGGTCGTTGGATTTCGCAACGCTAGATATGTGCGACTGAAGGCTGGGTATGTGGCAACCTCCATCAAGACCAGTGTCTACCTCTCTTATTCCTGAAAATGACCTTTGCCATATTCGCCAGACAGCCTGGCCAGATTCAAACAGAAAGCTCAGGTCACGGCTGTTTGGAACAGCTGCTTTCAGCTCTGCTAACGAATTCCACTTTTCAACAGCTCGCTGCTCTTCGCTGTCGAAGAGAGACTCAGTGGTAAAACCCCCTTCACAGTGCTCCTCTCCTAGCGCATCATTCTTGAAGAGGCCTAGTAGCGGAACATTATCAAACCCGCCGAGGGGTTCCCAGACGCTATCTCCATCTGGAGGCGTGCTAGAATTGGGAATCTGACAAGATTGGGGTATTTCCGCCTGCAACTTCTTCAGAGCATCGACGGCGGCAATTTCGGCTTTCGTCCCCTGAGTTTGGCCTCCATTGGGATGCAACCTTTGCAACACTTCGGAGATTAAGTCTCGAAGCTCTACTTGTTTCACCCGTAGCTTCTCTGTCCCCCTTACCATTTCCGCCTTTGAGAGACCGGACCCTTGGTCGGTGCATGGCAAGCCCCTCATGACACATCTCCCACATGCTTCTGCATTCGCTGTCATATTACAGCGCACTTTGCGCTGCCGACACTCCAGGCAGCTAACGGTTCCCTTTCGCATGATGATGTGAAGCAGGTTATCATAGACGCTGGGATGGTATTAGTTTGTCAATGTCCGTGTAGCAGTACTGTAAGGCCGAGACAATCTTTAAGAGGTGGATAACGTGAGGGGAGATAAAAGACCGTATTTTGGTTGTTCGGCAGATTTGCTATATTAGTATGACAATTTGACTTTCAGCCTCGTCCTCTTTCAGCCTCGCCTCTTGCCTAATTCTTCGGTGTATCGGGTGCCGTGAGAGGCAGTCAGATTTTAGACAATATTTTGATGGATTCAAAGGGTTCAAAGGATGGGGCTAGTCCTGCAGGGGAAGAGCTGACAGCTGCGGGAGGATTCGTCCTTGCAGTTAATATAACCCCTAAAATAGACTCTTAAATATCATTATTCCCTGTGTAGTGTATGGCCAGCGCCGGTGAGAAATACGAGTAACAAAAACGCCAGTGCTACTAACTCTAGGTTTTTCCTCGACGGATTCATTTGGTGCCTGCTGTGTCGTATTTTCTTACCTGAGCAGACCAGACACTGTACGTCGTTAGAAATCCTACAGACTAGCATTAATCTCATTATGGATGTAGCGTTAGCCGGGACCCCAATTTCTGACAGCACTGTTATGGAATATTCTATGGATCCATTCTCGGATGCATCCGAGCACCCGCCTTCTCCGGAGGCCTCCTCGTATATTTTCTATTTAATAGCCAATCGATTTACAGGGGTTCGCTATAATGTCATAAAATTAAGATTAAGAGTAGGAGGAGTACGCATAATTAACCCCGGGAAGGTTAAAAGGAGAGAGAGCGGGGGATGGTTAGTTTACGTGCTGGGCCCTTGTAATTGAGATAGGGAAGCGGCAATTGGATTTATCATCTAGTTCAGTCAATACAAATCCTTTGAGTAAGGAGTCTAACGCCATGTCCAAAATAAAATATTATCGTAACACGCCACCCAACTCGGATTACACTGGCTGGAATGGCAAGGGTGTCGTCCTGGATCTCGGCGGCATCGACCGCAAGGCCATCCACCTCGGCGACTGGAATGGCGATGGCTTCTGTGATGTCATCGTCACGGACAAGGCCACTGGCGCTTTGGATGTTTACTACACCTACTGGGACAGGGCATCTGACCAGTTTTCGTTCAGCGCGAAAACCAGAGTCGTGGGGTCCGGGTGCACTCAGGGTTGGGGTGTCGGGTTGTATGATCTCGGAATCCAATTCGCCGACATTGACGGCGACAAGCGCGTCGACTACATGTGTCTAGAGCCGAACGGCAGAGTGACCGGCTGGCTGAATAAGGCCGGAGGGCTGCAGTGGGTGGACCAGATCAAGTTCAGCGAGGACAAGGATCGTGCTAACCACAAGTTTGCCGATGTCAACGGTGACGGCCTCGACGACTTCATGTGGATTGACAAGTTCACTGGTGACACGCAGGTATTTTACAACTTAGGCCAGAAACAGATCTCGGGCAGCTCCTTTCAGTGGGAGAACAAGGGCCAAAAATATCAAGGCTCGTCCTCAGGCCCCAACCTTCACTTCCCCAACCTCGGCGGCCAGGGACGCGCCGACTTGACCGACGTCAACCCCAAGACGGCCCTCGGCTGGACTTGGTTCAACAGCTGCCCAACCGGAGGAGACGATGGTGCGATTGTGGACCCTGGCCTGCCTATCGCCCCTGGAGATTCTCCGCCTGGCGGAGATGGAGGCGACGACGGAGGCGACGACGGGGGCGACACGGGCGGCGACATGGGCGGCGATGATGGAGGCGATACCGGCGGCGACACGGGAGGCGACACGAGAGGCGATGACGGAGGTGACACTGGCGGCGATGACGGGGGTGACGGCTATACGACAGGCTTCCTCATCTATGCAGTCACCGACACAGACCTCCCCGCAACGGACTTTCCCCAACCCTCGATCAACAATGGCTTCATATTCCTTAACACCCCCCCCAACTGCAACGACGTCGGCAATGCCATCTTCCAAAATGATTCTGAGGATTTAAGTGGGAACTCGGGCGGTGTGAGATGTGACGGGTGCGGCATCCCAGGCTTAGACGGGGACCCAACTTTGCTTGAGTGGAAAAACAAAATGGGACATTATAGTAAGTCTTTTTTTTTCTTTCTTGTCTTGAAGTTGACTCGGTCTTGGGCTGACATAGCGTGATTTCCAGCTTGGTATCTGAACCGCAACGGCGACTTTGTCGATGTGAACGACGAGGTAAAGGGCAACTGTGTCGTTGATCACTCTGACGACTTCATGTGCACCTTTTTCCCTAATCCTTCGGGGCAAACTGGAATCATGCAGCTACGATGCAGAAGCAACATGAATGCTAATATCGTTAATGGTTGGCACGACTAGGGGGCCAATGGGCTAGGGGGTTGGCGATGAGAGATATCTTTATGCTTTTGAATAGTAATCATTCGTGATTCCTTTAGTTCCCATTTTAAATAATTGTAGGAGTACTAGCTGAGTGGAACCTAGCGGATACACCATAATCAATCTATAATAGTGTATTGGAAGTTGGGCTTGCAGTCGGCCACCGCACCGAGAAGAGTGGCAGCTGTGAGATGATACTTAGTAAAGCCGTCTGATTCAATTTCCAGAACGCAGTTCTCATCGCCAGGAAGTCATTTGGCGACTGTAGCGTTGGTGTGCTGCTGCTCGGGGAGGTCGAGCGACCGAACTGGGAGCAATAACTTAGTAAAGAGAGGGCTTGGTTTAGGCCTAGGTAGGGTGACGCATAGCCCTAAGTTAGGGGTAGGTCACTAGGGGCCAAACTCTAAATAGGTAGATAAGGTAGCTAAGCCCCTAAATAAAGGGGCTTAGTGATAAATCATTGGTAACCGCACAAAGCAATTTGACACCAACTAAAGCTTTACCGACATCCAAAACGTAACAAATGCTTAGTTTCCAAAAAGATTTAATAATATCATTAGCACATCTATACCGTTCTACATATCACGACCATCTGCACAAGCCCTACAGAATCCACCAACTACTGTAATTTCCACTTCGCATCTCGATGCAAACGAAAGTCCCCAGACCGAAGAGCAAGCACCATGCCATAAAACCCCCCAATAGGCCACATCTGGCTAATTCTCTGCGCCCATCCCTTATTCTCACTTCTGCCACCGTCTATATCGGCCTTGACCTTGTCAAACACACTAGGCAAAGTAGTAGCCTTGAACTTTGACCTCAGTGCTTCATACCAGGAGCGATCATAGACCTTCCAAAACTCCTCCTCGGTGTAATAGGTTTGCGCGTATAGCCACTTACGCCCACCGAGCTCATCCAATTTCTTCTCCAGCGCGCGATTCTTATCGATGAACTCGTCGTAGTTTTGAGGGCCCCAGCCCCAAATGCCGATGTTGAGCATGGGCCTGGATACGCTCGTAGATGCGACCTCTCCCTTCACGTCTCCGTCCGATGTAACCGGGTGGAAGGTAGGCGTTGACGCAGCTCTCAGCGGACAAAGCCAGAGTGGCCAAATCCCGAATTCCTGGCTTATAAAGTCGATGAAGACTTTAGCAGTGCTATACGGAATAGCGAGGTCTTGAACAACGAATTGCGAAGAGACGCCACTGGCGTGGAGAGCGTGATATAGCGTGCGTGTATGCGAGAAATCGTCTAGCAGCCAGCGAAAGAAGCTGTTGAATGGGATATACTTGAAGTAAGTGTAGCCCTGACGGCCCACCCAAAAGGCCGCTCGATCATAGCGGAACAGATACTCCGCCAAGGGGATGTACTCCGTAACGGAAGCGAATGGTGCGAGATTCTCCGTCTTTTGCTGGATGTGGAGATAGAACCAGGGGTCTGCGGCGTCGCTGAAGGTTGTTGGCGTGCAGTTGTCCGGTATGTCGTTGGTTAGCTGACCGGTGATAACGACACCGTGATACTTGGAAAAGAGGATCCCATCAACATAGTCGCTCTGCAAGTCGCCGGTTTCCTTCTGAACTTGATCAATAGCCTCTGAGACTCCATTGAGGCGTAAATACGTCGCTTTCACAAACTTCTTAGCTTCCACAAGACGCAGCTCCATGAGCGTCACCGTGCCGAGGGTGCCCAGCGCGCCAGCAGCACCATGGAATAGGTCTGGGCGCTCAGTGGCCGATGCCTTGACAATCTCGCCATTCCCCAGTATCATCTCCACTTCAATGATGGAGTCGTTGAAGAACCCGTGGCGGAACGAGCTGCTCTCCCCTGAGGTACCGGAAAAGCCACCACCGGCAGTGATGCCGGGGAATTCCATGACAACGGGGGGGACGAGGCCGTAGGGTAGAGTTGCTTCAACGAGGCGATCCATGGGGACGTTGGGTTCGACGAGCGCTGTGCGCTTCTTCTCATCGATTAGAACTACATTGGATAGGGCGCTGATATCGATGGTGTTGGTCGCGACGCGCAGACGAGTAGAGTTACTAGAGCCGTGAAAGATGCGGTACGGTTTCCCACGTTCTGAGAAGCCTTGGACTGCAGCAGCCACGCTGTTGACGATGTTTTCGTGCTGTTCCATTGTCGCGATGAGAGATGAGGCTATTATCAATGGAGGATATCTTTCGTGTTCAGGAGATGTAGTCAATTGGAAATATGTGTTGGTCCCAAAGAGCCATCGTATTTATTTAAGGGAAAGGAGCAGAATACTCTGTCCTTTGCAATGCAAGGAGGCGCATACCCTGACCATTGCGAAAAAAAAATGATATACCATACCATAGGTATGCATGCGTGACTTGTCATTAGTTGAGTTTCCATCAATAGAGACTTCAAAGTCAGTTTCATTCAGCAACTATCTCTGGTAGAGATTCTGTATGTGGTTGTTCTTCAAATGTGCACTGCTGTGCCCAGTTAGGAAAAAACGATGAATCTCGGCGGCCGCTTTATGACAGCCCGAACATGCATCCAACTCCCCCTTCCAACATCCGAAATTGAAACGTGTGACATTGATTGGACGGCGAGGCGAAGAGATTTATTCTGAGCGAAAGACTTAGCTATTGGTTTATTGGTTTGGAAATCTCCTTTTGGCTGCTTATAGTTCATGTGTTGCATTTTGTTTGTTTGAAGTCGCCTGTCCGCGGAGAATCGGCATCCGTGGAGAATCAGCCTCGGCGGCTGGGATAGACGGGGTGCCAAGGCCATGACGTTTCCAAACTCACCTGTCCCGCCGCGTACCGCTACTACCCGTAGAGCTTGGGATTGGGAGTAAGTGTTATGGCGGTGAGTGATTGAAGGTTGGCAAGTTTATTTGGGGCTCTGGGATAAGGTAGGAGGGTAATTGGGTGTTGATCGAGCTGCTGGTGGTGGGTGGGATAAATGTGCCAGGTGCGGGGTCGAGATAAGGCATAATGCCAGCGAACTATTTTCTCGTCAACGATACAATCTCATAGACCACAAGCTGCACGAGTAGAATGAAGAGCAGAGATTCTCTATTGTAGAAATCTTCTCGCGGAGACTCAATCGTCCACCACTGTATCATCTACCTCTCGCAATTCTCCATGAAATCCATGCTACCTCTCCACGAAAGCCATGCCACATCCTCCGCGAAATCCACGCAAAGCTCACGTATCTCCGCTTACAACTTAGCAAGCACCGCCTCAGCACCACTAACAGTAACACCCTGTCCCTCCTCCTTACCCGCATAAGTGATCTTCCCATTCTCCAGCACAACAGCCCAGCGCCCAGTGCGTCCGCCCGCAGCCCATCCCCAGGTGGACGCAAGCTTGGTATCGGTATCGCTCAGGAACAGGATGCTGTCGTCCTTGACGCCCGAGGCCTTGGCCCAGGCGGACATGACCCATGGGTCGTTGGAGGCGACGACGGCGACGATGTCGACGCCCTTGGCCTTCAGCTCTGGGAGGGCGGCTTGGTAGCCGGGGAGGTGGGAGACGGAGCAGGTGGGGGTGAAGGCGCCGGGGACGGAGAAGAGGACGACCTTCTTGTTGGCCCATTCTGTGGGGGGAGGTGTTAGCTTTGAGATCGGCGGGGGAGAGGTGGGTGCGAGGATGAAGGTGAAGTGGGGAGGGGGTTTGAGACGGAGATCGGAGCAAGTGGGGTAGAGTGCTCGGAGGTAGGATCGTGGTGAAGGTGAATTGAATGAAGCATTGACGGAGAGAACATACCCTTGGACGCATTGTATGGCACTGGCATGCCACAGGCCTTGAAATCAGCGTTCTCAGGGCTGTAAGGGACGTAAGAGAAGGTGGTATCGGCCGGGAGGGCATCTCCGACTTGAGGAGCAGACATCTTGATTGATTTGGTAGGGTTGACTGAGGTGATTGAAAGTGTGTTTGTAGTTGAGTTTGGAAGTGTGTGAGGTGTGTTGTGCTGTGGTTGAGTTTGTGAAGTTGTGAAGTTGTTGTTGATAAGAAGAGGAGGTGGTGGGGTGATATATAAAGGTAGAAGTGGAAGAAGGTTGGGTGTGGGGCGGTTAGTGGGGGTGTCTTTGTTTGATTTGTGTTTTATAGAGTGGTGATGATGATGTGCTTGGCGGGGATTGTATGAATGGATGAATAAGTGAGACCTTAGTAGATATACGTATGTATGTATATGTAATGTACGTGTGAATCTCTTTTAGAATGAATGCGGCCTTTTTTAATTGTGTTTGTACTTTTATCAATCAGTAGTTTGCATAACTTGTAAGACTTCTTGTCTTAACTTTGGACGGGCACACCCGGCTTTGGTGATCTATTTGCTCTGTTCCTGTCTTCCTCTTGCCTAAAACGGTGTGACATACATATCTTACATACATACATACATACTGTAAGTTACATACAGCTCATCACAGTAACAGTATAGGAGAGTCAGTACTGGAATTCATATTTATGTTGATTCCATTTATTGTGTCTTTGATCTTAAGTCCTCTACCTTTACCCCTCAACCCTTCGGTGACCCCCGACGCGGCCATCTCCAATTCTCCGGACCCTCCCCGACCGACCTAGAACAACCGCCTCCCTACATTCTGGAGTATGAATCACAAATCACTCGCCACTACAGCTCCATAACCAGGTCCAGGCCACCGAATCTTTACAAACCCTCTATAAACTTATAAATCCCCCTCTCCCTCCCTCTCATCCGATATCGCGAATACGACCTACAGCTAGCAAGATGGGTCCCGCCTTCTTGGCCCATGACGCGGTTTATCTCCTAGGACTCACCTTCTTAGTCAGTACGACTAGTATACACCATGCCGTGCCCCGTTCCTGTCGGAAGCTTTACCGAACACCGGAGATGGCGCACAGGGGGGTGGTTATTTGGAATTATAGCTTGTTAAATGCCAGGGGTATGGATCTTTTCTTCAATGGCTGGAATCGCTGGGCCCGCGGGGTTTGTTGGCGGGGTTTGTTGAGGTGGGAGGGAGGGGATGGATCCTTTCGGCACGGAATGAGCTTTGTTCCGTGGTTGGGCCGTTAGTTGGTTGGTTGGTCCCGGTGTCGGTGAGGATTGACCCCGCGGTGGAATTGACGTCATAGGTGAGCTATGTCTAGCTATTATATTATCGAATCCTCGGAATTGCGGATGTATAGGCAAAATAAAAGTTAGAAGGTAATATGAGAATAGGGATAGAGCTGTGAGGGTATGATAGTATCAACAAAGCTAAAATAGCAAAGAGAGAATGCGATAGTAGCCACGCGTACATAACCTTCGAAACACTCTTCGATCCTTCTGATTACCTCACGACGCATGAATGACTAATAATCATGACCCCTCCTCGTCCCCCAAGGAAGCTGTAGCACACATCTCCAAAGCCTCACCCCAGATAACCTTCCTATGACTCCTCCTATATAAATATAATAAATCCCTCTCGTACGTACACGATCGTCCTGCTCGCTTTTCAGCTCTATAATCCTCACTCCCCAGCGGCCAATATCAACACCACAGACAACATGCCTACCTCCACCCTCTCCCCGGATCAACGACCCCCTTACCCGCCCTTCACTCTCGAGACTGCGAAGCAGAAAGTTAAAGCCGCGCAGGCAGCGTGGAACACAAAGTTTGTCCTCGTTCTTATGTTCTTCACTCCTCGCCCCATCATTCCTTTCCCCCTTGTTCTTTCGTCCTGCTCATCCCCCTTCGTTCCTTCCTCATATCCCTATCTCCCCTGCTCCTTCCTCATTGCCTAATTTCCCCATCGCCCCTTCCCTTTCGATCCTTACTTTCAGTAACCCCCATCGTTCCTTCCCATCGTTTCCTCCCACCGCCTTTTATTATCTGCTCTTTCCTCCTACCTTCTTCTTCCCTCGCTCTTTCCCTCCGATCTCCTTCCCTCTCATCCCATCCCCTTCCTCCCTCGTTCCTTCCTCCCTCGTTCCTTCCTCCCTCGTTCCTTCCTCCCTCGTTCCTTCCTTCCCACGGTCCCCAAAATATACCCTAACACCCATCACTCAGAGACCCAAAGCGCGTCGCCCTCGCCTACACACCCGACACCATCTGGCGTAACCGCGACCGCTTCCTCCAAGGCCGCGAGGAGATCGAAGCCTTCCTGACCCACAAATGGTTCGTCGAGAGCGGGTATAGGTTAAGGAAGGAACTATTTGCTTTTTCGGGGAATAAGGTTTGTTTTATCTGTCCTGTCTGTCGCAACTCTGGGTCTTCACATACCCCACACCCCACCTGCCGTGGGGATCTGGTGGGGAGATAGGTGGGGAAGTGGGAGAGAGAAAGGGGAGTGGGATGGCAAAACAGATACTAATAACCCACAGATTGCAGTACAGTTCTGGTATGAGCATCATGACACCTCTGGGCAGTGGTTCCGCACCTACGGCCTAGAAGACTGGACGTTCGCACCTGATGGACGCATGGAGAAGCGCATGATGAGCGCGAACGACGTGGCCATCACAGAGGAGGAGAGGTGGTTTAAAGATGGAGTTGATGTGGATAGTGTTGAGATTAGTGCGAAGCATTGGTAGATCCACTGTGGGCTGGAATCAGAAGTGCGAAGAGAGCAGACTGTGGGTAAAAAAATGGGAACTGGAAAAGGAAGTCGACTTTGAGTATGGCTGCGGAAAAGGGGGGGGAATCTACAGTACTTCTTTGTTCCAATAATGGTATATACTCAAATCAAAGGCCCTCGCTATACGGATACGGCTCAGATCATCTCATCGTGGCTTGCTGAACAACAAACCAATGCAGGTCCCATGTCTTACGTGGCTCACTAAGCCCCCGACTTAGCCAGGGAAAATGGGCGATGCTGTGCTGTGTCGTATATCGTATTGCCCTCTCCTTATGATATGAAGGTCCAGATGGATGGTTTAGGATATCTAGCTGTGGTGACGTGCTCTGAAATGCAGGTCCGTATGAGAAGGGGGTCGCATATAGCGGCAACAATGAATGGATTGTCCATTCTGCAGCACAGATAAAGGGCCTGGCTAGGTTGTCTGCATATCGCGATACGATACGGATGCCTCAGATCCCAATGCGTGGCTTGATGGTGGCAAAACCTTGTCTCACCGTTGCAGGAGCTAATCCATCAATGCGGCTGCAGTGCTCCAGTGCTGCAGTTGGGTGAGACGGCTATCGACTGCAGGTGTATTCGTAGCCCTGTAGTGTCTGTGCCTTGCCAGCCTCCTGATATTGCCCAGCCGTGGTGGTTGAAGGTGGCGTATGGGTTTGATAGGGCGGTGTGGTATATGACAGCGTCGACAGCTCCTAGTCTAGGTTTATCGGTGAGAGCCCTCCGGAAGGACGTTGACGCCGTACAATCCCTCCATTCTCGCGTCTAGTATCATCGCAATCCGTCAAGGCCCCCATCATCTCATTCCATCCCTGGACCAGATCCTCAGGGACACTCTCCCGCTGGACCCTACGGCACGAGTTGAGATCAGACGACGGGAGAAACACGGGGGTCTCAAGATAGCTATCTGCATGCCTCACTCACATCCACCCTCACCGTACCTGCCGTAAGGAGAGCAGAGGTCGCATGTCTCAAGACCCCGAGATTGCCAAATCCTGTCTCGAGCGCGCAGAACGCCCGACTCACCTCAGCTCAGTTGTCCCCAACCTCAGAAGCGGGGGATCAATACTTCACATCTCAGAAAGAACGTGTAACATCCCCAATCCACCCTTTACGCAATACCACCCCGCAGCCCCCAGCCCGCTACCGATTCCCCCAATCCATCACTCCTGACTCAGCGCCATGCATAACACACCCCCGCCAGCCAGCACACAATCCCACCACCGGCACACTCCGCGCTTGTGCCGAAAAAACCCAGATCCGAATACTCACTAACCAACTACTCATGTACGCGCAGTAGATCCAAGCCGCGCCACTCTCCCCATCAGATCTCACATATCTTCCCATCGCGGGGGATCGGAACAGGGAACGTGCATACAGCACCCGATAAGGGCATGGTGGTCGTGCGCGGCACGCGGCACGAAGCGTTAGCGCCGAGCGATTATCCCGTTCTGGCGCGTAGTGGGGCGAGGAGGTGCTCGATGGGGGTGCGTGCAGCAGCCGTGAGTTCTGGATGCGGATGGCGAGGGTGAGAGGGGGGTTGGGATTGATTGATTGATTGATGCGCGCTGCAGGGGAGGGGGTTAGTCGCGAGTGAGAAAATTCCTGGTTTTCGTTTTCGGTGAGGAGGCAGGGATGCAGGGTTGCTAGACGTGGAGCGGCGGGGGGAGGGGGGGCTCTTTAATAGAGTTCCCGGCTGCATGGGGGAGCTACGGATGTGCTCACGGGCCTCTTTTGGGGGGTTGGTATGGATGGATTGGGGAGGGAGTGGGAGATGCGATGGCGAGGGGAGAGAGAGACGTGCATGAGGGGTCGATAGTGGCCGATCGCGCGGCTTCCACATCTTCTCCCGCCGGGTCAGCTTCTATGCTGCGTTTCCTGTTTTTCTGCTTTAGTCGGCATTGTGCCAGGCCGGGGATGCAGGAGGAGTGTCGTAGCATGACATGGCTGGGAAAATGCGATGAGTCTGTCCCGTTCGTGCCGTGGTCGCCTCCTGACAGATTCCCGCACCGCACATAAGTACGGTGGGTTCTCTCTCTGTTTCTCCTGTCGCTTGGTTTTGGAAATGGGGAAGCTTACATCTGTCTCTCATCTGTCTCTATCAGCTTAACTTTTGCGGTTTTGCTCATTGCTTTTTTGTCCTATTGCTTCATCTCTGAGACGACGGCTACGAGACAGGATGGTCTACTCACTTGCGTATCGACGCCCGGCGTATGTGGAGCCTGAGATCTATGCATCGAGGCAGCCGGGGAGTGAGACGGAGGGTAAGGAGGAGTCTGTTCGATCGGGAAGGTCTGGAAAGAATGCAGGAATTCCGGCGGCATTGGCTTTTGATAAAATTGTCGAGGGAGGGACCTGTGCTGTGAGTACCCGTTTCTCACCTCTCATTCATTCTGGAAGCAATCTTCATCGGATACCAGCGTATCTGATTTGTTTCTTACAATATTTTATTTATTCCATCCGTAATGTATTTTGTCGATGTACGACCATACTAATACCACCCCAGCCATGCACGCTCCGCGATTTCATGGACTACATGCTCTACGTCGAGCACTCGGCTGAGAATCTGAAATTCTACCTCTGGCTGAACGACTACACCGAGCGCTTCAACAACCTCACCGAATCCTCCAAAATGCTCTCTCCACAATACATCTACGTCTCCCCCGAGCGCAACTCCCCAGTCACCATGCCCCTCCCCGCTGTCCCCAAACGCCAAAGCTTTGCCAACGAAGTCTTCAAAGGCACCGTCTTCGACAACGACCCCTTCCGCACCCCCCGCTCCTCAGACTCAGACCTCACCGACCGCCCCGCCGGCTTCTCCCTCCCTTGGTCCAACGTCCGCATCCCCGGCAGAAAATCCCCCTCGCCCACCAAACCAAACCGCACCCTCGCCATCTCCGCCTTCGCCGAAAACGGAATGCGACCACCCTGTACGTCGCCCCTTTCCACTCCCACTCATCAACCTTCACCCACTAACACCCCATAGTCTCGACACAACCCTTCCGCGCCGAAATCTGCCGCGTAATAAGCACATACCTCCTTCCCTCCTCCCCCCACGAACTCAACCTCTCCTCGCGCGACCGCGCCACCCTCCTCGCAGCTCTAGAACGCACCACCCACCCCTCGGCCTTCATCCGCGCCCGCGCCGCAATCGACGACTCCCTCCGCAACCAATCCCATCCCAACTTCATCCGCTGGGCCATCGCTAACGGAAACCCCCCTCGCATCTCCTTCGCGTGGTGGGGCGGCATCGCCTTGCTATTCCTCGGTACCCTGGTGGCGATGCTTCTCACACTATCCCGCGCACCAAGGGGATACAGAATCCTAGCTGCGATACCATGGGTGTTCGGGGCGTCGACGTTCGGTATGGCAAGGGAGGGATTGTGCGTTTGTCTGCATGCGATGCGAGCGCGACAGGTGCGGCCGTGGGAGTTATTCGGGGACAGCGAGGCGGAGGTGGAGATGGGGAAGGCGGAGTTGGATGGGATGAGTATTACGACTAGTGGGTTGAGTGTTATGATGGGTGCGGGTGAAGCGCCGTGGGTGGGACGGTATAAGAAGAGGGGGTTGTTGAGACGGGTGTTTGAGAGGCAGGTTAGGGTTGTGGAGCCGGCGGTGAGGGAGGTGCAGAATACGTTGTTTGTGCAGGCGTTGTTGGTGGCGGTGCTGGGGACGGCGGTGGCGACGGGGGTGTTTGTGGCGATGCCGAGTGGGAATTTCTTTTGAGTGTTTTGTTGATGGTGTTTGGTTGATGGTTTGGTGTATATTGAGGGCGTGCTTGGTGTATAATGGGGAGTGATTGGGTTTGATATTCTTTTTTGATGTGCGTTTGTCTATACCTTTCTTCTTCTCTAATAGGGTTTGCTCGGAGTACATACGATTATAACGAGCTATGATGAGGCGCCCTTATGGCGGCCAAATATATATGATATTTATGACAAGTTAAGGGTATCAGATGGAGATGTGGCAATGGCCTATCTTCGATGTGATTAAGGAGAAGTCTAGAAAGGAAAGTCTAGTCGTTTTGATATTGATACTAGCAATTTAAGATAATAGCTTTCGTCTCCTCAGCACCGTTTCTCAGATGCTGGCTTATTTGGTTGCAGCCCTCAGTGACCGAGAGCCCCTATTTCAACACAGTTGCTGTAAACGCCAGCTGTTCCGTAAATGCTCAGGTGTTAAATCCAGCCTTGACAGTTTCCAAAATGGCCTCAACGGTCCAGGAATTTCGAAGCATCAACGTCACTTCAATAGGGCGAGGGAACTGATCACGGAGTTAATACCATTTATATACACGCCCAGAATTATATTCTTCAAACAACACGCGCATCAGAGCGAACCGAAAGTAATTCCATCCTCGTCTAACCCTGGCATATAAGCCGTGAAAGTAATAGAACATCTCTAGATGCCAGGACGTCTAAATCCACACTCATTGCACCCCCTGCCCGGTTCAAGCTTCCCATGCGTCGCCGACACTTGTCATTTTCCACATCGGGCCGTAATTTTCTTCGCCGGCCTTCTATATCCAGTGATATCCCCCTCCACCACCAACAGGCTCAGCGCCTCGCTTTATCTCCGTTCTAATTCCTCCATACCAGACGAAATACTGTCTGTCGACAGATCTAGGCACTCGCCACAACTGGCTCGGGAGTCTGCTCTGCCTTCGCCTTCTCAGCTGCCGCTGCTGCCTTGCCCTCGGGGCTGTTCTGGTACATCAAGATACGGGTGACTTGGATGGCACCAACGCATCCAAGGAAGAAGTTGACTGTGGCGAGACTGAGAGATGGTTAGCATCGGCACGGATATGGTAGGGGTGGGAGAGAACGTACAGAATGTTCTTAGGCTTGATGATCAAGCACCAGCGTGTCCAGATAGCGCCGGTGCAAGTGAGGGCAGCGTTCTGGGTAAGAGAGAGGGACTCTGCTGGGCGTGCGAAGTCGGAAACACCAGCAAGGACGAGGGCCCACTGATTCGAGTTAGCTGTGTGATCAAACGATACTGGTATCGACGAGGGGTCGAGGAATCGTAAATTCCGAGTGATGGGGAAATTGTACCTTCATGACCGGAGCCCTATTCGCGAGTTAGCTTTCTTGTACGCTGGTATATAAATTCAACCTATTGGGTCGCGTGGCTTACCAGAAATGCACCGTCTTAACTCCGATCGGGCTGTCCCACGCAGTCTTGAACCAGCTCGCCTTTGCGGCTCCCTGTGCCTCAGAGGAAGTCCCCTGGAAGCGTCGGCCAGCGCGGGCTGTGTTGCGGGCGAAGGCCGATTGGAATTGGGCCCTCGTGGCATTGTTGAGGATCGGGCGGGCGGTGCGGAAGAGAGTTGCCATTGCGACGGAGTGTCGAAGCAAGGACGCTTCTACCAACTTGATCGTTATTCGGACGGGGGAGGAGAAGACGACTATCGAGGCCGGTGCAGTTAAGCTTCAATGAGGCCAGTGAGGTGGAGTAGATGATAATTCGGGGTGCGAGGCCGACGACTCACAAGAATGTTGAACGGCCTATTGCGGAGAGTTTGGGGAAATAATCCTTGTGCATCCTCCAATCAGTTGCTGATGTTGCATAAATCGGGTGTTTGTGCACGGCGCGGAACAACGTTTAAGCGACGTCGGATCAACAGCTTCGTGAATCGGAATTGGAGGTAACAAGACCGCCAGCTCGAATCTTCAAGCATACAACTGATCACCATGTCGGGCAAATACGCATTCACCAAGGGCCTCAAGGAGGTGCGATTCCTGCTGTGCCAGACTGGCGAGACGAGCAATGCTACGAGGTGCGACTCCCCCCGTCCCAGCTCCGTTGTTTTTCGGGACCCCATTGCGCCCCGGATGCAATTGAATGCGAGCCATAGAGGCATACAGGCAGTTGAGGATATTTGCTGATTCTATGAAACTCACAGATCTTTTCTCGCACGCGCGTACCCCACGATGAAGAAGAACAACCCGACCACGCCTATCATGATCCGCGAGGCCGCAGGGACACAACCACAGGTTTTCGCCCGCTACGGTCAGTACAACATCAGCCATAGAGAAAGGATATCTAGGGCGCACTGCAAGTACAGATGAGAACAGTATGCTGACATTGAGTTTGCAGACTTCGGCAAGGAGAAGAGCGAGCTATTGGCTGGGCTGACGGATAAGGAAATCGAGGAAAAGGTTACTGGGCTTGTGAAGTCCGAGGCGTAACTTGTTGGCGGAGGATGAGACGGATGGCAACGGGGCAACTGTATATATGGGATAGAAGAGGGCCATGAATGAAGATTTGTACGAGCTGGATCCCCGAGAGCCGATGCGTGTGCCTACGAACGAGACTATGTGCCGGTGGTGTGCCAGTTTGAGAAGTACTCGGAGATTCAGAAGATGTGATTCATTTGTGCAACTGCATTGGTGGCAATTTTAAAAAGAACGATGGCACTATTTCACGTGGAAAGAATTACTAGCCGGTAGGAATATGGGAAGGGGCCACTCGCCTCTAATCTGAAGAAGGGACGACCTGACATGGCAAAGGAAGGAGCAACCGGTTTGCTAAAGGAAGCAACGACTGACTTACCAAAGTAAGGAAAGAACGACTCACATTCCAAACGGAATGAACGGCCGTTTTGCCTTCCTGAGGAAGGAACGACCTACTACAGTTACTAAGGGGAGGAGCGACTGACTTTCACAAAGGAAGGAAGGAACGACTAACTTCCTAAAGGAAGGAACGACTGGCTTGCTTTCCTAAGGAAAGAGCGGCTGACTATGTAGTTGCCAAGGGAAGGGGCATCTAACTTGTGTTCTAGGGAAGGGAAGGAACGATCGAGTTGCTGTCTAGAGGAGGCATCGATCGACTATGGTCATTTCTAGAGGACGAACTATACACAGTCACTCACTACCCGCCTTTAGACCTTTACATACCGCGAGTATACGCTAGGCTACGCTGGTTTTGACATTTAAAGTAGGTACCGCATACTAAATTAGTTTCCTCAAGAAGTCACTATGGAAATGGCATGGCTATATGATAACTTTCGACCTTCACGCCCAAACATAGTTTTGTATCTTTCCTTACTCCATATTCACCTCACTCTTCTTCTGAAAGCACCAACAAATTACACAAACTCTACAGTAAGTTTCCTTTAGACGGGTGTGTTTATAGCCTCTTCGAAACCACATCGACGTACATATTTATTGTCTTACCTAACACTCACTCTTGCTCAGTCCAAACCAAACCCGATGGTGGACATCAACTCACCTTCATCTCCCGATACAGGGCAAGATGCAACTGCTGCTCCCGGCCATGGCAGTGACCCCAAAAACATGCCTCCAACAAATACCAGCGATGCGGAAAACATGCCTCCAAGCAACGTCAGCGATTCCAAAAAAAAAAATCCCCTTCGCCGTGCCACCCGAAAGGATCACGGCCACCACGAAGCAGAGATGAAAAAGACTGACCAAGAGTCTGATTATGAGTTTGCCGACGTGTCCGATCCCGAGGAACAGTATGACTTCATAATGGACAAGATGATGAACATGGACGAGGACCAGTATCAGGCCTATAAGAAAAAACATCCCCGGCCAAGTGAGTCCCATACCATTTTGCTAGCTCACCAATAGCCAGCTAAACGGGAGAAAATAGATATGTCATCCTCAGGATCTTGCGGGCCCGAGGTGGCATTTAAGTATTTAAGGGAAATGTACGACGAGGAGGACGAAGAAGATGCCAAAGAGGCTGCATCTGCCGGGAGCCAGCCAACGAAGAAGCAGTAGTTGGGAAGAGGGTAGGCTTTCAAGCTGTCTTTCAATGGAGTTTCGGGGGCTAATCTTGTTGTGACAGCTACCTCGGACGGCTTTCAACCTGTCTTTCAATTGGGTTTCAGGCGCCAATCTTGTTGTGACAGCTAGCTCAGACAAATAAAATAATTGTGCACTGTGCTACTCGTTCCCGTATATAGCCATGGTATTTCTCGTAATTTTTAAAACGCCAATCCTTTCAAGCCACCCATATACTCCTGTCCAGAACCCCACTATTCTTCCTCGCTCTCGCTACTCTCCCCACCTCCCTTCGCCAGCTCTCTTTCCAGCTCAGCCTCAAGATCCACCTCCTCCTCCCTCTCTTCCTCACTTTCCTCTTCCTCCATTCCCCCCTGCGCCGGGCTCCCCAGGTCCAACGCCTCCACATCCCCATCTCCATCTCCATCCCCATCCGCATCTTCATCCTCATCCATATCTACATCCACACGCTCAACCGTTCTCTCTTCCCTTCCCCCCAACGGTGTCCCAAGCCCCAGTCCAAACGCCCTCGTCGGCGCCCTCCCTCCCGGATATTCAATCGTCAACCCATCATCACTCTCACTCTCACTCAAGCTCTCCCTCCTCCTCCTCGGTGCAGTCTTCTGCCTCTTAACCTCCTCCTTCGGCGCCGCCACACTCTTCCTCCGGCCTTTCGGTGCCGCCTTCACAGGACTCTCGTCCTGCGTTGGTCCCCCTTCCTCGCCCTCCGCTCCGGACGACCGCACAAATGCCATCTCGAACACCGAGTCGACCGGCCGCAGCTCCCAGCCCGAACGGCTGGCGTCCCAGACGAGCACGTAGCGTGCGGCTTTCTTGGGAGCGCCAGAACTACGTGGGCCGTGGTAGAAGGAGGTAGATGTTGCCGTCGACATGGTCAAGTTGTATTTGTGCTGGTCGGAGGTGGAGGGTTTGAGGAGGGCGGAGGTCGCGGGCGCCGGGGGGGGGGGAGAGTCTGGGAGCGTTAGCTGGGGTTGGCAATGGAAGCGGGGAAGAGGGGGACCGTACATTTGATGGCTGTGATGAGGTCCTTGTTGCTTAGGCCTTGGTTGAGGAGGGCAGGGCTGAGGAAAATGGGGTAGCTCCCTGAGGTTGGGGGCCCGGAGGGTGCAGCCATTGTGTCGTTGTATTTAGCGTTCAAGTTATTGATGAAAGCTGTGGGGTAGGCAGGGATGTGCTGTCATTTGTTCGTAATTGGAGGCTGTTCGAATGCACAGGACCATGCGACTGGGTGCAAAAGATTCGTCTATGTGAAGGCCAAAAGCCAGTTCTAGATATGCTCTTTGTGGTGGTTAAGAGCGTGGCAGGTTGTCGTGGATGATGAGTGAGGCTGGTTCTGGCTCACTGTGTAAGCCGCCGGGTGACACCCCGATCGGCGCTTGCCGAAGATGCGCCGTTGGCGCTAGCGTCCCCATCGCCGGCCCAAAATCTGTGCAGGGACTATACTGCTTTCAGTCAATATCAACCACAATAATTCCAACAGTTTCTGACAACTAGACTATTAAAATGAATCACTGGCTCTGGAGGTTGCAAAGCCAGTAACCTATCTTGAAATTACCATTTATAGGAATTTAAACAAACTCAGCTGCTCCCAACTACTAATACATACAGGACTGATAATCTTTATTTTTATCACTTCTGGGGAAATTTCTAGTCTATCAAGGTAACTACTACGAGACCCTATATAACTCTTATTATATGGGATGATTTGTCCTAAACGACCTGGGTAAATCGAAACCGTAAAAGGTAAATAACGGCGAAATGGAACATCCTAACCTCTAAATTCAAACAACGACCTGCATTATTACCGTGGCAGTCCTTCAACCTTTTCAAAAGCAGCAAAAACACAGCAATGCTTGCAAGCCCGAATCAGCTCGCCCAAAGTCAAGCCGTGGTAGACTGACCATCTACTCCCGCATCAGCAACAGCTCCGTTAGGATGACCCTCAGCTGGCCCTCTAATACGGGGTCCGTATCCGCCGCGCCCCCATCGGCCTCCATTGCCTCCCCTTCCGCGAAGAGAGGGGCCTCTCGGAGGCTCATTGCCGCGGGGATTCCAGTCACCGCGGGTATTATAAGTAATGTAGCCACCCCCATATGGACCGCCACCGCCATACCCGCCGCCACCACCGTACACTGGACCACCGCCATACGGTCCACCACCGCCATATGGTGCTCCACCAGCACTGTACGCTCCACCACCAGGGTACCCACCGCCACGTCCTCTATGCTGGGCCATCGGAGCCCCTCTCCCAGCACCCCGCCCACCTCGATAACCCTGCCCATCTACTGCATCCGCTCGTCTCGCCCCCTTCTGCTTCCGCTCAACCGTGAACTCAATCGGTTTCAGCGGCGTCCTCACCCACTCTAGCCCCTGAATCCCCAAACACACCTGCCTCTCCTTAGCCATCGTCCACGCCTGAAAGCACTCGCCTGGACTAAGCTCCAACCCGCCATTATCCTCTCCCACCCCACCCAACTCCACGATCCAAGCGCGACAGTACTCCCCCTTCGGGTCATAGTCCCACGACTGCTTAATGGGGTTGAAGCTGCGGCCGTCGCCCCGTGGATCGTTGCCCACACCAGCCACATACTGCCAGTTCCCCCAGCAGCTGCTGACGTCGTAGTCCTCGAGCGCGTACTCGTACCACTCCGCGCCCAGGCGCCAGTCGAGCTCGAGGTGCTTCGCGAGGAAGTTGGCGACATTCTGCCGCGCGCGGCTAGATGTGTATCCCGTGTGCGCTAGCTCGCGCTGGCTCGCGTCGATGAGTCCTGTACCGGTTGTTCCGTTGAGGAAGCGCGCGAGCGCTGCTGAGCTGGCGGGATCAGTCGAGGGTGTGGTCCATGGCTGGGAGAAGTCGCGGCGGAAGCCACCGATGGAGAAGAGGAGTGCATCGTACTTTCGCGTGCAGAGGCGCATGTAGTCGCGCCAGAGGAGTTCGTATCGGACTGCTGACGTGCCGTCAGTCTCGCCCTTGCCGAAGCCGGGGGTGGAGGCGCAGGAGGGGAGATTGGAGTCGCCAGATTCGAATGAGACGAGAGAGTTGTGTATTTGACGTGCTGTGATGCAGCCTTGAGAGAGATATGAAGAGAGGCGTACGCTGTAGTCTGCGCCCATAAGGTCGTTTCGCGTGTCTTTGTAGGTGGTGATGGCGCCGGATTCGAGGAGGTGGAGGAGTCGGGATTGGGCGGCCTGGGATCCACCGTGGAGGGTGGGGGATGGTGGCATGGAGCTTGGGCGCAGTGGGAATGTGGGGAGAGGCGATTGGGATACGGGTGAGAGGAGAGATGATTCAAGATCTTCGTAAGAGTTTGGTATAACGAATGGTGGAGATTGGGGCGGAATTATTGACATAGGAGGTAACGGTGGTAGTGTGCCTTTGGCCGGCGTGGGTAGGAGAGCCCGAGGCGCATTGAGGAGTGGTTCAACAAGCTTTCGGTAGGTGGTGAAAACATCTGGAAGCTCACTGATGTCCTTCAACGGAACGTCATCGCTGTTTGGGTTAGAATACTTCATATGAGCATCACAAATATGGGATGCAGTTTGGCAAAGCACACAGTACAAGGGGGGACATACTCATCTACAAAGTACTTCTCATCCTTCCACAACTTGAAGTCGACACCTGCCGCGTCACAAATTGTTTTGCAGTCTTTCTCGTCAAGTTTCTCCTCGACGCCTTCTTCGGCAGTCATCCACACAGCAGCGATATTCACCCCTTTCCCATTAAACTTGAAGCCTGCTAGGAGATCCTTCAGAACATCACTTAACATGCCAACTCTTACCTCTAGTCCGCTGCCCACGTTTCCCAGGGTCTCCTTTAACTCCCAAACACTCTCCGCGATGAATTTAGCCCGGTGTGGCCCGCATCTCCAGAATTTGCCAATGCTGGATCGTGCCTCGGGATACGGACTCTTCTCCTCGGAGTCTTCGGGGATGAAACCAGAAACTTCTATTTGCTGAGCCGGGAAAGCATAGACGGGAAGGAGGTGCGTATATGTTTTAGCGGCGTCAGTAGCCGCAGCATGGAAGATTGGGTTATCTTCCAGCCGGAGGTCCCTCCGTAACAGGTAGATGAGAATATTTGGAGGCGTCATCGTTCCTTGTGTCTCTCACACGTCTAACAATAAGATTGGAGGTCGACGAAGATTGAATCTGTCAGGAACTCGCGGAATCATGGCAGTAGCGATGTCGACTTAGAGCTGTCATTAGCCCCAACTAAGGGCACAAGCACCGACAAGCCATGAGCTTGTTATATAGCATCTAGCCATGCCGATGACATAAGTCTGAGCAAGCTCCTTAGCCCCGAAGGAAGGGCCCGCAGAATGGCGTCGGTCACACAGGGTGCCACCAGTCCCAAGGGGCCCGCGTCGAGGCAGCCTCCCGAGGTCCCCGCGGATTGCAAAAGCGGGCTAGATGGGGGTCCAGCTGCACCACGCCCGGCCTATGAGCGCCGCGCGCCATTCCCGGCGCTCAGGGAGCGTCGCACCGGCGGTGCCCAAACGTGGACTCCACGAGCTTCAGCCGCAGTTGGAGTGGCACGAAGAATGGGGGGTGGGTGGTGAAGGAGATCTCCTTGTCGGCGCCTCTATCACGAACCATCACCACGGCCGCATCCCTTTCAATTTAGGAGCTGAGGGCGTGGTGGAAACTTGGTAATTGGAGTAAGATGGAAGCGAGCACGGAGGGGACGCACAGGAGATCGGGAGTTGTGAAACAAGTGAGACGGGATGTGCAAGCGTAAGGCAGTGGTGGAGAGCAGAGGCACAGAGCGGATTTCTGCATCGTGATGCCCAGTTCCTGGTCCGCCCAACAGAGAGTAGCCCCTGTAGTCTGAACATTATCACCCTGAGGCGTCCAATGATGGGACTATGTGTGGCCCATCGAGTTCATCGAGGGAGTTTAGCGCGTTTATGGGCATTTGCCCACCCATTAGTTTGTCGATGGCGTTGAGGCCGAGCGCGCGTTCACTTTCGGGAACGAGGACCTGGGTCCATGGGATCCCCCCAGCTAGACTAGATAGAGCCTCCCGGCGCTTTTCCAGTGCCGTCGCGGGGGGGCGATGGCCCTACAAATGCACACTTACCTCAGGCTGTATGTATGTCAGGATGTATGTCAGGATGTACGTCTCAGTTGGCGTGTCCGAATGTACTGCGCTGTACTGTACGGTGTCATTCTTGGAGGTTTGTGATTGCACGAACGTCTGTCAACCACGAAATTCTTCACCGCCGCCGAGATATGAGGGGTATCTGCATCAATTCTGTATTAGCTGGTAGTGTTCTGTGCCTCCAATGTGTTCGCGAGGTGGTACAGCGAAGAAGTTGTACAATGAAGTTTCACATCCGCCTTGTGTAATTCTGTGAATCTGGATCCATATCTCTTGTACATATGGATCCGAAAGTACTCTCCGATACTCGTACGATATGCGCCAACATACGCGGCCCACAACGCCCATCAAACTGTACAGTAGCGTCAAAATTCGAGCCCCTCTCGCGCCTCTCTTCCCTACTTAGTTGGAGGGAAATTCCCACATTCCAGCGCGACAGGGATCGCAGGCTGCAGTAGTCATGGTCGCCTATCTTTCCTGCCATTGGCCTTCCCGCGCGTCTCCGCCGACACTACTCGTAACAAACTCCACCGTTCCACGGAGGATAAATGTGATTGAGATCAAAAAGGGGCACGTGAAGAAATGGTAATATGAATAAAAGGAGCCAAGATGTTATTGTTTCGACGCACCCAAACCTCGGAACACACTCGCCACACACTCGCACAAACAGGATCGGCGCTGGGATAAGCGGAATGAGAAGGGGCTAGCCAACCCCAGGATCGCGAGAAGACAGGGACACGGATCCATCCTCAGCTTTGCGCCACTTTGGCACGTTCTTGCCCGCCTTGTCTATTGCCGTACGAGGGGGTTGCGGTCGTGCTTGATTGGGGAAGGTTTGGCGAGCGGTGTTCAGGGTATTGAGGGTGTTCAGAGCAGGTTTGGTTATACACCAACAAAATATATTCTCGTTCTTCCGCAGCTGAGGCCTTGTTTTGGAAGGGCAGCATTCTGGCCCATCATTGATCTAAGACACGGAGGAACCGAGTACAAACACCCCTTCCCCCCGCAGCCACTGACCGCACCCGAAATACGGGTCGACAGGCGCCAGACGCCCCGGAGCACAAGACTTGTTTGTCATGGCCCGAAACAGAATGATGCCCGGTGCAACGATACATGAGGCTCAAGAGTTCCTCTCTAAAATTTATCCCCCAGACCAGCCAACTTCACATTCTTCGGCACCACATATAGCGCCCGACCCTCCGTGTACACCGATCCTGCCAAATCCTCCACCCTCCCCTTCACCCACGCCTTCCTCTTGTTCTTCCCATTGTCTGCCCCTTCCTCCATCCACGACCTCACCACCCACCACCCTGCACTCTTAACAGGCCTTTTATATCCCAGCTCAAGTCTTGCCGTAACCCCCACGCCTCCGTCCAACCCCCTCATCCCTGTCCGTGCCAGGCACTCATCCAGCAGCGTAGCCAACAAGCCTCCATGCACCACCCCCGGCCACCCCGACAGCCCCCGTCCCAGCCACGCGAGCACAACATACTCTCCCGTAGTCTTGTTGCAGAACACCCGCTGGTACCCAATCCCCCCGTATCCTCCAAGCGGTCCGCTCGTCAACCTGTTCGCGAGGCCATCACCCCCGGGCGTCGTATATGCATCCCACGACTCCCATTCCTCCCCGGCCATCGATTTAGCGAGCGGCAGCGCCTCGGCGTCCGCACGGAGAGCTGTGGTGAGCTTCTGGCCCTCGGGGGACTCGGGACTGGGGAGCGGAGGGGGCGCCAGTAGGCCGGTGCTGAACTTCCCTACCGAGAGGCCCAGAAGGAGGAAGCCGGACGCCAGGATGAGGGGGCGAACTGATTTTCGTTGGCTGCGAGGAGGAGGAGGCGGTGGGTGATCGGAACGTGGTGGTGGTGGTGTGGAGGCGTTCAGTTGGGAGCGCAGGTCGTTGTGACGGGGAGTTGGGACATCGGGGGTTTGGGAGGGTGGTGGAGTTGAGTATTGCCTGCATTGGGAGAGCGGCGATCGGATTGTTCGATGTATCGGTGCGGACGATGAGTAGATGAGATGTCGTGCATGCTGGCCATGCCCAGTCGGTTTGCCTTGGAGCTGGAGACGCAGGGGGGCAAGCCCTTTTGTGAAGTTCTTCGTTGCCATTGTGTCTCCCACGTAGTCAGTCCAATATCTCCGGATTAAAAGTGCTCAGAATGTCGAATTGCGAGGGCTACTCCTGTCTCGTCCCAGTCACTTAGCTCAGTCGCTGTTGTGTTGTTGTCGCGACGTGTTGAGTTTGAGCTCGGTTGTTTGGCGGAAGGCTTCAATCTCTATATTCCTTATCCGCTGCCGAGATAGCCAGCCTCGTTTGCGACAACGCGACGAGGCTGAGAACAACACAAAGACAAGCTCCTGCGCTCCAACAACGCGCTTCTTCACCTTCGTCATTCGTACAATCCATGCTTCAGATGTACGACGGCAGTAACACCCGCAGCAATGAGTACTGTTTCCATGAGTATGAAGCCTTTGATCTTTGCACTTGTTCTTTTTCATTATTCGGTTTCCTATGGCTGGTCACTTCGGGGCTGTGTCAGTTCCCATTGTCCTCGAACAATCCATTTCAGCTCTTGTTCTTCGATGGTATTTTTAGCAAGAATGCAAAACGTTCTTTGATTCTTTGCCTAGTTCTTAACTTTCCTTGTTTTGCCTTATCCGGGTAACATAGATCTATTGTCCTGGGCCTTTATGGGGCCCAGGACAATAGATCTTTGGTTCGGTGATGTTTCGTTCTTTCCTTATATCGACGAACAATAATAATGCTGTCCAGATCTTTGAGTGTTATAATTCTTCAAAGAAGCTTTGTCTGTCTTCACTGTCCCGAGTCTCAGATAATAATCTTTGTGTCATTTTTGTATAAATACCCCTCTGCTGTCAAGGTGGCTGTTATCATCTCGGCAGTACCATTCGCATTTCAAAACATTTCCCCACCAACACCATACGACACTGGTTTTTTGCTTTTACTGCTGTGCAGTATACACTTTTATCTCCTAATTCTCTTGCAGTCTATTTTGGCACCTGCCACTCTATTCCACGTCCTCCTCTATCAACCGCTGATCATGGCCGAACCAGGGCAAGAGGGCGAACCATGGCCACCGGGCGAACCGCAGCCAGTGATAATCCCAATGCTGGCGGAATACTCTGATGGCACCAACAGTGACCTAGCAAAAGTTATGTTGGAAGAAATATATCGAGACTACCATTCTAAGCGTTTTACATTCATTGTTGCTCCAGACCGAAGGTTAGTTCCCGTCCTCTACTGGCAGAGGGACATGCGTTCGCGCATTAAAATCCTCTTCACTGCACTCCCCGGTTCTCAAAGGGACAAAATAATATTTGTGGCCATTCTTTCGGTATCGCCGACCTTCATCGAAGCTGTCAGATGGGCTGTTGACGAGCTCTGGACATTCCTCGTTGGGCATTTGACAGCAAACAAATCAAGCATCGAGTTTTTCGCGCGGTCGCGGGGTGTGCCCTGGCTTCGAGCCGTCAGAGAGTTGATCCCTGAATTATTCCGCCGGAACCCAGAGCCTCATGTGAGCTTATTCACTGATCATATTGTGGGATTTTACCCAAGTCCCAACTCCATCAGCGATGAAGTCTTGCACTTGAACCTTAACGCCCATGGCCCAGACACATACTATCTATCGACAGCAGGCGCGATAGTTCCCATCCTTGCCCCGAGCTACAACGATGCCCAGCGCTCAGACCTCCAGGTTATAGACATCGAAGATTGCACCTACGACCCCAATCTCTTCCGCCAATACGACCGTACGCCCGGGTGGCCATGGCAAACCTGGCCACGCCACCCCCAAATCTGCCATCCCCCGGACATAGACGGCGTATACCGCGAGCCTCCCCGCTGTGTGACATGCAATAACCACTTCGCCGCGGAAGAAGACTGGAATAACCCATTTAATGGCTGCCAATGCCACGCCTTTGTGCAGGCGTGGAAAGGTGTGTTGGTCCAGATAGTTGAGTATCCCCCGTTCCCCGATCAGCCGAACGTCGTGAACCGTGGCGTGCGGTCCCTGCAAGCATTGGGTGCCAATGAACTGATAGGTGAGTACACGGGGGTCTTGCTGCCTGATACTGATTACGATCCGCATTCTGAGATTTGCGACAACACCTACCAGTTTGGGATATATGGCGAATCAGAGGAGCATTGTGTCGCCGTTATCTCGGCACGGCTGAGTGGGAACTGGACGAGGTTTATCAATCATACTGATGATAAAGACAAGCAGAACGTTAAATTTATTAATGTACAGATAATGAACAGATTGAGGGTGATGGTTAAGGCGATCAAGGAGATCAAGCTTGGGGATGAGATACTGGGACATTATGGTGATGGTTACTTCAAGAGCAGACAGTTATTATGAGGGCAAATAGACGTTGACATAGATATAGATATAGATATAGAAGATATAGAAGATATAGAAGAATAGCATTCATTCCTTTGATTCCCGGTCCAGAAAAGCAAGATAAGTGTTAGCATCAATTCCCAGCTCCAAACTGTCCCATTGCAGACTTCAGGGCCGCGCGAGTAGTGGCGAGCCTTATGTTGGTTATTGGTTGCAAATGAGAATAAACGATTGGCGACGCGTCGAGGGCGCGTAAACCCGAGGTTGTGGCTCATGCAACCTCATTTTTCGGGAGCGCTTAAACAACCACCACCCGTCCACAATCCAGGCTCTCCCCGTTTATTCGTCCCCTGTTTATGCGCCCGGCAAGACAGTGAAACGGTATGCACGGCAGGTCTAGATATAGACGAGTCATACCGGCCGTCATCTGGGCTTTGACGCCGCAAAATCTGCCAGCAGGGAAGGCTGAGGGTTTTCGGGCGGTCTGCCTGCATCTGGCGCTGTTGGAAGTCCAACATGCATAGCTGCCTTCACGATGGCCCGCGTATATGAATCTGTGGGTATGTAAGTCGAGGGATGGAATTGTCTCCCTTTCTTAAGTCATGACAGCTACTACCCTCATATTTCTATGTCGCTGCGAGTTGATGTGACGAGGCTGGTGAAGCCACTATTCAATACATTTACTACTCTCATACTTCGATAAGACTGGCATGCGGCATCGAGCCATTGCTATTGTTCGCTGTCGATGCGTTGGCTCCTCGGATACGATTGCTCTTCATTCTCCACAGTAGGGCTTTTCTGTTGTGTGGACGACAAAGACGCGGCATCTACGACGGGTTTCTGTTGCAGATACGGAGGAAAGGCATCTATCACACAGTCTATCCCAAAAATCACTGTTACTACTGCGGAGCAGCCAAGAACGAGTCTTCACCCACCCATGATAGCCGCTCGACAATCTGCTCAAACACGCCAGCAGTCTTCAATTGCCCCCCAGGCTCTCACCGTGCCTGTGGCAACTGGTCGAAAGCGCATACAGCCTGAAATGGCGCAATCACAGTTCATGTCGAATCCTCCTCTTCTCACGGCAACTCTCCGAATAAATTCAACTGCTACAAACCAAGGTGTGACGACACCCCGGCTGGATTCTACTTCCCAACAACCTTGGAATCGTCAACAACAGTCGTCCTACGAGCAGCCACGAGAGCCCACAACACAACGACAACTATCGAGTCGGCAACAGCTGCCGTCTTACAATATGCCCCCTCCTCAAAGACAATCACCAACTCGCGAACATCTGCCGTCTTACAGTATGTCCCCGACTCAAAGACAATCACCAACTCGCCAACAGCAGCTGCCCTACCATAATCCCTCGAGTGCAAGACAACCAGCTCCTCGTCGACAACCGTCGTCCCAAGGGTTGCTAGTAACTACACAACCACCCACCGACCCGGAAAAGATAGCGGCCCTGAATCTAAAGCTTGAGACTTATCGCCAGATCATAGTCGACCTAATGAAGCCGACCATCAGTCAACAACAGCCCGCAGTCAGCGCTGAACAGATCAGATCAAGTCTCCGAAAAGCCGTGTCCAATCCACAACCTCGAACCACAGCCACACCATATCCTGACACTCCACCATATTCCCCGCCACCTAAACAAGATATTGCGAGCCAGTCACAGCTCAACCCTGAACGTTTTGAACTGCCTGCAACGAGCCTGCAACAATCTAGGCCCGTCCAACGAATTATTACAACGCCACCCCCTGTGGATACGAACCCGTACAGGAATAAGAGGTCTGAACTTAGTGCAGCAACAGGCAATCACCGCAGGACAATATCCCAACCTCAAATGGAACGTCCCCGGTGGCCTTCGACACCCAAACTGTCCGAGGCGCCTTCTCGTACACTCGGCGCGACCGAAGTGCCTAAATCAGAGCCGCCCAGACAGCCTCGTGATTCTAACGATGTCCCCGTTCCATCAGGCTGTTGCATCCTGGACCGCAGAGCCATTGAACGTGGACTCGGGCTGATGGCGGAGTACTTGCACCACAACAACGCCGACCTAACCATCATTGCCGTCGGCGGAGTGGTCTCCTCGTTCTTCCTCCGCGCCTGGGCCACGACCACCGACGTCGACGCACTAGGAAGTACCCTCACCACCGCCCAGCGCAGGTTGCTCGCCAGCGCTGTATTATACGCTAAATCGCGCGGCCCCGTCCCGCTAGGCGACGGGTGGTTCGGCGGCGAGAGCGCGGTGGATATGCGTCCCGAGGTAGCGCGCGACGTCTACGAGCTCTCCGAGCAGCAGAACGATATTGTGTACTGCAGCGAGGGGTTGACAGTTCTGGCGCCACGGTGGAGTTATGCGTTTATGGTGTGCGTGGACCGACTGTCTCGTGGCATGGGGAGGCCCTATGATATGGGCAATGCGGTGCTGTATATGCATCAGTACATCAAGATCGGGAAGCACAAGCTCATTCCGATCTTGGGGATTATGAAGTGGGGGGAAGGGTATGATTTGCATGTTACCTTGGAGGTACTGCGCTCTGTCAAGAAACATTATCTGAGGCATTATGAGAGGGAAGCGATTTCGGAATGATTTAATGATGGCTCTTATATTCTTGATTTGCTGTATTTTAGCTGGTTTCATGGCGTTGGCGGACGTGGGATGATGGAGTATGCATTGGGATTTAGATGGGCCAGGCCCTTTCTTAGTCTCCTAAATGATACCCTATTATATTTTTGAAATGTTTTGGAATCTTCATTTGTGATAATTATAACTCAATGGAAATATGACTCTAAATAAATTTATATACCCACAAATAATAACCACGGATTGAACGACTCAATATGATCCACTAACCACGCAAATAGCTCCTTCCCTCAAATAAATATTTACTAGCGTTCTAATATTTTTCCGGACCGCTTTCATTCTTAAAAACCATCGAAATTCAAGAAACGTCTTATTCCTTCACAGAATATATATAGTAACAGAAGGCCTGTTTCCTACATAATGCGAATTTCGCCAGTCCACCTCAACAACCACCAGCCCTGCTGGCACAATTGGTTAGCGCGTGGGCCTTTTATGCAGATGATTCATCATCAGCTAAAAGACAAGCCCAAGGTTCAGGGTTCGAGACCCTGGTGGGGCGTGCATTACAGTGGTTAATTTTTTTTGGATTTTTTTTGTCGCTTAAGGTCGCGTATCGTAAAGACTTATTCGTATTTATGATTGATTTATGATTGATAGAGGCCTTGAGATTTTTTTTACAGAGCGTTCAGTTTGTTTGGAGGTATTCAAGTGGTTGGGGCTTTGGTGGATATGTTGAGCTTTGGTGGGGTTAACCAGGCGAGGCTGCGGGTATGAGCGGGTATGTTATGAGTGGGTATATGTGTGGTCATTGTCATCGCCATCACTCTCCTTCGTACGTTCTTGGTGAACAATAATTATGTGAGAATATTACGGGCACGATGATGGTAAAATAACTGCATGGTTTTCTGGTATATAGTTCGATATTTATAGTAAATGGCATACCTTACCAGCTACAATCTCGCATTTCAATGAACTTTTTCATCCAAAGCAAAGCTCCCTTCTAAATCTAACACGCCTCCACTCTCAATTTACACAAACTTGCTGTCCTTGACGGTGTACAAGTCAACATACTCATCAATAGCCATGCCCTCCAGCTTGGCGCGGTCGTTTCCGAGATCGACAAGCTCCTTAACCCTGGCAGCATCGAAATGCGGGCCGAGATGCCTCTTGTACTTCTCGAGGATGACCGGCTTGGCCTCCTCTCTCCTGATCCTGTGTCCGAGCGGCGCCTCGACAACGATCTCATCAAAGACCGTGCCGTCATTAAGGGTGACGGTAAGCGCGTTGGGGATGGTGCGCAGCTTCTCGTCATGGTAGTCGCGGGTGAACTGCTCGTCCTCCACGCACTTGATCTTCTGGCGGAGGCTCTCAACGAGCGGCGAGGTGGCGGCCTCTCCACCGTCAGTGTAGTCGGTGGCCTCGAGGCGTCCGTAGACAAGCATGACCGAGGCCATGTACTGGATGCAGTGGTCACGGTCGGCGAAGTTGTCCATGGGCTTGAACTGTTTGTCGATGATGCGGATGCATGCCTCGTGGGTGCGGCAGGTGATCTCCTTGATGTCGGCGGCGGACTTGCCCATAGCCTCGAGCTTGTGGTAGACAGCCTTGGCGGCCTCAATCGCGGTCTGCGAGTGGAACTCGGCTATCATCGGGTTAGTGGCTGAAAATGTTGGGCGGTGGAAAATCTAGACTTACCAGGGTAGGAGACCTTGAACAGGACGTTCTCCATAACGTAGCTGCCGTATGGGCGCTGGAACTCGAACTTCTTGCCCTTGAAGAGGACGTCGTAGAATCCCCACACTGGTGCGGAGAGGACGGTTGGGACACCGGGCTCGCCCTTGGCGACCTTGAGGACGAGGTTGACGGCACGCTGGCAAGCGTCACCGGCAGCCCACGACTTGCGAGACATGGTGTTGGGGGAGTGTCTGTAGGTGCGGAGGGACTGTCCGTCAACCCAGGCCTGGGAGACAGCGTCGGCGGTCTGCTTCTCGGACAGGCCGAGGAGCTTGGAGATGACGGCGGTGGATGCAACCTTGACGAGGACAACGTGGTCAAGACCGACCTTGTTGTAGGAGTTGAGGAGAGCCAGGCAGCCCTGGATCTCGTGGGCCTTGATCATGGCCTCGAGAACCTCCTTGACGGTGATGATCTTGCCATTTCCAAGGTTTCCACCGGCACGGTTGGTGCGGGAAATCCAGTCAGCGACGGCGAGAATGGCACCCAGGTTGTCAGATGGGTGACCCCACTCAGCGGCCAACCAGCAGTCGTTGTAATCTAACCATCTGATCATGGCACCGATGTTGAACGCAGCGTTGACGGGGTCAAGTTGGAAGTTTGTGCCGGGAACCTTGGGGCCGTTGGGGACAACGGTGCCCTCAACGATTGGGCCAAGGAGCTTGGTGCACTCCTTGAACCTGAGACCCTCAAGACCACATCCTAGAGTGTCGAGGAAGACGAATCGTGCAGTGTCGAACTGAAGTTTGTGTTAGCTGGGAGAATCAATGCTTCGGAGGATTGCCGAGACGAGGCGGGGTTACATACAGCGAGATCCGAGTCAATCGGGGTGTTGTGGACGAAAGAAGCGATGTCCTTGATCTCTGGATCATACTCTCTTGCGACCGGCGCCGGGGGGGCACCAGATTGAAGTTTAGACATCGTGGAGAAGCTGCTGGTTCTGAGAGCGGCAGAGGTGCGAATGGCGGGGTTGGTGAAGTTGATGCGGTTGAGAGCCTGAGCACGGACGGCTCTAGTCGGTAAGCGGATGGACTGGACAGATGCAGCTCGCAGAGTTCTGTTGATCGCCGACATTGTCCTGCTGCCAAACAAGACAGATATCTCCGAAATAGGCAATTGAGAGGCTACGGTGCGGTTTTATGGCTGAGCCGTCGTAGATTGGGAGAATATGGTGATGTAAGAGGGAGTGGCCGCCGAAAGGAATTTATGAGACGATTCTGGCCGCTTACAGGGTTTGGGCCTGGGGCATTTGGGTGGTTTTGTGGCTATTGCCGGCGTTGGTGGTGTCCGTGCCAACACCCGAGGCTAATCGGCCAATTGGACTAACAACCGACCATGTGCGAGGTCCGGCAGCTATAAAAATAAATCCTGACATCGACAGATCCGTGGCAACTCCGGCGATGTTTATTGTATGAGAATATAATGAGAGGTTGCCGGTTTTGAGCTTATAGTTATGTGTTGTGGCTTTATTAGGACTTGGGATATGGGATTCGACATGTGCGGGGCTTTTTGTGTACACGTTTGTTTAGTTTGGTAGTACTAGAACGCCTCGATTGAATGGAGTTATGAGATGAACAAACCCCAATCCTACGTTAGATGACTGAATTTGCAGCCAAATACTTCAAATATGCTTAGTTTAAAAGTGACATCCATAGAATGATCTTTACAGACACACAATGGCACGAGGAGACACTGTACAACACTGTGAAGCTCCCTTCGGCCGGCCTCGTTCTGGCGATCCCCGTTGTCGGCGTACATGATACTCTCACACGTCCCAGGCCTCACCAACCCGAGGTAGATGCGGGCCGATATAATTACGACTAACTCTAGTCGATTGAGTTTCATTTATTACCTCTATTCGGACAGACGGAAAGAACGACTCACTCTACTGTGGGAAGAAACGACCCATGATGATGACGTAGCCGTGTGTTACAGCGTATTTTGATAACAAAGATTCTAGCATGAGCAGCTTTTAAATACCTTCTCAGTTCCTTCAGAGATAGACTCGCTTGCCAGCCTCATGCAGGGGAATATCTATAACCTATGGAACTAAACCGTATGGCTGGAGTGCAGCCCAACTCGCACGGCCCGCCCTCTAATTTATCACTTCCATCAAACCGCAACGACATAGAACATCTCAAAGCTACTCCTGTCTGATTAAACATAACTTAGCGATCATAACTACATGGGATATATCAATTGCTTATCTCCAAAAACCATCATCCAAACCCATGCGACAGAAGAGCCTTGCATTTACCCCTTACCCCTCTACCCCATATCGCCATCGGCTGCCTACAACCTCAAATGCTTAAACATAGCACCCAATTGCTCCCCAATTTCATCCCAGTTTACGCGCCCCCATACCCAATCCGCAATATTCAAACACCAACAAACCTTGCCTCCACTACCCCACCTCCCTAGTCATGCCTTAGCAAATTTCAAAATCCGGAACCCCTTCCTATCAATCACATCCAGCGCCGACGAACACCACCAAATCTCTCTCTCCCTCCCCGGAAACTCCCTCAGAGTCGATATCACCACCTGCAGCGGGAACGCGATGCTTGACGCTCCGAGCAGTCGGTTGGCGGGCTGCACGCAGTACTCGAACGACTGGCAGATATTGCGCACCGCCGTCATGACATCGCGGTCCTGCAACGGCGGGAGGTCTGCAATGTTGAATCCGCTCGGGCATACGTGGACAGGGGTAGAGCAAGCGCACTCATTCTCATCGGGCGTGAGCGGCTCCATAAGCGCCACCGCATGGTAGAGGTGGAACAGCCCGCCCCACAATATGATGCACATAGCCCAGTACAACTCACAAATCCTCGCAACACGAAAATTAACAAAGTGGAACGCAACCGGGAACAGCTTCCCCGTCTCGGCGTTGTCCGCGGGGTTATCGAGCGTAGACAGCTCGGGCCAGAACAGCGGGCCGTCGACGCTGGCTTCGAGCTCGGCGTAGAGGGCGCGCATGGCTGCGTCGGCGCGCCAGCAGGAGTCGATGACGGCGAGGCAGGCGAGGAGGGAGGAGGGGGTCTTGAGGTCGCCGATGGATTGGGCGGCTTCGAGGATGGTGGGACCGAGCATGAAGACGTCCATGAATTTGTCGGTTAGTGACTTGGTCCTGCCCTTCCATGGTGCTTCTAGCCACTCTTTGTCGCTCATGAAGGTTGCGCGGTTCTGGGGGATGGCTTGCATTAGCTGCGCACAGGGTTAGCTCGGGCTTCATAATGGGGGGGTATGTAGGGAAGAACGTACCGAGCTGTACCGACACGACAGGAAGAGCAGGTGTGCCGCATCCCCACTATGCGCATCCGGGCCCCTTGCCTCAATCAACCGCATACACCCTTCCGAATGCGTTATCAACCCCTTATCACTCTCCGCTGGACACTCCACAACCTCATACAACCCAAGCGCCACACACGCTGCCAGAGTCTCATCCTGGTACACCCTCTCATCCTTTAGCGCCCTCCCCAGTTCCCGGAGACTAACACAGTACAGCCGCCGACTCTCATGCACTAGCTCCATACAATCGTGCGTCCGTCCCAACTGTGAGGTACTCAGCGCCATTAGTGCCGCCTCGAGCGCTGGCGCAGAACCAACCATCCCCGGCAAGCATAATAGCCACGAGGAGTCCTCGGTCGCCGCGGGCGTCCCATAGTGCGGGATAAAGGCATGCATAAACTCGCCTATTAGCTGTTGCTGGAACGGCCGGTACGAGTCTACCATCCGTCCTAAACGAGGTGTGGGCGACACAACCTTGTCATAGTGCGGTTTATTTTGAGCGCTTGTCCATACGAGAGCTACTGTGGTATCCTTGGACGCCTTCCATGCAGTCCTGCTCGGCAATGTCCCTGATGCTGTTGGCGTGGAAGCTCCAAGAGCAACCCCGCCCTCGAGCTTAACCTGGTTATTCGGCACCCACAGTCTCTCGCGCTGGTAGCCGCCACATTCGCGGTTCGATTTGATGCACTGCTTGCAGACCGGGGTGTCGAGACTGCACTATACGGACATGTTAGCGCGGGCTTGCATAATTGGGGTTCCAATTGGGACAGATGGAGGGGGACGAACAGCTATTCTTCTCTTCCGGCAGGTATTGCAACCCTTTGAGCGGCCTGGGACGCCAACCATTGTGATATATTCAAAAAGGGCGAGCTAGATAGAGTAGATCTTGCTTCGTATGACGTTGTAACGTTATGCTGGTATGTGATAGTAGCAGCGGCAACTACGAAAGATGATTGTATCGAAAAGATGGCGGACGAAGAATCGCTTTAAAGAGGACCATTCCGCGAGACGCCTCAAAATATATCATCTCACCCAGGACCGTGAGCCCATGTCAACGAGTCTTGGCCCATCGACTCACCGTTTTCTGTGTCCTTTTGAGGCCGTGGATGAGCCATTACTCGAGCTGGCCTTGTCCAGCCGTTCAGCGCAAGGCTGAGAGAGCAGGGGTTTAAACCGCTTTGGGAAGCAATGCGCGAGGTGGCGCGGCCAATCAGAGTGGGGATTGGAAGCACTCCCACATCGATAAAAATTGTCAGCCTCAGGAACCAACTCAACATGGTAGAGAAGGCCTTGCATAGGCCTCAGGTATGATAGAGTTTGTTATTCCTCGAGCTGGACGAAAAAAGCCTTACGGTAAGCCTCTTACCCACGAAATAGTACCGCCTATCGCATTAGTCCCTCAACAACACGCCCTCTCTATCTCGTAAGGGTGTTAGCTGCATCATGGAAGCTTCACCGATCGGGACTCAGTGCCGTGAATCCACTCGTGGCCGCTGATCCCTGGTTAGTAATTTGTCGCCGGGGATCGTCTCGGACAGTTCGGCGAGAGAAGTATAGTGGCAACCGCAGTAGGAGGTATGATGTTAAGGTAGCAGTATAGGCGGTTTGTTCCTGCGGCGAGAACGGCCCAGAGAGGCGCTTTGGTTACACCGGCAGCCACTGTCACTGCGAGGGAGATTTGAGGCCTTCGTTTTCTGTACAGTACTGTACTGTATAATCCGTAGATTTTTGCCTCGCGGCCCTCTGTCTAAATTCTATGGCGTCTATTTCATCTATTACTTACTCCAATTCCAATTCCAACCACATAAATATAAATTATTTTTATCCTCCCCCTAATATGTCTACACCATCACACCACCTCTCTTATCCCCTACTCCCTCATGATATTGTAGCACCTCCATCTGTACTCTCACCCCCTCCCTCGTCTCCTCGCTCTCCCCACTGACACCACTCTTCACACTCCCCGCCTCCACCCTCGCCATACTCCCCATCTTGACGCTCGTCAACCTCGCATCCTCTTCCGCATCCAAATTATGAAAACTCCTTCCTCCGGGCTTGCTAGGATAGGTTCCTTGGCCGCTGCGGTTCTTACTCGAACCCCTCACCGTCCAACTAGCGAAGAACGCGCGGCAGCTAGGCACGCACGCGCAGATGATGCTAACATGCACTTCGACAGCTGCCCAGAGCCAGGCGACGTAGCCGTACCAACTCACATCGTAGGTTTGGAGGAAGACGACGACGTTGTAGTACAGCCGGATGGAGGCGGCGGCGATGACGATCAGCCCGACGGAGAAGAGGGAGATGACCTGTAGCTTCTGGGTGGTGCGGATTTTGAGTGTAAAGAGGGAGCGGAGGGGGATGGCGAAGATGATGAGGTCGAAGATGAGGTTGAGAACGCCGGCGGTGACCATGTGCACTCCCTCATCTAAGCAGGTGCCCTTGGCACCGGCGATGAGAATTTCCCAGTAGTATGGTAGGGGGCTAGGATGTGTTAGAGGTGGTTGTTTGGTTGGGGGAAGGGTTTGACATACCGGCACTGGGCGAAGAGGACGATAAGAAGGACGACGTAATAGATTATCATTGCGCCGAGGGTGATTTTGGTGATGAGCTTGTCCTTCTTCTCGACGAGGATGCGAAGGTAAAAGACGAGGATGGAGATTTTGGTGAGGGAGGAGGAGGTGAGGTAGAGGAGCATGCTTGCCCAGCTGACCTGTGATGTTATTAGTCGATGTAGGATACCAGATGAGAACCTGTGCAGTTGACGACACATACCTTTCGACTTGTAATGCTATCCTTCGGAGGCAGATCCCACACATGTATATCCCACCCATAATTATGTATCGCGAGTATAACCCCCGCCGTTAGGCCCAGCCCAACAATCTATATCCCATTAGTCTCCATACCACCAAGCCAACCCCGCGCCTGTCTCAAAAAAGCCAGAAGATCTGAACAAACATACCGCGGCAATAACAATAAGCACATCATCCAACCCAATCCCCGCCTTCGTAATCGCTAACCTCGCATATAACCTAATCGACACAAACAGGACCACCAGCGCCACCAGGACGGCCTGGATAATAATACTCTCGTTACCACGGCGCACTGGATCGATATAATTCGGCTCTGGCCACGTCGCCATGACCTCAGGCGGGGGGAACCTCATGTTGGCAGCACGGGCATGGGGCCCTGTCCTATTCTATTCTGCTGTGTCTGTTTTCGAGGAAGAGGTTCGTTTCGGAGACGCACGTCGTGCGAGTATGATCGGATGGAGAGGCGTTAGGGGAGAGTTGGACTGTAGACGCGATGCGCGGGGGATGTTAGACCCTTTAAGTGCAGCAGGTGGTCTAGATCGTCGACGCACGGCTACCGTTCCTGGATGGCTGGCCCGCTGGCGCCCGGATCCGCAGTCGGCTGGAGCTGCTGGTTCGAGGAGCCCTGTGGTAAGGGTCTGGTCCGCGGGCAATTGGGGTCCACCTAATTGTGCATTGATGGGATGGTGGGAGGAGGAGGACGGAGGCTGTGGGCACCAATGGGGAAGGAGATGAAGGGATACATAGGACAGGAATGGGGGGCGGTTTTGCGGAGGGGATAGGATGAGAGACTTGCCGGGGCGAGATCGCTGACAGGAGTGGTGACGGCCTAGAGAGAGAGCTCAATTACATCCATACGGCGTTACTTCGCACAATATGGTACTCTAAGATCGTGTTGGGCCTGCGCGTGGGTCGTGTGCCTCGGGCCAGTGTTTTGGAGTGGCGGCCGAAAGTGGCGGGAACCAAAGAATGAACTGGGCTTTACGGCTCGAATGGGGAAGATAGGGGACCTGGTTGGGTACTAAAGGGCCGGAGGAGGAGGGGCGAGTGGAAACCTATTCGACTAGGGGGAGTATGCACATGGAGGTATACCCTTTACGCACTGTGGCTGAGTGAGATTTTATGCGCATAAAAGAGTGTTTTATGTGTGTTATGTGTGACTGCCGCGCTTTAATGGACGGTAATGGCGATGAGCCACGAGGGCATATGCAAGTATCATCGTTCCTGCCGTCTATAGTTGACAATATTAATATTGTCTTTGGTGGCGTTTACTGTCATGAGCAAAAAAATCGCATAAACCTCGGTGTATTCGCGATGATGCGCGTCATCGTCAATAATAGCCGATAACCCTACAGAAGCACAGCCCTGCCATCGGATACTCTTCATACTACCATGTGTAGTTCCAGATACGCGCACCTTGGCGCAAATCCCTTCCCTTCCCTGCCGTGCTCGCTGTGACAATCGAAGGATCAACGTTTAGCCGACGATCAAAATTTGGGTATAGTATCCACAGAACTATTGATAGATGGACATGACTCGTGGATCTTACTCGCTGGGATGTAACGTCCGTTAGGATGGGTTAGGATGGGTTAGGATAGTCAATATTTCCCTCACCACTCATATGAAAGTACAGTATGCTGATGTTTAGCTGTACTATACATGGACATTTACAGTGAGCCGTCAGCAAACAATAGCTCCACAGCGCCAGAGAAGAAAAAAGGGGGCCCAAGATATTGACCATACCAGTTGCCGCCACAGACGACTAACTATTGACTCAACCCGAGCTATAGCTCTAGTCCGTCCCAACATCGTCCTGTCCAGACCAGACCCCAATTGAAGCCTTCACAAAAGGCGGGTAGCACATGTCAACCTCCTCTATCTGCCTCCCCTCACAACCCCGCTGCGAACTGCATTCTCCCCAATACGGTCAATGTGATGCCTGAAGCATTTCCCCGCGGAAGAAGGTGCGACTGACTCAGCCTAGCTATGCGTATGGGGAAACCATGCATCTGTTACTTACTTCTCTAAACGGCAAGCACATGTGAATAACTCCTGCCGCTACTGCGGAATAATTAATTCCCACCCGCCGAACTGGTAGGTGGCGACGGGAATAAGTCTGGTATGTACTGTCTTACCAAGCCCGCCATCACTCACACACCACGCGTCCCTCCTTGGCCGACCGGCAGATAAGTTAAGTAACCTTGTAGGCTCGCGGGCAGACAGACATCTCGAGAATTGCTATTGCCGTTATCCGTTGCTGTTATCGCGATTATACGAGGTCTCCTATGGGTATGCCGTTGAGATGTCATACGCGGGGTCCGGTAGATGAATGGCTGCCTTCAACTCTGGTCAAGGGAAGCGATGTCTCCCAGCCGGTAGTTAGATATCCTGTCATGTTGTCGATTTGGTGACCGTGAGTGGCCATGAAGGCCACTGGCTATCGCCGTCTCCTGACCCAACACCGTGGTTATGGAACTTGGGACGAGACAGCTTGGTTCATGTGAATATAAAACATACATAGCCGCCTCATCACCCCCCCTTCACCCATCTTTTTGATCTCCCGGTTCCTCGTCGTCCTCGCACGCCATCTTCCCCTCGTACTTCTCCGGATCTCCTCTCTGATACCCTAGCTGGCCCATCCGAAGTATCAGATCCCGAGGGGTTACTTAAGACATTCCAGTCTTTGTCAGCCCGCCTACGCTCTCTCATGCACTATTCACGAAAGGACCGCGGTACCGGCTGAGACTCACTCGTCCCTGGTCGACTGCTCCATCTCCGCCTGTGCCTCAGCGAAGATGACTGTTTAATCTATGGGCTTGTTATCGGCTTGATGGCCACTTGGTTGCTATAGTATCTCGTCCCATCCCCATCTATAAAAATGCCGTGTTGGTTAGCTAATGAAATGGACTATTTAAACGCCTTATTAATCATTGAATCACCGTCGTTATTATGTATGTAAGGCAGACATACCGAAGTTTGGCCCCCACGAGGCTTGGCAGTTGACGACAGTCAAAACCAACAGTGCCGAGTCAGCTGTGCTCTTCTATACCTACTCCATCTCAAACCTCTCCTTCAGTTGTTCAATTATTAATTAATACCCGACTACCAAGCTATCTTCTAAATTTGCTCAGTATTTATTTATTTAATCTGTAACATGGACATGGAGTCCCTCATTGCCTGGGCATTCAGCCAACCACGCGACCCAGAGTTTGAAAGTGAGTGTTACTGAAATCACACGCTGCCTATCGACTCAACTGGGAGCTAGTAGCTAATATATATTACCTTGAGTAAAGAATGCTACGGTAAATCACGCGGCACAGATGCCGCCACAGCACAGATGCCGCCACAGCACAAGAAGCAATTCTTGAGGCTGAAGAAATCTGTACAACAGCCCTCGAGAGCAGCACTTCAGACGCAGAACAGGCTACCTCTAGTGCGCACCCAAGCTACCAGTGCCGCACATGTGACAAGGTTTTCGAGTGTGAAAATAAGAGAGATGTGCATCAGTCACAGGACCATTAATAGTACAGGATATGGTGGGGGATGGGAGCGAGTTACAATATACGAGATATGACAATGTGATCGTTTTTTACTTTGGCTCCATCTCCTCCTCCATTATCTCCTCTGATGCCTATCTGCCCCTCCTCGAGAGCATTTTGTGGTGATACAACACTAGCAAGTGCATTCGGCCTGGTTTTCGTATCACGGCCAGAGGTGGAGGCAGAGCGGCCTTGGTTATCCCCTTCGGCAGGCGGATGTGAGGAGCCGCATTCCATCGTGACCCAAATTAGTAAGGGCCTAACATGTATGTTTTCATCAGTTACGTCTACCTACGAGAAAGAGTTCCTGTCAGCATTTAGTATACTGCAGTAGAGCGTGGGAGCACAGACACAATACATTGATTTGGATGGACGAAACACGAAGGGAACACAACAACCCTTACTTACGTTCAAGTTTGGTAAACTATCATCAAAGTTGCACCCAATATTAAGCTGAAATGCAAGGTAAATCACAATCCAGGGCATATATCTGACAGAAGCGGTAGTGCATTATCAATATCTATACCGTTCGGCTATCGGCGTTTTGTTTCACATCGAAAATAGCGGTTATGTCTCACACAAGGAACAAAGTTTCTAGATCGACACATTACCACCAAAACAAGCCGGCGGCAACTATACCCCTGACTTGTATGGTGCCATTTAAAGGAAAGAAGCGGACGTACTATCATAAATACGCTCGGTATGGACAATTCACCGGGAGATGTAAAGCTTAGCAAAGCATAGTATGAAAGCTCAAAAAATCAAATAGTATGCCGTCCCTAGTACCGTATCATGGAATCTATGCTAAGCCAAGGGGTGGAAAATATGTGAACTTTATAATCCCCAACTCAGACAACCCCTGCCGTTTAACGGCAGTGTAACAAGCTGTAACCAACAAAAGTACCGAAGGCCATTATAGTACCATGGTAGCCCAGTCTCCTGATTTCCAGATCCAACTAATATATGAGATCCCAACCTCATTCTATAGTGGCAAACCTGCGAGAAAACGCCCTGCTCGGGGTATTCAATAACCTGCACTTGGCCAATCCCAAATCTATGATACTTAGAACTTGGTCGCGACGTGAAGTGCTGCACCCACGATATTCTGAGTCGGCGCTTAACGGAGAATTACCACATCCCAGTGCCTTGGCAGAGGATCTACACAGTAGGGGCTCTGTATCACAGGAGGGATTGCAAGTTGATTTGAAGAATATTTGTCGAGCGTGGGAATTAGGAATCCAGAGTGTATAGGCCAATATCATTATTTATTAGATATCCGGAGAATATGTCAACTCTAAATCTTTCCACCATCTCGAAATCTACAAATATTTAGGGTTGTATGGTGTTCTAGAGTTTCAGCTCAGGCGACTAAGATCGCTTTTGTCCTCACTGTACAAAGTGTGTCTATAAAGCAGGGACCGAAGCTTGAATACCGACATGGTTAACCAGTACTTTGATTCCACGGGTATTATAGACGATAGAGAAACTGAAATAAAATAATGGCTTACAGATATAACCTTTGGATAATAACTTGGCGTTGGGTTGGCAGTATCACACAATTACAAATGAAAAGCCCAGCTTATACTTCAAAAACACCCAAATAAGAACCCCAAGGAACTATAAAAATCTATGTTTTCCTCTGTCGTTTTGCAATATTTAAAAAATACCTCTACTTTCACTCATATCCACCATCTTGCAGCCTATTAATATGAAAATCACAATTACTTTTCTGGCTGTCCTAGCCACACTCGCAGCAGCAAACCCTATCATTAGTCTTGAAAAACAATGCTATGCCGAAGGAGAAACTTGCTATCAAAAGAGTTGCTGTGCACCAATGGAGTGCAGGGTAGGGTCTATCCGTAACTGTCTTTTCTTGCTAACGCCGGTTTACTTTAGTACACTGTCCCTGGTGAAATGTTCCCGAAATGTAGAATACATTGGTGAACTGTCCACTACATTTTTGTTCATCAACATGTTTAAGGGAAGGTTGTGCAGAGATCAAGGGCGCCTTAGTCGTTGTATGGAGTTCTCCAATGGAGTTTCAGCTCGGCCGACTAAAGTTAGATTTAAATAAGAATAGTAACATGAATATAGTTTTTGTCGTTTGCCCCTGTCATAGCATTTAATTTGTGTTCCCCATCTAAAGTTTAAGCAGGGGAGATGTAGATCACAGCAGTGCCATGCACTTATACGAGCAAAGGATAACCCTACATCGAAGCCTCCGTTTTCCCCTGTTCTAAATATCCAACATAAGCCAACATTCACATCTTTGCCCTCTTACAACCTGTTAACATTTATTTTTTAACTGTCCTAGCTACCCTTAGAACGGCAAGTCCTCTTACAGGGCTTTAAAAACGTTGTCCCTGTCTTGGAGTTCACTGCCCCTCAAATGGCTTATCGCTACCTGGCGTTTGCTTTTACTTTTACAAATATAAAATGAGTTATCTACCCCTAGGTTATAACAGTACTACTTCGCTAGGCTAGCAACTCCGTGTCTCTGACACTGGAAAATATAGCTTACGGACTATAAAAGACTGCGCATTCCCTCTTTCTCGAATTTCAGAATAAATATTAATCCCAAACTCGCTGTTATATCTTTCCACCGTCTTACAATATACCAAAATGAGGATTTCAATTACTCTTCTCACCATTATTGCCTCCCTCGGAGCTGCAAATCCTCTGAAAGAGGTGCCATGCAACACCCACGGGGAAAGGTGTGGTGGAGTGGGGTATGGCGATTGTTGTGAAGGACTCACTTGTATTGTAGGTGCCGCAGCCGTCGTCGATACTTCTATTGCTAGCAGCATACTAACATGCTTGTTAAATCCAGGGGACAAACATTTTAGCTACGCATTGCCGCTGGTAGAAAGTGCTGTCTAGTAGCATGGTTTGCAAACAGATATCGAGGGATTGAGGGCAATGCTTCGTTATTCTATGGAGTTTTCTATTTAAATTTCAGCTCTGGCGACGAAGTTGGGTTTCTGTGTTGCCTTTATTTCCAATTTAGACCAACCAATCGACTCCCGAAGGTTGTAGTTGGGGATGTTAATATGGAATTTGTCTCAATAGAAATTAGCAGCGAAATGAAACATAACGGTGATTCAAAACCCCTTGCTTAGAAGTAACTAGAATTCAATTTGTGTTCAATGGGTGATATATCATAACAATGTATTGTTTATTTGGTTAGTTCGGACAATGCTATCAATTGAGAATTGAGTTTGTAGCCCAATCCACCGCCCGTTCAAGAAGTACGACATATAAAGGCCCGCGCTCCAGCCGCCTGATTTCAAGAACCACGTTGACGGAAATATTACTCAGCTGTCTTATAATCTGTCAACATGAAAGCCTCAATTGCTCTGTTAACTCTCCTGGCTTCACTGGCTGCAGCAAATACTTTTGGAGAGCTTGAAAAACCAAGCAAAAATGAATATCAACTCTGCCGTTCAGATAAATCTTGCTGCGATGGGCTTACCTGCAAAGTAAGTTTTTGTAGGGAGTGGAAGTTCTCTGACACGCTAACATATCCATTAACTCTAGCTACAGCCCGCTAGCTATACCACTGGAATTTGCTACCAAAACTAGGGATATCCGCCTTCCAGTAACGTGGTTTTCAAGATAGCTATACAGGGAGGTTCGACTGGAGGAATTAAGGGTGATTTAGTCGTTGTATGGAGTTCTCCGATGGAGTTTTAGCTCGGCCGACTAATTGCAATACTGTCTTTACCATACACGTTACTCATGCTGCCCAGAGGTCCGAGGAGGGACTGTGGATGATAGTAGTGATTGCAGTAATTTTCATGTTTGTTACCCAGAGATAGAACCAAAGATAGACATCCTATTAGCTCAAATTATGTGTATCAATCTTCGGCTACATACGGTCCCTCTTCGGACTTTTGGGCGGCACGAATACTTTGGTTATCCAAAGACCGAAGTTTGCAGCTGGACATGTTTGAGTAACTAGTATGCAGTGTGTGTACGGCGTCGCCAGGCTAGTAACATAGTGTCTCACATAATGCCAGTAATTCAAACCCCAGGGTATACTCCAACCAAGGATACCAACGCGTAGGTTATAAGAGTCTACGTGCCCCCATCAATTGTGCCTGATATTCAAAAGACACTTCAACTCATACATTATTCGGTCGCTTCGCAACTACCAACATGAAGGCCTCACTCGCTATTTTTACTATCCTAGCTGCGCTAGCAGCAGCAGATTCTTTAGACAGCAAGCATTGCGTTACCAAAGGAAGGGCTTGCATGGGAGGCATGAAATGCTGCTCAGGGCTTCGTTGTGTCGTAAGTCTTGCTATTATAGCTAGCTTGCACCAATAACTACCTTTGGAATGCTAACATAAATTAATTTTAGCCTCTTCCCGCTCACAATTTTGGGACGTGTTCTAAATAATAATGATTTGTCTCCTGTGTCTTTGGAGGGTGGGTTCTGAAAAGTCTGGCGAGGAATTGAGGATGCTTTAGTCGTAGTATGTAGTTCAATAGAATTTCAGCTCGGCCGACTAAATGAGGAGGTTCTTATATTAATCATGCACTTCGACCAATTGAGAAATTTGAAGAGTAAAGATATCCATTGCTTCGTGTAAGACGCGGCTCTTACATAACAGGTGTAACGACAGCGGGATCCCGAGGTGTCAAGCACATTGAAGTTAATCACATCTGTGGCTTATAAGATAGCCCACGACCTGCCCAAAAATAGTTGACGGACAATAAAACCAGCACATTGGTTTCTGCCATTGATCTAGAATATATCTCAACTCTCACGTTCTCCTACTATCGGAATCCGCCAACATGAAGATTTCAATTGCGCTTTTGGCTATATTGGTCACACTTGGAGTAGCAAGCCCAATAGAAGAGCCACGACAGTTTTGCGGAGGGCAAGAGGCTGTGTGTGAAGGGGAGGAGAACCGCCCATGTTGTCCCGGGTATAGATGTATTAAAGTGAATTCTCATTTGGTGCCTATATGGAGAACAAAATTCCCACATACATGGCCAAACTGCAACCATCATGCCTCTTTGGGACGAAGGTGTACTGGCCTGGGGTAGGCGCATGAACTACTTTACCTGCCAATGGATCTTAAACCGTATCTTCGGCCTAAGAGCGGTCTGGGCAGGTCTCCGAAGTTCAACTGATACAGCCTTGCGTGGTGCAGCGGTGAGAATTCTAGCTGCTTTATTAGTCCTAGAGACAAGAACTAATTTGCTAACTTTAAATGAAATTGCGTGGATTCCATAGGATTGTTTTTAGCAATCACATGGTAAATACAACATATGCGGTTTTAGATATACCAAACATATACACAGAAATAAAAGCTACTACCGTTGAACAAAAGCGTTAAAATAGAACATGCACTAAAGTTATTTCATAGCCTCCATCCTATACAAAAGAGGATAGAGCTTCATAGCTACTAGAAACAGCTCTACAGACTGTTAAATATAAATACACTTCAAGAGCCATTTTCAAGTTCATACGCGTTCCAAGGATATGATGAACCTTTCTCTAACAGGACAAACGGATGGTGATATCTGCCTAACGACGTTGCAACACTCCAAATTTGACCTTGGTTCTGTGCCTTCTCCCAAAAACGGGACATGCCATAAAGCCCTTCGGATCGCACAGCATAGAACCAGGTGAATAATGAATACAAACTAACCCTTAATCGCCCTTGATAACGCTCCTGTTCTTGGCCACTCGCTAATGAAGGTGGGGTTGCAGTCGAAGGGACAAAATCCGCATCGTATGCCCATATCCAGGGAGTAGAAGTGTTGATGCATGAAGTAACAACCTCAGGGGTAATGAGTAGAAAGGTGTTGCTTAGAATGCGAGTATCTAGAATATCCTGCTGCAATCGCCGCTGCTGGAAATTGCTAGGCTTGTTGTCAGCGATACACATTCAAATACAACATCAGGACGGAACAAACCTGCGCAAAATTTCGGGATTATTCTCCGACACATGCCCATCCGCTAAAATAAACTTCTTCGTTGGGATGATGTCCATGCCGCCATTCATTTGCTTCAGACTTTTCTCTGCACAACTCTCCATGACCGAGAGGAATTTATTCCAAGAATAATCGTCACAACCGCTGTCTATCGAACTATCGCTCAAGATGACAAAGCCCCAACTCGTAGTCGGTTCACCCTGTGCTGGCGGACCGGCGAGCTTTCGCACCCACTTACAGGGTCGGTCTATGTCTTGAGCATGCGTCGCCATGTCTTCTCTAGATTTCTTCATCCTCGCTGCGGCGAAGTGGTCTGACCTAAGGCCGACCGCTAAGGAGAGCGCATCATCTCGTGGAGTTGCAACTGCGCAAAGGGCTTCCCAGTGAGCCGTCTGGTCCTCGTTGCTCCAGTGCATTATGCTGTTTGCACACGCCTGATACGGATTCCAAATGTGATACCTGTTCGAGATCAAATGGCATTCTTCCTCCGTCAACGACTCGGGAGTCGTGAGGGCTTTGCTTTGCAATTCCCCGGGCGTTAACCCGCTAACTTTGAAAACACTGGCAGCCTGTGTGGCAACGTCTGCCAGTCGAAGAATAATGACTTTTTCGGCCTCTGTCACCTGATCTGGAGTCTGGAGGGCCTTGGTCCATAGCTCTCTCTCTCGAGGGGTGGGGAAGACATCCGGAATGTCCATCCTTGACGTTTTGCGTGACTGGAGACGATGATTTCGATGTGATTGACGTCGTCCAGTGGCCCTCGTCACATGCGCGTGCTTACCGACCGAATAGCAGGCCTGCAAATAGTGGACCAGCACCCTACCCCTACAGCCTACAGCAGCTACAATTTCCTAGCCCGGGGATTTGGTTATTGTAACCATTTGTTCTCCCAAGGGGAAGCAACATAATTACCCACATCTGGCACGAACACATGTATATTAAGTATAGTCCGTTGTAAACATTGATAACACTTCAATTACTATGTGTTACCCCACATTGAAAGGCCATGTAACTCAGTTGTGCACCCCGAACCTGGGTGTCCAAGTTATCACTTGTTGGCTCATCATGACCACGCAACTATGCCACGACTAAACCACCAGGATATCTGAGATCTCCAAATACTGCAGTGAGACCGCATATAATCCGAAATATCTGCCGATACAAATCGATATGTGACATAGCACCATATCTCTTCCCAACGGACTACAGTCAGCTCAGAATCCAAGAAGCTAGATAAATCCAACTCACTATGAGCGCCTTAATTGCCCTCCTCTTGAATAGTCATCATATTTGGACAACATTGTCCTCTGCAGCACTCTTTCTCCACGTTGCACTCAACAATATCGTACGCGACGAAGTGCCAGTCCAGACGACACCCGCCACATTTATTTCCATATGACCCGTATCTTTCGATTGGCGTGCACGCCGGTGGCTCCACCACGGTCTTGTCCACCACTGGGGTTTCCGCCACAGACGCCGAGGCAAAGAGAGTTGTAATTGCAAAAATAACGGTGTTGATGCGCATAGTTGCGGTTGGAGGGTTTTACTTTTCGGATTGCTGGAGCTGGATTTGCGATAGAATGTGGCTATGGAAGCAAGGGGTGATAGATTGGGAACACAAGGCCTATAAGTACTCACCAACTGACGCTATATATTTCACTAGATTCAGATAATAGTATCACCGCAGCGATTGGTTATGTAAAAACTTAAAGACGGGCCGTTACAAAGTCTTAGATTTTGAAGTCAGTATGAGACTGTCTCAGTGCCTGCTGCTTGCCAACTAACTATGGAAGTGAGCTAGTTACTGACAAGCCAATCGAGGTTAAAAAGGGCCGGAGACATTCCGAATCGCGATATGGGGTAGGACACCCATAAATCCTGTTCACCATGCATGAAAATATATCAGATTCCAACATGGGGAGATCTCAACAGCACTAGGTCCTTGGCGAGATCCAAATCCATGCAACGTTGTCAATATTAGGTCGTGAATGCCAGGGTTTAAAGTTTAGTCCAATTATATGACAGCGCCCCGCCTCTGCGTCTAGACTCGTATGCGCCGCGAGGGTGAGAGACTTTTGGTCATTTTCAAGACATTGAAGTGGAACCCGTCCTTGCCAAGGGACATACATTCCTCCGCCAACCCCCCCTTTGCGGAAAAGTCAACGACGCGGATATATCAACCTCAAGCTTTAACGAGCTCTGACTCGGATATCTGCAATTGGAAATTATGTGTGTGATTATCGTTCTCTCCCACCACCATAGCAGAGACTATCCAATTATCAGGTAAACACAGTCCATGTCTCAGATCGGATATCAGATTCGGGTATAATTTCTTGACTGCTGTCAATCCCAGCTAGCCACCACACAGCCAATTAATAGCTACGGAAACGGGGGGTATCATCACCACAAGTAGAGGGTATCCGTCCATGCCCTGAACGCCACCCCATGCACCGCTGTCCACTCTAGAATCCCAAAAACTTCCCACCAAGAGCCACCGCAATGCCACCCCCAAACATTGCAACCACGCTGACGAAACTCGCCACGCTCAGCCCAGCCATCCCACTAATGCCATGTCCGCTCGTACACCCCCCAGCCACCCTCGACCCAATTGCCATCAGTACACCACCCACCACTGCTGCTGCATCTCCCACCTCGACTCCTTTGGCGGGGAAAGTACCCGAGAGGCGCCAGAATGCCGCGCTGCCACCTGCCACGCCCGCTGCAAAGACGAGGGGTGAGACGGACGGCCACGGGGACGAAGAGGGCGTGACAGCGCGCCAGAAGAGTTTTCCGAACGATTCGTACGCGGAGGACACACCGAGGGTGTTCGTTGTCAAAAGAAGCGACGCCAATTGAGCCAGAGCCATCAACGAGCCGCCAATAAGGGGGTTGAGTAGCTTGCCCTGCTCATCAGGCAGGTAGCGCAATGCCGCACCGACGACGGACAAACAGATGGCCTGATATACCAGCACGGCCGGAAAGTGCGCAACACCGCAGCGTTGAGCGAACGTCAGCTTCGGCTTCTCCTCGCCCTTCGCAGCCGCCGGTGTGGCGCGACGGAAACCCGCAGAGTATCCAACAAACAAGGCACCCCCGACCAGCGAGCCGGCGAGCACAGCGAAGCCAGAGCGCAGGCCCATCCCGACCTGGACGAGGACGGTGCCTGGGCAAGAGCCGGTGAGAGCCATGCCGGCCCCAAGGAGGAGGCAGCCGGCGATGTTGCCATCGTATGGGAAGTAGCCCCAGGCAGCGGGGGAGCGGGGCGGGCAAGGGGCGAGGGCGGCGCGCTTGGTGAGGTGGATTATAAGACTGGATATGGGGTTAGTGTGGGGTTCTGAGGGACGGGTGAGAAGGTGGGGTGTGGGGAAGTGGGGGGGGGGATGCAGGGGATGCTTACGCGCTGCCCGCTGTGGCTGTCAGGAAGACCTCAAGCATGTGGAAGTTCTCGAGGCGGAGCTGGGAGATGATGATGGATGGGGAGGCGACGCCGGCTGCGGAAAGAGCGGCGCCGAAGAGGAGGCCAGAGGTGGCGGTTGAGAGGGTTTGAGAAGCCATTGAGCGTGCGATTGTTGTCTTGTCAAGGTGGAAGGAAAGAAAGTATTGAGACGCGTCGGGGAGTGTGTATAGCGTATAAAGAAAAGAGATAGCGCCTGTGGCACATTTGTAATTCAAGGCCTCGATTGCGTGCCTGATGGCTCCCGCAGTGGGGCGGCTCGGTGGTACAGCAAGTCAGGTACATAATGAAAATGGCATACTTACAAAGCTATTGAGCAAGTTTATGGAGAAGTAACTTACAGAGGGACCACATATTGCCGTAATAGGAAATGAAGAAGCTATCCCCCAAGTATGCCCAGTCAGCACTAAACTTGACGTCGGAGCTTTTATGCTCTTACTGGGATTTGGGGTCCAGACGTTTGGGATTCGTAAGAAGGAGCTGCTTACATCAGCGGCTTTTTACGTTTCCGTTTCACGTGATCAAGGGATCGGAACTTGACGCTTTTCCGAGACATCCGAAATAGAGTCACGTGACGTGTATAAAGAAACTACTGGAAGTTACCAGATCCATGATGACAGGACTAGACAGCAAGAGAATTCACAGAAAGGACGGGACTTGCCATGCCGAGAGTCATAACAAACACATACATACTGAAGAGGGTAATCTGAGGCCAAGACTCGGTTTTCAAGCTTCCGTGTTCTCTTACATTCTTCGTTCTTGCCGTATACTGGTATACTGCAAATCGGGTTGGACCGGGCTCAACTTGACTGAACTCTCACTTGTGCGGCGTGCATCTTCTTCCATTTTATGCACAGGATATCATCGGCGAGAACTATCCCCATCACGTGAGATCGACGATCTGGCCAGAGCGTCGCCGAAAGGACCAGTCATCAGAGACAAAAGACGGCACAGTGGAGTAGTAAGCAGGGGGGGGGCCGCGTTGATTAATCAGGCTGCCACCAGTATACGCGGGGTGTGTGAGACGACGACAATTTTATGCCACTACTACTTGAGTATTACAAGACGCGCCGGCCCACTTTGAAAAGGGCAGATATCACGGATCTCGCCACCGATACACATTCACCTCCTTGCTTACCAGTTTCACCGAGAAGTTCCGGCCGTTATATGATCCCTAGGACAGCGTATGCCAACGACTATGGAGGGCAGTGGGAGTAGTGCTGGAGGCGGTGGCGGCAGCGGCACAGGCCAGCGTGAGCAAGACACCCATCTCAAGTCTTGGCGTCCACAGCTAACGACAGACTCCAGGAACATCATGTGATTCATGTAAACGCTCAAAGGTGAGTGCTGAGAACAGCTCCACACTTACGAGATATGATACTAACCCCGTCTATAGCTCAAGTGCATCAAACTGCCGGGAAACGACAAGTGCACCCGGTGTACAGCCCGTAATACCGAATGTCAGGTCACTCTAGTCAGCAGGAAGAAGCGGGAAAAAAAGATGTTTGTCATCACCCCGTTCTCACATTTCCCCATACTACCCCTGACATACTAACGCCTTACAGTCACTACCTCTCCGCAATCGAGGACCGCATGAAGCGCATGGAGTCCGCCATGAACGCCTCCGGGATCGCCATCGATGATGGAGACCCCGAGGCCGCCATCCCCGCCGTCTCGGCACAATCAGCTCTTGAAGACAAGCTCTCAATCTTCATGATCAGCGATGATGGTGCTGCCGGCTTTGTGGGTCCCTCATCGGGCTTCTCGCTCTTCTCGCCGCAGGGCCTGCGCTGGATCTCTGAGAAGACAGGAGACAACAACTTTGAGCAGGTCATCAAAGCAGTCTCTACCTCATGTGAGCACCAGGCGACTGGCGGGCAGGACACATTCCGACCGCTTGCAGAGGGCGAGAGGGAGCCACTACCGCCCAAGGATATAGCAAATGAGTATATGGCCGCGTACTTTGACAATTTCAACAACAGCTTTCCGCTGTATGATAAGGAGAGCGTGATGGAGAGATTCTCAAGGGATTACTATATGGTGAACCGGGAGAAAGATCCGGCGTGGTACGCTTCGCTAAATGTTATATTCTTGATCGGACGGTCTATCACTATGCATGAGAGGGAAGCGAATGGACTTTGCGAGAAGTACTTCAGGAATGCAGCTAGCGTTTTCGTAGAGCTGCTGTTTAATGGACCTAGCTTGCTAGCTGTACAGGCCATGGTTGGAATGGTAAGCTCCCGCCTAAATTATCATAGAGTCTTCACTAACAACAACAGGCCTTTATCCTGCAAGCGTCAGAAGACCCACATCCATCATATATGCTTGTGGGCATGGCAGCACGACTTGCCCAAGCAATCGGTCTCCATAGGCGTCTAGATGGGTATGGACTGAAGGAGAGAGATATCGAGCAGCGCCGCAACGTCTTCTGGATCGTCTTCGGCCTCGAAAAGGGCATCAGCATCCGCTCTGGTCGCCCATCCGTCTTCAGCGACGACGACATTGGAGTCGAATTACCGCCCAAGACTGTGCACGCCTACAAGGACCTATCGAGCTCCGACTCAGTCCTTGGCAGCTACCGCTGCGTAGCCACCATCGCACTTCTAGAGAGTCGCGTGTACACCAAACTCTATTCGGCGAGGTCGCACACGAAATCCGATCTCGAGCGCTTGAAGTGGGTAGGGTCGCTAGACAAAGAGCTGCAGCAGTGGCGCGACGAGCTGCCGATCGAGATTCGGCCAGAGAAGCCGATCAAATGCCACAGCAAGCATCTGATGGACGTTATCATGATCCACTTTGCGTATTATAATTGCTTGGTGGCCATCCATCGCGGCTCGAGTCATCACGGGTCTTGGATCTACTCTGATAAGCCGACCACAGTGCGCGACGCGAGGAACATCGGTCTCAGTCCGCGTGTTTTCGAGTCTAGCACCATCTGCCTGACTGCCGCGCGCCAGATAATCGGACTCCTGCACTACTACGAGAACTGCGACCAGACCGACGTCCACAATCTAGGTATAGTAACGTACGTCCCCCCACCCCCCAGGCCCCAACAGCCACCCAAATTAACGTTCCGCAGCATGTGCAACTACTACCCCCTCACCGCCTCGCTCACCCTTTTCGCCAACATCCTCCAAAATCCCTCCGCCCCAAGCGCCACCTCCGACCTCGCCCTCATGAACCGCGTCACCCGCATCCTCATCGACAGCCTCTCCTCCTCCTGCAATGCCAAGGCCGCCATCCACGTCGACATCTTCAAAGAGATCATCCGCACCGCCGCGCAGTTCGTCGCCAAAGCCCGCGGCGAACCAGCAGGCACCTACCTTGACCCATCTACCCTCCCCGCCCCGCCAGTCGACTGCTACTACTCCCCCTGCGCCACCTCCACCGGCGTCTCCCCCTCCGCATCCGGCACAGACGCCTCCGTCTCAGACGCCCTTCCCCGTCTCGAACCCTACACCTCCAATACCTCCCAACAAACCTCCCTCCCCCCACTCTCCACCCCCTCCCCCGCCACATCCGCCTCCCAATCAACCACTCACCTCCCATTCGTGCAACGAACACCCTCCCAGCAACAACTGCAATCACAACTAGAATACTACGGCCCCAAACAAGGCCTCCCCGGCACCCCCGGCGCAGGCATCATCCCCCCAGCCTACGACCCCGATTTCTCCTCTACCATCCCCTCCGTCGACCTCTCAGCGTTCGATTTTAATAACTACGCCTGGCAGGACACGGGCGCCTTCCCTGGCGCGCAGGGCGTGGAAGCAGCGGGCGGGGCGGGGGGAGTGGAGGTCGAGACGTTTGCTGCGACGAATGGGACGGATGGGGGTGCTGGGATTGGGTATGGGACGGGGGCGACGGGGATGTTTGTCGATGAGGGCGCGTTTGCGCCGATGGTGTTTCAGTGGGATTTGGCGGATATTTGGCAGGGTGGGGGTGGGGCGTTTGGGAAGTGAGGTTGGTCTGGGGAGGAAGGGGCGGTTGGAGGGAAGGAGCGATGCAAGAATCGGGAAGAGGGAAGGAGCGATGAGAAATAATAATGACGAGATGGAAAGAGCGAGGTGAGAGAAGGAGCGAACGAAGGAAAGAAGAGCAAAGGGAAGGAACGAGACAAGGGAAGGAGCAATGGGACGGATGGAGTGAGGTTAAGGAAGGAAAGAGCAAGGGCAGGGAAGGAGCGATCCTACCTCATTGCCCTTCTTGAGTAATTTTTGGTCATTTTTTTGGGCGCATCTCCCGTTGTCAATGCCGGAGTTTGTGGGTTGGTTTTCGGAAATATATGGGTTTGGCGTATTGTTGTATATTAGTCCCCCGGCGAGGGGCAGAACTTCACAGCTCGCTCTTCATCATCATCATCGTGTTTGGTGGTTTTTATAACTAGAGGGGTGGTTTACGTACCGGAATGGGGGTATATAGTAAGGCCATGATATAAATATATTGATTGGATATAGGTGTATCATGGATTGAAGTGGAAAGGATACATGTAGGCCATGCTTGGCCCATATCTTCAAAAGTCGATGTCATGCTTGCTCGAAAAGCCTCGGATAATTTCCCGAGGCATTTTATGGTCAGACAACCTTTGATGAAGGTGATGACTGCCCCAACCGTAGTACAGACGCCGAGGACCTCGTAATGGAGTTTAGCCGCAAGGTGCGAAACGGCTCAATACTCTGGCGGCACTGTTGTCGTGGGAAGGATTCTCTTGCAGGAGGAAGCAGTTGCCGCGACACATCGCGCTGAGGTCGCTAATGTTAAGACTGAGGTTCTGCTGTAAAAGCACAGCATATTAGAGCTCTCGCTGCGCGCCCAGTTCCTGTCATGCTCCGGTTTCTTGTCGCAACACAATTGCTGTCGCATTTCAGTTGCTGTCATGCCTCAGTTGCTGTCGCTGTCGCTGTCGCTGTCGCCATACGGCAACATTATGAGGTACTTCGTGGGCGGCGGCGTGGGGTCTGCTTACCGTCTTCAGTGTCACCTTTCGGTTTTTTTAAAAAAGACGTTCCATAGTCGATTTGGTGACCAGTAGGAAAAGAAGCTTATGGCGACAAACCCAGACTATTTTATATGTATTTGCCATATTTACGAGTCAATATATCAGAGTCAATATCATGTGTAGAGTAAGCACAGCTCTAAGTACCCTTTCATCTCACCACCGTCAACCCCTAGATCGATTAATCGCAATACACACCACGCTGTACAGTTAATTAGATAAATCAATTCATAAATACTGTAACAATGTAAAATAAGCAGTATCAGATCACCAATCCCTCATCATCACCGTTGTTGTCGCCGGGCACACCACAGCGGCACTTATCTCCCTGCCGCCACCCATGAACCCCGATCAGCGACGCGATCGCACCTTAGTAAATTAGTAGAAGCTTGTTTCGCGCAGATCGCACTCGCGCTGCGTACTACACACGACGCGCAGGGAACTTAATAATCTCACAGCAACCTCATACTTCACTTGCGCCAACAATACCGAAAAACAGCTAATCTTACTCTTTCCCACCTCGCCGCCGTCTTCGTCGCGACACGTGTGGTGTCAATTTCCCACGTAGAAGGGAAGATAAGTACTCATTCCCACAGGTGGTGCGGGGAACAAGTCGGCGAATCCCAATGTACGCATTTGTGGCGTCCAGTGGAAATGAGCAGCCCCAATGCGACGACGGAAACCCGGAGAAGGGATAAAGACGTGACAGCGATCGGATTGATTGGCAGCTGCGAAATACAGTGAGCTGTCAGACGGGGGATACCTTGCCATCGCATCGTATTCTACCACAAGGCGGCGACAGTTTATCTATTATTCATGCGATCCCTTGTCTTGTTACTGGCTATACGGGCTCTACGGTACGTCTTACCATTCCATCCCCGTCGTCGCCATGCAATGCACGGAAGAGGAAGCGGCGACGACGACAGCGATGCTACTGTACACCTTGGCGCCTTCCTTAGAGAGGGGGCATCGACAGAACCATCGACAGAACCATCGACAGAACTCTCTACTAAACCATCGCCGGCTAGGAAATACCGCAACTTGCCGTGATCGGTGGTCCGTGGAGACGCCGACCCGTTTTCTTTCGTTCGTATCGTGCCGTGCCCTTATTTTATTAGTACCGCACTAAGTAACTCCACAAAATGAGACCATGGCACCACCACCAACTACCACCAACTACCACCAAAATGCCGGAAAGAGCACCATCGACAGCGCCAGACACCACCCACGCCGTCAAAACCACCCACTACTACCACCCTCCTACCACCACTAATCACCCACTACCACCCACTACCACCCACTACCACCCACTACCACCCACTACCACCCACCCCTTTTTCCATTTCAACCAGTACGAGCGACCCGCCAGCGACCCATCATCGACCCGTCCTTCATATTCATTCTTCGATGCAAAAGGCTAGGCCCATCACCACAACACACAAGATTTTCTGGCAGGCCGCTAAGAGCTGCACCGATGATTGCTGTATCGAGCTAGGCACTTAGGGGCTGTGCTACCCTCTCCCAGCGGGACTCTAATCTGGCCACTAATCTGGCCACTAATCTGGCCACTAATCTGGCCCCATGGCGGCACATTCTCATATTACCCTCAGATGTACAGTACTGTGCCCTCACTTACTGGTACTTGGCGCCGTATTCATCGTCTTCACACGAGGCAGTGGGGGCAAGGGGTCCTTGACGTGATGCGCGCGTCTTGGCGATCTTGTTGACGAGGGCGGCTCCTAGTACGTTTCTTTTTTTCCGCAGATTACTCCCGAGTGGCTTCGGCTGGGCTGAAGGTAGGGGAAATGGCCTGATTCGAAAGATCGTGAGAGTGGCGCCCGTATTAGATATCTAGTGGTAAGTGGCTATGGCTGGGCGGTGGGGGGAGGAGGTATGGTGTGCACCTCCTTTGTTCTCTCAGTTCCAGCCAGCCACAGCCGCATCCGTTTCTTTGTTTGCTGTCCGTCTAGTCTGTTCGTCTTTCCCTCCCTCCCTCTCTCTCTCTTCTTCTCTCTCTCTTTCAGCTCTCGCCCAGTCTTTCCTTAACCTCTCACCCCCCCTCCTCGAGCCAAGAATCAGCCGCACGGTTATCGGACGATAGGAGTCTCGATCGATTCCCCAGCTATCATGCTGGACCGCGCATCCGGGCTGCTGAGCAAGCTGCGCTGGCGGAACGTGGTGCTCACTATCGTCGTCCTGACGATTATCCATTTCGCTTTCCTGGACGACACGCTGCAGAATGCATATAAAGCTCGCGCCGGGAAGGTAGCTGATGCGGCTGCGCATCCCGAGTTATCAACCGGCGCAAACGCCAAACCCGCCGGCAACGCTGCCACTCCCGATGCATCCTCCAAGAACTACGCCGACGAATTCGGCCCCATCGAGCCCAGCCCATCCACCAAAAAACTCCCCGCGGCAACCACCATAATCCCGACGCCCACCTCCGTGGCGCCCTTCGACGCCGGCGACACCACCGAGCACGTCGCCATCTGCCTAGCCATCAAAGACCAATACGCCGACCTGACCGAGTTCCTCACGCACCACTACCACCACCTCGGCATCCGACGCTTCTACCTCATGGACGACGGCTCTTCGCCCGTCCTCGCAACGCTCAACTACTCCTCCTTCCTCGACCCGAAAGCAATCACGCACCGCTACTACCACCCCGCGCTGCATGAGCGCTACCAGCAGCTCGCATCATACACCGACTGTCTCCGCCTGTTCGGGCATAAGCACAAATGGATCGCCTTCATCGACGCGGACGAGTTCCTGTACGTCAGCGGAAACGAAACGCTACTCGATATCCTCAAACCCTACGATGATGATGACACCGTCGGCGCCTTCGGCGTAAACTGGCAAATCCACACCAGCGGCGGTCTCCTCACCCGCCCCCCGAGCGCGCGCAAGGGATTCACGCGCTGCATCGAAGACCAGGACCCCAACCACCCCGCCAACGTCGGCACAGAGAACGAGCACATCAAAGTCCTCGTCAAGGCGCCCCTCGCCATCAGCCCCGACAGTCCGCATAAATTCAAGCTGAAACCGGGGGTGAGGACCGTGGGGGAGGATGGCGATACGGTTGATCGGTTTGCGTGGCGGGTTCCGATTACGAGAAACAGGGTGTCGTTGCACCATTATGCGACGAGGAGTAGGGAGGAGTATGAGGCGAAGATTAGTAGGGGGAATGGGATGGGGGATCCGAAGGGGTGGGATTGGTGGAAGCATGTTGAGGCGATTAGGACGGATGAGTGTTTGGAGTTGGCGGTTTTGGAACCTTAGTTGGGGAGAGGAAGGGGGAGGGGGTTTGGTATAGTGAGAGGAGGTAGAGGAGAGAGAGGGAGGGAGTTTGGTATAGTATAATGAGAGGAGAGAGACCAGGTTTGGTGTGGAGTTTGGTGAGTAGGAGCAGTTGGATGATTTACGTGGATCCACGCATACGACTTGGTTATAGAACGCTGTCTGTAATGGAAACTTGGGTAGCAACAGCAACAGCAAAACATGTACAAATACGAAAACCACATCATAGAAGTAATTAACAAGTAATTTTTTTTTTTTCAATAAGCACTGCACTCAAAGTCTACTTTTAATCCTTCCTACACATGACTGCAAAGAAGATCTATTTCAACGAACACGAGACGACGATACTCGGAGCGGAGATCCGACCCCGCGGGGCCTTCATGGCATATATCACAAAATCCCCCTCTTTCTCAACAACCTCATCTCAACGAAACCCAATCTCGCTCCATTCAGCGCATTCAACAACCCCCTACTTCTTCTCAACAACAACCCTCTACTTCTTCTCAGCCAGATCAAGCAGGCCTTGCAGGTTAATGCTCTTCGGCCTCTCAATCGGCAGACCCAGCGCACGATCCCACACCAACTGCGCCAGTGGTCCCAGACCTCTGCTAACACCAAACGTCGCGGTGTAGTAAAGCGTCTCGTGGAATCCGTAGTGGTGGAACAGCACACCCGAGCTAGAATCCACATTGGGGAACGGGTTCTTCGTCTTCCCATGCTCGGTGAGCACACCAGGCGCGACCTCGCTGTTCATCTTGACCAGCTGGAAGAGAGGGGATGCGGCGATGGAGGGGCGGCTAGAGGCGTACGTCATCAGGGCGTCGAAGCGAGGATCGGGCTTGCGGAGGACGGCGTGGCCGTAGCCGGGGACGACGCGCCCGCTGTTGAGGGTCGACCAGAGGTAGTCCTTTACGGAGGCGGGGGTGGGGGTCGCGCCGATGTGCTCTTGCATTTGGAGGACCCAGCGGAGGACTTCTTGGGCGGCGAGGCTGGGAGGGGTGTTAGTGGGGGTGCGTCAAGGGTATGAAATAAAATGTTGAGGAGGTGGGGGTGGGGTGGAAAGAGGGGGGAGGGAGGAGGACGAACCCGTGAAGAGGACCAGCGAGACCCTGGAGTCCAGCGGAGTAAGAAAGGAAGGGGTCGCTCAGCGCGGAGCCAACCAAGTGGGTAGCATGCGCCGAGACGTTACCACCCTCGTGGTCACCGTGCAGAGCAAGGTACAAACGCAGAAGATCCTGGAAATCCTCGTGCTTCTCGCCACCACGTCCCAGCATGGCAGCGAAGTTGTACGACCAATCCTGCGCGGTGTCGATCTCAGCGGGCAGGGCACCGCCGCCGTTATACGCGTTCTGGTAGATCTTGGCTGCGATGGTGGGCAGCTTGGCGAGGAGGGAGATGGAGTCGTCGAAGGTAGGCTCCCAGTAGTCGGCCTTGTTGATGCCGGCCTCGTAGGCCTTGGCGAAGGAGGAGGTGTGGTTCAGTGCTGACACGGCGATGGCGAACTGTGTCATTGGGTGCAGGTCCTTTGGTAGGGAGTCGAGGAGGGAGTTGACGAAGTCAGGGAGCTGGCCCTGCTCTGCGAGCTCGCGGGAGAACTGGCGGGTTTGTCCGACGGTTGGGACTTGGCCGGTGAGGAGGAGCCAGAACATGGCCTCGGGGAGCATCTCGGTGCCGGAAGTTCCCTTGGGGAGCTCAGCTTGGCACTCCTTGATTGTGCGGCCGTGGAAGCGGATGCCCTCGTTTGCGTCGAGGACGGAGCCTTCCCAGACCATGGCTTTGAGACCGCGCATGCCGCCGAGGGTGTTCTCGATCTTGACCTCGCCGATGACCTTGTCGCTGTGGGCCTTGACTTTCTTGAGGAGCTCGCGCTTGGCGGGGATGACGGCCTTCATGGTGTCCTTCAGGCTGGGCTCCGAGGAGCTGGCGTAGCTGCGGGTGGCATTGATGACGATTGGGCGGAGGGTGGAGGGCTGGGGAGTGTTAGGAATTGATCAGGTAGGTGGAATTGAGGTAATTGAGGTCATTGAGGGTGTAGACTTACGCGTAGAGCCCTGAAGGCCCTCGTCGTGGTTCTTGCGTTCATGGCCATTGTGATGTATGGTTATGTATGCGGTGAAAGCGGGGAGAGAGCGGGGAGTTGTGCGATAAGAGCTTCGTCTACGACGGTATCCGTGAAGGCGACCGGGGTATATGAAGCTTCAAGAGAGGATGAAATTGATGAATAAAGAATATTTATAGGGAGATGAAAGGTAGAGAAAGAGGCTGAGGCTGAGAAGAAAATATACTTCACAATCCCTCGGCGGTACGGTACAAACAGCTAAAAATCGGGGTATGGTGGCATTTGTTGGGTGTGTTGAATTGGCGGTGATGGTTGGTTTATTGTTATGCCGAAACATGCCGAGGGATGGCTGTCAATGGATAGAACGATAAGACGGATAAGCATGGATAAGACATCGTCTAACCGGCAATTCTCCCTTACGGCCGCATTATGGCCGCAGTTAGCCATGGATAACATAATTTTGCTTACTTGACTTAGACTGCATGTGGCAACTGCTAACTCTGACTGACTAACTCAGCGATCTACAGGCCGAACTTCGCTGTGAGGGTCTGGAGAACATCTTTATCCTCATCCTTATGACCGAGTTGTTGTATATTACTTGTTATATACGCAGATAGAGAGCTTACGGAAGCATACGATAGTATACGAAGCATACTTGACGAGTGGGATTATACCGAATATATACTCTACGACGACTACACCACACCTGCGACCTCATCACCACCTCCGCACAGCTGTGCGAACACAACCGCCACCACCTCCAAACCCCCACTACTACCCTCACCATGCTCCGCAGGATAGCTTCCACGCTCCCTCGCAAAGCCCCAGCGACACTCACCAGCGCCCTCTCCCAACAACCCCGCACCCGCCTTCTCTCCTCCGCCGTCCCCAGGATGGCAGCCCTCAAGCCCGCCAACCCACCCATATCCGCACAGCTGCCTTCCGACGGCTTCCAGCTGCTGCCCGAGAGCGAGAAGGCCGGCGCGGCAGAAGATGCGCTGTACGACCAGCAGATCAAGGATGTCGAGGCGTGGTGGGCGACCCCGCGATACGACGGCATCAAGAGGCCTTACACGGCTGCGGACATCGTCTCGAAGCGCGGCAGTCAGCTGCAGTCATACCCCAGCTCTGTGATGGCGAGGAAGCTGTTCAACCTCATCAAGGAGCGCGAGGCGGCAGGAGAGCCAATTCACACAAGTACGTACTGCCATGACACACCCTACGAAGACTACGCCCTACAAAGACTACACCCTACAAATACTACAGGAATAACAGAATGCTAACAAAACTACAGTGGGAGCAATTGACCCCGTCCAAATGACCCAACAAGCACCAAACCAAGAAGTCCTCTACGTCTCCGGCTGGGCCTGCTCCGCCGTCCTCACCACCACCAACGAAGTCTCCCCAGACTTCGGCGACTATCCCTACAACACCGTCCCGAACCAAGTCCAGCGCCTCGCGAAGGCACAATCCATGCACGACAGGAAACACTGGGACGCCCGGCGCAAGCTGACCCCCGAGCAACGCGCCAAGACCCCCTACACCGATTTCCTGCGCCCCATCATCGCAGACGGTGACACCGGCCACGGCGGCCTCTCCTCAGTCCTCAAGATCGCCAAGCTCTTCGCCGAGAACGGCGCCGCAGGCGTCCACTTCGAGGACCAGATGCACGGCGGCAAGAAGTGCGGTCACTTGGCCGGCAAAGTCCTCGTCCCCGTCGGCGAGCACATCAACCGCCTCGTCGCCGCGCGCTTCCAGTGGGACGTCATGGGCTCCGAGAACCTCGTCATCGCGCGCACCGACTCCGAGAGCGGCAAGCTCATCAGCAGCGCCATTGACGTCCGCGACCACGAATTCATCCTCGGTGTCGCCGACCCCTCCATCAAGCCCCTCGCCGAAACCCTCCAAGCCATGGAGCAATCCGGCGCCAAGGGCTCCGAAATCGACGACTTCGAAGCCAACTGGGTCAAGAACACCAAGCTCGTTTCCTTCGACGAAGCCGCCGTCCAAGCCTTCCAGGCCCGCGGCGTGCCCCAATCAGACATCGACGCCTACCTCGCCCACACGGCCGCGAACCGCGACCTCTCCGTCACCAAGCGCAACGAGTACGCGCAGCGCTTCACCGACTCGCCCATCTTCTTCTCGTGGGACGTGCCGCGAACACGCGAGGGGTACTACCACTACCGCGCCGGGATGACGGCAGCGACCAAGCGCGCGATCGAGTACGCGCCGTACGCGGATCTGCTCTGGGTTGAGACGGGGGATCCGGTCGTCAAGGACGCAGCGCGGTTCGCGGGGGAGATCCGCGAGCGTCACCCGGGCAAGGGCCTCGTGTATAACTTGTCGCCGTCGTTTAACTGGAGCGGGCACGGGTTCACGGATGAGACGCTCAAGTCGTTTATCTGGGACATTGCGAAGCATGGGTTTGTGCTGCAGCTGATTTCGCTGGCGGGGATCCACTCCACGGCTACCATTACGACGGAGCTGTCGAGGAAGTTCAAGGATGAGGGCATGTTGGCTTATGTCAATTTGATTCAGCGCCCGGAGAAGGAGTTGGGTGTTGATGTGCTGACGCACCAGAAGTGGAGCGGGGCGAGCTACATTGATGGTATCCTCGGCGCCATCCAGAGTGGTAGCAGCAGCAGTAAGAGCATGGGAGAGGGAAATACCGAGGGGCAGTTTTAAGAGTAAAGGTTTTAGAGTAAAGAGTCCGGAGGGGCTTACCGGTGGGGAAGGGGGAGGGGGAGGGATCAGGGATAATTGTACATAGAGCGAAGATCAGCCATAGTATAGTGAGCCGTATTCCGAGAAAAAAACAAACCAAAAACACCACCACAAAAAATAGAGTAGCAAGCCAAGATGCCGACATGAAGAGACGGCACTTAAACCCTCACGTGGAGCGCCCGAGGGCTAGCTGATCAGTGGAGAACGTCCCGCCTATCCGCCGCCACGGCGTGCCAACCATTCGGCGTGGGGCGCACGCCATCAACCCCAAACTCTAACTCGGACCTAATCCCTAATCCCTTACTCTCAAATCCCAAGAGCCACCCAAGCATCCCCCCTCCACAATCCCCAGAATCCAGCTGCCGCGAACAACGCACCGCCAGCACGGCACACACAAGGGCATGAAAGTTTACTCAGGATCACCCCGAGTGGACCACGCGGACCTTTATATAAAGTGCGGACGGACTGGCGCGTCTCAGGCCGTCAAATCTGTCGCTGCCGGTTAATCTCGCCATCCTAGCCCACCCCGCAATATAATAGATTGGAAACATCACCGGGGTGTGTGCCTGTCCCCAAAACTTAAATATTTCCACCAGTGCCGCCGCGCCGCTGCCGGGCTGGGGGTGGGGGATGAGGTCAGTGAGATATGAAGAGTATCGGCGCTGCGGCGCGGTGGAGGGTTTGGCTCCGGCGAGGCGTCAGGGCGTGGGATATATAAGAAGCTCCTAGGCTGGGGAGGTGTGAGGGTTGGAAGGAGATCTCGATCGTCGATCGCACCGCAATCCATACCGCTCTCCAAGACCTTCAACATGCGTTTCCAGACAACCTCCCTCGTGGCCGCCGCCTCCCTGGCCTCCACCGTCGCCGCCCACGGCTACGTCGATAAACTCGTCATCGGTGGGACTACCTACACCGTATGCCCCCCCTCCCTTCCTCTTATATATGTCCAGAAAACTAACGCCGCAGGAAATAGGGATACCAGCCCTACTCGGACCCGTACTACCCAACCCCCCCGCCACGCATCGTGCGCGCCGTCCCTGGCAACGGGCCCGTTCAGGACTTGACTAGCATCGACATCCAGTGCAATGGGTATTCGGAGGGCGGCGTCGTCGGGTCGAAGCCCGCGCCGCTCGTTGGCGGTCCGGTAGCTGCAGGATCAGAAGTCAGCCTTAACTGGACGTTGTGGCCCGATTCCCATGGTGAGTCTCCTTACCTTACTGTTCCTTCTGAGAGCGGGCGAGCCCGTCCGTGTCTGTCGTGCTTTGAGGAAATCGTGACGTGTGGTGATCACGAAGGGAGTTTTTGGGTGCGGGGTACTGACACGATGCAGTGGGACCGACGATTACATATATGGCGCTCTGCGACGGTGACTGCACGACCTGGCAGCCTGGGACTAAGTGAGTTTCACATCAGATCATCATGTCTTCCAGCGCGCGCGAACTGACAAACCACGCACAGGGCCGTCTGGTTCAAGGTCGCAGAGATGGGCAGAGTTGGAACCAGCAACGTCTGGGGATCTGTACGTCTTACATCTTACATCTTACATCTTCCTCATCTCGTCCCTGCACCACAACTCACTCATCTTCCTCATCTCGTCCCTGCACCACAACTCACTCATCCCCCTCGTGTGTGTTGCCGCTAACTAAGATCTCACTCGCAGACGCAACTCATGACCGCGCCGTCGACCTACAAGTACACGATCCCCAAATGCCTCAAGGCGGGATACTATCTCGTGCGCCACGAGACGATCGCCCTGCACTCTGCGTACGAGTACCCGGGAGCGCAGTGGTACCCTTCATGCCACCAGATCCAGGTTACCGGCTCGGGAACAAGCACTGGACCGAGCTCCAAGGTCTCCTTCCCCGGCGCATACAAGGCGACTGACCCAGGAATCGTATACGATTCGTACAAGGCGCAGACTTACACCATTCCCGGCCCAGCTCTGTTCACTTGCTAAATGGCTGCTGACGCTGAGGATGGGAGAGTTGGCGATGCGTGGGGGGAGGAGGCAGGAGGCTGGAAGCAGGACGGCTTTGGACAGGGAAAGGGGGAACTGTGAATATCTGGCTATGAGGAGGTTGTACATAGGACCGAGCTCTTTCCGTTCTTGACCATATTTTGAATTCAGATGTTTCGCCCGAGGTTCAGCTCGAGTCTCCAAAACCGTTCGATATTTGCCACCGAACAATCCAGCCACGCTTCGGTCATCGAATTCCAATACAGCTTCAGCTGGCGGTGTGCATTATTGAACCGGAATAATCCAGATATGTCTCTCATCCTGCCAGCCCAACAATGAATCCTGCCTAATAATAGATAATTCGGTCTTACTCCTGTGTAACACCTCTTGACTTGTCAACACACCGTCCTACACACCGTGGGCAACATCGGAAGAGAGCCTCCCCGGCGCTTCGCCCTCTCGCTGCTGTGTTTCCCCTGAGCCCGTGAGACAACAACATGTTCTGCTGGTCAGGCTGTGCTACATGTTCGCGCTGCAGAGATTTCAATAGCGCCCAATCATCCGATGTCTGTCGTATCGATATATTCCAGACACACATTGGAGCGTATGACACAGGGCACGGAAATGACTAGGTCAGAAGGAGAGTCAACGTCGTGCCTGTTTGTAAGACACCCAGTTAGGTAACGCCTCGATTTTTACTGGCGAGATCTCTTCCAAATACCAAGCCACCCCCGTGGAGCCTCAAACTAGGAGTGCAGCCACCCCGGCTGGGCCTCATGCGGTTGAGGCTTGGTTACCCTGTTTTGTCGCTGAGAAATCTCCGACGCCAAATCCCCTTTTTGTTTGCTCCATCGAAAAAATGATCTATCGACAAGGCCCCTTGCATGATGCCTGCAAAGCAAGGCAAAAGGCGCGGGAAGGCAAGGTAAAATCAAGGCAAGGCAGGTATACCTAAAGCAAGGTGAGGCGTCTGTTCAGGAGTAATATTGCCCACAGAAAATACTATGGGCCGTGTAAGCCATAAGCCGTAAGCCGGAATGAGCTCCATCGAGGGGCAGTAGGATCGGGAGAGTCCATCCACTCTGCCTCGATCGCGATTTCCCCCTACTAAATCCACTAGTGTCTTGAGCGATCTGCCAGATCGACTATAATACATCGATTTTCGTAAACAAACACACCTAAACGGAAATGTCAAGGGAACGTTGGCACTGCAATGAATCGTTAGTTCTGTGGGTGGCAATCACATCCTGTTGTCTCACAGATGCCCCGTCTTGGCCAATCATCCCCACCACAGACTGCCAGCACAGTTCCACAACAAGTAATAATACCTGCAATCGGAGAACGTGCAGATTGAGTTTTACATAGCCGTTGCTAGATTCGTCCAGACTGGCCTGGCTAATTGCGGGGAAGTCTTACCCCCTAAGCAAGAACAGGGAGCTCTCCACCCCCTCAGTAAACACCTACCATATGCGCTGTACAGTACTGCATCATACTGTACGGCGCCTATGCTATGCAGTACTACCGTTTTCAGCACTCCAGGCCAGCGTTTTAAAATTAGTTGTGAGTCCAAGCAAGTCCACGTCCAGAGTTGCTGTGCCATTTCTCAAGACATATCCCGTGCAGCAACCTACCCCCTGGCGGGCGGATATCGGAACTGATACCTCCAAAAGGAGAATGCCTAGGCTGATATGCGTACGAAGCCGAAAGGAGATAGGGAGTACAAACAAATCACAAACATATCAACGCCACCCCATACTTTCGGGCCCCCCTGCATTCGTTGGCGGGAGCTGTGGCGGCCGGGTTCTCCCGGATAACTAACTGGTCAGCTTAGTAGCTCAATAATATGTAAATAATATGGGGGTGGTCCGTGATGGTGTTCCCCACCATACGAGTAGCGTCTTGTCCGTGCCTCCGGGGCGATCTAATTCAGCCCTAGTGGGCGTTAAACATCGATATCTGATCAAATCTGATCAAAAGGAGAGATTATGATTGATATGTTTGATATGATTGAAACCTCTTCATTTCTTTATTGGGAAATTCAACTCTCCTTGCTGCTTCTCATTTCCCTATCTTCAGCTATTGCGTACGAGTCGGGAGTACCCGTCCAATCACTTGTAATATCACATTTGCTTTTAAAACTGTCTGTACGTCGAAACGTGGCACAGAAATTCCTGGCCTCCTCGTTGTCAATTATCGGGTACAACGGTTACATACCGAGGCATCGCATATAGTTGTCTAGCAACAGGTAGTATTATTGTTGTGGTATTGGTGCTCTGTTTGTTGTGTCTCGGCGTTGTATAAACACATGTCTCAACAGTGAAACATGGATGCCAACCTCTTCTTCCGAGTGGCTCCATCCGGACCACATGAAAGCCTCCAGAGAGCTGTCAAGCCTTGAATGGACTCTTGTTGAGAGACAGCTCTTTCAATCTTAGGCGGGACTGGTGGCAAACCTTACCAGGGCCCACGGGTATAATCAATATTAGCGCATCAAACTGGTTGGTCGCGGCATCCAAGGAAAGGAGGCTCTTACCCATAGCTGCAGCACATCGGCCCGCTGAGCTGTCCAGCTATCCCTAATAGAGCTATGCTAAAGAAAATAATTGTCAATGCCAGTCAGTCTATGCCTCAATTTCCTCTCAGCGGCAAGTTTATGCTGTGGAACAGCGGGATTCCCAATGCCGCCGGTTTGTCATGTGCCCGGAGAAACAAGAAGGAAGCAACCCTATGCTGCAGGATGGCATGTGCAGTTTAGTACCGCAGATCTTCGTCATCCATCCCCTATTGCCTCCGTTTTTGTGAATGCCAAAGTTAGAATCTTTCCCAGAAACAGTAGGAACATATGAATTTAGATGATCGGCTAGCTCAGTCGAGCTTCAACAGCCCGTTCGACCTATTCCAGTGCAACGCTGAGCTGCAAGATGACCTGGTCAATATCCCAAATTCCCGCTGACTTGTCTGTCCCCGTGCGTTTCTCCCATCTTACTGTCTCACTTGTCAGTTTGCGGCGGATCAAGGGGCATAAGCTAGAGACCTTGAGACTCTTACCGCGTATCCACTCGCGACCATGCACTGCATCAACCCAGCCCCCTCTTCCTGTCTTGAAATGCATCTCCACCACAGCCGCTAGCGGCATGGCGATCTCTGTCTCCTGAGAACAGCCCACAGCAACAAACGGACAGACATGTCCTATCTGGGAATGTAGGAGCGAGCTCGTACGTCTCTTGCCCTTCGAAAAAATCTATAAAGACCACCCTCTTCTCCTTCATTCGATTTCCTTTCTCATCATCAACAATCTCATCTTCATCTCACTTCAATCACTTTCAATCACCTTCAATCAACTCTTCTCAAGCCTTTCAGCTTCAAACAACCAACCGCAAATATGCAAATCTCCAAGATCATCACCACCATTGTGGCCACTGCCTGTGTCTCCACTGCCGCCCCCAACGCCGCCCCCAATGACGGTGGACACGGTGGCGATCACTCCAACAACGGCAACATCCAGTGCTCCAACGGCTCCAACTACTGCTGCCAGTCTCAGGCCGGTCTCCTCGCCATCGGCTGCGTTCTCCAGAACGTCCTCGGTGCCTGCGCCAACCAGCAAGTCTGCTGCAGCAACACCGGTTCCGGAGTAAGTTTTCCCATCCCTCATCCATCCACCACATCTTCAGTCACTAACATTCCCAAAGACCCAGAACTGTGTGAACCAGAACGGTCTCCAGGTCAACGTTGTGTTGTAAATGCAACACTCGACCTGATTCGGCTACTCGCCAATACCGCCTTGGCCAGGTCCGCCGTACAGTTTTGCACATACTCTCGCCGGTGCGCGTGATCGGCGTGCGCATGGTCGACATTCCTTACATATTCTCGCATATGGCAGCATGTGCGAGATGGTTCCTTTTGTTCTCGGTGTTGGAGTGGAAATTGGGTGATAATTCGGGCTTGTGGAAGGGTCTTTTCTAGTCTTTAGTCACGCGGAGTTGAGATGGACGGGGACGCCTGTTGGGATCTCCTGTGGCCTTAGTTTTAATAGTGCTAGTAATGGATCGGAATCTTGCCTTTAATTCAGACTCTTGATGATGCTTGTGAATCGTGACTGCTCCTGTATTTGCTTCCTGTTCTCTCTTGTTATCAACACACCTTCGCCTATGGGACTTCCCATAATTAAAATTGTAATGTTTATTCACATAAGAACTTATGGAAATTTGGCATTGACACTCGTAAATATGAATTCGTGTCGGTGTAGCCCAGGAAACTGTAAAATGGAAGGTACGACTGACGGTAAAAGATACGTGAGGCAAAAGGAAGGTACGACCGACAGTAAAAGGCAGGAAGCAACTTAGAGGCAACAGCCACATTAGAGATAGAATACATCAATAACAAATACACTTACGCAGACCTACCCTCAACTCCATTGTGATCCGAGTATTCAATATAATATAATAGTTCCTGTCGTGTTAGATGTTCATAGAAGAGACGGACAACAACATAATCGAGGAGGTGGGCAGCCACTTTTTATATTACCATTCTTGATCGGCAATGACGTGCTACGACTCGCATGTTGCGTGAACATGATGGTTCATCAAATAGCGCACACAGATGAGAGATAATTGCGTTGGCAAGTTCGGGGTGTTTTTAAATGGATATGTTCTATTAGGGTTTCATTATTTAGATGTTAAGAGGTTGGAATAATTTTTGTGTTCAGTAAGTTAATATATTTAGTATAGTCGGAATTTAATATAATATTCGGAGAATATGTAAAATTGATAACCCACCTCAACAACACGAATATTCAAATACAAACAAGGAAGAATAACCTCTAGCCTCTAGTTATTAATCCAAGCTACTTGTTATTGCGATATATAGCTTTATAATAGGAGATTTATAGTTATTGGACACGAAACGCAAGCCTCAGGTCGACATTCTGTCACCACAACAGCTCCTGAAACAAAGTCCGTGCCCTTGCTGAAACGACCACATTGACCACACAATCACCTCCATGAAACAAAACGACGAAAGCTACGTGAAAAAGGCATTATATCATTTTCATATTCATAGACGCCCCGAACCATCCAGTTCTCATAAAAATATCCTGGTATCCAATCCCGACCCGAACTCCACACACCACATTTACGAGTGCCGCCCATCCTCACCCCCTATGCGCCACATCAAAGCCGCTATTATCCGATTCTGGCGTCCCAAAATTCGATTTCCCACCAATATACGGCGACTCCGTCATCTGCACAGGAGTATATCTCTGGCGCTTGTAACAGTAACTATTCGCGTGGTTAGTATACAGAAACCAAGCTGAGCGCAAAAAAAGGGGGGTTGGAAAACTTACAAGCACGCAGCAATAATCAGAATCAACACCGGCAGGCCCAAACCCACACTGACGCCAATGATGACTTTATTACTCACACCTTTCGTTTTCCCCTCAATAATGTTGTCATCTGTTCGTGCAGACGTAGATCCACTGCTCGTAGGCTCCGACGTAGTAGTAGTAGACGAAACCGTCGGGACATACGACACAGGACTCCCAGTCGTAGCCCCAATCTCCTTCGCACCCGTCCCAAACGCCTTGGTCCTCACAACTGCATCCACCGTCGTAGTCGGGAACGCCTCAGCAGTACCCACTGGCACGGGAGCTATCAACGTACTCGTGACCACATTCTTCACCGCCGACTGCAGCGACGCGGGACATTCCACAAGCCCAGTAGACAAACACACGATCGCCGTCTGCGTAACCACCGTAACAGTCGTAGTCATCCCCTCATCTCTTCCCACCACCGCCACGCTCGTGACTGCCGCCGCCGCCGCCGTCGTCTTTGCACCCGCACAGATATCCACAAGCGTGGTATACCAAATCGGCACCTGCGTGCTCGGCTCCGGTCCCCACGAATGCTCACCGATCGCCAACGAGGCGCCTGCATTCGCGCCAACAAGCATGGTGTACTCCTCCACAACTTGCAGGGGGCAGTCCTCACGGTCGGGAGCGGCGGTGACATTCGTGACGAGCTTCGCGACGTCGGCCCAGACGCCGGCTTCGATGCCGGTGCTGAATTTGACGGGGATGCCACCGATGAAAGAGGTGGGGGTGCTGAATTCGAGGCCAGAGCGGATGCCGAGGCGGAGGATGGCGGTGAGGATGAGGTCGGCGCCGACGAGGGTTACGGGGAGGAACTCGAAGTTGCCGCCGTTGCTGGGGGAGTGGTGGGTTAGTATGTTGTATTTCTGACGGGTGTTTGTGGGGAGTGATGGGGTGTTGGGCTTACAAGGTTATGCTTGAGACGTCGTGGTCGAACATGTGAATATCAATGGCTATTCCATCATTGAGCTGGATGTGGAAGCCGGTGCTGATATCGATCTCGGCATCTACACTGATAATTAAGTCGATAGAGAAGACGACACCGACCAACAATTCCTTGCCAACAGCAAAGCCTATTGGGGTGTTTGACGTGTACAGATTGAGAGTGTATGTGGCGCTTCCAGATAATATGGTGTCGATTTCCATGTATAGCTCTAGACCATCGAATTGGAATTTGAGGTTGCACTCTGGGAGCTTGGGAATGTCGATATCGAAGTCAACATCGAACGGCGGGAAGTCAAAACCATCAAAGTCGCCAGTTATCACACTCTGAGTGACATTCTTGGCTGAATCTTTAATATAGTCAACGACTGTGTTGGTAATGTTGGTGACCTCCTCTCCGATCTCAGTCTTGACGGTGCCAACTGCCTCGCTGAAGTTGAAGCCCCCATCTATAGTAAACTGCACACTGGCCAGGCCTTTAATATAGCACGTCGTGCAGATGATATCTACGCTGGCGCTGACGGAGAGATTATTGCCCTTCTCGGCTCCATCTTCGCTATGGATAGTTTAGCCACCAGTCATCAAGATGTAGGCTGTTAACGTACTAGTGGAACAAAACCGCTCCATCCCAGCTACTATCGAGAGACGTGTTGCCTTTGAAGGTGGTAACGTTTTTCACTGCTACGGCAGAGGAGAGTCCACGCCGAATAGCCCACAGCGTCTCCGGCGACGGTTTCGCTGGAGCATTGCGAATCTGGAGATTGCTGTTCAAGGGAGCTGCGCCAGCAGCAACGGAGCCGAGGCATATAGACCAGCAAAGCGCGAACAGAAAGTAAGGCGCGAACATAGCTGAATCTCGAGCTCTAAACTTCTTTCTGTCGTCCGCCTAATGCTCAATGGACGACCGACACCCTTATACATTGCGAACCGTCGTCGAGCCCTGTCATCCTGGCCCATGAAGTTTCAACCAGCGCCATGTCCTCTTCACGGAACAAAACCCCTCTACAACGCGAAAAACGAAATAAGGGCCCACTGAGATACTATCGCGGGACATTTCACGTCCTAATGGGACAGTGCTCGCATGCTGTTGGGGTCCGCAACAGGGAACGCAATCCCACAGCCTCGTCTTGCCGGCAAGGCCAGCAATGATACCATGTCGGGATCCTCTAAAAAATCCATTTTTGGGTTTCACAAGTCAGGGTGCATGCGCGAAATGGCTGTGCGGCTGAGATGCGGCAGCACTTTGGGGCTGTGTGTTGGTGCGACCCTTGGTGCTGTAGTAATTGAATGCTAGTGTCATGTGCTTATGGTTATGTTCATGATAAGGGATAGCTTCATTTGGAGCGACCACCGAAGGATCGCGACATGGTTCCGCAGCTGCGAACAGGGTTAAAATTAGATGGGGATCCCTGCGTGTTGGTGTTTTCGGGAAAGTGGTCGCGGGTTTCAAGACCGCGTTTTTACGTGGTGGTTAATGCCTGGCACAAATAATCGGCTTGGCAAGTTCGACCAACTACCTTTGGACATACTCTGGCCCTTGGTCGCATGTTGGCTACATAACTGCTCCTTCGAGCTATTTTCGACTCAATATCAACGGATGAAAAAAAGAAACTATTGACTTGTTAGACGTGTTGGACCTGTCAGATCCCCAGAATAAGAGTCAGCCAGGACAGACTAACCGGGCCGAAGGAAGGCTCGGGAGGATCTGACCAGTGTGAGACGTATTGGGTGAGCGACCGCCGCCCTCACGATTTTGACGAAGTATTTATTTCAATCAACCCTAAATTACAGTATCTAGAAATAAATAAATACCATTTTTTAAAGCTTTGATAATCTATTTGTCTAGACCTGAGGCTGGTTCTGTTTAGGCAATAACTCTCCTAGAAATTTATTGAACCGACCTTTTAGGTCAGAAGCAAGGAGTAACATCATATTAAGCTTTACGGATTTAGGCTCCGACATAGAAAACTTCACCTTCTCATCATCGCTTTCTATAACCCGAACTCTGGGCTTTTGTGTTTGCGTATTATCCTGCAAAAAATGGTAGTGCTCGTACGTAAGACCACCGTATTGCCCGCATCCTACACCTTTCTGTCCCCAGATAGTTACGCAAGGCTTGTCGCCAAACGTCTTGTAACCAGGTCCATCTGGATAATAATGCATGCTATCGGCAAGGTCACCAGTTTTCCTATTCCAAAGTAGCTTGACAGGGCTTCTTTCCACTTGATGCCAATGTCTAATCGCATCATAAAGAAACCCCATCCGCAAACCGTTGGGACGAGGAATAATCGTTCGAAATTCCAAAGCACCGCCATAACGTTGGTTGACCTCTTGAACAATCTCGAGAGCTTCAACTGGTGGTTGGCAAACAAGAAGTTGTCGCAATTGCCAACTGAGGTGCTTGTCTGCATACTCATCTTCGTTGGTTGGCCAAGGAGCCAAGAACTTATCCATCAATAGATCCGAATATGTTTCCGTATACAGAGCCGATTCTTTAGGTCTGGGGCACTCAAATAAAGAAGCTCGGATTTCCACGTTATCGAAAAGGCTTGCCCACGTTTTATTAACCAGTTTGGCGTTGAGCAAGGAGGAGTGCGGAAGCTGAGATAGAATGATCACAAGAACGTCCGGAGTAGAAAACACCTCCGTTTGAGCACCCGAAGTCGTTGCTGCGTTTAAAACTATTGGTATATCAGGAATTATAGGCTCCTCTTCCGAGACATCATCATGTTGTTGTACTGGAAGGTTTCCGTAATCGAAGAGATAAGCTCCTCGCTGATAGCTGCCAGCGAGCTGTGCCCGAGGGGCAGCGCCACCTGTTGACCTGCGGGCAGTTTGTTTTGTTCTTGCCATAGTAAATGATGATATTCGTTGGATGGTTAGTGAAGGAAATATATCCTCAGGTAGCAGGAGTAGGATGACCTGGTTTCTCCCCCAAATCCCGCTTTAGGCAGCAAGGGACCTAGACTCTACGCTAAGCTTATTGGCGCGACTGATACTACTACCCAGGAGTTACGTAAGCTTGTGTGGTCGTATGTGACAGTTTATTATGATATCGAACCATAAAGTACAATAGAGTATATACCATATATGCCCTATATACCCTCTGAATTGGTTCTCTCGAATACCAGGCGGCGATGCAGCCCATTCTCCTTTACCGGCATCATCTAGCGGGACCTACCCGGAGATCCACAGAGAGATGATCCACCTGACAGGCGGCTGCTCGCTCTGCACTTTCGGACTTATGGCTCACATGTGAATTATGGAAAATGAGAACAAGACACCGAGACTTATATTCCACTACCGTCGTACTTTATCTTATCCCGAAATACCCAATCCTAGTTAGGCCCAATGTAAGTGACGCTGACAGTACCATCAGACTGAACATTGCTCTCAGTAAGAATATACCCATTGATGTTGATATTAACAATATCAGCGCCAGCAGCAGTGACCTGACGATTGGGGTTCCTCGCAGCCGTATCAAAAATACTAATAGTACCCCAATTATAAAGCGGCACCGGCTGTCCATTCTGCGTCCAGTCCTCAAGAATCCACTCCGCATCCGTCTCACAGAGCGGATAGTCCGTCTCGCTCGTATAAGTCTGCGAGACCCACTCCCCATTGCTCAAGTTCTCCACCGTCGTGGTGCCAGACGTATAGCTCGTCGAATGCACCGTGAAGCGCAACGTATCACCAGGCGCAAAAGTAAGCCCACTCTGATAATCCTGCATCACATTCTTCCACCACTCTGTCCAGAGCCAGAAGGACCCATCGCCGTAGACGACAAGACCGGTCTGCAGGATGGCGCTGGAGCAGTATCGGCCGTCGATGCCGACCCACATGTTCGCGGACTGCCGCGGGTCCCCGCCGCTGAAGTTGGGGACGACTACGCTACCTTGGACGAAGTTCCAGCCGGTGCCTTGGGGGCCTTCTTGGACGGCTCCGCCCCAGAAGAAGTCGCCTTGTCCCTGCATGGTGGAATTGCCGCGTGCATGGCTGTAGCTGGCTGGTGCGGCGAAGACGCCTGCAATGGCAGCGATGGCAAGGGCGATAGATTGGCGCATAATTGGAACCAGAAATGAGACTTGGAAATCGGCGGGAGATACTGAGGCAAGATAGAGAAGTTCTGAGCAGGGTGTCTGTTCATTCTACATACGTCGAGGGGATTTGTCTATGTTTTATATCTAAGATTTGAGAACTAGTTACTTCACGAAGTTATAAAGCAATCCGAATCACTTTCCTAAATGACACTGGCGTAGATAATCGGCACAGGATATTTGAAGGCGTCATGGTCTTCATGGCTGACTAGATAAAGAAAGGGCTTGATCTAGGCTGGTCGAAAATTGAATCTGAAACCAACAGAGCAGTCAAAAGGTATGTTGAAGCACACGAACTCGGTTATTTCAAAAAGCAAATGTAATTCCAGGGCTGCCACAGAGAGCTGTGCTTAATATCACTATAAATCGGGGTCTTTGCTTGGCTCTATGGAGAAGGAGGCTAGTTTTAGCCTTATACTATACTAGCTTCTTGGTCTATCAACTACCGATTGGAGCAAGGTGCGGTTGAGATCGTTGGCGCAATCTTTCGGAGCCTATTTTGCAAGCCTGTGATTGTCAGCCACTTTTCAAGAGAGCCTATGCCGGACTGCACTATGAAGATTGCCTACTGGGCAGTGTTGTCGAACAACCTCAGAGATATTTACTCTTCAAGTAATATCAATATTTTTGAAGCCAGAGCAATGAAATCTGACAATGAGAAACAATCGAAGTCGCTTAAGCCATTCCACCACAAGAGATCGGAAACTGTCATCCATTTAGGCAGGGTCTGCCCGCCACTAAAGCCCTAAACAGATGAAATAGGAAGGCCGGCGCACTACTGAGATTGGGAGTCGTCCTGCATCTAGACTAGGGTATGCCCTCCACTGTAGCGGCAAAAAGATGGAATAGGAAGGCCGGCGCACAAAATCTAGCGCTGTCATCCTTTGTCGTTCGTCAAATAAGCTTTCATCCTTGTGTTGATCATCGGGTGCCGGGGCGGGTGTGCAGCTCCGATGCTATGATAACCCTAATCGGCAAGAGGCACGGGTTCTACGCTATGCCTGATGGCGAGATTGAGAGTATTAAGCATGTGGATTGCAAGCTTGTGTATGGCAGAGCAGACCGGGACATCCGATTTTCATGAGTAGATGGCCATATGTGATACTTACTCACACTGCCAGCTATAACTACTGTGGTTAATGGGGCTAGTCGGACCGCCTCCAATAGTATGATATGGGATTAAAGTCACGAAGAAAGATTTAAGTTCACGATTTAGATTCAGATAAACATGATTGGAGTAAGTATTTTGAATTGCCTAAAGAAGATTGATAGATACCCTGTACCGCACCTACCTTAAATACCTACACACCCTTTGTTTTATGTGAGGGAGAAAGGGGAAAGGGGAAGATCGAGAAATGGGGGTAATGACTTACCAGATCTAGAACAAATTGCTATTCCTATTCTTGTCCTCGGGATGGTCGCCCCATCTCCTCGGTGCGCGAAGGAGCTCAGGATTCCTCCAATCGTTCGGAAATTGAGCATACTGAGGATCCCTCGGATCTATTGGTTCTCTCCGATTCCCAGCCCACCTCAACCGTCTAGGAGCCTGAAGACCCTCTGGAGACCTCGGACGCCTTGGAAGCGAACGATCTAGCGAATCTCTTGGATGATAAGGAGGCTCAGGACCTCTCGACTCTCTCCGAGACGTAGGAGGTTGAGGATCTCTAGAACCTCTCCGCTCCCTAGGAGGCCGAGGAGTCAACGAAACTTCTAGAGACCTAGGAGGCTGCGGATCTCTCGACTCTCCCCGAGACGTAGGAGGCTGAGGACCTCTCGATTCTCTGCGAGACGTAGGAGGCCGAGGATCTCTCGAACCTCTCGGCTCACTAGGAGGCTGAGGATCTCTGGAACCTCTCCTCTCCCTAGTAGGCGGAGGAGACTCCGGACTCGTCCTCTGTCGACCCCTCTCCTCCGGCTCCCTAGTAGAGCCCCGCCTCTCCCTCTGTCTAGGCGTCTCAGGACCTCTCGGAGACCTAGGAGGCCTAGTCTCCGGCCTATCCCTCAGGAATTCCAGCTCCCTAAACCGCATCAGCTGTCTCCTCGGGTGCGCCCCCGAAGCCTCCCCCTCCCTATCTCCCCCCGTCTCGGTGAACCACGACGACCCCCTCGGGATCATGCGGTCGAAAAGGTTGCCATCGCGGTCCATCATGCGGATGCCATCCGGGCCGAGACTGGGGATCAGGACGCCGGCGTAGTTTTCGCGGCGCCGGAATTGGTTGGCGAGTCGGGCGCCGGAGAAACTGTCGATGTGGGCCTCGTTGAAGACGGCGGCGCAGGAGGGGCAGAGGATGGAGGTGCGTTTGCAGCGCGTGAAGGGGATGCCGGGGTGGCGGCGGGCGAAGCAGGGGGGGGTGATGCTTATGACGTGCCGGCAGGCCTCGTGGACTGTGTCCGTGGTGACGCACATCTTGGAGGAAGTGTGGTGGTGAGCGTGGTGAAGCTGCTGATGGTGTTGTGAGTGTTGTGAGTGTTGAGACTAATCTTGTTGTCGCTGTGTTGTGTGATCTATGCCAGGTAAATCAGGTGAAGAATGGTCTGGAGAGAAAAGGACTGTAATGACGGATGAAGAGGCTATACTTATAGGGCCATGATGAATGGGAATTATCATCTTGAAACATGGATTGGATTGAACGCAGCGACGATGAGGGTTTGATGTTGAATAATACTCTTGTTCGAACACAAAGAATCTCCATGAGAGCAAGGAGGGTTTGATGATGAACAATAGTCTTGTTCGGGCACAAAGAATCTCTATGAGAGTAAGGAGGGTTTGATGATGAACAATAGTCCTGTTCGGATATAAAGAACGTCCATGATGAGGGTTTGATGACGAACAATAATCTTGTTCGAGTATAAAAAATCCCTATGAGACCAAGGAGGTTCACAATGAAATAAGGGGCAACGACGTCTTTGTGTGAATTCGACTGTTGTTGAACAACGAATGGTTTTGAATAGCTTTGTGTGCTCTTGAGCCTCATAGAACAATGAAAGCCTTTGCACGTATTCGAGGTCTGAAGAATGATGTCTTTGTACGTATTCGACTTTCGACGAATTCTGGGTCTGCGTGCATCCCACGCTTACCCCTGGGAACCCAGCCAAATCCCCCCCCATCCCCATCCAGATCACACCCCCCAACCACAAAGCGAACCACACCCCTCCCCTTTATAAACCAACTTAACTCGTCTTTAAATCAGCGGCACAGCGGCACAGTGGCGCAGTGGTAGTACCACTGTCTGGACAATCTGGCCAGCGGAGGATAAATGGGAAGGTTATGGATTCGAGACCTGGCGAGGAAACGATGAAACCAAAAAAATGAGAGAAAGAGATTTGGAAACGAGCGATCAACACGACAACATAATATAAACGATAAAAAGCAAAATCATAAATATGATTTTCTCCTCATCAGATCTCGAGATCTGATGAGTCTTTTGCTTTTTTGACTTTTGACTTTTGATGGGAGGAAGAGATGATGCGGTGAGGCTTGCTTTTTTGAAGTTTGATGGAAGGAACTCATGGTGGGATGAACTCACCCATGTGGTGGACTTATCAACACAATGAAGGAGTCATAAACATGATGAACCATCAACAAAATGAACTTGGAATCAACATGAAGGGCCCATCAACACCATGGACCCATCGACATCATGAACCAATCGACACCATAAACCTATCGACCTGATGGACCCATCAACACGAAGACCAAAATACATGAAGAACCCATCAACACACACAATGAACTTGGAACAGGGAACTTGCCCACAGAAGGAAGAAAGGTATGGGCACCACGACGAAGATAGAAGATAGAAAATGTCCAGGGCCAATTCGTCTAATGCCGTCTATAATTAAGGGTATGGGTATATATCGCTCTACTCTCCCTTCAAACCGGAATCCTCTCTCATCAAACCGAAATACTCTCCCTTCAAGCCGCAACCACTCTCATCAAATAGGTACTCTCTCCTATCAAACCGCAACACCACCCCTTCAAACCGGAACCTCCTCCTTCGCCCTCCACACCGCCCACCCCACCGCAATCCCCACCTTCACCCCCCCCGCCAACCACAACGCCGCCGACATCCCCACACTACTCCTACTCAACCACCCCCCAATAATCCCCCCCAACAACAACGTCACCGCCGACGCCACCCTCCGATTCCTCTTCACATTATCCCTCGCCAGCATATGCGGATCACTCATCAAATCGCAAAACAAGCTCGTCAACACCGTCGTCGGCACCTCATTAATCCCCAGCGTCCGACTCGTCACGATCTGTCCCCCGCTCTGGAACGCGAGGAAGCCAATGGGGAGGAGTTCGATGAAGGCTACGCGCCCGGGGTCGAGCTCGTGGTAGCCAGAGGGCGAGGGAACGACGTGTCGCTGGACTAGGGCCGCGGCGACGAAGATCAGGATCGCTTGCACGAGGAAGGAGGCGGCGAGGGTGAAGCGCCGGTGTGGGTGGATGCGCCGCGACTGCGCGAAGAAGTAGCAGCCGATGAGGAAGAAGACGATGGCTGTTAGGGATTTGAGCCAGATGTAAGGTTGGGAGACGGGTTGGCCAGAGGCGCCGAGGGCGAGGATGATGGTGTTACCTGGAGGAGGGGGAGCGAGTTAGTTACACGATTCTCGGATGACTGGTAATGGCAAGGGGGTATGGTGGGGGGAGGGGGAGGACATACCGGTTTGCATGCTCACGAAGGTGTTCCAGGCGTTGAAGGCGCTGCTGTCGCAGAGACCGGAGGAGAAGCACGAGGCGATGACGGGGATGTCGGTGTGGTTCAGGTTGACGTCGCGTTTGAGCTCTGTGAGCCATGAGGAGCGCGCCTTGGGAGACTGCTTCTCGGCGTCGGTGACATCGGGGGTGGTTTCCCCAGGGAGGGTGGCTGATATGAGAGAGGGTTGTTGTTGGGGTTCAGTTGAAGCCATGGCGTCGTTGTCGTCGTCGCTGGGTGGCACTTGAGGTCAATTGGTGTGTCAATTGGCGTCTTTGTTAATATCACTGGACTTTTCCAATAGTCAGGGTATGATCATGATATGGGAATATATAGAATAGATAGAGTAGATATATATATTTCCAGCCACAGAGAAATATTTTTGCAGATCAGTCATACCTTCCCTTGCGTGATAGTCATAAAAATGAGACTAAGCACTTTCACAAGAGCGTACAAGAGTGCACAGGGAAGCTTATCGTGGGGGTTTTGGGTGGGACGGAGGGCGGAATCCGACGGCAGAAACGGGAGTACGGCACCGCATTGCTGCCAAGATGGGCGTAGAGGGGGGCTTGGCACGTGATGCCATTTCACGTGATGATAAGCATTACTAAGCATTGCTTGTAATCTCTTAATCACGTGCAAATAACTAAGCTTGCACGTGCTAGAACCCATTGGTAAGGCGGTGACAGAAAAAGTAGGAACCAGAGATTTTGCTACAGTGGATAAGGCCCCGATACGTACCTGATTACCACTGATACGGCCTAACTGGCCCTAAAAATCTAAAAATCGCTATCGAAACAGACCCGAGCTATTACGCCCGCCACCCTTCCCCTCCTCTCCTCTTATTTTCATCTGAACCTCTTCCTTCCTCTACCCCTCAACCCGGCTTCAGGAAAGCAAAATAAGACTCGGAGATATCTCTCTCCTACTCTTATTTCACCCCTTCTCTAGCCACTCGCGGCTGAGATATATATACTGAACTCCTCGCCCTCTTCTTCCTTACCTTTTTACCCCTCTGCTCTGTCAGAAAATCTCCACTCTCAAATCTTTTTTTGCCCCAGCCCGGCCACGTTTCTGAGTTTTTTTTTCGGCCAAGACGCCCACTTTCAGGATAATTACGAACGAATTTACGATTTATTGCACGACTGACAGATCTACAATCCTCAATAATCAAGAGACACCCGTTGTCCGATTTCACAGAGCGCCGGAAGCGCTCAGATAATGCCGCATCCAGTCTCTCCAACCCGACCACAGCCCACCATGCTTATCAAATCTGACGTCCCGTCCACCGTGGCGCCTACCCAAGAGGAGATCTCCTCGCTCCTCAGCACCATCTTCACTGCCGACTCCTCCGCTGCCTCCGTCGACGCTTCCTATGCCCTCACACAAATCCTCCTCAACTCCGTCGGCTACCGTGGCCTCCACGCCTACGGCATCGTTGCCGAGATCAAGAAGGCCGCAGCGGACAAGAAGAGCGGACTGAAGCGTGAGAGCGCCCAGAACCTCCTCGGTGCCCTCTTCGAGCGTTTCCCTACCCCGCAGCCAATCACCGAGGTTGTCTTTCTCATACAAGATGGCGGTCTCGTCCCCTGCGCTCTCGACGCCCTCGCCGATAAGGGCGCTGTGGTGAGAGATGCCGCGCAGTACGCGCTTGACGCTCTCTTTGTCCTCCTGAGCTCCGAGGCTCTTGTTATTGCACTCCTCCCAGTTCTCTCTCTCTACCTCTCCAAGCGCACCGGCAAGTGGCAAGGAACAGTTGGTGCCTACAAGCTCCTCCAGCGCATCGCCGACAAGGCCAAGCTTGAGGCTGGCACCACCAAGGAGGAGGCAAACGATAAGGATATGCTCCGCGACTCTCTGGGATCCAAGCTTGCTGGTCTTATCCCAATTGTCGAGGAGGGAATGCACGACTTGAAGACTGAGGTCGAGAAGGCCGCTATCAACACCATGAACTCCCTTACCACCCTCCTTTCCAACGACGATGTTGCCCCTCGCATCCCACTCCTCGTTGCGACCATGCAGAACCCGTCCACCGAGACCCTGCAAAAGGCCATCCACGCCCTGTCGCAAACCACCTTCGTCGCCATCGTCACCTCCCCCGTCCTGGCGCTCCTCACCCCTCTCCTCGAGCGTTCCCTCAACACCCCTACCACCGCACAAGAGGTCCTCAGACAGACCGTTGTTGTCGTGGAGAACTTGACAAAGCTTGTCCACGACCCGGTTGAGGCTCGTACTTTCTTGCCAAAGCTCCTTCCCGGTGTTAAGGGCGTTCAGGACAGAGCGTCCCTACCCGAGGTCCGTGACATGGCCACCAGAGCACTTAACGTCATCAAGAAGGCTATGGGTGATGATGTCTCCGGAGCATCCCACGGAGAGATTGCCCGCGTCACCATCGAGGACGTCACCAAGGTTCTTGATGCTGAGATCGCAAAGGCTGGAGGTCTTGCTGGCGACGCCAGCGCCATCTTCAAGCTCCTTGGCCCATACATTGGCGCCATGGTCGCCGAGGATGCCAACCACCGCCAGACTCCCCGCATCGCTGCCAGAGTTACCCCATACCTGCCCCAGGTCCTGAAGACCCCCGAGGCAGCCGCTGCCATTGGTGATGCCGTCCAGAACTTCTACGTCGAGGAGGACCACCGCAAGTACGGTAAGCCAGTCAAGGAGGACGACGGAGAGATTGAGATTGTCAACGCCGATTTCTCCCTTGCCTACGGTGGTATGCTCTTGCTCTCCCACACCAACCTCCGTCTCCTCAAGGGCCACAGATACGGTCTTTGCGGACGTAACGGTGCCGGAAAGTCTACTCTCATGCGTGCCATCTCCAACGGCAAGCTTGAGGGTTTCCCCAGCCAGGATGTCCTCCGTACCTGCTTCGTCGAGCACAACCAGGGTGAGGATGCTGATATTAGCATTCTGAACTTTGTCGCAAAGGATCCTGCCATCGCCTCCGCCGGAATGGAGCGTATCTCTGAGGTCCTTGCCGAGGTCGGCTTCACTGCCGGCCCCGAGGGTCGCCAGTCCGAGAAGGTCGGCTCGCTGTCCGGTGGATGGAAGATGAAGCTCGCTCTTGCTAGAGCTATGTTGATGAAGGCTGATGTTCTCCTTCTGGACGAACCTACCAATCACTTGGATGTTGCCAACGTCAAGTGGCTGCAGGATTACCTCAAGACCCACACCGAGATCACTTCCCTGATCGTTTCTCACGACTCCGGCTTCCTCGATGAAGTCTGCACGGATATCTACCACTACGAGCCCGGAAAGAAGCTCGCCTGCTACAAGGGCAACTTGGCCGAATTTGTCAAGCAGAAGCCCGAGGCCAAGAGTTACTACACCCTCTCCGCCTCGAACGCGCAGTTCAAGTTCCCACCTCCCGGTATCTTGACCGGTGTCAAGTCCAACACCCGCTCCATCCTCCGCATGACCAACTGCTCCTACACCTACCCCGGAAGCAACAAGCCGTCCCTCCACGACGTCTCCTGCTCCCTGTCCCTCTCCTCCCGCACAGCCATCATCGGTGGCAACGGTGCCGGAAAGTCCACTCTCATCAAGCTCCTGACTGGCGAGACCATCCCAACCACTGGCCGTGTTGAGAAGCACCCCAACTTGCGTATTGGTTACATCAAGCAGCACGCCCTTGAGCACGTGGAGATGCATCTCGAGAAGACCCCCAACCAGTACCTCCAGTGGCGTTATGCCAACGGTGATGATCGTGAGGTCCACATGAAGCAGACTCGTATCCTCTCTGAGGCCGACAAGGAGCAGATGAAGGTTGAGATTGATCTCGGTGACGGACGCGGAGGACGCATGATCGAGTCCATTATGGGTCGTCAGAAGTGGAAGAAGACCTTCCAATACGAAGTGTAAGCCAAATTCACCCCAAATCGAGATAATAAAATGCTAACAATGACCCAGTAAATGGAAGTTCATGCTCCCCAAGGACAACACCCAAATCTCCCGCGAAACCCTCGTCGACCGCGGCTTCAGCAAGCTCGTCCAAGAATTCGACGACCACGAAGCCTCCCGCGAAGGTCTCGGCTTCCGCGAGCTCTCCCCCAAAGTCATCTCCAAGCACTTCGAAGACCTGGGTCTCGACCCCGAAATCGCAAACCACAACGAGATCTCCGGCCTCTCCGGTGGCCAAAAGGTTAAGGTCGTCCTCGCAGGCGCCATGTGGAATAACCCCCATCTCCTCGTCCTCGACGAGCCCACCAATTTCTTGGACCGCGACTCCCTCGGTGGTCTCGCTGTGGCTATCCGCGACTACAAGGGTGGTGTCGTCATGATCTCCCATAACGAGGAGTTTGTTGGCGCGCTTTGCCCGGAGCAGTGGTACGTCGCTGATGGACGCGTCACCCACAAGGGTCACCTCGCCGTCTCCGCAGACCGCTTCGAGGATTCCCGCCCCGGCAGCGGAATCCCCAGCACCGTCGCCTCGATGGCAAGCAGCGTCGTCTCCAGCGCCGCCCCCAGCACCGCCAACAGCGGCGCCGAGGATACGGGAGATATGACTTTCCGTGCCCGCAAGAAGAAGAAGATGACCAAGAAGGATCTCAAGGACAGAGAGGTCCGCAGACGTCTGAGACACATTGAGTGGCTCTCCAGTCCTAAGGGGACTCCACGTTATCCTGATACGGACGATGAGGCCTAAAAAACCTCGAAAAAAACGTCGCCGATTTGGATATTTTGAAAGTTTTTTTTTTTTTGCTGAAGCGGCGGTACATATGTCACGTGACTATATGGGGTTCGGCGGTGTGGAGATGCGGTGCGGGCGGTGGGGACGCGGGCCTCCTTTAAACGAAACTACTCCAAGTTGTTTTTTGGGTTTTCCATGATGATATAGACTTTTGATATCCCGGCGGCCTCGAGACGCATGTTTCTTTTTTGTTTTGTTTGTCTTGTTTTTTTTCTGCACAAAAAATGTTTGGCGTTTAGAATTAGATGGGTAGATTTGGGGGGGTGGTTTAATTTAGGAGGTGAGGATGAGATGGGAGATGAAATGAATGAGATTCCCATGCTGAATTTTTGTTCTTGATTATGGATTGTGATGTGATATTATGTTGTGCTCTACAGGCGCCAACACTGCCTCGTCCAGCCACAGGGCCTGAAAAGCAGCCATGCTCAACTGAGAACTGATACCGTAATTAACGATGTCGTTCCGTCCTGGGCTGAAATAGAGGCATGTGTACCAGCTGAAGTAAACACCTCACACTGATTCATTATCCCACCAGAGAAGGCAGATCTTCCGATACCGAGACCTCTTGATGTCACTACTCACCAGACGGGCTACAATTTGCGACGGGGCTCAGCCCTTCTCCCCCCGTATCTCTCTTGTCACCACGTCCACATTCCCCCACCGCCCCCACAACTTGTCACCGCAGCCCCTCTCACTACCGCCTCCCTTACTGTCACCGCAACCCCTCTCACCACCGCCCCCCTTCCCGTCATCAATGAGGACGGTGCTTTGGAGTGCTTTTGCTCGGTCGTAATCGTTTGCTTCATACTAGCTATTCTTCGATACAAGTCGTCCCTGTGGGACTTGTACGTAGAATGATATAGGTGGTTTTAGTTCATATGTCCCATCATGAACTTTGTCTTTGAATAGGTCGCGTAGGGAAAAACTATCTGAAAAGAGAGAAGTATTTCGAGCGGCTGGCCGAGCAGCGATAGGGGTTGTTAGCTGTCATGGATGTCCTGCATAACAGCTCTCAAAGCTCGGACCACCGACTTTAAACTCTCTCACTCATCTCCCCTCTCTTCTGTTCTCATGCCCGAGCTAGGTAGAACAGAATCCATCCCAACAATGGACCGACTCCAGCGACTCCTCTGGAAGAAAGAAAACCGAAACTGCCAGCACTGCCGCGGTCTACAGGATGGCCAACACCGAATCCCGGCCGCTGCGCTCATCCACGGCGCGGAAACGGGCTGCCCGGCATGCCACCTGCTGTATGAGTCGATCAGTCCGGCGGATCTTGCGGATCAGAGGATTACATTGGTACATGTGAGGTTGTTTGGTGATTCGCAGGTTTGCCATACTTTTGATCCGGGGTCGGAGGATATGTCGCGTAAGCTGTGTGCGGAAGAGGGTAATTCCACTGAGTTTATGAGGTGAATATGAGGATATGGTAGACTGACACTACCGTGGTAGGTTTCAGTAAAGGAGGATGGGTGTCTGGTCCTGAGTATCCCACGACAGCATTTTATCCCCCGGTTGAGCGCGCGGTGGAGCTGTTCACTCTTGAAGGTTAGTTCCGCTGAAGTCCACCAGCTGTCCATATAATACAAGACCCCTTAAATAATAAATAGGGGCCCCTTCCCCTTGGCCAAAAATCAGAACCGCGAGAACCATTCTAGCCACTGCAAATACCGATGAATTCCACAACCTCATCCGTGGCTGGCTAAGACAGTGCGAAACACAACACCCTGGCTGCAAGGACTATCATCCCTCAATCCTACCCGATCGTGTTGTATTCGTCGGCGAGGGAAGAGATCCGTACCTCGTCGAGCCTCCCAAAGGCACTAGGGAAGATTATATTGCCCTCAGTCACCGATGGGGCGGCCAGGTATCATTGCAGCTGAAGACTGCCAACCTCGATGACTTTAAGAAAGGCATCCCCTTCTCGAGCTTCCCAAAGACATTCCAGGATGCTATTACTGTGTGTCGTAATCTGTCGATAAAATATATATGGATCGACTCCATTTGCATTATACAAGACTCGAAGGACGACTGGGACATCCAGGGGTCAAAGATGGACCAAGTCTATTCCCACTGTCGTCTTACCATCGCAGCCGATGCAGCCGAGAACGGAGACTCTGGGTTCCTAGAAACACCCGAAAGGCGAGACTTCCACAAGGCAACAAGAAAGATATCCTGTACCAGCCCAGCCGGCCAAAAAGGCGAAATCTTCGTCAGACCATGGCGACAATACGGCAGCATCGGCGGCTTCGGGCGCCACTACAATGGTTGGGAACCCGACTCTCTCCAACCCCCCCAACGCCTAAAACAAGAAGGCAGCTACCTCCTCCGTCGCGGCTGGGTCCTCCAAGAAACATTCCTCCCCGTCCGAGTTCTCCACTTCCTCCCCGACGAGGTAACATTCAAATGCACCGTTTCCTCCCGCTGCGAATGCCAGATCCCCCTCCACGCCTCCGTCGCGCATAGACCCCTTGATCTTGAAGAGCCGCGCGAAATCACGCCCAGAGATTTGAAGGAGTTTTGGCGCGAGGTTATTGAACAGTATACCCAGCGTGAATTTACGTTCCATTCGGACAGGCTGGCTGCTATGGCGGGTTTGGCCAGCCATGTCCACGTCAGACGCCCGGATATAGAGTACTACGCTGGACTCTGGTCTGATGAGTTACCCTCCACACTTCTATGGATCGTTGATCGCGAAATAAACTTCGGCAGGCTGTGGGGAAATGAAAGTCACCGCAATACCCCGGGCGTAGCTCCCACCTGGTCATGGGGTAGTGTGACTGGGCGCGTGACATTCTTGTTCTGGCACCTGAGTTATGGGCGCGGAAAGTGGGCTGAGAGTGAGCCGGATTTGACGGATGTGAAGGTGACGTGCACGCCGGCAGGGAGGAATAGGTACGGGAGTGTCAAGGATGCGGAGTTGACGGCTGAGGGGTATCTTTGTGATGTCAGGGTTTGGTTGACGGGGGGGTCGGAGTGGCATTTTCCTTTTAGGATGGAAACCCAAAAGGCTGATGGGACGGTGGAGAAGACGAATGGGTTTTTATATCCGGATACGGAGGAGGTTTTGGGGGGGTTGCAGGCCGGGAGGAAGGTTGGAGTGGAGATGGCTGTGGTTGGTGTTTATGAGTCGAGGATGTTTCTTGTGTTGAGGGAGGTTGGGGTGGGTAAGTTGGTTTTTGAGAGGATAGGGGTGATTCACTGCAATATACTCGATCGGGTGGTTTTGAAAGAGTGGGGACGGAAGGAGCGGTTTACGATTGTTTGAGCCGGTATGGAAGGTTATGAACGAGAGACAAAGCCCAGTCGGGCTAGACTTCGATTTTACGACGCAAGCTGGTCTATGTCTTCTTTTCGGATAATCAATTTCTCTATAAAGGTATCTAGGTATCTAGGTGGAAACGATGCATTCATCAGAAACCAAAACGTAGGCGCCCGCAATCCCTTTGCCTTTATAAAATATCCGCAAAATCGCGGCACAGTGAGAAACAAAAATGCGCAGTGACTGTCTTCCTGCATCGTTATCCAACGACCAACTCCCCAATTCCCGTATTCCCATCCCCGTTACCCCTTCATGTATCACATAACCCAGCATCCTGCCTTGCTCTCTCAAGCATCCACAATACCAGTCCCGCGAATAGCATCAACCTGCTCACTCAACTGGGCATTGTTCTTCGGGCCAGCCTTCGCCGGTCCCTCAGGGGTAACATACGCCTTTGTCATCCCGCCATCCACGACAAAGTCCTGCCCATTAATGAAGCTGCTCTCGTCGCTCGCCAGGAACAGCACCGCGTGCGCCTGCTCCACGGCCTCTCCGAAGCGGCCAGATGGGAAGTGGACTTCGCGGCGGTGGCGCTTCTCCTTGTCGTCACCGAGCCAATCCTGCAGGAGTGGCGTGTTCAGCGGCGCCGGACAGAGTGCGTTGAATCTGTACCCGTCGCGGGCGTGTACGATAGCCAGCTCGCGAGTAAGTGCTAGAACCGCGCCCTTGGATGCAGTGTAGGCGAGCTGGGGGGTGGCCGAGCCAACAAGCGCGACGACGGAGGCGGTGTTGATGATGGAGCCCGAAGGCTTGTTGTGGCGGCGCAGCGAGAGGACGGCGTGCTTGCAACCGAACCAGACACCCTTGACGTTAATGGCTTGAGTAAGATCCCACACGGCCTCAGGAGTGTCAACAGCGTCGGCGTCGAGCGCGTGCATGATACCGGCGTTGTTGAACATGATGTCCACGCCGCCCCAGCTGTCGAGCTGTGCCACGAGAGCCTCGACATCGGCTTCCTTTGAGACGTCGCAGACACGGACTTCAACGCGGTGGACGGAGGGCACGAGTTGGCGCAGCTTCTCGACTGCCTTCTCAAGGGCCGTCTCAGAGATATCAGCCATGAGGACGTTGGCGCCTTCCTTGGCGAAGAGGATGGAGGTCTCTAGACCGATGCCACTGGGATAGTGTTAGTATATACATTGTCCATGTGAGATTCAACCACGCCAGTATTATTCGCCCCTCATTGTGAGTTCTGTTCGAATTCACGGGACTTGGGGTATGAAACGTGATGTCCGTTATCGGAGAAGGGCAAGACATATGTGGCAATTGCGGGGTGAGACAACGCAGGGACAGGAAAAGTGGCCAGATTGAAGGAATTTAAGAACAATATGAAACTTACCCTGCAGCGCCGGTGACAATAGCATTCTTACGGTGCAGTCTGCCCATCTGGATGCTGTTGATGGTGAGGCCGCTCTTGGCTGGGGGCGGGGTGGCGGCCATGATGCTCTTTGTTTTGGGGGAGAGCGGATCGACCTCGCTCTTTTGATAATTAAGAGTCGAAGTGATGTTCTAATGGAATATAGGCTGGAAACGATTGTGATCAGTTTTAGAAAAGTTTGAAGAAAATGCGAAGAAGTTATATATAAGGGGGGGCGATAAGACACATGATCGGGTTATAATCTGACTCGCGGGGTGGCGCGGTGTATAGATAAGCATTGATTACTTACTGTAGTCTGTAGTTTATATATTGATGCTTTTTTTTGCCACCTGATATATTTAATGGAGAGTAGGGAAAGGGAACCAAAGATGAAGCAATCTGGTCTTTGTTTTTGAAAGGATGAGGTTTAGTTTAAGTGAGAGATAAAGAGTCTGTTTATATAGAAATATTGGTCGGCGGGGTTGGGAGGAGCTAGAGGGGACGAATGACCCCAAATGACACACAATATTCCAGAATTGCGGAGACATCACGTGATTATTCAGGGGCAGAACGAGGGGCAAAAGGGCGGCAGGGCGGTAAAGTGGACCAAAGGCGGTGAGGAGAAGCTTATCGGCGATCATGACGCTGCCTTGGCCAATGGACAGGACTACGGGAAAACAAACAAATCCAGGAACAACTATATTCAACATACGATTGTTAACGCGTTTGACGATATCATAACAGGTGCTGTTGTTGTGAGATACTTTGTACAGCTCAAATATCTTACTTGACAAGACCGCGCTGTGCAAATTGGCCTCTGAGCTACCTGTAGGCTGCGACTCACCTCATCCACCTCAATCACCTCGTCAAGACAGCTTCTCGGACACGCCGATTCTCAACGAGCAACGCATAATACGGCCTATATCCGAAGCTATACCAATATAATTATGGCGGAAACTGTGGTGACGCTCGAAAACGTCGCCCAAATCCTCGAAAATGACACCAAGGTCAAGGTCGCCGGTATCGACGTCGACGGGCAGCTGCGGGGTAAGCTGATGTCGAAGAAGAAGTTCCTCGGTGTCGCAAAAGAGGGCTTTGGCTTCTGCTCGGTGGTGTTTGGATGGGATATGCACGACAAGACATACTTCAAGGAGCTGAAGATTAGCAATAAGGAAAATGGTTACCACGACGTCATCGCTATTCCAGACCTCAGAACGTTCAGGCGGATACCATGGGAAGACGATGTGCCCTTCTTCCTCGTCAGCTTCTTCGACCCAGATACCAAGGAACCACTCAGCGCATGTCCGCGAGGAATTTTAGACCGGCAACTAAAGAAACTAGAGGGCGAGGGCATTGGTGCTATGGCAGGCGGTATGAGATCTCACCCTGCTATTTCCCTACAACAGTAACTAACCGCACCTCTAGCTGAATACGAATTCTACCAATTCCGTGCACCACAGAGCGGCAATGCTCCGATATCTGAACGCAACAACTCTTCGACTGCCACCTTCCTCCAGAACAACCCAGTCGACTCCCTCCCATCCCTCACCGAAGGCATGTTCGGATACAGCTTAACGCGTCCCCTCCATAACAAAGACTATTACTATGGCATCTTCGACGCCTGCGAGAAGTTCAACACCAACATTGAGGGCTGGCATACTGAGTCCGGCCCCGGCGTTTTCGAAGCCGCCCTCGCCTTTGGAGACATCAAAGGCATGGCCGACCGCGCTGGTTTATTTAAATACGTTGTTAAATCCATCGCCACAACATACGGCATCACACCCTGCTTCATGGCCAAACCCCGTCAGGGACTGCCCGGAAACAGTGGCCACATGCACGTCTCCCTCGTCTCATCCTCCGGCGCCAACCTCTTCGCGCGCGAATCCACGGACCCCAACCCGCCCTTCCCGGACGTCGCCAACCTCTCCGACATGGGCCGCCACTTCCTTGCCGGTATCCTCGAGGGCCTGCCAGACATCATGCCCATCCTCGCGCCTACGGTGAACAGCTACAAGCGCCTCGTCGAGAACTTCTGGGCCCCCGTCACCGTCTCCTGGGGCCTTGAGCACCGCGCCGCTAGTATCCGGCTCATCGCCCCACCGACAGCAAAGGCGTCCGCCACTCGCTTTGAGATCCGCGTCCCTGGTGCGGATGCAAACCCCCATTACGTGCTTGCGGCGTGTCTAGCGCTGGGATGGCGCGGTGTGACGAAGAAGCTAGAGCTTACTTTACCACCGCTGGGGAAGGGTGAGGATGTGGGCGGCGAGTCGGATGCTGGGAAGCGGCTGGCGAAAAATTTGGGAGAGGCGACAAGGAGGTTCATGGCGAAGGACAGTTTGGCAAGAGAGGTGTTTGGGGATGAGTTTGTGGAGCACTTTGGAGGGACGAGGCAGCATGAGGTGAGGTTGTATGATGAGGCTGTTACGGATTGGTAAGTTTCCACCTTCTTGATTGAGGTTTATGCGTGTTTGTTATTATATCTTACTAACTTGTGCGCAGGGAAGTGAAGCGTTATATGGAGACAATATAGAGGGGAACCGCCAACTGGTCTCCGGTCTCACTTTGCGTCGGCGCATTTCCATGTCAATACATCTATCTACCCCACCTATAATAGACGGACTATACAAAGCGATATATACCACAATTTTATAGACATGGATCGTTATTTGTTCATGTCCCCCAGGGGCATTCTTTTTTCCTTCAAGGGAGTCAACTGTTCAGTACCCGAGTATCTCGGTACACACGTATCAAGTATTCGACAAACAGCTGACTATGGAATCCTTCTGGTATCTTTCTTCGACACTCCCTCAAAGGCCTATTCCTCACCGCTAAATTATACGCCAAGTCTTTCCCATTGACCAACTTACTCCCGTGCCGTGCCGTCCCCCGTGCCATCCCGCTCCGCCATCTGCCGCCCCACGACGCCGAACAGCATCAACAACCGGTAATTTAAGCATCCAAAATTGCCTCCGTGCCAAATATCGCGATACTTGGCGTTGATGCTTTTCTTGGCACAACCCATTGAGCGATCGGTAGTGTGGGTCCCGGAAAACCCGGGGATTTGATAGGACTGAGCGGGGTGACGGCGTTTCAAATATCCGAGATTTGGGTCTCGAAGGATTCGAGGATGGGGGGTTGCTACGGCACAGTTCACGGGAGGGATTGACCAATAAAATATCTTCATGTCGTGTCAAAAGCGGGGCGAATGGAAGCTATGGTGGTGATGGGATTGACATGTCAATGAACAGGGGTCAGCGAGCTTCGAGAATAGCAACACTAATCTTAAAATGGACTAGAGATGCTCCATTATCGACCCCAAGGATTCCCTCCTTCCTCCTCAATGTTACTAACTACTCTGGGGTTAGATTGCTCCATGAGCTCTCGCTCCGGTGATCCTTCGTCTTTTCTCATTTCACTCTTGGCCGCCGCGCCTGGCTCATTTCATAACGGGTGCCGACTCTATAGCTGTTCCCGTCGCATCGCCGGTGGCCTCGTCCTCGCTCTCCCCTCGCGACTGACTCCATCCTCCACCTTCGCGGACCGAGTCGCGAGCCATCATGGCGTCCCAGGACGACTCCGGCCTGACCCTCCTCGGTCCCCTCACGACCATATTCACCCCGCCTGCTACCTGCCATGACCTCACCGTCCTCTCAATCTCCACTGTCTACAGCACCGTAGTTACCGTGACAAAAACTATCTCCGACGGCTCAGCCGTCTCCGTCTACACCGTCCCCACCATCACCACTTCGACTACCGCTTACCTCGAGAAGTACGACTACGTCCTCGACGACTCCTGCTATCCCGAAGGCTACACCACTTACTCCGCCTACTACTCCCCCGGACGCTGCCCCGCCGCCTGGGAGGGCGTTGTAACCACAGCCCAGAATGGCGAGACAACCATCCAATGCTGCCCCACCTCCTTCACCTTCAGCGGCGAGCTCTGCCGCTCATCAGTCACCGAAAGCACAACCACATCCGTTGTCCTCTATAAGAATGAGCTCCGCGTCGACCCCACCCCAACTCCATCTTACATTCCAGACGAAATGGTATGGGCCACCGGCATAATCGTCCGCTACCGCGACGGCGACTTCCCCACCACCACCGCATCGAAATCCTCGTCTGCCACCAATTCCATCGCAGCGCCCACCTCCACCTTCACCCCATCAGACCCCTCCTCCTCCGAATCCAACTCCGGCCTCCCCCTCGGCGGCAAAATCGGATTAGGCCTCGGCATCCCCGTCGCGGTGATCATCCTCGCCATCCTCGCCTTCCTTTTATTCCGCCGCCGCCGCGCCGCCACCACCCCTACCGTCGCCGGCCCTCCCCAAGCACCCCCGCAACAACAACAAGCGTACGCCCAACCCCCGCCTCAGCAGTACTCTCAACCTCCTCCACCACAGCAGTACTACCAGCCTATGGAACAATCCGTGCCTGCGGGATACTGGGAGGCTAAACCTGAAGAGATGGCACGCGCGAGCGAGATTTATACACCGAGTGCGGCGGGGTCGCCGCGCTTTGGAGGGGCGCAGAGTACGGGATATGCACCGGTTGCGCAGGTGGGTGCGTACGCACCTGCACATGAAACGGGATATGCGCCGGTTGCGCAGGTGGGAGCGTATGCGCCTTCACATGATACTGGGTATGCGCCAGTTGTAGGGTCGGGGCAGGAAGGGTATGGACAGGAGGCTAGGGCGCCGAGTGCGCCGAGTGGGTACGCGCCCGCTGCGGCACCGGAATACGCACAGCAGGCTAGCGCACCGATTGTGCCGTCACAGAGGCTGCCGGTGCCGCCGGTGGAGGGGGCGTCGAGGCAGTGGTCTGGTGGCGGGGGACCGTTGCCGGACCCGGCGGAGTTGTATCCTGAGTATGCGGCTGGGGGGGATGATGATGATAGTGTGCATGGTGGGAGGAGGTGACGGTGGTAGGGATGTGGATGGGGAGGGAAATACCCGAGTTCTTTGTATATATTTTGGAATGGAAAGGGCTGGAAGGAGGAGAGCCTAGGGGATGTAGATTTTTGTGGTTGGGAGTGTTTAGGTATATACCCCATTGGGGGGAGATGTGGATATTGCGGCTGAGGGTTGTTGGATTTAATGCAATATGTAGTTGAAATATAGGCTTCTGAGTTCTAGCATGTGAGTCCTATTGGCTGCCGTGTTTCGAGTTACCATCCCCCTTTTTCTTTAGTCGTTTAGGAGAAGCGAGTCATGTGAAACCGCGATTCAACCCCGAGGGCTTCCATGCCTTGTAAACATCAAAAGTCGAGAACATGACCAAAAAGGGCTATACCTTAGAACATACAAGGTAGTCGCTGGTGGTCACTCCCCAGCTACTGAGCAACCCATCTGAAGCAACCGAATAATATCTCAATTCAGAAAATCTATAGTTATAGAATTATAAAACCCGCATCACTGTCCAGCAGCAGCAGCCTTGGCCGCAAACGCCAAAATATTCTCCAACACCTGATCATCGGACTTGTTGCCCTCCCCCTTAATCTTTTCATAAGCTGGGTACAGGATCGTCTTCTCAACCTCAGTGTACTTCCCATCAGCCACGTACACAACCTCGCCTTGCCTCTCCGTCGTGGCCATCAGATACACTGCTGCGCGTGCTACGATGACGGGTGCTTGCATTGGCTGTGAGATACCAGGCATGATAATTTCCATGCTGGGGATGACACTGGTGTTGGTCCATGATGGCATCAGGGTGTTGATACGCACGGGGATCGAAGCCACGTCGAGGAGACGAGCGTAGCCGCGGCCGAAGCCGAGGACACCGTGCTTGGCGGTCGCTGTGTGCGTTAGTCCAATCATCTTCAAATGCCAACTATTTCCAAGGCCACGAGGGGGATGGGTAGCAGCTTACAGTAATCTGGTGCCCGCAGTGGCTGGAGTCCAGTGCTCGATCCCATCAACACGATGTTGCCACCCCCAGATTGCGTCTTCATGTAGTGCACACCCAGGACAGCGGTGTTGACAACACCCTTGAGACTAACATCAATCAACTCATGGCTTGGCTCCTGGAGTTCCCCAGCCTCGTTGGAAGCAAGGCTGAGATAGTCGGCGCGGGGACCGATACCAGCATTCGCAAAGACATAGTCGATGCGGCTGTGGTGCTCATGGGCGGTCTTGAAGAGGGTGCGGAGGTCGGACCAGCTGGCGACGTTGGTCTTGACGAAGGTGAAGGCTGGGGAGGCGGGGGACTCGGCGGGGGGGTTGATGTCGCCGCTGACTACGGAGGCGCCCAAAGAGAGGAGGAGGGTGACTGTTGCGAGGCCAATGCCTGAGGAACCGCCTGTGGAGGTTGGTTAGTTGGAGGTAAATATTATCATGGGAATGCTATTCAGCGGTGAGGCGGGGAAGTGGTAGTACCTGTGAGAACGACAACCTTGTCCTTGAGGCTAGTAAGGTCCTCGTCTTTGATGAGGAATTCTGCCATAATGATGATAAGCGGTTTGCGAGTAGCTAACTGGATGATAAAAAGCAATCAATTTCTTCTAATCCTGGAAGTAAATGGACAAGAGAAACAATGTCAAGACGATACAAGAGACAGAGGGAGTAGAGTATGGATATGCCAGGGACCGGGCAAGCGGCTTTAGTTCCGAGATGGATCTGGCAGGTGGCCCAACCTCCTAGTCCTCCTAGCCCGTCCCAAATGTAACCCTTATTTCGCAGCGCTATAGGTAATAGAACTAGCAGGAGCGGGGTATAAAACGGTGTTTTGTGGATTTTGTGGATATCTCCATGGGGTCCTCGCGATGATCGTTTCCACTTCTAATCGCCTTTGACCGCGGCTCCCGCCTCTGGCCCGTCCAGGCCCCGTTTCCGTGTTTGACATACCCTGCATCCAAGAGAAATGACCCACCACACGTGTTTCTTGGAACCCCTTCGGCGGCATTTGATGCTCCTTTTCCATACATTCCCAGCACGGTAGTGGAACAGCGAACTATATTGAGTGGCATATGGGCTGCTGCAAGAAATGAGGTCCTGCGAGTCGTGTCTTCACCTTGGCAGGGAACATATCACTCTCTTCTCCCGCTTCGTGGGAACGGCTTCAAGAACCCGGGCTTAACCCCTGTTGCCGGGGACCCAAGGACATATACCCGGGACCACATATACCCCTCAGAAGCAGGCTACTGGAGCCGCTCCGTAGTCCCCGTTGACTAAAGGCGTCGCAAGCTTTGGTGTAGTCCCCGGCAGTAGTGGGAAAAAATGTCTCAGGGGAGATACAGGGACTAAAGGAAGTTTGGTAAGAACTTAAAAGCTAGAGCAACGAGGGCAAGAGCGACAATACTCCAGTCGGTAAGGGTTTCCAAAAGTAGCAGCAGCAATGTTAAAAATCCCGACTCGGCAGTCATGGTGAAAGCAGCGTAGCATTGCATCCCTTGGCCCTGTTCGTCCAGGGTTCAATGCCATTGGGAAAATAACAGGTCAGATATGCCTGCGTGTCAAGGTGTTCACGCTTAAACTTAATTCTCCACAAAATCAAAATCTCGTTGAGTGCCTCGAAGAAACGGAGAAGCACTCGTATTCTATTCTTCTCCATATCAATACCTCTTCCCTTCTTCCCTTCCTTTTTGCGCCTCTTCTTATTTGCTTCATTCACCATCGTTTACCCGCAGCACCCGATTTTGTGTTGCAATTATGGTTCAGCCGGCAGGGGACGGCGTCCCTCTTCTGTATACTTCGATAGTCCTGCTAGCTGTGACTTGGCTCACATTCACCACACGGATATCAGTGCGAATATGGAGGAAAAACTCTGGCTGGGATGACTTGTTGATGTTCATAGGCCTCGTACGTCCACCGCATCCCTTCCCAGACCAAAGACAGTACTAATGAGCCCCAGCTTCTCTTCACAGTAACAGCCTGCCTATGTATTGTCTGTTCCTTCCTCGGGTCCGGCCAGCTCGCTGCTGGTGTCCCTCCCAATGAAACCATGAAGGGAATTAAGGTTTGTACTCTTGCTTTCTACAGTTGGAAATAGAACAAAGTAGAACTGACCGCCGCCAAGCTCTTCTTCATCGCCGAGTTCTTCTACGCTTCCGGCGCCGCCATCATCAAGTGCAGCATCGCCATTACACTACTCAGAATTGCCGACACTCGCCGGAGCTTCGTGTGGACGATCTGGGCTATCATGGCCGCTACTGCCATCTCTGCTATTGTCTTCATTGCCGGTATCGCTAATATCTGCCACCCGATCACCACGCTATGGGGTGAAACTACAACAGGTTCCTGTAACCTGAAGCTAAACAGCGACGTCAGCTTCTTCTTCTCTGCTATAGAGATTGTGACGGACTTTAGTTTGGCAATTTTGCCCGCGATCTTGCTATGGAACATCCAGATGAAGGCTAGGGTCAAGTTTTCCGTGGGTATTATTCTCGGTTTGGGTGCTTTGTACGTACCCCCTAATTCCTCTTGCTTCGTCCCACCACCACTACAAATCCATAGACATAGGAGACTAACCCCCTTCAGTGCAAGCTGTGCCACCATCGTCCGCCTCAGATACCTAACCCTCTACGACAACCCCGCTGAATTCATGTTCGGCACCGGCAAAATCGGCCTCTGGTCCATCATCGAGGAGGGTATCGGAATTACCGCCGGCTCCCTTCACGCCCTGCGCCCGCTTCTATCTCTCCGCATCTTCGGCGGTGGAAGCTCAGTCGACAACACCGGTGCCTCCGCATCAGCAAGCAACAAGTTCAAGCAATCGAACGGGCACCAGGCCCAACGCAACGAGATCAATCTCGATACGTTCCAACAGCTCGGCGACACAGATGCTGATAGCTCGAGGCATATCCTGAAGGAGACGGAGGTGTCGATGACAAGGAGCGAAGGGACAGAGAAGGGGCCAGGAAAGGGGAAATGGGACAGGACGCAGGTGGTTGGGTGGAAATAGGGATGAGTTGTTCCTATTCTGACTGATATTTTTACTTTATGTTCGGATAGCGAGATGTAAGTGGCATGACAAGCGCACGGGATTGATGGATATGGATGTATGCGCAGGGCGGGCATCCGGGGAAGAATCGCCGGATATGGCGATAGTTTGTATGATATGTAACGCCATATAGACGATAGGTCAGGCAACTGTGGCTGGCCGCAGTGTTTGGCTATGGCATTCTTTCAAGAAGGCATGGTGATAAGAGTCACGAAGATAATACCCATATATTCGCATTTGAAGCAAAATTAATAGAGATAGCCTTGTTTGTTACCCAATCATTGAACTCTCTATGCGGTATGCAAATCCTCATCTCTTCGACGTCCAATGCATGAATCATCTTCTATGCCAAGTATGCCTCAACGGCGCCATAATTCGTGCCTGGCGCATGGTAAGTTCGCTCCATTTTCAATCCCGCCTCAGCCAGCAGCCTCGACCAGTGTCCCTCGTCCCTCTCTGAACCGCTGACGGACAACATCGTCATGTCCATCCACCCAGCCTCGACGTCCGCGCCGGTGGCTGGGAGCACGATCTCGGAGATGAGCAGGCGAGAGACACCGGGCGTCATGGCGCTGGCGGTGTTCTTGAGGATGCGCACACAGTCCGTGTCAGACCAGTCATGGAGACAACGGCGGATGTAGTATATTTGAGCACCTGTGTTTGTCAGTATGCTAAAGGGCCAGCACCTACATACTCGGAGGAAACCATTGCCACTGGGGCGAGAACGAACCTTTCACTGTCTGTGGCTTGAAGAAATCGTATTCCATCTTCTCAATCCCGGGCAATGGATCGGTGATCTCAGCAAGGACTTCCGGCCGTTCTTGGAGGATGATCTTCCCCTTTACGCCCTCGGTGAGCGCTCTGATCTGCTTCGTGACATGTCCCTTGCCGCCGCCGATATCGATCAGCAGGACGGTTTCGTCGGTGGTCTCGACTTTGCGAAGCTCGGACCCAAAGGGGAATATCCCGACCGTCCATGAGGCTGCTTCGCTCTGCGCGGCCATGCCAAAGTTGAGGGCGCTAAGGCGGTCGGGACGTTGCCCGAGATATTCCCAAATGGACTGGTCGCCGGTTTTGTGGGCGAAACAGTAGGGATTAATTACCTCTGAATTAGGCGTCTGGAAGCCCTGTTCGCGGAAGAATTCATACATTTTGGTATTTGGGGGGGCAAACTCGTCGTACCTACATAACGGTTAACCCGGTATCGTTGAAGCCAAAAGTATAAGATTATTTGGTTGGTACAGACATTAGTTTGAAAAGACCCTTGATCTCCGGGACCAGATACATCTTCGAATACGCAGTATGGGCATATTCTTCTGGACCAAGTTCTGCGAATGGGCCGACGATGGTAACACATCTCATAAGACGAACTACGCCACGGATGGCAATTAGAAACCCAGGTCGCAATGTTTTCAACGGCAAGCGCAATTTGCGATAACTTACCAAGTAAATTTTTGTCCGCATTAAGTTTCTCTGCCAATTCCGTCGCAGTCGTAGACCCGTCGAGGGGAATTGCATCGAAGACGCCCATCTCCATCACCGCCCGCAAAGCACCAGAATGCGACGACTGTACGATGGAACATGAGCTCAATTATCTCCGCCTCCAGACTATTTGACGGCACAACAAATATTGAGATTGCTCACATTTTCGGAATGGGAAAACACCATGTCCAAAGGCCCTCGCGCGGTCCTCATGAACTTATGGCTCTCCATGAAGAGCGCCGTATGGGACTCGCTGACCTCTCCCGCCGCAGTGGTACCCGCCTGGGATACATTCTTCGTGGCAATCTCGGCATAGCGATCCACAGCCGCGCTCACTTCCTTTAAAGACTGTCGGATGGCGGCAATTTCTTGCGCGACGGATTCGGGAGTTTTCTCCATAGCTGGGACTTTTGTTGGGTCTAATGCGTGCGATTCTGCAGGGTGGTAAAATGAGGTTATGCAGTTTATATCTCCGATCTGCTCCGTATGGACAACTCACCCCCAAGTTCTTCAGCGACCACTTTGGGGGCCAGTATAGCGGGGTATGTGCAGTATACGTAATCGTGCATCCAGAGTCCCATTGGGCCTACTTTCTTATCACTCGTGACACTCATAACTCACCAGTTATCATGACCTGCCATGGACCGAGAACCCCACTTTCTTCACTTTCTACCCATTGTGAGGGCGAGGATGAGAGCGGGGACGCCGGCTTTGATTTCCGCTACGGCCCGGCCAAAGTTCCCTAGCGTTACGACCCTGACACCCAACCAAAGAAGCCACAACGTGGTTTGCGGAAGGAGCTACTGCTGGAGATTCTCAACGTTGCCCGAAGAATTCATGCAACTTGTAGGTTACTGTGTGCTCGTATGCACATCCGCCCTCGTCGCTGTCACCCGCCCTTGTTTATATTACTACCGAGGAGTCTCTCTGGCAGAAAAACCGTGCACCATTGCCGTACTTTGACGAGTCCAATCTGACTATCTAACAGTAAGAGTTCAGTAAGAGCTCGGCGTACGGCTTCCTGGGGCAATTTTGTTAAACGACTGACTGCTCATATTTCCCGACACTATGGAGCAAGCGCAAAGCTCTGCTCCGCCTGTCCAGGCGTCAAGCCTCCCCGATGAAGAGCTGAAGACCCCTGTGGTAGATACACCTGCTCCTATTGTAGCGACCTCTCACCAAGAGTCAAAGGTGCCGGAGACAGATGTGCCTGCCCCTGTTACAGCAACTTCTCACGAAGAAGAGTCAAAGGCTCCGGAAGAAGATATGCCTGCGCCTGTAGTGCCTGCCCCCCATGATGAAGAGCCGGATGTCCCTAGGGCAGAAACTCCTGGAACTGAGCAGGGACCAAACGAACATGACCATGTTGAGATTGTTCGTGCCTCACCCACTTGACCATGAAGCGCTATTGACATTTGTCAGGATTTCGGCGAGGTTGACTCGACCTTTGGAGACAACGAGAGCTCTACCACTTCGCTCGCGTCATCTATCTTTAATTATACGTACGAGAATGGCCGCCGGTATCACGCGTATCACAATGGAGAGTACCCACTGCCAAACGATGCTAAGGAACAAGATAGACTTGATCTCAAGCATCACGTCTTTAAACTCGTTCTGAGGGGAAAGATGTTCCGTGCTCCAATTGGACCGAATCCACAGCGGATTTTGGACGTGGGAACGGGTACGGGTATTTGGGCCATCGACGTGGCAGATGAATATCCAAGCGCGCAGGTCGTCGGTATTGACTTGAGTCCGATTCAACCCTCATGGGTACCGCCGAATTGTGAGTTCGTCGTTGACAATGCAGAGGAGGAATGGCCGTATGCACCGAGCAAAGCGTTTGACTTAATTCATTGGCGTGTCTTGTCGGGGTCAATCAAGGACTGGCCACGCCTGTACTCGCAGGCGTTTAAGCATCTCAAGCCAGGAGCGTGGCTTGAGGCGCAAGAACACGATGTCCGAGTTTCATCCGACGATGACTCCGTTGATCGGGCTACTGAAGTCGTGGATTGGTTTTCAACGGTCGATAAAGCGGCCGAGGTATTTGGTAAGAAAATGGATGTGGCAGACAAGCAGAAACAATGGATGATTGATGCCGGATTCGTCGACGTTCGCGATGATATCTACAAAGTACGTCCAGTCTCCCCATTCCCTGCCCCAGTGGCATTTGGAGTCGTAGCTAACTAGTTGTCCGTATCGCAGGTTCCACTCGGACGCTGGCCGCGAGACCCAAGGTTGAAGGAGATGGGTCTCTATTTCCAAACCCAGAGCGTCGATGCTGTCGAGCCCGTTAGCATGGCACTCTTCACCCGCGCGCTAAATATGAGTCCCGAACAGGCTCAGCTTATGATGGTTGGCCCTCGTCAGGGTATGCGTAACCCTGATTACCATCTATACATCAAGTTTCACTTCGTATATGGCAGGAAGCCATTCGAGGGCGAAAGAGTATAGGTGTATGGTGCTTAAAACTTGTCCTGCATATATGATTATTTTCCTGCTTAGTGTGTTTATACCTGTATAAGTTATGCATGCCGTTTTAGCCGGGTATATGTAATATCCGCATTGGAACCTTGTTGGCTGCGTAGGCAATAGTTTGTAAACTATTGACTACGCCAAGCGGCGGCAAAACGCTAACTTTGAGCTTCTTTTGAAAAACGTGGCTGTCCTGTCCCTGGGGCGGCTGCTCCGATTAAATAGGTGGCAATTTGTAGAAAACATTAATAGTGACGACAAATTCGTTGATTTTCGCGTCCTACTTTTCCAATCGCAATATTTTGAAGCCAAGTAGCTTCGCAGCCTTACGACAGACAAGTGCTCTCTTCTTCTTTCCTTCCCACCCCACCATTCCAGCTTCAAAGCCTTTGCATCATGAGTTTCTCTATCGACAACGAGCTCACATGGCGAGCTACTGCCGAAGTACCATGCCGTGAGGTGGATGGTATGGATTGGGAACGTTGCGCAGCTCTCCATAATCTAATTGTGGGGCTGGGCTGGGCCGTCACCGGCAAACCAGAGACGGAAATGCCAAGGGTGACGTGGTGGCAGAGACATATCACGGATCAAGCTCTAGAGGACAAATGGTCGACAAGGTTATCGCCGTCCCTGAAACTGTTCCTTCAGGCTGCATTCGAAACGCCCCCTGGCCAGAACTTCTTCTACTACTCTACTGGTCTGGCTTGGCCGGATCGCTTGTTCATTCAAGGACACGATGAAGAAGAAATCATGTGCTTATACCAGATGACCAATCTGAGTCTTGGTAGTCACCGAGATGGTCTGAAGTAAAATAACCCCTGGCTCCGTATAATCCGGAACTGACTCTCATATGCGTTTAGCTTTGACCAAGAAATATCGCGGGCGATCTTTCATTGTGATATCCTTGACTCGCATATCACAATGAATGGCCGAACAGAATGGGATCCTCTTGAGGTCGTCTTGAGCGCATGGCTTGACATGATAGACACCGGAAAGGTGGTCGCGAGACCCCAGCCTGGCAATGGGCCGTGTGAAGCCGAGCCGTGGGAGATGCTTCCATTCAGCCAACATGACCTCCAAAGGGCACTTAATGGTTTTGATAATCTAGTTTTTAGGATGGAGTGTCTGATTGAAAATCCCTCGCTGCAAACAAAAGATAACCCAGAGGACCAAGAGAAGCTGCTCGCTCTTGTAAAAGCCAAATTTGAGGCCTCTCGCTCTCGAGATCAGTTTGGCCTTATTTCCAACGAAGTCCTGGATGCCGCTGGCTTGGGAGAAGGCTTTGTCCGGGATTTTCTCACAATGGTTCGTCGGCCAAAGAAGAATATCAAATACGTAGCCCCAGGACTCCGTCTTCCTACTGCAGACGACTTCTCGCCACGCCCACTCCAAGACTTTGATATGCCTGGGTGCTTTCAGTACCACAATCCTGTTCTCCCAGTGCCTCTCTTCATCACAGACATCAACTCCACAACGCCGGTTTTTGAACACTACCCGTTTGAAGACATCCCTAATCTGCCCCACGGACTTTGGACCGGCTACGTGGACAAAGAGAGCGACCACGTATTTGAAGACTCCTGCAGTCTCTGCCTACCATTTGAGGTCGGCGTAAACGGGTTTGCGCGCCACGCCGACGATTCCCTCATCGGCGACAACCAGGAAGGCAGAGTGGCGAGGCCAAACGGCCGGAGGAATGACCTGTACCAGCTGGGATACAACCATTATGGCCCTGCGCATGGGCCACAGCTTGGGGATATACTGGATTTATGGCAGAATCTCGTGGGAGCGGGGGAGTGGGAAGTCGGCGAGGAAGGCGTCTTGGGCGGGATCGAGAAGTTCAAGGAGGCGGATACGGAGGAGCATTATGAGGAGTATCAGCTATTTGTTAAGTGGTAGATTGGAGCTGTCATACTGTTGTCCCCTTGACGACGTGGGATGGCTGCAATCCAGCCATTTATGATGATTCGATCGCTAGTCGTGAGGGACTTTTTTTCATCAAACGCATAGTTCATAGGCTCACGGCTACCCTTCCATGCTCAATAGCAGGTGGCACCATGGGACAAGCTGCAACTCACCCATTACAAGGGATTGGTGCTAAACGTCGCGTGGAGAAAGCACATTTGATCGTAGGAAAAAGTATATTGTTGGTTTAACTGTACAGCATTGACATTTATTGGGCTCCAACCCATTGGCGACTCTAAGTCTTGGGGTGGGAGATGTGTCGGTCCATCGCAACCACTACCCTGATCGCCGAGGCTGACCAACGACACGACGACGAACGAGCTCCCTTTACGCCATCTGAAGGAAGAATTTGGGCTCTTATACACACCTTGGGTCCGTTTATTTGTTTTTCTAACAATCGAAGGCGAGAAGAAGACACTTATGCCGATGGCGGTTTTGGTGAGGAAATCATCGATCCAAGAAGCTTTGCAACAGTTAAATTAACTCCATGTTCGCTGACAGGCAATGTACCCGCCGCCGCTTGTTCGGCCCCTGTCAGCAAGGTTACAATCCTCCCCAGCCTCGAGATGGATCGCTTCCTTCGTCAGTAGGCTATTTTCAGTGAATTGATGACATGCAGCTAGCTAATAGTAGGTGCTTAGCTTTCATAAATGGCTAGGCCGATCAGCCTCACATTCCTCCTCCGCTTGATTTTGTGTGATTGTGACTGTGGCTGCATCATTACCCGACCGACGCGTCCTCGTGGGGGGTGGGTTACATGCATAATTTATGCGTTCGCAGATCGCGTCAGACGGACGACGTGGTGGGTATAGATAACCAACGTGGTCTTCAATTCCATTATATTTCAAACGACACACTTGGCGTCCGTTCTGCTCCCGTGGGAGCCAATCATTTCGGCCATATCCAATGGATAGCAGCAGTGTCGCGACACCGGCGGAGGATGCAAGGCCGAATCTTAATTCCGACGGCGGCGAGGCTCCATCAACCGACGAGGTCCTACAAGAAATCGCTACGCCTACCCACCAGTCTGACGCTGCCGACCCAGCAGCGGTGACCGGCAATAATGAGCAAAGCATCAGTCATTCTGATGCTGTGAGCGCAGGCGAAAATTTGACAGTGACCGAGGAGGCAACGCCAAGTCGTGATTCCAATAGCGGCAATAATACAGCCGTTGATGGCGGCCAGCAAGAACCGGATACGCGTATCCATCAGTCTGACACTGCCGATGCAGCCACAGCGACTAGTAGTAATGATGGCGGAACTAGGGAAATTATCATTCAATCTGATTCCCTAACCAGAAGTCAGAACGTGACCGAAACTGAATCGGCCACTACTGTCCCTAATGTGGATTTGGGTCTAGTTGATAATGGGGTGCGGGTTGAAAAAATACCGATTAATAATGGGCCTCCGTCACAGTCAGATGGGAGGTTACCCTTACAATCGGATGCAGAACTTGATACGGAACGGAATCTAGAACCAGGCTCTGCGCTAGGCGCCGAACCTGACGCTCAACCAGCCCAAGAATTAGACCCAGCAGCGGACCTGGTGCCAGACCCAGAATCAGGTCCAGCACCGAGTCCGGAGGAGGAACAGGAAGAAGAAGATGACGACGACGAAGATGAAACGAGGGATACCTACAAAGTCCGCTTGGCCCAAATATCATCCGAGGATCTGACGTCTCGCGAGGTTGAGTTAAATCAAGCTTTTGGTCAAGCAATTGTAGACGGAAATCTCGAGAAATTCATTCGCCTGCTAGGAGAAGGTGCAAAAATCGACAGTAGATTTGATGATGATGAAGAGGATGGAGATCCAAACCAGACGACCCTCTTTTTAGCTGCTCGACACGATTGGCCAGAGATCGCAGCGAAGATTTTAGAACTGAAGTACGACAAGGATTTCCTTTTAGACGATGAGACGAACGGATGGACGGCTGCTCATATTGCTGCCCAGAACAACAATATTGATGTACTACGCCAGATTCTAGAGGCTGGAGATAGAATTGGGATAAAGCATACTATTGTTAATTTTGAGAACCGAGACAAGGAGACCCCCTTACTTCTTGCAGCTCGCGAAGACTGTCTGGATATCGTCAATATGCTTTTGGATAATGACGCAGATTGGAAGATTGAATCAACCAACGAAGGGACTCCTCTACATTCAGCTGCCTACCATGGCTCCAAGAAGACTTTTGGCCGTCTCTTGGCTATAGATGGTGCGAAAAACTTGATAGGCAAGCAAGATAATGATGGATGGACAGTTCTACATAGTGCCGCTCGAGGAGGCGTTGAAGTTGATTCTCTCCTTGGTGACGAATCAATACTGAAGGTCGTGACAAAAAGAACACAATCGACACCGCTACTCATTGCCGCTCTTAATGGCAAGAAGGATATATTAATCTCACTCCTAAAGGCAGGTTCCGATTTATTGGCAAAAACGAACGATGGGCGAACAGTGTTGCACATGGCCGCTGAATCTGGCAGCGTTGAAACCCTGGAAGAATTAGTTGGGAAACTCGATCGAGACACAATACTTTGGAAAGACGACAAGGGAGGTACGGCATTGAGTGTAGCTGCCACTGAGCAAGAATACGATGCAGTTTGCTTCCTCATGGGCCTTGAGGCGTTTGCGCTGCCTAGGCTTAAGCTTGGTTCTTCTGCGAAGATGAATCAGCGTGACGTACAGGAAGTCAGAAGGTTTTTTATCGATTATTTTGAGGACAAATCGGAAAGTGAGCTGGATTCTCTGATGCATTGGCATCTGGTAGTGCATTGGGCGGTATATTATGGATGGCAATCGGTAGCCAGGACTTGTTTTAATCGGCAGGGGAACCTGTGTGACTTGAAAACTAAATCGGGAGAAACGCTGCTTCATGTGGCTGCGTGTAATGGATACCCCGGTGTTCTTGAGCAGCTCATGGACTGTTTTAAGAAACGTGGTTCGATGGAAACAAATGTTATGGCGAAGATATCCGACAAGACGAACGACGAAATAATTCCGCTTCATTTCGCAGCAGGTAATGGCTACGTGGACACAATGACATCTTTGCTGGAAGGTTCTGTCAGCGACGAAGTTGCTGCTAAATCAAAAAATGATAAAGCGTTGCTCTATAAGGAATCATGGGCTCAGATTCTTGTGGAATCACGGAATGGGGAAACAGCTCTCTATTTTGCTGCAAGGAATGGTCACCAAAACGCTGTCTCCTTCTTATTGCGGTGGTTGGAGAAGCATTCGGAGCTACAGAAAATCATCAGAAAAAAAACCAAAGACGGCAAAACCCCCTTGTCTCAGGCAGCCGACAATGGCCACCAAGGTGTAGCTAAAACCCTTTTGGAAGTTCTTACGGAGCATGATTTTGGTAGGGATTCCAAGGTCGCTTGGGATGAATTGACTGAGGTTGCACGAACTGGGCTTGAAGAGTACGTGGAATTGATTGTTGATAAAAAAATACTGGCGCCTAATATTCTGGATAACGGCCCCCAGGGTTTGTTTCCAGATCAGAAATGGACTGGTCTGCTTTGGGCTGTGTATTACGGTCACTACAAGGTTGTCTGGTGGCTATTGCGGAGGAATGGCCCGACAATCTTAACATCTCCAATTTTTGAAGACGCAACGGATATGGTTGATACATTGTTAACCAAGTTGAACAATACTGCGAGTCTCACCCTGGAAGTAAAGAGCGAAAAGGAACGGCAATACAGGGAAATAAAGGATTGCCTTTACAGTCCTCCCCGAGTGGAAAATGTGTATGACCAGTACGATCCAGATGGATTTCCCAGTGTGCCGCAGCCGTCAGGGAAAAAGGAAATGGTGTGCAAAAAATATAGGGCCACTATCGTAGATTTTTACAACAAGGCTGGCCATGTCAGCTTTGCAGCTCTAAGCCGGACGATGCTTGAAACTATCTACGATAAAAGCCTAACGTTAGATGAGATCATGACCGGTGCCGGAATGGATCGCAAAGAGCCGAAATCATTGAATAAAGCTTCCGGGGTAGATCAACCTATTCAGAATGCCGTGGGTAACCCGATAGCTACTGAAGCACCCGCTGCTGGAGCCGCTGATGCCGAAGCACCTGCCGTACCACCCGCTACTAGGCAGCCCGCTCCCGAAACACCCGCTGCCGGAACACAAAAGCACGCAGCCGCTACAAGGCAAGAACAAAACTCCAAGAAGAAAGATGTGCACGAAGATGGATACAGATTTAGATGGATACATGTTCCGGCCAACAATGTGAGCAAAACTCCAATCCTCAAGCGGTGAGCTGCAAACTAATCATGCAAAACCTGGATAGATGGAGTGGATTGAGGTAGAATATTCACAAGCCAAAGTATGACACATTATACTTACAACTCATTCATTAGGATTTACTAAGTCGGTCATTTTCGACAAATAAAGAACACCGTCCAGTGAGCAACTTTGTCCGTGGAAATAGACATGAGCTCCAAAGTGCGTATGCGGATAAATCCGGCGTATATCAATTCTCGCGGAGTATGAAACCTCTGTGTACAGTTAGTTACCCTTTCGGAATTTAACGCCTAGTAGTGACGGCTAAAATGTGTACAGAGACAGCCATTGAAAACCGATCCAGAGCGAAACATGCAGGGCAATATAGATCCAACTAGTAGGGGCGAGGTTGCAACAAAACTAGGAACCAACACCGTCCCCAACACTGAACAGGTCAAATCTCTCCAAGGAAGGGAATTGGGAGCAGAGATGCGTAGGACATCAAGCGGTGTTAGCCATATTGCACTTTACGTATGTCACAGACACTATTCACCGCCGGAAGTCTAACATCAGCGTCAGATGCCATATCTCACCTTTTCCAAAGCTAATCTGGGGAATGGAGCATCCGTTCAATTACCTAATTCATTGGTCGATGCGTATGGGAGAGAAACAATCCATGAATTGCGAACCTTAGATCGGTACTACTACTCGTCTTTACCAGAAGAAGACGTCCAGAAGAGAAATGGGGATCAGGTGCTCACAAAATACATTACACTGAAAAAGGAGGAGAATAGTATTGGCAGGCCGCGCGATGCACCCCCAGTGGATCAGCAACACGTGAAAAAAAAGCCGAGGAACCGACAACATAAAAACCCCAAGGAAAATCAACACAAAAAATCAGAGGAGGACCAACACAATTCACCCAGGAGAGATGAGACAGGCCTAATCTTGCAGGTGGACCAACTGTGGTTATGGGTGATTGATGGCGGTAAAGCTAAATTCCCTTGAATTGGTGGCGTATTAGAGGTGCTAACAACGTCACAAAGATAAAATAATCACTAGCTCAAGCTACCAAACAGACGGGGAGCCTGATATCATACTAAAGAGAGTCTTCAAGCACTTGATCGATGGACGTGATCATGATAGGCACCCCCCTTCATCACCAGAGCAATTGATGCAACTAATCGTTAGCAGCGCTACTGGGGTCATTGAGCAACGGAAAGTAATACTTCCAGAGAAAAAACTGTCATTGTCCATCTTGGAGATTTTTGAGAATGCTATCGGTGATGTCGTAAGTTAACTTTCATCGTTCTTATGGTCTTGTTCTGTGGATATAAGTACTATTGCTAATACTTTTATAGGAAGACGGCGAGTTAAAACTTTTTTCGAAGTTCAAGGAGACCCTTAATAAAAATAATTCAACTGATGAAGGGTATTCAATTGATGAAGAGATAGGCTATTTGGTCTTAATCAAGGATATATTGGACGAACTCAACATCCTCAAATCCCTAATAAAGGACCAGAAAAAAGTGTGGCACGATGCTTTCTCTGAATACACGACGGAGATTAAATCTTTGACAAAGGATCCAAAAAAGGGGTGGCATGATGCGTTCTCGGAGTATACGATGGAGAAGGACTACCTAAATTCAAGAGAGCCAGGCGAGATTCTCGAAATGTTGGAGGAGATGATCACAGATGCCACACGTGTAGAGAGATCGGTGCGTCCTAACGCTTCCTGCTCGATGGCGATTTCACCGCTAACCGATGCAGATAAACGATCTTCTGGATTTAAAGCAAAAGCAAGCCAACCTATCCGAAGCGCAATCATCACGTAAACAAGCCGAAGAAACGGCAATGCAAGGCACTACACTTATGGTGTTTACGATTGTTACCATTGTCTTCGTGAGTTATCTCAACACAAACTGATCAACCTACGGTGAATCTTTCTGACAGGAAAAATCCGAAATCAGCTTCCCATGTCATTCTTAGCAGCACTGTTTGCTCTAGATATCACAGTATTTCCCCATGCATCTGATAAATTATCATACAAACCTGGATGGATCTTTCCAATGATTTGTATGTATACTCTAATCACACACTGGCCGGTGTTTTGTTTGCACCTCACTAATAAACATTTTAAGTCGGGCCCTCCGCCGCAATGTCTATCCCAGCAATCTATTTTGCTTTTCACGTGGACACTGCCCTATATATTTGGGGTAAATTGAAAGAGGCGCCACGAATCTTCTGGCTAAAGACTGAGCACAAGCCAAAGAAGAAGTCTGATGATGGTACGTATTTAAATTAAACTGGCTCGGGTTTCGTATCTTCAACTAAAACTGCGACGACCCGTGCTCTAAATGTTGTGTGCCTCTTCTAACAGTAGATACAGAACCACCCGTCAGAAACCAAAATGCAATGATTAAGAGTGAGTCAGAACTAGAAAAAGGCAGATCAGATGAAGAGCTGCGTAATAGTATAATGGGGAGATTTAGGAGAGTAGGAAGTATTCAAGTAAGGTAGCTTTACGACCGAGCTGGACAACGGATTCATCGTATTATCCTCCGTCAAGGGAACTTTCTAGGATGCCGTGATTGTTACTTGTGGCAGTTGGTTGACTCAGAGGTTATTACATACGGTATATTTAGGATAGGATAATAAATGGTATAATTGTTGAAAGGTATTTACCAAACCAAACTCCTGTTTCGAGGCTTAGATTGAGTAGGCACAAAAATCCTTGATCATAACAGCAACCAACCCCCCCCGTAGACAATCCCCACATTCCACATTTGTGCCTACGCGGGTTGGACTTTTTGGATAGATGGTTTGTGCCAAACACGATGATGGGCCCATTGTAGATCTATCTGTCAGATTCTATGCCGACGTGAAAATGATTTCTTTCACGGCAACAGTTCCTTAAGTCCGTCGTCCAAAGAAAAAATGCCACCGGCGTCATGTGAGATAGGTTGGTAACAAATGGGCGACTGCCCTATTTCCTAAGTTTGAGGGGCGCCTGTTTTCGTTATCTTCACCACCACGAGAATCCTTCGTGACATCATGATAGCTGGGTTGACTCGACAAGGATGCGTGCCTTCTGCCATTCCACGCATCCGTAGCGATGTATAAAAGAAGCGACTATTATTACTAGACAAGCATACCTTTTAGCGGTGTATTGTAGCTCAATAATAATTGCTCATATGGTGTATAGCAGTCTAGGCGTGAAAAATAAATATCATGCACTTCTAGGTCTTGTCCTTCAAGACATCGTAGAAGAAGCTATTGTTTTCTAATTTCCAATAGAATACTTCTACCTTATAATAAATAACACAAATACGCCTGCTCCATATTAAAAAATATTCGCCATACTTTTAATGGCACGTTGCCTTGCTCGACATTTTATGATCGCCTTGTGGTTTTCTCACAACATCAAATTCATGTGTGACATTATGCCAAAGATGTAACTTGGGCTTGAATTTTCCTTCCCCAGACGTCTTCATTGCAGATTCTGGTTTATAATCAGTGTTCGGCAGATCGTGATCCGGATCTGATCCGTAGCCCTCACGGGTCAGATCATGATCCGTCTAATATCTAACGGATATATCCGGATCAGATCCGGATCTCTTAAAAAATGAGGCTTAAAATATATACATATAAAGCGTCTTTGCTAGAATTAATTATACATTTATTATGCAGCCTTGGCTATTCTTGGCTATTCTTGGCAATATCCGTATGATCCGGATCTATCCTCGGATCTCACGGATACGCCAAAATTATGACGGATAGGATAGATCCGGATCATGATCCGGATCAGGTCGGGTCATCTACGATCTGTGCCGAACACTGTTTATAATTTATATAAGGTAACACACCGAAACCAATAGGAGCAAGAGATACATCATGATATAAATGATCGAGAGAATTATAAATAAAAATTACTTTAGCTTTAATTCTGTTGACATATTTTATTTATACAGGTCTATTGTTAATCCTTTAAACCGAAAGCTCAGGTGAGCCGCCCTAGTTTAAATAAAGAATGGAGCTATTGGCAAGCCACGTACTAGCACACCAGGGACGGTGCGATGGTGTTCTCATCGCAGCATGGAAGGAAGGATTTATTGTCACAATATAATGGGAACAGGAACACAACAGAAGGTGAAAACGTGTATTTTGGTTTACTAAGCCCTTGCTCTCGACGCTAAAATGAACGTGTATCCAATAATTTCCAGTTCAAACCAAGAAATAAAAATATCCTAGTCAGTGAGTTCCACTCATTCGTCGTTGATATAAATAGTAGAAATCCAAGCACAATATTTTTACGAACCGAGGCTACAGCTCCCACCAAGCGGCCTTCCTGGCTTTATTCTCCTTTTCTAGAGACTCGTCCACCAAGTCACCAAAGCGACTTGTGAAGTCCTCCACAGTCATATCTCCGGCCTCGGCCTCCACCTCCACCTCATAGTCCCCAGGAGGCTTCGGTGGAATCAATACATGGCGGGGAATCTGCAAGACGCCATTACGGGCAATTCCGTCCTGGACAGCGACGTCAGTATACCCATTAATTCTCACATTAATTAAGCGCCCAAAACGTGCAATATCAATTCCGAGACTCTTTCCCTCCAACAACGTCGGCAGATCGACATGCAGAGGAACTCCGACAGGAATATATTTCTTGGAGTGGTAGAACGCGTCAGAGTACAGCGTCTGGTTGGCAACGATGTGATACTTCAGCAGCGCCTTAAGGTAGCTCTCTCCACGAGGGCTAAAGAGAAAGGCAAGAACCTTCGGCCCAAGAATCTGGAAGCCACGGTTATCTGGCGCGAAGAATGTGGCGCCGGTGGTGTGGGCTTTCGCGATATCAGATGCCAGCCCTGTTTTGGTGAGAGCGAGTTGGAGGGTAGAGAATTGGCCAGGGAGGTGAGATAGGATGGTTAGGATGGAGGGAGGAGGGAGGAGGATGTGATCGATGGCATGGATTATGCCGTTGGTTGCACCCTAGACGGGGTGGTTAGTACGCGAGTAAAATTCGAATGGGGGGATTAACTTACGATATTGACCGCTTTGAAGTGGGTGACAAAGTTAACATTTAGCCCACGTAGGCCAAGTCCAATCCGCAACCTCTGAGCGTTTCCACCGAGTCCATCTTCCTTCAAGGACGTTGGGACTGTGTGGCTGAGCAGCAGCCTCCGGAGGGGGTAGAGGTCGGGCGAAAGGTGGTACTCCAAGATTGCCTTGATGATCTCCTTGCTAGGCTTCTTATGAAAACCAGGGAGATGCTTGAATGCATCATTCGTTGGCGCAAAGATCGTGTAGTTGGCCTCCGTGCTGTTGAGGAGCTGGACAAGGTCGTCAAACTGGTTGATGATCTTGGTCAGTTCCGTCGTGAACTTGCTGCTGGAGATTTGCTCATATATCGTACGGTTCGGCTTGCCGTGGCCATGATGAGGCTTCTTATGGTGAGGAGGATGAGGGGGACGAGGGGGATGGGGTGGATGTGGTGGGTGAGGTGGGTGAGGCGGGTGATCGGGGTGGTCTGGATGATCTGGATGATCAGGGTGGTCTGGGTGGTCTGGGTGATCCGGGTGATCCGGATGGTCTGGACGATCTGGGCGGTCCGGACGATCTGGATGATCTGGGCGATGCGGACGATGTGGGCGGTCTGGATGACCAGGGTGACGAGGATGATCTCCTACCATGAAAGGATTGATCTCGTCGACGACGTCGGAAGCAGAGTCGATCCACGCCTCGGCATCGAACGCCTCATATGTGGACAGGCTGTATCCCTTAGCTTTTTTGGCTAGGCTTTCTGCCACTGATATGGCTTCATCAAGAGCATTCTCGGTAAGGCTGATGCTCTTCTGATAGCGGTCTCCAAAACTACTAGAAATTCTCTCAAAGAAGGTCTTTGACTTCTTGGGCACAAATTTTTGCTGTCCAACCTCGGTCTCCTCAGGGAGAACGAAGGCCGCAGATATAGCGACAAGCGGAAGGATGTTGATGAGCTTCATCTTGATGATATATCAAATATATCAAGGGATGGGATACATCGGGGAGAGAGAGGAAAGAGAAGAGGGGTGTCTGATATCATATAATCTGGGTTATTATGGCGTATTATTACCTGCTAGCACATAGACGCCAGGGGGTTCAGGGATTCGAGTGGTGTGACAACCGAGGACACGCGGCGAGGTCCATCTCAGATAGTTCGAAGTCCCCGGTCTCTTCGAGATAAATATCACTTTTATCATATAGCCGCTGCGATTTATCTTTTTTTTTGCACCTACAACATAAGGCATTCCACCAATTAGTACAGTCCTTTCTCCTCATACCTATCTCACAAGCGACATGTGGTTTACTTCTCCTGCATAGAGCTTCTTTTTTCTCGCGTATAGCGGATTGTGTACCTCAAGACGGAGATGCTGGTGGTGTCGTCGTCGTCGTCGTCATCACCTATTAGCTTTATCTTTCCTGATTGGCTACAGCTTCGTCGCTGTTCCCCTCATCTCACCTTTCTGAGGGCCGGTTTTAGTGTCCGTGCATTATATCACGTGATCGCATTTTCAGCAAATGAAAGTCAAGCTTTCTTGGCATTAAGTCAATTTATATGACGTCGTGACGAACTAAGAGAGAACAAACGGTTCATGAAGGTATTGTGAAAGGTACGGGCATGGTTTTGCGGTAATAAAGGTAGGTCATGGCTACTAATGGCTGTCTTCAGGTAAGCTATGAATGTGACCATGTGAAAGTAAACAATGTCGAAGTTGCTGTGATGAACTACAACTTTCAACGATGATGATGCCAAATGCCAAATGCGCGGATACTTTGTCGTCATATTTGGAGTACTTGGTTTGGCCGTGGGCTGTATATCTACTTTCCTCGGTATCAATCAGCTTCCCTTAGTCTACTAGGAGACCCTTCCACCCAATAACTTTTTTTAGCAAGACCCTTAAAATCCAGTTCAGTATGGTTGGCCTTGCGAGACATGTAAGATCACGCTGACGAGTCTTGGATTTGATTGTTAACCTCCCATATAGGTTGACTCGGACGAGATCGTCCAGCGCCTCCATGGAATGCACATGGCTGAAGCTGGGAAACGTCATGTCCATACCAATGGCGGCACGTCCCACATAACTCCATATTCGACACGATATGCAAGCCGGTCAGACATTCCCAAGTTCCAAATCCCGCAGCAGGGAGCGCCAGCCGATGCTGTCTACCAGATTCTCAAGGATGAACTTGATCTAGATGGGAAACCAAATCTGAACTTGGCAAGGTATGTTATAACACTTATCAATCCCGCCGCAGACAAATACTGACAAGAGGTTCTCAGCTTCGTTGGAACATTCATGGAATCCCGGGCCGAGCAATTGATGATTGAAAATATCTCCAAGAATATGGCCGATTCCGACGAATATCCTGCTCTAATGACCATGCATACTCGCTGCGTCAGCATTATCGCCGACTTCTGGGGCGCGAAGAAAGACGAGAAACCGATTGGATCGGCAACAACTGGTTCATCAGAGGCCATTCATTTGGGCGGACTCGCTATGAAGCGGCGATGGCAAGAAAAGAGAAAGGAGGAGGGGAAAGACAGCAGCAAACCGAACATCATTATGGGAGCCAATGCTCAAGTTGCATTGGAAAAATTCGCCCGGTATTTCGACGTCGAAGCACGGATTCTACCAGTATCCAAAAGGAGTAACTACAGGCTGGATCCTGACCTAGTGAAAGAACACATCGATGAAAATACCATTGGAGTCTTTGTTATACTTGGAAGCACATACACGGGTCACTATGAGCCCGTGGAGGAAATCTCCAATATCCTTGACGAATATCAGCAAAAATCCGGAGTCGACATTCCCATTCATGTCGATGCCGCGAGCGGTGGCTTTGTAGCTCCGTTCACACATGCTGGAGCCGGAGGCCCAAAGTGGAACTTTGACCTGCCACGCGTAAAGTCAATCAACACCTCCGGACACAAGTTTGGTCTCGTCTACGCTGGAGTTGGCTGGATAATCTGGCGCGACGAGTCGTACCTCCCCAAGCATTTGATATTTGAGCTCCATTATCTGGGCGGGACCGAAGAGTCATTCACACTGAATTTCTCCCGGCCAGGCGCCCAGGTCATTGGGCAGTATTTCAATCTCATACACCTTGGATTCAGTGGCTATCGCTTGATAATGGAGAACTGCCTCGCGAACGCTAGGCTTCTGTCGAAGAGCCTCGAAGCTACGGGTTGGTACGTGTGTTTGTCTGATATCCACCGCCAGAAAGGCGTGCATGACTACAATGACGAAGATGGAGGGGCATTCGCGACTACGGACAACCCAACCTCCGCCGCCTATAACGCCGGTCTCCCTGTCGTGGCATTCTGCTTCTCGGATGCATTCAAGAAAGACTACCCCCACGTGAAGCAGGAGTCCGTGTCTCAGCTGATGCGTGCGAGACAGTACATCATCCCTAACTACGCTCTCCCCCCTGGCGAGGAAAAGACCGAGATCCTGAGAGTGGTGGTACGAGAGTCGATGAGCTTCGATCTGCTAGATCGGCTTATTGCGGATCTGTGCTCTGTCACGCAGATTCTGCTTGAGAACGATGAGATGGATTTGAAGCTTCTTCGGGCTCGGCAGACTATGGAGGGTGCTCATGGGAGGGTGGGGAAGCAGGGTGATGGCGGTGACAAGGGTAACGATATGGATGGCGGCGTTCATCGGAGTGTATGTTGACTCGCCTCGATCTGAGTATAACCTGTCACGGCTGCTACTCAAAAGGTCTTCTGTATTAGTAATTTAGACGTTACATATAATTTCGAGTTATCCATAGCCTTTGACATACAGAGGACAAAGGTCACAATCAACGAAGTCACTGGACGTTTGCATCGATGCATTTGATAAACAGTCACGATGGCATTTCACGCTTTGCATGTGTGGCACAATTTTGGAGTTTGACGACTTAAAAAAAAAAAAAAGGGGCCCTTTCAACAACCAGTATGTAGTTCCACAGTGAAGCGCACTATCACGACCGCAGTCGTACTCTACACACCAAGCCCCAACATGCACGCGGTGCAATGTTTGTCTCTGTAATGGCGACCCTTCTTCCATTTTCCTTGATATCCAAGTCTCTGCCTTCCTGTACCCCGAGTCCAACGTCTCACAATATATCCCGCGTCGCTACCCGCAATTGCTACCCGCAATTGCACACCCAATATGTGCGCATCCGTATGTGCGCACTCTTCCGGTGTCGAATCAAGCTGGCTGTCCAGGCTCGGCCTCGTTCCTTGAGGTCCAGTTCAGAGGTGCAATTAACATGACTGAAGTTCCGACAGTATCCCGATACTCAGCAGTATCATTTCCTAGCTTCCGGTTCGAAGTAGCCGCCCGCTAATCTTGCTCCGCATATGCCAGCAGTGCTGTGTCCCATTGTGCGTTGCTCGGTTTGAGGTGGCGTTCCGCGACGGCGACGTTGCTCCGGTGCTCCAAATGCGACCTAGTCGTGCGCCCGTCTATACAACATAGCTACTCTCTCCTTGGAGAGCTATGAGGGAAGCCGCCAATTATGTGTCGGCACACATCGTGTGGCCTCGTTCTGCTTTTGCTCATAGCCTGTTCCGGGTCATAACCTGTTGTCACATAATTTGGAGTTTGACGGCTTGGTTGAGAAGGCTAGGGGGAGTACAGCGATTATATACAGCCTGTGTCCAGGCTTCACCGCCGCCGTCCTCAGTAACCGACTTTGTGCCTCAGCACACTTGTACAAGTGCGGTACAGTAGTTCAAACGCTAGAGTATGCTAGTCCAGCGCCCACTGCCCCGCTATTGGTTTTTGTTTCTAGCGTCGACTGAAAAAGTGCTGTTGCTGCCGCTGTCGGGCTGTCAGATAGTTAATTGGTGGATTCTCTTGTAGTAGTGGCTGTCAGTCGCTCTATCTGAAAACGACTACGGATTTGTTGAAGACATCTAAGCCGCCTCACTCGACGACATTGCCGAGGCTGCATAACTTCACCTTGTGCATTGAATGTGCGGTGGCTGTTTTCTACGTCTGCTTTTTGGTAGTGCGGGGGGCTGCGGAAAGGAAGTGTTCCACGCTGGGCGCGTAGAAGGGAGTTCTATACATATCGATAACACGAACTGTGCCGGCGACAACTCGTAGTCCTATCAGGCACTATACTTATTGAGTGGTAATTCTGGATGCATTTTCTTCTATCTCTCTTGCTCCGGACGTACAAAATCATAAATCATAGGCCTTAAAGCTCCAAACCGTCCATATATGCTCCTCCATCTAGACCTCCACCAACCAACCAGCCTACCAGCGGCCCCATAACTCCTCATCGACATTGGTATCATTGTACTCTGTAACTCCGGTCCCGCTTAACTTATATGCGTGCTTGCTGTCAGAAACCTTCGTTATGCTTTGACGTGCCCGTAAACTGGTCTTTCGCATCCTCCGTGGCCGACATCGGCCGGAGAGTGAAGGATTCCCCGTAGATCCTCCGGTTGATTGTATCAGATTGGTCTCGAACAAGCGCTTCCTCGTCTTTATTTGATGCCCACCGGAGAATTAGACTGCGGAGGGGCGGCATGCAGGCGATAACGATCGCGACGTTGTTTTCGGCGTGACTAAGGCAATATACGATAGTATAGGTCCAGTCAGATTCGTGATGTTTATAGAGGATCCCTTGGTAGTTTAGCTTGAGCCTGATGGCGCCCATCGCGGTTACCCTGATTTATGTGTTAGCAAAAACTCCTGTGAACGTGACTGTGATAGGAAAGAGCGGCTCACCCTAAACTGAGCGCGAACGAAAATATGACGGTCAATCGCGACTGAAGACTTGCGTTTCGTATCCTGTATACCAACAGACTTGGAATTGGCAGAATCAAGAGGTCCGTAAACATGTTGGCCGTGACTAGGAAGACGTAGATAATACCGCCTTGCTTTGGAGTCAGACACGATAATCCTCCATATACTGTAGGCTCCGACGTTTCGCCAGTTAGAGGCGGACACAGGAATATAAGAGCAAGCCACGGTCCGAGACAGGCTCCAATAACAAAGGCTAGAATGCCATAGAGTGTTCTTCTGATGGGGGTGACGACCCATCCGGCCCTGAGAAGAAGGAATATGATAGACGCCTTGACGAGAGGTAGAATTGGCGTATATAGCAAATTGTATGCTATGAGGATCTATAAACTGTCAATATACATTTATTAGAGCCCATAAGTAAATTTCCGCATCTTTACCTTGTGGTATTCGGTATAGTTTGGTTCAAGGTTGTACTGATCAACATCCCAGATGTGGATTCCGACGTGCCAGATAATGACATCTAAGCGCATTTAGTAAATTGAAATATCAATCTTATATGGGAGGTATCGTACGTCGAATTGAAGGGTAGATCAGCCCGAAAGAGAATAGCTGACAAACAGTTAATTACGTCACTTCAATTCTCCGGACTTAAAGACTTACTAGAGCAAGAACGACCAAGTAATCGTCTTTAGGAAGCGGAGTTGAACGTCAGTACAGTAATTCCTCAGGCGAGCGATCTAACATACCCCATCCCAAAGCAATGCGAGCCCGTCTCCGCGCATATATTCGCAGGCCGACAAAGCACCCGGCAATCGCGGGAGTGCCTGCTATTACCGCGAGGCACAGATTCTGAAGTGGGTACGACGACGGCATCGCATAGTTGCGCTCTCAGAACGAAGGGCGAGATTTCGGATTCAACGCATTGGGTTTCGCAATGTCTGGACGATATCGTGGAAGTCAAGTTCCATCCTCTCCAAGAAAGAACAAGAATCGGACACATGGGTATCGTCTGGTTATATGTTCTGGATAAATTCGAATCTGTGGAGCTGCACGTGTCGCGAAAATAGTGGCGTTTAATATAAAAGCAGGCCTCGCCCCGCCTTATCCAAACCACTATGTCAGCGAGGAGGGGGAAACTAATGGCACACTACTCGCACTACTCTATAGTTAAACTCACCAGAGTCGGCCTGTCGTCAGCTTGACTCCCATGGCAAGACTGTGGGGAAAAGGGCCCGGGCGGCGACGAATGACTACAGGGCGGTGTCGTCTTCATAGCATCCTCACCCAAGGATACCACCAGACCACGGTTCAACAGACTTGGCCTCACCAGTACCAGTAGTCCACTGGCAGTAACTGACATACGGAGGTACTCCACCATTTTAGTTGCGGGAAGAGTCAAGCTCGGGTCCACCGGCTGCTACTGGCTGCTTACTGCGCTGCACAATAGTCGCGTAATAACGGGCCGCATAGAAGGAAGCTTGCGAAGAATTCCATGGCCGGGCGCTAAAACCCCTTAAAGCGTGGTAATTGTGCACACGCCTCTTGCACATAAGTACCGATCGATGCCGATCCTTGCGGGGTAGTGAAGGGATTGTGAAGGGGTGACGGGCATGCGGACCGTCCGGATAATTTGACCACGGGGTAAAGCGCTCTCCACTCTCCGCCCCTTCATCTGCTAATGTTAAGTGCGGCAGGACCCAGCAATTGTCCTACTACTCTCCTGCGGAGAGGAGCACCAGCCATCCTCTTTCTAGTCATCCTTTTGCCACTCAATTACTGGTCCTGTTACGAGCACCGGCCATCCTACTATCGGCCGCCCTGCCTCTTATCAGCACTGTCAGCGCGCACTGTCCAATTCTCACAGGGTAACATGTGCCTTTGCCAGGAAGAAACTTCTTCCATCTCCCATGAAGCCCCAGAATGCCCACACTCCTAGCCATGACGAATCTATCAAGGTCACTAAGCCACACCTTCGCCGTCTTCCTCTTTGCTCTCATTTTCTCCTGTGCTGATGCAGCGACGTCGAATTTATTTGGACCTTCCACGGCGATAACATCGCGGTATTGGGACTGCTGCAAACCGTCCTGCGGCTGGGCCGACAAAGCAGGCTTCGTCGACAAGTCTCCAGTCCAGTCATGCGATATCAATCAGAATCCGCTGCTAGATAATTCCCAAGGGACAGGCTGCAATGGCGGTCATGCTTTCGGATGTCCGACGAACGCGCCTTGGGCCGTCAATGACACGTTCTCCTACGGTTTCGTGGGCACTTTCCTCGTTGGCGGCGATGAGTCCAGCTGGTGCTGCAGTTGCTACCAATTGAACTTTACCAGCGGGGCAGTCAAGGGCAAGTCGATGATTGTGCAAGCCTCCAACACGAATTACGACTCCCCGAATGCGAATGTCTTTACTCTCGGTGTATGTTGCTCGTTCTCCCCCAAATTGAGTGAGTTACGACCTTACTAATACCATAAACCAGATACCTGGCGGGAACACGAGCTACGCTGGCGCATGCGGTATTGAATATAGCGTCTCAGATTCTGTGTTTGGTACGAAAAATGTGGGCTTATTAAATCGCGCTGACTGCGACAACCTTCCCGCGGCACTAAAGCCTGGCTGTCAGTGGCGGTTCGACTGGTTCAACGATGCCGAGGGGCCAAAGTGAGTGCTTATTTCAGCCTGTTTAGACAGTCCCGCGAAATCTAACGGTGGAATTACAGTGTCGAGTATAAACGGGTGACATGCCCGAAAGTCCTCACAGATATCACTAAATGCAAACGGGAAGATGACGACAAAGTCGAAGCGGATGCGATCAAGGCCAACTCACCATCTGCAGCTTCGACATTGCCGTCTATGGTTCCTACAGCTATCTCTGCGCTACTTATGTGGTGTATGCTACAAACGCTCGGCTGATGGAATGGAACTCTCTGTCTTAATATCTCAGGCTGACAGACCTGGCTTATAACTTTACTCATGGTGTGGGTTCAGTTCTTGTAGAAAAAGTGTCTCGGAGAATCATAGGACAGGGCATTGTACTTGACTGCGGAAGCCGTCAAGGTCTTGTGGGCTCTCTAGGCTGTGGGTTGCACTACACGTTGGATGCAGGACGTCGACACCAAAAGGCCTATGCGCCGTTATGGATAGGATTAATTCAAAGCCCTTTTACAACGAGGTTCAGTAACAATTTAAGGATCTGATCAACCTAGAATTTGCTCCATATCGCTACTCTCATCAAGTGAGTTTGTCCGTTGATCACAGCTCACCCAACTCGGCATTGCTGGGAGTACTTGCGCAAGGCAAAATACAGCCGTTGCGTGGCATGCTCCAAACCCCGAACCCCTCTATTCTATCGGAGAAGCGGAGGAATCCCCAAAAAACAGTCATGCCAACCTCCATAGTTAGCAGCTGGTCTAACGGCGGCATTTTGGACTAGCCAACGGCGACGCACATTGGTTGGCTGAGGCGCCTTTCGGACCTTTTAACGGCATATCAGTGGGGTATAAATGACGGTATTATATTCTAGCCCTCCAACGAGCATCGCCACTTGCAGGGTTCCCGTCCAAATGAGTGAACAAAGGCCGGCCGGAAAATAAGTGCACGGACAATCTTGATAATCGTACTCCAATAGTTACCCGGTCCCTGTTGAGGAGCTTCCACTCTGTTCCCTGTATGTTCACTATGTGGCATGTCGAACCCGATGAGTACGACAACGGTGTGGGTGCGGGCGCAGAAATATTGGATTGGCACTCCATTGCGATATACAGGTATCTCACTCCATCTTCATGATGAAGGCGTGGTAAGTTGGCGTGGCTCTGTAACATGGCGCAACACGGTGGAAATTGGATGCGGGCGACGTATACGACATACGAGCACCGCAGTTTAAGGTTCCTCGGAGGATTTCGCAAATGAGAAGGTGGTTTCCAGAGCCATGCGCACCACGCACACACGTGTCCAGTTAGTTGGGGGTGGAGATGATCAGTGCCAATCCCCCGCATTGACTTCCCCGCACCCGCAACTGTCAACCAACCCCGCAGTTATGAGCTGAGCTAGAAAAGCTCCGTGCGAATCATGAGACCTTAGTGTCAGTAATGATCTGATAACTGTACGAAGTCTCGTAGTGCAGAACTAGAAGGCCGCTAGATGAGAGATTTGTTGGCAACTATTGTCGGGATATCAACTCGTGATGCTGTGGAAGGGATTTCGGTTGACACCCCCTTTCTGCTTACTCCTAGACAGCCTCCTCGGCTAATTGACCTCGCCGCCGTGAAGTCTCGACGCAGAACAAAGACCGTTACAAGGGAGGTAGAAAAGAGAGGATTGAGAGGCTCCATTTGGGACTACGGGGTTGGTCGGCATGGGTCGGTATCAAGGACTGGTCTGTTCCTCGCACAACGACGTTGGACAACCAGATGTGCAATTTATTCACGACAATTTAGAGCGTATAGTACAAATATCTACGTAACGCCGTTATGAATGAATATTGGAAAGCACCTTGACCTTCTCATTTGATCATGTTTCCCCTTTTGCTTGACTTATGTCAGTCGCCGCCAGTCGTGTCTCAATCACACGAACAATTTCGTTCCAATCACACATGCCACCCTGTCCCAGATCGCCACAGGCGAGCAGCTTCACCTGCGCCGGTAGAATCTCAAACCACGGCCAGCCTTCCAAGATTGAAAGCTGTGTCGCTGTCAAGGGATGAGTAAACATTCTATCGTTCATTGCCGGCGCAACAAGGATAGAAGCTGCTTTTTGATCCGATGATGCCACATCCCAGGCACGGATGGTATTCGTCAGGAGGTCGTCACAAAGCCCCCCCGTGATCTTGGCAAGTAGATTCGCCGACATTGGGGCGATGACGAGGAGGTGTGCCCAGCGCCGTAACTCGATATGTAGTATTTCGGCACCTCTCGTCCAAGGTGCCACCCATTCATCCTCATCTTGGTGAACGGCATCGACATTTGGGAGCGCAGCTAGCGCGGCTATTGTGGGCTGCTCAGAGGACTGGCCGCCGAGGAAGTGGGCGGCGGCTTTGGTGAGGATGATGCGGATTGATAGGTTTGGATAGTCTTTTAGCGCATTGATTATGGATGGCAGCTTCACTGTTGCTACGGAGCCACTTGCTGCCAGGAGAAGATGCGTCTTGCCGTCATTGATTGCGGCCGCAACAGCAGTCGCGGGTGCCACGGCAGTGGCCTCCAACCTCGTTGCCATTCTTTAGCACGGGTAATATTAGGCGCCCGAGATTACCATGAGACAATGATATGGGCTGTGAAGTTATGAAGTTGTGTTCTTGGGATTCTCGAATTTGTCGTTCGACGTCGCAAGTCACCTGATTGGCTGTGGGGAACCACGATTTGGCAATGAGTGGGAAGGCGCGACTCTTAATTTGTCAGCAGGAAGGAGCGGCCACAAGCGGGGACGACCTGAACTTGCTGCTTAGCAAATTAATCCGGGCTGTATGACACGCGCAAATATTGATTTAATTACTGAAATCGTATCACTGGCGCGGGCTGAGATGATTGTTTGGCCCATTTCTTCATGGATTTTATATCGGGTCACGTGTCAGGTCCCTGCCAAACCGCGACATTGACACCACAATGGAATATGATGCGGCTTCGATGACAGCTGGAGTCTCATGCTCGCTCGGAATACGGAAAATTCCCAATCGTTCTATACAGAACCGCCGAAGACCAGTTGATCTTTCCACCAATTACGGATCTCTGTTGCTCTCCGCTGAGGCCTTCCGTTATCAGGGACTGATGAGTTCTGAAATCGGCATCTGCTGCTAGCAGATATCCCGCGCGCCAGAAACAATTCCCCGGCGTTTCGATTCCCCGGTGATAGAAAATAGCTGCTAGCGCAGGGAAGTCTATGTGGAGGTTCACCATCACGTTGCCGAGTACAAACCATAACACGGGATCTCGGAATTCGGCGAGTTCTAAACGGCATCTATCTCATACTCCATGCCGTCTATTGGTGGATAATATTGCCTCATATCGCCGTTGCAGATCATGAGGGGGATTAAGCTTCTCCAGAGCTAGCTTGTTGAGGCAGCTTCCCCAGATTTGGATCACCCCGCATGTCATATTCAACGCTAAACTGTTGAAGCTTGAGTCTCAATGTGTCAATATCTGCAGGTGTCTATAGATATGCTTCTTGACATATATAAATTGAGCTGCATGTTGAATTAATTTAAAATCTGTCCGTGAGCAGCTTCATTGAATATTTCTCTCAATTCCAACACTTATTTTTCAATAAAAACAATGGTGAAAATAGAAAGGTAAGTGTCTAGCTATCTATCCCTGTGGTCTACTTCAACTGATACTGTCGATATAGTCTCTCGTGGACCCGGGCTATCCTTGCCAGCGTTCTGATCTCTCCTCTTGTAGAGGCATCCGCTATCCCACCAACCTCGCTTGATCATCCCTTGGGATTGGGATTACGACCAAATACTGCTGTACTGGATAGCTTTAGACTGTTTGAAGCCAAACTTCAGCTTAAGCTTGGTTCACCCAACCTGAAGACTGCGTTAAATCACTTAACTGCACAAGCTGATGGCTGGCTCACGAAAGGCCCATTTTCCGTCACAAGTAAGACAATTGAACCGCCTGGGGGCGACAAGCATGACTACGCTAGTCAAGCACCATACTGGTGGCCGAACCCTAATACTGCGGATGGCTGTCCTTACATCCAAAAGGATGGAGTACGCAATCCAGACGTTGACAACTACACGGATCATGGGGACCGGGGCGACATGTTCCAATCGTCTTATATTCTCAGTCTCGCCTGGTACTATACTGGGAAAGAAAAATATGCCTTGCATGCTGCCGATATTCTTCGCACCTGGTTCTTAACGCCTGCGACGCGCATGAATCCCAATCTCAACCATGCACAGATCATCCCATGCAAGAATACCGGACGAGCTATTGGGATCATTGATTTCTCTCAGCAATACACAGCTGTGTTAGATGCTGCTGCCATACTAGCCTTGGGTGCACCAGGATGGTCCAAAACCGACGCGAGTGGCTTCAAGCAATGGAATATTGAGTTCCTCGACTGGCTCGCGAACAGCCCATTTGGTATCGAGGAGAGTGCAGCTAAGAATAACCATGGCACCTTTGCATCCATGCAGAAGGCAGGCATCGCCGTTTTTGTTGGGAATAAAACACTCGCAAAGCAAGAAGTGCTCAATATGCAGGGTCGTATCGACGCCTATATCAGCCCTAACGGCTCGCAGCCTTTGGAACTCATCCGGACTCGCAGCTGGCATTACTCTACGTTTGATCTCGTTGCATACACGCGGATAGCTGATATTGGCAAGAAAATCGGCATTGATCTGTGGAAGTACAAGGGGCCCCAGGGTCAGAGCATCCAGGGTGCTGTTGATTTTATCCTTCCAGGTGCTACAGGCGGGGCAGCCGCGTGGCAATACCCCGAGCTTGAGTTTTACGCTTACGCAGCGAGTGATATTGTGCATGCTGCAGCCGATGCTGGGAACTTGAAGGCTTTGAAGGCGCTTAGCAAGTTGCAAACGCCACCCGGAGGGGATCTATGGGCGCTGCGGCCTGCGGTAGAGCAGCTTGATGCCATCTCAAACTAGTTTTTCGAGATTGGGTGCATTTACGACGAGTAGATACGTTGTAGCAATTTTCGGAGTGGATGGAAGGCTGTGGAAGATTTGCCCGTACTATTTATTCCTTGCGTATTATAATTGCGTCGTTAGCTAAAATATAATCTCATTATTTAGTAGACGTTCATACAATAGCACGGAAATTGTAAATGTGCATGTACTTGCAATAGCATACAACAGTGTGTATACCGAGGACCTGTTCATGTCGGCCAGAGCGCCAAAATTACCGCACCGTGCTAGATCACCAAAGGCATAGCAACTTGTGTCTCTCTCTCAATGTGACCTACCGCCAATGGCAGCTTTCGCATTTAAGACGTGCCACTTAACGAAGTGACTGTCCACATCGCGCTTTTACTTCCGATAGGTTCCTCCTAGCCTTGCGACAAAAGTGCACCATGATGGGTCAGAACCGGACGCAGGTTCCCAGGTCCAGAGGATAGGACGCGTCACAAGAACTGGCACACTCGTGAGGTTGAAATTTCTAGTGACAAACAAGGCCTTCCTGCCTTGCGAAATGCCCAATATGATGCTGTACACCCGAAGAACTGGCTGCTTTGCATCTAGCCTTCGGAACCGGACCAGTGATAGCGCTGCACGTCGCTCCTCGCACCCTATTCACTGAGCCTTGCACCCTGCGCCCTGTGCCCCGCACCTTGTACGATGTGCCTTGCACGTTATAGTAGAATTTGGCTGTCCAGTTTTGCGCAGCTTTGCCTTATTTGCCACCATCAAACAATGACCTTCGTAACTGATTGGCGGATGATAATTGCGGCGGGAATGGCATGAAACATCTATAGGCAACCGCTTTGAGATTCATTCTTTTAGAAAGGATAAATGGTGCCACGAGAAGACGAGGCTGTGCCTTGGGCTGTGGTTTCGGCACAGGGGTCGAGACAAGTACGGGGTTGGCCAAACTACTTGGGGGTGGAACAAAACATATAAGAAAAGCCTCTGGCCCGATTCTGGTTCCGCTTTCCAGACACTGTTATGCTGTCAAATTTGGTCATAAGTTTGTTATGCCCGAAATAAAAAAAATGGTAAATCTCACCGAGCAAAGTCAGGATGGAAGGCAATTATGTTGACGTATTTAGTCCAAGGGATAACCTTTACCCAAACGACCCTTCCTCAGTCACCGAATTTTACCAATCTGTACTATATTCACCCAGCTCCAACCCTTATTGTAAGATCACCATCGCCCGGAGCGGACGCATCTTTTGGAGATGTAGCATCACACTCCTATTTCGCCCATGCGACGCACTTTGGTGCTTCACTTATATTTCATTCTAACTCGCATACTACAGGCTCTTTTGAGATTCCGTTGGGCTCCATTAGTTTTCCATTAGACTGGTCTGGAGTTTCCTCAGATAATTCCGTCTTTCCAACAGGTATGCTATTGAGCCTTTCGTTATACCACCTGTCCCTAACTAACCACTTTAACAATAGAAATACAACCAAGTGCCTCTAATAACGCACTGCTACCTTCATGTAAACAGTCAGCGTCAAACACGGAATCATTTGCTCATCTTAATTTAGCCCGCCCTGGATTTCCTGATGCTGAAAACCAATATTTCCGACCCGAATGGCGAAATCCCCCCGAGTCTGGCCCACTTGATCCGTGAGGGTTTCTATTTACTCTTCAATATTATATACAAGACAGTTACTGATAATTCCATACAGACGTTGGGACCTTTCTTTGAATGTTTTGGCCGAGCCACGCAGAGATTGGATAAGTTCAATCATGAACGAGTCTGCCCAAGACATTGAACAGAGGCTTCCAGACGAAAACGAAACTCCAAATGGCACATTCAATGGTTCTCCTGGACCTCAGCTGGAAAAACGCAATAGGCCATACGTCTGCAATCACAAACCCTGCAATCGCAAAAACTTCAGCAACAAAAGCGGCCTTGAACGCCATAAGCGCGAAGTGCACAGCTCCCAAAACTTCACATGCCCAATACGATCCTGCGACCGTAGCAAGAAAGGATTCCACAGACGACACAACCTCGGGGAGCACCAAAAGCGAGTTCATGGCATTCGTTCCTCAAATTCCCCTCGGGCATTAAGTATAAATTCGGAGGAGTTGTCTGAAAGCGAAGAGTCAACCCCGAGTCCTCCATACGAAATCGAAGCTGAAGGAGCAAGTCAAGATATCAAAATAACTGATGTAATGCCAACTTGTCGGGAGGATTTGAAGATCAAACTGCGGGGCTTACGAGCCATGCGAGAAAAGATTGACAGAGATATTAAGTCAATGGAGAGGGTTTTGAGAATTATGGGCGGCGAAAGGTAGCAGTTATGACATTGCAATTATTATGGGGGGCGTTCTTGTGGTTAAACTTTCGGGCAGCGGGTCATCCCACGTCTATTCCATATCAATAGAAGACGCTGGGTTCATGAATATATGTTCAAACACAGCATGGCTTGATATATGATTAGGTGGGATCCTCAAGTCCGCTTGCTACCATCTCATGTGGGTATTTAAGCCAACGATCCCACTCGGGGCCGAGATACTCCACAACAATGCCTAATATGTACGCCCCTGAGTCTCCAACCTGCCACATATTTCTTCCATGATGCAACAAAACCGCATAATACGCCAGTAAGACCAATGCTTCCGGCTGCTTAGCGGCAAACAAGTCTGTGAGCTCCGGCGGCACCAGTAGCGTCCAGGAGAATATCATCTGATGTCGGACTCCATGTGTCTCTTCATCCGCTACCACCGCATCAAACCCGACTTGAAGGTAATCGATCGCTATTTGACATGCCGTCTTGGCCTCTTTTCCCAACCCGTCGGAGCAGTCCACAAGCTCCCTGATTTGTTGGCAGTGGCTACCCTTGGGCAGCCTCGAGGTAAACTCCGCGGTCAGTGAAAGGATTGGCCCAAGCTCCGAGTCCATTAGCGATGGCCACACGGTGCGAGCAATAGTGTAGATTCCCCTGTGAACCTCGACGCACTGGATATAGTGTGTTATAAACGGCACCAGCCCACCCTCATCCCGTTTTGCGAGAGTGTCAGTGAGGAGATGGTGCCCTAAGATCGACGAGAAGAGGAGCACCTCGACGCAGTTTGATTGGTCAAAATCGGTCCAGGCGGCGTTGAAGAGCGAGACGGCGCAGGTTTGCAAGGTGACGGCCTGGTGGAGGTAAGAGGCTGACCGATAGGGATGTAGGAACGCCAGATGGCGGGCGGAGAAGGCGAGTAGCTGATGCAAAAGATATGGTGATTTGAGGCCTAACTTGAGAGCGATGGTGATATTGGACGAGTAGTCACCGACTTTTATACCAAGACTGAACATTTCCTTTTCGAGGAGCAAGTGCATGAGAAGTTCCATATGCATGGGGTTGACGGTTTCGTCAAGGGTTGGGTCATGGTGATTATTGGCACTTAGCCCTTCCGGGGAGCCGGAATTGGAAATAGAGGAGGCGGTAAAGGGGGTGATATCAGGTATGGCGATACCACTTTGGCTGCGATTGTTGTGTATGCGTATTATCGGTTCATGAGGCGAACCACTGGATGCAGAGAGTCTGTCAAGAGACGGCTGGGACTGAGATGAAAAGCTACAATCCCGGCCTGACATGGAACATAGAACGCAACTGGGGCGGCTTTCATCGCACTAATGGTTTGAGAAAACAGATATTAGCCACTAGAGCGGGCAACCCATTTGGGGTAATTACCTTGACATGCCGTCGCTTGCTATTTAATCAAGGTTAGCAGAGGCTAAAATTAGGGGGAAGTTCGTGGCAATGCAGAGGGTGCGAGAGCCACTTCAGCCTCCTCGTTGGAACTCACCATTGGAGACAGCCTCCCCATGACTTTTTGTGGCTACGACGAAGCATATCACAGAATTTGGGGGGGGAAGGCGTCGGGCTTTGGTGGTTAGATGATAGAAATTGCCGAACACACGTGTTCGTGTGGGTTGAACAAAATATACAATTTAAATCACTCAATGATCCGCTCAATCCCCGGGCTTATGGGTTAGATTGGCCATCCCCATCTGAGTCCAAAGGCGATATGCTTTCGCAATGAAGCCAACTTGCCAAGAAATCAGCGGCAGGGGTCCACCCCGCTACTGTCTTAGGTTGCTTACCTAACACGCGTGTTCGGGATTCTTCCACTTTAAACCTGTTCTGGCCTGGAGACTAATCTGTAAATAAAAAGACTTGGCTCCAACAAACCCATAAATTATACTCCATACAATGCTAAGTCGTCGCAATACGCGTGTCCGCAGCGCCGTGGAGGTAATGAGCTACTGGCTGTTGATTAGTAGGTGAATCCGGCGTGGAATTAGATTGCAGCAGTTATAAGGAAGTACAATTCCACTCAAGTCAATCCCTTTCATCGTTCCTTCCAGTATCCTTTTCGTCGTTTCAACTACCAATTATTTCTCACATTCTCTCGATCCTGGTATTGAAGTCAGTCCTTACCAAATCGTTTCCTTACCATTTATGTCGATATTTCCTCAATTTTTCTCGGCGTAGTCCTCAAGATGGAAGACGGAAAGCCCGGTAACATTTTGAAACTCCCACTCGAAACATCGCTGCTTTATTAACACGCTCTAGTTGAGGGAAGCCTTTACGTCTACGCTCCTAATAAGGTAGCGCCGGTCTTCTTCGCTGTTGCATTTGCTGTCTCGGCAGTCGGTCATACCTGGCAGTGCCAGTAAGTGTATTATGACCCCTGAACGCCAAAATAGAACCTAACAGTCATGATCAGTCGTTATAAATGCTTCAAGATGATTGGGCTGCACCCGCTCTGTGCAGTGCTGTTTTTTGCAGGGTATACTTTGCGGGAATACGGAGCCTTTGATTATGTCTACACTGGAAGCTTTGTCACCCTCATTACATTCATCCTCAGCCAGGTGTTCATATATATATGCCCGTGAGTAGCGTGTCCCACATAGAAAGTACCGTGGAGCATGGACTGATCCTGTGTCTCATAGCCCGCTTCTCGAACTTGCCAACTACCACGTCCTCGGTCGAATACTCTACTACGTGCCATATCTTGCACCTCTTCCTCCCGGCAGAGTTCTATCCACTTTTGGCGGCCTAATGATAGTTGTGGAAACCTTGAACTCTTTGGGGGTGGCCTTGTCGACCAACAGATCACCAAATCACAACTCCCAGGAGCTGGGAAGCCAAATAACGATAGCCGCACTTGCTATCCAGCTTGTTGTTATCGTCATCTTCTTCGTTCTCGCAGCCATCTTTCATCGTCGGTGCGTTAAAGCCAATATACACGCTCGGGCTATCTCAACTCCGTTGGCTACGCTGTATGTAAGCATGGCGTTGATCTTTATACGCTGCATCTACCGTCTGGTGGAACACTTCGGCAACACCACAGTGCGAGTTGGAGACGCCGAATCGCTTATGGCCCTGAGTCCTATTCTGCGGTATGAGTGGTACTTCTATGTCTTTGAGGCATCCCTCATGCTTATCAACTCCGTCATATGGAATGTATGGAATCCAGGCCGCTATCTTCCCATAAACCGTCACATCTACTTGGCACGGAATGGCAAGACTGAACTGGAAGCGAAGGTCCAAAAGGCTGGTCGACCATGGCTAGCTCTTCTCACATTGGGCATGTTTTTCCGTGAGGAGCAGGAATATCACCCATTTTTAGAACTCGATGGTTATTCGGATGCCAATGCTCGGGTTTAAAGTATTTGGCTTTATAATCCGTTTTCTTCGTGGCTACAGACACCTACCATTAGACCCAGATTTCTCAAAAATATCCGAACTTTAATTACGTTATAAATGGACACATATATTTCAATACTATTTAAGTTTCATGTCGATTCAGGCGAGGTGGCTATAAACGGTTAATTGGCTGAAATCCTTCATCCAAGAGGCGGCATTTGCCGAAATGTTGCCTTGTGGCAGATGAATCCCCGCATGTTCCTCGGTGAAGTAACAACACAATCGTGTATAGCGACACTCCCGGCACCCGCACCTACTTACGCGATACTCACATTTCTAGAAAAGTACGGGTTATAAGCTATATTCCACCCGTAACCTCGCGTCATGGCGGAGCTCGCTGGAACTGCGGTTGGTGCCATTTCTCTTGGGATTCAGGTTTGCCAAGGACTTGTAGAGTACTACGGATCTTGGAAGGACGCCCCCAAAGATGTTGCACGGATGTGCCAGTCAATACGGAGCCTCGAAGAAAGGTTAAATGCGGTGAATGCTGTCGTCAAAAACAACGGGATAGCGTCGCAGGCTGGATCCGGGGTTCAAAGCGGAATTGACAGCTGCGTAACTAGCATTGCTGAGTTACAGAGCCAGTTGATTAAAGTCCAGGAGATTAGCGGGCCTAATATATGGTCCAAGGTCCATGGACATGGACGGCGTCTTCTTTATCCATTTCGAGAGAGCACACTACTAAAACTAAATGGGATTGTCTCTGAAATGCGTGAAAATCTAAGCTTTGCGTTAGATGTGCTACAACTGTAAGCATAATCAGCAGATAATTAAATATTAAGGGACTACAGGACTCACTAAATATAGGCAGTCCACAGAAAGCTCTACGGAACAATTAGAATACGTGTCTACTCAAGTTGACAGTTTATCAACGTTCATTCTTTCTCGTCACGATGGTATTTCGTCCCTATTGCTGTCAAGGTCTCACATTAAAAAATTACTGTACAGATCAGGAGAGTATAGCTATCGTGAACTGGCTGTCGCCTTTGAACTTCTTTGTAGCACAGAATGATATTCTACGGCGGCGACAGATTGGTACTGGAGAATGGCTTTTTGAAACTCTCGAATTCGAAGCGTGGCTGGCTGGGAGGGACAGAATATTGTGGTGCTCAGGCCAACGTAAATATACACTCAGTTTCGAGAAGACCAAAAACTAACTTGATCATAGCTGGGGCAGGGAAAACCGTCCTTGCGTATTATTACCTTTCAAGGTCCTCATATTGCGCTGACTGTTGCCAGATCTTCCATTATCAATAAACTCCAAATACGGCAAAGCTCACGAGATGTTGGATTGGCCTTTACATATTGCAACTACAAAGAGCATGATATTCAGACTCTTTCGAATCTCATGGGTAGTCTTGTTCAGCAGCTGGTGCAATGCTATGGTGCCATCCCCGACGAAGTCCGAGTGCTTTATACCCAGTACAACGCAAGGAACATACGGCCAAGCGAGGATGAACTTTCAAGGGCACTTCTGTCACTTATTAGCAAATTTTCGCATGTCTACATTGTAGTTGACGCCTTGGACGAGTGTAACCCAAAAACGAGGGGCAAGTTTATTGAGAAATTGCAACAGTTGCCAACAAATCTTCGTTTGCTATGTTCTTCTCGACACCTTGGCGATATCCAAGAAGCATTCGCTGATGCATCCCACCTTGAAATCCGAGCTAGCGATGCAGATGTTGCACTGTACAGGCACAGATCTTGCAAGTACCTAAACTGGTCAAGTTCTGTAAGAAAGCTAGAGATCTTCAGGATACTATTGTTGACAAGCTAGTTATGAAAGCAAAGGGAATGTATGTATCTTCCCCAAGTGTCAGTACAAGCCAGCTACTTACTTGGCCAGGTTCCTACTCGCCGAATTGCACCTTGAATCACTAAAGACGAAGACGGACATCAAAAGTCTTCGGAAAGCCTTGGATGTTCTGCCCGATAAATTAGAGAAGACGTACGATGACGCTTTAGAAAGAATTCAAAGACAGCCTGAAGATGAGTCGAAGCTAGCGATGAGAGTCCTCTCGTGGATTACTCATGCTGTCCGGCCGCTAAAGGTCGAGGAGATTCAACATGCAATTGCTGTTATGAACTTCGACTCCGACGATACGACGCTTGACGAGGAAGGACTTCCCGATGAAGCTGAACTGATCACTGTCTGTGGAGGGAGTGCTGTAATTGATCAAGACAGTGGAGTCATTCGTCTTGTCCACTATACTACTCAGGATTATTTCGAAAGACACCGGAGCAGAATATTCCCAACCGCTCAGGCTGACATATTATGTGCTTGTATTCGATACCTCTCGTTAGAATCGTTCAAAAATGGCCCCTGCGAGACGAACTCTGATTTGAGAAAGCGACAAGCAAAGTTTAGGCTTCTTGGGTATGCCTCATGCAACTGGGCAAATCATGTTTGCGGTGAGCTAGATGACACAGTCGAAGAACGGGCAATACAGTTTCTCAATAATAAATCTTTACTGTCTAATGCGACTCTCATTAGGTTACTGGAGTTTCCCGAAAACCTATCTACGCTGTCTAGTTCCATTCAGACCTGGTGGGTGTCTGCCCATTTGCACAGCGTATTCTGGAGCGACATGATTCGTACGGAAATTCCTGGAATTACGATTGCAGCTGAATTTGGATTAACAAGTCTTATCGACAAAATGTTAAAACAAGGGAATAGTATAAACGAGGGTGGAATTCAAGGAAAGGCGGCACTTCATGAGGCGGCTAGGAACGGACACATGGCGACTGTGGAGCTTTTGCTGGAGAGAGGCGCAGACACCGAGGCAAAGGATGTAAATGGAAGGACAGCACTATTATGGGCGGTCCAGGCTGGATACGAGTCTATTTTGCGGCTGCTACTGAATAAGGGAGCTAACATCGACGCAAAAGGTCACAATGGAATGACGGCACTACTATGGGCTGCTGAGAGTGGGCTAGAGGCTATTGTGCAGCTTCTAGTAGAGAATGGCGCCGACATGGAGGCAACTAGTCTATACGGATACACTCCTTTGCTTTTCGCAGGATCTAAGGGATATGTGTCTATGGTGCAACTTCTTCTACAGAATGGAGCTAATATCGAGGTAACGGATAAATATGGAAATCCACTACTTTTTGTGGCAGCTCGCAATGGGAACAAGGCAGTCGTTCGCCTACTTCTAGAAAAATGGTTTGCTATGAAAGATCAAGGTCGTGACGCAGTCTTATAGATGTTTAGTGCAGCTGCGACTGCTGCTAAAGAAAGGGGCTACCGTCGACGCAACAGATCGAATCGAAACTGTAGCGCTGTTACTAGCAGCTCACAATGGGTACACGGCAATTACACAGCTTTTACCTAAAAGGGGGGTTGATAACCGGAAGGACCTGAACATAATACCAACGGTGATGGTTAGGGCAGCGTCAGAGGGTTGGGAGGCCATCGTATAGCTAATGCTTGAAAATGGTAATAGGAAGAATTGGCAAGGATTGACTGCACTACTTTTAGCAATTAAAAAAGACGCAGCCACTGTGATGCAGTTGCTACTAGAGGAGGCAGCAAATGTTGAGGTGAAGGGTCCAAAAGGACATACGACACTAGTTTACGCAGCTCAGCTAGGAAATGGGGCCATTGTACAGCTGCTGCTTGAGAAGGGCGCTGATGTTGAGGTGAAAGATGAATAATACAGCACTGTTTTGGGCAACTAAGCGTGGACGTAAAGCTGTTAGGCAGTTGCTTCTCAGGGAGTATATCCCCACAGCTGAGGGAAAGGATGCTAGTAGAATGGTACCATCATGGGGTGGCTTCGAGCATGGGGGTTAAGTTACCATCTCATAGCATGACACGGCAACGTGAATCGACACTCCCAATCAAAAACAAAGAGCAAGATCCCGCCCAATCAAATATTTGCACGAAATAAAGTATATACAGATCCCGATATTCTATCCACCACTGCACAACTATGTACATCAATCCAAACATTCACCTCTTAGCTGCCCCTTTACGGCACACATTGGCTATACCACTCCCCATTCGACTTGCAGGTACCGCTCAGGCAAACGGTTCCGCCAGTCCAACCATTTCCACCGCACTGTCCATACAGCGGCACCGTCGCCGCGGCCGTTGTGGTCGCGCTAGGAGCGCTTGAGGTCGAAGTCGGCTTCACACTCGTAACCATTGTCGAGCCTGGTGCTGACGAAGCTGGAACAGACGTCGGGGATGAACCACCGCATCCAACACGAGTAGAGCCGATTGCAATATCGTCGTACCAGAAGGTGTTGGTGTCGCCACCATACGACTCCCAGCCGAAATAGACAGCTGTAATCTTAGGTCTGCTGCTGGTACCCCAGCCATTAGCGTTGGGGTTGTTGGCAGTAGTAAGCCCAGCAATGGCTTGGCTATTCAACCAGGTCTCGATGCTGCCGTCGGTACCTATGTGGTATTCAAAGCATTCCCAGGTGCCTGCGGTAAGAGCCTTGGAAGTCGCAGTGCCTTGGGGGGACAGGTCGGGAAGAGTAGCATCGTCTGTCTCGCGGTTGTACATCAGGATACTATTTTGCCCGCCAATACGAAGGTGCTTGCCCGCAGCTTGGGAGGAGTCAGACATAGTAATGAAGGAAACGTGGCTGGCGGTAAGGGCTTTAGTGGCTTTGCTGGAAGAGAATAAAGTTAGAATTGCCTTTAACGTTTGCCTACTGAGCATTGAGAATGCCACCATAATAACTTACAGCCAAACCTTGACGTAGAGATCACCAGTAGGGACTTTCGTCGTGCCAAAGAAAATATGTCCACAGTAGCCACCTGGACTAGTAACCTTCATGGAGTTTTTTCCGCTGTGGGCAGTGGTGCTATCAAGAGCGACTGTACCACCCTATTTGTCGAATTAGCATACTACAGAGCAATTTTTGCGAGAATAAATATAAGGGCACATGGCGAGATGAGCATACCTGGTTACAGTCAGGCGCATAGATGGGCCATGCAGATTGATCCCATCCGCTCTCGAAGTCGTTGGAGACTTGAGCAAAAGACAGGGGGAGAATCGCCGAGGCGACAAGAGCGACTTGGCGGAACAACATTGTGAATTAATGCCGTCAATTTGACTACTGTGCACAAAAGCAGACTTTTAGAGAATGGGCATGTCGGGGTATTTATAAACTTGGATTTGCTACCCCAGCTTCCCCATCCCCACCGGCTGGAGGTGCCGAAATGCTTGTACATTTGTACACATGATCATTTCTTCTCTGTTCCTATTTGGTTGATTTGGAAAGAGCGCCCACGCTGCCGTAGTAGATATATTAAATTCTTGTCACGGCCCTTGCGTTAGAGGCAATTATATATTGCAATACAGCTAGATCGGCGGCACTTATAGTAGCTTATCCGCGAGCCTAAATTCGGCGGGAAATGCTCCGGTATGGATGCGGAAATAGCTCTCAATGTGGTTAATTCAATTAGTTCTCAGGCTGAAACAGGACTTTATGGCAGAAAATTATAGGGACCAGACGATCTGTTTAAAACACAATTATATTTTGCCGGCGCTCTAGAAGCTCAAACACGCTTCGTTTCCCCTTCGCTTCCCCACTTTCCACGCTATGAGGCTGTTCCCACTTCCCCACATTGTATTGTTTGTGGGGCAATGTGGAGGTGGCAATTGTGGAACTTTGGTTTGTGCTATTGGCAGTGATGCCTATGACAGCTTTGTCCAAGTTAATGGCGATGGTGGCGCGGTCCGACAACAACTGATCTGATATTTAGATAGGCGCGAGTGGTACCTTGGGGTTATTTTGGCAGACATTATTCTACAATTCATCGTTTGCAACTTGTCAGCTGATATCTTCCTTCTGGCACACCTAGGAGGCTATAATGGTATAAAAAGGGACACTATAATCCCAAATATATTAATGAAGTTTCAGTCAGGACCGATACACCTGCAACGATGTTATTGCGAACATAGTAATCACTTTCTGAAGTCTTTCCTTTGCATACGTTTCTCTGCGTCATAACCAGTGCTGCCAATGAGAATGGGGAACTGGGGAGTATAAGAAGCGACTATTTACTTACTGAGCGGGGTCTCGGGGCGTCAATCCCTTGGGTCTTGGCGAGGCTTAACAGAACTTGCCCATGCTGCGGGAAACAAAACAAGGGATTTGGCAGCAGGGGCGAAGCTGGTGGTACCAAAGACCTTGCAATAGGAATACCTACGTCTTCCTTTGTGGTATAGGGTATTATGAAGTAAAAGGTTCAAGGCTATTGAAACCGTCTAGTTAATTCTTTGATAATTAGCTCTGTATGTAGAGATTGAGTTTAAAGTTGCTCCTATTATGATATCTCTTGACGTCTAAATTAAAAATATACGTGCATGGACGGGCTGGCGAGGCGGGCCGGTATGTCTAATAAACTCTTGGCCCTTGTGGGGTTGCGATTCTCTGTAAAGTGAGTAATCAGCCAGGTCTGAAGTAGGGTTACTGCTGGCTCAAAAATGGCACCATATGAGATACAGGTGCCAAATAAACAGACCAGGATGTTGTTTATTGTTCATTTATAACAGCAGTACGTAAATATTTACATTTTTAGCTCTTTATCAACAAATAGCTATCAAAAATACTTCCATTTAAGCTGTGGCGGTGTAGCAGGTGGAGTGATTGGCGCAGCAAAACGTGCCATGGGAGATTTTGGTTGACCCCTTTCTATCCCGGCTTCGGCCTCACGAATAACTCTCTGGCCACCACTGTAGCTAATAAGCCACGCAATAAACTCATTTGCCATCTCTTTATTCTGGGCATGGCGTCCAACGAGCGCATGTGCTGGGTTCAACAAGAGCTCATCCTCGGTGCCAACACCTCCGCTCTGGGATTTGGTCAGCTACTTGCACCTTTAATATGAAAAATATAGCAGCCAGGAGACCAGGGTAACACTCCAATAAAAAACGTAAAGTTGAGCAACTCACAAATATTTCCAACTTGTCTCTAGCCGCGTCATTCAACGCAAACCACGTTCCACGCTCCGTTAGCGTATATTGACTCAGCGTGCTCGCAGCTTCCAGAGCTCCAAGCGGAGAATCTTGGTACTGGTGATACCAACTCGCATGTGGATGAGCCCAAGGAACCTGGCCTATGGCGGCCCAGAGGCTGGACTCTCTGACATTGGCTGCTGACTTGTCGAATCGTGACAAGAACCTCACAGGCTTAGCAGACCCTGCTGTCTCAGCAGCGGCGAGGAATATTTGAGCGAACTGGTCTTGCACTGATGCTGACTTATTGGAAGATAGATCCGCCGGGTCAGACTTTGGTCCTGCATTATGTGAGAATACTATCCGAATGGAATCTCATACTCGGATATTTTACGACCACCAACAGACAACGGATGATGATAAACATACCAACAAGCAACCAATGGTCCCTCCAAGCAGGTACTGATTTCTCCACGACGCCTTGTTTGATAGCTATACCCTCCGCAGCCACGTGATGCGTAATTGCGACTTCGGTGCTCCTCGAAGCCAAGTGATCGAACGAGGCAGCGGAGTTACTCGAAATCCAAGCAACACTGAAAGGCTCTGAATTCTTCTCATCCGCCATGTAATTTATGAACTCGTTCGACAGAGCTTTAATTAGCCTCGATTGTCCCGGCTCCGACGCGATTCGGAGTTGGACCTGAAGCCGTTGCCGCGGCGGATGACTTCCCCGATAAGTCTCATTTGGTTTCACATATGGCACCGGAGAATTGAGGTTTACTTTGATGGACGCCATGTTGCATATAATTGCATATGGTGATGGCCAAATGTTTTTTTGTGAGATCATAAAGATGAGGAGGTTGGCGTTTCTTCTGTGGCTGTCGATATGTTGGGTTGTAGCACATGCAGACAAGGGTCATGTCGTCAGAACCAGCCACGATCACACAATCCCGTCGCGACTCTTACAGTATATTTCACGAACTTTAGCCGTGATAAATCCTTTCTTAGTCAGGCTCAGATGATAGCTCATATCAACTATTTATTTAGATGTCTGCGCATACATCTTTGGCAAACATATCTCAAAACTACCGCAACATGATGCTCCTTATGTCCCTTCCGCCACCAATGCTTCAGTCTCCGATAGGATACGCATGCAGAACCTGGCCATAGAAAAGCTCACTATCCTTCGCGCCCAAGAACACGAAACTGGGCGCAATTTCGCTCGGCTACCCTGGCCTGCCAATACCAGACTTCTTACCAAAGCCTTCCATCTGCTCCGCAGGCCGTGATGCGGGCTGCAACGGTGTATGTACAGGTCCAGGTGCTACAGCATTAACCCTAATGCCTTTGGGCATGAGGTGCTTTGCGAGCGCTTTTGTGAATGAGACAATAGCACCTTTCGTGGCGGCGTAATCGACCATGTCTGGGGTTCCGCGGAATGCGACAGTCGAAGTGGTGTTAATGATGCTATATATGCGCGTCAGTGCCAGGACGGATGGTTTAAGGGAATCATATTACGCACGCGGATCCCTTTTTCATATGCGGAAGCGCGAATTTTGTTACGGCGAACATCTGCAGGATGTTCGCCGTAACAAAATACGCGAACCTTCGCGACCAAATATGATAGCCACTGCTCTACCGATTCCGGAACTAAATTGACCCATCAGTTTGATGGTCATTATAGAGTTTCAGTCCAGGGATGAACAAACGTACTCTCCGCCGGTAATGAGAACTTTCTTGTCCTTCAGCTTTCCAGACCCGACATATTCGACAAAGCCCTCACTGCCCTCGAGAGCAGTCGATTCGCTTGTCGGCTTCATAGCTCTCTCTGATCTGAATACTTCCGTTAGCCTCACTCTCCGTCTATTTTACCAGTAATATTTCAGATATAATAACCCGGGGAGAGGCTGGGCTTGCTTTTCTTTGACAGGCTCAAATTGGCCGCCGCTACCTCCGTGTGCTGACATCTTCGCTGCTTCTTTATGGTTTCCTTGTTACCGACGCGACTTAATCAGGTTCGAATTCAATTTTATTGGACGCTGAAATATTATTGAGTGAAGTAAATTTGGGAGTTTTCCCAGTAAGGTAGGTCATCTTTGAGCTGATCATCGGAGTTATCAAAATATGATCATGACATCAACATTCGATATGCCAAAATCAAGGCACCGCTGTAACGTACAACTAGGCAAGAATAATAATGACATGACTGGCAATTCTTTGATATTCATGATAAGATAGTAGCTGTTTGGCTTAGTATCTAGACTTTGTACCCTTACGTGGTGGTAGTCTCCTTGGAAGCTGGCGAAAAGCGCGCCACGGACCACATAAGTATGCTGGTTCGCCGGATCCATGCTACCGCGCAGGCCACATCTAGTTTATATTTTGCAGAGCCGCGAAGCGTATTAGGTAGCCTTAAAATGTATCATGGTCGTATTCACAACTCCGAAGTGAAATGTAATGCCCGAGTTGCAATTCTAGGGGTCTCAATAGTGTGGTCCTCCACCCTATGGCAAGTGCAGTCCGCGGGCCGCACCGAACTTAGTTTCCGATGCGCCATTGACCCCACCGCGATAGCTTAATACTAAACCAGCTGTTAGAGCAAAATATTTGACAAGATATGCTTCTCTATACACCACTACTCGGTTCATACTATCAGTATCGCCTTAGCTTGATCATGTCTCACGACCCCTGTAAAGACACCCGTCGAATATTTCGTCTTGTCTCCCTCTTTCCACCTCACTAAGCCAGGAGAGCCAAATAACCATCTGATGCTCGATGCAGCAAATAACTCCACGTCTTGGCGCTCATCCAGGGGCTTTAATGAAAAGAAAAAGCCATCTTCGCAGATCACGGGTGCCTGAGTACCACTAAAACGCATCTGCTTCAAAGCCTTCAACATTGCTTCGTCAAAACTGAGCTTCTCACTCTCGGTATGCTTGAAGAATCCCTTGCTAGCCGCCCCGGGTTGGGTCAGATCCTTTGGTCGGTACAGCCAGTTTTCTAGGAACCGCCCAACTTCTTCGCCTGGAGCATCCGATGGCTGCAGTCGAATCATATTATCAAGCCAGAATCCTGCATCATCCTTGTGCCCGGTCTGAGTCGCGCCGAATGGTTCTCCCCAGCTGCTCCAGCTTAGAAGTGGGATCAAGTGTACTGGTTTTGACAGATCGGTTTGGATTTGCTTCGGGTCGGGGCGCCATTGCAAGCCGGGAGTCTCGTCTCTTTCGTCGGTTGTGTATATGAATGAGTAGTCATTGTCCGCCTCACAAGTGGCCATGACTTTCTCAGATAGATCGGACAACGACATAGTTGGAGGTCCCCAAGACACTTCTTGAGTTAATGCGCCAAGAGAGGCCAGCAACCTATTCGCTGGGAAAAACGGGTCGTATGTGCGGCAAGCCATATTTGCTAAGACCTGGAACACTGAGCGGCCGAGGTACCCGGAGGTTGCCAAATCCGCCAAAGTATCCTCAAACGTGTTGAGGGTTGGAAACTCGATAAGTGATTCGCTAGTTGTCTTGTCATTACGCTTTTTCCACTGGTCTAAGGAATATCCTGTGCAGTTGAAGAACCTTTCGCCTTTTACGATGGAGTCATAGCCTTCTGGGTATATTGGCGCAAAATGGATGCTACGAGCATTGACGAGCTCTTGGTATGTCCAGACGCTGGTGATCCATTTGTCTCCCTCTAGCGCTTGCATATCATCGTATGAAAGAGCATCAGGAGTTGATCCCGAGGATGCTTCTAGGATGATCTTCCAGGCGGGATCTTGGATAATAATTATAACCGATTCCGCGGCGCTGTAGATGTGCCCCATACTTCGGAAGATCAGTATATCCATCTTTTCGCAGCGGATATCGGTAAAAACTGACCTTTCAAGAGTTCCATATCGATCCGGACCATCCGCATATGGCACACAGAGGGCATCAATCCAAAACGCCTCTTCAATTGGGCCATCTGCTTCAAAACCCGCTGCCTTGATAGCTCTAATGGCGGCTATTAGAGCTGGCCGGGTCTTGTCCGAGATACTTATCTCATTGTCGAAGAAGCTGCCCGGCCTCTCGCGGCCTTGTCCCCATACATACGAAATGCAATGAAACTTGACGCTGCGAGCATCTTTGATATCGAGCGGTTCTGATACATGCCACAGCTGGCCGTTAAGCTCTTCGACGCCCTTGTCGCCTTTATTTCTGCCATCGCCGGGCTTCAAGGGGACTACAAGTTGTAACTTCATTGCTTAGAAAACACAGGGAGACTCCAAATTATGCATTCAATCTCTAGATGCTATCCGCTGGACAAAATTTGGAAATATATCATCAGGCTGGGTCGGCGATTTTTGAACGACAAGACAAGGCTGACCGCGGGGTTGATTAGGCCCGTGTCCCTGAAACAAACCCCCACAATGCGCTCGGCTGGAGATCGACGATAAGGAGCCAAAGGTGGGGAACTCTTTTGATCAAACAGCATACAGATCAAACAACATAAAAAAACTTCATCGACAAAGCTTCATATTTCAGCCTTCACTACGCATAAATCTGCCATTCCCAATGCCGTCCCCAATACCATCCCCAACCTAATACTAACACTTAATCCCAGCATCAGTCCCATACTTATACCTCGTCCCACACAACCCCGCCGTCACCTTCCCAACCTCATTCTGCGCCCACCCAATATTTCCCTCGGGATGACACAACACCTCTCCAAACCCCGTCCCCCCCACCACCTCCCCATCCCCATCCTTCCTCCCAACCAAAAACTCCTCATCCAGTGTCCCCGCGCAGACCTCCAGCTGCGCCTCCCCGTCAGGCGAGAGATTACTGTCACCCTGCCATGCGATGAAAGAGCCGCACGTGCGGCAGAAGTGCCGGTGGTTGCCGGGGATGATCTCGTAGTTGGTGAGGGCGGAGGGGGTGGGAGAGATCCACGTGAAGGAGGGGAGGGTCACGTTGAAGAAGTGCATGGCGAGGGCGCCGGATTGCTTGCGGCATTGGGTGCAGAGGCAGATGAAGGCCTGGGGGGTGTTAGAGGGGGTGTTAGAGGGGGTGATAGGTGGGTGGAGGGGGGTTTACATTGCTTTTAAAGTCGTGGTCAGGCTTGAAGTTGACTTCATATCTGACGGCGCCGCAGAGACAGCCGCCGGCGACTTTAGATGGTGTAGACATGCTTGTGAATTGTAGGCCAACTGAGTATATTGATTGATACTGACACAAAGATAGAGATCTTGGGCTTCATTTATGCTATAGAAACAGCTTACAAACACACAGCGCCCTTTTGAATACAATACCTTCCAATTGTGGTTGTGAAATCCTGAGGCTCATACCAAGCCTGCAAGGCTGTGTGGTTGTGAAGTCATAACGGCGTAGATCACAAGGCTGACAATATAGGACCACAATAAAACATCCGACATCAAGGTTCATGAAGGAGTATCTGTTCTGCAGTTACATAGTTGTTGCTAACTAGGAAATAAAATTGTCGTTGGGAGGCATGCACCGCCTCGATTTACTCAGATTGGTCATCTGGCAAATACACAGACACTTCCAAGCCGCCACTGTAAGGCACCGTCATAGTTTTGAACCCATTCTCAGGACTTCGAATATAAGTGAGAAATTCCTTGTACAGAATCTTGGACATCACAACGTTGTCCGCAATGACAACAGCTCCGCGTCTCAGTCGTGGTTGGATGATCTTAAGGGTTGGGAGGGCCATTGGCGTCCATACTATTTGCAAGTGTTAGTAATATGATAAAATACCGTAACGACGTTAAGTGAAGCGGTAGCCTACTATCAAGCAACAACAAATCAATCTTCTCCGGCATTCCCTCCTCAACCTTCAAAGTCTCAAGCAAATCACCCTCCCGGAGCTCAATCCACGGCTCCACCTCCTCCCCAGCCTCCTTCCAATACTCCTTCGCCCTCTCGGCCTTCGTCGACTCCTTCTCCGTCGCAATCACCTTCCCCTTCGTCGCAACCCCTCCACCCGCGCTAGCCTGCGCAACATTCTGCCCCACCGCCAGCGCCAGATACATCGTCGACACACCAAAACTCGTCCCCGCCTCGACGATATTGAGCGCGCCCATGCTCCGCGCGAGCAGGTACACGAACTGGCACTTGTCAGGCTCGAGGGCGACGAATTTATCGCGCATGTGGTCGTCGGCGCCGGCGGACCAGCTTTCGCCGAAGAGAAGGTAGCGTCCTAGACGGGTGAGGTAGAAGAAGGATTGTGAGTACGAGTTCTCCTGAGCTGAGGAGAGGGCGTGGAGTTTCTCGAGGAGAGCGCTCAGCTTTGTGCTGGCGACGATGGAGGAGGCGTTGAAGGACATGGTTTCTAGCAATGGTGGGGGTCTCAGGGAGTATAGCAACAGTAGGATTCTTCGGGAGCAGATAAGGATACCATCCGGTCAAGATGTATGTTTGTCCAGGTAAACCGTATCTTATATATGTCCCGGGTCATCCGTCCACCGATTGCGGGGAACACAGCTGTATGCACAATACTGCATCATACAGTCACAAATCAAATCCCTTGGCTACTTCAAGCACCACTAACGATCGGGGACAACGGCCGGCCGGCGAATCACTTTCCCCCACTGGCCCCCACCACACATACTGAACCCTAACATCAAAAAAAACGTCCAAAATACCATACCGTCAACATCGGCCGACAACAACATCACATCCAACGCCGAGAACAGCAAAAGAATTGACCAGGCTGGGGTTCGATCCCAGGACCTTTTCGGTACATCAGAAATGTTAACGAAACGTGATAACCAACTACACCACCCGGCCAAAGACTTGCTCCCGTACGGAGTTGAACCGTAGACCTCGGCATTACTAGTGCCGCGCTCTACCAACTGAGCTACGAGAGCTGATTGTTGAGCTGAGGAGGCATATTTGAAATTATCAATATCATTAAGAAAATCCCGAATTTGTGGTTGTGGGGTCGGAGCTAATCTTAGCGTTTCTCGCTAAGTTAATTTTGGGGCTAGTCTGTTTTAGGTCGATATTTTGGTCCCTTTTGCTGTACGGACGGAGCAATGGTCATGGTTTCAGAGATGGAAGGAGCGATGCCCTCATTAATAGACTTATTATGCTTATGGGTTGAGGTGTCCAGGGGTTCTTTGTATAGTTATGGAGATATGACTGCACTAATTAATATACGTGAGTGGTGAGAATATTTTGTTTTTATTTCTATAGATTTAATAATTCATTGTTATAAACTAAATTAACAAATAACGAGATGTGAGAATATTTATTCTAAGCCTGAGAATCTAAAGATCACGGCATCTTACATTATATAAAGCATTATCGTACTATACAGCTACCCCCAATCCATCGCAACGCCAACCCATGCATTCAATCCATACGCCTTCCACACATATCATACCCCCTACCCACCCCTCTCAGTACTACTCGCACTCCCCTTCTTCCTCAACCCACTCCCAACCCCCATCCACCCATCCCCCGCCCTCACCTGCCCCAACCTCCGACTCAGCGTCGAGTAATTCAACTGCGCCTGCCCCATCGCCTGCCCCATCGTCCCCCTCAACGGCGTCTTCGCCGGTGGCACCTCCGCCCTACTCTCCCTCGCGCCCTCCCAATCGCTCCCCTCATCCCACTCCTCCGTCAGTCGCCGCGGCGGCACCTTCGCCTCCCGCCCCTTAGCCCGCTTCGCTTCCTTCTTGCGCATCTTCTCCAGCGCGCCCATCATCACCTCCCAGCTCTCTACGACGCCCATTCCGGCGCGGCGGGTGCAGTTGCAGTCGCAACCCCCGGCGCAGGTCATGTCGTCTTTTGTAGCCTCCTCGTCGTCCCATGAGGAGAGGTACGCGTCGAGACAGATTTGGTGTGATGCGCAGCCGCAGGATAGGCAGGCGGCATAGTCGCCGGTGATGGGCTCGATGCAGATGACGCATTTAAGTTGCCGCTTTGTCATTTTGCAGCGCTCGCAGCGACCGACTGCGCCGCCTAGAGTAGAGGCTGGGGAAGTGAGAGGTTCGAGGCGATGCTCGTGCTTGAGGCAGTATGCGGTTATGGAGAGACCGCGGTCCGAGACAGGCTGGTGGTTGTCCTGTTTGCCGAGGAGTATCGGTGAGGGCGGCATATCATGGTCCACCGAATGGATCGATGCGGCATTCGGTTTTGAGAATGGTGGCGATGGGGGACCAGGAGTGAAGTATTCTGGTAGAGAGTCGAATTTGAGGATTTCTAACCTAGTGAAAGGAAGAGACCAAGCGAAGAGCATCTCGGCATACAGCATGCGGTAGCTTTTAAACACCGCGGTGTGCTCGAACTCAAGCAGTGGAGTTGACATGCAACCCTCGTCATCGAAGGCGCTCTGGTTATGCATTGTGACGCTGATACCAGTTACTGGCACGAGGGTTTCATTCACCGTTGTACTGTCGTCATCGGAATACGCCGACTTGGCATAAGGCGACTTCTCTCGAACGCTCTCGAGGTATGTCGTGTTACCCCATGTCACGGCGCTAGGTGTCAGAGTGCTGATCATGCTCTCTACTGGACTGGGGCGCTTGCGATTCGGAGGCGATGAAGAACCTGTGTTGTAGAAAGGGTTCTTCAAATTCGAAGCGAAGCTGGCTGCAAGGCCAGAATTGGCACGCTGCAGTAGCCGCCTATCATCAGGGGATGTTGACAAGCTTTGGGACTGTAGGCGTAACTTTTCATTCAGCCTCTCCAAGCTGCCCCCTGTAGACCTAAGTGGGGGGGTTTCGCCACAAGAGAATGAGGCAGACGCAGGATCACTGCCCCACGGCCCATTTGATGACCCGAGGGAGCCATAAAATGGAGTGAGAGCTGCCCTTGGTGTAGAAGGTATCGAGCTATATGGGGTCTTTTGATACGCGCTCCACACGGCAATATCAGACGGGAAGTAATCCAAAGAAAACGCCGGCGTCTTCATTGACAGTGGAGTCTGTGGCTGCGTAAGACGTATGTCTGTGTTTGGCAGTGGGTCAACAGCAGATGGTTCGCTGAAGACGCAAGATAGCATCGCTAGCATCTGTATGTCAACCAGTTTCTCGAAATGGTCAAAGAGGTCATCAATCAGGTTTTTGGCGAGAGGGCTGTATCCCCACTTGACTCTCCCTGATATGGCAAGGTTCTTCGAGTCGAAGGGCATATCGATGCCGCTGTCGTATTGGCTGTCACGCCTACAGTGCCTGATCATATCTCGTGCAATAACAAGGATTGGCTCCTTCCGATGCGACTGATCAAGAATCTCGAGAGGGACCTCGTGCTGTAGCAACATCCCGGCATATGTCCATAGATCTGCACGCTCCTGGTGCCCATACTTCATCGCAATCATCGCGTTGTGGTTGCAAACATCCGTCCCTTCGCCAAATACGGCGTATTCCTGAGCCAGCTCAAGCTTCCCCGGTAAATAATCGGATACATCGTACATCGCAATCGTATTTTTAGGCTTAGAAAGCCGCCCTTTACTCAGGGTTCCGGTACCAGTACCAGTTCCAGTCCCAGCCCCACTCGACTTATTGGATCGATTTGTAGACAGCCCCTTCCGATAACTCGTGCCATGGATCTTTCGCCAGAAATCGAATGCGACACTGACTTGGAACTGTGAAGAGTCGGAATCGCTCGAGGATTCGCTTCCAGAGCCTTGCGACGAATCGGACTCGAAATCTTCCTCCTCATTGAGCGATGCGAACTTGCTTCTCGGTGGAAGCGACTCTGTAGCAAGGCGCGAAAATGTATTGAAGGAAGGTCCGTCCTTGACTCTCGATTTGTCTAAGGCAACCGAGCCAAGAAGCGACTTGAACCTCTCTTCCTTCGGTGGGAAGAAGCATATGAGCCTGCCATTATTGGAGAACCGAGCGCCTGAAAGTCTCGGGAGCGGTACATTAGCATGACGCCTACTTGCAACAAGAATCCCCTCTGTTGAGGTTGGATCCAATTCTTGAGACATCATCGCTGAATTGGTTGCCGGTATGTCATCATCATCTTCGTCGCTAGAGCTCACGTCTGCGATGCCGTCGTCAAGATTATCAACATCGTCAGCTCCCTTGAGCCATTGTGTGCTCTCTTCGAGATTGACTTCCCCAAGCAAGTAGCAGAGAGCGGCCTCTAAACAACCACGGTGACGCCCAACAAATCCGGTAGCAATCTGCTGTACCTCTTGCGAGATTCGCTCGTTGGTCTCATCAGATATGAGAGACGACTTGCCAATAGTGAACGTGGGTATTTTAGGCCCGGGATACTGGTCTGGAAACTTTATTGTAGCCTTAATGAAGACCGACTCCCCATCCTTGCCCCACGGACCATTCATCGACGCCGTAACAGAGCGAGTGTCCATATTAACATCGTTGAACGTGACCTTACTGTACTGCTGGTGCACACGGATGATCTCGTCATGTAGTGATTCCGGCGTGTCCCAATCACCTTCCATATCAAAATTGGGGCTGATGACGGACAGCCGCCGCGCAGGGATCTTACCCTGCCCATCCTCATCATCGCCACCGCCATTGGCGGTGAACTTGATACCGCTCATCCAGTTGATCTGGCTCCGCCGTTCGGAATTCATGGGCTTTCCTCTCATTGTCGATCCATTAATGCCCATCCTACTCCGAAACCTCTTCGTCGGAGACATCTTCTTAATCTCGTCGCTGAGAACGCTATATGAATTCTCTTTGTCGTGGCTGCTGCTTAACAGGCGAGGCGCCTTGATCGTGGCAGACTTCTTCTCCATCTCCGCTCGCTCCACGTTTCTAAACGTTTTGTAAATGGCGCCCTTGCGAGTAACATTGAGCTTCTTCGTCATCTGGCTCCCCTTGACATATCCGACCTTTTCCAGCAGAGAATTAGCCACACGTTGTAGTTTCAACTCCTTATCGTCTCCCCAGGACACTAGCTGAAATTCGCGGTTGTCCATTCCATCCTCGTTAATACTGCCGCGTGATCTCCATAGGAACTCCTTCACCTGGCGCTCGCCGTGATTAAATACTGCCGCCGCAGGGGCCATCGTATCCGATTCCACGCCCTCCTTTCGTCGGTCATACAAATACAGGTTTCCCGGGGCATTCTGTGGCATCGCAAGGAGTCCCCAACCGAAAGGCGTATGTCTAGCACGCCACACCGGAAACGAAGTTCGAATGACTCGCTCCGGGATAGGCTCTTCCGCAGAAGTGTCCCAGAACTTAATACTCTTGTCCAGCGAACACGTAACAATCTGCGTCGCGGAAACTCGGTTCCAGTCCAAACCGTAGATTTTCGAGCTATGCGCCTCAATCGACTTCACAGGGTATGCACCTTTCCTGTCGTCCCAAATCCGCAGCCATCGGTCATGGGATGACGCCAGAATATGCCCCTCTTGTCGATTCCACTTCACCTGCGTCGCGCCCGCGTCCCAATCCACAAATGTCAACGCTGGCCGTCGCGGCCTCCGCAGATCCCACGCATTGACGTATCCGTCCACCGCGCATGTCGCTAGGATATCGGGGTGGTGGGCTGAGAAGTTGATGTCGGTGATTGCGCGCGTGTGCGCGTGTAGTGTATGTTCGATGGCTCCCTGCCGCGTATCTTCTTGCATGGCGAGGTTCCATACCAGTGCCTTCTGGTTCGCGGTGCAGGCGACCCAGTAGTCGCGGGCGGCGAAAGGCGACCACTGTACGTCGGCGATGTTCCATGATGTGCCATGTCGGAGGTGTCGGGGGGGATTCAGCGGTGAGTCGAGGTCGATTATGTCAAGGCCGGTTTTACTGTAATGCAAGTCAGAATATGGCCCGTATACCTGGGCGGAGGACACTCACGAAGCAATAGCTACATCCCGTCCGGAAGGCGAGATGGTCGCGGACCCAATGTCCGTGGCGGCCTTTTGGACGTGGATAGAGACATTGGCATCGAACGTACTGCTATCGAACGCCGACTTAATGCCCTTCTCTTCGCGAATTTTCTCCATCACTCCGCGCCGTCATGCGTCCCAGCCATAGGGCGGAAGCTCACGATGCAGGCCACTCCCCAACTGCGGTCGCGGGTGCTCCAAAGCGCATTGCCTGGCGCCGCGTCGTAGTTATTAAAGGGCAGAATCTGTCATGTATGGCGATAGATCACTTTAATCGCAGTATATCTTTTGATCGCCTTCGAAATTGTGTCCTGGGATATAAAAGCGTCGCCGATTGACGTCGTGAACCATCCCCCATGATCGAGCTCCCAAGCACGTCCCCTAAGTAGACTAGCGCCAGATTGACGAGGGATATTGCCATATCGGCGACGGGGTTGACCGCTGTCCCGCATAATTTAACAAAGACCTCAAGGCTTACATATACGTCACAGCCACAATTTTCTTTGAAATAATATTCTATCTGTAGGAAAAGCGCTTCTCTATATGATTCTTCTCAAACTCACCTGTTACAGCTTCCTCTCCGCATCCTCTGTCGACACTCACGCGATCGACCACCCCCCACTACCCCTCCACCTCACCCGCTGATAGGGTGCGCGCAGTGAGACACGGAAACCTCACTGAACCCTCCTATCACCTCTTGAAACGACTTCCAGGAGTGGAATATCACAGAAAACCGCAAAGATGGCCGCGTTACCAAAGCGGATCATCAAGGAGACCGAACGGCTGATGGCAGAACCGTAAGCCATCACCCCGCGCATGTCAGACTCCACAGCCTGACGTCCTATACAGTGTCCCGGGAATCAGCGCCATCCCTCACGACGACAACCTGCGTTATTTCGATGTTAAGATCCACGGCCCTTCACAATCGCCTTATGAGGGTATGTAGAGCCTTGCTGCGGTTTGTCCGGCTTCCACCATACTGACACATTCCAGGTGGCGTCTTCAACCTCGAACTCTTCCTCCCAGATGATTACCCAATGACGCCCCCCAAGATCCGTTTCCTCACCAAGATCTACCACCCCAACATCGACAAGCTCGGCCGCATCTGCCTTGACGTGCTGAAGAGTCAGTTTATCATCCCCCACCAGCCTACCCCGCATCTACCCCTCCACATACCAAAATACTAACTCACCCCCAAAGGCAACTGGTCTCCAGCTCTCCAAATCCGCACCATCCTCCTCTCCATCCAGGCCCTCCTCGGTGCCCCCAACCCCGATGACCCTCTCGCCCCCGATGTCGCCAAGCGCTGGAAGGAGGATGAGCCTGCCGCCATCGCGACGGCGAGGGAGTGGACGCGCACGCATGCTATCTCATAGTTTGGACGATGCCTGACCGGAAGGCTCACATGCCTAGGGGTATAGGTTATGGATTATTTGGTTGCAGTTCGAGCATTTGCGGATGGCGCTGTGTTTGTTGGGGAGCAGTAGGGATGCGCAAGTGGAAGTCTGGGTACCTGCCGAGCATTGCCGTTACTGGGACTAGCACCTGGATTGCTGTTGTTTGAGCGTGTGAAAGGGGAGGGACTGGATGGATAGTTGGCTACGCGCATTTTTCTGAGCTGCGGCGTCTGTTCAGCTGGTATGATGTCTATAGGGGTTGGCACGCGCGGGCTGTAGCCGGTGGATGGCTTGGTGTTGATTGAGATTATCTCTATATTTGGGCAAGGGAAAACATAGGAGAGAGCAATTCACGGGATGTTACTGCCTTTGTGCATATGTGCATGTGTTCGTACATGTATTACGTTATTGTGACAACCCCTGGAGTAAATGCTGACACCTGTACACCTGGTAAATAATCAATGCGCGCCTCTGGTTGCTTGGGTTTCATTTGCGTTAACCTCGTCTACTGGGTTCTCGCGGCAATAGGAAAGGATGTGAAGGAGCATTGCCAAGTTGAAGGCGTTATGATTCCTACAATTCCCGAAGATAGGGGGATATGACGTTCAAATATTGGCAAGGCACGGTAGAGGCATCGAAAGCCTCATGAGGTCTCGAGCGAACAGACTCCTGCTCTGCCAACAATACTCTTCTCTTCGCCAACCCATTCTTCTCATCCATCCTAATACCTCGGTCTATCTACCATGGCATAAACCCAGCCTGTCGTAATATCAAATCCACGCAGCCAAGAATATCAACTTCATGTCAGTCTAGGGCTACAGATATACACGCCACTTAACAGATCTGGGCGCCTCAACCTAGAAGCGAGATTAATTTGCTGCATGGCGCAACGAACGATGCGGGAAGTTGTGTTTGCGCCGTGATGAATAGTATATTTCTATCCAATACCGTTCTCACTAACTCATCCTACGAATCCTATCTTCGAGCCTCGGTCTGTATTCCCTTCTGTCCGACTGTAAAAATCTATCCATGTTAATGAAGCAACAGATCCAACATTGGGTACCAGCCCAGCTCAGCCTTGGAAATGCTGCACATCATCCCTCATCCGCCTAGAACATATCCCGCATCAACTATCCAAGGATCCAAGATAACTGCCGTCTGTGTCAGCTATTCTTAATCTCCAAACCTCGGTTTAGCGATCGACACGCTAGATCTAGATAAGAGTTAGACCAACCACCAGCCACGTATGAACTATCATAGAACATCCATGCCCCCACGCGTCGCTTGTGAGGTATGCGGTGTGTGCGGTGTGCATGGCGCCAGTACTCGCATGGCGCCGTCGTATGTGTGCGTGGTGGTGCCCAGTATCTCCGCCGGGTTGTACAGTTAGGCCCTTCCCCCTCCTCGTCTTCCTAGCGACTCTACGCAGGTGGCAGGTGTTACGTCTTGAAACACAAATCCCAGTCCGACGCCACGGACCCCGCTACCATCCCCCAGTCCCAGCCACGCAAGCTAACATGAACTAGAACCTCGGCCCCGAGGCTTTGCTTGATCGATTTGCGGGGATTGACCCCAGGAAACCACCACTTCTTAAATGGCTCCCGCGATTTAAAATGGCCACAATGAGGGGAAGCAGTGCGGGGTTCGCAAGGTCACCCGGTTAAGGGAGATTGTGACGAAAGGATTTCTCGCTCGATCGATTAGCAGTAAGAGGCAGTGAATGGCCAATTAGTTGCCATTGTTTAATATAATTTTACACAGTCGACAAATTTAAGATGGCGAGATGGAGTGCGGCGGGAGTTGGTGGGGAGAGCCTAGGCGCTTGGAGAGGCTTGTCTGGTGCACTAACAGCGCTATCTACTAGTGAAGTACGATGGTCACAAAGGAAGTCGACGGAGAATGACGGGATGGTTCGTACTGCAATGTTATTGCAAGGAGTATGCATCTCTTTTCTCTACAAGGGAGTGAAGGGGAACATGCAGGGGCAAAGAATTGTAGAGATACGAGAAAGAATAGACATCGAGGTATAGTATAGCCCTTACTTAGTACAACATAGTCAGTGCTGTACATACATACATTATGCATTGGCCTTAGACGCGCCAACAAACCCCAGATCGAGGCTGGTGGAGATTGGCCAAGACTGGTAGGAGCGACCCGTCATTTACATTTCTTAGTCGTTCTTACCTTGTCAGCTTTATTTTTCGTTGTTCTCGCGACCACTTCCTTCTTAATAGGGGAATCGCGATGAGGGGTGTTCCTTCCCCCAAAGAGGTGCACCGCCACGCCGCTCCACGCCACCACACTAGACCACACTACAACATACGCCTATAGGCGCTACTATAGGAGTTCCAGCCTTAGTCGCTGTATTCGTGTCAATGAAATTGACATGTCGACCATAAACAATCGCTTCCCCAGACAACCCCGCCATTTACCTCACTGCACTATCCCAAATCCGCTCTTTTACTCTCGTCTGCCGCTTTACCAACCCAGCTATCATCGCCACTAGAGCACTACTACGACGCCCATTACGACCCCTAGGACCACCACCCCCTTCCTTCACGGCCAGACCCAGTCACGAGACGAGACGACCATCCACTCATAGCCCAGTAGAATGGCCGCGCCATCTGGGAATATTGGAATATCGGGACCAAAAGGATGGGGAAACGGAGAAATGCGGGGGTTTTAGCGCAGCTCGTGCGTCTCTCATTAGTAGTCCCATCTAGTCCCACACCATGTCAAATATTGGATGTCCTAAATGTAACCCCTCGTTTCTTCTGTACCATTTGATCCCTACGGAGAGGAGGAAGTGACGACACACAGACGATCGGGACGGCATGGGCATAGAGTAGCATGGCATGGAACTTATCACCCTGTCTCCCTAGACCCCCCTCCTAGCCCCATTAGCATGCACACCAATGCATGCACACCACGCGCAGCCATGCAAACGAGAGCTCCTCCTTTCCCGAAGAAAACAAGACTTAATATGACATGTGGATCTGCACGCTTAGCTCACCTTCCTTTTGCTATGTCTCGCCTTTATAAACCCCTCCCTTCCCCCACGCTGATGATCTCTCAGGGCCCTCAAACAGCCTAATATATAGAGCCACCACCCCCCCGCATTTCTTATTTGTCTGTGTGTTCACCTTCCTTCATCACACATCCAGAGCAACTCTACCAACCATGGCCGATACAGCGGCTTCACACGCGTCGTCGACGCCGCCGAATGAGAAGGCGAGCGCGGAACATCATGTCGAGGTTGTGTCGGATGGTCCGAATAGGAAACTCGAGGACGGGAAGCTCGAGGACGGAAGGAAGTCTGGGGATAATGGGTTTAGGACGGATGGGGATGATGAGGATCATGAGCATGAGCCACCGGTAGGTTTATTTTCCGCTTCTTGTCCGCGCGTGGGGTTTTGCGCTTAGAGGGTTGTTCGGGAGAAAGTGAGAAGAGCGATTGTATGGGAGAGACAGAGACAGTTGCATTGTGGTGGTTGCGCGAGAACAAGAGTGAGAATATATAGCTAACAAGTGCTAGATGACCCTCAATAGGGCCATGTCCCTGGTTGCCATGGCGTTCTTGTGGACCAGCTCCCAGATCCCAGTCTACCTCTTCGGTGAGCCCATATATGAGACCCCTCTAACAGCTTTGGTGCTATATGTCCTCGATAACTAACTATCTCGACAGGCGGAATCCCTCCAGTCATCTACGGCGACATTGGCGGCCCAGACCGCTGGATCTGGTTCGTCCTTGCGAATCTGCTCGCTCTCGCTGCCGTCTGCCCCTTCGTTGGCGCGCTATCCGATCTCTTCGGTAGACGCTGGGTTTCCATCGGCGGGTCGGTACTCATTATCATTGGCATGATTGTATGCTCTACAGCAAAGACGATGAACCCATTCATTGGTATATTCCCCGTTCCCCTGAACCGCCACGTTTTGGCCGGAGCCTCTAGAACTAACAAACTACAGGCGGCATGGCCATTGCAGGTGCCGGCGCAGGCGTCAACGAACTTACCGCCCTCGCCGCGACGTCGGAGCTCGCACCCACGGCCAAGCGTGGAAAATACGTTGCCATCCTCGTTCTCACCATTCTGCCATTTGCGCCCTCCGTTCTTTGGTCGCAGTTGATCGCCCAACACACCAGCTGGCGCTGGGTTGGTCTCCTATGCGGACTCTGGTCTTTTATCGGTCTTGTCATGGTCGTAATCTTCTACCACCCCCCGCCCCGCGTCAATAGCAACGGCCTCACTCGCCGCCAAGTCCTTGCTCGGGTTGATTATGTCGGCGGCTTGCTATCCATCTCCGGCGTTATCATCTTTATTGCCGGCCTGCTTTGGGGTGGTTACGGCTACACCTGGACGTCCGTCCACACCCTCGTCCCACTCTTCATCGGCGCTCTCCTGCTCGTCCTCTTTGCCATCTGGGAGATCAAATTCGCACCTTACCCCATGTTCCCTCGCCGCATTGGCAAGGACCCGCGAATCCTCGCCATGACGCTAGTCATTACCTTCATCTCCGGGGCCAACTTCTTTGCGGTCATCCTCTTCTGGCCTACCCAAGCCTTCAACGTCTACGGCCATGACCCCGTTGGCGTCGGACTCCGTGGTCTGCCCATCGGTTTCTCCATCCTTATCGGCGCCTGCGTCGTCCTCTGGCTACTTTCCGTCTTCCGTGGCAATAACCGCGCCCTCTTGATCGGTGCATCCATCATGATGACTGCTGGCACTGGCGCCATGGCTGCTGCCACCCGCGACAACCTCCCCGCTGTCTACGGCATTCTTGTGGTTGCTGGTCTCGGTATCGGCGGCATCGTCGTCCCAGCATCGATTATGACAACCATTATCTGCCCCGACGACCTAATCGCCACCGTCGCCGCGCTCACACTATCCATCCGTGTCATCGGCGGTGCTATCGGATTCACCGTCTACTACAACGTCTTCTACGCCAAGCTCGTCCCCAAGCTCACGGCCTACGTCCTTCAAGTCTGCTTACTAAATGGCATCTACGACAAGGAGTCCATCACCACCATCGCCGAGCTCATCGGCGCCAGTCTCACGGAACATATTCTGCATGTCCCTGGTGTTGACGGCAATGTCACGAAGTGGCAGTTGATTATCAGCGCGGGCGAGTTGGCATACTCAGAGGCTTATCCGTATGTTTATTACGCGAGTATTGCGTTTGGGTGTGTCGCGATCATTGCGAGCTGTATGTTGGGAGATATTAACAAGTATATGGATGACCATGTGGCTGTGGTTATCCATTAAGATTCATGTTATTAGTTTTTCGGGAGATGGGAAAGAGGGCTGTGAAGCCCCCTTATGTATTTGATGGTGGCGGTGGTATTATACACTGATTTAATCCTTTATATACTGCAAATTAAGATGCTGATGTATAACATATTGTCCTCTACTTGAAGCTGTGGGTGACTATGTGATGTTATGATATATGGAAGAAGGCATTTTGGGAGCTAGGAGCCTTTTGGTTTTTGAGGCAAACTGTTTTTATGTGGTTCATGTTCTGCACTCTCCAGATCGTATTTGTCACCTTACCCTACAAAAGCCTTGGGGGCCAGATTAAAACCCAATCCACCATCACTGTCCTTCATTATTGCTGCCCGCAGGGTCTGAGAGAGTACGGCAATATATCTCACCACAACCCCTCATCAGACGATACTGTAGGTGGGAATGAGTTGGGGTTCACTCCAGCTCCTTTATGCGCAATATAACACATTAAATCAGGACTAACGGAACCCACAAAATTAAACTTGCCTCGGATGATGCTCATGTGGCCCATTTATTACTTGCGGGTTTTCACATTTTTGGGTTACCGGATCATGCACACCAACCGGAGCGGGCCAAACTTAGAACTCTCTGGTTTGGAATGAATCAATTGTTTAGGCTAACATGATGAGTGTTGCGCTTGGGCATTTAAAGACTCTTTAATTTCTGCGGATGATAGAGAAACCCTATTGGAGGTGGTACCGTACTACTGGTTTTAAGAGACATTTGGGCCTGATATGGGCAAGACAGGAGTTTTAACATCTCCAACTAAGGGGAAGACTTGTCTCACCTAATAGCAGTAGACGTCCTCCTGGCCGGAAGACGGCTTGTATAAAACGCCATCACTCTGCCCCAGTATCTTGCTGCTCCGCAGAAGCAACACAAGCAATCATTTTCCAGTTCCAGACAGCTCAAATTGAAGCCGTTCAACCAACCGTCAGGATGAAGTTTTCTGTTATCAGCTTCGTCTGCCTCACTAGTTTCTTTGCTGGTATCCATTCACAGAACTTTGAACCACCCTACAGCGCCTACTTGATTTCTCTCGAAAATGTCAGAAGCTCCCTCCACAAGCTCTGGTCCGCTATCGAGGAATATCCCACCACCTATTTAAACCACGTAAACGTCAATCAATCCATTACTGCCTTTTGTTGATAGAGCACAGGATCTTGTGCAGGTTTTTCAGGACGGTAAAACGATAACAAACGTCTCTGGAAACATGACTGCGCCAGATACTATTTCCGTCCGTGATCACCGCCATGTCGCAGGGTTTTTGTATTTTCAAATGACCACTCTCCTGCATAACAGGATACGTAAGATAAAGAATGCCTCCAGCTGCGAAACCACACGCAAGCAGCTAACCGACATCAATACCAACGCCCACGCATTCATCGACTTTCTTTACTCTAGAGTTCACCCAGAAGAGCTCAAACATATCACGGAAATTGGGGATCTAGTTAAAGGGACTTTTGATACTTCCCAGGACCAGTTTAGTGAGAGGAAGTGCGAGAAGAGCTGTCTCGGGGATTGTACCGAGATCTGTACGGAAGACTGCAAGAAAAGCTGCAAGAGCTGCACAGACAACTGTGCGGACTGCGAGGAGGACTGCGTGTATGACTGCGTGGAGGTGCATCCCACGTGGCGTTTGTAACATCACTTGGATATCTTGGTCAACAGTTCAGGAAGCCACCAGGCGTGGGCGTAGGCTGATGAGAACCACTAGGAAGCCTGGCCCGGCAATGCTATGAATCGCTGGCGGCGGAGATCCGGCCAAACGAGGCTACTATATAAGATTGTAACCTCATTAGGTAGGAGCTCATTGCTCAATCAAATCTATTATCTTACCCATCCTGTCACATCACAGGATGTGCAACCCTCCACCTAGTCCGTCCCAATGTCCTACTCTACACAACGGGGACATCTGGAATAGGCCACCCTCTGAAACAAATTCACTCTTGAGATCATATGCATCACAGACCCTATTAACGAAACTCATAGTGAGGAGACTTGTAGCATAACTTTGATAGTCGTCACGGCGAGGCCTCATGAGAACAAATGGAAGTAGCGATCCAATGCCAAAAGATCATTGTATAAGTGCTTAGCTCAATATAGCCATATATAGACACAAAGAACGTACGTATGATCCAACCATCTTCCCACCATCCCTCACACTTTAAAAAATCAGCGACTGTGCAGACAAACTCAGTATAAACGTACAAAACATTAGTCGCGTCAGTTCCACAAAGGGGTATAATGGTACACTATTCAGACAACACTCCATCATCTGTAACACTCCAGCTTCTCTCCCTTCCCCTCTCCTCTCGTATCGTTGCCGAATCATCTTCTTGCTCCCCAGCTGCACTTTCACCGGCTATAATCGGATTCTCCCCACCTTCTAGAGCCTCTTCTTCCTCCTCCATCAACGGCGTCCTCGCCCCCTCCTCCTGCGCACCCAACCTCCTCACCGGCGGCGGCGGCGAAAACGGGCGCACCCCTCTCGACTTATTGAAATGCCCCTCTGTCGTCGTCCGCTGGGAGAATATACTCGCCGCCTCGTCGCGGTCCCCTGTCACCGCCCCCGTAAGACTCTGATACTGCTCTCCCTCCACGAGCATGCTGTCGCCACGACGATGGTGTGGACGATCCGCGTTTGCCTCGGCGAGAATGCTCTTCTGCGGGAGGATACTGAATAACTTCGTTCCATCGCCGTGACTCCCATCAAGGTCGTTGGCGAAGAGATCAACACCCTTATCCAACAGCTCATCCAGACCCCCACCTGACCATCCCTTCCGCGCAAGGGACTCATAAATATCAACCTCCGCTCTCACTAACGACGAACTCGCCTCCACAATCTTCACGCTCGCCTCCTGACTATCCCTCAACAGCGCCCTCGAATGCCCCGCATGCACCGCCGTCAACTCATCCAGCCGTGTCGTCAGATCCACCAAGTGCCCACGAAAGCGCGCCACATCGCGCTTACGCTGCTTATGCAGTTTCAGCCCCTCTTTCTCCATCCGTCGAATCTCCCGGCTACGCTCCTTCACCTCCCGTTGGTACGCCAGCTCCTCCTCCTCCATGCTCCGCCGCCACCCGTCCAGCTCGTGCAGTAGCGGCACTTCGAAACTGCGATACACAGTTTCCGACAGGATCTGCTGGTGGTTCGCGACCAACTGGTGAATCCCACTCGCTGCCATCAGGTTATCCGCCGTGCACGTCCCCTGCGCCGTGATGCTATTGCCCAGACTACCGCCGTTGATATGCAGTGTCTCGCTGCGCGCCTCCTTCAGTCGCGCGCAGGATTCAAGCGCACTGCCAAACTGGGAAGCGCATTTGGAGAGCTCGGCAAGCGCGTGCCGGTATTGTTTCGCGGTGGTGAGGAGCTCGGAGTAGGCCGTCTGCGAGAGCTCGAGGTCGTTCTTGGTGAGGACTGCGTAGTGGCGCTGGGGGGGTGGGGGCGCGGGGAGGTTGTAGGCGGAGATGGGGTTTGCGGTGGAGGCGTAGGAGTAGGTGGGCGAGACGGGGACGGGTGGGAGTTTGCTCGGGCTTGGTGAGGGGGAGCGGGAGCCCGCTGTCGCTGCCATGGCTGTATTGGTTTGTTCACACAGTTCCGTTGTTCCTGTGCGGGGGGAGGGTAGTTTTGGTTGGTTCTAGTGGGAGGGTGAAAGAGGGGGATATAATATATTCATAGAAGTTTAGTGGAAGAAGAAATAGGCAGTATTATAAGCGTGGATCCAACATCGCTTTGCTTTGTTCTCGTCGTCGTCGCTATGGAAGAGTAACACAGTCGTCGTCGACGCCTACAAGGTCTCATCTCGGAGGCGGGTGGGACTAATCGGAATATATTTGTTCCGTCCTTGGCTAGTAAGCCAATGACGTGCTTAGTAATGAAAATAATGTGTGGGCTGAAAATGGTTACGTCGGCTGCTCAAACAAGTCGGCCCGTAGTTAACCCGTAATAGCCAATCAAGTCACTCCTGTCCCTCGTCCCTTTAGGCCGCGATGGAAATGGGAATTGACGAGGGGCATCTCGTATATTTACTCTTATCTTCTCAACTCGTTGTTCGTCGACCATCGACCATCGACGTCCCTCTTTCACTTTCTTTCAAAAGACATATTTAACGTGTCTATCCATGCTCTTTTATACTCCAACATAGTATTGAACTATTGACTCTTGACACGGCGAAAAGATGTCTGCTCCACTCGCCGTCCCGGCGATGAACAGGCACACTGCCACTGTCATCTTCCTTCACGGCCTTGGTGATCAGGGTGCTGGCTGGATCGATCTGGCTGTGAACTGGCGCCGCCGCCAAAAGTTCACTGAGACTAAATTCATCTTCCCCAACGCCCCATCCATTCCAATCACACTTGTGAGTGCTTGGCTGCCCATTCGCCCGGCTACTTGTCTACGAAAGCTAACTGAATAGAATGGTGGCATGCGCATGCCGGGATGGTATGATATTGTAAGGGCCCGCAACACTGTTCGTTTGTGGCTTATGCTTGATAGTCTTTGTTCAGAGGCTTGACTGTTGGCTAACCACCTGCAGAAAGCCATTGACGACTTCTCCACCGAGGAGGACGAGGCTGGCATCATGCGCTCGCGCACCACAATTCACCGACTCATCGACGCCGAAATCGCTTCGGGTATCTCCTCCGAGCGCATCATCATCGGCGGCTTCTCCCAGGGCGGTGCGATGTCCCTGCTCTCCGGCGCTACCTGCGAACACAAGCTCGGCGGCATCGTCGCGCTGTCTGGTTACATGCTCCTGAAGAACAAGTTCAAGGACCTCGTTCCCGAAGGAAACGCGAACAAGGATACCGAGATTTTCATGGGCCATGGAGACCAGGACCCGCTCGTTTTGACCGAGTGGGGTAGAATGACTGCCGCAAAGATGTCGGAGTTGGGATGGAAGGTTGATTTGAAGATCTACCCGTAAGTTTCTTCTTTACTATTGGGGGAAAGGCGGCCAGGCTAACATGAAATTAGCGGACTCAAACACTCGGCGGCTCCTAAGGAAATTGATGATTTCGAGGACTATCTACACGTTTGGATTCCGGATCTGGAGGAGGAACCAGCTCAGTGACTTGGAGGGACAATGGGGGGAAATAAAACGCCACAGCATGACACCTGGGACCAGACACTGTGTGTCAGCCTTGCGATTGTCATGCTCACCGTCGCATGGCTGCTCTGCCGCCGCCGCATCTGGCCACGAAGCACAGCTATGCGACGAAACAAAGTCATTGTTGCCCAAGAATAGGTAGTTTGGTCAGGGGAGTAAGGGAGAAAACTTGGATTTATATCGGGGCCAATGTGCAGGAACAGATCAGCCCATAGAAACTTAATCAAATACAAAATACAATGCCGTAGTTGCAATCGGAATCGGACTATCTTCGGCATCCCGATTCTCTGGGAATTGCAGTGGAGTTGTAAGCCGTAAGCTATTATTGGGGTGGAAGATATCCCGAGCCGAGGGGTTTAGTGCTTTATTTGTATTAGCTGACTGTCTTACACTATATCTGACCAACCAAGACCCATATAATGACCAATTCACTAGTCCCCGGATCCTCTATTTTTGTCAGCCTTACCCCTCCACACACACTCGTCATGGTTTACTTCTCATTTCTCATATAAAAGAAGTTATACCCCCCAGTTCCACTATAAGAACTTATTTATACTCTCGCTTTGCTCGCGATTTCAACATTAGCAGATGTTTCTAGGCCGCACTTATTTTCTATCGGCTTTCTTCGCAGTCACAGCCGTGGCGCTTGCCATATTATTTAGAAGCTTTTGGGCTGTTGCTCCTGCCGTTGGAGGCCGCGCATCCGTGAAACAGTTTGGATCAGCATTGAAGACTCGCAATATGTCTACCACTACAAGGACTCCAGTATATTTTGTGAGCCATGGGGGCGTAAGTATATTTCCAACTATCTGTTCTTAGCCGCGGTCTCCGCACGATGTGTTCCCAGCGCGGTCTCCGCACTATCTAACACCAACTAATATCCCCCTACTCCGAGACCTCCACTGCACTCACACCAACTAACAGCCACCCAGCCAAACATCAAGTACGACACCACTCACCCGGCTTACGCCCGGCTCACCACCCTCGGCCGCGAAATAACTACCACCATAAAATTCAAAGCCATCCTAGTCCTCTCCGCCCACTGGGAAGGCACCGCCACCACCCTCTCCATCAACTCCGCCCCATCGACCCCCCTAATCTACGACTTCGGCGGTTTCCCCTCCCACTACTACCGCGCCAAATACCCCCACACCGGCTCCCCCCAGCTCGCCCAATCCGCCCTCCGTCTCCTCGCCGACGCAGGCATCTCCGCCAAGCCCGCCACAAGAGGCCTCGACCACGGCGTCTGGGTCCCATTCTCCATCCTCTTCCACCCAGAAACCAACCCCGTCTCCGTCCCCATCGTCCAACTCTCCCTCTTCGACTCCGACTCTGGAGACGCACACTACGCGCTTGGCGAAGCCCTAGCGCCCCTCCGCGACGAGGGTGTGCTGATCATCGTCTCCGGCCAAGCCGTCCACAACCTCCCCGACTTCTTCGCGAGCCGTGGCTCCCTGAAGCCGCGCGACTACGCGCTGACGTTCGATGAGGCGCTAAAGCAAGCCGTGGAGTCGGAACCTGCGGAGAGGAAGGCAAAGATGGGGGAGTTGCTGAAGAGGCCAGATGCGAGGAAGGCGCATCCGACTTTTGAGCATTTGTTGCCGGTGTTTGTGGGGGCGGGGGCGGCAAAGGAGGATAGAGGGGTTAGGTTGTGGACGCTGTGTGAGGGGAGTGTTAGTTGGGGGATGTTTAGGTTTGGGGATTTGCCGGCGGAAAGCGCGGGAGAGAAGGAGGTGGAGGAGAAGGCTACGTGAATGTGAGGATGGCCAAAATGTAGCATTATAATAAGAATGATGGCATCTACGAGCCCGTTCTAACGTATTATTCCGAGGTATACAAACTACTTCATAGGCTTAACTGTACGCCATCCTCTGCAGGCTCGTCGCAGTGGACAGTTCGATCGAAGTCAACCATAGGTGGTGTACTAGCTAGGTGTTAAATTAAACCAACCTCGAGGCTGAATATCTACATATTAACTTTGGTATAATCGTGGGGGTCTGTGTGGGGTTTCCAGTGAGGCTGTTCGCTCTTACTCAGCCCCGCTCCAATCCTTCCACAGCCACACAAGCTTTCTTGGCATTCCCCGATCTTCTACTTTATTGTCGCTCTCCTATCTCATATTTATTTGTATACGGCACTTCATTTTGTTAGAGTTACACTTTGAAATATGTGCGTTTGGAATAAAACAATATGGATCCAGTATCAATAGCAGCTAGCTCTGCAAGTCTTGCAGTCTTTTGTCTCAAGGTACCTATGGCTCTTGCCGCATTTCGCCGATGCAGATTAGCTCACTGGCATCTAGGTAGCCGCTGCTGTATACACGACCACAGACAGCGTTCGAAATGTTGACACCAACTTTTCTGGACTCCACCAGGAGCTCATGGGGTTTTCGGGCACGTTGAGTGCAATTGAGAAGACATGGAAACAGAATACCGCGGTTCTCATGGCTTATTCTGGTCCTGATGCCACGCTTTGGACTAGTGTCACAGAGAACCTGGATAATAGTAAACTAACGATCGAGATGCTCGAAAAGGCTCTGACGAATGTTAAAAAGGGCGGCTTCTTTGGGCATGGCATTTTGAGCAAGCCGACGAAGGCAGTCAAACTATCATTGTCTATGTCTGATATCACCGCATATCAGCATCGCATCAATTCTCATCATATTGCAATGCAAGGTGGACTACAGATGATCAGCTTGTAAGTACGAGTTTAATTCATTATTGCTCTTCTTTAAATATGCGACCAAGTCTAACTGTAACTAGATGTTTACACATCAAGGGGAACGCCTCACTGCAAAGCCTTGATACGTCTCTTGCTAACCTTGGAGATATGATTAAACTCATTAGCCAACGAGCCGAGGCGGCACTACAAGGAAACAATATTTCGAGCTCTGATCCTTCTCAAGAAGAGAACGGAAACAGTAATATAGCCTCGGGGCTACAGAGTATGGCCCGTGCTGCAGAGGCAGTGTTTACCAGTGCCAGCACGGTAATCGACGGTCGCAGGTCAACTATTTACGGGGGAAGTGTCATTGGAGAAAATGCGTTCCAGAATGATGGCGGAATAATGTGGGGAGGCAGTGTTTTGGGGAGTCCTTTGACAGAGGAGCAGTACAGTGGCATTGAGAATTGGATCCCCCCGCCGGCCAAGGACAAGGAGGATGGCTCGACGAGTCAACCATCGAGAGGTAATCTGCCAACGACAGGTAATCCAACTAAAAGCAACACGGACTTCCTCGGGAGAGCTATCGACGCTGTCAAACAAGCCATTGCCCTTGACAATGCAAAGGATTATGAAAACGCATATAAACAGTACTACATCTGTCTCGAATTATTCATGCTTGCCATCAGATTTGAGAAGAACTCTGAGAGCAAGAGGATAATGCAGAACAAGGCTGCTGAATACATGGACCGCGCCGAAAAGCTAAAGGCTTATCTTCACACTCAGGCTACTGGAATTCCCATAAGAAAGGAGGTTCCGGTAGCCAGTGCCAGCCCAGCGAATCCAGGAATCCCACTTGTCCTTCCACCAAGCACGAGTATCAGGAGGTTTGAAGATTATATCGTTCAAGCAGAAAATATATGTGGTGCTGATAACGTGAAAATAATTACGGAGGCGGAAGAGACTCACAAGAAGCTGCTGGGCGCACTTGATATTCTTAATCTGAATGTTTCTGACAGGGATAATCTTCTTCTCTCCGCCATCGTTAGGCCCCGGAAGGTGTCGGAGGCACAAGAAATTGTTCGTTTGTGCAACACCTTTGAAACCCCAGTTTGGTCTTTTAGCGGCGGGAGTGACGATGACTATAGAGCCGCTATACCACGAGTTCCTGGTAGCATTGGCCTGGACTTTGGTAGCTACATGAACAAGGTGCTTGGGGTAAATGAATCTGGTGCATATGTTGTCGTGGAGCCTGGAGCCACACATGCAGATATTGACAAATACCTTGTTGACAATAAGCTTAACGAGAAATTCACGATCGACTGGCCCAAGTATACGGAAAGACTGGCCTTGGGAAATGCTGTGGAAGGTAACATATCTACACTTTATTGTGGCAAGGAAATAATACTTCCCAATGGAGACCTCCTCAAAACGGGATTAATACAATATCCTGGCACGCGGCCTGAAGTCGAACAGCTAGAATTTGAAGAAACGCAGGTTTGTAACTCCATGGTTTTATATTCTAGCAACCGCTAACAAGCATAAGCCCCTCGATTCCAGTTTCGGTGTATTTAATGGAAAACTACTCTCGGAAAAAGGCTTGGGGATAGCTGTGAAATTGGTAAGCTAGATGACTGATGTTCAAACGATGGATGAAGTTTGCTAACGTGCCTAGTCTATTTGTGTAAGTAACTCTTCAGTAATTGTGAACATAATAGTAAAGATCACACGCTGAAATGTAATAGCTCACCTCAAACCCTGCCGATTGCCAGCCTTACCAGATTGGGTTTCCAAAGGAGGGAGACCTCCCTAAAATCGTCTATATCACTCAGAAGCTTCGCCAAACAATGTCCCTACAGACACGCCCTAGCCTTTACTATATACCTTTAGATACAATGTCCCCAAATGCCTCATCCGATGCTCCTCTCAATAGCATAGAACCAGACGGCATTAATACCAATCGTTGGATATTGCACGGCATGATATATGGAGAGAAGGGCGTCCGCGATGCTTTGTGCCAGGTAATCAAGGAGGCATTTGGTCAAGTTGAAGGGGCAAAATTCTACTTTCCAGAGTCGGTTCACCATGACCAGTCTTCGTGTTGTGTCCGCTGGAACCAACACGAAGAGATTCCCATAGCCGAGCAAAAATGGACGACATGGGTACCCAAAGGATCTCAAGTATTTTTTCGCCTGACTTCGAAAATTTCCGGAGAGATCGCGTATGCACAGTTGTCAATTACGAAGAAGCGTATACAGGATGCCGAGTTAGATTTCCTAGGCGCAATCACGATCGATGAGCGCCACATGCACTATACAGTCTACATCGCATATGAGCGCCACGATTCTGACTCCTGTCGGAGACTTCATAAGCTTATCCTTACGCTGGTGGATGATTGTGAGAAAAATGGGTGGACGGAATACTGGACGTATGGGGCCCTTATGGATCAGATTGCTGCGATACGGGATGTCCAGGACGATGCTCTGGCGAAGATTAATACGGCGATCAAGGACGCTGTAGATCCTGCGGGTATTATGGAACCGGGCAGAAACGGCGTTTGGCCGACGAGAAGTGATAGATCGGTCTGGAAACGAATGGCAGACAGGTCACTGGTGAGTAGCTCGGTGGTTCGCGCGAATATATGAGCTTACAGAGAGGATGGCTTGTGAATGATCGCATATAGTCCGACGTACTCCTTTGACGAATTCCTTTGGGTGAGATTTATGTCGGATTTAGGCATATTAATGGCATATGTTGGTCACATATCTTGCAGAATCTCATGAAAATAATTGAGTGGTGAAAATTTACTATCTAGCAGTTGTTTTTAACGATACCTGTCCCATAATGACCTCCTCATATGGAGACTTTACGGCAAACACCACCACTCAAAAGCACACTCAAAAACACACTCAAAAGCACACTCGAGGTGTCATTACCAAGGCTGATTGCTGCCAGAGCGAATAACCTTCCCCACATCTTGATCCCGCTTCCCCTCAACAACATCCTTAATAAATTTGCCACCAAGGGCCGGGTCTCCCGCGCCCATCTCTTTATTCGCCGCTGGTCCAGCACCAAGGCCCGTCGCAAGGAACCCTGGAGAAATACACCAAACCTTCACCCCATCCTCCGTGAGCACCCTCGCCCACTCACGCATCATCATGTTCATACCCGTCTTGCTGCTGCGATAAGATGGCATTGAAATTGCTTGCTTAGGCCAACCCTTGGCTGGGACTTTGTTTACCCACATGTCGCTACTTTCAGTCTCGGTGAGGCTAGAAGTACCACTGGTGACGAACAAGAGTCGTGGATCGGAGGATTTTAGTAGCAGGGGGACAAAAGTGTGTGTCATAATTTGGGTCCCGGTGGTGTTAACGTTCCAGGACTTGTTCCAGGCCTCTCTCATGGTCATACGGCCAGACTGGATTTCGAAATCGAACAGAGCCCCTGCAAAGTGTCAGTGCCAACGAAAGTGCAGACTCTTGGAAGTCATACCGGCATTGTTAATGAGAACATCGAGTCGTTCATATTTGGTAGACACTTCTTCAAAGGCTTTCGAGATTGAGGCGTCATCTTCGATGTCGACTTGGATAGCGGACAAGGTGCTCTGGGAATTGGGAAACTGCTCCTTGGCAAGTTTTACCGCATCTTTCGCCTTTTGGATGGATCGACCACCAAGGAGAATGGTATAGGCATTTGGCGAATCTACCAAGGCCTTAATGACTTCAAACCCAATGCCCGTGTTCGCACCTGTGATGAGAATAATTGGGGCGTTGCTCATTGTGAAGGTGAGGTGCTTAATTGATGTGTGATGTGGAAAATGAGCAGTTGCTGGTTTACTCCAAACTCCTCACAAACAGCGGCAGACAGTTGATCTTTATAGAGCTGTCTCGAGTCTATCGAATGCTTTGTTTAGATATCTTCCAGGTGATACTGCCTTACGTCCATGATATCATCTCGGGGATATCGGCTGAGAAACACTACCAGAAAAAGAAGTGGCGGGAAGCCCCATCATCATAGCTGTCCCTACCAACCATCTGCAGAAAAATGACAAAATAAATCCATCAACACGCTCGAAATTGTCTATATCCCCTCAATTATTCATATTTCTGTAGTTTCGATCCCAATGTAGTATGAGGCCGGCCGAGAGATTTACCAAAAGGGTATTAGCTCAATTAGGTACGTACCAATGTTCCGTAATTAGTACCAACGGCCCATGCTTAACTCCGAGCACAATCTATCCTCCATGCCAAAAACAGTTCAAAGTGGCAATGGCAGGCTTCTCGTCCTATATCGGACAGTTTCGCGCCGAAGGGGACGGCCACCGGCACAAGAGCCTCAGAAATGGAGTCAAACGCAATCGGCCTAGGTTGTCCTGTGCACCATGTTGCGCTCGGAAATTGAAGTGTGACCGTGGCCGGCCATGTGAGAAATGCGTAAAACGCAACGATGACGACGCCTGCACTTATGATTCCCCTCCAGAGACACCTCAAAACAATGCTGGTGCTTGGGTTGAACCTCAGGAGAAATTACTGCAGCTTGAGAAGTTGGTGATGCAACTTATGGAGTCGGAATCTTGCGGTATTCAGCGAGCAGACCCTCACATCATTACTCGGCCCCAAACAGATGATGCTATTCCAAATTTGGGAACTGAGGGCCATCTGCATCAGGATTCATCTGAGACCAGGTACTCTGGATCAACGCATTGGTCTACCATTTTAGACAACATTCAAGAGCTCAAAACCACCATGGACGCAATACCGAGCACATATACGGACCATGAAGACCCAGTTGACCTCGGAATTCCAGAAGGACAAATAATATTCGGCTCACCGAGAGATTATTCAATGCAACAAATTCTATCCGAAAGCTTGCCTCCTAGGGCCCAGGTTGATCGGTACCTCTCGGCCTTCTTCAAAGCTCAAATGCTTATTGCCCCCTACATTCATATCCCCCAGTTCCAGAGACAGTACGAAGACTTCTGGAAAGACCCTCTGCGTGCGTCTCCTCTTTGGGTCTCTATAATGTTTTCGCTCTGCTGCATGTCAGCAAAGATCAACGAACTTCCTGTCCCTGCGCCTTCTGTGTTTGAAGGCCAATCTAACGCCCGCACTGTCTTCCTCAACGCTGCTGGACAGTGTCTCGTACTTGGCGAGTTTACCCGCCCCCAAAGCCAAGTCATGGAGGCCTTGGGTTTGTATGCGCAGTGCAAGTATATGTTCAGCCTTGATCCTTCTCGAGAGCTCTGCATCATTTTGGGCGTCCTTTCTAGACTTGCCTACATGATGGGCTATCACCGAGATCCTGATAATTTTGGAAATTTTACAATATTCGAAGGCGAGATGCGCCGCCGAGTCTGGTCAGCATGCAGACAGTTTGATCTCATGGTTTCTTTCCAGTTTGGTCTGCATAGTTGCATTCCTGCCGACTCATGGGATTCTAAAGCCCCTCGAAATCTCCTGGATTCTGATTTCAATGAGGAAACGTCCCTCCTTCCATTGTCCAGGCCGCAAACAGATCCCACACCAATTTTGTACTTTGTTGTGAAGGATAAATTACTAAGCGGCTTCACTAAAGTGTGCAGCCACGCCTTGTCTTTGAAGGTTCAATCGCAAGAGGAAATCTTGGATTTGGATGCCGAAATCAGACAGATGTACTCCACTATCCCCGAGAGCCTTCGCATTCGGCCAATGGAACAATCACTGGCCGACCCACCATTTCTCATTATCAGTCGAATTTACATCGAATTTCTCCACCAGAAGTCTCTATGCATACTGCATCGTAGACATATGGCACTTGGTTTCGAATATAGCACGAAAGCATGTGTCAATGCGGCCATGACAATCATCACCTACCTGATTGGCGTGAATAAAGAACTCCAGCCGGGAGGCCAACTCTACGCTAATAGCAGCTGGGCGCTGACCAGCTTCAATATGAATGATTTCTTACTTGCAGTTATGATACTATGTCTCTCTCTGTCCAAATGGAAGAAGCAGAATCCGGGAAAACGTGTAGAAGAGTACCCCTCTATCTATTCTCAACTTGATATGCTTAGAAAAGCGTACGCTGTATGCGTGGAAAAATCGGCAGTTAGCAAAGAGTCAAGATGCGTGGTCTCTCCGGTAAAATCAATACTTTCTCAGTTTGAGACTGAGCCGCCTTCTCATACATCAACATCTACGGGGTCCTATACCAACATCAATCACGCCAACTGCCTACTGCTAAATACAGCTCCTTCTTTGGGAACTAATGGAATAACCTCGCTTTCCCTTAACGAACCACAGTTGGTATCATTTGCCCTGGGAGAACCAACTACAACCCCCAACGAGTTTAACCCTTTCGAAGATATTTTCGGTGATTTTGAGAATGTCGATTGGACATATCTGTCTCAGTATCTCGTTGGGCCTAACATGTTTGATAGGCAGATGGAACACTTTTAACACGTGTGTTGTGGATAATTTATTTTTTACAATATCAATCTAAAAGGTAATCCGATCAATATGTTTCATTGACAAAGTTAATTTCTGAATTCAGAGTATTTACACGTATACCTGACGTAGCTAGAGAATTAATTCCAAGTGGCTTTCCAATTGGGATCCCCAAACGGCCACCCAGCCAGCCCAATACTAAGTTGCGCGCTGGATTGAATCTCTTTGGCTCGGGCCTTCAGTTCATCAACATCCCAGTTTGCCCACAGGAACTTTCCCTTCAGGAAGCGTGCTTCGGGGCTTGCGAGCCAAAGGTTGAAGCTCCCTGGAAGAGACACTAAGTCAAAGTTAGCCTCATAATATTACATTTGGGAACTGATTTTACTTACCATGATCTTCAAATCCAACAGCATCAACACCTCCAGTTTCCCTATTCATAGCAGTGTCTACTATGCCTGGTTGGACATGGAAAACGCTCAACGCTGGATTTGCAAAGGCTAGAGAATCCCAAAGTCGAAACACTGCCAGCTTGGCGACGCTATATGAAACGAAGGCAGGACTGAAATTTACAAGCGCGGCAGACGAATTAATTTCGATGGCGACAGCATCCGTCGAAGAGTGTCGAAGGAATGCCTGCGCAATGAACAATGCTCCTTTGAGGTGTACCTGGACAGCGTCCAGAAACTTGTCACCATCCGCTTCTTGCACGGACTCACGGGGCCCAACAATTGCGGCGCTGTTAACTAGAACGTGTATTTTTTGGTCGCCAACAAACTTCTTAAAAGCTTCGTCCACTTCGCTCTTATTTGTGATGTCAGTGGCTGCCACGAAAACCTCGACGTTTGGAAACTTGTGCTCGATGGACGCCTTGGTGTCGAGAAGAGCCTGTTCCCGGCGGCCAAGGAGTGCGATTCGAGACGCGCCTGCTTCGGCGAAGTAGCGAGCGGTCTCTGCGCCGATGCCACTACCACCTCCTGTTACCAGAACGTTTTTGCCTTGGGCAGAAAGTTCGGGCCGGGTAGGTGACAAAGTGTGGTACGTGTTTGTGTGCCACATTGAGGTTGGGGATGGGAAAGGAGCCGCCATGTTGATTGAAGATGTATGGATTATTGAGAAAATATGATTGTTTGAGGAGATACATGATTTTGGGTGGAAAATACCAATCTTTATATAATGTTGAGCTTACAATTCCAACTCAGCGACAGGACTGTGCAATTTGTGAAGCTATCATGATTGATCATCATGATTGCAAATACCTGTGTTCAGTTTGGAAGAGACTTCTCATGCTGGACGCCCGAATCCAATGCCCCCAGAGGAAGAGGGATCTGTATTTTTGAAATTGCAGCATTCCTAGCGTTTTCAAAATGGTCCGCTCAACGGACTGTTCCGAATCGAGATATAGAGTGTGGGGGGATGTTTTCGCATTTACAAAATGTTCCGCCCGACACTACTCTCAATGGTGACGTTGGTGCTGACAAATGATTGCAACCGCAGCAAATTCAATAATTATAGGCATCCACTGCACAATTCCTATAATTTATTTACTTTGATCTAATTCGAAATGTCCGACGAAAATGCATTATCCGTTCTGAGGTGCGGGGAGTGCAATAAACCCTTTGATAAGCGTGAGTTGTACTTCCACCGGATATTACTATGTGACGCCAAGTTTCCATAACTGTATGTGCTGACAGCCTGACAGCGTCTACGCTAAAGAGACATGGGTATTACTGTCGGTCTCGGAGAGCGGCGGTTCCTACTACGCGGGCCAGATCTTGTATTTCCTGTGCGCGAGGGAAGGCACGTTGTGATACTAAACGGCCTGGGTGCTCGAGGTGCATAGCCAAAGCCGTCCAATGCCAATATCCAGCAAGCACACCTAGAAGTACGGGGCAAAAGATCCGGCATGGCGATAATGAACCAATTGCACGACGGACGACGGTGCATTCATTGGTGGCCGGTTCTCCTAGTGCCGAAAATAGTCAAGAAGCAAGCAATGATGGCGATATAATTCTCGACAGCGCTCCTGTCATATTAGATCCAGCACTCGCAGACATTGGAGGGGACTATCTTGATTGGGATAACCCGCAAATGAATTTCACCGACTTTTTGGATCCGCCGTTGAATGTTGGAACCATTCATTATCCTCCGTCAGGGTCGTCGCCTTCAGTTCACCACTGGATACCTTCATCTAGTCAAGCCCTCCACATCCCACAATCCACCCTTTCTTCTTATATGTCAATCCCAAAACAGCCAAGTACGACCATTCGATCGATTATCCGGCGACCAAAAGTGTCAACTGGAGCGCAAAGAACAGCAAATCTCATCCTCCACACCCTGAAATCTTACCCTCTGATGATGATGCGCCATGGGTCCCTTCCGCCCTTTATCCATCCGCGTCTGATATCTTCCGAAACCGAGAATGATAACATGGAGCCACTTACCAACTGTATCTGCTTGATGCACATGATTAGTAGTGGGGTTAGAGGCGGTCGAAAGTTATTCTGGAAAAACGTGCAGATGGAATGCGAGCGACTATGTGAAGAGGTACGTTAATAGAGTTCCCATGCTCCTAAAAGGGGGGCCATACGGAGCTAATAATATTAGAGCCTAAAGCTAAATAAATGGGAACTGCTTGCTGGTATGCAAGCCCTTTTCATTTATATTCTCACAAGGTTGGACGAAGGTGAAACAGAACACAATAACGTTGATTCTTTACTACTCTCAACTGTGACTGTAGGTTTATATCACACTCCTTCTTCCCACCTAAATTTTGTAATGACATAATGTAGGTACTATCTAAACGATTGACTCATAGTGATATTACAATCGACACGCGACAGGCTCTCCGCGGCGCCGGCTCCGAAATAATATGGGAAGATTGGCTTTTTGAGGAATCAAGACGGAGGTTGGACTCCTATCTACTCTATTATAATGGACAGAGTGTATGGTTACTAACTAAATCGAAGATTGTGCGTAGTATACCAAGTTGTGAACACGCTTATATATTTCGAGCCAGCAAAATTATGCAATTTGCAAAAAGACCTTATTTTGGCACCACTGCCGGCGAAGAAACATCTGTGGGAAGCGGGCGATGAATATATGTGGAAGATGGAAAGTGAGAGGGGCTCTTGGACTGAGACTGACTTTGGATTGGCTACAAGCGGTGAGCTTGTGAAAATAGACGAGGGTCAGATATATTGTAGTGATAAGGCGCTGCCAAATGGGCTCTCGGGTGCTCCGTTGAGAAGCACTGCAAATTGGGAGGAGTGGTGCTCGGGAATGGATGGGCTAGGGGGCCTTATCATGCTTACAGCTTCTTTGATAATGTAGCAAACAACAAAGGCCCCTTGGAACAGACGAAATAGACACAATGGACGGCATAGTGGAAGTATAGGAACATAAGACTAGTGATGCGCCATAGTTATTATTTTTAGGGTGCAAAGAGGCATGTAATTCTATTGACCCTACTTATGCTTTGGTCTATTGCACATCTTCACCAAGACTCTCGTAAAGGGCGCGGAAAGCTGATGTCGCTGTTTCGAGAAGCTCCTGTGGGTTTCCAGTTTCAACAATCCGACCTTTCTCAAGCAACATGATCCGATCGAAGTCAAGCACGGTATGCAACTTGTGTGCAATAGCAATTATAGTGCGACCCTCAAACTCGTTACGTAGTGCCCGTTGTATGAGTTCGTCTGTTTCGGAATCCATGCTGCTTGTTGCCTCGTCGATAATAAGGATCTGCCCTGGCTTGATAATAGCACGAGCGAGACAAAATAGCTGTCGTTGTCCATGGGACAATTTCTCCTCTTCCACATCGCCATCAAGTCCATCGCGTGACTCAAAGTAGTCCCACATACTTACGGCGCGAAGCACCTCAATAATACGTTCATCGCTAGCAGTTTCAAGGGGGTCGATATTTTCGCGCACGCTAGCGTGTAGGAAGAAAGTTTCCTGCGATATTGTATTCAACCGGCTTCGCACTTCTTGTCGCGGAATCTTGCTGATGTCGACATCGTCAATGGTAATGGAACCAGAGTCAATCTCCAACATACGAAGTATAGTAGAGATGAGAGACGACTTGCCGCTAATTCTTCTTGAGTATAAACTCTTCGACTGTTGACTATATCAGACACTCACCTTCCTGTTCGCCCACATATAGCTATCTTCTCACCAGGTTGAATTGAGAAGCTGATTTCTTTCAAAACTGGTCCAAGCGAGACCTCGTACGAGGCCGAAATATCCTTGAACACAATGCCACCTCGTTCTGGCCAGTCTTCCGGCACGGTGCCCACCTCGTCTTCTTGGTTCTCATTCTCGACATTCAAAATAAACGACCGGATTCTGTTTATTGCCCCAAGCGCTGTCTCAACCTGAGTCCACGCGGTTACCAGACCCTGAAGTGTCGAGCTGAAGATCACGATATTGAAGAGCGCAACCCCCAGGAATCCAGTCGACCCACCCTCAAGATTGGTGGCCAGTGCAACAACTAGGGTGGCAACGCCCGCATTTAAAAGGTCCAAAACCAGAGTCAGCCATCTTTGGATGCACCACAACAGATAGTATGGCTTCTGCGATCTGTTTAGATTTTTGTAGTTCTGCTCCGTATATTCCTCAGACCACCCGTACGCCCGAATGCAAGCCACGCCGTTCACGGTTTCTAAGAACTGGGAGAAAAGAGGTGCTTTTTCCTCAATATCTAGCAGCCGTAGTTGCCTCGAAGTTCGTAGATAATAAACCTGTATCAAACCGAGCGCTACGATGCAGAGCGGGAGAACTGCTATAACGTAACCTGAACCAATAAATACGAAGACTGCAGAAACGATAACCGATAAAAATTGAGAAACGGTTTCATCAATGGATTGGGGAAGATCGCTATCGATCAATTCTAGGTCTTGACTAAACCTTTTTCGTTTCAATATTAGCCCAATGTCAAAAACAGAACTCAACACACAAACCTATTTAGCGTGGTTCCGGCATCGGTTGATGTGAGAAAAGATGTTCGGGCCCTATGAATTGTCAATTCAAGAAACCCCACAAATCAAATGGGCTGCGCGCACTGCATAGTTGTACTCAACAAGAGCTCATGGAACCTTATTCCCGTCTTTGGCAGTACTACCATGTTAAACATCCTCCGATAATGTCAGCATCACAGTGATGTGAATATGAGAGATATGGATTACTGACGTATCCGCTAGAGCGCAACCAAGAATTGTAACAACCGCGAGGGCGCCAAACACACCAAGCCAATACCCAACACGTTCGTTCGGGTGGTCCGCGTTGGCGTTAACCCACCATTGCAACCAGACAGCTAAGGCGTATTAGCAAATTGGCTTCTTTGTTCTGAATCCTTTCGCAACATACAAGGGAAGGTCATGCCGAATACGAACGTGACACAGCCCAAGAGATAGGCTGCAATAGTCCACCATCCTGCGATGTCTGCGTAATACGTATAAATCTGAATATCTCCGGTGTCATGACCTGCTCTGAGAAGCTCGAGTTCCTTCAGGGCATCTTGAGCCTCATCTGGAATTTCTGGCTCTGGACGAGGCGTTGTTGCAGCAGGTTGGCTCATAACTTTTTCGAGGACAACTCCACCATCCACTGACAAGGTATCAACAGGGCCCTTTCGAACAATTTCGCCGTCATCGAGGAATATGAAGTGGTTGGCAAAGCTCAAATGGTGTGCTTTCATAAGTCAATATGTTGTACATTAGTGTTAAAGTGGAAGGGATACCTGAATTTGTGGCTAGAATAACTGTCGAGTTTAATTTCTCCAGAAGGCCATTTGGTCCAAACACGGCGTCTGTAATATGCCTCTCAGTGGCGCGATCCAGTCCTGTAAGCACATCGTCCAGTATCATAACAGGATTTTTTGAATAAAGCGCACGAGCAAAAGACTATGCACTCTTAGTTGAGAAGCTTGCTGCACAAGTTATGAATACTCACCAATCGCATTTTCTGTCCACCACTAAGCCCGGACCCTTGTGCACCGGTTGCAGTTTGGTCTCCATTTGCCAGCTCCGAAAAATCTTCCAAGAGTGCGCAGGCAGACACAACAGTGTTATACCACTTTTCATCCCACACCGACATGCCCACTATATTGCTTCGGACGGTGCCCCAGGTAGACCATGGCGATTGAGGGCAGTACGCTGCTCTGGTAAACCCGGTTGCAACTGAGCCCGTGGCATATGGCATTTCTCCAAGCAGCAGCTTGAGCAATGTCGACTTTCCAGAACCGACGGGACCAAATATCATGGTGATCTGGCCTCGGGGGATTTCAAATGACAAGTTCTGCAAAACAGGGTCATCTTCTGCAATGTAGCTAGCCGATGCATCTTCAACAATGACCTCCAATTCTAGGCCTACCAAATTAGATCTTGGGGAACCCTCAGCGGTTATATTCTCATCATATCTTTGATAGCGTGAAATCCTTGATCTCGAAGATGGCCGTACGTCTTCCAGGGAAGTCCTGTAATCAGCTCGTTCTTCTGTTAGTAGGTATTCTTGAACACGACGGAATGAGTTGATAACAGTTTGGATGTGCTCAAAGCCATCAATAACGACTACCATTGGCCCATCCAGCAATTCGAAGGCGCTCAGTGCGGCAAACGCGATTCCTTCTGTCAATCCCAATGAGTCATTCGTTTTGTCAAGGAGGATGTATGTGGCAAAACCCAACACTGGAGCCAAAGCGGTAGATGCAAAAGCTAGTGTCCAGGTATTAGTAATATCCTATGGCTAGATTATTATGTTCATTTTCTTGCTGGATACTCAGAAATACTTACATACGACTGCTGAAAAAATGACCAAGACACGATGCCGGAGAGATGCGTGAATCTCAGCCAATCTAAGGTTTCCGACTCGAGATGATACGATGTCCGTCAATCCCGTCAATTTTATAGCCTTCATCGCGCCAAGCACTTTCGCAGTCGCTGCCAGGCGATCTTCTATCGCTTCTAGCCATGGGATTTGAGCATTGCCAGCTGCCTTTGCAAGGGGAAGTCCTATCAATAAACAAACTGAGGGCCGATTAGTGAATTGAGATGCTATAGAGAACATAATAGATAATAATAAAAGAAAGCATTGTTATACCAATTATCCACACGAGTGGGGGGACTACAGCCACCCCAAGAAGCTTGTATAATAGGAAGATTGCAAGGGCGCCGTCAATAAAGGATGCATAAACTTCATGGACCAGAGTCATGCTGGATCCAATGCGATCAATGTCTGCACTCATTAATGTGATCGCCTCTGCATTTTCGGCGGCTGACGAGTTGACGCGAAGAGTCTTGTCAAATACGAGAGCAATAATACTCCCACGGAACAGAGTGAGAAGTCGGTATGTCTTGTGCTGGTAGACTGAAAACGACAACTAGAAATACCAGAGTTAGCTTAGTATGTATGGTACACAGAGTAGTGACTGACAGAGATCCCAATATATACGATTGCATAGGCCGCAACGAGGGCATAGGCGATATTCTGCGAATTAGGACCTCTAGTTTCTGCAGTAAAGTCGAGAACTCGCTGAACAAGAAACGGCTGTGAGAAGCTAAAGCCACTGTAAGCAAGTCGTGGAATAATACCAGCCCCAAGGCTCCATTTGTAATGGGCCAAAAATGTCCACAGAAGAGCGTTGTCGCTTGATTTGTCGACTGTCGAAATAGGTAAGTGGTGAGGTAACTGAAAGACGTGGAAGACGGCTTACCTTCTTCCCAGCGTTTGACAAGTGCCGATGGCTTAGATGCTTCAAGTAGGTCACTATCAAGTGGGGTAAGCACATCCACTGTCAGTAGTGTTCGGAAGCCCTGGAGAAATAAATGATTCAACCAAATAAAGAGAGCCCTGTTGATGGCTCCACTTGTTTCTTCCGGGGATGCATCCTGCCACTTAGACCTGAGAAAGCGACGTTTCTCAGAGACTTCCAGAACAAAGATCAGAATCTTGACAGAAAACCCGGCGAGGAAGAGGCGTGCAACGACTTCATTTCCTGAGATAAAGAACAGTGTGCGGACACGCGCAGCGTCAAGTAGGATTGATGTTCCGAGATAAACAGACAGCAGTGTCGATGGACGCACTGAGCGCGTATGCTCTAGATATGATACGGACAACAAAATTCCATAGACGACTATTGTTGACGCATGGCACCAAAGGGTGAGGCGAGTCGTTGGAATCCCATCTATAGTCGTCACTGCCAATACCACAGCTTGGATAAAGACGTATGTAGCAAATAAAATCTATTCTTTGTTGTCAGCCAAAGACATTGCAAAGCATGCTTCAATATTGTGAAAACCAAAGTAATATAGAGAATCGTACCATTTTTAGTGGGAGAAGCCATAATGACCGAACCTTTGATGTCTGGTGGCGTAGAACCCGAATTCGAAGCAGAGCCCATATACCTAACAGACAAGTCAGCAAACAACGGTCATAGCTGCTTTTGGCAGCGACAACTAACTAGCAATCCCCAGCGGGAGGATGGTCAAGATAGCCTCCTCGAAGAGGAGCGTGAAGTCAAAGCCCCCAAGGCAGGGGCCAGCCACTATTGGGCCGAAAGTGTCCTCGACGGCGATTGAACAAGGCGTTCTAGAAGCCGGCATAATGGAGATCATGATGGTGAATGGGAAGCATGCCACTCTTCCAAGTTAAACCTACAACGGCAGGTAGAACGAAGGTGATCGTAACTAGATCAAATGCGTGCAAAAACCAAATGATACGCGAACTAAAATATACCGAGGGGATCGTTAGACGAGCCTCAGGCGATGTGTAGTTAAATGTGCAATAGATCATATTTTTCGACAGCCACGGCATGTTTTGATGTGGGACAATTACTTTACAATGTTAATATTTCTCCCGAGAGAGATGAGGTCCGTTCATATTGTACAACAGGGCCTCGATCTGTGTGAGTATGAAGCGTGTGATCCGCCAATATTTCCACAACCAGCTGCATCCCGTTTCTTCAATCACGTAAAGAGATCACGTCAAGAGCGCATAAAGCAGTGTAAAGAGAGCTGTTGTACAGATGAAAATGGACTATGCAGTCATTGAGAGCGTTTATTAGGTTATATTTGTCATAAGTTATAGCATGAAGCATGAGACCCCAAACAAGTGATATATCGTGGTAAATCTTCCATTGCTGGTGCCGGGCTCTCCGTGTGTTCCCTATACGAATGTCTCCTGGTTATTCATTATAAAACTATTTACAAGAAACAAGAAACTGCTGTGAAAGAAGTAGGCAGTATGAGATATCAACCCCTCTATGGTAATGGCGTGCAGGAAGTCGACCAAAAACCAAAGAGGGCGGAGATACACAAAAAGCTTGCCTTTGATGACATCTGGGCTGCAAATTTAGCTGTACCAGAGCCCATTGAAGCATGCGTACACAGCCTGATCAAGCGGGTTGTTTGGGAATTCTCCTCCTCTCCAGCCATCCGCTCATGGGATGGCGACTTGACATACCAACAACTCGACCAGGTATCCACAAAGTTGGCTCACCAACTGATCGGCGTGGGCGTGAAGCCACGGACAAATATTGCTTTATGTTTTGAGAAAACATGGCTGACGCCAGTGGTCATTGTGGCCTTAATGAAGGCCGGGGCTGCCTCAATCGCCTTGGATATAAGCCAACCACGGGAGCGGCTTCGAGCCATCACAGCCCAGATTTCCCCTTCCTTCATACTCTCATCATCAGCAAACGAGGAGCTGGCAAGGGAGCTCGGAATGGCTGAGGTGGTGGTGGTGGATAGGAAGATGCTCTCCGAAGAGACGATAATAGCTCGCTCACTACCGACAGTGAGTCCCTCGGACGACCTCTGCGTGTTCTTAAGCCCCGACGGAAGTGCTGGAGTGGTTGTCACCCACCGAGAGTTCAGCAGCACAATCACTTACCAGCAAGAAACCCTTGGACTCAACCACAATTCCCGAGTCGTTGACTTGGAGTCGCACGCCAGCCGGGTAGGGTGGTATAGTTTGCTCGTACTGACGTGCGGTGGATGTCTCTGCATTCCTTCTCTGAGCGGACTTAGAGACAACATAGAAAGTTCCATCATCGCATTGCAAGCAGACTCTGTACTCCTTTCCCCGGACGTTGGGCGGACAACGCCGGAATATGCGAAGATTTCGCATTTGGTCCGGCCGAGACATGTTGCCGATGTGGTTCCACCGTCAGACGCAACCCTGAAGCATCAGTTTGGTAAGGGCAGTTTCTTTCACAACCTTCATCACCTAATCTGATGTCATCTTCATTACTGACGGTTCTGGCTCTTTTTTAGGAACGGATGATGGAGACACAGTAAATGTACACACGGTAAATGTACACACCTCAAAAAGTTACACGGAAAATCAATACACAGAAAATGGTAACACGGAAAACGGTCACACGGAAAACGGATACACACAAAACGGTCACACGGAAAACGGATACACAGAAAATGGTCACACGGAATTTGTCCACACAGAAGACGGGTATACACCATATGAAAGCACGAGAAATGGGTATTCAACAAATGATCACGAGAAAAAGAAAGGCGAAACTTACATCGAAGAGGGACCTGATGCGGTGTTGACCGTGAAACCACAACTAAATCAGGGGTTAGAACGTGACAACAACGGAGGCTGTCTGCCGCACAAACAAGATGAGCCACCAACCTTTGTCCATGCCAAGGAGCAGGTCGAGATTTATGGAAACCATGTCGAGATTCACCAAGATCCGATCGGATCCGTCCGCACAACCCAAGACAGGACCGAGCTCAGCCATGCTGACTCTTACAAACCTGCGATCACCCCTTTTTCATTGCTGGGTTTGCGTTCATCCGATGATCGAGAACAAGTATGCTCTCATGCTGCCTGGCTTTGCCATATCCAGGCGTCTCAGGTGCTTGATATCATGCCCTGTACGCCATTGCAACAAGGACTTCTGGCTCTTACAGCTCAGCAGCCTGGGACATATGTGGCGAATTATGTATTTGAAGTCGGGCAAGACATAGACACCAAGACTCTTTGCGGGGCCTGGGATCGGGTTGTAGCTGCAAACGCAATCCTACGAACGCGAATTGTCAGCCTTCCAGGCACCGGCGTCGTCCAGGTTGTCATAGACGAGGGAGTATCGTGGACAATTAGCACTGAGCTCGATAGTATTCAGGGGGATCAGACAAGCAATGGACCCACTATAGGTCTAGGTACTCCCCTGACGAAATTCGCTATAATAGAAAAAGCTGCAGGCAGGCCGAGCCAATTCATATGGGAGATTCATCACTCCTTGTATGATGGATTCTCCATGCCACTTCTGATGAGAGAGGCTGAACTTGCCTACTTCAATAAACCCAGTCAAGGTCTGCAGCCAATGACGGCGTTTATAAAATATATCTTAGAACAGGACAAAGCAGTTGCGAAGATTTTCTGGCAAAAAATGTTTGCAGGTACACAAGGCTCGCACTTTCCTCCTCCAAAAGCAGTCCATCATCCGCGATTGGAGCGCCAGATTAGTTTGAGAATCCCTGGTCTTGACTGGGGACACAGTGACTTCACACCTGCGACGCTAATCCGAGCCGCATGGTCTGTGATTGCTGCAAATGGCGCTGGCGGAGATGAGGCACTTTTTGGTGCGACTGTTACAGGCCGCCAGGCACCTGTACCTGGCATCGAGCTTATGGCAGGGCCAACGATTGCCACTGTCCCAATAAGAGTCGTACTGGACCGAGACGCAACCATAAACCAACTACTTGGCTCGGTGCAGTGTCAGGCAGTGGATATGATTGCGTTTGAGCAAACCGGCTTACAGAATATCGCACAATTCAACGATGAAACTGCTTTGGGTTCTAACTTTCAGACTCTCCTTGTAATTCAGCCAGCCGACCAAGGCGAAGGCGAAGGTGATCCTGGCAGGCCATTCCTGGACGAGCCTGTTGGTGACTATAATAAAACACAGGGTCGAGATTTTAGCACTTACTCTATCATTATCGAATTCCAGTTGGAGTTAGATGGGGTCAATTTATGTATTGACTTTGATTCGAGCGTGATAGGACAGCAGCAGATAGAGAATATTGCCCAAAGCTTCAAATATACGATCATTCAGCTATCTGATGGTAGCCAAGGCAACCAGACGCTCAGGGGGCTTCATGATGATCAGTGGAGCCTTAACCGTATATGGACGTGGAATGCGGTGGTACCAAAACCGATAGAGGCGTGCATACACGACTTGGTCTCGGAAAAAGTTCGCGAGAACCCGTCTGCTCTAGCAGTTAACGCGTGGGACGGCAACCTGACTTACAGGGAGCTAGAAGATCTATCGACGAACCTAGCCTATCACCTATCAGAAGAAGGGGTATCGGGGACCATAGTCCCGCTTCTCTTCGAGAAATCGATGTTCATGCCCGTTGCGGCGCTCGCTGTTATGAAAGCCGGCGGCGCATGTATGGCAATGGACATTAAACAGCCACTGGAAAGACTGTCTGCCATAGCTGCGCAGGTAAATTCGGCGGTCATTCTATCATCGCGGATGAATGAATCTCTAGCTATCCAGATCAGTGCTGGTATTAAAGAGGTGGTAGTCGTCGGGGCCAATCAGTCACACCCAGCGCCCTTTAGTTTGCCGCCCGTCAGTCCGTCGGGTATTCTTTACGTCGTTCTCACCTCGGGCACGACTGGAACGCCGAAGGGTGTTCTTATCACCCACAGAAACTTCTGCAGCGCTATCACCTATCAACAAAAGATCTTAGGGTGCTCTAATACTTCCCGCGTGCTTGATCTTGCGTCGTATGCTTTCGACGTAGCCTGGTCTAATATATTGCACACTCTCACCGCTGGCGGAACACTTTGCATCCCAATGCAAAGTGAACTCGGAAATAATTTACCTCGTTGTCTAGAGAAATATAACATTACATACGCAGACATGACCCCCTCCGTAGCACGAATTGTTAGCCGGGCAGCACTCTCAAAGCTCAATACACTTATTTTAGGTGGCGAGACAGTTCTTCCTAGCGATGCGTACTTAGCTGGCGAAAATACAAAGGTTTTTAATGCATATGGCCCATCCGAATGCACTCCAACCGCAACATTAGGAGACGCGACAGCGGATTGTATTGGTCATGGAGCTGGGGTTTGTATATGGGTCGTTGAACCTGACAACCCAGAGTCGTTGGCGCCCATTGGATCTATTGGCGAGTTATATTTGGAAGGGCCGTTGGTCGGCGAGGGATATCTTAATGACCCCGGGAAAACAGCTGCTGCTTTTGTTGAAGACCCAGCGTGGCTACTCCGTGGCGTTCCCGGACGACTTGACCAGACCGGCCGTCACGGACGGCTTTATCGCACGGGTGACTTAGTAAAATATAAGGAAAATGGATCACTTGTCATTCTTGGTCGAAAAGATACACAAGTAAAAATTAGGGGTCAGCGTGTCGAGCTTGGAGAGGTTGAACAGCACGTCCTCGATGCGGTACTCCCTCTTCTTTTAGTCGAGGGTAGTAATGAGGACGATATCCAGGTTATTGCAGAGACTATTCAGCCAGAGGGGGCTAATAATGCAATACTCCTAGCGTTTATCAGCCTTGGAAATGCAGAGGAAAGGAATATGACGGAGGAGTCGCATTCTACTGCCATCCGACAGGTAACAGATGCGCTCACGGATCGCCTAATGGAGATGGTACCAATATACATGGTGCCCACAGCATTTGTTCCAATCTACAAGCTACCTATTATGACTTCAGGTAAGACAGATCGACGGCAGCTTCGAGCTGTTGGAGAATCTGTATACTTGCAGTACATAAAGGATTCCAGCATGAATGACCCAGCGGAATCACTGAGTGATCTAGAAACCATCCTCCAACAAGTATGGATGTCTGTTCTTGGCGTATCATCTCAGGAGGCTTCTGTCAATAAACCATTCACGAGGTTAGGAGGCGATTCAATTTCAGCCATGCAGGCCGTATCCCAAGGTCGGCTTCACAATATCACTTTCACGGTTGGCGATCTCCTTAAAGCGAAGACTATTCGAAATCTGGCAGCTTTGTGTCGAGTTGTCTCGCAATATGATCTTGAAGATGAGCAAGAGGATGAGACTGACGGGGAGTCGTTTGAGATTTCGCCAATTCAGCAAATGTTCTTCGATGCCTACCCCAATGGCCTTAACCACTTCAATCAGAGCTTTATCCTAGAGCTCCAAAGACCAGTAGAAACAATTGCTCTCAAGAGCGCATTGGAAACACTTATTAGACGCCACCCACTGCTTCGTGCACGATATAGTAAAAGCTCTGATAGCGGCCGTTGGACGCAAGTTATACCAAAGGAGGCTGATGCGCAATCATTTGCTTTTGTTGAGCACTTTGTAGCTCACCATGACGAGATTGATAAACCCGGACAATTGCGACAGGAATCCTTCGATATCGAACGGGGCCCTCTATTTGCCATCGACCTTTTCAATATTCCGGATAACAACCAAATAATCATACTCTCAGCCCACCATCTAGTCATTGACCTAGTATCGTGGCGCATAATATGGAATGACATCGAGGAATATATCACACATGGAACGCTTCTTTCTCAGCCAACAACCTCATTCCGAACCTGGTGTAGACGCCAGGCAAATATAGGCCGCAATTTGTCGCCACTAGCAGTGCTTCCGTATCCAATTCCGAAGCCACAACTTGAGTTTTGGGGGTTACCGCTATCCGAAAACACGTATGATAATGTGGAAATGCACTCTAAGTTATTTGATCTTGATGTCTCGGATGGACTTTTTGGCGGCAGTAATACGAGCCTCAAAACCGAGCCTGTCGATATCATCATCGGTTCGATGCTTTACTCGTTCCTCCAAACCTTTCCCGAGCGTGATCCTCCCGTTTTGTGGATTGAGGGCCACGGAAGAGACCAGAGTGATGACTTACCTTTCGATGTGTCAAGCACGGTCGGGTGGTTTACTACCATCTATCCACTTTTGGTGCGTCTTGGACGCGATAGCTCTGTAATCGATGCCATACGTATTGCCAAAGACAACCGGCAAAAGATTCCAGGTAAAGGGCAGCCTTATTTTGCATGCCGATACCATAGCGAATCGGGTCGCGAGGTGTTCCATGGTCATGATGTTGTGGAGTTGCTCTTCAACTACACGGGCAGATACCAACAACTCGAAGCCGAAGATGGCCTGTTTGGGGTTCCTGGCTATTTATTCAAGGCAGACACTGGTATTTCAGAAATCTCGAAATTAGCAACTCGACCTTCCATGATTGAAATCGATGCCAATGTGGATGAAGGCATGTTTCTGATTTCATTCAACGTTCACAGAAAGCTCAAACATCAGGATCGAATTCACGAGTGGATCGAAACATTTTCCGACACCTTGAGATCCGTAACCGAAGATCTGATGCGTTCTGCCCAGAGCTTTACTCTGGCCGATCTCCCTCTCCTTTCCCTATCATACAGCGGGTTAGACACACTGTTGACAGAACAGCTCCCAAGTATGGGGATTAGGACGGATGCTGTTGCGGACATATATCCATGCTCGCCGCTACAGGAAGGTGTCTTGTTAAGCTCCCAGAAAGAAATATCCACTTATGCGACCTTTTCCGTATGGGAGTGCGTGCCTACTGACACTACCTCTGCCGTCTCCCCTTCACGACTGGAAGCGGCTTGGAGGACGGTTGTAAGCCGGCATACCATTTTACAATCGGTATTCAGTCTTCATCCTGAGGATAATGCGTTCATCCAAATTGTCATTCCAGAGTCGCACATTCGCGTGACACAAATGACGGTAGACGATAACCCATCAGAAGCCTTGAACCGTCTTGAAAAGCCAAAATTCGCCGCTAACGAGCCTGAACATGCTTTCACGATCTGTCAATCGCAATCAGGCGAAGTGTCCTGCAGACTAGATGCCAATCACACCCTTGTCGACGCGGCTAGCATGTCGATTATTGTTGGTGATTTCATCGCCATATATGATAACTATGTCTTGCCGCCAGCCCCGGCCTTCCGTGACATGATACGATACATAAGCAGCACCCCAAGTACCCAGAGGATTGCATCTTGGACAAAGCTATTGAATGGTGTTGAGCCCTGTGAATTTCCGGTTCTTCAAGCTCCTCCAGAATCGGAAGGTGAGGGTCACTCTATCCCCATCCCCGTAGATGTAACTTTTGGTATTGCAGGCTTTTGCAAAACGCTGGGCATTACACGGTCTGTCTTCCTTCAGGTCGCATGGGCCATGACCCTGTCGCAATTTACTGGGAAATTCGAGGCCTGTTTCGGCTATCTCGCTTCTGGGAGAGATTCAGCAGTGGATTCTGTTGAGACCATGGTTGGTCCTCTTGCTAATCTACTCATCGGTCGCGTTGACTTGCGGGCACCGGCGAGACGGGTCCTAGAAAGAACCATGGGGAAATCCATAGAGCATCTGAATATTCAACACACCTCCTTAGCCGAAATTCAACATCAGCTCGGCCTCTCTGGGCGAAGGTTGTTTAATACTTCCCTGTCTATACATGCTTCCAACAAAGCCAAGGCGGGTCCTGAGAGGCAAAAGGGCCTTTCATTCAAGTCCCACAACGGCGAAGATTCACACGAGGTACGAAATGTGCTTTTGTACGTTTATAAGCCTCTGGCAGACTAACATATATAGTATGACTTGACCCTCCACGCCAGTATTGAAGAAGATGTCATAAAAAGTGCGATTGAATTCCGAGCGCCATATGTCAGCCTGAATGCGGCACAAGAAACAGCCGCTATCTTTATCAAGGCAATCCAATACCTCTTGAATATCAACATTGACGACACAAGTTTTCCTAACTCGGAGCAGTCCCTTGTCAGTAGCTTTTTCAAACATAACGTCGGCACAGAGGAACAATTGACAAGGACGTTCTGGCAGACTCACTTTGATAATATCCAAGGGTCTCATTTTCCACCAATGAAGACGGCCACATACAGATCCTGGCCTGATAGGGAAATAAGGCAAAGTGCACAAAGTCTAAATTGGGCAAACCGCTGTGGGTTTGAGGTATCCACAATATTAAGGGCTTCATGGTCAATATTGGCAACCCGAATTCTTGGCTCCAATGAGGCCCTTTTCGGAGTGACCGACAAGGACGATAAGATAGTTGTACCGATCCGAATACTGTTGAAACCCGATGATAGTGTTGCCGAGTTTCTCCAAGAAGTTCAGCGTCAAGCTTATGAGATTGCTCCATTTGAGAGGACTGGTCTTCGAAGAATCCGCTTAATGAGTGACGAAGCGTCCTTAGGCTGCGATATCCAGATGCTCCTGCACGTGGTTGATCACTCGTCCAGAGTGGCAGGGCACCAGCCTGGACCTATCGGCGAGACAAAAGACAGCTGGCAGGATAGTCTTGATTCCTGTGCTTTCATAATCGAGACTCAGGTGCAAGAAAACAGGACGGACATGTGCATTAAATTCGACTCCAGCGTTATTGGGGAGCTACAAGTCACTCGAATCATCAACCAGTTCGAGCACATTCTTCACCAGTTGCTCAGCTTGGACATGCGAGAGCATAAGATCCGGACCTTGGCTGTGGCTAGTCCTCGTGACGTCTGTGATATATGGACCTGGAATGCCACAGTGCCGGCGCCGGTTAAGGCATGTGTTCATCATTGGATTATCCAGCGAGCTCGTGAGCAGCCTTTGGCTCCGGCCATTAGTGCATGGGATGGCGATTTAACATACGGACAATTACTCGAATTATCAACAAACTTATCTTATGAACTCGTTAAGATGGGCGTGGGACACGGCACCATTGTGCCTCTTTGCTTTGAGAAATCGATGTGGATGCCAGTGGCCGCGCTTGCTGTGATACAGGCTGGTGCTGCGGCAGTCGCATTGGATCCTACATCCCAGCCGGAGGAGCGAATGCGCACCATTACCACGCATGTCAAAGCAACGGTCATTTTATCGTCGGTTGAAAATAGCGAACTGGCCCGCCGCCTAGGAATAAACGAAGTAGTGGTCGTGGGACGAGATCAGCTTTCAAATCAAACCAACTCCCAAAGCGACGAAACTCATGGGCCTCTGCCTGAGCGATATCTCGGATTGCCAAGTGTTGACCCGTCCCAGTTACTATGTGTTATATTTACTTCGGGTAGCACCGGGGTCCCGAAGGGCGTCAAGCTCCTGCACAAGAACTACTCAAGTGCCATTGCCTATCAACGGGATACACTGGGGTATATTAAGGGCGCTCGTGTCTTGGATTTTTCTTCGTACGCTTTTGATGTTGTTTGGGCTAACCTACTAAATACACTGACAGCAGGTGAGTTTTTGCTTATTATTTCGGCCCAAACTGAAGTTATGAAAAACATTTATACTCACTGATAATTCCAGGGGGGTGCCTTTGTATTCCATCCTCGGATGAACGGCAGGAAAACTTGTCCGAGTGTTTTGTCAAGTACAATATCACAATGGTAGACCTACCACCTTCGTTGGCCCGTCACACAACCGGCCTCTCCAACTTAAATACCCTTGTGTTGGGGGGCGAAGCAGTCCTCCCCACCGACGCATACTTAGCTGGTGACAAGACCCGAGTTGTAAATGCTTATGGCCCCGCAGAGTGTACTCCATCTGCAGCAATATTGGACCTGTCAGCGGCCAGTGAGGTTGGACTCGGCCGTGGAGTTGGAGTTTGTACATGGGTTGTTGAACCAGATAACCCGGATATCTTGGCATCAATTGGGACGGTGGGCGAGCTCTGGATCGAGGGTCCCACAGTTGGTGACGGGTATCTCGATGACCCTCTCAGGACTGCTGTGTCCTTTGTCCAAGACCCGGCATGGCTTCTGCGTGGCGTTCCCGGGGGTCGTCCCGGACGCCGTGGTCGAGTTTACCGAACCGGAGACCTTGTGCGGTATAGAGATGACGGAAGCTTACTCTTTATTGGACGCAAAGATACACAGGTCAAGATTCGTGGTCAGCGAGTTGAGTTAGAGGAGGTGGAGCATCATTTGCGACAAGTCCTGGCTAGCAAAGCGGCTGACATTCAGGTTTTCGCTGAGCCCATCCAACCACGCGGAACTGAGAACAAAATGCTCGCAGCTTTTGTTTCTGTAGATGGCGCTGGCGAAGAACATGATTCCAAGGTCAAACGAGTATCGATCGGGGTTAATGACCATCTATCAGAGGTGCTACCTTTGTTCATGATTCCAACGGTTTATATTCCTCTCCAAAACATTCCCAGGTCTATTACGGGGAAGGTAGACCGAAGACAACTTCGCGAGATTGGGTCATCGCTAACTGCAAAGGATATTGCAATGTTGTGTCGATTAGACGGTGAGCGGCGGGCTCCAGAAACAGACATGGAGCGGCTCATCCAAAGGCTTTGGGCAGAAGTCCTCCAAATTGAGCTTGACAGCATCAGCATCGATGACAGCTTCATCCGTATGGGCGGTGATTCTATTGGGGCAATACGTCTCGTCAGCGTAGCACGCCAGAACGGTATTTCCCTAACGATTCGAGACGTCTTCCAGAATCCAATTCTCCGTGACCTCGCAACAGTATGCGCCCAAGTGCCTGCTGGATCGGCCATTGGCAAATAGGACTACCCTCGCCATAGGGTAGTTTCTCTCGGTGTGCTTCATAATTTCAATTCTATCGAGGCATGGAGTGAGTTGGTCCTGATGAGTTGACTATAGCGGTAACTCGTCGCAAACTTGATAAACATCGGCTTGACGGCTAGATGAGGTGGTCCCTTACACAAGGGCGGCAGGAGCCGAGCAGTTGGATATCCCGGTTATGGTATTGAAGCAAAAGAATTAAAATGTATAGCCATAGTTAATTTAGTCATCTGGTACCCATTACTCTTTGGTAACTGCAAATCTTTGTTGTTGTTGTTGTTGTTGTGTTGTCGTGTTGTTGTATTAAAGACCCCCACCCAATAAGACAAGTGGTCCCTGCCACGTGGTTATCTAATCTATGAATCTGATCGGATCTTTCTGGGCATAACCACCACCAGTAATGCCAGAGCATACAACATTCCAGATGATGCCTAATGAATGATAATAACGCATTTTTCTTTCTTGTCGTTCAAAGTCTTAAGTTTTAATAATACTGAGATTAATCTACCAAGCAATCAGAATAGCGTCTGATGGCCGCCCTAACACTAACATAAGGCGTCATTATGAGGAAAATTGCGTTTACTCCTGGGACTCGGTCGTTGTCATATTTATTTAATGACCTTACCGACGTCTTTAAATTTCGTGGTAATTATCAGTAACATGGCTTCTATACTCGCTGAGAAACCGTGGTCAGCTGACGCTGCAACAGCATCCGAGAAGCTGCCTGTGTCTAGAAGTGAGAAACTCAGCTGGACGGACATTTCTGCGGCCAAGAAAGAGGAGGTGAACGCCAGGATTCCTTCAGAATGGCTGATCCCGGAAGACCTGTTGCCACCAACATCACAAACCAAGGTCGATGATTTTGTCGCTACTTCTGGGTTTTTTACAGAGGGAGAAATTAAAATCACGGCATCGAGTGCAACCGATATCACGGCAAATATTGTTGCTGGAACTTGGACTGCAGAAGAGGTCACCAAAGCCTTTTGCAAGTCTGCTGCGGTATCACATCAACTGGTATGTTCGGTTTGTGTTGATCCCACAGAATTTATAGGGGTTAATATTCTCCCCATAGGTGAACAGCTTGACGTACACGCAATTTCCAGAAGCCATTACGGCTGCAAAGGAATTAGATGAAGAATTCTCGAAGACGGGAAAGCCAAGGGGCCCACTTCATGGCGTTCCTGTCTCGCTGAAAGACAATATCAACATCAAGGGCGCACCAAGTACCATTGGGTTTGTAGCATACGCGAATGAGAAAGAGGAAAAGAACAGCTACTTGGTGGATCTACTTGTCGAGCTTGGAGCTATTATCTATGTGAAAACAAATGTTCCGACGGCAATGATGATGGCGGAGACAGTAAATAATATTTTCGGAACGTAAGATCATACTCTTCCAAAATATAGGTGCGCCCATTGACCTTTTACAGAACCACAAATCCTCTCAATCGCAAACTTACCCCAGGCGGCTCCTCAGGCGGCGAATCTGCTCTCATCGCTTCGTACGGAAGCCCGCTCGGAGTTGGCACCGACATTGGCGGTTCACTCCGTCTTCCTGCCTCGACTACTGGTCTCTTTACGGTCCGATTTTCCGGCAACCGGCTTCCAAACTTTGATTTCAAAGCCGGCATGCCAGGGCAGGAAGCTATCGTTTCGGTCCAGGGCCCTATTGCGCGCACTCTTGACGATGTAATTCTCTACAGCAAATCGATCATTGATTCGGAACCTTGGTTTAAAGACCCAAAGTTGTATCCAATCCCCTGGCGGGAGATTCAGTTACCACAAAAATTGAAGTTTGCGATTATTTGGGATGATGGGTATGTGAGAGTCACGCCGCCCATACAGAGGGCTCTTGAGACAACGGTTGCGAAGCTGAAGAACTCTGGCCATGAAGTCGTTGAATGGGATAACAAGCCCATTGGGAAGGTTTACAATCTACTTCGGCGTCTATTCACCGCCGATGGCGGGAAAACAATCAGAAGCCAACTCGAGAAAGGAGAAGAACCTGCCCCAAAGTTCATGGATAATTTCTTGCAATCTCAGGAGATCGGTGTATATGACGTGTGGCAGCTACAGCGGGAACGAAATCAGATATGGAAGGAGTGGCTGGATCAATGGAATGAGATTGAGGGGTTGGATGGAATCATTATGGCAGCTGCGCCATACATTTCCGCAAAACATTCGAAATATACCCATGCTGGTTACACTGGATTGTTTAATCTCTTGGATTACTCTGTCGCGGTATTCCCATGCGGCGTTATCGGAGATAGAGATATTGATGTGAGAAAGGCGGATGAGCCTCCTGAGTTAAACGACGTCGACAAAGCCACGAGAGAGGAGTGTAAGTACCATTTCCACAAAATAAAAATAACAGCCGCTAACAAGATAAAGACGATCCAAACGAGATTCATGGCTTGCCGGTTGGTCTTCAGCTCATTGGAAGAAAACTCCAGGAAGAGAAGGTCCTGGCGATGGTTGGAAGGGTCTTGGAAGCTGTAAACGCAATATAATCCACATCATTCAAGCTGCTATGCTCCAAACACAGGTTACAGAGGGAAGAATAAAGCATATATTCGCATATATATTCTGTCAAATAAGCCTAACTACACTATAGACTCAATAGAATATTCCTATTGACACTAAGCCGCACTGTAGCTGCCAAAATCGTCGCACCAAACGCCATGGAACCAGCATAGAAGATTGCTGGGTGGTACGCCTTCAATGTACTGTGTTCCCCGCCGTATGCAGCAAGGAGATATCCAGCAATTGGCGCCCCCTGTTTTTGTCAGCTTGTTTGCAATAACTGTTATAATAATCCCACTCACCATCAAGTAGCCTCCTGCCCATCCAGTAACCATCATTCCCATCGCCACACTCACTCTTGCGGAGCCAAACACCCTCCCTACTACCGTTGGTATCGTCGAAAAAAATCCGCCATTTCCAGTACCGTTGATGATCACGAACGCTATGAGAGGGCCTAAGGTAGTCGATACCGGCCACAATACAAGCATACTGAGTGAACTAAGTAGCAGCGACATGAGAAGGGTGTTCAGAGGCCCGAAGCGGTCGCTCGCAAACCCGCAGGCAAGACGTCCAACTGCGGACGAGAAGTTGAAGCCGGCTACAAGCCCGGCGCCAGCGCTTGGGGAAAGGCCAAGCGAAGTGCTATATAATGGGAGGAAGAACGGAGGAACGAAGAGAGGAAAAGTAGCGACCACCCCTGTGAGGAACAGGACCGTGAATTTGAAGCTCCGGAAAAGGTTCCTAGTATCTTTAGCTTCCGCTGTATACATTTACCATATGATAAATGTGGATGGGTCACAAACCATTCAATGAACGTAGTTGTTTTGATGGGAGCGCGCTCTTTAATCAGCCACGCTGCGGGAAGCCCGGTAACGAGCATGGCTATTCCTAAGACTCGGAAGGTCCATGGTATGCCTAATTTTTGGATCAGGGCATCCATGGCGAAGCTGATGGCAGTGCCGCCGAGACCACCGCCGGCGTAGACAATGCCATTGGCGATACCGCGCTTTTTATTGAAGTACTGAGCAGGTGTCACGGAAACCACCTTGGGTTGGGCGGTTAGTAAGTGTAAATTGTTCTCTAGCTCGAGAACTTACCATGAAAAGATTGCTATAGACAGCAGAATTTAGCAAACATTCACTACTTCGGAGTATAAAATCTCACCTCACACCCATGCCCATGATCACCCCCATAGTAATGAACAGGCCTGGCACGCTATGCGCTGTAAAGCCACTTAGGATCTGCCCACCTCCAAATAGCACGATGCCAGCCAGGGCAGTATTTCTCGCGCCTGCCCACCTAATTATCCTAGCATTCAACAAGGCAAACAAGGAATTGCAGGCACACGTCAAACTTCCCACAAATGACAATGTGGCCGGGCTCGAGAGATTCTGCTCCACTAGAGCAGCTTGAATAACACCCCAGCTATATGTAGTCCCTACGAACCAAAAGCAGAGTACGCTGCAGGCAAAGACAACGACCCAGCCATAGCCACCATCGGGAACTTGCGAATCTGCTAGCAATGAGGCCAGTACGACATTGTCTGGATCAGCAGGGTCAAAGTACGAAGTGTTTGCTGACGATGGCAATCCTGTAGGATGATTTGGTGTTTTTGGAGTTTGTGCCGGCGTGGGCGACGACGACTGCCTCTGCCTGTACTGCTCGAGCTCAACCGTTTCACTCACTTGAGTTGCCATGACAGGCAGCGGTATGTGTGGTAGTCTTTTAAAAAACAGAAGAAATATTGAATAAAGGAAAGGAATAGTTTGCTATTTGCTAAAGACTTACGGAAAGATCACTAATCACTAAATTTATATCATTGAGTCACTAAATCCACAAATTAGTAGTCATGTTACCCACTATATAATTTTCTCTGGTTGAGTTTTTGGCACCGCCTGGGCTCATACCTGTCAACTCCGACAGCGGGAAAATTAGTCATCGCACGTGATTTGACGACCACAACAGCCAAAATGGGAAGCCATCAAACACTCTCGATATGAAGATCTACCATGCCAATCCCTACGCGCCCATCGACACTGTAGCCTGTAGATCTGGTTTGGTGATGTATAATGTTACGCGGCGAGAATGGTTCACCTCGTGAAAACCAAGATATTCCCCAAAGACCTCACGAATTAGCCTCAATAACACCAACTGTCAGAGACGATGAAGTCAGAACACATCAAGCGGAACCACGTAGGAGAAAGCAAAAGAGCGTTGCTTCCCAAAATAACGACTCCAATGGCGCGTCATATGATGTTCCAGAAGGGCTCGCAAACTTGAACGAAGTTGACGCGCCGTCACCTGATGAGAATCCACATGAGCAGCTCCAATACCGGAGATCTTTTCTGGAGACCACTCGGTCACAGCAGAAGGAATATGAACGGGATCAAAGGCGCCGACGGCTGTCAGGTGGTGGTGCTGGTGAAGGCGGGGAAGGCCAAGAAAGTCCCCCAGACGAGCCAAAAGAGGCCGTTCCAGGCCATGAACGTGCTTCGAGGGTTGCCACTGAGATATATATACTGTCATATCTGATACTCTTTTCCATCCTTGGTACGCTTGCCCGAATAGGTCTCGATGCGTTAACAAGGTACCCAGGAGCCCCAGTTGGCATCAGCGTCCTCTGGGCCAATTTCGGTGGGAGTCTCCTTATGGGTTATTTCAGCGAAGATAGGAGGCTCTTCATGGACAGTGATAAAGGCCAGAACGGTGCCACGCCAGAAGAAGAAACGTGCGAGAATGTAAGCAGTCCGGAGACTGGCCGTGGAGGATCCGGAGGCGCCGTGGCCAACGAGCCCGATTCAGAAGCCCTGAGGATTGCTGCTAGAAAGGTGCACCTCACCTTCAAGAAGACAATACCGCTATATATCGGGCTCACGACCGGTTTCTGCGGCTCATTTACTTCCTTCTCGAGCTTCATTAGAGATGGTTTCCTGGCGCTTTCGAATAGCTCCCCAACAATCATATCCGCAAGCGGGTCTTCGTCCGTCATTCCCCGAAACGGTGGATTAAGTTTTATGGCACTACTCGCTGTCAATATCCTCACTCTCTGCGTCTGCATTGCAGCGCTGAAGTTTGGAGCTCATCTCGCAATCGCACTCCACTACATCACTCCATCCATCCCAGTTCGTCTCATGCGGAGAATATTCGACCGTATAACCGTCGTCGTCGCACTGGGCGTCTGGGTCGGAGCAGTTTTTATGGCTATCTGGCCTCCTGATCGACCAACTGGGCCCGCCGCGAATGGAGAAACAACTTGGGCTCAGGAGACTTGGCGAGGAAGAGTCTTGTTCTCCCTTATCTTTGCTCCGCTGGGTTGTATCGCCCGTTTCTACGCGTCGGTGAAGCTGAATGGGCTGAAGCCGTCATTCCCTGTAGGCACTTTTGTGGTCAACATATTTGGAACTATCATCTTGGGAATGGCATGGGACTTGCAGCATGCACCTCTGGGCTCTTTGGGGGGTCGAATAGGAGGCGGATTGGTCGGGTGTCAGGTTCTCCAGGGTGTTATGGATGGGTTCTGTGGCTGCTTAACCACCGTCAGTACGTGGGTTCTCGAGCTGACGAGTTTGAGGAGAAAACACGCATATACCTACGGTGTCGCGAGCGTGGGCGTGGCTTTGGCGTTCATGACGATTATCATGGGGAGTTTGCGGTGGACGAGGGGATTCGCTGATCCGGTATGCTCGTCGTAGGAACACGCAAGGGGGGATATGACGCTGTCGGAAGTATTTTACCAATTGGCCGTGGTTTTGGAAGCTCTCTGCTGTAATATAGCCTGTAAGTTTATATAATGATCAAAGATTTGGTAACTTCACCTTCCTTGCCATGATAATTGTTGTCCAGCCGGCAAACACAAAATTAAATTAGGAAGGTACGATCAAGGTCGCAGTTGCACTTTGATGGGGGGAGAATCGTCAAAATATATACAGTGAAATATATATAGTGCGGTTGGCAACTTCTCCCCTTGTTCCGATCTCCGTTTTATCGCTTTCGACCTTCACGGCTTTGCACTTGATGCAATAATTGCCACGAAAAGTACAAAGAAGTCAAATTGTGCCATTTCAGAAGGTGCAGTGTGAAACAGCAGAGTTTGAGTCCACCTGAAGTGAAGTTATCGCTTCGTGGCCCTGTGGTTTCCCAGTTCAAGTGAGGCCGCCTTCCAGGTCGCCTTCCCGTTTCAAACTTCAAACCTCAACAATCGCGTCTGTTGGTATCCTTCACCTTCTCGACACCCAACACCAAATCTCACTCTCATCTCGGACATTCCCTCTATCTTGCAAATACTGCCTCGAACAGTTCTGTGTCTCAAACTGTTCTGCAAAAGAAGACCCCGCGTTCTATCCTAGCGATGGAAGGCCAACAGGGCATCAAGCGAAAGGCTGAGGCTTCGCCAGAACGAACGGGTCGCGCAATGACCAGTAAATTGATCAAAGAGAATGAGGTCGACAGTAAGCAATGCTATATGTATATATTATTGGGCATTATGCAATCTAACAAGTGTTCTGTTTTAAAAGGTATAGAAGATATAACTACATCCACCTCGACAAGCACACTTTCATCTGATTCACCCAAATCTGACCATAGTGCCAACACCAGCGTCAGCTCCCGAAGTGACAATGGAAGTGACGATGAAGATGAAGATGAGGAATACGATGAAGACGAAGAATATTGGGGAGATGAGCATGAGCATGATGATGATGATTATGATGACTTGGGCCCTCCAGAGAGAGAGGTCGACGAACAAAGGCACACCTTAGGTGGCTCTGAAGTTACTTTCAAACTTTTCATCCAAGACGATGACGAGGGATTCGACGACTGGATGCACACTATCCATGTCCATTGCAGCTCCGACGGCACGGAAATTGGGAGAGCGTTTGGTAGCTTTGTGAAGCGAGATCGCATCACAGCTAATTTCTGGCGGGAAACGGAGAAGCCGTGCCAAGAGCTCTCCAGTGTCGCTTTTGAGCTCTTTGACCGTTACGGCCGACTCAATCGCGAGTTTGTCGACCATACCGTTCGCAAAGGTTCTGGCTGTTGGGGAAGTGAGCTTGACGTTGGCTCCCTTTTCATCATCGAACATGTACTAATGGAAAGGGACTGGCGACGCAAAGGCGTGGGAAAGAAAATGGTGGAGTCACTCATTGCCAAAGCCAGCGCTGAGCAGAAAATACCGGAGACTCTTGCCAGCAATTCCAGTGCTGACGACAGAAGGGCGAAGTCGTTTTTGAACAAAAACGATGACAAAGCAAACAAGCTCGCTTTTACTCTTGTATCCCCCGGTTGGCTTAATGGGGATATCAGTCAAGACCTCATTGGGAAGACACCCCGCGAACAGCGAGATATTCAATTCGCCGCCCACGATATCTCGGTGGCTTTCTGTCGCTCCATCGGCTTCCGTCGAATTGGGGCATCGTCGTGCTTTGGTCTTGCTGTAGACCCGAATCACGAAGCTCACAAAATCTCCATTAATGTCGATTACAACCCGGCTGAAGAGGAAGTAGATGACGAGGACCTAGAGGCCTTACATACAGCTGATAAGGCGTTCTTTAGAGAAGAGGAGGAGCATTCACTCCTTATGGAACTGTTGAAGAAACGCCTCCCTCTGCATCATGCAGCGCTAACAATTCCAGACGTGAGTGCGTCAAACATTACGAGGAGGTCAACAAACTTCCAAACGCCAAGGAAGAGTGGAAGAAGGTAGATAAAAAGCTCAACACCGTATTACACATCGCAAGTTGTGAATACAAGCTCAAAACAGTTGAATGGCTCCTGAAAAATGCCGACGTGTGCCAAACTCTAGGTTCTGCCAGGAACATTAAAGGCTATACAGCCCTTGAAGGATTACAGAATGTCCTCGAGGCAAAACGCACAACTAAGGAGCGTGGAATGATGACAATCTGTATCTCGGACCACTTTTCCGGCTTTCCCATTGACGCTGTCAATTGTCTCGCTGCCCTGCAAGGCATCAAAGTCCCAAGTCAAAGCCAATCACTCCGTCTAAAGTTTGGGTGCACCTGCGGACAATGTGTCGACGGCTTCTTCTCTGTCCGAATGAAGGAGGCCCTCCTGTCCAAGGCAGAGATGTGCGCCGACATGCTAGACGAATACGATGATGGGCACTTCTGGGTTGAAATGCATAGAAATTTAACACGTCACGTTGCCCCAGATATTCTGCATAATTTCAAAACCAACAGGTCCCTCCGCCACGGGTTTGTGAATATCTTTGGTCATGCAGCGGATGCCATGCTCCGCGGCGCTACTCCCAGTGTGCAGAATGTCCTAGATGCCTGGATCAATTCTGGCGAGTGGCCACCGGTCACTGGGTCTTATTTTCACAGGGGAGGCACTGCTGTAGATGCATTGCGCGTCATGTTTGAAGCCGTTCGAGCTGAAGATCACTGGGCGGGGAATAATATCTTTGGGGTCGATGAGGAGCTTGCGGCCCTACCACATTGCCGGAATGACCTTGAGTTTGGAATGGTTGCTTTGATGTGCGGGATGCCCAATTTGTGATTGCGTCTGCTATAGTGCCCCGACGATGCTATACGTTATGTTACTTGTGAGGTGCCCGGTTTGTGAGCTACTGAGTCCCGATAGTGCTATGTGTTGCTCACCAATTTGCTTTTGTGGATGAGTTGCAGCTGGCTGGTAAACTCTTTTGGTGGATATTTTGCTGGTTGCTGAAGATGAATAGCTTACCTCTTTGTTGTTGTTTTGTTACCCCTATATTGTTGCAGCTTGGCTTTGTACTCGGGCAGGCAGTTGGAGATTATTATTCGAGACGAGACAGTATACTACAGCTATCACGATAAACATACCATACAATACAAATAACTAGACACTTCCTCGTGAATGGTGGGAAATGTGCAGAAAATAGACTTGACAACCGACTAAAAACAGTAGGAAAAAAATGGGAATGTGAGATAGTCTTGAGGTCAGAATTTTAGTTCACATGCAGTAGATAAGCTCTCTATTACGGGCAACCTACGTGCAGAATCCATATTTACATTTCAGAGGCTGATAAGCCTCCAGAAGGTAAAGACAATACCGTCAAGCGCCACACAGAAGGGAGGCTAATCTACGCGTCAACATCTCGGCTATCGCCTCATGGCAACCCTTTCTCACCACCACTCTACAGCGTCCCAAACGTCCACGAGCTCTCCCACTTGTACTCCTGGCCCGGGCCAAAGATCTGCTTGTCCAATCTGTTCCACTCAGGGCTACACAATCATTAGCTCAATACCACCAAGACAAACTCGAAAAGACTCACTGGTTAATCCCATCCACCCAATCCTGCGCCTCAATCGCCACACACCCATCCCCATTCACCACCGCCTTCCTCCCCTTCAATCCCTGGGTACTCTTAATCGGCGCCGTCCCATCACTCCAATTACACGTATAAATCACCAAACCCGCCTGGTTCGTCCTCAACTGCGCCTTAATCCCCGTCCACGCGCTCGACAGCTCTGCCACCACCGCTCCCTTGGGCACATTGTCGTCGAAGAGGAATTGCCCGTTATACCCGTGGCACCCGCCGCCGCAGTGGTTAACCCAATCCGCGTTGCCGGAGGCGAAACCCAGCTGGTGGGGCGCGGAGTAGAAGTCATCCGTGCTGTTCTCCTCGGGCTCGAGGATGTTGCCGGTGGGGAGTGCGGCGGAGTCAGCTTCGAGGTTGCGGTGCGAGTAGGGGAGGTGGAGGGTGTGGTTCCATATCAGGTCCGTGGCGGGGTTGGCGAAGGCGTCGAGGTTGAAGTAGGTGTGGTCTGTCAGCATGATTGCTGCGGGGTGTTAGTACGATGTTGTGCAGTCTTGGTTCTTGGCTGGGGTGGAAAAACTCACGAGTTCGCACATCAGGCGACTCAGCAGACATTGATATATGCCACGTATTCGCCGTCAACGTGTACGTGACACTCGCGTCCACGCGGCCCGGCATGCCCTCCGCAAAGGCAGCATCGTGGTACGAGAAGGTGATGGAGTTCTTGGTCAGCGCAGTCAGGTTCCAGAAATGGTACGACCAGTTGTTGGTTCCGCTGTGCAGCGTGTTGGGGCCGTCGTTCTTCTCGAGGTGGTAGGTCACGCCGTCCAGCGTGAAGGTGCCGTTGCCGATGCGGTTGGCGTAGCGGCCGGGGATGGCGTTGTAGACGGGGTGGCCGGGGTCGACGGCTTGGGGGGGGTTAGTTTAGGGAGAGACATAAGGGGGTTGGGGGGCCCGGGGGAGGTACGGTAGAAAGTGGTGTTGTCGTAGCCAAGGACGACATCACGCTCGATGCCGTGCTTGTCCTTGACGAAGAGGTTCGTCAAGGTGGCGGCATAGGGGATGAACTAACAACGTCGTCAACTTCTAGTTTTAATACGAGGTATGGGAGAAAGAAACAGCCATTGGGTCCATATAAAAAGAAAATAGAGCATACCTTGGCCGTAATACCAGGCGCAGAGATGGTATACCGTCCATCCTTATCCGGTTTCGGCAATTTGGACGTTACAGCCGCAGTTGCAACGGCCGCAACGGCTCCCAAAGTGAGAATCTGAAAACGCATGATTTCCTAAACGAGGTCTACGAAATATCCACGGAAACTACTTTTTAACAGATAATCAAGCAGGTGGGGAGATCAGGAACCAAGGATGAAGTGGGGAAGGGGCATTGCTTATGTTTAAATACTATCAAGCTCTCTCCCTGCCGCCGCAGAACTCCCCCGGGATTCCTCTCTCTATCCCCATATTTTCCCCGCCTTTTATGGATGTGGGAATGCGCATCCGGAGAAATCGGCTCTTGCAAACGGTTCTATACTGGGTTTTTTGGTTGGATAGGTGCAATATAAATGAGATTTACTAAAAATCTAAGCAGGCAATATCCGGATATATTAAACAGGACAGACAACGTGTGGCGGGGTGATCTTAACGACCTGATCTGGTGCCTTACCCATTGATATAGGAACGACGATCTTGGTGGTTTGGGGGGGAACTTAATATATTTTACCCCTGGCGCCAAGCACACGACGTTGCAACCCATACGCACGAAAGTACGAAGGTTGCTTCCGCAACGCCAGGCTCGTCGGTATTTGTATATTTCCGATTAGATATTATATGCATATTCAGGATGAAGCTGAAGCTTACAAACAGTTACAAACAGCCTCCTCATTTAGCCTGGAGGGAGAAAGTCGTGATTTTATGAAGATAATTCGGCATCGCGGCAGCCACTCGGCATGTCTCCGGCAGGTGAGAAGGTGCGCTTGGGCTGGAAAGAGGCAGATCTGCTGGATTAAAGTGATATACATAATAGCCGTCGTTGAAGGTTTCAGGTTCATGATGTGGGGGACGGGAGTTCATCGGACAGGCGACATGGCAGTTCACGGGGATATGGTAGGAATAAACTGTGTGTGTGGACTCTGTACTTTTGGATTATCACTATTCGGAAACTTAAAGAATGATAAGCTTTCACCCCAGCGAGATAATCAACAGTAGATCCTCTGTAATATACAGACGGCAATACACAAACCAAGACCCAGACTCCGACGACTAGCCAACCAGCCGACCGACATGAGGCCAGACCGACAGTCATCTCCGATTTAATCATGAGGAATGTGGTCAACAGCTTCGATGTTGTTCCTGCAAACTTGTCAGCACAACGCAGCACCCTCCACCACCCCAACCACAAACACTATGAACACCGGGAACACGAAAAAGGCAGGAATAGCTCACCCCAGCGGATCCAACACAAACGACGCATAATAATTCGGGTGCATGGCCCTGATTCCGGGCTTCCCATTGCAGGTTCCCCCGGCCTTCAGGCCCTCCTCATGAAACTTCTGCACGGCCTCATGGTCCGCCGCCTTGAACGCGACATGCACCCCACCTGCTGTCGCCTTTTCCGTGGCGCCCTCTTTCGAGGAAACCCAGAATCGGGCCTCAGTCTTGGAGGGGCCGAACCCGACGGCCTGGCCGGGGAAGTTCATCTGTGGGGTGATCCCGAGAGGAGCCAGGACGGCGGTATAGAAGGCGATGACGGCCTCATATTGGGAGGGGGGAACGGCGAAGCCGGTGTGGTCAAGCATGATGATGGTGGTTTGGTGAGTTGGAGGGGTGTTTGTGGGTTGGGTTTGTGAACTTATGAGCGTCTCTGGAGACCGATAATTGAGAGAATACAGATGGAAGAGATACGATACAGGTCGAGGGGCATGGACACGATATTTATGCCTCTCGTCCTCTGAGCGACGACACGATTCATTTGTGACACTTGGATGACGTGAACGGCTTTGAATGACTGGTTACAAAACTGGAGCGGGGTAATGCTCAAGCGCGACGACGGCGCGAGATTAACACGCTGTCAGCTGATGCCGTGTGCCTCTTTCATCGCGCGTTATTGGCGGAAGGCGCGTTGTTGCCTAATGACGCGGGTCGTTCCTTCCTCAGACCGATCTAGAGCCGTTTCATTCAGGGAGGAAGGAGCGAATGATAGGGATACTATGAGTCGTAGTTGCCGTTTCGAGCATCTCTGGGTTGGGGTTGTTGATATCGACCATGGGAGACGATAGGAAGCATACCGCGAACACCGAACACCGAACAGCCAGCATCGCCGACGTCGCCGAGGCCGCCGACATGTTATGATGCGTACTATGGCGTACATCTCTCGCGGTATACAGGTGCTGTATAGATACCCAGCACAAGACTCCTAGCTAAGCACCCACTGGAGCTGTCTTGAGATCTCTTGGCTTCTCTCGGCCCATTAACAGAACAACTGCCGCATGGTTGTATCTGTATGTACTGAAGAGGTACTCTATTGTACTTCTCACCGAAATCTCTATCGATGGTGGACATTAACAGTGAGATTTTAGCCTGACCGCCAAATTAAACCCACGGTTATTGACAGACAGCTTTGTCAACCGCAAACAGCCAAGACAAACACCAACCAACAAGCCCAACAAGCCCACTATAGTAACAGTCAGAAGCAATCGCCGACTTTAATGGCCCTGACTAAAATATTTCTGGGGGGGGGTAGGGGGCCCATTTGGTCTAAATATAGGACGGTCCAAACCTTCCCGCTCTCCCCCCAGCCCACTTGCCCCCATCCAGCCAATCCAAGCCACAGTCCTCGATTTAGCTGCATATCACGTGCACAGCCTCGACTTCTCAAGTGTTTCTAAACTGTGGCGCTTATATCTGACATCTGGTATACCCTGTACAGTGATCCCGCTGGTCGCTGGGGTGCTGGGGTGCTCTGGGGTCCAAAAAATATCACCTTGGTCTTGACCTTCGCTTTTACCCTCCGTCATCTTTTCTACCTGCCCGCTCTTTTGCGTCTCTCTTCATATTCTCACTTCTCACTTCCTCACCACTTCCTTCATTCTCATTTCTCTCTCTCCCTCACCCTTCCCTATCTCACAACCAAACCGCCAAAATGAAGTGGCCCAAAAACCCATTCCCCTCCTCCCGGCGGAACGCCTATCGCGAACCAACCCACCACGGCCGTCTCCCCCTCTACATCCTACAGGCCCTCCAGCTCCTCGCCTCTGTCGGCGTCCTCGGAATCATGCTTTACTTCGTCAATCAGCTTCGCGGCAGTCGCATGACCATTCCCTGGTCCTTCATTATTGTGCGCTCCCCAAGTATCACATTCCCCAAGTCGGAAAGCTAACAAGACCAGCACCTCCTCGTCTCCGCCACATCCACTGCGACCATCATCCTCCTCGCCGTCTACGCTGGCGCCGCGCGCCCTCCAGCGCGGACATTGATTCTCAACGGCGTCCTCCTCGGTCTCTGGGCTCTCTCCCTCGGCCTACTTGTCCACGTCGCGAAATCAACGATCACTTCGCATTGCAGTTCCGCGACATGGAATAACAGCACGGGAATGATGGTCTGTCGGCTATACCAAACATTATTCGCATTCATCCTCATCGCACTGTTCGTCCCTCCCCTCCCCCCCTCCACCCCAAAAGCCCCAAACCCCAAAACTAACCCCCCCACCAGCGCATCAACCATTCTCGCCCTAACCTACCTCACCCACGCCCGCCACTCAAACCCCCAATCCTACACCAAAACCTCCAACCCCGCCCTCCTCTTTCCCCGCACCCGCAGCCCCCCCACAGCCGAAGACGACGCCTCCGAATTCACCACCCTCGCCCCCTCCCCCACCCCCCTCTCCGCACCATCCTACGCATCCTCCTTCCGCTCTCCCCTCCCCGACGACAATCGCTCCCTCGGGTTCCCCGCTAGTCCGTCGCCGCGCGGGGGTGGTGATATGGGTGCTAAGATGGGGGAGGGGAGGAGAGGGGTGTTTCAGCCGCCGTTGGCGAGTCCGGGGTTGTTGAGTCCGGGGATGGGGGGGATGGGGGGGATGGAGAGGGGGAAGGAGGAGGAGGAGGGCGGGGAGGTGACGGAGTTTAGTTATTTGGGGGGGAGGTATGACAGGAATGAGAGGGATTTGAGCGCTTGATTGTGTGTGGAGGGTGTATTTAGAAATATGTGGGATATATGGAGTTTCTATACGGTGTCGAGCACTGATTTGGGTATATGGTTTATTTGTGGGATGGGAGGGATTGGAATATATACTTGAGGAGCATAAATTAGCTGGAGTTCTAATATTATGGTTTTGGTGTACAATTATTGTTATTGAGATGAGGACTGGTTTTACAGATACTCTGGCGGAAATACGTAATCTGGTCAGTGCTACGGCCTCTGGTGAACAGTCACTATTTGGAAGTTTGGCGCATACAGACGCTCTTCTCATTACCACAAGTATCACGATCTATTTTACAACGCAGATCAAACAGCCACTCTTCATTCAATTTATCTTATAAGTACTTACTACGTGTAAATCATATAAAGCCGTATTATTTCAAAAAAAAAAAAACACCACAGAAGGAAGTATTACTCGATCAACATTACTTGGAACAGCGCCCGAAACCGGCTTCCCTGAAGACACTATGCTCTAAAGCCTTGCCGCTTTCTTGCATCGTAATAGGGTGTTTGGGGAATCTAGTCTCATACAAATGCTAACTGTGACAGATTGCGTAAACTATGCCAAAACTTTCCTAGCGATCTTCACCATCCTTACAAAATTTTCTTCTTTTGCATACTTATCCATATAAAGGTGAACGGGTAAATCATCTCAGGAATTATTGTCAATACCATTATCCCAATACTCCATATAGAACCAACATATGCCCAATTCTCTGGAACGTTTAAATAACGCCAAATAAAGACACTATAAGCAGCAAGGCAGCCAAGAAACCGTGTAACCCTAAGAAAATACCTTGTGTTAGCGGTTGTTTTTCATAAGAGGGAGTTAACTATTACCAGATCTCAATAGAGTGACCTCTCGTGTCTTGGTTTTTTAATAACAAGTATACGCTTACCCAACCTACTGGGAGTTCCAAGAGAATTCCAGTCCAGTAAGCTGTAATCTGTTGACGATCATCTGGAAATGTCATTGAAAGTACATATAAGGCTAAAACGCCTACTAGAAAACCCATAAAAATCCGAATAGTTATTGTACGTCTTCGACCAGGTGCATAAGTAGATACAACAGCCGTAGTAGTAAAGAGAACATCAAGACCAAGCCAAGCTAAAAAGCATGTTCTCTCAAAAGTCGTTGAAGTTGTTGTTAAGGCGTAAAAAAATTCGTACGATAAATTTCCACAGCTATGCATTTAAGATTAGTATATTTTGTTGTCTAAGGAGAAGGAGATCAATAATAAAACGTACACGCAAAGTACAGGTCCAGCACATCTCTTATCACTATACGTTCTTATACTATAGAAGAGGTAGCATAGAGAATAAAGCAGCCCACATGCAATAATTAAACCATCCTGGATGAATAGATAACTTTCTGGTGGATTAAGGCGTAGATCCGAAGGTTGAACTATAAGGTGTGTTGTGCAGTTTCTAGCCAGAGCAAATGAGGACGTATTCATGATGTACTGTTCGACATGCAGCGTATGACAAAGAGTCGGGTTCCAATTTATACTGATCAAGTCGAAGTGTTTACTGTAGGAAATAAGAAGTAGTGATTGTTAGAATTGTTAACCTGAGTCTATCAGAAAAGCCAAAGTCGGATGACGTAGGGTAAGAACCATAATCTGCTCTGGGCCAACCGAGAATGTCAGCGAGATGTTGACATAAGAGGACCTTCATCTCTCACGTGAAGGTAACCGATGTCATCCGCTGATGTCAGAGGGGTAAACTTAGCCAAACTGGCCCGCTAATTCTGTACTGTAATTAGGTTACAGTAATTTATATTTTCTGCAGCACAGTAGTGCAAAGTCATCAGGCTGTTTGCTTGGTAAAACTTGAGAGTGAACCGTAGAATCTGCAAGAACTGGCCTTACTGGCCATAACAAGTAGCAGCGGTACCCCTTGGTACAACCAGGCAGGCTGCACTGTGAGAAAATGGACCCTGATAAAAATAACTAACTAAAATCTAGCGACACCCAATTCGCTTTTTACGTAGAAGGCAGTTTGATGTCGCTAGCTTTTAATTGAATTTCTTTTTCCCCTGTGGCTTGTTGTGGCTTTGGAGATGGCTTGTACTAGGGAGATATCGGGAGGTAGAATCGGCGGTTCAACCCACTACCGAGTCGAAAATAAGACGAGCGACGCCCGATTCACGTTCTACTGCACGTAGTGCTCACTCTTTTCGCCTTCAAATTAGGCTTTACCTAGCGCGCTACATGGATCCAAATGTGGCAAGTTTTACAGCATACAAGGATTTGCAAAAATCAAATATTTAATTATAAAGTATTCTATATGCTCCGTATGCCCCATGATAATATGCTAGTCGTCCATCGTTATATTTACACACCACCCCAAAAACTCCATGGTACAGTATGTAACCCTCCACATGCACTCTCCTACTCCTGCTTCTCCCCATCGTCGCCCATCCCCCTCATAATATACGATGCCACTGCTCTCGAGCCACTACATTCCGTTAGCACAAATTCCTAACTCATCGTTCAGACAGTTTAACTCACGTCATTCCAATCTTACACTTCTGCAAACAGCTCTCCACGCCCAACGCCACATTGGCCGGGATATACTTCCTAAAGCTCTCCAAATCCTTCCCATCTATCACCCCATCTCCCCCCATCGCCGCCCTTACAACCTCATCCTCAAACCCCACCAGCGTCTGCAGCGTCTGCTGCACTCCCGGATCCTCGTTCGAAAACGACGCCACGAACACCGCAGGCACGCAGTCGGGGTTCCACTCCGTGTGCATCGCGCCCTGCGGGAAGACCGTCATCTGGAACTTCTCGAGCGTATGTTGCATGTGGGGCGCGCCGTTCTCGGCCGTCACGGAGCCCTTCAGGGTGCCTTCGACGACGATGTTGAGTTCGGCGGAGCGGGGGTGCGTGTGTGGTGTGTTGAAGCCGCAGGGGCCGATAAATCCGACCGTCATGCTACCGGACGACCCGATTAAGGCGGGGAAGGTGGAGCGATCGGCTTTGACTGTGTGTCCGCCTAGGCCGGTGGTGACGCCGATGGTGGCGTCCTGGAAGCTGAAGACGTGGTCTTCGGGGTTGGGGAGGAGGGCGATGCGGTCGACTTCGGTGGGGGCGAGGTCGAGTTTTTGTTGGAGGGTTAGGGTGCTTGGGTCGGTGTTGGCATCGAAGCGTTTTTTGTTGGAGAGGGGAGTGGAGAGCGCGGTGGAGGCGAGCGCCGCGAGGAGAAGGGTGGGAAGTTGGATGTGCATTTTGAGAATTGGTGGTGTTGAAGAGTAGAAACGAAATGCGACGATGAGAGATGAGAGATGAGTGACGAGGAAAGGATGAGAGGGTTTATCTGGGGTGGGGGAAGGAAGATAAAAATGTTTCGTTTGGGATGGCCTACCTTATAGCTCCATGATGTATAGGTATGCTATGCTATACACATGTCATCCTGGTATATTGATGCGCGTGGTTAAATATAGCCGCACCCGCGCACCCAAGAGCGCCCCCAATTCCATGGCAATGACTGGGCTGGGGGGCCCACGGAGGGGGCCATATTAGCCCCAACCAACCAACTCGGAATAGGACGGTAAGAGGGAAGACCGAGAGCTTTCCTCGGCGCGGGCTCTTCTCGTGTGGATGACCGGAGAAAGCAAAACAGAGCGTTGGAGAAATTAGAAACATGTCGTGGGCGTGGCTCTGGCCGGGATGTTTTATGCCGATAAACGTAAATCGCCAGAGGCCGAGGCGGTCAAGGCTGAGAAATCGGTGTTTGCTGGCATGGGGCGGGTGAGTTGTGGCTGTGCTGACGTGAGATATAGCTGTTGGCAGCTTGGCAGTTCGAGGTTGAGCATTTCATTTCGAATTTGGCTTCGGCTTCGGTAACAGCATTGGTACGGTGTCAGTACGAGATGAGTACGAGAATAGTACGTGATCAATACTACTCTCTATGGCCCTATTGGCCTAGAAAGACCTTATATGCCCTTTATCCGGTGAACTAAACAACTGTCAGCAGTGGAAATGGTGATAGCCGTATAGGAAGGTCAATTATGTCAGGAAAATCAGGAATGTCAGCACTATTACAGCGCTATTGCAACGATATTGTGTCCATAATTTCCAGCTCGCCGGATCTTGACATTCTCACCGTTTTAACGGGGTTTGAATTTGGCATTACTGCACATTTGACAGCGGGGCGTCGTTGATCATCGCGTGTCTCCCTGAGACACATGTACTGTACTTGCGCATACACGGGGAGTACATGCCCCAGCAAATCCATAAATCGCTGAAATGACAGTTTTTATGCCGCGGAGTCTCGGTAAGCAGTTGAATAATTCTTGCTCACATGCCTTCCTATCATCGCCGACGACAGACTTGCATCGACATATTCTGATATGTGAAGTTAAGTTATGCTTCTGTTTTGTTGATGTGAAGATGTGAAGATGTGAAGGTGGTCTCCCTCATGGAACCGATCACCGTTTCTTATCTTATCTGATCCGATTTAATCTTATCGCGCCGATTAGATTTTTGAATCTTGGCATTTTGAATAGAAACAGCAACGTCATCCTCCAAGACCACACAAAAACTGGTCTTCTTCATCCAACCCGAGCATTCTATCCCTTCTTATTTGGTGATCCGTCATTTTCATGACTCAGCGACTCTATAACTCAGCAAATTTGCCACTGATCGTGTGAATTGGCTCCAGCCGCGCCGTCCCTGTGTATCCTCAAGGCTACACTTTCAGGTCCCCAAAAGAGGTGGCTGGGGCGGGTTTGGCAGGACCCTAAAGCATCACAACGCATACAGGTCGTGCCACCGCACCCAATACTTCGCGTTTATATAAACAGACAATCTCACAACTTCCGGATCCCACTTGGCGATGAGTCGCAAACCCATCGTGGCGGGCCTCAATCGCCGCCAGTCCTCGACGCCACACTACCAGACGTTCCCCACAGCTCCCCCACGATCACGCGGGCATGCGCTCTCATCCCCCTTCGACTCCACCAACGACCAAGATGGGATATCCAATGCCGACGACGAGCATCATAACAACAACCACAACCATGAGTCGCCGCTTCCGCGCCGTCAGCTCGCCGTTCTTGCGGTCATCGCCCTGGCCGAGCAAACTGCGCTGAACTCCATCTCCCCGTACCTGCCACAGATGGTGGCCTCTTTCCCCTCAACAGACCCATCACAAATTGGTCTATATGTCGGCGCAATCGGCTCGTCATTTGCTGCTGCGCAACTCCTCACGAATTACTTCTGGGGCTCACTCTCCGATCGCATTGGGCGCAAGCCAGTTATCCTCCTCGGTGCCATCCTCACAGCTGTGGCATTTGTTGGGTTCGGGTTCTGCACAAAACTATGGCATGCGATCGTCGTGCAAGCTATAATGGGGATTGTAAATGGGAATCAGGGCCTTATAAGTACGTGTCTGGGCGAGATCACGGACCGCTCGAATCAAGGCCGCGCTTTCGTCTGGCTGCCCGTTATCTACGGTCTAGGCGCTATCTCAGGGCCGGCACTGGGAGGATTGTTGGTGCAAGGAGGGTCTAGTGCGAAGAAACAATCCTACCCGTTCTTGCTCCCGAACCTGGTTGCAGCTGTCATACTGGTGGTGGAATTTACAGTTATCCTGATATTCCTCGAAGAGAGCCTCGAGGAGGCCAAGGACCTCCCACCACTACAAGACAGAGTCAGAGCCTTCTTCTCATGGATGTGGCAGTTTGCCGCAGGTGCCATCCGCCCAACCTACACCCGCCGTGGTCCCCTCCACCACCACGGCCACCGCCGAGCCTACTCCCACAGCTCTACCGTCTCGGGCACAAGCAGCACCTCCCCATCCTCCTCCCTCCTCCGTGACATCTTCGCTGGCCCATCTAACTCCATCCCCATCAAAGACCTCCTCAGTGGTACCACCCTCCTCCTTCTATCAACCTACTTTGTCTTCCAGCTCTCCAACGCATCCTTCAACGCCCTCTACCCCGTTTTCGCCTTCGCTGACCCCCCACTCGGCCGCAACATCCCCGCCCGAGATATCGGTTTCTCGCTCTCCGCCGCCGGTGTCGCTACCATCATCTTCCAGGTCCTCATCTTCGGCCGCCTACGCGACAAGATGGGAAACAAAGCGACGTACCGCGCCGGCCTAGGCTTATTCGCCGTTGCCCTCCTCGCAACCCCGACTGTACCATTCGCGGACGCAAAACCGCCGTTCAAGTTCCTCACAGGACACATGTGGATGTGGGCACATATCTCCCTCGTCCTCCTCGCCAAGACAGTAGCATCCGTAGGCGGCCTCTCCAGCGCCCTCCTGCTCATCACCAATTCAGCCCCTGAACCAGAGTGCCTAGGCGCTCTGAACGGGTTGGCACAGACGCTTAGCGCGGCGGGGCGAGCGGTTGGTCCCGTAATCGCGGGTGGGTTGTTCAGCGCTGCGCCGAAGAATGGGAGGAGTGGTGGTTGGATCCCGTTTGGGGTGTTTGGGGGTGTTGCGGTGCTGGGGTTCGTGGCGAGTTGGGGGATTAGGGGCGAGGAGTTGGAGGGGGAGGAGTGGGATGAGGGTGAGCATGATGAGGAGGAGGTGTGATTTTGTGGTATATTGGACGGTGGAAGAAAAGGTATTCGTGAAGACGGAAGTGCATAGATTCGGAGCACAATGGGCGCAACCACTCCCAAGGTTTACTACTCCGAGCGAAATGAACCGCCAACGGCGAACATCGAGTCCCATCAGCATCGTGCGACCATACACCGACCCTATCATCAAATAACCACCCCCATTTTCTGCAAAGCAGAGGCTACAAAATCACTACAACTGCACCAGGTTCCTCGATTGCTTCTTGTAAATGGCACAAATCAAGTCGCAGTTACCCCTTTCACTGCACAGTGCACAAGGAGGCCGGTTCTCATCGAAGCCCAGGTGCAGAGCGGTCCTCCGCACAGCCCAGCGACTCGAGGCAAGGGAAACCAGAACCATGGGCGATGTCAAGTTCCATCTCACTGAGCTAAAGATTTTGGGAGATATAAATGCGATGCTACTGCATATATGCGAGCAAAGAAAGCGGGTGGCTCAATCATACATTGCTAAATTTTGAAGCGAATACCAGTCATGACAGAAATATAAATATATAGTTCAGCTTAGCTTTGGGCAAGGGGATAGATAAATTATTATGAGCATATAGCTTAGAATATAAAGAATACGCATATATACCTCACATATGATCATCTGGGAAGTGCATTCTCTAACCGACGATGGGAGGGACGGTAGTTGCTACTTCTCCTCAATTCAAGGTCAAAATCCGGCCTGGCTTGAGCAGCTGCACAAGAGACAGCTCTCATAAAAGGCCACATATGGAGTCACAACAGAATTGTTGCCCCCCTTGGAGATTACTCCCTGTACTATGAGAGTCGGGCAAAAGATGCACACAAGGGGCCTCCGTCCTCCAACTCACTCCATGAACTGTAGAAGCCTATGCTACTAATACTGTAGCAGGTTCTCCCGCGCTCTTCCCACCGTCGCATAGGATACACCGACCCATCATGTATGCATAAGACGATCGTACCACAGCCGCCGTCAGCCCATATCCCAGTTGGCTCCCGATTGTGCCGATGATGGTATCGATGCTTTCTATGATCCAACCACACAGTCATCGCTAGCCTGGCTCTCTCTATCACTAAATACGCAATTCTCTTCAGTACTGAATGGGCATTTCCCTCGATCGCTTCTCTGGCCCTTATTTATTCGTTGGTATCTTTTGCGATGCAGTCTCTGGCCGAACCCGAACTCAGTATAAACATTTATACTACGGGTAGATGGACTTCCCCTCCAGCCCACTTCAACTCGTCAATCATCCAGAAACCATGACACACCGACACATCTCACAAAAACACTACTCTCGATTCAACACACTTCATTCACTCCCCCCTTCGAATCTACAAAAACACCCCTCTCCCAAACGCCAAAACCCATAAATCCCTAGCTCCCCTCCCTTTCCTAGCTTCCAAATAGATAGATACTCGGCAAGGGGTAGTAAATGCGGGATGTTCATACATAAAAATCCAACCCTGCCATTTCCTCCCCTTTTTCATCCATCCATCCTCTCTTCCATATCGTCCGTCTTTCGTTCGTTTATTCCCTACCAGGGTATTACCATATCTCATCCCCCTCACATCCATCATCTATCATCCAACAACCCCCCCCCCCCCCCAATTCATCACTCATCCTCCCCCTCCCACAACAGTACTAGGGTCCAGCCCCATCCATCCATGCACATGCACCGCGCTTTTTTTTATTTGCCATCCTCAGCCAGGCAGGTATGCCCCATTACATCACCGCGCACTCGCCCTCATTCTGTTTCCCCACCTTACTACGCGAAATGCGGTCACGGTTCGGAAGGCCACCCTTGCCGCCTGAACGCTTCAGCTCCTCAAGGCGCTCGCGCGCTTGCGGGAAGTTTTGAGCTAGTAATGGTCAGCATTGCCACTACAAAATGCCACAGCCGCCAAGGTCGAAAAATAGGGGGTATAAAGGGTAAACAGAAAAAGTATAAACTCACCAGCAGCTCTCCAATACCACCGCTTCGCCCCCTCAATGTCTTGGGTGCTCCCAATCCCCATCTCCGTAAAATACCCCATCGCATACTCCGCCTTCGCCAACCCGGCCATCGCCGCCTTGCGCGCCCACAGATACGCCTCCGTATCACTCTGCGCCAGGATCATCTGCCCGCTCCGCTCATCCTTCGCACCAGTAAGATACCACCCGCTGAGCGCCAACTCACTCTGGTGCTCCTCCTGCACCGCAGCCCGGGAGTACCACTGAATACTCTCCTTGGGATTAATAACCAGCCCAAACAGCCCATACTCGTGCGCAGCGCCCAGACGGAACTGACTGAACTTGTACCCTAGATCGGCCGCCTGCCTGAACAGGGTAAGACTGTACGCCTCGTCGCGAACCACGCTGGTGTCCTGGCTCTGCGGTGCGGAGAACAGCAGTGCCAGCTCGTGCAGCGCGTGCGGGTTCTCGGCGTCTGCGAGGTCTGCGGCGCGCTTGAGCCACATTACGGCTTCGCGCACGTTCTTCTGCTGCCCGAGGAGGCCCTTGAGTTGGATCATGCCCATCTTGTACATAGCGGGCGGGTCACCCAGAGTTGCGGCGCGCTTGTACCATTGCATCGCCTTCAGTGGATCCTTGCGCGTCCCGCCGCCGTCTTCTTGCCCGATCTCACAGCACACAGCTGTGCGGTACGCGGCTTGCGCATGGCCTGCCTTGGCAGCGGATTGGTAGAGAGTGAAAGCCTGCGAGGGCGAGGTCTCCAGTCCCAGTGCGCCACGCCCGTAGCAGTCGGCAAGGAAAAACATGGCATCCATGTTCGGGATCGCCACCATCTTCTTGAGGATCTTGTGCGCCTCCATCACCCAGCGCTCACGTGTCTTGGCGCGCGTCTTCGGGTCAGGGATCGTGGTGGCGAGAGTCTCGGAGGCGAGGACCAGCTTGCGCGCTAGGACGAGCTGCATGGCTTCATCCATGGGGTTGTTGCTTACCATGGCGCGGAGGCGCTCCAGCTCGGCTGGTGTGACGGTCAACTCGGCTTCAGGTTCCGCGGGTGGTGCGGGCGTGGACGTGGTGGAGGGGTAGCTCGATGGGGCGGTGTCTGCGGAAGCAATGCTGGGGTTGTAGTTGCGGACCGGCGGGGGCTTGCTGTTCATCTGGTTGGCGGATGGCTGTTGGTGGCCTGGTCTGTACGGTGCTGGGTGTGCTGGGAGACCACCTGGTCCGGTGGCTGCTACTGTGTCAGTTGTATGAATAAGTAGAATAAGTACGTTGTGGTATCCTTACCTCTTCCGCCAGCCCCAATATTCTCGGTCGCCGACCGCGCAGGTGGCCCGAACCCTTGGTCTTGGCCATTTCCATTTCCATAGCCGTTTTGAGGGCCTTGGGCCTGTCCGTTATACTGCTGCTGCTGCTGCTGCTGGCCGTATCCATCGTCCTGGTATCCTTGGCCTTGGTTACCTTGGCGATGTGAGTAATCATCCAAGCCTGGGGAGGCAGCAACACCATAAACGACGGACTGGGCCTCGGCACCCGCACGAGCATCAACAGACTTTTGATAGCTCACTTGCGAGGCGGCCCCTTGAAGAGGGGGAATATTAGAGCGCTCGTCCGACTTACCTAGTCTAGATTGATCTAAGGACATGGAACGGTTGTGGGGATCTTGAGCTGCTCCTGTTAGACTGTGTTAATCGGCTGGGGGGACAAGGCATACCACTACTGTCAAAATAATGATCATAAAGGTCGATGACACTGTCATGCCCCTGGCGGCCATTGTTCTGCTCATATCCGGCAGTGCCGTACCCATCATCATAACCACCATAACCACCACCACCCTGTGGGAGAGGCGGCTGTGTGTATGAGCGTTGCAGGGGACCTGGTCTGTCTGACGATGCCGTCGCAGGTCTGGGAATCCCTCGGCCAGCCGGGCCATTGTAGGGTGCGCTACCGCCTGGTGCTTCAAGCGGGTATTGCTGACCGTTCGCATTGAAACCTGTTCGAATAGGTGAGGTTGGGTTGCCTTCTGCATTGGTCTGGTCATAGCCACCTTGCCCATATCCGTCATTTCCTGCCCCCCTTCCATATCCCTGCTGTGGCCCTCCTCGGCCTTGTGGTGGATATCCTCCCTGCGATGGAGCCTGTCGTCGGTCACCACCATTTATATCCACGCCAGCAAACTGCTGCGCCAGCCCATCCACTTGCGGTGCTCCCGGACCAGGCATCGGTTTTCGCGCAACTCCTCCTGCTCATAATCAGTAGCCGCTTTCGTGGAAAGAAAGGCGCAATACTCACTACCTGGATCTGAGCCCCCAGGCCGACCCCCTCCTCTCCCCATGTTAGCCCCAGGCGGTCCACTTTGGCCTGGGTATCCCCTACTGTCGCCTCGTGGTGGGGGGGCATTTCCTCCCCCGCCATATCCTCTGCTGTCTCCTCTTGGCGGGGGTCTCTGCGCATAGAGGTCCGGGCCACCTCGTCCTCCGCGAGCTTGCGCCCTCGGGTCACCACCACCCCCGCCATTTGGATACCCTCCTCCCGACGGGTAGTTCTGGTTCTGTGGTGGGTAACCCCTCGGCGGTGGCCCTTGGCCACCTCCTCCTCCGCCGCGCGCATTCGGCGGCGGCTGCTGGTATCCCTGGTCGTAGCCGTTTCCGCCTCCGCCTCCGTTGTCATAGCCGTAGTCGTCTTGCTGGTACTGGCCTCCTCCCCCTCCCCCTCCACCCCCTCCTCCTCCTCCTCCTGGCCCATAAGCCTGGTATTGCTGCTGCGGTTGTCGCCCGTCGTTAGGACGGCCCTGGTTGTACGCCATTGTGTGTTCTGGCTTCGAGCGCGACGTATGTGTGAAGTTACGGTTTTGCGACCCGCGATGCGACGGACGAAGCTGGGGTCGACCTCGGTGGTCAGGTGGTGCTGTGAGACACTCTCGGCGCGTTGCTACTTGCGGCGTGTCTGGCGAGCGGGCGGGTGGTCTCGTCGGTGTCTGTGGCTCCCGTCGAGTATGATGCTGTGTAGTGGTGATGCAACCCCTCGTGTCTTCTTTTCTATTTTCCCCGGGGGACCTTCAAAGTGGAGGGTTTATGGGGACGAAGGGTGGTGAATGGGTCCCACTTGACCCTGAAAAAGGTGGAGGTAACGGGGTCAGGCCAGACTAACGCGGCGCGGTACAAAAGATGGGACGGTAGAACGGTACTCGTACTTTTGAGGACAAATAAAGAGGACTTGTTTAACAGGTCGTAGGGTGGTCACAACGACAGCAACAGCGACGACGACAACAAAGGACTCGAATAGATGGATAATAGATGGGATAAGAAATGTACGAGAAAGATTGTTGAGGGAGTGGAAATAAGCTTCGGGATAGCAATCCGGGCTGAGATGTTGCCGGAAGTTTGTTGTTTGAAGTTGTTCATGCTGTAGACATTCCCCCAGTGTCCCAGGGTCCCAGGGTAGTAAGTATTAGGTGTAAGTATAGGGTATGTACAGTAGCAATTGGGCAAATGGTGGGGTACCTTGTGCTATAGGTTGGCGTACACCTAATGCCAAGTACTGTAGCACCTTACTCGTCGACGGTGACCATAGGGTGTACCTTGTGAGTTTGCAACTCCCCGTAGTTGCCGTAGCCTTTCCTCGTCTACCATCCAGACTCGTTCCTTCCTCCCTTCCTTCCCTAGTTAAATTTCCTAGTTAATAGTTAATGCATGACAGATGCAGGTACAAGAAGAGAGAAGAGAGATGAGGTGTTATTGGGATATTGAGATGTTGAGATATTGAGATAATCAAGACAGAATCCTGTTAATTATTCGCATATTTACTCTACACTCTTCTTCTCTACCAGTCTTGTATTGCCATCTGTTACTAACAGACTGTGATTTATCATATATCAAATATCGGATATTATATTATTTCGATATTATTTATTCTTGCTTGTAATATTAACACCTACGTAACTTAATCCCAACCCACACAAACACCCTAGAGTATTATTACCCAACTATGCGCGGCTATAGCTTCTTTCCTCTTCTTGACACATGTTTCGAGTTTCAAAGTGTGCGAGTCTGACCTGACACTCGTTCCATCCTCGTCACATGAGGGGCCCATCATTCCTTCTCTCGTCCGTCATCCTTCCACCGCCTCCTTAACGCCTCCATAGCCAGTTACCAGTCCATTTCATCCCATCCTATGCCTATGCCCATGTATTCGCTCCAAACTTTCCATGACCGCTCGTATAGATATCCGCCATTGACGTCGACGCCCACTCCACCCGCCACGACGACACCACGCGCCCGCCAGCCACCGCCGCCTCTAAGATTAAAACCCCCCAATCCTCAGCCTTCCCACTCGTCTCAGCCTCGTCTTAGCTTGCTTAGCTATCCACCAATCAGCGCACTCACAATCCAGTCTCGTAATTACGGTATCCTAGTAAGACCAGCAATGTAGTTTATTATACTATCGTCGACATCATCACGATTTATTTATCTAGGCCCAGCCCAGCGAAGCTCAAAAGCCCGACACTCCCACTCACGCACACCTCTTCCCCCCCACCACTCACAAAATGGTCCGCAAGGCCCCAAAACCCACGCCCTGGGGCATGTACGCCAAAATGACCATCGGGTTCGTTTCGTCCTTCCCCATCCCCACTGCTCCCCATCCCCACTGCTCCCCCTCCCACTGCTCCCCCTCCGTCTCCCACCACACCCCTCCAAGACCCCAAGCTAACCCTCCTCCAGCGGCGCAATCCTCTGCATCGGCGGCCCCGCCCTCACCATGTGGCTCACCCCCACCGAAGAAGAGCTCTTCTCCCGCTACAACCCCGAGCTGCAGCGCCGCTCGCTCGAGAACAGGCAGCAGAAGCAGGAGGAGTTTGATAACTTCGTCACGCGCCTGAAGGAGTATAGTAAGAGTGATAAGCCGAGTGAGTACCACCCAGTCTTTCTGATTATGCGCCTGTAGAGCTGGAGAGAGGGGAGGGGGCGCGTGTGTGTGTGTGTGTGTGAAGGGACGGAGGTGTCAGTCAGCATGATAGGACAAGGGCTAATAACTCCACAGTCTGGGAAGCTGCTGCGGAAATGGAGGCCAAGAAGAAGAAGATCGCCGATGCCGTGCGCCTAGCTGAGCAGAAACAGGCGGAGCAGACGAAGACACCACTGCGCGGTGTCGTTGATGCCATCGAGGCTGCGCGCAATGACGAGGGCGCTGAGGGGAAGGCGGATGTTAAGAGGTAGATACGCCAAAATGTGATTGGGAAGGCACGGAGACAAAGGTGTGGGAACAATGGCATGGCACCTGAATAGGGTGTGTTTGAGATGATGAGAGGAGGCATGTATGTGTATGATACTGGCAGGATGTGTATTATATGGGTGTATATCGCCCGCGGTGGAAGAGTGTATGTGTATGGATAGGATGAGCTATGTGATACGGGCCGGCGCGCGGCGTCTGGGGATATTTCGGATGGGCATATCAGCCATGAATAGTTTGAGATGTTGGATCTATGACTGAATATAATTCCGCTTTTGATGAGGATTTCGGTAGTTTCTATGGTAATGGAGTGCTTGATTGTGAGTAAACGTGGAGTGCGTGGATATGAAGTGAACAATTATAGAGTGCGTGTTTGTGAAGCGCTTGATTCTGAGGTGCATGGTAGAGAAGTTATGGCTAGGAAGCGCTTGATTATAAAATGCATGGTAAGAATTATATTTAAATACTGTTTTCGTACGGCCATAGAAGCAATTCCAATTGGGTTTCTTCGTGCCATGGCTGTTGTGGAGGAAATAGGACCCTGGAGATTATTTGAGAAGCTGGCCTCAGGGGTGGGCTGGGATGGGATGGAGGGGTAGATATATCCGTAGACAAAAGCGTAACAAGCCCAGTCACAAATTTCAAAGACAGTCGACTGTTTCCCTTTCACACAAAACACATCAAGGCAGAGTCTCCGGTTCGGCTGTCGGCAAAATAGCTCGGGTTTGTCGTTTCTCCAATCGTATATCGGCCTTGTATCGACTCCGCCTCGCATTCGTATCACATCCACATTCACACAAAACCGCAAGTAGTCCCGAATACACGTATCAGACTTGCATTGAACAACAGCTACTATGCGCATCCAGCAAGCCCCGTATCACGTAAAAGTTCCCAGCCCGAGCAGTCCCAAACCCATCGTCCCAACGATTTAGCGGGTGTTGGCGGCCACCTTGGCCTGAGCTCCCTTGGAGCCCTGCTTGCTCGTGATCCTCGATCCTCCCTTGGCAGCGTTCGCAGCGGTCTTGGCCTTGTTGGCCTTCTTTGCCGACTCGGCAGCGGACTTCTTCTCCTTGCCGGACGCGATGGCGGCCTTGCGGGCAGCCTCACGCGCCTCGGGGCGTTGTGTGCGGCGCTCCTTGATCACATCGAGCGAGGCGCCGACAATGGCACGCTGGCTCTTGACGGTACGGCGCGAGCGCTTCTTGGCGACTTCCTGTAGTTTCGACGGCGGTTAGCTTCCTCTTCTTCTTTGTTCTTCTTCTATCCTTTTCCCATCTGCGCCGGGGTTGCGCCTTCGGAGTGCTTGCGTACCTCGGAGATACCCTTCTTGTGTTGTCTGCGGAAGAGGACGGTCCATGCGATGCGGCGGGGGTTCTTGCGCTGGAGGAACAGGGACTCGGACTTGCCCTTCTGGAAACGGAAGATCTTGCTGTCGCCGCGGACGTAGATCTTACCCTGCAACACGGAAAACTGTCAGCCTTTCTGTATAATCTGAGATGTGTGCCCTCCCTCGCGGACGCCTGTGTGTGCTCCTTCAATCGCCCAGCCCGGAGCGACAACGACGCGGATTCGCCCCTCGTCATCGCGGCTTCCACCTCTCTGCGTCATGGATTTGGGAGGGGATCGGATTGTATGTGTACCTTTCCAGGGTAGATCTTCGTGCCGGAGAAGGTGTCGTCGTAGGTACGCATCTTGATTTATTTCCTCCGACTGTGTTGTTAGGTGTCGATGGCTGCCGGCTGCTGGCGTCGTTGTCGTTGGCCTCGCGAGATTTCCGTCTGCCCACGGTGGACTTAGGGCAAATGTTCTCGCTTATGAAATTATGCACTAACCAATTAGCGCCAAGAGCCTCAAGAGGTGCAGTTCAATGCCAGGGTCGGGGCGGAGAGGCGGAAAGTCTTGGCATCGGGAACACCAGTAGGAGGGATCAGTTGGAAAATATATTGAAGTCACGTTTTTCATATCTGATTTATGCTAGAGTAGGAATCATTTATTCGCAATTTTACAACTAATTGATTTGGACTTGGCCAATCTTGAGGGCGTATCACTTTTCTCCGTTCGCCTGCCTCTGAAAGTGCATGCATGGAAATACCGACTCTCCGGCTTCATGGCTTTCCAACCTGTGGAATATCAGGTAGAGGCTTCGCCGTTACTACATGATGATAAAGGAAACTTCTGGACGCCGCTCTATAGCCATGATTGTTCTTTCACTCCAGAGATCTTCGGCAAGGTCATGAGGAATCTCATCCTCAATCCAAACCTGAATTCGACCTTCATCGCTCGTGCAGATATCACGTTGGACACTCCGTATACAGATGATGCCGTGTATGACCCCATACCAATGCTTCTCGATGTTTCGGGCTTCACTGTCGATACTGTCACGATCCGGAGTTTGATCCCACGAAACCCGTTGGTTGACAACCCTATGGATCAGACGTGCCTCATATACTCGCAGAAAGGTGAAATAGAGACCAAGTCTCTTGTCATCTATCTCCCCCACTTCAAATCTCCTTCCGAGTCTCCTTTCTATCATCCAGCTGTTCATGGTATAGCCTTTCTCCATACGTTCAATTCAGAGTCTCAGCAAGGGCAAGTCTCTATTCATTATTCGTTCTTTGATTCTGCACCCAAGACAGAGGCTGTCCAACGAACGGCTCTGCACTTGCTCAGGATACTCCATAAACACGGCAACGGGCTGTTGAACGGCTACGTCAAGAAGGTACATCACGACGTTGTTCTACCCCAAGCAAAAACCCAACAGACGTACGCAAAACTCAAGACGATGTATGCCAAGGACCTCATCACATCCTGGGTTGAGGTCACAGATCCCGCAAAGCACGTCTTTGAAGATCTGGGGATAGCCGCATTTTTAATCGAGCTATGGGCAGAAATGTATCCCAACGGCGACAACTGGCCGGGATTTGTGGATATCGGCTGTGGCAACGGTCTTCTCACACATATTCTCATCCAAGAAGGCTACACTGGCTGGGGGTTTGATGCAAGAAAGCGGAAATCCTGGGATACATATTCACCAAAGACACGAGAAAATCTAAAAGAACTCGTGTTGATACCGTCTGTAATACAAAGTCATAACGAAAGTCTCGACAACAAAACAGATTTAACCAATGAGCAAGACACCATTCAAGGAACCCATCCTGGGACCTTCCCAAAAGGAACTTTCATAATATCAAACCATGCCGATGAACTAACGCCGTGGACCCCCATCTTAGCCAACTTGTCCGAGTCGCCTTTCATAGCAATACCATGCTGCAGCCATAACTTGACCGGTGCACGCTTCCGCGCGCCGCCGTCGAAAGAAGCTGGCGTGTCGAGTTCGGCGTATGCTTCATTGGTCGCCTGGGTATCGAAGCTAGCGATAGATTGCGGATGGGAGCTTGAGAAGGAAATGCTGCGAATACCGAGTACAAGGAAAGAATGCTTGCTGGGACGGAGGCGGGTAATGCCATTTTCGGAAATCGATGTGGAGGACGTGATTGCTGCATATGGCGGTGCCTCGGGATGGGAGGAGAACGCGTTGAAATTAGTTAAAGTCGGGCCCAGAGGGCACTAAAGAGTTCTGTCCACGCCAGCTAATTCACTCTAAGAAACTACAAACCCCTCCCTGTCAAGCTGTCAAGTAAAGTCGAAATTAAGTGATCTTTTTGTCGCAGCTTCTCTGCGTCCAATTGGTGCATGTGCTCTAAATTCGTACGCGCATCCCAAAGTGCCTGGCATTCACCGTTTAGATCATCCACGGTCGACTCTAGAAACAGATTGCGTGCCTCTAGGACAATATAGCGTCCCTCTAGAAACAGATTGAGTGCCTTTAGATCCTGATTGCTCGCCTCTAGATCCCGGATCCTAGCGGCCGACTGGATGTCCTCCGCCATATACCCTTTAATCGTCCACCGGGCAGATTCAAGTTTTTCTCTGCGGCGGAAACATTTTCTTAAGAGCTTGCAGAAGTTTCTTTTGTTGAATCTCCACTTGATTCTAGTGCGAGGCGTAGCACCTGTTGTGTTGCCAGCTGGGCTAGAGGAGCCAGCTGTGTTCAAAGGCGCCTCGGTCCCTTGGCAAGCGTCTGTTGCTGCTATCCCCTCGAGAAGATGAGCCTGCCCTCGGTTACCGGCAGACATGAAGTCGCGGGAACTATGAGCAGGAGTCGTGATAGGATCCCAGGCCTCAGCAGCACTAGCATAGGTCCCTGGAATCTGGCTCGGGCCCTGTGGAGGGAGGAGTACCGTTTGGTCCGTATGGAGACAAGGTTGCCCATAACCAGCCGAACGTCCTGCTGATACTTCTGCGCTGGCATTTGTGGAAGCTCGGTTCATCTGTTGAGCAAGGGATGTAGGGAGGCTTTGGGCCGTCGGGCGCATAACGAAGAAGGATGAGCTCGGCGATCCGGAGAGTGGCTGTGCCATATTGGTGGGTGGGAAAGCGACCAGTAGGACTGGCCCTAAATTTCAAAAACCAAGTTTAAATATATGACCAAGAATGAAGCCGATAGAAGTGAGAATGTGCAGTGATGGGGGTGAGAAGATAAACCGCGTTTTGAGACTTTAATGTTGATAGATGTGACCGAAAGTGTAGAAGATGAATATGCAGGTATGGGAATTGGAAAGGGAAGGGGAAAGGGAAAGGACATAATTAAATAGACTATGAGATTTTGATTTGGACTGCCTTACCTCGTCATACCTCATTCGTTTGGATTGGGGGTTCAGTTATCACAGTCGATATGGAAACGGCGCTCATAGAGTAGCGTGCCGCCGGTCGAATTATAGTTCAACGCCAGCAGTTTAGCATTGTGACTCCCACATAAACACACCACATTATTCTCACCTGGCGTATCAACGCATATTCAAGCAGATTGGACATTGGAAGATTGACTGTGGCTGTATTCGAAGAGTTTTGTACAAGCAAGTCATCAAGAGCCTACTTCGCCCTTCGAATGACCCCCCAAGATCTGTTCTGCCAGGCTGAGACACAAATCCATCCACGCATGTGCGCCCAAAACAGCCTATCGCATCACCTCAGCAGCCATCCTTGCGTACTGGCGCCACAGTAGCGTCCCATCCATCCTGCTCGGCTTTTAACTTTTTTTAAGCGCTTACTCGACATCGACCTTCTCGTCGAAAGTCTCGCCGGCAACCAAGTCTGGGATGTCGTCATCGTCCTCCTTCTCCTCACCCTCCTTCTTCTGCATCGACTGGTAGCTCTCGGCCAGCTTGCGGAGCGAGGCCAGGGAGTCGGGGCCCAGCTGGTTCAGGATGCCGGGTACGAGCTCGGTAAGCTCCTTGTCCTCACCGTTACCGTAGATGGCGAAGGTGTTGGATGGGACAGCGGCGTGCACTATTTGTATATTGTTAGCCTCGTAGCTCGTATTTCAATACACCGCCTTGTATGTTGCCGCATAATGTATTTCCGTCGGATATGTGGCCTTGAAGAGGCTGTCGGGTAGAAAGTTGGATGTACATACCCTTTGGTGCAGCGAAGTGGATAACGTTTCCGTCGGCCTTGAACATGTTGACCTCCTCGATGGCCTGGATGGGCTGCACGTTGATCTTCTTAAGAGCGGTCTGGAGCTTCTTGTCGTCGACACCAAAGTTCTTTGGCTTGGACTTGACCTTACGTCTCGGGGTACCCTTTCCGCTATAATCCCACAATTGTCAGCCTCAATCCATCAATTTCGTCTGTCCCTGATGCCTCCTCTCCATCATTTGTGCCTGGTTCGTCTTTCGGAGATAGATGGGTCGAGGTTTGGAAATCTGCTTACCCTACAAAGATATGTCAGCAGGGGTGTCGGTGAAGGATGAACTGCCTTCCACGCTCTTCAAAGCTTGCTATTCGGCTCATCTCGGGGTCAGAAGTTCAACTCACCAATGCGCACCGACTGCTGCATCTTCTTCAGCTTGTCCATATCCATGATGGCGGTTGTGTTGGGGGTGGACTGAGGGAGAAGGATGACTGTAGGGCAACCTGTTAGCACTTGGAAGTCGTATCGGAAGTCGTAATGTCGAAAATCCGATCAATGGGCGTTGGAAGGGACACGTACAAGTCGCTGTTTCCACAATAATTCAATAATTTGACCGTCGTCGTCGTGTCGTTGACAAGGGAGATGGCGCATTGGCTTTGTGGGCGCCAAGACTTCACACTAAGCGAAACGAATCTACGCTTCGACGGAGTACTATGTGGGGAGCCGCGGTCATGACATGAGCGACCTTGATTCACTTGGATATACATTATTATTTTATTTACTTCTAAAAACAATTATAATACTGCCTCTATATATTTGTATATTACAATCTGGTAAATAAAATGGCGTTGAGCTCAATATGCTGTCGGCTCTTCGGTTGAAGGCTCCAAATTTGTGGCGTCATTTCTGGGGAAGGTACACCGAGGAATGAGAAAACATCAGAATATCACTCTAAAAGATATCGTTGGTTTTATATAAATATTCAACGGGGCATATCTGTATGCCTGGCTTTGCGGGCAATTGATTTTAGTTGATGGCAGTGAGAAATAATATTTTCTGATTTAGTATATTTTTATTTTTATTTATTAAATGTATTCGACAAACATATACTCTTCAAAGCGAGGAATCACTACAATTGAACATTCTTTAGGACATAGATTTAAGCCGAATAGTACGAATATTATATTTTCCTTGTATAATAACCTACAATACCCCTTTCTAACATTACATACAATGCCTCCACCCCTCCTTGCCTCCCGTGGCATGGCCGTATAATATACTCCCGCTGAAAAACTTCCCGACTCCATCCACATCATCGCATTCTACCATTCGAGACTAGTCATCCTTATTGCTGCCTGCGATATCACCGCCGAAAAACCCGAGCCAGAAATCGAGCCACCACATAAGCCTCCAGTAGAAGCTGGCAAGCGCCCAGTCAAATTCCCCATCATCCTTCCTCGGCACCTCGCTCCCAATGATATCTCCAGTAATCCAGCTGATGACGGGTATGCTGGCAAGTAGTTTCTGTGAATAACTTTGTTGTGGAAGCAAGGCATCTGATGCAGGCAGGAGCTGCATTTTCTTCGCTGTAGGAATACGTCGGCAGAACACATCGTCATCCTTACTCCTGGCAGGTGGTTGAGGTCCAGCCGCGAGGGTTGAAGTTGATTGTGTCTCGCTAATCGTCGCAGTGTCCAGAGTAACCTCACTCGTATCTGGACTTGGGGGGCTAGGAATACTAGCCCACCTGCCTGCACTTGAAATCGTCGAATTCCTCGGCATGCTTCCAAATGGCCTGTCCCTCCCTGCAGCAGACCAATCTTTCCGCCCAGCCGCGGCTCCGAGTGTATGCCTTTCCCTCCCTCCATATCCCGGCGCTGGTACTGCGTCGAGCTCTGTTGGTGGTCCGCCTCTCCATAACTCTGCGTAAACACTGAATCCCATAACCGTTTGTGGGCTTTCTTCAATCGCCACCTCCGCTGCTTCCTCGCTTTCGAATGTGATCTTGATCCAGTTTTCGCCACCAGCAAAGCTTAAAGCTTTCGCCCTCTCTTCTGGCGTCAGGGTCCTGGCTCTCAGCGCGGTTGGATCTCCGCGACCGGCCTTGAATTTCAGCTGTGATAGAGCTGGGTCCCGTGGGTAGTCTTCAAGAATCGTGCCTGCAAGAGTCTCGTAGTGGGAAATGGCCGCATATTGTTGTGCGCTGGGAAATCCACGGAGGATGACCTCGGTTGGGATGCGGTGGACGGGGTGGTGTACGAGGTTCGGCTCATGGTCCGTGTCGCTGTTGCGATCAAGTTGCGATACAGGTTGTGTGAGGCTTTGCTGTGAACCTGAGGGCCGGCGAGATTTATCTGTGGCTGAACTGCCTGAGGGCGTCGGCTTTTTGGTGAGTTCGGCTACGTATGAGGAGAAAATCGCATCTGCAACAAGAATATTCGGGTCTTCTTTCCTGGCTGGCGTTCCTGTCTTTGAGCGCGAACGCCTGACCGATCGTCCAAAGGAGCCGCTTTCGGGGATGGGCTTGCGTGCGCGGGTGTTGTGTTGGGTTTCCGAGCTGTGGGAGTTGAGGTCAGCAAAAGGTTCAGCAGGGTCATTGGCCTGGTCGTGATGATATTGAGGATGAGATGGAAGGCGAGGAGGACATACCCAGGGAAGACCATCGCATATGGGCGCTGGATCCCGTCTTCTCCTACATATAATTCGTCGTCCGGAACATTGTGAAGAATGAGAGGAGGCATCGCGGCTGTTTATATTATGAGGAGGACTTATAAACAAAGAAGAACCTGGATGGCTGCGACGTGAAGTAGTTGTGAGGGGAGAAAATCCGATCTGTTGCTGAGGTCGCTGTCGCAGCGATTTATTGTTGATGAACTTCGCGATTTCTGCTGATCCCTGGAGCAACGCGATTCGTCGTCCTGCAGGGGTTTAAGGGAAGGAGTTATTCCGTACCGAGCCGCCTATGTCATAGCTCCACAACCTCGACATCAAGGTTGACTGTGTTTGACTACATAATACCATTTATTTACAACCCACGAACTGTGAGAAACATTAAAACAATTATAACAATCAATTGCCAATAGATACTTCAAGATGTTCAGATTTGTACGTATGCCGCCGTCTTGGGTCGAGAATGGAGCTAACAACCAACCAGCGCAAAGGCCTCGACGTGATTACGCTGTTCCACAGCCCAACTGCCCCAGCTTCGATGAGAGTCCACAGTCTCTTGAAGCAAGCTTCAGCGGCCGCTGGAGAGACAGCTACAGAGGACCAAGCGAGCGACCACACGCAACAGACAAAGAGCAGCGTTCAGACGGAATTCGAGCTCAACGTTATTGAAGACGCCCCGACCCCGGATCAGCTGAAGAGCATTCTCGAATACGTCGGAGAGAATGGAGCTGGCAAAGTCGTCCAGGGAGCAACGAGTGGGAAGGATGCCTTCACAAAGTGGAAGAAAGATAAGGGTAGCTTCCAACGGCCATTGGTAAGCTCCCAGCGGTTGGAATGGCGTGGCATGGCGGCAGGCTAACAGAAGGTAGACGGTCGACTGGAACAACGGAAAGGTGGTGGCAGGTGCAAATGAATCGGAGATCCTGAAATTGTTGGAATCGCTGCCAAAGGAATGATTTTGAATTTAGCGTTCCTACACGGGCATTTCCCGTCTGTCTCTCTCGATACCTCAAGTGAAGGTGTCAAGAAGTGTGATTATATAGATTGATTTGGCCTCGTGGCGGGTTGATAAATTTCACTCCACTCTTTCCAGGCTTACGAGCAAATTAAGTAAATAGCGAACCCAAGGTGGTTTTGAATGTGCAGAGTCAATATGCTTCTTTCAATTCTTGGCGGGGACCTGTGGTAGCAGCAGAGAGCGGTTTGTACAGTATGTTTCATGATCAATAACAACCCCTTATCATATTACCAGCAGTCTCATTATCGTAGTTTGTTTGCATCGTTGGTTATATGGGATTGGATACTGATCTGAGAATGGGTGGCTTCATACGGACTGCCGTTTTGGAGAGAAAGTGAAATATAATCCAAGCACTTGCAGCTTGAGTCGAGAAGGATCAATGATGCTGCTATAGTCTGAAGCTGCCAGTTATCTCCTTCTCGTTAAATCTACTGCCGTGGCTCTGTCGCGCTTCCAATATCATCAAGAAGAAGTGGAAGTGGAAGTGAATTCTGTTTTTTGTTCTCTTTGTTTATGTTCGCTAGCTTCTGCTCCTGCCTCCCTCCTATCTGAGTGTTTAATTTTAGAACTGCACAACTGGGTGGCACCTTCCTGCTGGATAGCTGGCACTCAACGCTCGACGCTCTTATCGTGGACGCGTCTTCACTCCTCCCTCCTCCCTCTTCTCTCCTTCTTTCTTAACTTTCTCTTTCAACTTCTCTCCCGACTTCTCTCTCAACTTTTCTCCCAACAACTCTTGCAACTTCTCTCTCAAACATGGTCGACACAGCGTCGTAACTATTGAAATTCAACACAAGAATCCACAAGGAGCCTTTATTTGGCCCCTCCTTATTTAAATTGGCTTGACAGTTCTGTGCCATCTATAAGACGGCTCCAGGTCAGTGCTGTTTATCTACTCCAATTATAAATCATGTTCTCAACACCCAATACAGATAATCTCAGCTTCAGCTTCAATATCTGCAGCTCGTGCCCTCTGATCTGACCTACATGATGAATGTATGTCATTCCTGGTCACCAGTCTAAGCTTCATTTCTAATCTTGTAGGCTCTTACGCCTCTTTCGGATTTCGCCCCGCAGAGGCTGCCCATGGCACCGCCAATGCCGCCCACTGGCTTCATTGACCTGCCTGTCGTCCCAGGATATGTGCCTCCTGAGCTGTTCACCAATTTCCCGCCAAATGCTCCTGCTTTCTTCTCGACCAACCTCAGATCACGCTCAATTCGACTTGTACCAAAACCGGCACCACAATATGCGGTCCGAACCAATAATCCAAACGATATCTACGAAAGAGCCAATTTCTATCGAGATAAATATCCAGGTTTCGTTCATACTATTCAATCTTTGCCGATTGCCTGGGAAGATCTATACACTTACTTTGATCCCTTGGATATCTGGATGGAGGGAGCCGGCTTCTGCTTCAACGTCATCCACCGTCTCGCAGCTACCAATATCGAGAAGAGACGACAGATAGAGTCATTCGTCAACGAATGGTCTGTAGTCAATCTCGCAAAGCTTGCCAGAGTCCCCCCCAACACACCTGTCATGGCGGTATTTGAACCCGAAGATTATCAGTACTTCGACTTCGATAACTTGCCTCGTACTGATATGGTTGACGTATGCAATTTTCTTGCTCAACGGTGCTATGCTCTGCAACCACAACTCCAGCTTATCAGAGAAGGCCTCGCGCGGTCCGTGGAAATCGATGGAAATAATTTTGCTCCCCCAGGTTAGTTAAGATCAACAAATCACCGCTGCACTATACTATTTGCCACCATTTGAACGAAAAATAACATAATTCCGGGCAGTTCCAACTCGACCAGGCCCAAAGGCCCAACACCAGATTCCATGGCAGGAATCTCCAAATTCAGACGCAATAGGTCTTGGGATTGCTTCTGCCAGAGAGTCTGCCGGAGAATATCATGTGCACCGACGTGAGGTCTCGCTCGAAAAGAATCGCGGCATGGTGAGGAGAACGGATAACCCTTCGCTCTCATGTATACTAACTATTTGCCAAGGTCCGCTACTCTCAAGTTTCGCAGACGAAAATCGAACCGATTTACACGTATAATCCGCATAGAATCTCTCGGAGTAGACCTATGTCTCTGGCTGGACCGATTCCAACGGCCTATACGCCACCTCGCGACTTCAAAGACCGAGCATTAGCCAACGATAATGACCAGGATCGTGTAATATCCGGTTCCAAGCCTGGAGTGAACCGGAACAGGGCCTATTCAAATGTACCCAGGAACAAAACCTTTACAAAGTACGAGGCTGCAGCAATCGTTGAAGTAAAAACTGCGATTCCAGATACACAGAATCCTGCGGAGAAATATTATTATATTCAAAACTCCGCGACCCTCGTGAACGCCGTAATCGAAGAAGGTCGCTCGATCTATATACGGGGGTTTACAGACGACGAGTTCACTTCAGATCTTGTTCCAACAATGATGGAGTGTTGCGGAGAGATCGAGGGATACAGACCCCTCAAGGACTTTGCATTTATGACGTAAGTTATTGAACCCTCGGCCATGTTTTCGTTGCCTTTACGCGGATTCTAACCCTTATTTTAGCTTCAAAGCCGATACGAGTGCTACAGAGGCAATCCAACGCTTCAACGGATTCTTTTATGATGGCAGAGTATTGATAGTTGCACCCTATCGGAGAAAGGCAGAGATTGATAATCGGAATGGGCCAAATCGCCACCGAGGAGACTCGTTTAGAGGCAACCAGCGCTACATGAGCGATCATACTGGAGATTCATCTGAAGCTGGTGAGCACAGGCGAACTTATAAAACCACCGAAAGGGACCAGAATGCCAGCGTTTCAAACAATGGAGATCAAATGCCGAGAAAAGAAGCCAACACGCCTTCAAAACGATACAATACGCCATCCAAACAGAATCTTACGATTAAGAAGGCATATATTGAAAGTGGCACTACGCCCAGGGGTGGAAAGGGCCACCGATCGACAAGCTCAGGCCAGTCAACCAAGACGACGAAGTCTTTTGACACAGGAAAGCTACGGTAAGTAATGTCCATATCTACAATTTGGCAGATACTGACTGAATACGACAGAAACGACAGCATCCCTGGCATTCCAACCAGTAAGGGGTCACTTGCTGTTTCTGAGAACCTCTCTGTGCCCGAGGAAGGAAAATATGGGACCTCATTCAGCAGCTACAGTTCATCCTTTACTCACAAGGAAAGCATATTTGATGAATCGCCAGCTGAAACCTTGCTCTACCACACTATGAAGAATTCTGAGAGCTCGTCTGGCAACAAGGAAAGTTTTATTAGCAGCGACGTTCTCTCAGCTTCCCCCGAGCGTCGTGATCCCAGCACGACCATGGGAGAATCGGATAGGCTTGGAAAAAAGAAAAAGAAAAAGCTTAAGAGCATTGATTTCATTGCAATTGCCACTGGTGGCACTGGCCACTCGACACGCAAGACGGCAGCTGAGGTGATGAGTGCCGAGGCATTGAAATCTGAGGGCATATCTGATGCAAACAACGACGACGCTGGCTCTTACAACCCCCCCAAACTAGATTCAGAGACAAAAGACGAAGAATCGTCCACGCAACCCACTTCGAATAAAGGCCTGGCAGGAGTCGGCGAGTTTGGAGGCAGATCACCTTTGAAAAGGCCCACGAAGGTGAACCGTGGTTCTCCTAGAAAGTTAACCACGGACGAGGGGTCGCCCAGATCCTCAAAGAAAAAGCATGGCAAGACGGACAGTAACAACTCATCTCTTGGTATCGAGACCAGAGTGAAGAAGTATGAAGGCTACGAACTAACTACGAATGAGATTATTTACAACCCTGGTGAAGCCCCTCAGTCAGAGGCTGGAAATCAAGTGAAGGTCAAGTTTTTTAAAAGAAACAAGTCCAACATCGACCTCAAAGAGAACACACACTCCGAACGTGTCCTTCCAGCTACAGAGGTCAATATACTCACCGACCCCACGCACTGGCCGAGTCTTGGAGAAGAAAAGCCCAGTTTCCGAATCGACCAAAGCACTACTGGCCATTTAACCATGGCGCTGTTGAACCCCGCGCTGGATGAATGCGTGGTGACAGCGAGGAGGAATTCTATGGCAGCCATTATTTCTCAAAAAACCAGAATCGTTCCTGCAGTACCACTGCTCCTTCGATCCGTGACAATGGCTGAGACGAGGTCTGTCAGCAGTGATTCAGCTAAGAGGTACTTTATTATCTATATTTCTAACTCTAATTTATTTGCTGATATAATTGCAGCGACGACACGATAATCACTGTCGCCAACACCACAGGAACCAGACTCTGGCCTGCAGTAGTGAAGTGGGCCGGGAAGCCTCCAAGCGCAGACGTCGTTGAAAATCAGCCCGAATCAGCCGCCCCCGCCAGCTGCCCGTAGTATTATATTTGATAGAGTGGACGTTGCTATCTCCTTTTGCGCACGGGATTAGTGAGAATGGAAGGGTAGGGAGCATGAGCCTGAATTATAAATAGAGATTTGTTGTGCCTTGAGCACGTACGGAACTGGCGGCAAATAGTGGCTACACTGGGTAGGCTTTGAAAAGGGGGAGACTAAAATGGCAAAATGTGTCGGTGAGTGGGATCCGAATGTTATTGTAGTACGGAGAGTATACAGATGAAGAAGTCATATGGCTTCCAAGATGGTTTCTTTTGACCAAAAGTAAGGGACGTAGAAAACACACGATATTTGTCGTTGATTTACATACTAAAATTCCCCTTCTACCAATATTTCCGAGGGGGATCTCCCATACACCCCTTCTAATTTTGGTATCAATTCCAAAACGCCCGCTTCCATGTCATAAGTCCAAACCAACACATTAGAATTTCCCTTCAAGCCTGATATCCCTTGAGCTACTCCCAACCCTTATCGTAAACGCCCCGTCAATAGGCATGACCCAGTTTTGCTCCCTCACATCCCAGAAGCTCAGATCTCTTCGAGTTAACTTGAAATGGACATCCTTTATCTCTCCCGGCTTCAAGTTTATCTTCTCAAAGCCTCTCAGCACTTTAACTGGGAAGTCACTCATATCAGTGTCGAACCAGCCACCTCGTCTCATCCCACCCATGGAGTCGCTAGGAACTGGGGACTTGGGGTATGATAAATACAACTGTGCAACTTCTGCGCCAGACACCCCGCCGGTGTTTTTCAGGGTCACGGACACGGTAGCATGGACATCGAAGAGTGATGGGTTGCCACCCTCGCCGCCACCGGCTTGGGATGGCAGCTGTGTCGTATTGTAGCCATCTGGGTATGGATATGGCCCTGTAGTAATATCCGATACGTTGTCGATGTAGGGATAAATGTACTTTGCTAACCTTCTGAAGCCAGAAGGGTACAGCGCAGATGAGGGGTCGGGAAGTGTTTGATCATAAGTTGGTGGAGCTGTAGCATTTGGCCGCAGGTCAGGTAGTGCCGACTTCCCCTTGACGGTAGTGACCTGAATATCGCTATACTCAAACTTGGTGTAGGAGAGACCAAATCCAAACTCGAAGCGTGGTGTGATGTCATATTTGTCAAAGTGTCTGTAGTCGATGTAGATCCCTTCAGAGAAGTTTTGCTGCGGGATCGGCGCATTGGGCAAATAGAGAACCTTGGCTCCACTCCCGTAATCGTCGAGACTCTTTCCAATTGTGTATGGAAGTTTACCGCTCGGGTTCGCGTCGCCGAAAAGGATATCGACGAGGGCATTGCCACTTTCTTGGCCAGGAAGATGAGCCATAACCACGGCTTTAACGCCGGGAAGATCAATCCAACTTTCCATCAACACAGGGCCAACGGCGTGAACAACGACAATAGTATCGCCTTTCCCGCCACCACAGCCGTTTGTTACCTGCTGGACAAGCTTATCACCATCCTTGTGTAATTTGAGGTCATTTCGATCGCCCGCAATGCCATCGGATTTCTTGTAGCCCTCGCCCGAGTCAGCGTTCACGAACACGATACAAATATCTTGGTCCTTCAGCATCGACGAGCTTCCCGGTGGCGCCTTGTTGGTCAATGAGTCGGTTACGTCGACTTTGGCCTTATCAACGGCCGCCTTGATCGCAGAAACTGGCGTAATGAGATACGGAAACTCAACGGCCCCAGAGCCCCATCCAGATCCTAGAGTTCCCTGGTTACAGGCGCGATCCTCGCAAGCATTTGGCCCATTTCCTGGCCCAGAGTCCTCCCCGAATATGCCAACTCTAAATTTCCTGTCCTGTGTCGCACCTTCTGGCCACCCCACACGGCTGAGAGGCAAGATGCCACTGTTTTTGAGCAACACTGTCCCTTGTATTGCCACCTCCTTTGCGATTTCGGCGTGGGAATTTTCCTCTTCGCCTTGAACATTGACAAACTGATTGACAATTTGAAGGTTGGTGTCATCTGGGCTACCATGATGAAGACGTCCTTTGGCATCATTCGTCCACGACGAGAAGTTTGGTCCCTTTCGGTCAAATTTAGATTCGTCATCCTGTCCGAGTTGGTACCATGCTGCGACAATACGGGTCACCATATCGTTCAGCCGAGATACAGGCACAGAGCCGTTGAGAACCGACTTGGTAAGTTCAGGGCCCCAGAGCGACTGGCCGTTTGCCCAAACAAGACCATCTCCTGGCATGCTCATGTCCAACCCTGCCAATGTGCTCGCCACCCCAGCGCGCTGCGCCAGCCAGTCGGACTGGACGAATCCTTGAAATCCAAGTTCGTCCTTTAGAATACCATTTAGCAACTTGCTATTGGCGCAAGAGTATGAGTTGTTCGTCATCTGGTAACTGCACATGACACTTGCAACGCCAGCTTTAACGGCATCAGCGAATGGCCATAGGTAGAGCTCGTGCAAAGTCCTGTCGCCAATGTTTGAGCTGAGGGCGTTTGGGATGGCCCATTCCCGAGCCTGTCGGAAGTGTTCTTGCTCATTCCCAATGTAGTGCTTAATTGTAGCCATGACTCCTTCTCCCTGGATGCCTTTGACCGTCTCGGCGGCAGCAACGCCCTGGAGGTAGGGATCGGCTCCAAACCCTTCCCAGTTCCTGCCACCCGCAGGCATACGCCCAAGTGGCCCCACGCAGGGGCCAAGGAGAACATTGATGCCCTTCAAGCGCGCTTCCTGGCCGTGCGCTTTCCCCCTTGCATACATCAACGTTCTGTTCCACGTAGCGCCAACTGTCAACCCCGCTGGGAATGCTGTAGCATTGTCGGCAAATCTAATGCCCAGAGGTCCATCTTGGAGCGCTAGGCTTGGGAAGCCGACATGTGTAGCTGGCGCAGTGTTGCCTACTGCGAGGCCCATCTGCCAGCCTACTCCAGTCGACACATTTACTTTTTCCGGTATTGTCATCTTCTCAACCAGTTTGGCAGCTTTGGCATAGCTCTCTTTCCACGGCGTGTCGATTTCTCCTCCGAGTGGGGATGGATACCATGGCGGCGACTCGCCGTCAACCGGCACCATGTTGTAAACCCACCATCCGCCCCCACTAACCACGATTCCGATTATTATGACCACCACGGCGATCATGAGGCAGCATTTTGAGCGGCGGGTGCAGCTCCGGCGGAGCTTCGACAAGGGCTTCATTTCGGAAGACTCTGTAGAAGGTGGCTCCTGGTACTTCAGGTAATCGGTTGCATCGAGGTCGGAGTCGGAAGAGGATCGATATGCTTGGTCGAGCGACGGACGCAAGAGACCTTCACGACTCTCACTGGCGCCGTCAGTGACTGTGTTTCGAACCATGTCGTAAAAAATGCAAGTCACGTCAACAACCACGACCACGGCAACACTGCTGAAGATGTGTTGCTGTTCAGACGAGGCTATCCACAATATCTACGATGTCCACGATTGAACCCACAGCTGAGTACAACCCCAGCTTTCTGGTGCACGGGCGCCTTGGTAGCAGCTTGTTTGCGGCCCCACTTGTTTGCTGTGCTGTTTGTTTGACGAACTTGGCAATCCGTCCTGTCAATCCGTAACCCCTTGATAAATACGAACACGTGACTGTCAACAGGATATTCAAGATGTAAAGGGAAAGAACCCCCTGGGACACGGCGCAATTGCCTAAATAGTGGACAAATAGCTCAGCTCAAAGACATTTAAGTAGGAGCGGAGGCTAGGGGAAAATACAAAGCAGTCTCTCCATCCTCGTTCTACCCTACCTATACTGCAATTCTGTCTGTGAAGCTCACACACGTTTCTTACTTTTACATCAAGAGATCAGATTCATAACCTCCCCCAACAGGAAGTGTGAAGACCGGTAGGTATAACTATAAACTATCAAGTGGAAGTGGTTGAGTGATCCCCCGTCAGATGGGAAACCCCAGCACGCAAGTATAGGAAAGCAATATACAGCGTCTCTCCAGAAAGCAATCACTGAATATGGCCTCCCATGCCAACGAAAACTTAGATTACGATATCTCAGAGCTGGTGAGGACGGATCTGAGAGAGAAGCTTCTTCCTCCGATTGTAGCAGAGATCTTGTCCTCCCCACCCTTTGTCAAGATCTCGGGTGTCGCCAATGTGCGGGATATCAGCAGAACTAGGACGGCTGTCAACATACGCCAAGGGTTTGCCTACCGCTCTGGTTCCCTGGCCAAATTAGAGGCTTGGGAATGAGAAAGCTGGTCGTTGACGTTGGTGTGAAGACAATCTTCGACCTTCGAAAACCCTCTGAGAGAGAGAAATATCCCGGCCCCGAAATTCCACGCGCCGAGACTGTATGGCTGGCCTATGCGAAAACTCCACAAAAAACGGACATGAAGGCCTTTGCCAAAGACGATGGTGGGGTATCTGCCTTTGTAGATATGTACGACGATGCTCTCAAAGTCCTACAGCCAACGTTTAGGGCAGTGTTTACACACGTCAGGGACCAACCGAATAAGCCATTTCTGTTCCATTGCACTGGTGAGTTCCAGTGAAGAACCTTATTCGGAGAATGGCCTCAAGCTGACAGCTTTTCCTCACACTAGCCGGAAAGGACCGAACCGGAGTCCTCGCTGCACTCATTTTGCAACTCGTCGGTGTCCCCAGAGATCACATTACTCACGACTACCTCCTCAGTCGTGTTGGCACTGAGCCTGTTCGACAGTCGCTTTCTAGTTCGCTTCAGGCTGGCGTGAACGATAGAGGCTCCAACCCAACCCACTTCAGCCCCGGCATGTTGGCGTTCATGAGCGTGAAAGGCACCACAATTACCACGTTTGTCGAGTCGATCGAATCTCGGTTTAAGGAGGGCATCGTCGGCTACCTCAAGACTGATCTCGGATTTACCGAGGAAGATATCGAAAAGATGCGAGTCAACTTGGCGCCATCCCATTGAAGCCCGGTCATTAGAGTGTGGCTGTTGACATTGTTTCAGAAGTGCACAGAATCGAAGGCGTTGAGAGAACAGACTTCCACCCATACACGATAGAAATTAGCATCTGACTTCCGTAGGAATGAATTATACCCAATTGTATTCATGTTTACTTTTCACAATAGCAGCCTTTTTGAGCGTTTATCAACCACAAATGTGGGGTAGACAGGCATTGTTGGGAGTGAGTGAAGATGTTGGCAGCAACTTCACGGAAGGGCTCGGCGCGGCCCGAGTTTTTAGCTTCGTTCACGTCGGGCCTCCTGGCATTACCTCAAAAGCGGTCAGGGCCCACCTTCACTCGCACCCGAGCTGTTGGAACAGTGCTAATTTTAAAATATCTATTTTCGTGATAAGAGATCGCGTTTGATCCATCATGCGCGATGAGGGGCGGAATGTGTCGTCGCGCTTCAGTACCATATATCTGATTGGTCTGGGATTGACCACAGAAGCGCCCTCGTTAAAACCATGTAGGTACGCGCTCACAGGAGAGAAAGGCCACAGGAACTGGCTACAGTAAACAGAAACAAGACTGAGAACGAGTAAAATGACTTCAATGCTTTTTTACGATGTCGAAGGCCGATTTTTCCTGGCCAATGTCGCCTAACAGCGTGTATCAACATCCACACAGCTGGAGGAGGCTGTGCGAAACACTGCCTACATTTACATGCGGCCTATCGAGCGGGCATTAGTTCAGCCTTGCTGCGCACATTCAAGAATAAAATGCATCCCCTTCTCCTCGTTCGTTTCCTCTTTCCTTCATTTCATTATCGTTGTGTTTCTGCTTGTACGAGTATCTCGTCTGGCATTCCCGGGTCTTTCACCATCTTCAACTGGTTGGTAACGATCTACACCCCATCTTACTCACAACGGCCTAGTACTAACAGCCTTTCCAGTTGATGTGTGCCTGTATTATTTATCTACAACATTGCTAGCTTCTATTCGCCATGAACGTGACGACTAGCACTTCAAATAGCACCAATGCTACCTCGGAGCGCCTTGGATGGACGGAAACACCCAATACCCGTGGCAGCATTGATATTCTATATACCTGCCTTTCAACAATTTTCCTCTGCTCTTGGACTGTCTTGCATCTGAACATTCCGTCTTGCTCAGACACCTCGAAAAAGATTTTCTTGAGAAAACTAAAATGGATGGGAATCGCTATTATAGTCCCGGAATTTGTCACTGCGCTGGCTTTCAATCAGTGGAAGCAGGCATGGACAATAAAACGTCGTCTAAAGACTGTGAGTTGGACACAGGCATGGTTTTGCGTATCAGGAGGACTGCGATATTCTGAAATCGCCCCAGCCGACCCCAATGTCCCCGGATCTGTCGAGGGAAAATACAGGCCTAGAGTTATTCTGTTTTGTGACGATAAAGGCAGAAGGATCATCCCGCCAGAAGCAATACCCTCAATCGGCCTCCCAAGCGATGACATGATCAAGGCAGAGAATAAGACTGATAGTCTGTCACAACTAATTGTCGTTTTGCAAGTATCTTGGTTTACCGTCCAGTGCATATCCCGGGCGGCAGAGAATCTGCCCATCAGCCAGCTAGAGATAGGCACTGTTGCCTACGTGGGCTGTACAATGCTTACGACTGCCTTTTGGTGGTACAAACCGCTCGACATTCGTTTATGGAAGTCATATAGCGATTCCGAAGTGGCCATCCTTGACGAGGTTGGTTCGGGGTTAGATTCCCCCAAGGCACAGATCTGTCTAGGTTATTACCGTTTGCCAAATTTCGTTCTTCCGTCGGAGGTGAGGGCGAAATATCAGACAAACAGGACTGGGTCTCAGAATGGGGGATATGAGTGGGTGGAATATGACGGCGAAGATCTATTTGGGTTTGATGGCAATGCCATACGAGAATCCGTGATTGGTTCTATCCTCGCCAGTCTACTCGGTTCAATACACATTGCCGCTTGGAACCTTCAATTTTCTACCAAGTTTGAGAAATATGCGTGGAGAATCGGGGCATTGATTGTCACAATATTGCCTATTTTTGCACTTGGTCTTGGCTACTTAATCGTGGTGGTAGATCTCATGAGGCCAATAAGGTGGCTAGGGAAGGTTTCCGATAATGCTACGGTATCGCCACCCTGGAACCAACGAACAGAATCTATGAAGCTACGACTATATCATAGGTTCCATTTGGAAAAGCTAGTAGCTGCGTGGGGGACACCTAAAGATCGGCTGGGGCCCTTCTTTCGAAATTGCTTCTTCGCTCTGTTTGGGCTACTTTATTGTCCAGCAAGGTGGCTGTTGATACAGCTCATGTTTAACGCATTCAAATCGATGCCAGCGGGTGTCTACCTTACAGTACAGTGGGCAGAAAATATTTTGCATATTTAGCTACAGTGTCACTGTCGGGGTTATATTTTAATCCATGTATCTTTACAGCTCCATATCCAATACATTATTTATTAAATTATTAAAGCGCCGTATTTGTTCGTCTGGTAGAATCTAAAGTATATACCTAAGGTGACAATCTTAGCAAACAATCCACCACACACCGCAAACAACTCCGGCAGCCATCACAGCGGTCAAGGCCCCAGCCCCGACACGGTCTCCCGTACCAGCAGGCTGAGACCATGGCCCTGCCTTCACATCTTTATTCCCTCTACCATCACCCCCTGCGCTTGGATTCCCCTGGCTCGTACCGCCATCCTCTTCACGGACGGGTCCTTTGGTCGCATGGATAAGATTACTCTGCAACACCTCCAACGCCGCCATCTGCTGACCAATTCCATTAGAGCCATCCCAGTTTCCCCAGTTCGACCACTTCAGGCCACAAGTACGTCCATTGTTACCTCCGTTGCAATGTGACATAGCAGCTTCCGCGGAGGCCCTTAGTAACGGTTTAATAGTGCCATATGTGAATGGGGCTAATTTGGTGGTAGCCGCCATCCATCGGCTAAGATAAGCCTTAAAAGAGAGCTGGTCCGTATTGCAGGTGTCATCAAGTTCGCAAGCAGGTTCAAACATAACTTTATCGCGAAAGAATGTCGAGGATGTGGTTTTGAGCAGTCCAGAAGTATGGCGACGCCAAGTGTCGGTGCCACCAGTCTGGGAATAGTCAGCAGGGAATATAAACATCTGTTTCACGGCTAACACCAGAAGGCTGATGATAATACCGAGAGTGAAGGTAAAGGCAAGAATGAGAAAAGTACTGACATAATTATACATAGCTGCTGCACCATTAAGCAGAATCCCAACATTGTAGCTCCATTGTACGCGATTGATAGAAGCACAATGTTTCAACTCGTCGCTCCCATCAAAAACGGCATATTCTTCATCGATTAAGCCCACTTCCGACATCCAGTTCCACGCTGCGGTGGCCCAGTCCGCATACGTATCATTCCTCGTATATAAGGCTAATCTCGCGCCGAGATTAAAATAACATCCATTAGAAATTGTGTTCTTGTACGTGTAGCCGTTGTTGAAGGTGTATATCTGCCATTTAAGGCCTCCACCGCATGTTGACTTGTCCCAACGTTGTGCTTGAGTATTGAAAACGGCTTGGGCGAGTGCAAGCCACTGCGGTTTATCCTTTGGCGGGTTTGGGAAATTTGATTCGGCGGCGGAGATCGCAGCGAGCGCCCAGAAGCATTGATCATCGTTCCCCAGTGTCTTGGTCTGATTCGGAGGCATAAAATCATTATTTGGACCTACTTGAAATTGCATTCCCTGGGTGACGAGATCGTTGTGCGCAGAATCACCTGTGTAAAGCCAATAGTCGATGAGGGAACCAAACATGGCCCCGCACTCCCACCAGTAGTAGGGGTAGGGAAGATTTCCTGGTATTTGGCCTGGTTCATTGCCGTGATAGTGGCTCAGCATATCGCCTGCAAGAACTTTGGCCGATAATTTGATAGCATCTATATCGAGGTCAGCTTATGAGTAATGGGCATCGCCATTACAGGCATTTTTCATGGAATAGCTACCACTGGATGAAAGGTCAACATGGATGGCAGATGAAATGCCACAGATGGATAGTAAGGCTCCAACGACAAAAGCTGCATATATACCGAGATGCATGATGTAGAATACCTCTACCCGTTAACGCTGTCAGTCGAGGTACGAGATTGGCTTGATAGGTACCCGTTGCCGCACGAGCATCTAGTTATCCTGACTTCCTATAGGCACGAGAATGGCCAATGGCTGAGCTGGGCGTCAAGAAATACTACTGTAAGTAGATGCATATAAGTCGACAATGGATAGTTTGATGAAGGAAAGGTTCAAGGGACAAAAGGAAATGGGGTTCTAAACCTGGGGGATGCGTTTGATCTGGCCATATTGTTTAGGAGTGGCCTTCAAAAATAAGTGGTGTGACCACCGACTAAATAGTAATATAGTCGCATTTAAGCTTACCATAGCTCATGTGGCGGCTTAGTCTCTGGTATATACAGCATATGGAGCTTAGAAAAGCGCAAGTACAAGCCACAAGCTCTATTAAACCGAACCATGAAGATTACAAGAAGGAAACCATAAAAGCTGTAAAAGATATAACATATTGCAGTATAGTCAAAGCTAACCCTGAGCAAGTTGAGAGGACATGCTCAAGGAGAGCTTACGAGAACCAAGGCAAAAGGGGGACACCTCCCAGCTTAGTCTTCCCGCTTTAAAAACTAGGACTGCGAATGTTAGCGGCCCAGAGAACATTAACCATTAAGAAACATTATGGGTGATCGGTTCTGCAGTGAGTTGAGCGCTTGTCAAAAAGAGAAATAGTCCAGAAGGTGAATGAAGCTCGTTTGGAAATGTAGACAGGGAGTAATTAGTTGGTGATGGATGTTGCTGTTGCCTTGGAACGCACACGTGATAATCTATTTATAACTTCGTAACCACTTGAATTCACATCACGTGAGTCGCCACCAGCCACATTAGATTTTTCAATTGGTCACGTGGCAAGTGTCGAGAACAGATGGAGGTGACGTGTAGCATATCTCTTAATTATAATATAGTATCCGTGAATGTGAACTGGAATTGTGGTGATGAAGATGAAGAGCCCTCTTGATATTACCATATTTTAAGGCTTTTTCAGGTGTTGAAAAGGTTGAATCTTTTCTCCAAAACCTTTGTCAGAGGATCCGTTGCGAATCTGTTTCGCCTCAGCCACTCGCCTCTTCGTCACGTCTCACTAATCCCCCGGCCTCCCGTCATCATCAATTCAACAACAACTTCATCCATCACAACCACCATCCAAACTTCCTCTACATCTCAAGCCACAAATACACTTCATACGACCTGTTCATCTCAATACACAAAACCTATCAACGACTCCTCAACCCCCTGAATCAAGATGTCGAGCCAGCCATACGACCCATATCAACCGAGTGGCAATGGGGCCGGGTCAGCGAAAGGACCAAGGGCCCATGTGGACACGGAGCAGCTTCAACAAGTAAGTCTGACCACGATATTCCGAGGAGTCTCAGCTAGAGCGCTGCAACGGCCAAAATATCACCAGCCACACCTACCGACAACTACAACCAGAGGACACACCGTCTCCAACGGGATGCAACATGGCTCTAGCTAGCAGAACTGTTGGCTAGACCGCGCGGAGTACGACCACTACATTACCCGGTGTGCCCGCATTACTTGCGCCAAATTCAAAAAAATGAACATTCGCTCGATGTTCTACTTCTTGTAGATACAGTGTACTGAGTGTCTGCTAACGTCTGGTACCATAGGAGATCGATGGGGCAACCGCAAAGATGCAGCACAATGTGGACAAGTTGGCGCAACGTGGGGAGAACCTGAACTCACTTCAAGATAAGACGGACAATCTGGCGGTCTCGGCCCAAGGGTTCAACCAAGGAGCAAACCGAGTCAGGCAAAAGATGTGGAGGTCTAATATGAAGTGGAAGATCGCTCTGATTGTTGGAATCATCGTCCTGCTCTGCATTATTATTATTCCGATCGGTAGGTTATCGCCATTCAACCCTCTTCCCCTCTTATTACGATAACTGACCTTTCAAATAGCCACACATTTCAAATAGTTGGTATTCCGGGGACAGCCTATTTACGAGCAGCGCATTGAACATATCAATCGCCCACGATCGTCATACGTATGCCCGCAAAGGTGGACGTGAAACTCGCTGGCTCGAGAGGCAGTATTGATGGGTGGGGTGGCTAGTGACAAGGGAGTTCCACTGTCGATTCGTTATTTTTTGTTCTCGTGTTGATTTTCGGCAATGCGATCTGGGCGTCTTACCCACCCGAGGGATATGGTCACGAAGAGACGACCCAGCGTTATGTATCTATCATTGCGGCAGGAGGATTGCCCACCTAATTGAGTTGCGTGTATTATCTCGGTCACTTCTGCTTTCAAGTTCGTGCCCAAATCGAGGTTTGACAAACCACCTTCTCATGGTCACATCGGCGTGATATGTGGGTGACGTGCGATACGTGTATTCCAAGGCATTCGGCCGCTGAGGCAGTAATGGTATGATCGGCCCTGACATATGCGTGTAGAGTAGTCTAGGCGTGAAGTCATCACCAGAGTAACCACACGGCCCCCGTATTGAGACCCCATGCAAATAATCCTACAAGCACACAGTTGTCCATACAAATAGATCCATATCCTCAACCACCCATTAATCCCCGTCAATATCCTATGTAGCTATATTGCAGCCTTTTTTTTAAAAAAAAAGAAATGTGCTCAGCTCCTCACCAGTTCAGAGACCAAAAGGATAACCACGGCTCTTGGCCAATCGGGTTGCCGATCTCCTGGGCTGCGACTTCGGCTGAAGGAACAGCACCAAGAAACTCTGACTCTTAAAACTGAACACAAAAATCCCCAAAACACAATCAAATATACCATTGGGACGGTCACCGGGGGTTATTATTTAATTTGGAGCGAATTGTGTATATTTTCCCCCATTTGTCTGTATATTCTGGTCGCTGATAAGTAGCCAGCCAATCACAGCCTCCAATCAGCAGTGGCACAAGAGCGGCATTTCTGAACTTTTTATCCCCGCATACCTCTTACCCTCGTGCTTGGTCACAGTCAACTATTGATAACCTGCCCCTCTCGCCCCAAGGAAGGCAGAGTCCCATTGCTTCCCCAGCGGGCTCGAGGTCCTTCATTTTCAACAATGCTAGCTCTACGAGCCTCCGCCCGCCTCGCCGGGCGCCGCATCGCCATCTCCGGTCGCCGTCTACCTTCGAGCCTCCCAAGGGCCGCCGTGTCGTCTGCTCTCGTTGCGAAGAGACAATACTCCGCCCCTGGGTCTGATACCACGACTAGATCGACAGTCATTCAGTTGCTCAGCAACATCGGCTCGAAGCGCGAGGTCCAGCAATACCTCTCGCACTTCTCGTCCGTCTCCTCCCAACAGTTCGCCGTCATTAAAGTAGGCGGTGCAATCATAACCGAGCATCTCGAATCTCTCACCTCTGCGCTTGCGCTCCTTACAAATGTCGGGCTCTTCCCTGTCGTGGTCCACGGTGCTGGCCCACAGCTGAACAAGTTGCTCGAAGATGCGGGAGTCGAGCCTCAATTCGAGGAAGGCATCCGTGTTACCGACGGCAAGACCCTAGCAGTTGCGCGCAAACTCTTTTTGGAAGAGAACCTGAAGTTGGTAGAGAAGTTGGAGGAGATGGGTGTACGTGCCCGACCAGTCACAAGCGGCGTGTTTGGAGCGGACTACTTGGATAAGGAGAAGTGGAACTTGGTTGGCAAGATCAACAAGATCAACAAGGACCCGATCGAGGCGGCTATCAATGCTGGCTGCCTCCCGATTCTTACGTCCATGGCCGAGACACCTGACGGACAGGTGTTGAATGTTAATGCCGACGTGGCGGCAGGAGAGCTGGCCAAGTCTCTCCAGCCACTCAAGATTGTCTACCTATCGGAGAAGGGCGGCCTCTTCAACGCGGACACGAACGAGAAGATTTCAGCGATCAACCTAGATGAAGAGTTTGAGCATCTCATGTCACAGTGGTGGTGCAGATATGGAACTAGGTTGAAGATTAAGGAGATCAAGGAACTTCTCGAGCATTTGCCACGGACCTCCAGTGTTGCAATCATCCACCCGGCTGATTTGCAAAAGGAGCTGTTTACGGATACTGGTGCCGGAACCCTCATCCGACGAGGCAGTAAGATTGATACAGCGACGTCTTTGTCCCAATTTGAGGACATTGAGCAGCTCAAGGATGTCCTTGTTCGCGACCGTGAGGCTCTTGATGCGCGTGCGACAGTCAACCGTTATGTCGATGGCCTCAAGGACAAACAGTTTAAGGCATACTTTGACGAATCAATGGATGCGCTTGCCATCGTGCAGCCATCCACCGACTCCTCAGGCATCGCCAACCTGGCTACATTAACAATCACCAAGTCTGGCTGGCTCACTAACGTCGCCGACAATGTGTTTGCGGCGATCAGAAAAGACCACCCCAAGCTCGTCTTCACTGTTAAAGAGGATGACGAGAACCTGACATGGTTCTTTGACAAGGCAGAGGGCAGCTTCACCAAAGACGGCCATGTCATGTTCTGGTATGGCACCGAGTCCGCTGAGGAAGTGACCCAGCTCATGACCGAGTTCACCAAGCACGGTCGCTCGATGCATGGCGAAGCAAACCTTGACGAGAGGCTATACCGCGCCGCCAATGCTGCGTCAGCCATATCCGGACCAAATGCTCCCCGTCAACAAGCTCGTGCCTTCTCCACCTCGGCACGCCCAACGTCGCGCATCATCCGCGGTCGCACAACCCAAACTCGCGGTTACGCCACCACAAACCCCAACCCCCCTCTTGGCAAGCACAACTCTTCCAACTCCCAGCCTGCAAAGGTAGCTCTCATTGGTGCCCGTGGATACACCGGGCAAGCGCTGATTGCCCTCCTCAATGCCCACCCCAACATGGACCTCCGCCACGTGTCATCGCGTGAGCTAGCGGGCCAGAAGTTGAAGGGCTACGAGAAGCGCGATATCACCTACGAGAACCTTTCTGCCGAGGACGTGCGCCGCATGGAAGAGAATGGTGAGGTAGACTGCTGGGTTATGGCGCTCCCGAACGGTGTGTGCAAGCCCTTTGTCGAAGCCGTGGAGGAGGGCCGTGGGCCACAGAACTCTGTCATCGTAGATCTCTCTGCCGACTACAGGTTCGACTCAAAGTGGACCTACGGTCTTCCTGAGCTCGTTTCGCGCTCTGATATCGCGCGGGCGAAGCGTATCGCCAACCCCGGCTGCTACGCAACCGCAGCACAGATTGGCATTGCGCCGCTTGTTGAGTTCCTTGGCGGTCAACCAACTGTCTTTGGTGTTTCTGGATACTCCGGAGCGGGCACAAAGCCGTCCCCCAAGAATGACGTCGAGAACCTGCGGGACAACCTCATCCCCTATTCCCTGACTGACCACATCCACGAGCGCGAAGTTAGCAACCAGCTTGGCGTTGAGGTTGCGTTTATCCCGCACGTCGCGTCGTGGTTCCAGGGTATCCACCACACAATCTCTGTGCCGCTCGACCGCACATTCAGCAGCCGAGACATCAGGCAGATATACCAAGATCGGTATGCAGGTGAGAAGCTCGTACGGGTAACCGGAGAGCCACCGAGCGTCAAGGCGATCAGCGGGAAGCACGGCGTTGAGGTTGGTGGCTTTGGGGTACATAGCTCAGGCAAGCGTGTGGTTGTGTGCGCCACGATTGACAACCTACTAAAGGGGGCAGCAACACAGTGTTTACGTAAGTTTTCTTCCCAATTTTCATCCCTGTGCTCTGGCGTGCAGTACGGAGATACAAAGCTAACGGCGAGAACAGAGAATATGAACTTGGCATTGGGATTCGCAGAGTACGAGGGCATTCCGTTAGATTAAGTGGATATGGGCATATTTTCAGGGGCGCATTTTTTTAAACCGTTCTACAATTTTCAATGGAAATTAAATTTCCGCCATGTTACAAATTGCTACTGTACAATGTGTTGCGTGTATATTCCGGTTCTACGAGACAATTACATGTTGTGTAAAGGGGTATTCGACTTACGGGGAAACATCGGGTCACTGTCTGAGATGCCTAGAATGGCCCATTTTCAGCCCAAATACGTATCGCAGAACGACCTTGATATTATCTTTCCCACACCAAATAAATCAGAGTATATCTGTCACCCCCTAGAAGTACATCCTCTTAAACCTGTCTACACCAGCATAATATCTTTTCAATTCTTGGCAAAACCAACGCCCTTTCCAACTGGGCAATTCGGCATATCCTTCTGCCAGTCGGGAGCAATCTTCGCATACTCTGGGAGGTACTGGTTGGAAAGGAAGGTGGGGGGTAGATAGTCCTTGAAGTCGGCACTGGTGTATTTCTCTCCGCCCGGAATCTTGCGCAGGGCCGTAATAATGTAAGAGCCGATGAAGTCAAGGAAGACTACGTCGACTGTCGCAGGCGCGGACCCGTCGGCGGGGAAAGATGCATTAGCCTGGAAGTCGTATGGCTGGGGGAAGTACGGGATCTCGCTGTGCTTGGTATCGTCACCATCATTTCCGAAATCATCGGTGGTGTTGTATCCAGGCGTCAAAGTGCTGCTCTGCCTGCGCACTATTCCCCTCGTAGAGCGTTTCGACAACTCTGGAGAGACCGTGCCTGGATCAAGACACGCCTCTGTGTTGTCCCGAGTTGGGAATTGATATCCGAGATCCATATCTGTCTCCTGTCTCTCATCTCGTCGCTGGTATGCGCCGCCGTTTAAAACATTCAGAAGCTTAGAGGCAACAGACCAAGGCATGTCAGGAATGTATTTGAAGGTATTCGTAAATGGCGACACGATAAACGAATCGTCGTACGTAAAAGGTCCCTGGACCAAGTCAAAGCGAACGCTGCCTGTATTCGCTATGACAATCCTGGGAATTGTCGACCTCTCAGGGTTGATTATCACAGCTGCAAGAGCCTTGCTAAGGAGAGTATAGATGTTTCCTGGAGAGCCGAAAGGTAGGCAGGACATACACCACGTCTGGGGAGCACATCCATATACAGACGTCACGTTCAACTTTTTGCGAGTGTCCGTGATGTGATTGGTTATATCGATACCTTGGCGGAGATCGAAAGACTTGTCTTGGGAGGTCTCAGCGTGGAAGGCAAAGGTGAGACGGTTCCAATCAAGGTAGCGACGAGCAAAGCGATAACCACTGGGAGTTGGGGCGGGGGAGGCGGTGGTGGTGGTGGTGGGGGTACCAGGGTGGTTGGGGTGATCGGGGTGCTTGGGGTGATCAGGGTGGTCGGGTTTATCTTTCTTCCCTTGCGTGGTAGCAGCCGTTGAGGTTGTTGAGCTTGCGGTGGAAGTCGATGTCGTCTTTGGCTTATCAAATGCGGATTTTGTCGGATGCGGGACTCCATCGGGAAGGCTGGCGCCATAGTAGTTATCCGACTCAATTCCAGAAATCGCCATCCATCCGACAGTCTCACAGTACCTTCCACTCTCAATGCCAACAGCAGCATGGTCATAAATGACAGCATCGCGAATGTGGGTATGGCCTCCGAAAACCTGAATAAGCTTGTCGGGGTGCACAGCGCGAATTGCGTTCAGGACCGTGCCAGTGGTGCTCGTAGAACCTTGGATTGCATTATGTCCGATGACGAGGAACATGTCAATTGGGCGGTCAATATTCAGGGCGTCGAGGAACCACTGCTCTTTGACCATTTTCGCAGCAGGAGTGACGATGCTGGCATTGGAGTTACCTGTGAAATCAAATAGGACTCCGAATGCCATGATGCGAATGCCATGGTCGGTGGTGAAGTATCTGTACTTTGATCCGGCATACTCATACTTGTTGGTCTTTTGGTTGAATATCTGGACGTTTGAGGTCACATAGCGGTCGCCATAGAACGTGGAGAAGTCTGCGAACGTTTCATAGGCAATATCAGAGACGTAAAGCTCATGGTTGCCAATCGTAAGGACGTCGTAAGGGATATTCTCAAAGATTGGGTTGCTCGCGGCTCCATTAGGAGTGGTAGCATCGGCCAGGCCATTGCCATCATGAAGATCGCCTTGAGTGTGTCAGTAATGAATCGCCAGAACCGTAGGAGGGTAGAGTTACCAGTATCAATCAGCAGCAGGTCAACGTTCATCGCTGTGGCTTTGGCCTTCATGTGCCTCGTGAACGACACGAAGTCTCCCCAATCGGCGCCATAATTCTGCTCCTTGATGTGGCCTTCAAGCCAGCCATGCGTATCGGTCGTCTGCAAGAAGTTGATCTGGCCCCATTCGAGCTCTTGCGTCGGGCCATATGAAGCACCCTGCGCATCCGGTTGCATGCGACGAACGATACGCTCGTGGGTGATGAAGTCAGTGGGCCCGTAACACTCGTCGCAGGCCGTGACACGAGTGATTGCCAAAGCCGCAACGGCAAGGGATTGGAACAAGTGTTGAACCATCCTGGGAAATGTTCGCGCGTCAATGAAGATGGGAATATACGCAGGACGGGGGATCAGCGTCTTAGAGGGACGCGTCAATGCAGAAACGGCGAAGACAGACGCGGGCGATGTTCGAGAAATGTGGGGGGGAATGCGAGGCGCTCTTATACTATACCGTAAATCTGACTTACATTAGACTTAAATGAAGTTGGGTAAGATCAACGTCTTCCCGCTCGAGACAGGAAGCTGTCAACCGCCCACGTTTATTCTTCGATTGGATATCTATGCGCGATCGGTAGTGTGATATGCAACTTAAATATGTACCTGCCTTGTCCCGTTTAGCGCGGTTGCTAGGGACTCTATCGATTAGATAACAGAATAGTACACGTGTAGTACACGTGTAGTACACGTGTAGTACTAAGTTTTCTAACGCGTAGTATACATGTAGTACACGTGCTAAACTTAGTAGTAATAGTTTCCTACTAAACCTACTACTTCCTATTATTACTAATAGTATTATACCTACTACTACAACTACTACTATAACTACTACTCTACTTAGAGAGTTTAAATCTACTAGGATAAAGAGTACTATAGTAAGTAGAGCCTCTTATTTAGAATCTATATTAAGTACCTTTATATTAAAGATTTCTAAAACTAGTAAGCTTAATAAATAAGTAGTAATTATAAGTAAATGTTGTGTCTAGGCTATATAGTCCGCGGGTTTATGGCTAATAGCAACCCTAGTTAAGTTGTGGAAATTACGCAAAATGGGCACCCTATAGGTTACAGCCTGTAGGTTTTGATTATACCCTAGAAAACCTAAAAAAAGGCGTTAGAAGATTAGTTATTAAGGCAAGTGACCCTATAGAGTCAATTTCCGTCGTTAGAATGCATAAATTCTACGTTTTTTGTGTCGTTAGGGTTAGGGTTGACGTTAGGGTAAGTTATGTATATAGAGATTAGGATTTATAAAGGCCATGTAAGAACAAGGATTGCAGAACGCATCTAGCACCCTAAAATTAATATAAGACAAGAGGTAAAGAAAAGGAAATAAAATGGTAAGCTAGAGGAAAGGTATAAAGGTATATTAAAGGTAAGTTTAAGGAGGGTTAAAGTTAAAGTTAGAGTAGAACCTAAGAACTAGAAAGATAGACTAATTTTTAATTCATTTGCCTAGATTCTACATTATTATATGTAAAAAGTGCTAATATGCTATATTACCTAGTTAGATCAATGCACATTTTCTACCCTAGTTACCCTATAGGGAGAAAAAGGCAACTAAGAAACCCTATAGGTTAAGTAAAGCGATGTGTAAGAGAAGTAAACAGGATGTAGCCTAGATTAAGTGTTTAATCCCTAACCCTAGAGCATTATAGTAGAGTGAGTTCCTGTTCCCACTACTAATAGTAGCACCCATTCCTACATTAGGGTCACCTAAAACCAATGCAATGTAATGTACATTTAAGATAGGTAAGGAAGAATGCTAATATATATGTTGTTCGTTAGAGCAGATGCGAGAGCATTACAGGAATGTTCATTAGTAGAAAAGCAAAGAGTAGGGAGGACGACCTAGAAAGGTTAATCCGCAACTAACCCCTAGAGTGCTGTAGTAGGCTAGGATGTAACGCTAGGTCTTAAACTATAAGACTCACAGAGGTTTCGTTGCGTTGGTTTACTTAACAGAGGAGGCAGGGGATCAGACACAAAGGCTTTCGTAAAACACGTTACAGTATATAACAAATACTATATTGAGTTGAGCACGAAGCTCCTATCTAAGAACTAACTATCTACTTATATAGTGGCGTCGTGCCAAAGGATATCGAAGATATCATGGATAACAAATATCTAACATATCGTTGTTATCCATCACGTGGGTCTTGCGATGTGATTAGGTCTGGGGACTAGAGGTCTCCAGAGCCAACCAATCCCGCGACGTCCCCTGCTCTTAAGACCGCGGGGCGTGGGAGCCACTTGGTTCCTACGCTCCCGGGTCGTGCGCCCGGCTCAGTCCCCAGGCCCGATTGGGTCTGGCGCCACTGATGTTCTGGCGCTCGGCTCAGTCGTTCGACCCAACAAGGTCGTACGCTGTCTGGTTTCCGACAGCAGATACTCTGTTCTAATATCGGAAACCTGCACGGTCCATAGTTTCCCCGAGGGCCGTAACACAGGATCCATTACTAGCGATTTTTTAAGTAGGGACACAAATAACAGTATTTTAAGGTCTAACCTGTTAAGACTAGGCTACGCCTAACCCTACGAATAGCGTTATGGACAGACTAGTTCAAGGCAGCTAAGCAGGAGATGCAGCGCGCATTTAAGAAGGCTAAGGAGGAGGAGAACCGTCGGATTAAGGAGACTGACGAAGCTAAAGAGCCGAGTCTGTAGTTGAGGCGTGTTAGGTGCATCCCCCATTTAGCTAGGGTCGACTAGAAGGAAGTGCGAGAGTTTGTTAAGCTAGTTAACGAAAAGGATAAACCCCATTTGGCTATAATGTGCACAGCATTCAAGTGGTTGATTTAAGAGGCATAGTATAAAGCCGTCTGCGAGGTCGTCGGCTAGCAGGCGTTGTTTAAGGCTAATAATAAGGAGGTAGAGAAAGAGACAAACATGCCGTTTAATAGTTAGATGGACATCACGACCATTAAGCGGTATGTCAGAGTGTGGAAGCAGTTCTAAAGGGCTGCTTCGTAGTCAGGGTTTAGCTAACGAAAGGCTGTCGTCCGAAAGCTAGTAGGCACAAAAATAGCTAGTTTTTCGCCGAAAAAAAGGAATAGATATATGTACAGATGAAGGCGACACCTACTCTAGTTGCAACATAGTGTTTGGGTGAGTGGTTTCAGCCGCTCAATTCTCGTTAGTATGTTGGTAACCTCTTCTTTGCAGAATTTCCAGGTGAGCTCACTGCCAATTTTTTTCAATCCACTAGAAGCGGTCGATGTGAATTTTGACCGTAGCCGTTTAAGTGCAGACCTGTACTGATCAATAGGCCCGCCGGCGGCAGCAAGAGACTCCACTTCTGTATACTAGCCGCCATCTGATGACGCTTCGTCGAGGCGGTATATTAGGGTTACAAGAAGATTAGAGACGTTTGATATTTCGAGTGCACATTGTTTACGATCCGTGGATGCGTCTTTTATATCGTTGAGGTATCCGATGATAATGCTGGTGAGCTGCACAATAGTAATAACGCTTGCGGTGACACTGAGTGGATCCATATTGGTTGCTCGAGAATTTTGGGAATGATGTTACTCTAAAGGCTAACAAAGTACTTGTATCAGAGCAGCAAGCAACTTTGTAGATGAGAACCTCTGCCGCGATGGACTTCGTACGGTAAGGAGTGTTTGCTTTGCCTTCAGCCTGGCGATGCAGCTTCTGTGCCGTCACATAGCGATGGGCTGAGCCTGGAGCCGAGATTGGGCTGTGCGAGACTGGAGCGCCTGGCACTTACCAAGGTATAGGACCTCCAAGTTAGGACTCTATCCACAGTGGACGTTAATCCGTATATCCAAGGCCAGGCTCCGTGCGACGAGCTTCTGGGAAAGAGGCCATTGCCTGAGCGGTTGTTGTATGTCGCGGTGCGCTAAGAGCCAGGCGCGCGAGGCTGCAGTCTGAGGTGGCTTAACAACCCAACTGCGCTAGCAGGGAGTGTCCGATCCGCTCCGACCACATCACCACGGAAAGGCTGTACCATAAATAGCGTCGCATAAGAGGAATACCGTAGAATTAAGGTTTAGCTGACTGGGAATCATCAGGTGGGGCTGATTATTCGAAAGTTGAGACCAAGACGGGCGTGGCTTGGTTCTGCCCCACAATCGATCGGGGCTGCCAATGTCAGAGTATGAGCCGCACACAATACTAAAGGAAGTGATGTAATCCAGTGTCTCGAGCACTAAAACCTTAGTTTTATTTTTCCATTCACGGTCGAACTTTCTTAAATCACATAGACTAAGCAGGGTGCATTTATTTCCCATTACGCTATGTTCGAATGTACAACTCAGTTACACATTCGAGCGAACGCCGTATATCATTGGTTAAATAAGCGACAGATGGTATGGTGGAAACTGCCTTGCTCGAGTTCTAAACTACATCCTCGTGCACGTCAGCTATACGATATCACGAGCTTACAAAGGCTGATGATATTGACGAACAGATCGCTCAGGATGTCTGTGGGATCCTACGTTTATGCGTAGTGACTGCGAGAGATCAAAATGGGCGATGACAAGAACCTGGACGAGGAAGTTCATCGAAGGAATATCATTGCATTGCGCTTTACTAGAAGCGAAAAGCCTTGCACTAGTAATGGTGGGGCCCAATATTATATGAGAGTGTGTTTGGGAAAGGCGGTTTCGAGTGCTACTGTATTAATCAAGTTAATTACAGTATATGAATTGGGATACGATTGGCGTAAAACATATTGCGGGGCGGTAGACGCAACGATATATAGGGCGAGATAAATGAGAATGACAATGAGGTGCGGGGCGTTAGAAATAGGGGGTTAAAGGTTGTGTCAGCATGGGGATGGGGTTGTCGGTTATCAAATTGAGAGCAAGTTTGGTCGCGTCAGCATATTTCAGGTCAGCAAGACGAAGTCAGCATTGATAAAATTCGAGTATGAGCCTGCAGAGGTACACACACACAATTTATTTACGCCCGGCGGCTAACCCGATAGGGCAACTATGACTAGTCTAACAATACATTTCTGAAGTGAATTCTTGCCTCCTTAAGCCCTTGCGTAAGCTGTTTATAGCTTCTGTCTACTCTATTCTGGCCTCTCTTTTGCAGAGGTACAGTAGAAGGCGAATTGGGCGTCGTGGAATTTTTAGACAGCTTTATTTGTGAGAGTGTGGGGTAGACCTGTGGCCTGTTGTGGCTTTGCAGATACATGTACCGTGGAGGTACAGAGGGAGGTACGTACCGAGTGGTAGAATTGGCCTGTCAAAAGTGGCCGACATCGGTAGGCTACCAGCGCCAGGTGGTCCTTCCCAAGCACGGTCTCCTGGAGCTGTAGCGTCTGCTGGTCCATCGCCTCGGCCTCTGCGTACTTGCCCTGCTGGCGAAGCGACTATGCGAGGTTGTTAATGGTCATGAGCGTGCCTGGGCGGTCCTTCCCGAGCACGGTCACCTGGAGCTGCAGCGTTTGCCGCTGCATCGTCTCGGCCTCTCCGTACTTGCCCTGCTGGCTAAGCGATGTTGCGAGGTTCATCATGGTGCCGAGCGTGATTGGGTGGTCCTTCCTGAGCACAGTCTCTTTGAGCTGAAGCGTCTGCCGCTACAGCGCCTCGGCCTCTGCGTATTTTCCTTGCATGTGAGAGCACACTCCTAATTTGTTCAGTAAGTTCCACAGCAGGTCTTTTGTTTCACCAAATCTCTTTTCAAAATTAGCAATAGCACACTGCGCATGAGGAAGGTACATCATCCACACATCTCTATTCTTATGCTGGGACCGTGGGAAAACACTTGTAATCTGCCTCAAGGTCTTTTCGTTCCAAGTCCCCCATTCGTCCTTGAGGTTTAGCCAATTTTGTTGTGTGAACTAACCGATGTATATCATATGATGCCCCACCGTGGCGTTTTTTAATAAAACCAAAGGCTTTCAAAGTGGCAAGCGCCTCTGCCTTGTCGAATTCATAAGCTGGAGGCAAGATATTCCGGGGAATATCTTGCTGGATAATAGTCTCAATTGTGTCAATAGGCATATCGCGAAATTGAGGCCCCTTGCTGTCTAAGGGGTGAGCGAGGGTGAGCTAGGTGAGCCAGGGGGTGAGTAGGCTGAGCAGGCTGAGTGGGGTGGGATGAGCAGGGCGAGTGATACGAGAAATGCTGCGCTACACATGGCCAATAGGCAGAATACTTGAGCACCAACTGTGGAGTTATCACTCCAGCCCTTGTAGCCGATCTACAATTTTCGGATGCAGGTGCGTCGGGTGGAAGCAAGGATGCCATTCCCGCCCGCTAAAAAAAGTTGCAGCTGGACTGCGTTCTGCGCATATCCAACAGGTATCGGCGAACAGCTAACAGACCGTTCGTTCTGAGGAACCTCGGAAATCCATCACCATCACCGTTGGAACCCTCACATTGCTTGAAGCCTCGCAAGATCGGGTGGTCTGTTCGCCGCCGCCGCCGAGGAAGGCGTAAAGCTTCAATGTCGCTACCAAGATGCGGATCAAGTTAGCGCCACCTATTATGCACACTGAGAAAATGGCAAAGCTTCGTTTTGCAAATATTTAAGCTAAAATGGCCAACCCCCGGCACTATTACGATAATAGCGCGGAACTGACATGAAAATGTTGCTTCGCCTCGCCGTCGTTTCTCCACAGTGCGTACTAGGATCTGGCCTAGCTCCTCAGTTGGAAAATAACTTACTGTTGATTTCGTGGAGGGAAAATCTTGTACAGGCTACAAGTCAACAGGCCCAAGTGGGGCCCAACTCTGTTGGTTAACTAAATTACTGATTTCGTCGCTTTAGCGGTGATTTTCGATATTGCCTGCATAGGTCATCAGGATTCGTGCGCGCATTCTTTTCACAAACTTTGCTCGTTTAGGCACTATAGGACAGACACAAACTGCCACATGTAGCATATAATACTCGTAAGTGAAGCATCTGCTCTGTCTATTCTCATTGTCACTCATCAGCCCCAAACAGGCTCCAATTCATCCATCATGCGTCTCTTATCGAACGAACTTCCAATGAATAACAAGCCGAACTATCCTTTTGCCAATCAAGAGCACAAAGTGAAAGAGTTGTTGCACTGGCTTCGAGTCGCAAAGTCGACCGCATTGTTCCTCCTCTTTGCGGTTCTTGGGAATTTCGTCTTGATGTATGGACTGATCCGCTATCCGTGCAAGCCAAGTCCAGCTGAATGTAGTACATACTGTACGGCTATAAATGCTCCACGGATGGTAGAATTACCTCCGCCCATTGAGGTTGCAAAGCTGATACCTACCTCGAGCTCACCGGTGTCAACTGAAGTGGTTGTTCGACAAAGCAAAATTGAAGTCCGAGGGGCTGATTTCAAGGAATCGAAGGATTTATCTGTTCGACCAACTAGTACGTATACTTGATTTGACTAGACAAGATCACGCTGACCTTCGAATAGGCGAAGTTAGCACCCATCTTGAAGATCGAAACAGATGGTGGATCTTAGCTATGTCGGGTTTTTGGACGGCTAATCAGTTCATTGCGTGGTGGAATATGGTCGAAGCTTGCAAAGACTTTAGCGATGCTTCAAACGTAATCAATTGCGTTTGGGGCGCTGTAACAACCGCCATAACAGCTGCAGGCGCATTTTGGGGAGGTCAGCAGACCTTTGGCAGGCTCCAGGTCTGGCTCAGCAACAACGCTATACAATTTGGGGGATTCAAGCGTGATGAAGCCGGATTAGAGCTGCTTGACAATCTCTCCACGATTCTCTCAAGCCCGGTAACCCATTTAGGCGCTTTCGACTTTGCTCCTCTTGGACTTAATGGTACCCTCAGCACGCGGACGTCAAAAGATCCAATTGATGTTTTTGGATTTACAAGTCCAGAAGGCCTCCCTATGCACTTCTCCTTCTTGGGACACTTGGATAATATGGATGGTAACGGGAAAAAGCAATTCGCGTTCAAGTTTGGCATTGGTCCTGGTGTTGTACCTGTCAAGGGAAGAGAAATATTCAATCACCAGTACTTTACTAAAGGTGGCATTGACTTCCTCCTCAACGAAAATATTGGTGAGGGAGGCGTTCTGAGCACTAAATATGACTACGCACAGATGCTCCAGGAGGTGGAATGCTTAATGCGCACGGGTAGCACTGCAGCAGGCCATTTCTTCCAGATTTTTGATAACGACCGTAAGGGCACAATCGCTGGAGGAGCAGTGGCTCCATTCCGAGGCTCCGATCATTGGAGTGCTATCACTCAGATGTATCATGGAAAATGGCCTTTACCTTTAGACAAAAGGTGCACTTAGTGAACCTGGAAGAACTGTATACAGGAGCACCAGGAAGAAATCACAGCTGAATGCAGGGAGATTCTAGTCTAAGAATAAGAGAAGCACATTATTCGGTTATTCAGTTATGTAAACAAAGGCCGAGTTGCAATGCGATAGCAGCCAAATCATGAGCATGGGGAAGTCTTGTCAAGGCTGAGGGCTTGACGTTTCTGGTGGTCCCATCCCACATCACGGTAATCTCGCCATTTCTCACTAAAAATGAGGAATTTTATAACGCAGTATCTCAGCAATACTAACATAAAATAGGGGACATCGACAGTGACACTTTATTTAATGAAGTTATTAAGTTAAGGAGATGAGAGTCAATTTATTAATATATAGACTAATCCCACATATGTCCTCGTACTATTAACGTTGTGCTAGAGAAACTGAACCGTAGGATCTCGTCGAAATGCCTCTGCGTCTTCATCGCGGAAATGAATGTGCAACTGGTGGCTCTTCCAGAGAATCATACCTTTCATTCTTTCGTGCGTATAGCACAACTCCAGCTCAATGCGGTCATTATTGGGTGGTGTTCGCTGGTATCATCATATAACCGTCTCATCGTGTCATCAGCATCAAGATCTTGAGACCACCTGCGCAATGGTGAACTATGCACTCTTTGGGATCGTCCCGGTAGCAATGATCTTTTCTTTCATGGCTAATATTGACCACTCCAAGTTGCACCTGTGAATAGCAGAATGCAATACAGGGGGAGGATGAGCATCGTTGACTGCAGTTACTGTAGCTATATAATAGTTACAGCAGTAGAGAAGAACAATGCATTTGATAGGCGCTTTTCACAAACTTCTACTAATTATCGGAACTCAAAATGTGAACAGTCTGACTGTAACTCGTTAGAATTATTATCACACTGCAGTATAGTATAATATTACAAGAAGACCTTCCCTCTCGAATCTAAGATCGCCCCATGTCATATCCTACAGGTATCTATAATCCCATCTATTACCCAACATTCCCAAATTCTATAACCCACTCAAACTACACAATAGAATTAATCACATCCCATCTCGACACTTTAGTCCACCACTATGAATTTTTCAAACCAAATGTCTCGCCAAGCGTCCCCTGGGTCTATAACCCTTCGTATGATCCTCAGGTCCCCCATTCCCATAACCATACCCATACACCGGCAAGCTAGTCGTAGGTACTGGCGGCGTGGTATAATGGATAGCTGATGTGGAGATATTGTAGCTGGATGTGAAGGTGCTAGTTGTGATGGTGGAGTTGTAATTTCCTGGTGGTTTGCCGGGGCCGGGAACGAGCGTTGGGTATGTTGGTGAGGTTGTTATAGTGGTGGTGGTTGGGCCTGTATTGGGATCTCCCTCGCCAGGACCTTGTTGATTACCGTCTGGCTTACCAGGATTATAGGGGCCCGCAGTTGACTCAGGGAAGTAGTCGGTGATAGGTGCAGTTACAGTCGTAGGTGGCTGTGGGAAGTACCCAATGATTGGAGTCGTTGTCGGGGACGATTGCTTTGAGATCCAGATACCAGTTGAGTTCGAGAGGATTGGACCACCTGGCTTACCACTGGTCGGAGGATAAGTATTTACTGCGGGGCCTGTTCCTGAAGGAACTATGGGTCCAGTGCCAATGGGGGGATGGCCGGTAGTTGTACGCTCAATAGAAGTAGGGTTGGCAGTCCCTGTACTAGATCCCCCTGTGGTAGTTGGTTCAACGACGGTGATAGCGGTTTGATTTCTAGTAGGCTCAATTGTGGTAACCTCAGTTGTAGAATGAATGAGTGTTGTAGGTTTGCTTGGCTCCTCGGAAGTAAGCTTTGTGCTGGTCGTGGGCTTGCTAGGTTCAATTGTAGCGGGTTCCTTAGTAGAGGTGGCTTTGCTAGGCTCCCCAGTGGTAACAGGCTCCTTCGTTAGAGCTGGTGTCTCAGAAGTAGTTGATGCAACCTTGGTTGATGTTGGAACAGATACCAACTTGGTCAAGCTAATGGGAGACTTGGTACCGAACTCAAATGGAATGCAGACGTGAGGAAACTTGTAGAGGTCTGGAGCGTTCCAGAGGTCCTCCTCAAAGAATGGCCTGTCCTTGTCGCCATTCCATCCTTGGATCTTGAGATCAACACCAATGCTCGCGTCAAATTTGACTCCAAACATCTCGGGGCGGTTGGGGCAAACCTCGCCTGCTGAGTCTATTAAAATATAAGCTTCAGGCTATGTTTGATACGATCCGTTGATACTCACTGAACTCTGCGCCAAGCGTCATTGTGACTTTCGGTACTTGCAGCTCGAGACCAACACCAAAGTCGATTTTCTCTACAACGAGAGTTAGTAAATTATTTCTACGATAGCGTGGGGGACATATGCTTACTGAAGACCGTCATGCCAATATCAACGCCAATAGCAGTATAAATTGCTAGTGTACCTTGAACCTCTGCCTCAAAGGTGATGGGCTTCGTCGTGATATCGGGCTTCCATCCATCAACGTGGGTACCACTGCCATGGAAATCTACTTTGGCTGTGGCAGAATCCGGAATCCTGGCCGAGATGCCAGTCTTAACTGTTGCAGAACCTTGCACCCCGCTCAACTCGAACCCAGCACTGAGCCTCAACTCAGGACCGACGCTGAAGACAAGAGGAATGCTAAATTCGGAAAGAGGAACTTTGAGAATGTCCCAGCTCTTCTTCCAGCCCCCTACCAACTCACCAGCAACAGTGAAGGAGGGGTTGAAATCAGCTCTTATGTTTGACGGGATCGCCTGGACGTAAGCTTCGTCGATGGACAGTCTCAGAAGCGATCCCTTGAGCTTGCCAGCGATTGTGATTTTTCCTGTAGTTCCGCATGCATCGCAGCCAATGGTAAGATCCAAACCTGAAGCTGTAGTCTTCTCCCATAATGTCTCTGGGATACTGTGTGCGAGATTTACATCGAACTCGGGGCTCGAATTTGGCGATGTGAGGTCGTTGAGAGCGTCGAAAGGATTCCAGCGAGCTGCAAGTGCAGATTGACTGAGAGGAGTGTATGTCCCCCACTCGATCTCGTATGGATTGTTCAGGTCATACCATTCCGTTTGATTGGCTGTGAACTCGACGCGAAAGTTTGCATTATCGTATGTGGCAGCGGTCACAACCCAGGGTTGTCGACCACTTTCTGAAGAGCAACCACCGTAGTTGACTATCATGATGAATGTGCGCTTCTCTTCGAAGTTGACCCACTCCCAGTCGTCTATGGCGTCTTGGTACGTCGTCTCGTCCTTGAAAGTAAGGGTTAGATCATCATCGCAGATCACACTTGCAAGTTCTTCCTTGAAGTGGTCCATCGACAGAATCATTTGGGTTTCGCCGGTTGCCAGCGTCAAATTGACCATCACGTTGGAGCCTATGTCAGTGTTAGATATTTTTCTACTGCGTGAAGGAGGAACGCCATACCATTGCCACCCTGTCCCCAGAATATGCTAGTGTCATTTTGAAGCCCGACTGGAAAATGGCCGGCCCTTCGGTGAAGTCCCATCTCGCTTGGAAGGATTGGTTCCAAGATGGTGATTGTTCTCTCTGGATCTCTCACGCTAAGAAGACTCGGATCTGTGACAGGTTTGAGAATGTAGTTGCCATTCGAGTCTTTGACCGCTAAACCAGTCTGCCAAAGCGAAAAGGCGGCCAAGCCGTATAGGAGGGATTTCATGATCGCTTTTTCGATCGTTGTATTATCGTGAGTTGTTAAATATACTGATACGATGAAGACCTCGGAATAACATGAACTAGTAACGAATGTAGGTGCAAATATCTGATGCAGCAGTAATGAAAGTACGGAGATGTGAAATCAACCCAAACAACAAAAGAATGAAGTTGTTTGTAAAATAGTGGAGGGAAAACACTAGGTGATAGCAAAACACCTTTATACAACTAGTGTTTAAACTGGAAACTCTATCTCCTTCCACCATTCGACAGTAGGAAGCTTGGCATACAGCAATGGAGATTGAGCTAGCTCGAAAGTAACAGGCTTTAACCAGGAAAATAAGCTTCGTTGTAGGGGTAATAAGACGTTGGGGCCTTCTTGAGCCTCCATGACGAAGATAATAGGGTATTTTAATAGAAGTACTGCCACTGGCTTAACCAAACTCATTAGGAGATTAAGGATTGGGGCCTTAAGTACTTCGTACATGCCCAAAAGATTCCACATTTCATGTCAATGCGCACTCTAGAAGGTATGTCAATGCGCACTCCAGGAGGTTTCACTATTACATGGTATCCCAACCAATGAGTATACTCGCCTAGTCGACCCCAGGGCACAGCGTGGCAGCCATAATGTGTGAGAGGCGTCTTGGAAGGCTTCGATACGAGCCTCTTTCCTAGGAAAACCCCGCTCATGCACGTGAGGGAGCGGCTGAACGCCAGGCACAGGAAGAGCCAACGCCCAATCGAGAAAGAGGTAAGAACGATAACGCCAAAAAGGGAAAGCTACTACCTTCTGGTAGTTTATAGAGCAGAAGGGCCGAGTATTGCATGACAGAAGAATTGCCACTTCTTGCAAACAAGCAGCCAGTAACCATTGCCGTGAGAGGGGGGTTCCCTAATTATAGAAGAAACTCCGCAGTGCCACATGGATGCTTGTAGCCATGCTATTGCCATTCTTTCGTCTGAAGCGATGCCGTGGTCGTCACATGTTGTCCGAGGTAAGACTTATATCCGCAGAGCCTAGTTGGTGACAGTGATGAAGACGCTGACTAAGACAATCGTGGTCAAGTTATTCCGTGACAAGCCACAGATCAGTTCTGAAAGGAGTGGAACGCGGAATCTTCAGCAGCCACACTTTCCTAGTGAAGAGTACGTCGGCGTGTCTGTGCGCACCGTCGTACTAATCTACTATTAAAGGTAAAAGAAATCGTGGTCGATTTCATTAAAATGGGTGGGTGGCAGAATCGGGCGGTCAAAAGACCAGGGGTCGATTTCATTTAAACCAGGGGGTCGATTTTATTTAAAAGTAAGTTACCCAATTGAAGCCCGCAGAACCCGTCAAGTTGGATTATAGGTAAGTCAACCCGTCCGAAGCCATTGCCGGTCGCAGAATTACGAGATCAACGTTGGTTGTTGAGTTATTCGGGGAACAGTTAACCCCACGTTGGGGTTAGGGTTACCAGGCGGGACGGAGCGAGTGGCGTTTACAAGGGCGGGTTGGGTGAGACATCAATTAAAGGTGAAATAGGGGAATCATAAGGGTTTTGTAGGAATTAAAGTAGGGCCTAGAGCCCGTACGTAGTGTAGTAAAAGCATTCAAAATGGATCAGTTCATCCATTTGCCGGAATTTCGAGTGATTATTTGCAAGAAGTGCCAGTTTGCAGTATTGCCTAGTGAGATCGACGCCCATTTCACAAGAGAGCCGGTGCATGGATTAAGCAAGGAGAGCCGGAAGCGCATTTTCGAAAAGGTGGCAAAGATAGAGGGGTTAATACGAAACAAGTATATGTTAGGTCAGGTTGAATTCAAATATCAACACCGAAATACGGAAGCAATCCCTGGGTTAGAGGAACCGAAGACCGATGGGTTGGGTTGCACATTCGAGAAAGACGGGGAGAAGTGCCCATTCGTCAGCCGGTTTGAGCAACCCATACGGGAACATTATCGGGATGTTCACGGTTGGGTTAATCCACGCAGGAAAGGCCGGCCCAAACGAGATTCCAAGAAGGAAGTACTGTGGGAGAAGGGGGTTCATTGCCAGAGGTTTTTCACCCACGGTTTGCATTCAAATTTATTCAGGGTGGAGGACAAGAAGAAGCCCGCACCCAGCCCCGAAGGTCCCGAGGTGAAGATGGAGAAGGAGATCTAGCGTCGGATTGACAAGGTGAACAGAGAGGTCAAGAAGAAGATCGAGGTGTCGGACAAATCCCAGGAGCCCAATCTGTGGTTGAGGCGGGTCAAATTTGACGAGAATTTACGGGGGTTAGACCGGGACAAGTTGAGGGCGTTGATCGAACCCGTTGATGCACAAGAGGAGGAAGAGTTGGTAATAATCCATCAGAGTTTCGACAGGGTGATGGACGAGTGCCAGAAGCATGTCGTTGAAGAAGTGGTAGGAGAGGCCGCGTTATTCCGCGTCAATGCCACAGAGTATGGAAAGAGAGGCGAAAACCCGTTTTATATGGATTTAAAGGACCGCACCCATTTGAGTTACCAGGCGTATTAGAAGCAGATGTTGAGTTTCGTTGTGCATGTAGAGTTGGATTGGGAGAAGGAGGAGAGGCCACCGTACCGATTCACGCAAGGTCAGGGGAAGGCATTCGTTAAGTTGATGCAGAAGGCCGAGGATTTCGAAGGGGTGGAGGTGAAGGAGGAGTTGAGCAGGGAGGAACGAGAGCAGATAGAGGAGTTGGACCGCGCGTGTTTGAGGTTTTGCATCGAGTTGTTAGACCACCGGTTGGTGGGCAACCCATATGACAGCGCAATCATCAGCGGTTTGTCCATTTTGGGCATTAGGCCGGGAGAGACGTAGGTTGCGGCCATCCATTACACGACAATATATTCCGCCATCATCAAGATTGCCCAGGCATTGGTGGTGGAAGAGGGTTATCAGACGTGGACCCGAAAGATTGCCGCATGCAAATTGGTTGGAATTGAGGAAGATGAGGCGATTGAGACCACCGAGTCACCGTATTAGTTGATCTGGCAAATGGTAGACCGGTTCATGGGGTTGGAGGGTGGGACGAGAGATCCCAGCCTAATGGATTGGATCATTAGCAAAAGAACATACAGGATGGCGATCCGAGCGAATACGACCGCGGATGGTGAGATTTCGTGGATTAGAGATAGAATATTTAGGTATTAGATGGAGTTCAACATGGGCCAGTTGTAGACGACGATCCATGGGGTGGTGAGGGAGGCCCGGATGATTTTGATGCGGGATTTGATGATGATCCCGTTAGACGCGTTTAGCGACATCAACGAGGGTCAGGTTCCGCAGATTGAATGGGCTAATTTACGAGATAATATGGCCGAGAGCCGGGTTGGGTGGTCGTTTTTGGATGATGTTCGAAACCAATCCAATATCGACGGACCGTGGTGGTTGTGGAGGCGAATCATGCAGAGGCCCGATTTGAAACGGCAGTTTGTCTAGTCGACAGATCCCATCAGGTGGCGGCAACGAAGAATCATGAAATTCGAGCGCGATTTAGTTCGATTGCAGGAGTTGATGTTGTTCGGTTGGCATTTCACCGGAGGACAGCCATGTCGGGCCCTAAGCATATTGAGCGTTCGGCACTAGAACACCAGCAACCCCCCCGAGCGGATAAGAATTACATGCAAACAGGCAATATGAAGATTGTGCATCATTGGTTGCCACGGGAGGTTAGGGAGTTGACGATGTATTATTTGTGGTTAGTATTGCCGTTTTGGGAGAGGGTCCAGATTTCGGTCGATCTGGGATTCTAGGGTAGCCCGTTTATTTAGGGGAGACCGGCATTAGAGGAGAAGAGAGAAAGGGAGGAAGCGAAGGCAGCAAAGCAGCCTGTACAGTCAGAGGAGAAAGGAGATGATTTAGAGGAGGCGGAGCCACCCGTACGGAGAGATGGGTTGGAGATCATTGACAATGAGGTTTACAAGTCAGCCAGTATTTAGAAGAGGGAATGGACATCCGCGCGAATGCGGGGCATCATTCGGCGGGAGTGTAGGAAGGGGATGAACGTCGCGATGAACATCAACGCATAGAGGAATTTTATAGAGGCCATTGGCTAGAGGTTTTTGCAGCACCCATTCGAATTCGATTTAGACGAGGAGTGGAAAGATGAAGCAGATGAGATTTAGGAGGAGCAGTTTGGGCATTCAGCCCAGATGGGTGAGGCCATGTATAGGAGGTTAATAACAGAAGCCCTAGGGGAAAGGGGGAGCCAACGGATGAAGTTTCGGGTTATTAGCTAGGAGTGGCACCAGTTTTTGAAGTTTCCATCGACGGGTAGCAAGGTGGGCAATTTGGGCAGGGTGAGGCCGACCCGGTCATTATACGATGAGGCAATGCAGCAGATGCAGATTCGACGGCGGCAGTTCATGCAGCGGGTGAATGTCCAGCAGGAATTTGAGGCATATATGGGTGAAGGCAGCCAGTTCCGCGGGGAGCAAAAGAAGGCCATCACGGCCATTTTCTAGGGAAGAAGCCTAATGTTAGTGGTGATGGGCACTAGTTCCGGGAAGAGTTTGTTGTTCATGTTGCTGGCATTTTGCATCTAAGGAGGGACGACCATTGTCGTTGTCCCGTTACAGTCATTACAGACGGACATGAAAGACCGATGTGATAGGTGCAGGATTACCAGCGTGATTTAGCAATCAGGAAAGACGATTAAGCTAGCATCGATTGTATTCGTCACGCTAGAGTCAGTGTTACGAAAGGGGTTCTAGGATTTTATTAGATTGTTGCGGGACACGCATCGATTAGATCGGATTTTATCAACGAGTGTCAGACAGTATTAGCTAGCAGTGCCACATTCTGGCTAACAATGCAGCATTTAGGTAAATTAGTGCGTATAGGGACATAGGTGGTGTTTTTGACAGCCACATTACAGCCGCGGCATGAGGAGAAGATTTGCCAGAGCATGAACATCATTGGGCCAGGGGTTTTCAAGATCCGAGAGGCCACAACCCGTCCGAATATCTAGTATCAGATCCGAACATACAAGCGCACGGAAGGGGGGGAGGCAGACGACAGTGTAATCAGCGCCGTTGTCGATTTGGTGGAGCAGTTGAAGATCAAGTATCCCGCACCGGCGAAAATCATTGTTTACAGCCAGGAGATTAAGGAGGCAGAGAAGTTGAGCGAAGCATTAGGGACATGTTGTATCATGCCAAGGTGTACGACCGGAGCGGGAAGGACAAGAGATTGAGCGAGTGGAAGAGCGGGAGCAAAGAGAGGCGGGTTGTGGTGGCCAGCAATGCATTAGGGTTGGGAATCGACACCGGAGACACCAGAGCGGTTGTGCATGCCGGAATGCCACGGGATTTGGCCAATTATGTACAGGACAGCAGACGGGCGGGGAGAGATGGGTTGCCTAGCGAGGCGATTGTATTATTACCAGAGGAGTCAGCTAAGCGCCGAAGGGGGATTAACAGCCGGGAGTTAGGTGGGGCGCGACCCGTCGTTTACCGGCATAAAAAGGAGACGGGGGATAGGGAGGAGGAGGAGATGGCGCGTGAGGTTGAGGAGTACGTCTGAAGCAGATGCCGGCGAGTAGTCATCGATCGGGTGATGGATGACAATTTGCACCGGAAAGGTTGTGTGGAGGGTGAGGAGTGGTGTGATTTGTGCCAACGTTCAAAAGCCAGGGAGTTAATCGAGTATGAAGCGTCCAAAGACAGCCCAGAAGGAAGCCTAGGGTTTGTAAGCTGGGAAGAAATGGAATTCAATTGACAGGATAGGGAGAGGGATTGGATTGATTTCACCGTGCAGTAGAAGGAAAAGCAGGAGATATATGAAGTGGAGGAATTGGAGCGGGAATTGGAGAGGTTCAGCAAGCGGTGTGTGTATTGTTATATTTGCAAGTATACCAGCACGGATCATTTAATTGGGCAGTGTACAGCGTCCGGGGTGCAGGGCGTTCGGAAATGGATCGACGATTTTATTAGAGCAGTTCAGCAGAAGAGGAGTATGGAGAGGTTTTCGTGTTGTTTGCGTTGTTATACACCCCAAGCGATTTGCGAGCATTGGAAGCATAAAGAGGACAAGGAAGAGCGCAGACAGTGGGAGGAAGACGACAGTCAGGAGTGTCAATACCCAAATGTGATTGTGCCGGCATTTTGGAGCATGATGATGATTACGGGGCAAGCAGCGTTGGGTTGGTTGTACGAAAGGGCAGAGAGAGACGGATATGACATCCGGGATGATATGGAGTCAGAAAGGCAGTGGTTGGGGAAGAAGGTTGAGTGGGGAGGGATCGAGGGTAATAATTTGATCAGGGCGTTCAAGGAGTTAGCCAGCCAGCATTCAGATGAAGAGAGTTGGAATAATTAATTGACGGGAATAACATGGTTGGATAGACGATATTGAAAAATTGCATAGTTTAATTAACGGAATGTAATAAGTAGGTCATTTTTAAATTTTGTGGGAAAAATTTGAAATAATAAGATAATAAAATCATATTTGATAATATGCGAATAATATCAATCACGGGTTGTTAGAGATAATAAGGACAAGGATTTGTTTAGGATACCGTAGGAGTGTATTTTACAATTGGGGGTTGGTGAATTTGGTGGAGAATGTAGGATGGGGCGATTGCAATTGAGAGAGACATGGGTTCAACGTGTGCAATGATGACAAGCACATTGGGCGTTTAAAATAGAATTTGGAGGGTTGTCCGCATGGACGTATATACGTTTTTAAGATTGATGATACATTTGGTGTCAGCAACATGAGGTCAGCATAAGAGGTCAGCAAGGGATGGGTTATATTGGGATGACAGGGTGAGGATTGCATTCCAGTGAGGCCCAGCCACGGCAACCACAGGCGTCGAGAGCATGTAATGGCGACAGCCGGGAGGTCACGGAATAAGAAAGGGGTTAATTGTAGGGTTGGAGTTATGGACGGAAGTGGAAAGAGGGTAGGCACATTCCAACCCATAGCCCAAATCCATCCATCCAGGCAAAGGCGTAGAGGATGTTTAGGATTTTGGTTAATTGACGCAGGCAACACGAGACATACATGACAGTGAGACATAGGAGGGCGGCGGTTTTGGGGTGGGTAAAAACAAGGGGGTTGGGGTAGGATATATATTCCAACAAGCCCAGCACAGCACAGCACCAGTTATACCGACATAAGCAAGCAAGGCAGTGCGAGAACCGACAATGAGCGACAGCGATAAGCAAATGTTGGAGTTATTGGAGGAGTGGTCGACGTTATTCATAGATAACGCAAAGTACCAGAGGTTGATTTGCAAGGAATGTATGGTGGGGGTGACAGTGGGGTTTATAGGGAAGCATTTGAAGAAGAAGCACGGGGTTAAGATGGATATGGCAAACAAGGTCGAGAAGCATATACGTGCAAGTCATTGGGGTTGGGTGGATTGTTTAGGGTTGAAGCCGGAGGATGGAAAGCGTGCACAGGAAGGGTTGGACGTGTTTGATGGAATCAGATGCAAATTTTGCCGCAATTTCAATTCGAGGTCAGTAGTGGAGGTGGAAGAGCATTGGAAGTTGATGGGGCATGGAGAGATGAAAGGATGTTCGATAGAGGCAGTACCAATGCAGTCGTGGGTTGGTCGGGAGGGCAAGCGTCCGGAATTATGGGTTGTGGAGAAGGAAGAGCGGGAGAAGGATTGCCAGGTTCAGAAGGGGCACACAGAAGAGTTTGGCGATTGGCAGTTGGAGATAATCAAGGAGGGATTGAAAAGGGTTGGGTTGGGAGACGAATGGGTAGTTGCGTAGAAGATGGTGGAAATTGGCAAGGGTTTCGGATGGAAGTAGATGAGAAGGGGGGCAGATTTAACAAAGGGAAAGGCGGTAGGGACGTTCGGTTTCCCGTTTTTGAATCATTTGACAACGCCGCCCAGACGCGTTTATAACATGGAGGGTGAAGAGTTAGGGATATTTGCAGGACAAGCAGGTAGACCCGAAAATACGATCCGCAGAGAAATAGCAGTTGTTTTCAGGGGCGCAGGCAGGTTGGTTGTTGTAGTAAGTGATATCACAGCATGTAGGACGGGACGGGTATGGGACGGGAGGTGACGTCAGGAGCCGCATCAGGATATGTGGAATGGGGTGATCGAGGAGGTTATTTCAACATCATATCAACCCAACGGACATGAGCAGGAGCGCAAGATGAGCAACCAGCAGGGATTGTTAGTAGGCGGAGACACGTCGCGGACAGCGCAGCAGGTGCAAGCAGCGTTGGAGAGATTTTTTATCATGAATGAAGAGTACAACAAAGTAATTTGCATTGGCGAAGGGTGCAGGAAGGCAATCAAAGCACAGGCGGTCCAAAGGCATTTGCAGAGGAGACACAACGTGGAAGGGGTTTTGTCGAAGAGGATTGCGGACGTGATTGGTGAAGAAGTGGGATGGCGTTGGAGACCGAGTAATAAGAGATTACCAGTGAATGGTTTGGGCCCGCAGAAAGGGTTGGAGGTGTTCAAGAGGTTTCAGTGCCGGTTTTGCAATGAGTTACCGGCGAGGACGGTGGAGGAAGTTGAACATCATTTGTATGAGATGCATAGGGAGACGGAGGGTCACATATGGGATGAAGTGCCGGTACAGTAGTGGGGTGGAGAAGGAACGTATGAATGTTGGGTTGTGGATGAAAGGAAATGTATTGGGGGCAAGGGAATAGTGGAGGTGGCAGAGGAGGCGGCGCCGGCAGAGAAGGATGCGGTGGAAGAGGCGGCACCGGCAGAGGAGACAGCGATGGATGATGCAGCAGCAGAGGAGGCAGCGATGGATGATGCAGCAGCAGAGGAGGCAGCGATGGATGATGCAGCAGCAGAGGAGGACACAGCGAGAGAGATGGATCCGAAGAAAATTCCAGATGATGTTACAGAGGATAGCGAAAGTTGGAGTGAAGAGGAGGGTCAAGAAGAGGGGGAGGGGTGCAAGGAGAAGGAAAATTTCGAAGGGTGGGAAGGGGATTGTTTTGGGTGGAGGTGGAGGGAGGCCGAACAAGCGGGATGGGATGAAATGGCCGAGGATTGGGTAGTTATGTATTAGACAGAAAGAGTTACGAGACGAGAGTTCAGGGGAAAGGGGGCAGAGGAGCGAACAAAGAAGGGGGTGAGGGAAGAATCGAGACAGGAGTTTACAAGGCAATGGAAATGGTATTCAGTAAGCAGTGTGATAGGTGAAGAAGAGTTTTCAATGCATAAATTCAGAGATAGCAAGGTTATAACCCCGTCGCGGAGCGTGTTCGTGATGAGGGTCAGGGTTATAGGGAGGCGAGAGGGTCAGGGTTACAGAGAGGCGCGAGGGTCAGGGTTATAGGGAGCGAGAGGGTCAGGGTTATAGAGAGGCGCGAGGGTCAGGGTTATAGGGAGGCGAGAGGGTCAGGGTCATAGTTGAGTGTTTTAGTTGGGATAAAGGGTCATAGTGAAGAGTGAGGCTACGGGCATTATTATTATGGTATCGCGATCGAATTTTTGATGTGTCGCATTAATAATATCTGGGGTGTGAATGATTGGCTGAATGATTGGCTGCGCTCTACGGCCTGGCGTTCAGCCTGCAATTCAGATGTTTTGCTCAGCGCACAAGGACGAGCTTTGGGATGACACTTTGACTATTGACGAATGGTCCCACCGTGAAGAAGTATTTGGGATTCTAAAGATTCTAGAACAAACTACACTTGATGTAGAAGGCTCATTCGGCTCTCTTGGCAAGGTGGTTATGACTAACGTAGGTCGTGGCGTAATGAGACTACTGGCGTAATGAGACTAGTGTACTTTACATACAAATTTATATGTAAAGGTACTTATATTGGCAAAAACAAAAAACTTAATTACTCGTTTTAGAGTTCTTGTACATTAACTCCTTATATTACAATCTACTATAATATAAAAATGCTAGTATCACTATGCTCATTATTAAGGTGTTATTAAGATTCTAAGTTTCCGTAGGGCTGCTTCATATTTCAGCCCTTAGGAGGGAGGGCTTCGGATGAGACTTCTCAGCGCATCTTGACGACGGGCTGATCAGCATCAAGGGCATGAGTAACAAGGAGCTTGAAGACTTAGTAGCTAAGTATCTATGAAACTTTGGGCATAATAGAGAACTGGATCTTCGCTTTTGAACTTGGTAGACAGGACGGTCCATTGCTGAGTAATATTAACACGTGATGTCGCTCGTATCCACATTTCTACCACAGATAATCCTTGCAAGTACTTTATCTGGGGATTTTATACGTAATCTTCTCCATGTTCCCCTCCTCCCGAGCTCCGCTATTCTGGATTCCTCGCAGTCAGCCACTCTGCATCAAGCTGCACTTCTTTCTCCAACTCTTTCACCAACCTTGTGCTAGCTCTCTTACCACTATCAATCGCTGCTGTTACAGCGTGCTGGTGAATGCAGGGCAGTGCCCGAAGATGGAAGTTCAGGGTCAGGGAGCACCGCAAAATGTATTGTCTCGAATTCTTCGCGCTGACAGCCGGCGTCTGCCCGTAACTAACAGATGTAAAGCAGGCCACACAACGACGAGCGCGGCCCCCCAAACGTCACAAGATTGCCATCGCATGTGATGCTTGTAGAGAGAAGAAGATTCGATGTGATGGGCAGAAACCGACTTGCGGCAATTGCAAACGAAAGCACAAGGCTGGAGACCGATGCAAGTACGTCTCGGACTCTTCTCGTGCCTCAGCCGATAGAGAGTATGTATAGTTACACCCATGCTCTGAGGGTTGATCTTGAGCTCATTGATTTTTAATCAGACATGTGCGGTACCTGGAGGACCGAATTCGCATGCTTGAAAGTGATCAGGCAAGTCCTTCTAGGATAGCACATGCCGTACGCCACAGCGAGCTGGCGGCTCTTCACCGAGCGGATGAAGTGCCGTCGGTCCCCCCCATTTCGAACAGGAACCTTGACATCCTATCCGCCGAGGCAGAGGCCCATCCGTCTGACCGGCCAACATCAACCGTAAGCCCATTGGGCCCCTTTGACGACCGACTACAGGGGCCAGACGGCCGCCCATTCCCAGAACAAGACGGACACGTGGCCTGCAGCTCTGTTAGTGCAATGGGGGCGGCCTCGCATATCTCTGACAGCGTGACTGCTGCACAAGAGCTGTTTTACGGGAGCTCATCCGCGGTGTCTTTTCAACACCAAGTTCGAGAGACCCTTCGGGCGTCCACGGGAGAATCTGACTTTGTCTACCCAAAACTACCAGCAACCAAGCAGTCTAGAGCTGCAGTCCATGGATTATCCTCATTCTTGGGCGAGGGACTCAGCTCGAGACTTGAAGCCCTTACTTTACCTCCTCGAGCTCTAGCAGATCACTTGTTAGACCTATATTGGGCTAGAGTACACTGTTTATATCCGTTTATACACAAGCCGAGCTTTCTTGAAAGCTACGAACAAATCTGGGCTCGCGATAGTGCAGTCGATGATAGGCACGTTTCGACAGAAGCTGTTGGCCTAGGAGGCTCAAACTGCGGACCTGCCACTTTCTCTTGTGCTCTGAACGCTGTGTTTGCCCTTAGCTGCCAATTTTCAGACCTACCCTCAGCAGAGAGAGAAGCGCTCACAAGTACATTCTTTCTCCGTGGAAAGTACTTTCTACATATCGACATTTTGGATGAAGGAGACCTAGCTCTCGTACAGGCCCTTCTGATCATGGCGCAGTTTCTTCAAAGTACGCACTATCCTGACCGATGCTGGAATATGGTTGGACTAGCCTACAGGGTGGCACAAGGAATTGGGCTCTATATTGACGACGGAAACGAAAATCGCTCTCCTATTGAAGTAGAGATGAGGCGGCGTGCATGGTACGGTTGTATAATGCTCGATACGTAAGTTTCCTTTTCGTGAACCTTGCTCTTCCATTCGTGGATGCGAATCCAAAGCTAAATTTATGCTGCAGTGTTGTGAGCATGACTCTTGGAAGACCATCTATTACTACTGGACAGTCCGATATACCGCTGCCAATTGCCAGCAATGACGACTCCCTCATCTCGCTATCTGCATCCTCAGCAGATAACGTGCCTGTTACTTCCTTCTTCGTGCAGGCTCTAAAAGTTAATAAAATCCTTGCCGAGGTCCTCACAGATGTCTACAAACCCTTAAGTCACTTAGGTGGTCGTAATAAGATCGGCCAGCAACCTAGATTTTGTTTTTTTGATGTCATAATCGATCTCGACAATAACCTATCTCATTTTGAACGTAACGTGCCTGAGCAACTCTATTGGGGCTGGCGAGATCAAGCACACCGGTCGACCGAGATTGTCACCCGACAACGCAATGTCCTTCATGCAAGGTTAGTCTCTATTACTAGTACATTAATCCTCCAAAATGATGGTTAACACACTATGTAGATTCGTCCACCTAAAGCTTCTTTTATATCGACCTATATTAAACCAGTTATGTGTAGAATCAAAGCTAGGAGTCGCAGCGAAAGGTTCAAGCGACCGTGAACGGCAGCATGCGACAAGTAATATGTTGTACGGGCATTTCGCTCAACGCTGCGCAGAAGCTTGCGTAGGAGCTGCAGAAGAGCTGATAGATATCGTTGACCATGCGTCGCAAACCGCCGCAACTGATGCTTGGTGGTATAATGTATTCTGTAAGCTCACGTTATATTTCAGAAACCCAACTGCTAAATGTTTCTCCTAGATTTATTTTCATCTGCGATGGTGCTTATTTTGGCCGAGGTCTGCCCTACAGTCCTTGCGTCTAGAGTACCTAGCACCGTTCAAAAGTCATGGGACCAGTGCCAGAGAGCTTTGGAAAGAATGGGTTTGCATAACGATGCAGCTAATCAATGCGCCAAGACGCTGTACAGCATGCATCAACAAATCTATCCCACCTCGATTCGTTGAGTAGTCCTCTGCCTCTTCCGATTTGTGCTAATATATAACAGATCTTCGGGCATCGCCCACTCAGATGACGCAAAAGTCAGATTTTAACTCTACAGAAGGTAACATTTCAGATTACCTGCAGACCAGCCTTTATGAAACAAGCAACGGCCGAGGCGTGGTAAATAGCGAGTTCCTCTTTAGCGACCTTCAGCTCCAAGACATGCTGTCTCAAAATTCGGGATTGCAGCCTCCGTGGAACTTGGATGATATTGGCTGGGGAAATATTTTTTCTTAAAACCATTCTTAAGAATACTACTTTAAGTCCTGTTAGGCTATACGTTCGTGGATTGAAAATCTCCGAAGCATGCAACAACCCCGGCCACATGTGAAAGTGCTCACACAGCCTGCAGGTGTATGCTACACACTCATCCCAAAAGGCTTCCCAGACCCCACCTCAATATAAGTAGGCGGATGTCTACCCAGGGCGGTAGCCCGTCCCGGGCCCTCATAAGTACGACACCACCAGTCCCTCGGCGGCCTGGAAGGACTAGATCCCATGAAATAGTCGAAGCTATACCTGTCCATGTTCCATAAGACGCGAATTACTAAGTTGAGGTTGTAATTCACTGATCATCTACCATGGGGTAGATCAGCATCTGGCCATATAGATCAGGTCTGCCGTGGTCCCGTATTTCGAGTGCGATAGTCGCCCCAAGACAGCCCCCTGTAGAGGCACCGCTATCACAAGTTTCTTTGGATTAATTCCGAGCGCAACTGCTTGATCTGCTGTCCATTTAGTCCGGCATATGCATCGTCAAATCCAGCTGGAGGTGGATTTTCCAGGGCTAGACGGTAATCCGCAGAGACCACTACAGCATCGAGCTGCTTGACCTAATCAAACACAGCGGAGAGAAAAGTGTACCCCGTGCCCATGATCAGTTCACCAGCGTGAATAAAATGGATGGCTAGCAAAACCAAGACAAAACTTTGCCATCTTATAGGCCATTAAACCTGCTTATGTCGATGCTGTAAATATCTTACCATTAATCCGATCAGACTGTTTGCGACATTAAGAAAGAAGGCATATTAATCATTAATTAGCCCTGTTAAGTTGGCTGCTAGTAGTGCAGCTAATCGGCCAACACAGTGTCGATTGGACCAGGCTACCACACCAAGCAGTGGAAACGAGCGAAATTCCAGTCTCTTGGATAGATCCTAGAAAATTTCTCCACAGAAGACCGCTCCGCCTTTGTACACCCTTGTTCGGCTGCATAATGTAAATATAAAATTAGTCTCGTTCTATAGCTAGCTAATTACACAGATTCCCATGAAAGTATTGGCTTTACAACTCTACCTGCCTTGAGATCTGCAATAGCCTTGTCGATATCAGCAACAGGGTATGCCCGTGATAATTTTTCAACGGGAAATAGGCCTTCCCGTTGCAATTTCACAAGCTCAGGAATCAACTATTTGGTGGTTAGCAGTTCGATCTTTTATCACTGGGCGCATTTTAAGAATCACCTCGACGGGGTCTGATAATGCCTCGATGACACCGATTAGGCGTTTGCACGAGAGAAGCATGTCCAAAGGATCAACAGAAACCTTTTGGCTAGGGCGGGCCACTCCGACCAGGGCAAAGACACCACCGTGGCCTAGACCACGGATACCTTCTTCTATCAGGGAGCAGATACCAGTTGTGTCGACAATCTGATCGACTCCATCGCTGACTAGCCCTTTCAAGGTTTCTGCGAGGCTGGTGATTCTACCAGAGTTGAGCGCGTCGGTGGCTCCGAGAGAAACAGCGAGTTCCAATTTGGCATCCACGATGTCGACAGCTATTACTCTCTCGACCCCTATAGCTTTGGCTGCCATCAAAGCACTCAGCCCCACAGCTCCCATACCCAGTATTGCTACCGTCGTTTTCTTTGAGGGTTTCAAAACTCTCATAATCGTGCCCGCACCGGTAAAGTACCCACATCCCATCGGAGCCATGATGGCAAATTCCTCGCTGCTGAACGCACACTTAACGACAGACGTTTCGGAAACAACAGCCAGCTTGCTAAAGGATGATTGCCCAAAGAACTTGCTGCGGACAGGCGTGCCATCAGCCAAACTTGCCGGGTTACTGCCATCGGAAAGTCTAGTTCCTGTGAAGTTGATCGCTGTGATATGAGGACAAGAACCATTTCGACCTTGGCTGCAGAATGAACAGGTTGTGCAAGAGCTGAAAGACAGGAGTATTTGGTCACCAACTTTCAGGGAGCTATCTTTCATAGAACCCCCGAGTCTTCGAATGATGCCAGCTCCCTCGTGACCGAGAATAGCGGGGAAACCTCCAACTGGCATAAGTCCTTGCTGCACCACGATATCCTACCACGCGTGGTCAATTGGAACTTGCCGAAGAATGGTAAAGAGAACCTACTGTATGACACAGTCCAGTGTATTTCATCTCAACAAGCACTTCCCCATCACGAACCTCGTCCAGTGTAATGTCCTGCAGGACAAAAGGCGAGCCCGCCTTTTCCACCACCAAAGCCTTAGTCGGGATTTGTCTATCAGGAAATGCCATTTCAGCTGGATGTATATTTTTCAAAACCTTGAGACAGATTCAATAATATACAAACAAAGTATTATTCAATTTCACAGCGTGGCTCTCGCGCCAACTCCTCTGAGCTAAGTAAGGTAAGCCGATACTGTACCTGGCTAGGTGCTTGGCTGTGCAATTTGGTTGAGGGACTCGAATCGGAAGCAGCACCGAGGAGGAAAGTGGCGAATCGGAACGACTCCAGAATCCGGTTCTTGGTGGGGATCTGGTACGGAACGGGGTTAACGGCAACCCTCCTGTTCGCTTCGCTCATGGTCGGTAATTTACACTATACATCATTCTCGTGGTCAGCGCCCTCCGAACAGACAGAGGACAACTTTTACAAAATAAATTTAGATGCTAAGGCGGCGATAAGACATAGATTGTAGCATAAATTAATAGTAGCAGTTATAATGAAGAATTAGTGGAGGTAGCAGTTTTAACGATGAGTTTGCCTTTGAAGCATGATGAAATAAGTACCTTCGCTTCACATATAAACTTCACTATAAATGTATTTACTTTTTCTACCCACCTCACTATTTTATAATTTCTATTACTTCAGCTGCTACTTTCTAGCCAATACTCGAAGCATCGAAACAAACAGAAACAATGGCTCACAAATTAAGTTGTCTATCAAGGTTGCTTCAAAGCCCCTCCAAATCTCTGAATCAATGCACTCGTACTTGGTCAACAAAACGAGGTTACGCGAGTAGAAGCCGGACTCAAACATCTCAGAGACTTAAAGACAAGGTTGCGATTGTCACAGGAGCATCCTCTGGACTTGGCCGTGCCATTGCTCTAAGGTATGCTCAAGAGGGGGCGCACGTCGTCTGCGCTGATCTGAGGCCGCTCGCCCCGTCTGCCATTGGTATTCAAGCCAGCAAGGCAACCCATGAGCTCGTTAAGGAGCAGGATGGCGTGCGGAGCCTTGCCGTAAAAGTAGACGTGAGCGATTCACAAAGCGTTCAAGACATGGTGCAAGCAGCTGTGAAGGAATTCGGAAGAGTTGATATGTGAGTCCCTATGTTCCCATAGCACCAAGGTTCATCTTCTAAAGCAGCATAGCATGTGCAATAACGCAGGGATTGCGTTTGAGACCAAAGCGCCGCGGCCGTTGGGAATTTGGGAAACCCCGGATGACCAATTCGACATGACGCAGCAAGTCAACTTGAGGGGGGTATTTCTGGGCTGCAAGTATGCTGGCGCTCAGATGCTCAAGCAAGAACCGCACTCGAGCGGCGACCGGGGATGGATTATCAATACAGCCTCAATATTGGGTTTGGTTGGGACGTACGGAACGTCATCATATTCCGCAGCTAAAGGAGGTGTTGTGAATCTAACTAGAGCGGCTGCATTAGATTTCGCGCCGCACCGGATTCATTGCAATACCATTTGCCCAGGCTGTAAGTCCAAAACTTAGAAGCGTTGAATGTTGCTAACTCTCGTATCACAGATACTCATAGTGTAATGATTGAAGGCTTGAACAAAGATATCGTCAATAAAGTATCGGCAATGCATCCGCTGAAAGGCTTTGGGCAACCAGAAGACATTGCGAGGGTAGCAGTCTTCTTTGCGAGTGAGGACGCAAACTGGGTTACGGGGGTCTCAATGGCAGTTGATGGGGGCTACACCGCACAATAATGGCATTTGGGAGATGGAGTGCGGCTTTCCCCCATATTTTAATTTTATGGAGGCAGGCGGATGAGCTACATCCAGGGACTATTTCCGGTATTTTACACCTACAGCTGAACGTCCTGAGTATATATATAATCTGTACGTGACCGCCTTCGTTGTTAGCCATTCGTCTAAGCCGGCAGAGCCAAAACTACCGTAATCCCTCGCCTTTATGCCACCATGTGGCAGAGATATCTCATCGTGTACTGTCATACCATTGAAAACGGGTGTAGTCAGATCATACTCGGTATCGTTCGCAAGCTCAAGGGCTTCTTCCTCGCTCTAGATACGAATTACAGAAACCGTTGGCCTTTCCTCCAAGCTCCAATAACACAGGCTTCACAGTTTGCGCCGCAGATACAACCTGCTCAGCCTCTGCGGCCCATACACTGCTACAACTATATAGACCCTTGCCGGTAGATGAGGGCACGACTTGAAATGAGTCTCTGAGAGTTTTATCTTGCCCATTGATGATGCTGGGGACTGTATAATCAGCCGCTGACTTGATACCCATGTTAGATATCGTTCTACTATAACTATTTTGATCGCATAACAGATGAAACTCACCTCCTTGCTGTGAAATATTTCCAGTATTCCAGTTGGGTTTGCTCGATTATGTTGAACAGTTTTACGGTCAGATAGATAATCCAGGCAGATGGAGATATTGCCAGGTCATAGTATTTGGTCGTAATGCTATATATAGAAAGTCTCAGGTCTATTTTAGATGTGTACGCAGCGGATTTTAATAAAGGTTCTCTTGGTGAAAGCCATCCACAACCACTTTGGAGAGCGTATCTCCAAGGCAGATAACTTCCAGAGGCTGCTATGCTCCAAGGAGGTGAGTAGGCTAGACCACATTATCATGGACCACGACGGCTATTTGCCATCATTCCTAAATTTCTTGTTCCTACAAAATCACTCATAAGATACGAACAGATATTTAAACTTCACAATTTATATTGAAAGGTATCTGTACAAACCGACTCGACGGCGAAGGTCCGGTGGGCACATGGCTAGCCTACTTATTTTAGTGCTGCTTCAGTCTTGGCCATAACTCAAGGACCCATCAGTGTTGGTTGAAATCATATAGGTAGTCACTATCATGTAAACAGGTGGCCTGTCTTAGGAAATCTTTCTAGGACTAGTGTGAGAGTCATATCACTCAGTGATCCAAGACAGGTAAGCAGCATGGGTTTCAACGGGCGATCATAGTGTATTCATAGGTAGCTGTCAAAACTAGCCGCTGGCTTCCTATTGAAGCCAGCTCCTTGCTACTTATATTGTCTGTGTGCGCTAGGCGAGGGCAGAGAGTTGTAGGGTCTTGGTGGACCTGGTGTCATAGCGCTGACATGGCGATGGCTGGAGGATAGCTAACCGTTACCTAACGGTTAGATAACCGTCAGCTAACATCACGTTCTGCAGAAAGGGGTCAGTCGACTCCTGATCGTGACAACTAGGAGTATATTCTCGCTGCCGGAAATTGTAGTGTCATAGTAGAAGCTTCTCGCGTCCTTAAGCACGTCTTTTGGATTGAAGTCCTTAGACAAGTAAGGTAGAACAGTTGCTAGGCGACTGATGAGGTATGTGAGAGCTTTATCACCACGGGAAAAGATGATCTTGACATCCGGGAAGTCGCGCACTGTTCTAGAGGCAATGAAGTCAACAGCTGCGCGAGTTGTCTCGAATGGGTAGTCGATGATAGGCCGAGGAAGCAATCTCCTAATTAGGTTGTTGTCGACGGGGTGAGTGGGGTGGACAATGACAACAGCCTTTCTCTCGGAAACTTCTTTCCAGATGTTATTTGCTTCGTCGGCCTCTTCTGACCACAGGCGAATCCCCTATACACAGGGATCTCCTCCCGCCACAAGACCGCTATCTTCAAACCGGCATTAGTTTCATAAAATCCGGGTGTCCTGTGGATGCTCACCGTCGCGGTAGATGTCTGGGACATAGTTGTAGTGAGCGTTGCTACGGTGCGACATCTTGTTATGTGTACTCAGTCAAGTAGAGAAGGACGAACTTGGGACGTTGCCAAAGGTAAGCCAAAAAATTGCAATGAAGTCTAGTCCTTGTTGCCCTTGACATGTCTGAAGCTGCAGTCCAAAAGGAGCGTTAAATAAGATTATCCTGCTCCTTTGCAAATTTCATTACTCTGTAACTAATAGACTAGCGCATCACATGGGATAACGTAGTCCTGGTGACATGAGCTGTACCGTATTTTCAGGTCGGTAGCTTTCAGTTCCCCGATCAATCAGAAGAGTGTTCGGCTACAGTTCCGAGGGTGCGTGCTCCACACCAATTTATTTGCCTTCGCATCTAGAGATGCAGCTCAAAAGCGGGGTAGTAATGAAGGTCGAATCGGGTGAGCTCCGAAGACCAACTGCTGGACGGGATTCTTTCCGATTTTGTAGTGCCGGGCCACGGAAGACTATGGTCAGACTCGGTTCCTGGCAGCAGCTGTCTACTTTTAAAGTGTGTGCTTGTGTGGGGTCCAATCCCCGGCAAAGTGGTGCTTCATGGATGTCCCTGCATGGGGTACTCCAGACTTGATTAAGTCGACGACACAAGGCCCACCAAATTATCATCCATAGACTCACTGCTATTGCAAAATACCCCAGGCTGCGACTTTCCTTCCACATAAAAGGCCATTAACCTATAACCTTTTTTACGAAAAAAGTTGTCACAATATTTTCTCATAACAACCATGGCAACAAGGAGGTCTCACACCAATACGCCAGTTCTCATCATTGGATCTGGCATATCAGGTAAGCTAAACCAAAAAACCGAGTGAAGACAATGTTAAAAGGTCTAACCAGCTGACACTTCTAGGAATATGCACTGCCATTGATCTGATTCGGCGTAACAAATCCCATGATTTTATTATCGTTGAGAAGGGTAGTCAAGTTGGTGGAACGTGGAACGACAACAAGTATCCAGGATGCTGTTGTGACAGTATGGTCCCTTTCCTTTACCTTCTCTACAAAGCTGTCTTTTACTTGGACCCCTTGGGTCTGTACCTGCACTGTAGGGTCGTAGTGAAACGTAGCTGATTCACTACAACCACAGTCTGGAGCCACCTCTACTCCTTTTCTTTCGACCCAAATCCGGACTGGAGTCGTGAATATGCTGGTCAAGAAGAGATTCTTCACTACTTGGTCAATGTCGCTCAAAAATGGGGGCTTTTCCAGAAAATCAGGTTTAATACTGCCGTCTCTGAAGCGCGTTGGGATGATGCAGAAGGCCTCTGGAAGACACAAGTACAAGTCACTGGCGACAAAGAAGCAGAGTTCGGAAAGGAGTATACAATTAACTCACAATACCTCGTCTCTGCAGTAGGGCAGCTAAACGTGCCATCATACCCGGAGCTGCCAAATCTCGACTCCTTCAAAGGGAAGGTCATGCACTCTGCGCGATGGGATTGGAGCTATCCAATGGATGGCAAAAAGATCGCAGTTATTGGAAACGGGGCGACTGCAGCACAAATTATCCCAGAATTGGCAAAGATCTGTAATACGTTAACTGTCTTTCAGCGGACGGCAAATTGGGTGGTTCCAAAGTTCAACACCGAGATTAGCGAAATAAGGAGGAAAGCATACCGTTACATACCTGGCGTTCGGAAGGCCCATCGAGCAAAATTGATGGATATACGAGAGACTATTTATCAAGCCAGTGTCGTTGAAAACTCAGATGCCAAGGCCGAGTTAAAAAAGATGTGCTTGGCATTGCTAGAGGAGCATTTACCGGACAATGCAGAATTGCAGGAGAAGCTTATCCCAAGCTACCCTCCTGGATGCAAGAGGATCATCATGTCTGACGACTTCTTGTCAACTCTAACCCAGCCACAGGTCACTCTCGAGACACATGGTATCAAACACGTCACACCATCCGGAATAGTTGTCGAGGGCAATACCGAACACCCTGTCGATGTAATCGTTTTCGCTACAGGCTTTCGCACACTGGAGTTCATGTACCCAATCAAGATCTATGGCAAATTCGGCCGCTCTCTCGCCAACATTTGGCAAAGTGGTACGCGAGCGTACCTGGGAATGACTGTCGAGTCACTACCAAATTTTGCAATGCTGTACGGTCCGAACACTAATCTGGGACACAACTCTGTCATTCTGATGGTAGAAGCTCAGTCGCGGTACATTAGCGCCATGATATCTACAGTATTGAAAGCCTCTATACGCGGTGAGAAGTTGGAGATCATGGTAAAGGCGGAAGCAATGGCGTACTACAACAAGGATATCCAGGAGCGCCTCAAACTCACCAGCTTTGCGAATCCGGCTTGTCACAGTTGGTACAAGGCTGCCGACGGCACCGTCACCAACAACTGGTGCGGTACGGTGGTTGAGTATCAGCAGAGGGCGTCGAACATTGACTGGTCAGCCTACGATATGACGGGCAGAGGTGCCGGGATGGCCAACAAGGAGAAGAAGTTGCATATTGGCCGGGTCGTGGAGGAGTCGCAATACGCGAAATTGGCATTTTGGGCGGCCCCTGCAATCTTTGCGGCATGCATGATAAAAGGTTTTGTGACAAGCTAATTCAGAGGGTTGTAATTTTATTCTTGGCGTGTTGTGTTTAACAGGACAGTTGATTAATTAATTGGCCATCATAATAATTCCTTTGTAGATAACAAACTTGCACGCTTGCCATCTGCTGCCCATACCAACGGTAAATCCGGTCGACTCCCATAAAAGGACCCACCTCGCTTATTAGCCTCTAACGTTTTATGGAGACGGGACAGCACCCGAGATGGTGGGCTGGACAGGGGTATGTCTGGATTGATCCCGACGAGAGTGCAAAGCGGAATCCAAGCCGAACTGCACAAGATCAGTCCCATCTCTCTTACTAGGACATTGGCTTGAACGAAAGGGGTTTCCAATCACTCGTGGAAAATGATCGGAAAGCCAGGATTAGCGGGAAGAGGGTACGGAGTTATGGAGAATTAAGAAGTGTACGGGTAAGAGTTGGTGCGGAAGCCACCCGACGGCAACGCAGCAGACTGGGCAATGTATTACAATAGTATGTAGCCCTCGAGGCACGTTCCATTTCTCGAATCATGTACGGAAGAGCTGGAAAGGTATCCGTGCCGAATGCGACAACTCCCAGAATACCTAGTTCAGAAAGCCGGCGACGGCTCACCGAGCGGGCTCTAGCGCATGCTAAATATTCTTGCCTTAATTATCACGCATTTACATAGTCCCTATGACTGCGGAGCAGAGTCTTCTACCATTTTGACTGCCGAGGGCGCCTATTATATAACTTATATATTGTTGGTGCTCGCGAGGTCGGCACCATCTCTGAAGGCCCTTCTCGAGAGATTATCGGTCTTCTTCTTTTTATCATCGTCACTGCCATAACCCAGGCTTCCAAAAGTATTCCACGCAGATGGCGGAGAAAGTCGATGTTTTGATCTGCGGAAGCGGCTCCGCCGGTGTTTGTGCTGCGACCTGGCTAGCACGATGTGGTTTGAGTTGTAAAATTGTCGATTCACGCCTTGGTCCCCTGTTGAATGGTCAGGCTGATGGTGTTCAATGCCGCACTGTGGAGATCTTCGAAAGCTTTGGCCTTGCCGAAGAGTTATTGCGAGAGTCATACCATGTGCTGGAAGTCTGCTTCTGGTCGGCCAACTCCCAAGATGAACTGATTCGAACAAACCGTATAGCAGATACACCCGCGGGTCTCTCACACCAGCCACATTTGATCATCAACCAAGCTCGCGTTCATGGCATCCTGATCGACGCTATGCGCTCCTTTAACGGACAGGAGGTTGAATATGGATATACTGTGAAGAGTGTTCAAGTCGACAGTGCTACTGCCAAAGACCCGGAGGCCCACTGCGTGACAGTCATTGCAACAAAGGACGGAAGAGATGAGAAGATAGACGCGAAATACGTGCTGGTGGGGATATTATATACCAGACACCATATGTTTGTTTACTTGGTTGACAACTTGACAGGGTTGTGACGGTGCACATAGCACTGTCCGGAGATCGCTGGGCTATACCATGATTGGAGACTCTACAAATGATGTGTGGGGAGTCATGGACATATTTCCACGCACCGATTTCCCAGATATTCGGAAAAAAGCGGTAATACAATCACCCCACGGCAGCCTCCTAATCATCCCACGCGAAGGGGGATCTATGGTACGCTTCTATATCCAGCTTGGGCGAGGGGTCATCGCAAAAGAGGTGAAGCTTGATGATCTACATTCTGCAGCAGCCCGTATACTGTCGCCGTTCAAGTTGGATATAGCGTCGACATTTTGGTGGTCAGCATACTCCATCGGACAACGACTGGCAGATCACTTTTCAAAGGATAATCGTGTTTTCCTAACCGGAGATGCATGCCACACCCATTCTCCCAAAGCTGGTCAAGGTATGAATGTGAGCTTGCAGGATGGATATAATATCGGATGGAAGTTAGCGAGTATACTCAAAGGCCAGGCCTCTCCTGATCTTCTTTACACGTATAATATCGAGCGGAAAAAGGTCGCAGCCACTCTTATAGACTTTGATCGGGCCTTCACCAAATCATTTTCATCAAAAAATACCGACGCCGAGTCTTTCATTGAGCGCTTTATCAGGGCGGGTCGATATACTGCTGGCCTCACTGCGAAGTACGATGAGTCTTCAATTACAAATGTGTCTGGCAGTACACAACATCTTGCAGCAGAGCTGACGGTAGGAATGCGATTCCCCAGCACACCGGTAGTACGGTTGTGTGATGCGCGTGTGATGCAGTTGGTCACAGCAATGCCTTCAGATGGTCGGTGGCGCATCGTGCTGTTCGCTGGCGACATCCGCGATGCAGCTAAAGCAGAGAAACTGAAGAAGGTCAGTTTGCATGCCTACGAGTGAAACACACAATAATGTCTTGGTACTGATCTGTCGTCAGCTGGGTGAATTTTTGTTCTCCGAGACTGGCCCAGTACAGACTTACACGCCGCCAACGGCCGACATCGACAGCTTCATCGAAGTCCTCGTCGTCCTCTCCGGAGTACGCCATGATATCGATGCAGGGCAGATCCCTTCGGTCTTCTCCCCAATAATTGGCAAATGGCGCATAAGCGGTCAGCATATGTCCTCTCGCAAGTTTCCATTCCCGTTACTAATACCAGTTAAGATATCCACAAGATTTTTGTCGACGAAGAAATCAAGGATGAAGGGTGCGGCACCGCGTACGACTTTTACGGCGTTGACAGCAATAAGGGTGCTGCAGTAATCGTTCGCCCTGACCAATGTAGGCAATCTTTCTTCTCACAACTCGTCATCTTGTCCCTAACAGGTATAGATGTATCAATGGTTACCGCAATTGAGGACCACGATGGTTTGAGGGGATTTTTCAGTGGCTGGGGAAGAGTTCAAAGGTGATCATTATTGTACTTCTTAGAAGATAGATGGATAATTTTAGTTGTTTAAGGAACTGGTATTAAAAGTCAAGTCGGTAAGGCTTAGGAAGTCAATGGCATTGAATCTGACGAATCTGACGAATACTTTCGGTCAACCTCGTAATCGTGAGGCCCACTTTCGCCCCATTTGCGCCCCACTCTTGTTAGTGGGACTTACCCCGCACTCCACAGTTTCTGTCCACGATTTCATTTCGATGTGCTTTTCGTTTCTCAACTACTTGTACGTGGCTGATTTCCCACATGCCGAGATGTCGGGCACAGAGTGACTGTCAGTTTCAGAGCCAGAGTCTACCTAACGACGCCACTGCTTCAACGATAACCTAAACTCTCTCGCGCAATCCGTCCTACCGCGTAACTAATCAATCAATCAATCAATCCGCCTTAGAGTGGCCCTTCCTCCATGTGTTGATCGCCGATAGCATTCGCCGCCAACCGCAGCGCACCAGGATGGAAGGGAGTGTACAGCGTCAGAAATTGCAGCACAATGTATACATACCCTAACTTGTCTCAGCATCTGATCTAATCTGCGCCTTTCATGCCGTGTTGAGGGAATCGAATCAAATCATAGCTGATGGTGGTTAGGCAACCGGAGCTGGACGGCGCCAAACAGGACCCCATAAACGTCAAAAGGTTGCACTTGCCTGCGTTACTTGTAGAGGAAGAAAAATCCGATGCGATGGACAGAAGCCAACCTGCGGCAATTGTCAAAGACGAAAAGAACCTGAAAATCCTTGTGCCTATACTTCCGACCATTTTAGATCTTTGAGCGAAAGAGAGTACGTACCCATCCCTAAAAGCAGTCAGTGATTAATTATATCTTTAGGTACATACAACATCTGCGGAATCGAATTCACGAGCTTGAGAACGACCAGCCAGAAGGTAGAACTGGTCTGTCCGGTCTTACTGAGGTCAATCGCGACGACAACAACCCATTTCCAACACCGGAGACTCTGCGCGAGGTGAATGCGATTCCACTTGTACTGTCATCTTCTCATGGACAACCTGAGCCTTTGCGATCCGCGTTCGAATATGCTTTCACAGGCGAACATCTACTTGCAGCTAGAAACCAACCGAGTCATAACAGCCAGCCAGAAGTGCTCTTTGGTCTTGAAGTGCCACAATCGTCTAGAGATTCATCATCGGACCGGGAGAAGCACCAAAACCGTGACGATGCGGTGAGTGCTATGGGTGCAGCGTCGCATATTTCGGACAGAGTGACTACTGCGCAAGAACATTTTTACGGGAACTCATCTGCAGTATCATTCCAACATCAAGTCCAGGAAACCCTTCGGCGATCCACGGGCGAACCAGACCTTGTCCGTTCACAGCCATCAATAATGAAACGACTAAAACAACCCTCAAACGCTCTATCCCCGTTCCTAGACCAATGTTCTAGGTCCAAGCTGGAAGCGCTCGCTCTACCTCCTCGCGCGCTTGCAGATCACCTGTTAGATCTGTACTGGAATAGAGTCCATTGTCTATACCCGTTTGTGCACAAGCCGAGCTTTCTCAGAAGCTATGAGCAACTTTGGGCTCGCGAGAGTGCCGCGGAAAGAGATGATTACTGTTCGCGTCAGGCTATCGGGCTTGGTGGCTCCAACTTTGGACTGGACACTTTCTCCTGCGCATTGAATGCTATGTTTGCTCTAGGCTGTCAATTCTCTGACTTGGCTCCGGAAGAAAGAGAAGCGCTTACGGATACATTCTTTCGTCGTGGTAAGCACTACTTACATATTGATATCTTGGATGATGGAGATTTGGCTCTTGTCCAGTCGCTTCTTATCATGGCACAGTTTCTTCAAAGTACCCATTACCCTGATCGATGCTGGAACATGGTGGGGTTAGCTTGCCGGGTGGCTCAAGGTATTGGATTGTATCTTGACGAATCCAACGAGAATCGTTCTGCTCTTGAAATAGAAATGAGACGACGCGCATGGTATGGCTGTGTGTTGCTTGATACGTGAGTTGCTCTCCACGGCCCTTTCCAAGTTCTTCGGTTCGCTGGTTTTATGTTGCAAGACTGAATTACTTCCGGCAGAGTTGTCAGCATGACCCTCGGCAGACCTACGATCACCTCGGGTCAATCAGACGTACCATTGCCTATGGTAGTCAATGACGATTCTCTCGACGTAGCATCCACGGCTTTTCTCTCACCAAACAGCGTCAACCCGCCACTCCTTGAATTCTTTGTCCAAGCAGTAAAACTTAATAAAATACTTGCGGAGATACTCACAGATGTTTATAAACCCTGGAGTCGCTTGGGCAGGCGTAACAAGATTGGTCAGCAGCTCAGGAACAACTCTTTTGACACGATAATCAGGCTAGATTATACACTATCGGATTTTGAGTCGAATGTGCCGAGTCAGCTCCATTGGACTCGGCGAGATCCAACTCTTGACCGCACGGAAATTGTCGACCGACAGGTTAATGTTCTTCATGCAAGGTTGGTCTTCTTTTATACTTTGATTTTCTAACAATGATGATTGATCCAAAATTACAGATTCACGCATCTCAAGATGCATCTATATCGCCCTATATTCAACCAACTATGTATAGAGTCAAAGATGGGATGCTCGAAAGGGCCATCTGGCGATTCTGAACGCCAGGATATGTCAAACAATATGCTCTACTCTCACTTGGCTCCACACTGTGCGGTGGCATGTGTAGGAGCTGCGGAAGAGCTGATAGATATTATCGATCATGCCTCACAGACGACTGCCACAGGTGCTTGGTGGTACAATTTGTTCTGTGAGTAATATTTGCCAATACACTAATAGACGCCTACTAATCAATACGAACTCTTGTAGATTTATTTTCATCAGCAATGGTGCTTGTGTTGGCGGAACTTTGTCCCACCGTTCTAGAGCCTGAAAAATCTGGCAGCGTTCGACAGTCCTGGGACCAATGCCAGAGAGTTTTGGAAAGAATGAGCCGGCACAACGATGCAGCAAAGCAATGTGCCAAAACCCTGAGCAGCATGCATCAGCAAGTGTTTTCCAAGTCAAATAGTGAGCTATCCTTCGTCAATCTACGATTTTCCGCTAAGACATAAACAGCTCAAGCTGCCCGTAATCCTATCACCCATATTTCAGGAACAACGACATCTACTTATCCCACAGCGATAGAGACTGGCGTACAGATTCCTCAACAGATAGGACTCTACGAAGCAGCTGACGCCCAGCCCCCTGTCAGTAACGATTATATGCTCACTGACGTGCAAATCCAAGATATGATCTCTCAGAATATGGCATTGCAACCTCCATGGAACCTGGATGATACTGGCTGGGGTGACTTGCTTTCTCAGAACCATTCTTGAACTCTAACCGGAAGGGTTACCACATTTGTCACCGACGAGGCAGGGAGAAATGGAGGTGCGCTACTGGTCGTCATTCTAATCTAGAGATCTTGGATGTTAGCCTTTAGAAAGATTGGGTTAAAAAGTTGGCGAGATGCTCTTATACTTAGATAATGCCTTAGAATGGAGATTTGAAGGACGCAGAATTGTCCCGAGCTACTCACTTGTGATACTGGGTTGCACGTGAAAGTGGGGTAACGCGTGTAGGGTGCTTCCCGTGCAGCAGGGCATTATGCGGATATTTTACACTCGGGTGGCATCCAAGTTTTCGATAGGCTCTAGATTCACGCTGTCTCGTAGGAGAGTTCATTAGCAATCAGTCAAATTCAGATGTCCTCTTAGCCACTAACGATTTGCGAGAACAGAGCCTAAGTTCGCTTCATATTGCTTTATATTTCCTATTTTGAATAACTGAGGTCAAAAGAAACCTATTAATTCCGCATAAGGAATTTAACATGTTGGATTAGGAATCAATACAGGATTAATCTCGCTCGAGCAGCAATTCCTTGACCCAAGCTAGTCTCGTCGCAAACGCACCTTGAGACTGATATGCATCTGGCGCGAACACCTCAGAGGAATGAAAAATTCCAGGCCACAGATGAAGCTCGGTTTCTACCCCATTTATGCACAAATTACTCGCATAATTTACGCACTCATCTCTAAACGGTTCAGTAGAAGCAACCTCGATAAAAGTTGGTGGGAGTCCACTCAGGTCGATGGCCCGTCCTGGCGCCTCATAAACATTGACCTTATCACTTCCTCGCCTTCCAGGAAGCACCAAGTCCCACGCTGCCTTGGACGCTACACCTGTCCACGTGCCATCCGTAGAAAATTGTTCCATCGATTTCGTAGCACAGCGATCATCCAGCATTGGATAGAGTAATAGCTGTCCGCACGGTTCTAGACCTTTGTCATCACGTGCCTTGAGCGCAACAGCTGCTGCAAGACCGCCTCCAGCAGAAGCACCGGCAATCAACAGCTTCTTCGGATTAATATCAAGCTCCGCTGCATGATCTGCCGTCCATTGGAAGCCAACATACGCGTCCTCGAACCCTGCTGGAGATGGATGCTCTGGTGCCAATCTGTACTCGGCAGAGATTACGACCGCGTCGATCTGCTTTACCCATTCGAACACGGCTTGCAGGAAGGTATATCGCGTTCCCATTACCAGTCCACCTCCGTGAAGGAAGTAAATTCCGGGCCGACTTGTTGATCTGGGACCTTTTTTTCGGAGGATAGTCAATGCGATGTCACCGTCAGGACCAGGAATTCGTTTCTCCACGTGCGAGATCTGAGGATCAGTGAATGCCTGTTCTGGTGTCCATTCGAACAGTTTACGGTGCGATGCGAGGTTCCTCTTGTGGCTGAGATCTGGAACACAAGGAATCGAAGACAGGACTTCGGTTAAGTTTGGGGTGAAGGGTGACTTTTTTGTCTCCGTTGAGCTGTCCATTATGGTTGAGGATTGATGGAGAATTCCTAGCTTGCGGTGGGGCTCGCAGAAGAAGTTCGTCCAGCGAGTGGTCAGATACTGAGAGCCTAGTGCAGTAAATGCAGTTGGGATTCTGGAATGCCGTTTGAACTTTCTGTACGATCCTTCAGCAACGTTCGGGGAACGACCAAACAATCCAAGCTTTAGTTGTTTGGCGTCAAGGGACCATAGTTGGAGATGATTATTTGAAATCCAGACATAACATGATCTTCTCAAATTGGCATAGAAATATTGTATAGTAGTTCAAATAGGCGGCAAACTCTTGATTATTTGTCCCATTTTGTGGAAATTTGTGGAAATTTTGGTATGTCTGAGGGATGAACACTGTTGGAAACATGAATATAATTCCGTGTAGCCAATCGGGGACAACACGCAAACCAAACGCTTGCTTCGAATACGCTCGGAAGCATCCCGAGGGCAGCCAACCTCAAATTTGGTATCCACTTCAAAACTCAACGATCACCAAGTCTACGACCTCCCCAACCCCCCATTGATAATTTACAAATCAATCGCGATGATCAATTGGCAAACGCTTCTTCTTTCGTCTTGGTGGATGAACTCATTGGGAATCAAGTCACGTTCGGAAGCGATAACGCCACTCAAACCACTAGTCCTGATTAGTTCATACCTTAAGCCATTGGGGAAAAAAAATCCTGTTATATCACCGGGACTGGGTTCGGATGGCTGCTCCAAAGTCTCAGAGGAGGAGTTGCTCTGGACATAGTATCCCGTGAATTTTGATGCTGCCTGATTTAGTGCAGCTTCCGCCCTCGGATCATAGCCGGTACCTACCAAACAGCAGGCAGCCAGATTCAGTCCATCACAAGTGACGTCATGCCTTAAAATTCTCTCCCGTTGACTTGATGATGTTATTGCTTTACGACCGAAAAGCAACAGTCCTTGCGTCGAAATAAGATGGCTGCAAATGACAGAGGCCCTCAGGTTGGTGAGTATGTTCATGAAGGCACATCGGGCGAGCTGACCATGGGGCCTAGCTGGTGTGGCGGGGGGTTTTTTGGGACTCTCATGGATCTTCTTTTCCCTTCGAATATATGTGAGAAGCTGTATCACTGGCAGTTGGGGGATAGATGATATGCTTGTTATCATTTCTATGGTGGGTTATCGCTGCCACTTGGGACTTTTGGCTGCTCTCCGTTGTCTAATTTCAATGCAGATACTCTTCACCCTATATTGTACATTTGGGTTCCTTGCAGTCAAGCACGGCGCTGGGAGGCATCTCTCAAATATTCCTCCTGAAAATATTTCCAAGGCATTTAGTTTTTGGTTCGTGTGTGAGTAAGTAGGTCTTGGAATTAGAACTCCTTGTCAAACCGTTCACCTTAATAAAGCAGCTGCTGACTTCATAATTAGATTATTATATGCACTAATTACCGTCCTTATCCGTCTCTCAATTTCCGTGTTTCTAATTAGGATATGCGTTACACGTACACACAAAATAATGGTCTATTGGATCATGACAATGCTAGTCATCTCCTCGACCGTTTACTTCTTTTTCAGCATATTCCAATGTTCTCCTGTCAACTATTACTGGAAGAGTAGGCCTCGCTAGGATTACTTTTATTCCTCCATTTCTATGCTGGGTTATGGAGGCACCTTCGCTCTTTACATCCTGATTAGACGATCGCTGATGTGTCGATGAACTAGGATACGAGGGCGGCCAAGGGAGCTGTACAAATGCTCTACCAGACGCAAACATCGCCTACTCTGTGGTTTCCTTTATGGCAGATTGGGCACTCGGACTGTTTCCTATCGTTATTATCTGGAATATTCAAATGGAGCGGCGCACGAAGATGTCCATAGCCGCTATTCTAGCTCTAGGTATTCTGTTAGTCTCGTCCAGCCCCTTTCTTTATTCTTGGACTACACTAACTTAACCATAGTGCCGGAGTGAGTGCGATGATCCGCATTCCATACCTCCAAGAGCTCAAATTCACGAATGACTACCTCTATATCGCAGCGTAAATAGAGACCTAAGTCCACCTTACCTTCCATATTCTACCGCTAACCGCTTTTCAGATACGTCAACATCTGGTCCACCGTTGAAGCTGGGCTCGGTATCATCGCAGCCTCTGCATACACGCTCCGCCCGCTCTTCCGCTCCTTTTTACGAGGTTACTCCCACTCGAACCGGGCCGGGCACATGTAGATCAGGGCCGCCTGGATATCTCGCGCTATTGACAACCCTCGCGAAGCTACCGAGCACAATCTCGGGATCCCGCTGCGTCCGGGTCCGATGAATGCGAATTCAAATATAGCAAGTCCCCGAAGCCCGTTGGGGATTTGAATGCGGATTTGACTCAGGCAACGCGAAACAGGAGTCAAGACGGCGAGCAGGATTGGATTTAAATCCGTAGGGTAGCGGAGGTCAGCAGAGGAGAGGACGACGTGACTAAATATCATTCACGGCGTCAAGAGATTGAAGATCCTCCCGGAGCGACCTCCCAGCCATCCGAAGTCCAATATCAAGGTGTAGGCTCATTTCCCGTCCGTTGATGCTCTCGTTGGTAGACACTTCTCCCCCGATCCGGCACAACTCGTTGCCACAATTCCTCCGATCCTAGACCTCTGTGAAAGGATAGCCTCAAAGCGCCTCGGCCGCTTTTAGACTGGACACCATAACAAGTCTCCACTGATCCTGGAATATCGCACGAGAAAAAGGGCATCTCCAGCCCAATAGAGGTATTCTTTTGGTGATTCTCCAAAAGCAGAGCTCCCAGTCAATGCGAGTTGAGATTCTTGATCTGCTTCTAGTACTTGGTGTCTAAAACGTCGTTCGAGCACGTAATGTCACCCATCTTCCGTGTTACCCGCGCTATCATGCAGTCTCTCAAAACAGTATGTATCTACATACTGTTTTGAGAGTTCTTAATGCGACCTATATCTTTGCCTGCCGCTCACAAGAAACGGAGACAAAGTCGTCGAGGAGCTCGGCGTTATGGATGTCGTGGCGCTAGACGTCACAGACGATACCAGTGTGTTAAAAGCAAAGGACGCGGTGGGAAACAAATATGCGAAGCTGTATGTCAAATATCTCTCCTATAACGATACATTAATATTTACTTTCGATTTTTGTGCTGCGCATTAGTCCAGAACTCGCATTCTCACATACTCACATAATCACCTCTTTTGTTTCACATTTTTTGCTGCCCTTTTGCTTGGTAACGTTTGACGTGCAAGGAGCCTACAATGGAGTAAATAAAGGAGTGTTGAAGGACCGACTGCAGGCACTGGATCTACAGCTTTTGTAGTGATCGTCATGCATGTATAGCCTTTGGTAGCTATTGTTCTTCAACATCGAACATCACATATCCTGGCCTGCCACAAGGATCACCACTGTCACCGATCTTGTACATCGTTTACAATGCCACACTGTTTCATGGTATAGTAAATTACAGGGCGGGGAGATGGGCTTCGTAGATGACTACACAGCCTGGGTCACAGGCCCGTCACCAGAAGAAAACACAAACAGAATCCAGAATGAAATCATCCCTAGAATCGTACAATGGGAAAAGCGAAGTGGAGCCACTTTCGAGGCTAGTAAGACCCAATTCATCCATTTCACGAAGAGTGTGGAGAGAGCACAACAACCACATGTAGCACTACAAATCAATGGGGTACATGTGGCACCAAGCAATACGGTGAAGGTCCTCGGGGTGAATCCGATAGCAAACTCCGGATGAGGGAACACATGCAGGCAGTTACACGCAGGGCGACAAAGCAGTGCGTCTCTCTAGGCATGCTGCGAGGACTTCCGCCCGTAGCAATGGAGCAATTGTATATCGCCACAGTAGCTTCGAAAATGGATTACGCGGCATCAATATGATATAAGATTCAAGATCGAGGACAGTTCGCCGAAAAGATGCTGGAAGGTGTCCAACGACTCGGCGCCCGGGTGGTGACTGGCGCTTTCAAGACGGCGGCTGGGGTTATCCTGGAAGCTGAAGCTGGGCTCTTTCCAATCACCATCCGCCTTCGGTTGAAGATGATGCGGTATGCTATTGGGCTGCATACGCTCCCAGCTTCTCGCCCATGGTGGCAGCTGAGGCGCAACATCCGGCCCACCACCACCAAGATGATGTCACCGTTGCGGCGGATGCTTAAAGAATTCGAGAGAGACGTCAGAGGACCCAAAAAGACTACTCTTGAGGTCATCCAGCCTTTCCTCAGGCCTCCATCCAGGCATCCATCAGCTGGCAATGCTTTCGAAGCTATTATCATCACTGCAGACAGAGACTTGGCAGCCGCGGAAGTCTTAGTCGCTAACGGTACCGGCTATATACACTGACGGCTCAGCAAGGAATGGTCTTACTGGGCATGCAGTAGTGTGGCATCGAGCACATCTGCCCATCATCAACCCCAAATCCGTGTGGGGAATCAAAGCATACGACCGTGGCTGGGCCATTGTACACGAAACAGCGGCGTGGGGGGACGACAATAACGAATATGCCGCTGAACTGAGGGCAATCCGGAAGGCTGTCAGGATCCTTCGTACCCAAGTACCACAGTCGCGGCAAGGCATGATTAAGATCCTGACCGATTGTCTAAGTGCCATAAAATCTCTGGAAAGACCACAGCAGCAGAGTGGACAGTACCTTATTCAGGAGATACTAGAGATTACCGCTGAACTTCGGTCGCAGGGTACGAAAATCACCCTACAATGGGTGCCAGCCCATGAAGGGATTCACCGCAACGAGCTTGCACACAAATGGGCGCGACAAGCTACCAAAAGGGATGTGAGGTGATCGACGAACAGGCCCCACGTCTCAAATCACAAGCCTATCATGTAGCTCGAGATCGTATTCTGAAAGAGCGTGATCTACTATTTCGACGAACGCTTGGAGGTAAATTCACACGATCAATCGACAAGGCTCTGCCGCGGGATCACATGGCCAAGATCTATAAGATACTAGATAGACAGGATACAGCCACCCTAGTACAACTAAGAACAGGTCACGTTGGATTGAATGATTATATGGCCCGAATTCATAGGGCTGACTCAGCCGCATGTCCATGTGGAGCTGAGGCTGAAACGGTATCGCACCATTAGGAGTATGGAGTGGGCGCATCGAGAGACAAACTGGAAAGCATATTGATGGCAACTGGGATCAATGGAAGCCAGATATTATGGCAATCAAAGCGGTTATAGAGTTTGTGAAAGCGACCGGAAGACTTCAACCACAGCAAAGAATTGAGATGGAAGGCGAAGGAAGATAGAGGGGCAGCTAGGGGAGAAGGCGCCGGAGAAGAAGGCAGCAATGCTGGAAATCCCAGGCTCGATCAGTTGCGACTGATGAGTTTTTAAGCTCGGAATCGATGGCCAACACTTTGAACAATTAGGATAGCTTATAGCATATAGCGAGAAGCTTACAAATAAACTTAACTTAACTTAACTTAGTACAGTAAGTGAGCTTCTGTTTCCTAAGGTTATAACAATAACCTTATATTACTAAAAATGGAAGCACTTCCAACAGCATCGGTGCTTTGTTGGTCTGCGAGCACTCTTCGAGTCAAGTGCCTCTTCTGCCTCAGCTCCCACGGGCATGGAATCGGAGAACTTATCGTAACCACTCATAGCGCTCCATTCTCGCTTCACGGGTGCAAAGCATCGAAAGCCGCGCGGGAGCTAGAATATAACTAACGTACTGTTTAATCTAATACTCCTCCCGAACGTTGAAGTATTTCATATCTGCAAAATTTATCTGCTAAATCACCTAAGCACTAACAGCTCCGTCTTGTATTAACCTCCTCCAGATATCTCTGCTCTCTTCTAGCTGGTTAAGTGGAGTGTACTCTCCTCCACTCGGACCTGGATCCATATGCACCTGCACTCTCCTTGTTTGCCCTCTTTTTCCAACCTCTAGCACCGTTCCGCCCTCATACTCATCCTTTTCCACTAATTCCACCATAACCCTGGCCACCATCTCCGGCGTGGCCCATTCCTCTGTCGCCTCTCCAACCAATTTCATCTTCTCTTGGTTGTCTAACCAAAGAGCCGTTTTCACTACACCCGGGGCCACAGCCACCACGCGAATAACTGGTAGGCTTAAATCGGGGGATGGACGCTCCAGGGAGGCTAGACAGCGCATAAAGCCGTTTATGGCATGCTTTTATGCAGAGCATAATGGACATGGGAAGAAAAGTTCTTGACCCGCTATGCTAGACACGTGGATGATTGAGCCTGGCCTTTGAGATGGCGAGCTGTGTCACGCGGATTGGGTGTTATATGTTGATGTCTAAGGTTGCGTAGCGGGATCGATCGACACTGTCCTGAGATGGTGGGAAACCAGGAGGGTACCAGAAATTAGAGAAGGACAACAAGCGGTTAGTATCGGTTGTTTTACCGACTTTAAGACGGAAACAAAGAGCTCACTGGTTCAAACACCCCAGCGCCGGGAAACACAATATCAGCGCCGTTGAATTCTTCATTCGCAGTTTCAAACATCCGAGATAGGCGAGGCCACTCTTTCACATCTGTTTGCAGAAACACAGCGCGTCCCTGGCCCGAGGAGGCTGATGCATATTGGGAGATGGGTGACTTGGCTTCGGGACGAAGAGCTAGATCGGCGAAGAGCACGTTGCACCCTTTCTGTAACGGAAGCTGAGCAAAGGAGAGGTTAATTCCTGATCCAGCGCCAGTTATTACTGCCGTCTTTCCTGCTAGTCTGAGCCATGATGAGAAAAAGTGTCCGTTGAACGATAATTCTTCGAATACGGGTTGAAAAAAAAACTTGAATTTTACGGTCTGTTGGTAAGTCCTGGTGTATGGATATACAGATATCCAGGATCCCGTAAAGCCTGCTAAGAAGCTGCTGTAAATACGTGGGTTGGCAGCGCTTCTATTTGGGTAAGGGTGAACATCCCCGGATAGAAAAATACCTTTCGGGAAAATTTTGATGTACGAGGCCAAATTCCCTGCGCACAGTCCTGTAAGGGCGTTCTGGATTGAAACTGTGCTAAAGTTACAGCTTACCACGAGCAAAAGTTAGCGCGTAGCACGTACAGGGTTCAGTTTCGAAAGTGAGGGGTGTGGGTTGTGATCTCGGGACTGGTTCCGAGGATCGATGGTCACTTATCAAAGTTTCCGAGTCTCGGGCTATGATTGATTTATAAGCCGCCACAAATGTCCCCTGTAAACCCAGAAAACCGGAAGCTCTTCGTGCGGGGTTTAGATATGCAGAATAAAGATCATAAAGCAGGGCAGTTTATAGCGAGACTATACTATCTAAACCCTCGACTAGATCTTCTTCTACACGGCATATTCTAAAAACAATGGCTCTCCTACATGAAATTTCCCCTAAGATACTCGTCCCAGAATCAGCCGGCCTCTATTTTGGTGAAGCACCCCGCTGGCACAATGGAAAGCTCTTCTTTGCCGACATGATTGGGCAGAAGATCTATGCCCTCGACCTATCTGGAAAGCTGGAGGTTTTTCTCGAGGTCCCAAACCAGCCTAACGGAATGTGCTTCATGCCAGACGGCTCTCTGATTTACTCTTCTATGTTCGACGCCAAACTCTATCGCTACTACAATGGCCAGATAGAACTATTTGCCGACTTGTCTAGCTTGATGACGGGCTACTGCGGAGATATGGTTATTGACGCCGCCGGTCGAGTTTTTATCGACGATACAGGTGCGCGAGTCCTGCATGGAGAAAAACCATGTCCTGGCCGCCTCCTTGTGGTCGACACGGACCGTAGCGTTAAGGTAGCGGCCGAGAATTTGGTCTTCCCAAACGGAGTTACGATTGACCGGGAAGGGACATCCCTTTATATTGCAGAAACATTCGCATACCGGATAAATAAATTCAACCTCTCTGAATCAGGGGAATTAACGAATCGACAGGAGGTCTGGGACGCAACTGAATGGGCGCGTCTTAGGGGGACGCAATCTGAGAAATTTTCTAGTGTAGATGGTTTCTGCATGGATAAAGATAACGGGATGTGGCTGAGTTTGCTAGCCGATGAGGTATTTGCGAGGAGGGACCCGGAGAAAGGCATGTTTACGCACATGATTAAGGTTGATGGGCATGCGACTGCTTGTACTCTTGGAGGAGATGATGGCAAAACACTCTTCATGTTAGCAAACATTACTCCCAAGGGGGATGACTTGTTTACGGCCATGGTGGAGAGGCGGACAAGGTGTATCGTTTTGACGGCGACGGTAGACGTTGGCCATGGTGATGCGAGGCCATAGGATGGTATGATAAAATATAGTCTTAAGCTTATATAACTTTCCAGTCTTGTTTCCCTATAATATATGTTCCGGCCCAACCGTAAGATCTGCCAGCTCGCGAGCTGGCAGATCTTACGGTTGGGCCGGGCCGTTCGCGAGCTGGTCGGCCAACTCGCGAGTATGAGTAATTAGAAGTAGGAGTAATCAATTGATCTATATAGCTACGTTTCCTGCTTTGTCTGCCCGTGCTAGTTTCCAACGAGGCCTCTCAACTAGAGCTATTTCTGTACGAGTAGCTAGACCTGATAAATTGCCACAGTCATGGTCGTCATTAGGACAGTGTACGCTACACTCCTTTGCTTCCTTATAACAACGGCACCTCTTTGTACTACATTGACCCTTACATTGACATGATATTACAACCCGTGCGCTTGTAGAAGCCTCTCTAGCTGCAAGCCCTAACGTTACTTGCTTTGTAGAAAGAGGTATTAGTATATCAGACCATAGAGCTTGCTCTACAACTCCAAGTGATTTCGTAGGGATAAGGCGTTGTATAATACTAGAGTATGTAAGAACCTGATATCTGTGAGGGTAAGGCTCTTCTAGAATGCGTGCAAAGAGCCTCTTATTATTAGTTGAAGTTCTATCCTCGCGAGGGACCTTTATAGAGACTATAGATCCAATATCAAAGTGTTGGATATCATGCTTCTTAGTATACTTGCGTACCATAGAAACCCTTGCTCTTTGAGTAGCTGCTATAGCTCTCGATTGTAGTAAGTAGGACTGCTTATATAGGCCTTAAAAGCACTACGTATATCGTGTGGAAATGGATTAATACATGCAATAGTAGCCATAATTACTATAGTTGTAGGATATAGGATTTGAATTTTCTACAATACGATACTATTCTACACAACCCCGCCACTTCATGGTTGGGCCGGCCCGTTCGCGAGCTGGCAGATCTTACGGTTGGGCCGGAACATATATATCTCTGCACGCAGATTTGACCATAAAGGTTGTCTATGTCACCTGATAAATACAATCAATGATTGATGACTGAGAAAATGCGGATTGAACTTAATCAGCCCATAAAACAAGAGATAATATCCAGGTGAAAGCTATCAAATATGCACGCTGCGGTGATGAGAACCGATGGGTTTGTGTAGCTTTTTGTTGAATTCTCACACTGTGCGCGGTGATGAGACCCGCTGGACCGCGGCCAGGATGGCGAGCTTTAGCACTCCTACTCTAAGATTAGATCAGGGGTAGAGGCCTACAGTCTATAGAATAGTTAGATTAGCTACCTTTATCTACTATGCATTATCACTTGATTCAATGGGCCCTTACGGGTGCGATTCTACTCCTGCTTTTTTTTCTCTGCGGCAACGTACGAATAGTTAGGGTAGGTACTTACCCCGCATTTTTGCTACCATACAAACTGGCTGGCGACAGCCGTCCGGACCGAGGTACCACTCTACGGCACTTTGTCAGCGTGCCTAGGATTGCCTACACTTTTGCTTTGAGCCATTTACTCGTGAGCGTAAGCAACAGAATACCCTCTTGTGATGGACAAATACTACTTCCACAGCGTGATATCCCATTAGCTGCTGTACCGAACTGGCTTAGGTTCTCAAATACCATTGTAGCGATTGACGACGGACCAATCTCTGACTACATATTGTTTGTGTGGGGATGGTGAGGCTAGCTAGGCCACTGATTCCACCAGGTCCAGTCGGAAGGCATAAACTGGCTATTGCGGAGATAGGTATCAGGTTCGAATTGAAGGATCTGCGCCAGCGGGAGAAATCCGTAACTTTATTAGTGGTAATCCCCACATGTCTCACTTTTGTCTTGCATGATAGCTCACAATTTAGAATCGACCGTAGGTGTCCAGGGCTGGCCAATGGGATGCTTTCCATCTAGGCCACCATGAGAGAGGCTACCGAATTTAAGATGTCGGAATGCACCCGGTTCCACAAGGTTTGCAACCCGAAATCTTAAATTCGGTAGCGTGTCTGTTCCGGTCTTCTGGATAGCTCCATCCCCGCACTTGGATATCGTTTTCCCCGTGGGGCGCGGACTTGTCGGCGGCATGCAAGGTGTAGAGCGTTCTATTTTCAATTACGTGGGACCTGCGAACAGAACGAGCCTCAGAAATCTATATATATTGTGATTCATTCAAAATAACAACACATTTGAATAATAAATAAATATTGAGCTCAACTGATAATTACAGCCCTCTCGCAAAGCCTTGACATATTCACGCCCCTTTTGTCTTCCATCCGCAATGGCTAATCGCGTGGATGTTCATCACCACTTCGTCCCGCAGTTCTACCGCGATGGTGAGCAATTCTCTCTATAACTCATACAGAGGGTTCCTCTAAGCTTAAATAGCTGTGCTCGGTGCAGGCGGAGATCCCTCAGGGTGGGAGATCCCGCAGTGGTCGAAGGAGTCCGACAGAGAATTCATGAAGAAATACGGTGTATCGACCACAATTCTCTCACTTACGGCCCCTGGAGCGTGCATCCTCAAGGGAGAAGCCTCCGCAAAGCTTGCCCGAGATGCCAACGAGTATGCTGCCAAGATGCGAGATGACAACCCCTCCCAGTACGGGTTTCTTGCCGCCCTGCCTTCACTGCTCGACAAAGAGCTCGCTCTCCGGGAGTTGTCATATGCACTGGACGTGCTTAAGGCCGATGGAGTTACCTTTTTTACACGGTATGGTCCGGACAACCATTATCTAGGCCATCCTGATTTAAGGTACGCGTGGGAAGAGGTGTCAAAGCGAAAGACTGTCGTTTTCGTCCACCCAACTCATCCGGTAGACACCAACTTAATCAGCAAGTTACTTCCTCAACCGGTAATCGACTACCCTTTCGAGACCACTCGTACGGCCGTTGATCTCCTCGCATCAAGAACTGTTCGAGATTTTCCAGACGTCAAGATAATCCTTTCCCACGGCGGAGGAACTCTTCCATACATCATTGGCCGCCCTGCAACAGTCTTGCCGTACTTGTCCAAAGACTTTTGCACTGAAGATGTCATAGAGGAGGCGCGAAACTTTTACTATGATACAGCTGTCGCTGGCAGCGAGAATGTTCTCACAATTCTGGAAAAGTTTGCAAAGCCAGGCCATGTGTTGTACGGCAGTGACTATCCTTACGCTGGACCTGGCATCATCACTTATCACACGGATGGTTTGGATGCTTTCGAGTACAAGAATAAAGGTCTTCTGCAAGAGATTAACACTGATGGATCTCTAGAGCTATGGCCGAGACTGAAACAGTACTACGGGAAGTAGTGTCAATGAATATGTGACTCAGCTTCAATTTACGCTCTCTGCGAAGTATCTAGTAATGCATATATATTTCCCAGTAATAAACCAAATTAAGCGAATAATGCTGCGCAATATCTATATTAATTCAGATAACTGCAATACCTTGGATAAACACTACAGGACCATATGCTCTATCCCCTAAAATGCCCATCTCCAACACTCTCTAAAATTCGCCGAGCGTGATCTGGTAGTAACTCCAAACGTCTACATCTTTATTCTTCGCGATGCCCTTGTTAAATAGTATAGCAGGCGTTCTGTGATGCAATTGGTCATTGAAAAAGACGTCTTCCGGGGCAGAAATGAAATCTGTAGCCCTCTCCCGCAAACAGGAAGCAACAGGCACCACACAGATGGAATATTTTCGTCGCATTCGGGTTACGCACTAGTCTAGAGACCCTGGAATATTGCATAATGTACTCTGGCGTCAGGAAAGGGGTGATCAAAGCTGCCTTCTCCACTCTCTGGGAACTGAGCGGGGAGAGCGACGGCAAATGTTGGACCATTCGATCTGGCACAGAATAAAACGACATCTCATTTGATAACATACTCATCATTCCATTTGTGCAGACGTAATTCCCAAGCCACATACGATAACTCAAAAACTAAATAGACACTGAGCGCGCACAGTGTCTCAGCGGCTGAACGGGAACATAGCCATTGTGACGGGTGCATCATCCAGGCTTGGTCGAGTAATAAACTAAGATATGCTCAAAGGGAACATATTTAGTTTTCCGCTGATTTGAATCACTGTCACGGCCTGCTACAGAAGGAAGGGCACAAGCCGGCACAACATGATCAATGAAAAATGCGGTCGAACCATTAGCGTCAATGTCGATGTTCGCGATTCCCAACGTGCTCAAGAGTTTGTTGCAGACAGCTGTGAACGACTTTAGTAAAGTTGAGGTTTGAGTAATTGTCCCTGCTTGCGTCCAGCCTTCGCGAAATCCCATTTAATATGGGTCTCAGGATGTTCAAAACTGCTGGCATAGCGCTCGGACCGATCACCGCGGCCTTTTGGATCTGGGAGACACCGGATAAGCAATTTGGGTATTCCTTGCCTGCAAGTATGCAGGCCTCAGAGTCTGATTCACCAACGCTGCATCGACTCTCGGTCTAATTGGATGGTATGGAACTTCATCGTATTTAGTGGTAAATCTGACGCTGACTGCCGCATTGAATTTTTGGAACGTATCAAATCTATTCTAACGTAATTTGACTTGTTTCGGAGTTGATCTTCGGACGCTTTGTCGAATCTACCAATTGCAAGAAAGCTACCGATACCACAATGACAGAGAATCTATCAGAGGAATCAGTAGAGACGAGTCCGTGGAGAAGATGTCGTCAATGCCGCCATTCAGACTCGGCGACATGGATAAGACATTGCCAGTGTGACAGTCGTTTATGAAAGCGACGATGCAATATGGGTCAACGGCATCTCAATGGCAGTTGATGGCGGCTATACCTGTTAATAGTGACTTATTAAGGTGGAATCTTAGCAAGCCAGAATATATACTCTATGAATTCAAGGCTCCTTTCAGACTTGCTCTGCTATTTCTGGGCCTATTGCGATGTCTTCTTTCAAAAATTGCATCGCGGGAAGGATTACTATACAGCCTTCAGTCCTTGTAAGTCACGGTTTTCGTCACAAGCCATTCGTCCAGCCCAATAGAACCAAAACGTCCGTAGCCACTCCCTTTCATGCCACCGTGAGGTAGTGAGGACTCGTCATGTACCGTCATACTATTGATGTGGCAGGCTCCCGCCTCAATGCCTTTAGCAAATCTCAACCCAGTTCTCAGGTCCTCGGTGAACACAGCAGAAGTAAGACCATATTCAGTATCGTTCGCAATACGAAGGGCTTCTTCCTCTGTATCAATCGCAATGAGGAATACGACGGGCCCAAAGGTCTCGGTGTGATAAATTCCCATCCCATCCTTCACACCCTCAAGGATAATAGGCCCCATATCCACGCTTGACTTAGAGTCAAAATCCCCATATAAGACTCTAGCTCCTTTGCTGAGAGCATCTTCGACTAGCCATTTGTTTTTCACCACGCTAGCTTTGTTAATGAGAACTTTGGCCTTCGGAAACAATTTATGCGTGGCTGCTGCCAAAATGTTGTGAAACCTTTCAAAAACATCACGATGGACTACGATCCGCTCTGTAGCCATACAGACTTGCCCACTGTGTAGGAAAGCTCCCTTTGCGCACTCTTCCGCTGCTAACTCGAGGTCGGCGTCTTTCCAGACAACAGCGGGAGCTTTCCCACCTAGCTCCAATAGCACGGGCTTTAGGTGTCGCCCTGCTAGCTCCGAAATTATGCGACCAACTGATGTGCTGCCAGTGAAGTTGATTTTCTTGACCCTTGGATCTTGAATCACAGCTCTTGTGACAGCTGCTGCGTCGCTGGGCTTATGTATTATGACATTAAGGACCCCTGGCGGAAGTCCGGCTTGACGGAATATGTCACCGATGGCCCAGAAACAGCGCGGAGACAGCTCCGACCCCTTTAATATTGCAGTATTTCCAGCAGCAATAGCATACGCAATCGATCGCACTCCTAAGATGTATGGGGCATTCCTGTAGTCTCAAAGTTAGTATATTAGGAACATTTTTATTCGAGCGCAGCCAGACATACCATGGAGCAACGGCCATAATAACCCCATACGGCTCTTTTAATACAATAGAACTGCGTCCAACTTCGTTCGTTGTTGGCACCATCCCTACAATGTTGCTGACACGCCCTGCAACGTCACGCAAGATGTCGGCAGCGAGGGGAATGTTGAAGTCTTGGGCCCAAAATGAGCTCGAACCTGTTTCATCTATCATGTACTGCCCCAACTCTTGTGCCCTGCTCTCCATCGCCGCTGCAGCTCTCAGCAGAATATCTCGTCTTGCTCCCGGTAAAGTAAACCGCCACAGTGTGTAGGCAGCTTGTGCGGCAGAGACAGCGATAATTGCATCTTCAGGGGAGGCACTGCTGCACAAGTACAGGCCTTTACCAGTAGATGGTGATGATACTTGGAAATCACGTTTCAATATGACGTCTATGCCATTTATTTGAGCTGGCACCGTGTACTCCGAGGGTGACGGGTTGGCATTCATCCTAGCTAAGCCTTTAGCTTGGGCAGAATTGTGACATAGCGCACACGGGTTGAATGGTTTACGTACCTGTTTCTCAGATGTTTATCTTCTAGTAGCAAGAATCGTAGAAGCGCTTAGAGGTGACGCAGAAGTTCAGGCCTCTCGCGCAAGCCGTCTTAAGTACTCATGACACAGATCAGAGACCCACAAGAATATTGGAACTTTACGTGGAGAATAAGGCAGCCACGTCCAACAAAATTTATGCCTTTAACATCCATGTCTCCGGATTACAAACAGCCTCGTTCTTAGCGCGAGTACCTTGAAGTCGGCTCAGGGAATAATCAATTAGGGCCTCGGGATGCCAGCCGAAAATTTCGGGACGACCCCGATTAGCTAAGCGGTACTCCATCGCAACCCCTACTTACTCAATATAGTCTAATATTCTACCCCTGAGCTAGTATCAGAGGAGTGGTGCCCAGTATCACCTTCATTGTCGGGCGATACTGAGCTTGGCGCCGGTGTTGGCACTTGGCGGCATCGCCACCCCTATCCAAGGCACGGAATGAGAATCCCACAACTATGAACGACTCTAGTGATTACTGAACAGTCATAACAAAACGCTGAAAGATGCGGAAATCTGACCGTACTTTTGTAACGCAGCACTTAATATTGATGAGATGTATTGCGGAAAATAGGCCGTGCTTTCATAATGAAAATCTTGATATGTAATCGTCGGTGTCCGCACCGACCACCTACGGGTGGTCGGCGAAAGCAAAGTGAGACGCGAAAGCAAAGTGAGACGTGTCAGGTACATAACCGAGAAATGGTTCCTCTACAATTTTGTATGCAAATGATTTGTTCTTTAATGTCAATACCACAACCCCTATTATAACGAATACAATGCAAGCTGAAAACGAAATATCTGCCAATCCAAGAGATGACGCCCTCCAGTTCCTGTCCGAAAACCCCTCCGAAAAGCCAACTACTGCAGCTCGAATATTCAAAGTAAACGCCAGTTCCCTACGTACAGCCCGTCAATGATCTGTAATCAAACGTAACGGGATAGTGGCTTTTGAGTGGACTCTTTGGACGAGACTTCAGCTCGCGTGGGCCACTTGTGGTTGGCCACCTCTATGTTTCGCTCAGCTTAGATCACCCTCGTAATCCAGCTGCTTACGGATCCAGCTGCTTACGGCATATTTGCATAGTTTGGTGACGATCTTGTAGATCAATAAGGTTCTACAGCCGCATGTCGGCCGAATCGCAGCCCACAGCAAGTGAAAGGCAATCACAAGTATTCGTAACCGTTCAGTTGACTTTTGATATAGCACTGGCACATGAGTTATCCTACCTTCCGTCCGGTCGAACGGCATGAAACGGTTTGAAAAACGTCGTAGGTTGCTCTGTTGCTAGCCAGACAAAGTCGGCCTGAATATGGCCTTGTTTGGTAGCTTGGATAGCTAGAAGTATTCTATCCTCTTGATTAGAGGATTTAGTTTGCGTTAGTGCTAGCATTGTTTTAGGTGCGATTATGACTAAAGCTTGTGGTCAAAAGTGAAAGCACTTTATAATCTGCAACACCAACGTCTGGCGTAAAGCAGGTGCCCATTTCGCTTAGACCTATTCTGCCTACAGGATTCCCCTAAGGTGACTGAGAGGCCATATCGATTCTTTCAGTACGTACATAGTAATATAGTCAAATCAAAATCTGCCACCCCGTATACTATATCCCCTGGACTAATTAAGTGCATGCAGAGTTTTCAGTATATAGCACGCAGTAGTATTTTCTAGACAGAGAGGTGGAAAGATACTTGATAAACGACCTAGTAAGATGAATGATGGGAACCCCGGGACCTCGGAACTTGTTCGGCCCCGAAATGCCGACGCGGTGGTCAATTACGACGAGGTATGGTCATGGAGAGCAATTTTAGATAGTGGGGGGTATTGCCGTCTACGGCCTAGAACCAATTTGGACATGGCTAGAATTCGCCAAGAGGACATGTGTAGGTGCCGTGGTAAGCTTATAACCTCCCTCATTTCCATCTTCAAGGCACCTCCACACTAGACTTCTCTATCAGCTGTCTCTTGCAATGTCCTCTCTGGATCCTCCCTATAAAGCTATTGCCACGCGCAAAAAGGCCAAGCAGAACGCTCTCATCCCCCCCCAATGGCGCATAACCGTCCCGCATCCAGCACCCCTATCTGTGATCTCCTTCCCCCACAGGTCCTATATCCTCACGCCCCTCGAGCTTGAGATCACCTCCCAGCACGATGCCACCTCTCTCGCCGCCGCAATCGGTTCCCGCACCTACACCGCCCACGCCGTGGCACTCGCCTTCTGTAAACGGGCCGCCATCGCACACCAACTCACCAACTGCCTAACGGAAATCTTCTTTGATGACGCCCTCGCTCGTGCTAAATTCCTCGACGAGGAATACGCCCGCACAGGGAAAACGCTCGGCCCGTTACACGGCGTTCCCGTCTCTCTCAAGGATACCTTCAAGGTGCGCGGCTATGACGCCTCCATTGGCATTGCCAGCCTGGCCGAGAACCCAGCGCAGGAGAACTCCCTCCTCGTGGACGTACTCCTGCAGCAGGGCGCCGTGCTATATTGCAAAACCAACGTGCCGCAGACGCTCATGGCACTGGACTCGGACAACAACGTCTTCGGGCGGGTGTTGAACCCACACAACCGGCGAGTCACGGCGGGCGGGAGCACCGGCGGTGAGGGTGCGCTGGTCGCCCTGCGTGGTAGCGTGCTCGGCGTCGGCACTGACGTTGGCGGCAGCATCCGCATCCCCGCCATGTGCAACGGCGTGTACGGCGTGAAGCCGTCGCGCGGGAGGGTCCCGTTTGCGAGGCAGGAGACAGGGTCGAGGCCTGGTGGCGCTGGCATCGCGTTGAATGCGAGCGCGGGGCCGATCGCGGCGAGCCTGCGAGACTGCGAGCTGTTTCTCGCGACGGTGGCGGGTGCGCGGTCGTGGGAGAGAGACCCGGAGGTCGTGTATGGTGGGTGGGAGGAACAGGGCACGGCTGGGCAGGAGACGAAGTTGCTCGTCGGTGTTCTCTGGAGCGACGGGGTGATCCAGCCGTTGCCGCCGGTGAAGAAGGTCCTAGATGAGACGGTGCAGATGCTAAGGTCAGAGGGTATAGAGGTCGTGGAGCTCCATGCCCCGGCGCTCAAGGAGTGTCCGTCACTGGTGGACAAGTTCTACAGGATGGGCGGGGCCAACTACATGTTTGACCTGCTAGAGAAGACAGGCGAGCCGTTGACCGAGTGGCTAGGCCCGCGGTTAAAGAGGGGGAAGATAATAAAGATGGGCGGGCTCGTGGCGATCCACGCGCAGAAGGAGGCACTGGAGGCAGAGATGCTCAAGATCTGGACGGATGCCAAGGGTCGGCAGATCGATGCGTTTATCTGTCCTGTGGCACCACATCCGGTGCCCCCGATTGATCGCTGGAATAGCGTAGGTTACACGAGTAGCTTCGTCCTTCTGGACTATCCTGCTGGCACGCTGCCGGTGAGGGAGTTTAAAGAGGAGGACCTGCACGATGAATGGACGGACGATAGCGAGCCACTGGGTAGCTGGGATGAGTATAACAGGACATTATGTAAGTAACCTCACCTGTGCCTTATGCTAGTGATGGTGCAGACGGAAGAAGACTGATTTACTAACGCGATACATATAGGGGACAAGAATAGCATTGATAGACGGGTGTATCTCAACACCCCGTTATCTATCCAAGTTGTTGCTCCGCGGCTGCAGGAGAGGAGGCTCCTCCAGGCCATGTCGATTATTGACGACGTGGTGAAGAGGAGGGTAGATATCCCTCATGCTCGATTATAGGGTATTGTGATGGTGGTGCCGCCATTTCTTGACCTCGGGTGCCAAATGATCAAGGTTGCACGCAAATATCTTACCCTCGCCCGCTAGATCGGCATGGTTAATCTCTGCTTCTAATAAGAGGAGAGCAATATACAAACCCATCCCTTAGAGATCGCTGTGAGATATTTGTATATGTCTGGGCCAACTTAGGCCGTCAATTTCCTGAAAGAGCCAGCTAGCCGCAAGTTCATGTTATCGCTCGAGAATCTGATGTCACAAAATACAATGCAACGTAAGCTACCAGGGAGGAAGGTTGGCCGTTGTCTGTAAGTATGTTAAGTTTTACTTTAGAAAATTAGTGTCTATTCTAGTCTTACGGATTTTGGCATAAGTTAAGAGGTCATTCTTTACAGAACCCGAAAAGTAAATAGGTTGCGACGCCTAATTGGGCTCTTCTCGGATCAGTCATGCGGTATAAGAGTCTAACCTCTCTAACGTAGTCCGAATAATCACATAATCGCGGAAGTCATTTGCCACAATCATCTAGGCGCGATGGGCGGTTGGTTATTAGTAGGTCTTGTCCAAATAAGTCCAAAAGTCCTAAATTTAGAGGAAGAGTAATTCCTGTCGTACGTGTCCATGGAAACTCGCATCGCGGATTATCAATATCCTTTGATTGGCTTGATGGAATTATTTGCGCTTGACCGTATTTGGACAATAGCCTAGAAACCCTGCGAAGCATCAAATGAAAAGTTTGGGGTAGGGGAAGCCCGTCGTGTAAGTGACTATACAATCTGTGAAATAGGGAACGCGAGAATATAACCCCCCTGCCCCCTGGTGAATCTGGCCTTTTGGTTACTACGGAGTATTCCATGATTTGTAATTTAGCGCCGGGCACGGAGGGAAACCGCGTCCTTTTCGGGGTTGGCTGGCCGGGAACAGCAAAAGCACTAAGAGGCAACGGGTTTATATGAAGGGGCAGGAACGAGGCATAGTATCCGGCGGAAAGATATATCTCTCCGATTTCCTTAGCTATCTCATTCCCAGCGCAGATATTCTCAGAGATTTCACAGCCATTGGTCGGCCCACATTATCAACCTGGGCGTTGCTCTCGAAATCTGATAACAATGCTAAGGGGTACTCTTGCTGGGCCACGTCTTCCGGCCCCACCGGACGAAATGGCTAGCATGCCGACCGGGCCAGTACCTATCATTCGCCGAGGATTTAAGAAAACGGGGCACTGAGTGGATTTAATAGTCTCAGCTCTTTATTTCTTAGTACTATGAAGTCTAGTGCGAAGCAGCAGCAGCAGTAGCATCCGCTCTATCCTGCACCACCTTTCTCACAGCAGGTCTTCCCTCAACCCTCTCCTTCCAGCACCCTGTCTAGCACACCCAGGAAGCGGAGAACTTCTTTTCCGTAGCGCTCGATGGCCGAAGGCACGTATTCGGAGTGATGGAAGGAGAAGAACTAGAAAGCTTGGCCAAAATATGGCCCTTGGCCCGAAGCTTGGAAATATAGAAATTGTTTGATATGGTATTTTCCAGGGAGTGTAGAATAGCTTATCGTGCTGGCTTCGTCGTAGGTGTCGACGAGGTATTCGATGATAGCACAGGACTAAGAGTGGCATAAGAAACACAGCCTTTTTGTGCATAGGGAAAGAATACTTACTTCCCAGAGACTAACTCCAGTATTGGGGTCTTCAATAGCAGGAACTTTACCATTGGGACTGATACGCTCATATTCTGGCAGCTTCAATTCATCTGACTTCAAAATGTGTGTCTTATAGGGCAGCTTGAGCTCCTCGAGAACGATGGCCACTTTCCATGGGTTGGGCTGTCATGCACGTCAGCATGCGATAACAATCATATCTGAGTTTACAAACCCCAAAGGCTGTGTGACTTATTAGTGTAATTTCTTCATTTAGCCTATGCATCGTTCAGTTTGGCACTTACCGTGAGTAGAGAACTATCGGCTTCATTGTCGCTGGAAAAGACCAAATGCGACTCGGAGCAATGATCTATACTAGAACCTCCAAATTGCAAAGTGCAATATAACCCGTAAAAAAACTATTAACTACTGTATATAACTTACCTGAAACCCAATTATGATATACGTCATTTGTCAGATTTAATCCCGTGATCTGTCGCTGGGTCGAAAGTTCCACTTTAGTTAATTCGTCAGCACGCGAATTATTTCACCAGCCCAGGTATATTGTAACATCTGTGTCGAAATCGTCCCACTGCGTACATCCCACTTTGGTGAATTTGTCAGCACGGAATTATTCACCCGCTGCCCAGGTATGTTGTAACATCTGTGTCTAGAACGTCCCACTGCGGTCTACGCACTGAAAACTCTTCGCTCCCTTAAGTGATTGAAAGAGCATAAGCATTACATCAGATCTTCATAATGGTCAGGTTGTTAGTCAGGTTATTAGTAAGTTCTAGCCTCAGCCAGGGCACATCTCGATAAGGATTAGACCAGAAGAAGCCCCATTTGGCCTGCTGTACCTTCAATTCAACGGCACTGGCTCAATGTATGCGTCCGAGACTCATAGCAGACTTAGAAAGATGCCGGGAGATTAGGGATACAAACTCTAAACCGCTATCCCTATAGGTATCCCGGTTCAATGGCTGCTCGGCTTAATTATCGCTCCGAAGCATGTCGCGGCGCTTTTTATTCTCGAGTCAACGTATATATACCTACATGCCTTAAAATTCACAAAAGACAAACATTCGGCTCGAAACTGATTTTCGCCCTGTCACGAAGCATTAGACGAGAGATAACTCAAAATGATTAAGCCGATCACTATCTGGTTGACTCGTTAGTCTAAATAATCCTATGTACATTGATATTTTAGATGTTAACTGACCGGAAGCGCCGGGTCCAAACCCATGGAAGGTAAGGTTAACTGCTATCGTCAGCGAAGTGGAATGATTGAAGCTGAATAAAAGCTCTAGGTAGTAGTAATCCTCGAGGAACTTGGCATTCCCTATATCATCAACTCTTTCAAGTTCGACGACGTCAAGAAGCCGCCTTTCATTAACATTAACCCAAACGGACGAGTGCCTGGTACGCGACAAGACTGTCTGATCGAGCTCTCGTGTTATTATTGTTTACTGATTACTTCAGCTATCGAGGACCCCAATACTAGCCTAATCCTGTGGGAGTCTGGAGCTATAATCCAGTACCTGGAAGAGGTGTACGACAAGGAGAGGAAGCTGACTTATGACTCGCTCAACGAGAAGTATCTGCTTAACCAGTGGCTTCACTTCCAAACAAGTGGCCAAGGCCCTTACTTTGGACAGTGTGGATGGTAAGTCCTCCATACGAATCCATAGCAGTCAAAACTAAGATACCTTCTAGGTTTAACGTCCTCCATCAGGAAAAGCTCCCCTCTGCTATCGAGCGCTACACAAAAGAGGTTCATCGCATCCTCGGAGTTCTCAACAATGCTCTTCAGGGCAAGATCTGGCTAGTCGGTGACAAATGCACCTTTGCTGACCTCGCATTTCTACCTTGGAACGCCCGTCTTGATGCCACGCTCCTCACCCCCCCAGGAGAAGATACATTGAAGCAGTATCCTAACGTTCAAATATGGCACAACCGTATGCTGGGTCGCGACTCGTGGAAGAAGGTAATGACTACTAGAGACAAGCTCATGGACGAGCATGGCCTTCAGCCAAATGGAATGCCAAAAGGGATCAATAACATGACTGAGTATGAGGAATTCATGAAGAATTAGGCGGCCGAGAATGGTTGATGCGGACTCGCTAGAACTTTGACGGATTCCATCCATGGAGTGATGTCTTGCACTCGGTTACCAACAAGCTGGGCTTACTAGTAAAACTAAGAGAATGAAGTTTTCTGCAGTATTAAGTGTATGGGCTGTTCTTTGCAATCCGAAGTTCTCATAGCAGGTAGGATACCTGTCTTTCGTCTGACAGAAGCCCATTATTATGCGGTGCTTTCCTGTTTCAACTTGAGCACCTAAGTGATCTTTCGTCACCGATGACGGCCACAACCTGCAGAGATACTGCGGCCTCTAGTAACGTTTGCATCACGAACATATATTGAACCATTACCAAGACACATGGAACGGTAACCTGGCGCTCCTGATCTCGACCTTTTCGCCCATTGCGGCCCTCCACACAGGAATGTCGGGAGCTGTTGTGGGTGCTAATTCTACTCCACTTCAGACGAAAGAGAGGGGAATGAGAGTGGCGAATGAGAGTGGCGAATGAGAGTGGCGAGGCTCAACGCTGCTAATGAGTTATTTAGAATGCTAAAACAAGTAGATCCACTGACATCCGTGATTGAAGAAGGTAGTATCTCGCCCAATATACCCTCGACCGACGGAATATTGCATTGTTAGCCCCAGCATCACGCGCTAGTATAAATTGCAGTGCCCATTTCAGACAACTCGACCATACTAAACCGAGACGAGACTACCTGCCTTACTGTGTGGGTGGACTACTATCTGGCTGCGTCACAGCGCGATTCCAGAATAAGAGCGATTTCCCCCTAGCGTGAATTTTCCTTTCGCTGAGCCGGTGGCGATAACGTCGTACAAATATCAGCACAATACTGACTGGGTCGAACCTGTCCATACCCTCTCGAAGCTGTGGAAGCCATATTTTTCAATCTGTCTTTGCTTGCAGGTACGGCTTTCCTCCACCGGCCAAAGCTCGCCTTATACGTAGCAGAGGTTTCTTCTCGGTTAACTGACAATAGATTGATGACTGCTTTCAGGAATGAGTGATTTCAACCGCACAGCTGGCATGACTGACGAGCTCCAGAATGCCCCATTCGGGACATGGACCAGCCCAATCACGGCAGAGCTACTTTCCAGCGGCAGTATTCGTTTCGAAGGACTACAAGTCAATGTAAGTAAATGTAGCTTCTGAATAAGATTAAGAGCGCTTTACATCCCATGCACGAAGCGATAACAAATTAGCAGGCCTCAACAGGGCAAGTCTATGTGCTTGAGTCACGCCCGGCCGAGGGCGGGCGTTATTGCATCGTTGAGCTTCTCGAATCCGGTGCCGAGGATATTCTACCTGAGCAATTCAATGCCATGAGCACAGTTCATGAATATGGAGGTGGGTCATTTGCGATTAGTCCTGATGGGAGCCTGATATTCACGAATCATCCTACCAACGAGGTCTTCTCATTATATCCCAAGTCTGGAAACATCACGCGCATATTACCGCCCACCGAAACCCTTCGCTTCGCAGATTTCAATGTCCACCCTACTCTGCCGCAGTGGGTTCTTGCGGTGCAAGAAGACCACTCATCAAATGTGGTAGTAAATTCTATCGTAGCAGTCGATGCCAATGAACGAGAAGTGTTTATCTTGGCTCAGGATGCAGATTTCTATCAACATCCTAAGTTTAGCGCCGATGGGAAGCAAATTTGTTGGACACAGTGGAATCACCCTGACATGCCATGGACTGGTTGCGAGCTGTACTCCGCGACGTGGGCTCCGCGAGAGCGCGCAAGTGGTATCTTGATTGCTGGAGAAGCAGGCAGAGAGAGCATTTGCCAGCCAAGATGGGGCCCTGATGGTACTTTGTTCTTTGTGAGCGATAAAACCGGATATTGGCAACTTTACCGCCTGGCCCATGGTGCAACGAGACCGCAAATTGTCAGTCTGAAAGGCCTCGAAACTGCAGAATTCGGCAGTCGTGAAAGTTACCTGGCCAAGTTTGTACTTCATTCCAATGACGTTTGAATGCTATTTCTTACACATGATACTCTAGTTGTACTTATGTCGTCCTCACCAGAAGCACGATTGTGGCAACTGTCAATAAGGACGCAACATCAAGACTCATCTTGATCGACCTTGACACAGAGCAGTATACAGAATTAAATCTTGGCCTCGTTGACATCCAAAGGGATGCAATTCGAACCCTTTCTGCGACGGAGTTTATTGTGATAGGTACAACTCTGACAGAGCCACAAGCAGTATACTACGTCAACACCAGAAACCAAGGAGAGAAAAGACTTCTCAGGCCCTCCATTCAGTTTAACATACCAGCTTCGCTCATTTCGGAGTCTCAACACATCACCTTTCCTCGTTGCTATGGTGAGAACCAAGTGGGTTCATCCCACGCTATATTTGTACCGCCGAAGAACCCAGGCTTCCAGGCACGGCGCGGCTGTAGACCACCGGTCATACTGTGGATGCATGGCGGACCAACGACGCATGTGGCACCCGGCCTTTCTCTGGCGATACAATACTGGACCTCACGGGGTTATGCTTACGCCTGTGTTAATTATGCCGGCTCAACGGGTTACGGACGTGCCTACCGAATGCTTCTACAGGGAGAATGGGGTGTCATTGACATTGCTGACGCCGCAAGCTGTGTTTCCTTCCTTATATCCCAACACCTTATCGATGGATCACGCGTTGGCATTGTCGGTGAGTCCGCGGGTGGTTATGCAGTCCTCCAGGCGTTGTGCGTGTATCCCGACCTCTGGGCTGGGGCTATAAGCCTCTACGGCGTCAGCAACCTTAAGGCGCTCGCAGAAACAATGCACAAGTTCGAAAGCCAGTACGTGCAGCAGCTTGTCCTCAAAGATGGACAGACAATGGAGGACGTGGGGCCTGTATACAGGAGTAGAAGTGCGTGCTATAATGTCGATAAAATCAGAGCTCCGCTCCTGCTTTTACAGGGTGACCAGGACACGGTGGTGCCAGAGAGTCAGACGAAGGAGATGCAACAGACCATGAAGGAGCAGGGAAAGGACGTTGAAGTTGTGATATATAAGGGGGAAGGACATGGATGGGAGAGAGAGAATACAATCAAAGCTTCCATTGAAAAGGAAACGCAGTTTTGGGCCCGTACACTTCTGCAGAAGGCCATGCGCTAGGTAAATAGATGGAATAGGAGAGTAGACTAGATCTTAAACGGATTTTAAGAATGGACGCAGATTTAGAACTCAGGTGCGATGAGGTAGTATCTCTTAGCGTCATACTCTCTCCCACCAAAGCTGATAAATTAAGAGGTAAAAAGGTATCTGAAGCACGTCAAATTTATGTAGAGCTTTATCACCCTTCAGAGCGCGGAGATAAACGATTCATTAATCTCTACACAATCGAGGCTTTGCAGCGCATTGCCTCTGGTGTTAGCAAGTGCGATAGGAAGTTCACACTTTAAGCCATGCTTGAAAAGCTTCTGTTCCCCAGGTTCGTTGACCCATCAAAAAGGAAACTGGTGAAGAAATCTCTTTTAAAGGTCCAATGCGTCATTCCATGCATCAAATTCATAGATGAGAGTCTGAAATACTTTGAAACTAGGGCCACACAACTCAAAGATTTGGAAGGGGGAAACTACCCAGGCACAGGACACTGTCTAAGCACTGGACAGTGCCTTAGGAAAGTTTGAGTAAGGTAGAAACAGGGAAATTCCGAGCTGCACCTAATACCTTAAGTGCAACTGTTACTAGCCACTGGACCAATCAATCCCAGAGCCAATAGCCATCATTCTGGATATAATTGGCTGTTGTGATCATATTTACAGTATTGAGTTTCAAATAGTATGTAGCTTTTAATTCTAGTAGAATTGGACTAATTATAGAAGTCTAGATTTTCCAAAAGCCAACTTTGGAACCGTTCCATTTCACAGAAATCTCAGCTTGATGTATAGCTAATTTCCATCATCTTCTGGATTCTGGTCTTGTAATTGCAGCCTCGTACGCAAGCCTGTACTGTTTCAACCCCTTTGAAAACAGAACCCGGCGATCCTTCCACCCAGTCAATTCTCTCAACCTGTCGCTCCCAGTCCACTGTGAGAATCCAATTAAGCCTATAGGGACTTGTTAGCCGTGTTTCATTATTATGTAGGAAGGAAACTCTTCAACATACGCCTAGCGAAATCAACATCGGCACGACCCTGCGGAACCGGCAACCACTTGACCCCATTCTGAATGTTATATTCATGCACTAACGCTTGTGCAATCTCCTCTAGCGTCTCAAATCTATAACTGGAGATGTTAAAGCACTGTCCGTTGAGCTTCTCCCTGTGCGGAAACTCTGCGAGCGCCACATACGCCTCCCCGCAATCATCTACGTGCAAGGCATGCAAGATAGTCTTCGGGTTCTCACTGAATTCCAGCACGCCTTTCTCCTTACCTTCTTTCGCCAGCCGCAAGAAATCCCCATAATACGACGAGGCAAGCCCATACACGTTTGTGGGACGCAACAGAACGGCATCAAACAGGCAGGCATGCTCAAAGATCTTGATGGCGTGGGTGGCGCGATTGAGTGCGAAGGGCGGAGGAGCTATGGGCGACTCTTCTGTGTGGGGTTGCAGGCCGGGCGAATCGGACATCTCGTCCATCATGCCATAATCCTTACAGCCGCTCGTGAACAGTACTAGAGGCTTCTTCTTCCCATGACTTTGATTCCGCTCAGCGAGTACCTCGAGCAAGGAGACGACCTCATTGTAGTGTGGAACATAGTTCATTATTTCCTCCGTTGTGGAAACAATCACGTCGAAGACGACGCTCAAGTCGAGGGAGGCGATAAATGTTTGGTCGGCGGGCGAGCCGAGGATGGGGATGATTTCCTCTGCTTTGAGGGAGGGCAGCAGTGATTCTTGTCGCACGAGACCGTAGGTTGTCCATCCTGCTCTCACGAAAGCCCGTGCAGTTGCATTGCCAATATACCCATTTGCTCCTGTTACCAGTACGGATTTAGGAGTTGGATCAGTCATGATGGTTTTGATTGAGAAGAGAAATTATATCTAGATGCACGGCGACACTACTGAGGAGGGATATAGGGCTATTTGAATCACCTAGGGGCCATTCGGTGATGAGGTCATCCCGGCTCACGTGGTTGATTTCTGGCATTACAAATCAGCGTCCGCTTGCAAGCTCCATCGGTGATACTCTTGAGATCCTGAAAATATCGAAAGTTGCTGACCAGGTATCTCTCCCGTGCACAGATCCTGACCCGACGTTGTTACGACTGACTGATTTATTGGTAAGGGATCCCGTTCAGGGGTGAAATCGCTCTTCCACCGGAATCAGAACAGAGTTTGCTTTTGTGCTGCCCACCGGCCAATTCCACCGGAAAAGAGGCGGGGAGGACGAAAAGTACCACCGGCCTTAGTAAAGGATATAAGTGGATATAGAGTGATGACTACCCCAATATCGCTACGGCAACTATGGTTATACTACGGAGTACCACTTCAGATCCAGTTAAAACATGCTCTGATTTCTCGTAACTCTGGGTCTCACCCAGAGTTATATACTACTATATGTTGCTAAATAGAGATTCAAATAAGGATTATGAAGGAAAGTAAACCACATCCCGAAGGATATAGATGATTCTTTGAGTGTTGATCAGATAATGCGTAGAATGAAACGAAGGCGGTTGAAAGAAATGCCCGGACACTTCGCTAAGTGGGATAACTGTGCAGTGTCCGGGAATTTCTTCCACCCGCCTTCGAAAGAGCTTAGTAAGCCGGACAAGTGGTTATACCAGCAACAAAGTATTCGCCACTCGGAAACCGTTGACCAACTGTCAGCTTGTCCCCCACCTCGCTTTTGATTTTGTAATCATCGTTGTAGCTCCGCCGGAGCGGAAGTAGACTGAAGTTCATAATCATCGTTGTAGTTCCGCCAGAGTGGGGAGGCCTCGTAGACAGAACAATTTTGATTTCCTAGCTTTCTGTAACTTGATGATTTATAATAGCATATAGCTCTGAGATATTCCTCCGGGATACTTAAGAGGCCAGTGTGTCTGTCCCAGAGATACAATTATCATCTTGTGCATCAGACTCAATCGCAGAAGTGTCAAGTCTCTCATCTTCATTCAATATTCCTGCATACCAAGCCAAGTCTACGCCCACACCACTTCAGCAACATGTCTCTCAAGCCGATCACTCTCTGGGGCCACGACAGCGGCTCTAACGCCTGGAAGGTGGCCATGGTTCTCGAGGAGCTTAGCGTCCCTTACACTGTCAAAATGATCGATTTCCCAGACATGAAGAAGGAAGCGTACGAGTCAATCAACCCCAATGGCCGTGTGCCTTCAATTGAGGACCCGAATACGGGCATCACGCTGTGGGAGTCGGGTGCCATTATTGAATACTTGGTCGAAACTTACGACAAGCAAAACAACTTTAACTTTGCTCTAGGCTCGAAAGAGTACTACGAAGCCAAGCAGTGGCTATACTACCAGGTATCTGGCCAGGGCCCCTACTTCGGACAGGCTGTGTGGTTTACCCTCTACCACCCCGAGAAGCTCCCTAGTGTTGTCGACCGCTACGTTAATGAGATCCGTCGCGTCTCCGGCGTCCTCAACGGCGTACTGCAGGGCAAGGAGTTCCTCGTAGGCGGCAAGTACAGCTACGCCGATGCTTCTTTCGTGATGTGGTATGCCATCGCGCCCCTTTTCGCGGACAGGATCAACCTCGAGACGGACTTCCCCGCCCTCAACGCCTGGTTGGAGCGCATCAAGGCCCGCCCGGCAATTGCAAAGATTATTAAGGACCGAGAAGCGGCTATGGCGGCGTCCAAGTAAAGGCTTGTTGGGGGTTCGGGGTCAAGAGAATTTGTCTACATATAGCACTTGAGTAAAAACCAGGTCTTAAAGACGGTAGTAAGAGTTTCATTAGCTACATCTATTCTATCATAACATTCATTAGCAACAAATTAGACCGCTTAATCGCTGTCTAAAACAATAACCTCTGCCTCCACCTCTCTAATGCTCTCAAAGCCAAGCACATCGCCGGCCTGTACACCAGTGACAAACGCACCGTCTCCCTCCTCTAGAACAGAGTCTTCTCGGCCGTCTAATCTGATCTTGGACTTCCCATCATTTGTCATCGGGAGGTGGATATACACCTTCCTGTCGATCTTGCTCTTCACAACAGCCTTTGCATCCGTTTCACCGCGGACACTCCAGTTTAATTTCTTCCCAGCGCCAATAATGCCTGCTGCCATGACGAAATCGGCGTGGATTGGAATTGTCCCTGGTATCGCTGGAACAGCCGCCGCTTCGTCTTCAGCGCCAGCACCCTTTCCAGCAGCAATTGGGGACAAAATAGGAACGAAGGCCTCTCTCTTCTTGGCCTCATCACATGTCTTCGTATGGTACCGTGGCGTTAAACCTCTCGCCCAGGGCAGGGCCCAAATCTGCAGAAAGTGCACCGGCTTATCGCTCTCATTGACCTCCGAGTGTGCAATTCCCGTTCCGCCAGTGGTGAATTGGACATCTCCCCTCTTCATGCGGTAGAAGTCGTCGCTCTCCTTGCCTTCCTTCCCCTTCTAGATCGTGCTGTCGCGGTGCGTCAGCTCTCCGTTGAGGATGTAGCTGAAGATCTCAGCGTCACGATGAGGGTGCGTCGAGAACCCATTGTGGGCGGCAAGGACTGGGCATGACGCCGTTATCGCGCTTTTTTCTGCCCAGAACATTTTTGGCATTAACTCAAAGGACAAATCAGGCCGAACTCCGTTGTCGCATGCTGCAGGAAATGGACACGAATCCACCGTCAAGCTCCTTCTTAATATGGATGGCGTTGTACCAGACTCAAGGGACAATTCCAGCCGGACGCCACTGTCCAGAGCTGCAATGTTCGGACACGCAGCGGTTGTCGAGTTGCTTCTTGCCCAGGACGGTGTCGACCCGGATGCTGAAGATGATAACTCTGAGACGCCGCTGGTATTGGCTGCGATGTACGGCCACGACGCCGTGGTCAAACTGCTGCTCAATACTGGCAGAGTCGTTCCCGAATTCAAAGACGCGAAATATGGCCGAACGCCGTTATCGTGGGTAGCGGAGAAAGGGAATGCGGCCGCTGTAGAGATGCTGCTTGGAATAGATGGCATTGATCCGGACTCGAAGTCCGCTGGATCCTGGAACAAGAACCGGACGCCACTGTCTTACGCAACGGAAAGGGGGCATCAGACTGTGGTTGAGCTCCTGATGGCTACCGGCCGTGTTAACCTGGATTTCAAAGATAACGACGGCCGGACCCCTCTGTCATATGCGATCGCAGAAGCCCAAACAGGAACAATCCATTTCCTGCTAAGATACGGCGCCAGCCCCACAACCATTGATATCCAGCAGAAGGGCCTATTACACCACGCGATCGTTAATGTGAATTGCGCACTTGACATCGTGAAGAAACTTCTGATGCTCGGTGCGCCAACGAATTTAGTGGATATTGACAATATGACACCGTTACGTCACACGGTTAGATTCAATCGACAGGATATCGCTGAATTGCTTATCCAAAATGGGGAATAATTATACCGCTTGATTGGCAATACCCACCTACACCTCTCCGCTATTGAACCTTAACTCTGCGCGTAATTTGGAAATGCTATCTCTGTTCTCACCTTACCTCCCATCACTCCCCTATTATGCCTCGAAAATCGATCACAACTTTACCATCTCTGCTCTAATCCTGCGAACGATTGCACCGTTGGAAACGCCATGCACTACTGCCCCCCATACGCTTTTGAAAGTGCATGTTCTATACAATCTGGGAATGTTGTTCTTTTCTCCCTACCCCCTACCCCTTCTGGCTGTCGAAACCCACCCCTAACTTTCCCATCTTTACTCCGGTCCTGTGAACAATTACACCCTTGGAATTTCCATGCCGAACTACTCCCCATCTGCTATCGAACGCCGGCCCTGTGCATGATATGGGAATGTTGTCCCCCTATCCCCTCACCCCTTATGTTTTGGAAAACCGGCCACAACTTTCTCATCTCTACTCCGATTCAACCATCAATTACTCCGTTGGAATCCTTATGCACGACCACCCCCCGTTTGCTATTACACGGACGCCCTGTATATAACTTGGGCATGTTATCCTCTTCTCACCCCCATTACTTACCACCCCTCATTGCCGTCAAAACTCGTCTACCAACTTTCTCATCTCTGCTCCAATCCTACAAACGATTGCACCGTTGGAACTGTCATGGGTAACTACCCCCTATGCGCCATCGAACGCGTGCGCTATATGTAACCTGGGAATAATATAACCATTCTCACCTTACCCCTTTATCACTTAACCTTATGCTCCCCTCTAACTCCACCCTCTCCGCTGCAACCTTTCCATGCTACGTTCCTATGCTGTGCTGCTCGTGGTGCTCGCTCCTGTGGGCGGCTTGCCTGGCCTGTTGTAAAGGGGCGTCACGTGAGGACGCCCCCACGTGCAGGACACGGTAGGGCTCGGTAAAAGCAGGAGCCCCAACATAAAAGGGACTGGAGGCGTAGGACTGAGGCCTCCAGTCAATAGTCGCTGTATCTACGTAGACCTATTGTGCTTACTGAATACGATACCCTTCCTGCCTCCTGACCTGGTTCCCTGGACTCCCGTGAGACCCTAGGCTTACGCTTCACAGCATCCCAACTCACCAATACTCCCTCCAATTGCAATCATCTGCAGATGCCTCCCCTTCAACTTTCTTGCTAGCGCCGTGTTCGCCGTCGCTAATACCGCCTTATGCGCATCTAAGGCACCATCGTGGTTATATTGGTTAGTGGAATTAATAGCTGGATTAATGGTACGTCGATTTGGGTCCCTCCTGAAGCTATCCGCGAACCGCTTACATAAACTCTGATGCCGCTCCCTGTCATCGCTGTACCAGGGCTCACCGCTAGAGACGCGTGTTAAGGTGTCGTAGTAACGTAGCGAGTTGGAGGTGAGATGGGAGGGGTTTGAGAGGACTTCGGGGTAGTCATGGTGCGAGTGGAGCGAGTGTGACTTAGGCATCGTGAAGGTTGGCTTGGTGGAGGCTAGGAGATGGTGGTAATGCCGTAAGGGTCTTGGGAGGGAGTTTGTAGTTCAGCTATCCGGTGTGTATTAGGTATGTAGTCGGGTGTGACGCCTAATATATGTGTCGAGATGTCGAATGGGTATCGAGAGGAGACTTAGTACATACAAAGGTAGCCTGTAGTAGATACAGTAAAAGGGCTAATTCTCCAAAGTCGCATAAGGAGTCGAGCTCAGCTAAAACGGCAATTCATCTGTCGCTGGGTTCACTGCAGCAGAAATTAGTCATTCTGTTCGTTGTGCTACGCACATATGAGCTCTAAGACGTCTGTCCTGCACTACCTTCTACTCGTCGAGAAGAGTGTAAACAACGAATTGCTCCTCGTTAAAGTAGATGTAAGAGCCATATAGGTCGTATTGTAAGTTCTGTTATATTAAAGGCTATAGCTCTTTGCAATCTGCTGTCGTCGATTCTAGAAGGATAGGGAGAAAAGGGATTAGGAGAGTTGGCGAGGGTGGCGCTAATTATATATTACTTGTAATACCATCCGAACCCTGCTCGGAGAATCCTTCCACCGAGCCGTAACACTCGAGCCTTCATTCTTTCCAGTAGTCTCTCTTTGCACACTCCGTTGTATGCTCCTTTGACGTCAAAACTGATCAGACTCACAATCTTGCGACCTCTCCAAGCTGCATATATTTCTTCTTGCAGAATCAGTAGTGCCTGCTCTGCTGATCGTTGCTTACGCGCACCAAAATGGTTGGTTGGGAGAAGGCCGTATGTCTCAACTGCATGAGAGATCCTCTCTGCAACCACAGACTCTAGGATCTTGCCTAGGGTGGCAAGTAGTGAGATTGGTCTCCATGCCTTTGCAATCCTGTAGTCTTCCTTTCCCATTTTCTTAAGGGGAATGATTTTTGCATGTCGCCATTGATTAGGCAGGGCTCCCTCCTCGAGGGAAGTTCGGAATAACTCTAATACGTGGTGTTTAACTGCTGGCCATGTCTGCTTCCACACTATTGCTGGTAGGCCATCTTCTCCTGGCGCTTTCCATGACTCAATAAAATATCGAGTACTCTCCAGGCTGTCGCTGCTATATATTAGAGAATCGGGCAAGCGATCATGACGTACAGAGGTACTTAGATGGTCATATGTTGCAGCTGCCTACATGCGTTCAGAGCAGTTCAGAATTTCAGAGTGAAATAAAGGCCGAAATTGTAAAAGCAGTTAGTGGAATGTATGTGACTACCAGCTCTGAGTGAACAATGCTTACGAGTCATAGGTTCTTGCTTGCACAGCTTCATCTTGATTCATTGAAAGGGAAAAGATCCGCAAAGGCTATCCGTAACGCTTTGAAAAAGCTCCCAACTGAATCTGAGGCATACGACCATGCATACAAGGATGCTATGTAGAGAATTGAAGGCCAGCTTCTGGACGACGTATTGCTCGCGAAGCAGGTCCTCTCATGGATCACTTGCGCGAAGAGGCCGCTGACGACGTCTGAACTTGAGCAAGCACTTGCCGTAGAGTTTGGTGAGCTACAATTTGACGAAGAGAATTTATCTCCAATAGAAGACATGGTTTCAGTGTGTGCTGGACTAGTTACAGTCGATGAGGAAAGCGCTATCATCCGGTTATATACATTGATCTGTAAGCTAATTTTGAAAAATTCTATAATGCGGGAACCCTTGTAAATGTGTGCATTAGCTGTTTGAAGTGGGAATGTCATCTTCGTCTTTGAATAATTTGCTGACAAAATCTGTGCCAGCGCCGCCGGTGTGGATGATTCGACGTCATCTGTAGCAATCTCTCAGCCTCAGTGTGGCTGATCGGCTGATATTGCCCGTCAAAACGGCAATTGTAGCCGAGTGCAATTCTGGCTCCAATATCTCTTGTGCAAATTCCGAGCCCATTTTATGCTGAAGTATTCATATCTCTGCGCAAATTTGGGGCCAAAAGGATTTGTTAAAGTATCGTAAATGCGTCACACAAATCAGGTAGGGTCAGAGGGGTATAGCCTTGGTAGTAATTAAATGGATCGTTGTATGAGTTACCAATAAGAAACTGTATATATTGGAAAGAGAAGTCGCTAGGCAAGGAAATCAAGAGTCTAAACAGGCTTATCTTTACTCAGTGTTGAGATTTTCGCAATTTAGTCGAGCAGCCAGATTTACTATGGGGTTTTCAGCTCACAGGGATGTCGGTTATGTGGGGGGGGCTAACCCGTCGCCCTGATCTATTGTCATGTGAATTTGAAGGAAAAGCACGGACATACGAGCGGCCAACGAAAGCCGTCGTATTCTTCTGACCAGGGTTCGTGTGCCTCTAGTTTGGCGAAACAGTTCTGCGGAGTCAGCGGGACCGCTCGGAGCACGCTTAGGAGTTACTGTGGTTTGATAAATACTTGCAAATAATCTACAAAATGAAGACCATGCTTACTTATGGAGACCGGAACAGTCAATATGGGTCTAGTTTAATGGTGTTTACAGGAATTATATATATAGATCCTTAATGCCCACCTTCTCTTACAATTCCTTTCCCAAAGTTGCAAAGACCGTTTTATGTCGTCCATCGAAAAAGCAAAGATAGTACTCAGCGGAAAAGAAGAGGAAGTCGCCCGCGGCAAAACTAGACAAGGCTGTGCCCTGTTCTTTCCTATACGGAATGGAAATTACCTCATTCCCCCCAGAGTTCGAAGTGACGTTCAAGACACACAATGATCCGGCAAATCCTAGGAATTGGTCGACGTGGTATAAAGCATTTTTGATAGGATGTGCCTCCTGGACAACGTGGCTGGTGTAGGTCATCCAACATACGTGAGATCGAATCAAATTTCAAATTGCTGACGGGCCTCTTTTTTGGTCTTATTTTCAGAGTTCTCTACTCGACCACGTACACTTCTGGGATTCAGGAGCTCATGTCAGAGTTTCATTCCTCTAATTTTGTAGTGACATTAGGGGTTACGACATATCTTTGCGGTCTCGCTGTTGGCGCAGTGTTGTCTGCTCCTCTTGGTGAGGTATACGGCCGAAAGGTGGTCCTTGTCGTGGGAATGTTCATGTTTATTGTTTTCCTGATTCCGTGTAACTTCACGACAGCGATATCTCAGATCTTGGTACTAAGGTTTCTCGGAGGTGAGTGCCAATGCGTGGTGTTTGAGTTTTTGTCGGAGGAGAAAAATATAACCACTGCTAACCACGAGAGATAAGTAGCTATGGCCGGCTCCGCGTCCATTGCAAACTCCCCCGGCATTCTGGTGGACGTTGTGCCTGAAGAATCCAGAGCGCTAGCTTATTCGATATGGTCTATTGGGCCATTGAACGGACCTGTCTTTGGGGCTGTCATTGGCGGCTTTGTCACACAATATCTGGGGTGGCGCTGGACAAACTGGCTAATCCTGATATTCGCAGGGTTCTCCTTTGCCATGCTTTGTTGCATTAAGGAAACCTATCCGCCAGTGATCCTGCGCCGGCAAGCAAATGATCTTCGGCTCAAGACTGGAGATGGGCGCTGGTGGAGCCGACATGAACAGAATATCCCGTTGAGAGAGATGTTACGTGTGAACCTGTCCCGTCCTTTGAAGATGACTTTCCAGGAGCCGATCATAATTTTTTTCAACGTTTATATTGGCTTGATTTACGGTATTCTATACCTCTGCTTTGTCGCTTATCCTTACGTCTTCCATGAGGTTCGCGGTTGGACATTGGGGTTTTCAGGGTTGGCTTTCTTGGGCATCGGCTTGGGCGGTTTTCTAACGATTGTGGCCGAGCCTCTGATCAAGCGGATGATCCGGTCGCACAAACCAGACCCGGGAACGCGGAGCCCGCCACCTGAATGCATGATGAGTATCGTATGTATTGCCTCGGTTCTGATCCCGACTGGCCAGCTTTGGTTCTCCTGGACGTGCCTGCCGACGCGAATCCACTGGATTTGGCCAATCCTAGCCGGAGTGCCCATTGGCGCGGGGAACATTGCAGTGTTCATCTATGCCACGACCTACCTCGCAAACACGTACGAACTGTATGCCGCTTCGGCGCTGGCAAGCAACACGGTCGTCCGAAGCGTGCTAGGGGGTGTATTGCCGTTGATCGGATCACGTCTCTACCAGAGCCTTGGCGCGAACTGGGCCAGTTCGTTGCTTGGATTTCTTCAGATAGCGATTATTCCAATCCCTTTTGTCTTTTACAAGTACGGTGATCGCATCAGGAAGAGAAGCAGTCTCATCGCAAGCATACAGGAAGAGAAAACGCGCAATGCATTGCTACATGGAAGCGGAGGGTTACTGAGAGATGAATGCTAGGAGAAAAGTGGGGGACTGCATGGGGATGCGGAAGATTTACCCAAATAAAGGGTTGAGACGAGTAAAAGATTGAGCGGGGAGTCTGCATACAGCATATGACAACCACGATTCGCGTTCAATTCGGAGCATCAGCAAACGTTAGAAAGAGACGTGTGATAGATACACTCAATGTCTCAAGAGTTGCCTGCTAAATACGCTGAATACAAAGCCCCGGACCCAGATCTGTAGCTCATGTAACATATTTAATTGCACTATAATCGTTGGATTCAACTATGAGCGAAGCGTCGGGAGGAAGCGAGTGCGTCCACTCACAGCAAAAAAAGTAGGTGACATTACATAGTAAATCGTATGAAAGGGTACTTAGGAGCGGCAATTTGCGAAAAAAGTTGCAAAATTCTTCAACTTTAAAGCCTATAAGGTAGTAAATAAACTCTCCAAAGCTATAACTTATGTATATATACATAATTCGTTGGAGTGAACAGGGACTGGGGGTCTGGGGATCTGGGGATCTGGGGAGACTACATGGGGAGCTTGATGCAGATCCAGGATCCTGCTTCACCACTTCCTAGACAGTCACAGGGTTCTCCGCTCGAACAACATATGAAGCTACTATCCGGAGATGCGTGGCCCAGTCCTTTCCGCACGGTACTTAGGGCTCCCGTTCGGGCCAAGTGACGTACCAGGGCGGACAGGACTTGGGCCGCGCACCTTCGTGCTGTAGTCCAATCCTTGCCCACCTCCTCAACCTCCACATGTCTTTAACGTTTTGCATAGCCGAGACTATCTAGTTTGAACAAGAAATTTAAGCGTTGTGTAGGATCGCAATCAAATCCAATTCCAACGGCAGGAATGGCCTAGAGGGGCGAATCCCGGCTTCATTACCTGTTTGAGAGAAAAGGGCTGTGAAAGGTACTCGGTCCAATAAGTTAGCGTTGAAAACTTCATCGTGAGATGCCGCAGTGGCGATTACTTTTATGCTAGGTGTTTTATAGGCCCAGCGTCTGGTATGTAGAGAGGCTCCATGTCAAAGGTATGATGTCACTGTATTGGCCGGCTTAATTCAGCTAACGTGGTTTATCATCGAGTCGCGCACTTTTCCTTGGCATATACCTCTGAATACTAATAAATCAACCACCATATATTATAATACATATTACTGCTCAGAATCTGACGAACTAGGTATCTCTATAGAGTCTTGACAAGTTCGTGCATTATGGCCAGTCTTTCCGCAAGTGCTGCAGCGCCGTCCAGACGGTTGGCCCTCCCTGCGGCTACCCCCTGCAGCACGTACGTCACGTCGTACCTGCTCATCTACATCCTTCTGGGCTATAATATCCTGTCCATCCTCGACTGTAAGTGCACCCCCTTGACGGATGCGAGCCTTTTTAGCCCTTCGCCGCTTGCTGAGGGCTTCATTAGCTGCCCGAAGGGTACGGTTCTCAGCAGACAGAAGGGTGTTCTCATGGGCTAGACGCTCCGTACCCTTTGCTAACGCCTTAACTGTCTCAAAAAGAGGAGTTGGCAAGCTCCCTTGGTGACGGGCAATCCGGTTTCGAACAAGTGTCGTTTGTGAAAGCGCTTCAGTAGGGTTAGAAGGGGTCTGGGAGACCCAAGGGTCGACGTCGGTAGAGGGGGCCCTAGAGGGAGTTGGAGTCCGTAACTTTACGTCAAGCTTTGATAGCACTGCTTGCGGGTCGAAAGGTACTAAGCCAGCTCCACGAAACCCAGATTGACCGTTCTGGGCTGTAACTGCCTCCTTATATGCTGCTGTAAAGGCTAGAAAGAACTCAACCTTCGTGATATGGTTGATATAGGCTTTAATAAATGTCTCAATCTGTTGACCATATGCCCGCTTTAGCACACTAAAGCACCCAACGTCAAGTGGCTGGGTAAGATGAGACGAATGGGGAGGTAGTCCAAGAGTAATAATATTATGTGCCTTACAGTACTCTTGGAATTCGGCCGACTCGTGACTCTCAGCCCATCGAGGACTAGCATTCGGTAGGGACCCTTTGCTCGAGTAGTAGTATGCTTATCGAAGTGTTTTAACCATTCAAGACCCGTCTCGTTATTTGTCCATCCATTACTTGTCGGTTTGATTACCCAGTTAGGTGGGAGGCCGCCGTCTGTATACCAGTTTGCAAGGTGATTCTTTCCTTGGACGACGAGAAACGGAGGCACACTCCAGCCTTCGCTATTAATACAGGCAATCGCTTCCTTATTGCCTGGCTAAACTGCCTTGCCTCTGCCACGGCGATCTGCACGAGTAACGACCATTGCAGGGCATATTATACCCATCATAAAGCCCGTCTCGTCAAAGTTATAGAAGTCGCAGTCCAAAACCCCATATTTTGCCCTCATATTCTCTACTAGCTGGAACCACGCGCCTAGTATGCTGGTACTATGGTAGGCAATGAGCTGGGCCTAGAGAACAGCAGGGCAAAATAGCAGAACTGTGAACACTAGGACAGCAACTTATTTGCCCGCTTGGGTGTAGAGGCGAGTTCAGACGTTACGGCCACCGCTGTAAGTTCGTTGATACCAGCACCAACACCGGCGACGGCCATCCCGGCTAAAGAGTGTTAGCGAACATAAACGTATTCATTTTGTGGGCTGTAGCGCAAAGGACCATGCCAATGATGACAAATCCAGCACCGCTCAATGCGACGTAACGACGGCCAAAGAGATCAGGCAGAGCTCCAAAAAAAAGGGGCAGACAGCGGCGAAAGCAGACGATTTGCCAGAACGAGCCAAAACCGGCGATCAAATCCACCAATATCGCTGTAGATATGCGGCGGAACGCCACCTGTTTTGGTTGGATGAGATTTTATTCTGAGAAGTATTCATGCCAAAGCGGTGAGCAGTTCGAAGATTAAAACAAAACTAACCGAACAGATATAGTGGACACTGACTGCTGGTCCATAGAAACTAAAGGGAGGTTAGCGCGAGGGAAGAACCGATACGGAAAGAGTGAGGTTTACAGCCATAGCAATAAGGCATGAATCTGGGGAATGCGCTTAGTTCCCGCAAACATAGTTTCGATGAGATTTCTTCCCGCCCCCCATACTCCGTACTCCAAAGCTGGGGGTGGTACAGTTATCAAAACAAGCACTAACTTATCTCCTACATGCTACAAATTTTGTGGAGAGAGCTGCTCTGTGGAGTTGACTAGCAATACCCAGCTGATTCACTGACGCCTCGGCTTGTTGCCAGCGGGCTTTGGGCCGCACCACACGACTACGGATCCTTCGATTGGTGTAGGATTGGAGGTCGGAAATTTCCGACCCAACATCTCGGTAGTTCTAGGTCTCGCGCGGAAATATGGGCCAGTCTTCTTTGGGATTGGCGCAACCCTAGCCCCGCGCCTAGCCCGGACTGAGTCCACTCGCATTACTTAGGCCCCAACCTTCGTATAGTACAGTATTGGCGTTAAGGCAAGGCAAGACATGGCAAGGCATGGCGGCAAATGACTCACGGAACCGTTCCATCTGAACAAGTCGCGACTTGAACGTTGTCTCCCTTCCAGAGATCGCACTCACAGGTGTACGCACCAAACTATTGAATCGACATCACCCTTCGAGCAATGCGACGGAAATGTCAGAACCTTGTAATGTAATGCCTGACTACGGCCAGCTGCCATCGCTGTTTCTTCCGCTTCTTAAGCAAGAGCTGAAGTTACTGAATCGAGCATAAAACTTAGAGGGTAGGATAAATGCAGTCGGAGAATTTAACATCTAATTTCCCAACTTCCCTGAACCTGAACCACGCGCCAGAAAACAAACAAAAGAGAATCAACGAGCATAAGCATCTAATTGAAGCTATCACTAAAGACTAAACTATTTCGAAATGGCGCCAAACCGCCGTGACGTTGAGTTTAAGACGTTAGATGGATTGACACTAAGAGCGTGGCTCTATCTAGCTAATCTAAGCAGTCCTTATATCATCATGTCTTACGGTGTAAGTCATGTCCTAAAAGCAGCATGCGTCCATGGGTGCAGAGTTAACGCAGTTTACCCGCAGTTTTCTGGCATTAAACATCACCATCTCGATAGCTTCGCCGAACGCTTCCAGGAAGAAGGTTGGACAACGCTTGTATATGATAATCGTAATTAGGGAGAGAGTGATGGACTCCTACGAAACGAGATTAATCCTGCGCAGCAAGTGAAAGATTATTTTGATGCCTTCGACAGCGCGGTCTCCTACCTAGAGGTTGATCTAAAGAGGGTAGTCTACTAGGGTAGCAGTCTCTTGGGCGGCAATGTCATCTGTGCAGCAGCAATAGACAGGCGCATTAAAGCTGTTGTTGCTCAAATTCCATTTGTATCAGGAGAGCTTCAAAGCGCACCTATGGCGGGAATGGTGCCGGCATTGTTTGCTAATCGAACAAATGTACAAGCTGGAAATCCTTTAGCGATGATACCCGTTATCCTAGACAGCCTTAAGCAGGCAGAAACCGGTCATTCTCCTGCTGTCTTGAACACACCGGATGCTTACAACTTTATAAACGGACTTTCTAAGCGTGGAGGAAACTAGGAAAACAAAGTAACTTTGCAGATAATGTTCAACATCTTAAGCTTTAAACTAAGGGCTTTCATTAACAGGATCGCTCTAACACCCTTCCTTATGGTTGTCTCAGAGAATGATACAACCGTTCCGACAGCATATCAACTAGCCGCATATCAGCAAGCTCTAGAGCCTAAGCAGCTGCATGTTATAAGGAATACCGGGCATTTTGGCGTTTACATAGGCCTACCTTTTAAAGAGAACATTAAGGTTCAGATTGACTTTTTGAGAAAGAATCTGCAATAAATGCTAGATTGTAGACAATATTCAACAATGAATTCATTATACACTTAGTGTTATGGCAATGTGCATGATGGATGTGGGCGTGGAGAGTAAATAACGAGGCAAATGTGAAAACCACTATCACATTTCTCATAAAACAGTTAGAGTACCTTCACAGAAACTTGAGCTTTTGGGAATGAATGGCATCCGTTGAACTTAGGTTGACGCTTTGAAGAGCGCAGCTTAGCAGGGATCGAAGAATGGCGGAACTATCAAAATGCTAGCAGTGATTACGGAATAATGGAACACTCAAATTGCGCACATTAAGGTGGCGGACCACT